AAGCCTTGTCATGGGAGCAAACCTTGTAAAGCCAACAACCCTTATAGCACTTGTACGAGCCTTGTACAAGCCCTAGTGCACTTGCACCAGGCTTAAAACTCTACAGCAGCTCCCGGCTATGTACCTTATAGTGTTTATTATCCTATCATCATCATCGTCGTCGTCATCGTTTTGTCGTGGTCTAGATTTATAACTCAACGACCAGTGGCTCTTCGTCCCGCATCGTGCGCCACCGATTGGTAGACTCAAGCATTTTCCAGCAACCCTTCACTAGAAATGGCCATTTACTTATAAACCCTTCGGTCAGCTCCCAACCATTCGTGTCCCAAGGTGTGTCCCAAGCCAGCACTCCGGTCATCTCAAGCAGTTTCACCTTGCCAAATAGGGAGCCCGTCACATCTTCCTCGATATCCTCGCGTGTAACAGCCCCTATCAGGAGAATTGTGTTGTCACGCATTTGCTTGTCCGGAATCAGATCAATCCAAGGCTCATGTGGCGTGCTAAGCTGCAGTGCTGTGGGCTGAAGAGACTCCGGTATGTTGGAGGGGGCTGGGAAGAGCGGCATGTTGACCCAATGTCTCGAACACTCTGGAGGGAAGGCGTTTTGGTAGCCCAGGATAGCCATGTTGGTCAAGACGCCACGGACAAAATTATATTGCACCAATGGAATTAGGTGATCGGAGGTTAATGGAAATAGAAGGCCTGGGCTCTGTGAAGCACTGCGTTCAGTCGATAATTTTAACCTTGGGAACTCAGCAACCATAGAGCTTGGCTGGCGCTGCGCCCCGTTTCCCTCAAGGTGAGTATACTGTTGAACTAAGGTACAAGGCCTATGTCTCGCAGAACCGGACCCCGAATGAGTTTCAGTCCCTGAATTGATGGCTTTTCGCCTTCCTATAAACGCTTAAGATGAGCGCTAGAACAGGGGTTATACCGGTTAATAACTTGGGAACAACTTACGATGAGCGCGGACATTCAATCGATTCTGTAGTTTGCGCCTCGCTTTGGAATCTTTCAGACCAGTCCAGTCCTCGTCAGGTCCATGTGCCTAGAGCCTCATCTTACATTAGTAGTTCAGATGGATCTCATCTCATCTCTAAACTGCCCCAAGGATGCTGCAGTGCCCGGAACTTACCTCTTTTAATACAGGCATCATTTCCTATTCAGCCAGATTGTCTACCTAATAGTCACTCAGGATGGTTTGTAAACTTTTATATACCTGGATAGACATAATATATGCAGGTGGTTCCCGCTAGCGCGCATATCATGTATAAGATGGAAGATAATACTGTACGTCGTGAGCACGGTTGATGTACTTCAACACATTACACGCATTAGGTAAGAACGTGGCACAGAGTGGACACCTCCCATTTTAGGTTAGTGACCGTTTCCTCCCGTAGACTACCGGGGTCCGGAAACCCTGTCACCGATCAAGACCGCTGAATCAACTCTATCTATTTCTAGGCTCAACCTCACCGATCATACTACCTTCTCGCACTTAACAACTTTCTTATGTCCAATGCATGTCGTGTGACATGTACTCAAATTATTCCTCCATTAACGCGCATTTTATATACTGACTGTCTACCTGGTTGTCTGCATGGTATCTAGGACTTAGATATGTCCGCAGATCTCTTCGCTGCGTTCGAGGACTCCTCGAAACCTGCTCCACCTAAGGGCCAAAAGGGGCAACCGTCAGAGGCATCCACGCAGGCTTCTTCCTTCAAACCCGACCCCTTTTCCTTCGGATCTAATAATTCTCAGCACATCAGTGCTCGGAAAGGGCAATACACGAACCCTATCACCCAGCGTTGGAGTACTGATACATCTCTACGGAGCGGTCAGCTGAGAAGTACTCAACAGCCATCAGGTGTAAATGGCTGGACAGGCGCAACGCTTCAATCTACTCAATCAAAAATCCAGGATGACGAGGATGACGATGATGGTTGGGGTGACTTTGAAGTCGCCCCAAGCATGAACCAGCCGCCTACCACTTCAGTAATAGCCACCGCTCCGTCGGGATCAACCGTTAAAGAGCGGCAGAGCCCAGCGCCACGACGGACAAGGGTTGTACGCGCGTCGACGATAGATCTCATGTCAAATAATCTCCTTGATCTTAATAATCCATCTACAGTACAGAATGATTCAAGGGTACCACCCTGGATTCAAGGCCCGTCTAAGCAGGTCAAAGCGCCATCACCTAACGTTGCTTCCTCAAAGCCACCCAAAAAGCCCCCCAATGCTAATTCAAATGTGTTATTTGACGCCGATGATTTCGATGGAGAGCAACAAGATGGCGGCGCTGACGACGATGATTTTGGTGAATTTGAGACAGTTGCCTCACCCGCCCAACCAGAACCAGACCTTTTATTAACTGATATTAACTTGTCTTCTACAACTACAAAAGCGCGGCCCTCTCAAATGCTTTCAGGCTTGAATCTAACTTCCCCAACTTCATATCCGCAAGCACCACGGTCTCCATCATTCCATGAAAGAAATCCTTTTCCTGGGCTTGCTGTTGCGCCGCCTTCGAAGCCAGAGAAAAAGCCTGCCAACGAACCGAAAACATCACCGATAACTGCATGGCCATCTCTCAGCGCTAATAAATCCGCAGGGAGCCCTGGATTAAATGAAGATTGGGGCACGTTTGATGATTTACCTAATGAAAAAACGAAATCCAATCCGAATACGGAGAAGGTCGATTCAACTTGGGACTGGGACACGGAAGAGCCGGTTCAACAGAAACCGGCAAAGACCAAAGCGCCAGTAACGGTGCCTGAGCCTAAAGACTCATCTTGGGATTGGAATCCCACTGATGTAGGGGCCGAGCAGCAGATCGAGCGGCCGAAGGATGAGTTACCTCCAACTAATGTTCCTCCGCCGTCTATACTATTGTCAATATTCCCACAGCTGTTCGATGAAGCGAATACGTCATTATATAAACCTATTAGCGGTCAATCATTCTCCGTGAAGAACCGTATATTATCGGATCCGAAGACTGTCGAATTTCTCAAGGGTTACGTAGCTCTGGCAACGGTGGCAGCTCGCGTTATCGCCGGCCGAAAGCTGAGATGGCACCGAGACAAATTTCTTTCCCAGAGGATGACTATATCAGCTGCAGGAAGCAAAGGAATGAAACTTGCCGGCATAGACAAGGCACAGGCTGCTCGTGAAGATCGCGAGGCAGCTGATGTCGTAGCTCACTGGAAGGAATATATTGGCCGTCTTCGATCCGCTGTTGCTACTGCTAATTCGTCCATCAAGAACAACGCAGAGCAATTAAAGATCCCCGAGATCTCTGAAACGATGCCAATCCAAACGGAGAAGTTGGTCCCCACGGCCCCCAAGGCTTGCATCGTGTGCGGTCTAAAACGTAACGAGAGGATCTCAAAGGTTGACTACGAAGTTGAAGATAGCTTTGGTGAGTGGTGGGTTGACCATTGGGGACATCTAGCGTGCAAAAGGTTCTGGCTACATCATGAGAGTGCTCTACGACAAAGATAAAACCAGTTACCCATCAGGCCTAATATTAGTCAACTCAGAAACCGACCTATCCTCTATATCGAGATGGCTGGCGTCAAATTCTATTACAGTAGCTGAATATCGAAATTCCACACAATATACTATCAAATGTATTGGGCGTGCTTTGGCATACTAGATGTGATAGCGCTGATATCAGCCCCTCCTTCAACGACAAATAATAGGTAGAATACCTGCGGACTATACGGATTTATCAGTATTCCACACTTGACCTTGAGCTACATCACAGCAGTCATGGATACGTCAAAGCTCACAACATGCGTTGTCTTAATGGACTTTGAGATTCATCCCACAGTCATTGACATAGCCACTTACCTACATACCTAGTTTTCGCACTGGCCGATTGGCGTTTTCTCAAGTCTATCATTTTAATAACATTCATCACAACAAACGCTTTTCGGGGCTTTTGCCTCCATCGACTTGACGCCTCATCGACTACCACAGTAGACGGAGTATATCACCAGTTTAGCAAGGTAGAATCTCACCAGTCACCGTTTCTATGTTATCTGGCCGCTTTTGCCGCCCTAGGAAATGTACAGAATCTGGTCGCACAGCATATGCACCATGACCTATTTCCCATGGATCTGCTTGCAAAGTATTCAGCAGGGAAGTAAAAACGAATTCGATAATGAAGTGTTAGGTCGATCCCGGAGTCTGGACTAGGAAACGGGTAATTTCCCCGAAGGGTATTACCGCACAGCCGGTATCCTATATCAGATCTAGGATGGTTGTTCACTAAACGCCACGCACGTATTCACGATATAATTGCTGGGCTGCAAACTCTATTACAGCGTCTCTCCTCGGCCATGCAAGCATGTCCCCACGCTTCTAGACAGTATCCTCGCGTCTCGATCAGAGTTCGCCCAGTATGTGAAGCTAACACTGAATAATTGGACAAGAGGGCATGCTACAGGGGTTACTCGAAGTCTCAGCATCATCCGCTATTTCCGTTCATACGGATAACCAATCACAATCCGGGCCAATTCCGGCTTGCATATAAGGAGTATATAGACGATAGGATTGGCTTGGGATTTCCCTTGAATCGTGGGGATGTGACCAATGCCATGCGAAGTCTGTTGCTATTGGATACCTAGTAGTAGCGAGAACTGTGACATCCTCCCTGCGAAGGAACCCGACTGCACTTCGAAATTGGACGCGTCTAAGTTACAAAGAATACTGCCACTCGAGTGCGAGCTATTGAACGTGTTATCCTGTCAGCCCCGAGTTAGCATATGGCCCGCATAGCCGGTTTTATATCCGTACCGAAACGAGCTCATGGACATAGACGTCGTGTTTTCTAGAAAAGCCAATGCTCCATATAATAAATATCACATTCTCGTGACAAAACCGCCCTAGCTAATCTTCTTTCCATGAAAACACAAAGTTCTGTAGCTAAGGTATCTCACGAGTTTCGAGCTATGGTGAGTTGCCATTACGTGCTTGAAATGGTATGCTTAAGCTTTTTTCTAGCGCTGATATCTCGTGAGGATTATCATTATAGATGCCTCAGATTAGAAGCCGACGTATTAAATTAGACGTGGAGGCTACTTCTATAATCTTAGCTTTCTAGATACATTTCTAGGAATGTAAGGAAAGTTAAGGAAGTCAATACGGAAAATCATATTTATAAAGTACCTAGGTATGTAACTTAGACTATGTAGTCTGAGCAATAACATTTAAATTATATCCCGTGCGGGCCTCGCGGGGTAGAGTCTATAGATGTACATGTATTAGTAACAGAGTGCAGATTATGATATTGCGAACTTCATGGAAGTCCTTTACACATAATATATACTTAGGTATATCTGTATTTATCTGTGTTAGAATTGTGGCATGTAGATTGCTTGACGGGGCTGCTAGCCTGTAATGAAAGAACTGGCGGGCACTGTGGTAATTGTAGCTTCACGATGTTAAGATGCAAGTAAAAATTGATGTCAAAGAAGCAATGTACCTATTCAATGAAGTGGGGTAATGCATGTAAGTATACATCCCTAGGTACATATCTAATGCAGAGTTCAAGGTTGAATTTCATTAGTCTAGGTACATACATGTATGTAGCTTCGGTTGGTCTATCCCTGGTACTAATCGCGGAAGGGACCGATTATCTGCATCAAGACTTTATCATGAGACTTGGGATTGATAGGTATCATCAAGGTAACTTCAAATTCCATGTTGACTCATACCATTTGAGTACTTACCTCCTAATCTCCACGTCATAAATCATTCCATACTTGGAAGTGTAATAGGGTACCTAACCTGTACTTAAGTATGTATGTGAGGGTTTTCATAGGAACATGGTACTTATTGAACCCCTCTTTCTATGTCCGAGCCCCCTAATGGATGCCTCTTTCTGTGGCTCCAATAAGTCTTGTTGCTTGACTTCGTCACTGGGATAAATTTACGTCATCAAACTGCTTAATGGGTTTAAACACTATAACTAACTGCATGGGCGGCTGGTAAAATTAGGTAAGGACGAGGTTGAGAGTTACCAGAGCTACCAAGGATTTATTGGATGTATTGTAACGTACCTTCTCTACACTGGTTTGATAGATGAATAGCACCTGGCACGGTACTTATAGTTATTGCATTAGTACTAGCTCTGGATAGTACTACCGAAGCCAGAACGTGCTTTGCTGCACCCGACCTTGTCCCAAATCGTCAACCACGAGTTACCTTAGCCACTTTAGTGACCTACACCTCTTTCTTGCAATTGCAATTGCAATCCCATCCCACTCTTTCTTGACCTGACTTTCCAATTCTTAATCGGCCTTTCCCTCACTTGTTCCAACCGGGTGTCAACTTTTCAACTTTTCCCCAACCAACCACCATCCCTCTTCCTCACAACTTCACCTCACTTCAACTTCCATCAACCTCCATCAACCTCCCCCTCTCCTCTCACCTTCGCCCTCGCACCCCTCAACTCGACCCAACCCGTCTCTTCAAGCCTTTCAAAACGTCAAACCTCCTTCTTCCCTCCTCTTTGTTCTACTAGGGACAACTTACTTCACGAATAAGACACCGCCTACCAGTACTCAGAATACCCTCCTGCAATTGGACCTTACTATATTAGGGTCCATTTCATCACCGCTTATCTAACCCTGGTCAAACGGCACACACCCTTACCTTACCACTACCTAGACCACTTTGGCCACCCCATCAAGACCCAGCCGCCTAGTGACCACGGTCAACGGACCTTGTCTCCATCTAAAAAAAAAAAAATTCCCCGTTCTCGCGTGGAATATACCAAGACCCTAGGTGAGGGGACAAGCGAAAAAAAAAAAGAGGGAATAAAAAAACAGAAAATTTCCACCCCGCAGGAACCAAACCAGTGCCGGTGAGAGAGCACAGGAACTTCTTCTCAAGATATCCTGCGAAGCACAGACTCTGCAGCAAAAGGTCAGTCAATACATATGCAGTGCCCCGCCTATTCAAGCCCCCGTTTCGCATAATAACCTTCCGTTTCTTTCTAATATTTCTGCATTTGGCTGTATTTCTATTTCTATCTTCTACAACCACATGCCGAAATCGTGCAGATGCAACAGCCTCTGACAAGATAAGATCTGTTTGGTAATCTCGTTTCAACCGTTTCTTGGCTTTCTTCCCTCATATCAGCCTCACATCACTTTCCCTTACATGACCATTCACGGACTACTTCCCCGCAGCAGCACCTGCTTATCAGAGCTAACTGCGTGCAGCCCGTCTTTTAACGCCAGATCCGGAGCTTATAGCAACCCACTCCCGTACCACTTTTCTACGTACACCCGCCCCCATCCAGTGCCAGCCAACAGGATCTCCTGCGCGCATAACTTACTCTAGTTCGACAAACTCGGGTGATATCACCGAGTCAGTCATAGCTGACATAGCATTACCTTCAGCGCATCCACATCAACCATCTCGCATTACGCATCTGCCAAACGCGACAGTCACCAACATGTCTGTTCCCCAAGATTCTCTCGCTCCTAACGGAAACGATCTACTTCCTTCAATGGACCAGTTGAAGCTCGATGACAATGAGCCTCGTTTAGGACCAGATGGCGAACCGGCGCCAAAGACGGACGAAGAATACGCCGTAGCTCAATTGACACTTCGCGCAATCGTCTCATCCAAAGAAGCCGGTGTTATCATTGGCAAGGGAGGTAAGAATGTCGCCGATTTGCGAGACGAGACTGGAGTAAGGGCCGGTGTGAGCAAGGTCGTGCAAGGTGTTCATGATCGCGTCTTGACTATCTCTGGCGGCTGTGAGGCCATTTCCAGAGCGTATGCGATCGTCGCGCGCGCACTGTTGGAAGGCGCTCCTGCAATGGGAATGGGTGGTGTTATCCAAAGCAGTGGCACCCATCGTGAGTCTTACCACCGCGCTGGCTTCCCCAAGCCCCGATCTAATCAGCAAGTTCGCTACACAGAAATCAAATTACTCATCTCGCACAATCAGATGGGCACTATCATTGGTAGACAAGGTATGAAGATCAAGACTATCCAAGACAGTTCCGGTGTGCGCATGGTTGCGCAGAAGGAGATGCTCCCACAGTCGACCGAACGAATTGTGGAAGTACAAGGAACGCCCGATGGCATCCAGCGAGCCGTCTGGGAAATTTGCAAGTGTCTCGTTGACGATTGGCAGCGCGGCACTGGCACAGTGCTCTACAATCCCGTCGTTCGAACTGCGCCTGGAGGAGCGGGGTCTCTTGGTGGCCCCCCTGGCACTGGTGGGGTAGCTTACGGCTCGTCCGGTAGAGACAATTATGGTGGCACTCGTGTGATGCGCACAGGGAATGGCGCCGACTTCAGCAATGGAGGTGTACGCCCGTATAATCGCCGATCCGATTCTGATGCGGCTACACGTGGGCCACCTACTCACGACGAAAATGGAGAGGAGATCCAGACGCAGAATATTAGCATTCCCGCAGACATGGTTGGATGCATTATTGGACGTGGCGGGACCAAGATTAGCGAGATTCGCAAAACCTCTGGTGCCCGCATCTCTATTGCAAAAGTAAGATTAAGCCTAATAGTTGTTAGGGCTACGCGACTGATAATGTTTCTTAGGCGCCGCATGACGAGACTGGTGAACGTATGTTTACCATTATGGGTACTTCGAAGGCTAATGAGTCGGCTCTCTTCCTTCTCTACGAGAACCTCGAGGCAGAGAAAATGCGCCGCAGCCAGACGCAATCGCCCGAGTAACCCGCGCCTGTCCTTCCTCAAAATACGTAGCCATCACGGAGAGGCTAGGAATTCATACATCTACCCGGAGTATTGCTAGTGTTGGGTCTGATACGGCGACGTACCCTGCGTTTAGGGGGACACTTCAGATTTGACTTGCCGCGAGGCTGACCTCCCTTGGTTTGGGTGGTTCCTACGATATGATATGACGACGATTTTCTCCTTATTCTGAGGCAACCTTCATTATTGCCTCGTCACCATTTCCCCTTTCCTTAATATTTCCTCGACGAAACCAACATCTTATGGACACGTGGGTCCCCACATATGATGTTGGTAGACTCCCGACAGTCACTTGACACCTCGACTTCGATACCTACCAAACTGGGTGCTGCTCGAGACCTTTTAGAGAGCTCTTATTCACTTGACACATCCGCCCCCATGCGTCAGCATCCCTGTTGTATCGACTTCCTCCCCAACATACAACACAACATACGGCTTAATCTCGTGCTTCTAACACACACTTCGACCATAATCACATCCCTCTCAATTTCTTACGCAACGCCGACCTTCCTCTTGTCACATCGCGACGATTACTCCTTCCTTTAACCCTTAACCTACGACCAAAAAGAGCCGGCGGCCCTGTATCAATTTTCCTAACATCAGAAACGACGAAAAAACCTTGGATGCTATACCTTTGACCATATGGTCGCCAGCATATTTCCATTTGCTCATGATGCCACGCTCGAAGCCTTAAGTGAAAGCGCATTTAGAACAAAATGCACAAGAAGCAGCAACATGGCCATCAACTCTTGATGACTCAGAATCTGGGGTACATCAATGATGGAGGTAAGCTTTATGGATGAGTTGTTTTTGAGGTTGAGAAAGGGGCATCCGATTCGCATTGCGCTTTAGTCATTGACCATTCCTTGAACTTCGCTATCGAGGAATGCATACGATCTTCTGTAGATGTCTAGAAAGGCGTATCTAGCAGCAGAAGAAACTTGACAAAAGAATTCATTCGCATGGTCGCCACAATACCTGTGCTTAATCGATTTGATGTGAATAAGTGATTTATTAAATACATGGATGCAAACCTGGGTAAGTACCTACCTACAGATGTATATCGTGGGTGATATACATGTATGTAGTGTGTATGTATTAGTGTGTATGTAGTGCTAGAGGCGGTTAGCCGGATTGAATTTAGCTTTAACGTTATCTGCGAGCATAAGTTGCGGGGCGGGATTCACCGCCTAACTAATTGGGAATTTATTCGTAAGTGGTCAAGTGGCTTCTTCTCATGTTGGAATTCTGCCGCTACATACATAATTTACGAGATCAAAGTGGTAAGTGGCCAATCTGTCATCAGTTATTGACTTGTAAGCTCGTTACTGTCTCTCTTTTGCAGTTTCGAGATTTGTATATTTCTCAGCATTATGGATCTTTTATACATACATAACTAACTTAGAGATAGTCGATCATTTTCATCACTTCATTTCTCTGTGCTTCTATCTAGTAATTTCCAACTTTGCGAAAACACACATCATGGCGCGTACCAAGCAGGCCAAACCCGTCGAGCGCCAACCATCATCCGAATACGTTACGCGCCAGGCATCGACACCCTCGAGGAAGGCAGATGGCACCGCGCCCCAATCTAACGGAGTTGTCAGTAAACTAGCGCCGGCGCCGGCGCCGACGAAGAAGGATGCCGGCGTAGCGCAGTTGGTGGTTGCCGTCGCCGGCATATACGGTTCCTTGTACGTATAGACTAGAAACGTCGCAACACGCGAAGAGACGAGAGGGAAATTTTTTTGCAGTACTGACGTAGGATTTTTGTTTTTTAACTCGTATAGTCTCACCTGGGCGTACCTGCAAGAGAAGCTCACGACGACGCCGCACGGCCCGCCGGGGGCGACGGAAGTGTTCAAGTACCCGGTGTTCCTCAACACGATCCAGTCGCTGTTCGCGGCGGCGACGGGGGCGCTGTACCTGTACGCGAGCACGCCGTCGGGGCGCGCCATACCGCCGGTGATACCGTCGCGCGCGATCCTGGCGCCGCTGCTGCTCGTCGCGCTGACCAGCTCGCTCGCCAGCCCCTTCGGCTACGCGAGCCTCGCCCACATCGACTACATCACCTTCCTGCTCGCCAAGAGCTGCAAGCTGCTGCCCGTCATGCTGCTGCACGTCACCGTCTTCCGCAAGCGGTACCCGCTGTACAAGTACCTCGTCGTCGCCGCCGTCACCGCCGGCGTCGCCGTCTTCACATTGCACTCGGGCAAGGCGCGCAAGTCATCGGCGGGCGGTGGGGGAGGAGAAAATAGCGTCTGGGGCTTGCTGCTGCTCGGCGTGAATCTGCTGTTCGACGGCCTCACGAATAGTACTCAGGACTATATTTTCGGTGCTTTCCAGCCGTACTCCGGACCCCAGATGATGTGCGCCAATAACCTGATGAGCACGGCCGTCACGGCCGCGTACCTCGTCCTGAGCCCCTGGCTCGTGCACACGGGCGCCGGCGAGTGGCTCGGCATGGACGTCGCGGGCGGCGCGGGAGAGCTGGAGGCTGCGCTCGGGTTCATGCGCAGACATCCTGGTGTCTGGGCCGATGTGCTGGGGTTCGCGGCGTGCGGTGCTGTCGGGCAGGTTTTTATTTGTGAGTGTTTTTTTTCTAGAGGAAAAAAAAAAAAGAGGTCAAATCTAACCAAAAAAACAAAATTTAGTCTACACCCTATCGACCTTCTCGTCGGTCCTTTTGGTAACGGTGACGGTGACGCGCAAGATGTTCACCATGATCCTGTCCGTCGTCGCCTTCGGCCACCGCCTCAGCCGCATGCAGGTCCTGGGCGTCGGCCTCGTCTTCGGCGGCATCGGCGTCGAGGCCGCCATCGCGCGCCAGGAGAAGCTGGCTAAGGAGGAGGCGAAGCGGAAGGCGGCCGAGGGGAAGGTTCAATGATTTTCCATGCTGCTATTGGTATCTCCTATCTGAGTTGCTCTGCATTTGTATCGGTGGTGTTAGCTGCACAGTTCCAATGAGCTGGATGGACGCGGTTCCGTGTGTATATAGGAGAGGCGGGGGTTGGGACTGGACGCCGATATGGATGTACATACTGGTTTTATGCGACTTGTAGGACTCCTTGATTGACATAGATGAATGCAAGCGAGCGAGCGAGCTACGTGTTACATAGGAAGGCAAAGAAAAGAAAGAAAGAAAGCAAGGACAAAGCCATGGAAGCTTGCTGAATGGCAAGAACTGCGGATAGAGGCCAGACTAATGAGATATCTCTAATGTTCCAATTACTAGGTTTCAATAAGTGAGCTGGGGAGCATTCTTATTGAGCCATCAGAGGCAGAGATTCTACGGATTTGTTTAGATCTCCCATCAACATTGAAAAAGTTGAGAAAGACGGGATAGCATTATTAACGTGAAGCAATAGAATTACGATCAAAACGACATATTTCACAGTAAATGGACATAGCACAGCACAGCACAGCAGAAGTCAACTAGAAATTCGTAAACGAAGCATGCGATTTGCATGCCGTTATCGTGTTGGTAGGGCATGGTGAATTATATGTACAAGGTTGCGATAGGGGGACTTTCCTTAATTGCCCCCCCTTGCTCGTAGAATTACTCCATCTTTTCCTGACTCCTCAGAACGCCTATGCTTGCTTGCTTGCTTGCGTGTGCGAGCTGCTGGTTCCAAAATCGGGTCCCATCATGGCTTGTTTAATGTGTCGCGTGATACATGGAAAAAGGTGGCTGTCCTCGGTGGTTACAGCAACGAGTGCTCGATGATCATTGAGATAAGCCGACGGACAATATGCAAATACATAGAGAACTCGTCCCAGCGCGAGCTAGGATGGTATTTGTCCATCGGAGCGTTCCCGACCCTTTTTGGTTCCGGTTCCATATGTACTCCCCTTCAACTTTTCTTACTCCCTAATTATCCACTGTGTCCCTGTGACTAACGCAAAATCAACCGTACTAGCTCTCCAACCCGTCAAGGAGGCTGTTACATTGTGATATCCGGGTATTTTGGTCCGTTCCAGTGCTGCCTGATTCCACCCTGGCCAGAACGGTGAACAAGTCCAGAAAGAACGCAAAGAAAATCGATAGTGTTTAATCCGGTAAACAAATGAAATAGAGTAGGTTGCCCTAAGTTTTACTTGAGGGTAAATGTTTGTGAATCTCGTCTCGTTCTTCGCGTATCACATTATTGATATATGATCAATATTCTGAGGGTTATAAAAAGTCGTCAATGGACCGAACAATAGGCGTTTCACCCTTCGTTGGGGGGCTTCTTGGGTCGGCCGTTTGAGCGGGTCTTCCGAATGGAAATAAAGGATCTCGCGGAAACATGGTCTGGCGTGGAGAGAAAAGACCTTCACTTGGTGTAGGAGGAACTTCAACAAACTTCATGCCAGCTAACTCCGAATACGAGTCATGTAATGGATTGTTTGTCATGGTCTCGGCCCTCGGCGACATCAGGGCATCGTCGTCCTCCGGCAAAGCAGGCGCGATTGTTAGCTCCCTTCGACTACTAGGTCGTTCATGGTGAGACTCGGTAGGACCAAAATTCAAGCTGGAAAATCCAAAGCTCTGAGGACCCTCACCAAAACGGCTAGCTGCGAATCCAGGAGAGGGAGGAGGCTTGAAGAATCCGGGCGAAGGCGGTGGCTTGAAGAACGCTGGCGAAGGAGGGGGCAGTGATAATGTTTGACTCGCTTGAACTGATGGCTGCGGTTCGAAGAATCTAGGCGGCTCAAGGGAATTCCCAAAGTTGAATCGGCCGTGCTTTCCCGGATCTTTCTCATCCTCCTTCTCAGACCAAGAAAAACTCGACGGAGCAGATGATGGCCCAGGAGAGATTGCTTCTAAGTTAGGCGTGGATTTTCCACGGGAATGGTTTGCAACACGCTCGTTGTTGGAGCCGTTATCCGTTCCGTCTTTCTCATCTGGTAACGGTGCGGTCATTGGCTCCTTAGGTTGCATATCGATGGCGTTCGCAGATAGGGTAAGCCTATGTTTTGTGGGACTCCTTCCACTTCGTGGTCCGGCGGCAGACCGAGGGGGTAGCTTCTTCTTGGAAACCTCTTTCTGGAAGTCCTGTAAACAGTACATTAATCGCATATTCGGGCTAATCCATTTGCTCTTAGATTGCGCGGCGTAGTAAGCATCATTGACAGTCAGGCCGGGGTTTTGATAGAGGCCATAGGCAATGATGAGACTGGCCGAGCGACTCGCGCCCTGTTGACAGTGAACAAGAACCTTCTTTCCATCCTTTGTGCGCTTCTCGATCGTCTCGCAGAGCATCATTAAATCTGTGGCGATATCCGTATTGTGATCCCATGGCATGTGGATATATTCAGGTTCCGAAAAGGGATTGGCTTTCGGGGTTGTGGGTGTTTCCACTGTGTTTTGTTCCGAGGGAGGGAATTCAAAGGCTGTCGCAAAGCTGTCATTGGTCATGGCTGTGTCCGGAATGGGCGACTCTGTTTGTATTGGTTTCACATTCATCGCAGGTGGTTCCTTGCCCATAGCTTGGAAAGGGTTGGTGACTTCACGGGCGACATTGATTACCACGTCGAACTTCGAAGCCTCCTCTGCGGTAGGCTCCAAGTACAAGTAGACATTGTCCTCGTAAATTGCGATAGGGCCATCGGGATAACCTGGTGATTTCTGATCTTCGTTGTTCTCGGGCTCAATAAAAGGTTCAAAGTCCATTGCAGCGCGATTGGCAAGCTGGGTCTTGATAGGAGAATCTTCCTCGAGAATAGTAGTATCATAACCTGGGCCGCTGCTCCCCAACTTTGTCGGTCGTAATATTTCAGACAATCCCGAAGTTCCACGCTCTAGCACTGGAGGGAACGTCATGCCACCCGATGGGCCGAAGGTCGCTGACTTCAACCCATTTAATCCAAAAAGCATGTGAGGGGATGATGTCGAATGCTTCAGAGATCTTCGCTGAATGATCGGGGGAAGAATGGGCGAGCCAGGGACTTCTAGAGCAGTGGGCCTCATGTTAAGGCCTGTAGAGTCAGTCTTGAGACTGAGCTGACTGGGTTTTCGCTTCATTGCCGGGATCTTTGGCTTAATAAAAGCGGGCGATGAAGGCTCGGAAACAAGTTGGGAGGATAGTGAGCTCGCCAAAGGTGGCTGGATCGACAGGCCTTTCATGTTTCGAGCGCGTCGGGGAGAAGGAGACGTCATGGGTCGCTCCCGCTTACCGGAGTCGTTGACGGTGAGGCTATCCATCGTTGACGGTAGGCCACCAAAATTGGTAGCCGGAAAAGAATTTAAAGGTATTAAATTGACAGGTGAATCTGGCGAAGAAGACGGTGACGGGTCAGAAAGTGAAGAAGTGTCTGTGGTTAGAGTTGTTGTGGGAGAAGAATCTGCAGATTCGGAATTTTGGGTTGATGTACTGTCGTGGTGACGGTGCGCAGGGTCGTTTGGCAGAGGTCGTAAGGTATGTTGTTGTTGTTGTGCTAACCCACCAGCAAGTTGACCAGTGAATTGCCCAGTGCCAGGCAGTTGCCCAGGTGCGCACGATGACTCCATCTCCATTAACTTAGGATCTACCATCGTCACCAATCCTCTTTCCTCAATATTGTTGTCCGTCTCGGGATCGAAAATGGACATGAATGAGGGTATTTGGTCCTCATATAATCGTCTAGCGGTAGCGGACGGCATGTTTGATGATTCCCCGAGCCAATTCTTACAATTCCTACTCTTCTTCCTACTCTTTACCACACCGTTCACACTGTCTGCACCTCTAGCGTGGAAACCTGGACTGTTCGAACGGCGTTGTGTCGCAACTTAATCGGTCCAATAATAGAAAATAAAAACAATTCCACAATGAATGACTTTAATGAATGACGCCGTATTTCGACAGCTAAGACGACGATGCTTTGTGTCGGACAGCGCTGCTGTATCCTTTTTCCTACTTCTTCAATTTCTTCTTTCCTTCTCTTCCAATGTCGTTACTACCAAGCCGATTAAGCCTGGTTACTTATGTATAATCTTTACTTGATCCCAAAACGACCACACATCTGCAACTTCTTTCGCGACAAACAACCACCTACCGGTCTAGTAGGAGGTAATTGGGAATGCTGTCGTATTAAACAGATAGGACAATGCTAGACAAGGAACCAAGATAAAATAGAAGAATGAGTGAAGTTTGTAAGAGCACAATGTGTCGCCAGATATTAAAGGAGGTAGGGAAAGTTTGATGTTTGTCGTTTGGAGGTAAGTTTAGTGATTAGAATTCGGCCGCCATCAGGATGTCAACATATTCTACCAACTGCCTAGAGTACCATACAGACGGGTAAACAATTGACTGTTTGCGGGTAATGGACAAGTAGTGGTGGCGGTTGGCGATACGATCTCGACAGCGGCAATGTAGGATACGAAGGTAGGTGGGAAGAATTGTTAGGATAGAATTAATCAGAAGATGGACAAGCGTTCGGAGAGACAGAGACACCAGCACCTGTGTACTCTCGCGCGCAGTCTCTTGAAACAGCGAACAAGGGGGGGAGGGCTAAGAAAATCCCCGGGGGTGGGCGCAAAAGGCAGAAAGGTAGAAGGAGGAAGAGGATTTGTGGAATTGGATGGTGGTTGTGTGGTGTTTTGTGTATGTTGACTGGTGAATGGGTTGTGAATTTGGAGGGAGGAGAAAGAATGGGAATGGGGATGAGATTGAGATTGCGCTAGACGGGAACACTTGGGCCTTAGCGCAAGGTCAACATGGGCAGTAGAGCTGGGGTACAGCCACTATGGGAAATGGCAGTGTTCGAAACAAGTTCGCTACTTGTCCTCGGCTTGATGCGCTAACAAGCTCGACTTAGTGGAGCCCCTCAGCTTCCATGTCCTCCTACCTGGTATTCCACCTATTTACCATAGGAAGGTACATACTACGTAGTAATCCCGGCAACAAAACCTACATTGGCACTAACCACTTACACCAAAACATGCCTGGAAATCCCAGCGGCGGCATTCTTTTTCCTGTTTACACAGTATCTGCATATACCTCTTGAGAAGGGAAGAGTGCGAGGATTTTACCTTGGGTTGTTCACAGGATGCGGGTGGCTCGTTACGTCGCTAACAGTTGAAGCGTGCGCTATTCTAAGTGGTTCTTTCAGACAGGGGTTTGCCTTTGCGAAACGAGACACTGGCCGAGACAGGGATGGTAATGGTTCTATTAATAGCCACCTGCAGCTAAGTAGGCGCCGAGGCTCAACCAATCAGAGCGTCAATGTCAAATTTGGTCTTGCAGCTGATAATTTCACTTCGCCAGCAAAAACCCGGAATTGGCCTTGGTTCTTTGGAACTTATGGGAATGCGGCGATATTCCGTACACATTATGACTGGGTATGTACCATACCATGTGCGTACAAGATGACTGCAAACGGCTCTTAAATATTGAATTACTATCTACAAGATGTTAATGAAATACTAGCTGTCAATTGAAAAACTGTTAAACATTCTTTTCCTTTAAGTGATGCCAAGATGTTTATTCGTTTGAGATACATGTTTGATATACTTGCGTATCAATTGTGTGTTTACCTAAAGGCGTAGGCACCCTAGGTGGTATGTAGGTACCTATAATGGTTCCGAACAAAGACCATTATAATACTTGTTAACTTAATAGGCATCGACTTCCAGTCACTATGACTCCCTTTCTTTGCCTTTCTGAGACTTGGACCCGTTGTGAATGATCAACCTCCACTTCCTTGTTAAGAACAAGGAACCTGAAATAGGTATACGAAGACCTTTAAACCGGTGATACTCATCTTCGTACAATTAGACTGTAAAACGTGGCCGAATATCTCCGAGAATAAACGCAGATAGGAATCTTGATCCCTACGGATAAAACCAGATGGACCCGGTTCTCAAGCTTTGTGTACTTGAGTCGGATTCATCGGATCTGTTAGGTTTTGAGTTTAACATCCCTCGAGGCAAAAGAAAATGACGAATCCTCATTTACCTACCTAGATAGGTACTATTTAAAGCTCGGTGTACTAACTTATTTCATAGGGTTAGGTATATCCCATACCCTGCCACGACACGTGGGTAATACGTTCATCAGATGCGTGCATCATTTACAACTTACAGCTGTGCAATGGTGATTCGGAGCAAAGCACATATTTTGAGGTAAAATCAATGCGCGGATGGATTCTTCCTTATGCTGAATTAAATTACCAAAACCAACACGAAGTCTTGATCGTAGCTCTATTTTTAGAGCAAGTCCTATGATTAGCAAGGAGAAAGTTTAGATATATTTGTATAGGTGAATTATCCTCAATTTGAGATAATGATTGTCGCGATGTGCGTGAGACGGCAAATATTGAAACTGTCCATCCATCGGCCGCCGGATGACGGCCGGACTCGGCGCTGGCGCTTGCTGACTGCTATTTTAGACTAACGGATCCCAGAAGGACCTGAAACGCCCGCGTCCGAACCTTCTTTCTTTGGCCGTTGGCGCGAGGCAGGCGCTGAGGGAGAAATGGAACTCGCTTATTTTCCTACGCAATAACTACCGTGGCGCTAGTCGAAGGGCTTTTCTTATTTACTTACAACCTTGGAAGTCTTAATCCACTTTCCTCGCCTTTGTTATGATCTGGTTGCCGTGCCATCGTTCATCTCATATCCATGACTTACCGATTGACATCCCAGACATACCAGATCCGAGGTCCACATTATTTATTTTAATGTCGACGAAACCTCGAACTTTGACCTCCTTGTTTGTAGTTATCGAACGACAGAAGGCTTTCCAACACGTCAAAGTTTGACATTTCGATCTCAAGCGGAGAAGTTTCGAAACATCGATCTTCAAATAAGCGATGGCACTAGCACTCTCGCACCTTTTACGTACATACATAGTACGATACACTGACCTCAAGCTGTCTCGTGACTCGGTAGTCGCATCGCGCATCCGAGATGTTCCAAGTTTCTTGGCGGACTTCCAAATTACAAGGCTTGATATTTCAAGACTCCTGTATTGGATACAGCGTGAGAATCACGCAGTCTCAAGATATGCGCCACATACCTCGCAGGTATAGGGCATATCTATTATACGTAGTATTACAATATTTATTACTTCGAGGTGCTGTATCTGCCCTCGTCGGCGATTTATCGAATCACCACATTGGAAGCGTTGGCCGATGAGTATCTCAACTCTTGTCTAGGTTGGGTTATCTGGCAACCGCCATACTATGCACGAAATAGAAGCGTAGAGGGATTGCCTACCTATACAAGCCAGACAAGCTAATATCTAGGTAGGATGGAGCAAAAACCTTCTTTATCGTGATCCAAGATCTCTAGAAACCCGAAATTATGACCAACATAATCCCCGAATGCAAGATGACGAAGCTTTGTATAGGTAGCTGATGAAGTCAAGATGCGGCTGAACGCTGGAAAGTTGGCCTAGCCAAGACTTCATGAAGCAAAGACTCGTCAGAGGGCCGTGCTTTGCGTATTGCCCAGGTGATCGTTTCAAAGCATAAACGCGTCACAAGTCACGTTGATGAAGGCCAATGAGAATTTATCATTGTTGATCAAAAGACCACAGGGCAGAACGACCTCACGAAGACTTGGTGCTCCGTATTCAATAACACCTATTCCCTTCACACTTTTTACAAATTAATTGGTCTCCGGCTGGACGGAACTGTTGGCCTAGTTTGAGATTTGAGGTAACTCAACATTTCAACTTCGGCGAAGACTAAAAGCTGTGAACTCCGGGTCACAGTAATAGCAAATCACCCCGATATAAATATGAATCAACGAGTCGTTGGCATGACTATACTGAAACATAAAGCAGAGTTCCACTGAGTTGACACTGGCTCAACCTATTAAGCCACCAGTCTATCAATCCGTGTAAGGGTCTCGCCAGCTCTTCCTTCTCGACACGAGAAAATAAGAAGGGATGCATGAGGCCTACCTCTGCGTATATCCTGAAACATATCGAACTATGAGAAAGTTTGATTAGATGGGTGATGCTCGTGCTGTCACGGACTTGGTAGCCTTAGCTAAGCGTTTGATCTCCTCCAAGCTTCAGGGGTAGAAACCCTGGTATTTCCGCTTGCGGCGCACGCAATTGCGGTTTGCGATTGAAGTGCCCAGGGACCCCTGCGATTCCCCGCCGTAAACGACTGGTGATCATCCACGGTAAAATTGAGAGATTGGCAAATTGACCGAGGATCCCTCTGCGCACGTTCAAGATTGCCTTCTCGAAACTGTGCATACCCGGGTTCTTTGAAATCTCGTGTAACCACCCGAGAGAAGAGGAAAAAGGAGTTGAGTCTTAAGTGTCAGATGGGACTCAACAAAGACAGCCAAGACAAGAACGAACAAACAAACATCATCCCGTCAATAGTAGACCATAATATACTCGAAAGCGAACGAGTACGAACGAGTACAAGTCCCAACCCCGCAATGATCCGCAAAACCAATGCCTTGCATCAAAGACCGCAATTCGCTTCGCTTCGCATCTGGGCACTGGGCAGCTCTCTATTACTTAGTGCTTACAAGCCACGAAATGCAATGCACAGCACGGCAAAACAACCCATCATCCATTTTGGTTGAACATCAGCATTCGTTCATCAACTCTGTTGGTGGCCCAGAACCATGCACAGAGTCAGGGGACTTGAGGGGCTTGAGGGCTTTATGTGCAGGCTAGCCTTGATTTCTTGCAGGACTCCGCAAGCTAAGATCCAAAATGTGACTACACGCATACATAAGGAACATGTAATATGTGTTATCCGCGCATCTTAGGCGCATTTTAACTACCTAGTATGTTAGCCGTGACTCGGGTTGAACGAATACTACAGGTAGCGCTTAATATGTTCGAGGCAAAAAGTTATGTGGCTAGTAAATTAGTACCTATGCAGTTATGGATGTGATAGCCAGTACCAAGGTAAGGTTGTGTCACGGGTATGTATGCGACTTACACAGGACTCGGCGGAGACGTAGATCGTGGTCGGCTCGAGTACGGCAGTACATTTCTAGGTAGGTAGGTAAATATCCGATCAGATTTCGCATTATTCTGCTACTACCGGCAAACTGCCAAATAAATTAACTTCACCTCATCTACTATGCTGCTATGTATGTAGTTAATAACCACGAGGTCCACGGCCCACTACTTTGCAGCACCAGCTACCCCTGACTAAACCAGCTACGCTGTAAATGTTGTCGCTCTTTTCCACGTCTAGGCCATCCTTACAAGGCTAGTCCGAAAAACTTGGAAGAGCCTCTCCGAAACACTAGACCTTTTTCAATGTAGCAATGTAGGTAGAGGTCGATTGACCAGCCTCCTCACGAGATAGCCGTTGGTAATTTCTGGTTGGCTGCAGCATCTTGCACGCTCGAACTCAATGCAGCACGACGGTAGTAGTCGGCAAGCACTCATTTCAACCTTCAATCCTATCGTAATGTTTTGATTGGCATTTTTCTTTCCGTGCTCGCTGATTTTGTCCAGCATGAACCGCTGCAAACCCAAAGCTTCCATTGAACATCTGTCGTCTTCTATCCGACGTTCTACGCTCACCGCTAACTCAGCCCGCAAGTGAGGGAGTTGCCAATAAACATAGGGTCACCTAAAAAGCACTTAGTCTAAACTTGGAGATGAACTAAGAGGAAATTCTCCGTAAAACACATCCGTCTTCATATATATCTGTGCTTTTATTAAAGGGAAGCCCCTGAACTGTACCAGTTCCCTATGCAGATCCCATTATTAGGCAGTTAGGACATCAACTTGGGAAGCACATGAAGCACAAGAAGCACAGACGGACCCGAGGGTTAGGAGGTACACACAATAGTACTAAGTATCTAACCCAGGCCAACCCAAGCTCACGGACCCCGTCTATTAGATCACCCATGCATCGAAGTGGCACTCGGTTGCGATGCGTGGTTGCTGCGTGGCTCTTTTCCAGCGGACTGGAGTCCCACATGTAATCGGCTTGTTAGCGCATTTGATTCACTGGCGCCCGAGGCCATTCCTGCTACTGCTCCGACTACTGCGAGTCGACGTCGTCCACGTCTAATCAGAAGTCGCGTCCTAGCCCCAGTCAGGAAAAGAGGAGATATGAGGTCAAGGAAAGAGTTAGCAAAGGACCAACGGGCAGAGGTGTAAGGTCTGTGAGCTGTAGGTAAATAAACCGAGGACGGTATGTAGTTAGTTAATGGTATCTCTTCCCTTGTTGATACCAAGTCGACTTAGGGTTGGCTTCCGAGCGCCATATCCCATACCATCATCCTTATCCTTCCCATACACCCCGGCACACAGTCTTGGGATTTTCGGGCTGCTACCCTCTTTGCCTATCCTCCCTGTCCTAGCTAAATCGCAATATGATCGAGGATCCAGATTGAATTCAACGAACTTCTCCTGAGATTTTAGCACCAGAGGCACAACACACCTCGGTCTTCTCTCACCATAGTCATTCTTTTCTTGCAATACCTCATACCTCTTCTCTTCTGTTGTCGTGGCGCATCTTCTTTTCACGATACCGACAGTAGTGCAGCTATTGTTCTTTTGGCGCCGGGTTGAAGCAGAAGGGCCGAGCTTGACATCATTCAATGGATCTCCTTGCTGTCATATTCATGCAAAAACACCGCCTGCAGCCCATGCGAGTCTGAAGACGGAACTAAAACAGTGCATGCCGACCCTGTTCGATAGGTAATACATGCCAGAGGTTTGACAGTGGCGGACATAAAATACCTACCGAGTTAGATAAGAAAAGAAAAGAGGAGCTGAAGTTGGGACGATATGGATTCGAATTCGGTTTCCGAAGCAGTTGCAGCTTCTAATACTAATACTAATCCTAACAGTAAGGGCAATGGGAAAGGTATAGTAATTGCTCATTTTTAAAGTTCCTAGTCTCCTCAATTTCTCGTCAAGCGCGAGTGCTCCAGCGCGTTGTTGTGCAGCAGCATAGCGCATAGATAGCTATTTCAGCAGGAGCGAACACCACTAATAACTTTTATGCCTTCCAGTTATAGGTGCAACGGACCCATCCGAATCCCTTTCGTCTTCCACTACCAAAACCACGTCTGCGCCCGGGACCATCACCGCTACAACAAATCAAACTAATCACACTAACCCAACTCACAAATCAACAACAACCTCTTCACCGTCTAATAAGCACCCTACTATCCTCCACGCACACCGACAAAGTCACAACTCTTCCAAACTCCCCGCCTTTCGCTTCGCCGATCTGAAGAAAGACCCCATCGCCTTGCCTTCGCTTCTGCAAAACCATCAGATTCCACCCTCGCCTGTCTCACCTATTTCGGATCCTCACGCCCAAACACAGCCAAACACATCGAGAGAAATATCCCCACAACCAGAGCCAGCGCATCAGAGTCAGCATAAAATTAATCGCGACAATAATAGCCCTGTCTCACAAGAACAATTGAGAACAGAAAACCTGAGTCCAAGGTCTCGGGCATCCACATTTCAATCCCCCCGCGTCCTATCGACCGCCACATCGACATCATCTGCCAATGCAAAACGCTCAACTTCTCTAGACTCGACCACCGCTTCCGCCTCCGCCATTGGAAAAATTAACAAGTCTGCGCCTATCAGAGCTAGCGTCGCGTCGCCCACGGATTCAATTGACACTGTTGCCACAACACGACCCCGACACAGACGCGCGCCTTTGTCGGGTAATTCGGCTAGTGAGGCGTCATCTGGCCATCGAATGCACGCGTCCGACGATAGTCGAGGTGCGTCATCAGGAGAAGAAATAAGTAGGGAGTTGGCGCACGGGCAGCGGGAACTTCTATTACCAAAAACCATTCAGAGAACGGCGGCCGATGACAGAAGGAACTCCGTGGCACGACGACCACCGGTATCTTACAAACCACCCGTGAGCTCTAACGCTTCGGGCGTCACGGCATCTATCCCGCCCATTCGATCATTTCGGTCCTCCGGCGAGCGGCGCCGGAGTCTAGTACTCGACATGAACGCCCGCTCGATGCGTGGTTATGAAGGGGGCGAAGATTATGGCGATTCAAATCACCGCGACAGAACTTTGCGCGCATTAGAGGGGAGACGTTTCGACGATGCCTCGCAGATAACACCACCCGATTCAGCGGGTGATCGTCCGGACGGCGACGATAGCGGCGATCTATTTCTTAAAATCGCGCGAGAGGACACATTACGCCGCAATGCTGACAATAATGGAAACTATGGAGACAGCCAAAGCGCCATCGTAAGTTGACTGATTGTTTGCTTACTTAATTGTTCCGAAAGGCACACGATTGCCAAAACGCCTATACACTCCTGAGTTTGCACCTGGCTTGCAAACCTGAACTGTGCTACCAACATATAGGTGGCGTCGCAGATATATCTGTTTTAAAATGCCTCTATCGCTAAATTGGATCTATAACTGACCTATGATATAGTCTCGAGTAACACGAACTAGTCGACGACCTCTCTCCGTAGGCGTCTCCTCATATCAGCCCTCTTCACCTCCCCAAGTAGTTCGTCGCATGTCAGATCAGGAGAGTTCCAGATCTCGAGGCTATAGTGAGGATCAGTCAGGAGAAAGAGTCGCCCGTAGTCTAACTTACAGAGGCATATCTAGAGATAAGCAGACCGACGAGATGAAACTCAAAAGCGCCAGCACCACTCCTCTTCGCAACTCTCCGTTGACTCCTCGGTCAATGGTCTTTCAAGATGGCCTGTCTTCTGACCAAGGGTCTGCTTCCACTCGGAGAAGACAGGCCTCGGTCGACAACGGCACTCCTCTACCATCTCGTATGTCATCGTTGAAACAGGGTAGCGTTAACTACAGCCACCCTCGTACCTACAACTCTTCGCCATTAGTGCCCAAACCTACAGAATACCAGAAACACGATCCCCAAGTGGATGATGCGAATCACGGCGTCGAGGGAACAAATTCGACGGCTTCCACCGCCGCACCTTCAACTGTATGGGATGAACTCGATGACCTTAAATCTCGCATCCATCGCCTTGAGCTAACTGGTAAGCTTCCTCCGACCTCTGGCGCAGCTATATCACGAGCATCCGAAGAACGGCCACCGACCGCCCACACAAACGCGACGACCCTCTCGGCTTCTCCAAAGCGTGGCTCGGGGAGTGCCGTACAGCCACCAGATACAAACAACATGTCGAAAGATGGTCACCCGCTGCTACATTCTGCCCTTACCAAATCCAAGCAATTCCTTAGTGTGGAAGTTTTTGAGGCTTTGGAGACTGCTGCCAACGATGCGCTGGCACTTTCCACGATGATGGGAACTCCTGGTCAGCCGGGACCTATCTCGAGCGGTGCAAGCAGCATTGGCAACGGTGGCAGCGGTGCTACCATTACGGACCGTCAACTCAGACGAAAAGCAGATAGTATCTGTCGCAGTCTTACTGAATTATGCCTGGCCCTCAGTGAAGGGGCAGCGCAGATCAAACCTCAACCTCAACAAGTTCCGCCGACGGTTCCGGAAGATGTCACGATTACGAGCCCCAAATTCACCGAACCAATGACAAAGTTTCCGGGAGTAGCTACCCAGAGGCGACCGAGCGCCGCTGAACGTAGCCTCGCATCGATGCACAGCAGCCCGAGAGCCCTGTCTCGTTTCGAGGATAGGCGGATGAACACGATAGTGACTAGTGCGCTGCCCGCTCCGCGATATAGTACCACGGTTCCCGCTACTCCTACCGATGATATGGTGCCTGCAGCAGGCCGGAAGACCGCGATGCTAATATCTCGTTCGCGTCGAGCCGGAACAGAGGAACCGGAAGAAGGGCGCAAGTCCTCGCTACTACGAACTCGCCGCGCTACTACGGAAGAGCCAGAAGATCTCTCCGACCGGAAGCCTTTATTAATCCGAGCCCGCCGAGGAACAATAAACAACGATGACGATGAAAGTCGCTTCCGTGCTCCCTCGCGTGCTACTACTGAAGTCCAGGGGACTAGATCCGGACCCCGTGAATACACTTCGCAACTCCCTCCACCTCCTTTGAAAGAATCCGAGCCTTTGGCGTCTTCGGCTCTTCCTAGAAGACGTCTTGGGTCATCGGCACTCAACACTAGATTGGTGATTCCAGCAACATCATCATCAAACATCGGTACACCGCAACGGCGGTATTTTGACCGATCGACACCGGATCGTGAAATGGCGTACAATATAGGAGACAGAATTGTCGAAGATCGGCCTCAGCGACAATATTCCGCAATGTCACGCGCCGGAAGTCTGGACAAACGAGCCAACCGTGGAAGTATGATTGCCACGAGCTCTCCCGCAACAGGCGGTTACCGATAATGCTATAACGACTATGATATGCTCATGACAATGTAACAATAGAAAGTCATTTGGGCCAAGGCAAACCCCATCAGCATGAACTCTGCATAGTTAGACGGTTTTTATTTGTCTGTTTTTGGTTTTTTTTTGAACCTTCTTACTTCTTATAATACCCCGCGTCTGCAAAAAGTTTACGAAATTTTTCTATCGCCTCTCCCGTCTAAAGACGAGCACTGGCCAGTGCTATTTCCTGTATATCGACTAGGTACAAAAGGCGAGAAAGCCGCGGAGTGGTGTGGTACGGAAGGACGGTGGACTCCGGCGAGGAGTTTCTAGATATTGATCATATCTTGACAGGAATGAAAATATCGCGTGTAGCGCGGCCGCGCTGAGGGGTTCCTTTGTGAGGTCCTGATACCGAATAAGGGGCGGGCGGACTAAGGGGGCAGGGGAGCGTTTATACCAATCCTTACCGGCGCTCGAGTGGCAGATCGACCACCGTTGTACTATGTAAATAGGTCGCCAGAGTATGGCGAATAATGTATGAATATTAAGTTTTGCGATGAACATATTTTTACGGCCTTGAATGCCTTGTAGGTAAATCTTCGGTGATTACGATGTTGTATGCTTATACTTGATGATCATCCGGGATGACGTTGTCATTCAGGAACCACTGACTCAGGCCGATTGGGTGGATCCTTTTAGCTGCCTTTAGCTGCCGGCACGGCCTTAAAACAAACCCGTTCCACTACCGATCTAAGAGCAAGCGCAACCTCAGCTTCAACTACCTAATTTAGGTTCAAGTTACCAATATAAAAATCCCAAGCCAATTCAATCTTTTCACTATTTTTCACAAGCTTCTCTATTACTATCACGTACGGAGATATCCTTCTTCGTCGCATCTTAAACCGTGGCGTCAACTCTCCCTCGACTCGTCTCAGGCAGGCCACTATCCGCCCGCTACTACAGCTCAGCCAGGCGCACTTTTGAGGCTTGGCCAGCGGTACGATCGCCGCCTGCGCATCCATTCTACTCTAAGCTTAGGGTTAGATGTTACGGCAAAGGTCAAAGTGAGAAGAGCCCAAGCATGGAGGACGAGATCGAGGAGGCGGCGGCGCGGTTGGAGAGTCTGCCTCTTAGGGGCAAAGGCAGGGGAGGTCGCGACCGGCGCGGCGGAAGGGGTGGAGGCGGTCGCCCCCAGGACCGCGAGGTGCTGATCTCGAAGGCGTTGTCGTCGCTCCTGAGACATCAGGCCGTGAACGCGGGGATCCAGCTCGATGCCGAGGGGTTTGCGCCGCTGGATAGGGTGGTGAGTTCATTACCTTTCCCTCATTCCTTTTTGGTTATAGCTCGGTTTTTCGTATACTTCGGACGAAGTATACAAGTATAGAAGTCTACGTGATTAGGGCACGAAGCACATAGCATACACAGCGGGAGTGAGTAAGGGAAACGGTTAACTAACGAAGCTCCGTCGTCGCAAGATGCAATGGCCGCGCCTGCGCTCGCTCAACCCGACCTTCGACGAGATCCGGGCGGTCGTCGCCGACAACGCGAAGCAGCGGTACGCCATGAAGCCCAAGGACCCGGCCGTCGCAAACTTGAACGCGCAGCCCGAGGACGACCCGGCCGCGTGGCTCATCCGCGCCAACCAGGGCCACAGCATCGAGGCGCTCGCGGACGAGGGCCTGCACACGCCGATCACGCTCGAGGCCGGCAACGTCCCGCGCACCGTCGTCCACGGCACGTACTTCGCCTTCTGGCCGGCCATCGAGACGTCCGGCGGCCTGAAGAAGATGGGTCGTAGACACGTGCATTTCGGTACGGGGCTGCTGGACCAGGACCGGGATGCGGCGCAAGGTGAAGACGATGGGGTTGGGGACGGGGGTAAGGAGAAAGTGATTAGCGGGATGAGGAGCGATGCCGAGTTACTGGTTTTCGTGGATGTGGAGAAGAGTCTGAGGGATGGCGGAATCAAGTGGTGGATTAGCGCTAATGATGTCGTGTTGACGGATGGTGATGAGCAGGGCGTGGTGCCGTTGAGGTATTTCAAGGAGGTTAGGGGGAGGAAGCAGGGTGTTGGTGTGTTGTGGAAGGATGGCGAGAAGGTTGCTGATTTGCCGGAGGGGATCGTGGCGAAGGTGCCGATGGGGAAGGGGAGAGGGGGTGCGGGTGGTGGGAGAGGAGGCGGAAGAGGAGGCGGAAGAGGAGGCGGAAGAGGAGGCGGAAGAGGAGGCGGAAGGGGAGGTAGGGGAGGTAGGGGAGGACGGAGAGGTGGACGTGGGAGAGGACAGGAGAGTTGAAACTCCTATGGGCTATTCAGGGGTCACATTTTCGTCACATAGAGCTCTTATTCCTAAGAGGATTAGTGCTTAAATGGGGTTGACTTCTCATGTTAATACCAAGCAGTCTGAATACACAGAATAGGGGCAACCCATCAAAACAAATCCAACATGCCATGAGCTCGTCTCCTGCATTTGAACCGGATATTAAACAGGTTCACAAACAACAATCTGGATATCAAAACGCCTCCCATGCAATGTACTGCCAAACTATGACAGTTTAACCACCAGTCCTCTCAACCTAAGCCAGTCATCCTTACAAATCTTACATAGGATTCCTAGGCCAAAACGCCACCCGAGCTCGAGTTCAAGGTAACAAATGAAGCCTGGACAGTCGTGTAGAGAATGGCGCTTATCCTGGGGACAGGCGTGGGCGTTTTTGTAACCGGGATACTGACCAGGATAGTGACAGGAGAAACTACAGTCTCTGTTGTCGTCTGTGTCATTGGCGTATTTGTCTTCTCACGGGTTCTTGTAACGGTGACTGTCGAGGGCGGTAGGGTGGAGTTGCTGGTGCTGCTTATGGGGCTACTTGTTGGGCTTATAGTGACGTTCGCGAAAATGGTTGCTGTGACGGTCGTCACGCTACCTGGGAGAGGAGTCACATTCGGGTAGGGCGGGGAGTTGTCGATTATTTGCCCAATGAACTCGAAGCAGCCTATAGTATAGTTCTTGACGTAGATCGACCGACCTGTGATGACAAGTTAAAGACGTCCATATTCTAGTGTTTTTTTCGGGAGGGTAAATGAGTCATAAGATACGTAAACTTACCAAGGCGGAACATCGTCTGCTTCGGTGTGCGGTCATCGCCCAAACCTGGCAAGCAGCTACATTTGAGATACACGCCTTCGGTATCTCCGTCAATCGACAGAAAGGAGAGGCCACAGTTGTTACACGTCTTTGAAAAGGGGCCCGTGTAGAAATCTTGGGGTTCTGAAGCGAAGAGGTCTCCTTCCTCGTTATATAAGCATCTATAAAAGGGGAAGGCAAAAACAACCTCGTTAGTGTCCATAGATCTTCAGAATAAGAGGAATAATGCGATATAGCATGCACATATGGGGATGCTACTGGGGAGGTATGGAATGGGGCTGGCTCAAGATTAAGTCGTCCACTTACTGGTCGAGGTTCAAACTGCTCGTGCGGTACTGCGAGGTATCACTGCCATCGGTGCAAGTAGCGATAAGCTCGACGGTTAATGTTGAGTTGTGATTAGTTTCGCGAAGATAATACTGCGGGCATATGTTGGTATCAAATGCTGGACCCCAAGCTGGGTTGTATTCTGGATCTTTGTCAGGAACCTGGGCTGCGATGAGAAATGCGGTCTGAATGTAATAGAGAGCGAGGATGCAGCAGTAGTTGACAGCCTTCATGGTTCATTGTTTAGCATATTTGTCCAGATGCTATCTGTGATGTTAAGATTATGATGTGGTGATGGTAGCAACTGTGATTTTTTAGAAGTAAACAAAAAAGTAAAACAAAGAATATCTTAGAAACATGAAGACCATTGAATATCGTAGAGTGCACCTTATTAAATAATTTTCAACACCCCGCAAGATTGTGACTCATGTTTTTCCATTTACACATATCACCAACCCAGTCATGAACCGAAAGCCTTGATGCGCATGGCTTTATGAGTCGAAAGGAACTCATGGTAGGACAGAAGGTAAAGCTTCAGTTTCGCATAATTTTGGTGTTGCATCTGGATAAAATGTTTTTTCTTATTCCGCATCGTGACTTCGTCTTTTGCACGTCGGCGTAGGTTGTTTGATTTGCTGCTTGTTGCAATTACAGCCTATGATGATGGAATGGCAAGCAGGTAATCTTGGAAGTTTCTGAACTACTATTAAGACATATACATAGCAGTACACTCACTATACTCCATTAGTAAATTCGATGTTTAGAAGTGATATGAATTCATATAAGCTTTACCGAGTTGTCCATCTAGCTTCCGGTCGCCAAGTAGTTTAGATGACGAGATTCTTAAAATAGGGGTAGGGTACCGCGTCGGGACCGCAAGCTCCCTCGAAACAAACAAACCGCGGACCTGCCACATATGTAGAAATTGGGTACTAAATAAATCAAATATTCCAGTCTAAGAGCGATGTCAGATATTTTCCAAGTAATGATTGGCCAATCCCAAGTGCCATATTCCCATCCGGCTATTCATCTCTGCAAACTGGCGTCGACTGGAAAGCTAGACTAATTGATGGTCGAAAAATCCGCCACGACAGTCGAGCGGAGCTGGGCAGCTATCGTGGGCTTGGCAGTGGGCGTTACCATAATGCTAACCAAGACTGTAACGGGATGAGTCTCTGTCATTGTTGCCGTTACTGTCTGCTTATGGGCCTTTCCCTTGTGAGTTTTCGTAACTGTGACCTGGCTGGGCGACTCGCAAGAGCTTATGACCGTCGTGATTGCTGTGTTGGTAGCGGTACTGAAAAATGTTTCATTGGCAGTAGCTGTGGTTATACTGGCAACGGTACTGTTGGCAGTTGCCGTCGTGGTCAACGTCGTCGTGCCCGGAAGAGGAAGCATAGCCGGGTTAGCGCTAGGAGAGTAATTCATTGCTGCTCCAGGGAAATTCATGCAATTTAGAATACCGTCGTTAACACTAAGTCCCGACTCTAATTTCAAGAGAATGTTAGAAGGGATATCCCCCCCTAGGTTCTTCGGCTGGGGAGAATAGAATGTAGGCTTACCCATGTTGATGATTCCCGCTGCACTCCCTCCATCCTTTTTACAATTGCAACGCATATACACATCCCACTTCTTCTTGTCGTCGCCATAGGGTCCCTGGAGGACTAGGCCGCAACTATCGCACGTCTCGTAAAACCCCCCGGGGCGTGAAGATGATCCCGTATTGGCTGGCTCTAGAATCCCGTTGTGATTGGTGAAGCATCTATATGGAAGGAAATGAGGGTGTATACCATTAGCCACTACGAGATTTTCCCTTAGGATGGTAGTGTTTGAGATGGGAACTTACGGGTCAATGTTCAAGCTACTCGTGCGATATTCGTGTGAGGTGGTGTTGCCAGTGGAACAGATAGCGACGAACTCGAGCACAGGATCTTGCCTGTCATCCCACCCAGCCTGGCGAAGATACCAAGAAGGACAAATATCGTTGCTAAACGCAACCGACGTCGCGAGCGGCACGACCTGGAAGCAGGAGAGAATGACAATGTAATCGTAGATTGTGACCTTCATTGTATACCTTTTACCAGATAAAGTCTTGAAATTTGATCTTCTCCCTGGATAAATGGAATATTGGTTTCACTAAAAGTATATCAATAATTATGGCAATACCTAAAAATGTAAGGAGAATAAAGGAGTGTGTTGATATAAGTAGAATATATTCTGGCCGAAAAAGACCTTTAAGTAAAAAATCATCCTAACGGCCAATCAATAAGGTATTCATGATTCCAGCTCATCGAGTTCGATTAACTAGCTGGATATTAATTCGGAGACTTAATAGGGGGTTTGAACACGTAAGCTTTTGCTAGTTAGAGGTAGGTTAGCAATGTGAGCAAGACGGAATAAGGGTTACTGGCTTCGCGGAGAGTCACGACGAACAGAAAGCACCCTCCTCTCTCCTATTCCTCGTCAGAGCGTGACTTTGGATTGGTTAAACCACCAGAAGTCCCATCCTCTATATAGCTCGTCAAAGATGGGATGAAGAAAATGAAGAAGAAAGTAGTCATACTTAGGCGTTTTTCTTTAAAGTCGCGGCATCTACATCCAGTGGTTCTTCGCCCATTGAGTTACCACTAGACATCGTATCCTGGATTTGAATCTATTCCCATTCATGCTCGTAGCCTATTCATTCAAATCATGACCACGTAACACACCAAGTGCAGCACGAGCCGCACTCCAAGTCATCATAGCAGCACCTCTTGTCTTGCATCTGACTATGCTGGAAGTGGTACCTCTTCCTTCTTCGATTCTATTCCTGCTAGGAAACGCTTATCTGCTTCATCATGCTCCGCAGCCCACTTACGTAGATACACCAGCACTTCCTCTGCAATCCGCTCCTTGGCCGCTTTCTTGCCCATGACCTTTTCCACGCGGCCGGTGCCCACAGGCAATTTCGTAGCTAGTATACCTAGGTCCACGTACCCGTTATAGAAGCCGGGAATATCAGAACTTTCCGTGATTTTATACTGAGGGCGACCAGGAAGGCCGAGACGGGTACAAAGCTGATCGACCTCGACCACGGCCGATATCTCATCGCTGTTGAAGGCAGAAGCGGGAAGCGGTCGAGCTCCATTTGGCTCGGATTTGACAGTGACACCTGCGGGAACTTCAGGCGAGGATGGTAAGAGTTTTGGTTTCTTCTTTGCCGGCGAAGACTGTGGCGTAACCTGTTGCTTCGGAGGTTGAGGGGCTTGGGGTGCTTGAGGGGATTTCACAGCATCGGTTCCGGGTCGATAGTATCCGTTTGCTTTAAGCCACTCAACCGCGCACTTGGCTGCGTACTTCTTGGCGTCTTTCTTACGGCCGAAATAAGGCTGGTTTCCATTTACTAAACCACCGTTTGGACCGGGAAATGGTTCCGGATTCTCGTCGATCTTCACTCGGCAGTACCATTTTAACTCGCCGCCTATAGTTGGGCCTTGTTCTTCCATGAACACGGCCCCGGGACTGCCTGAAGGTACCCGTTGGCGAGCAGCTCGGTATTCTGAAGTGATATTAGAAATACAAGTTTCATGATAAAATTACACTTAGTGAGTAGTAGTTACCTAGTAGCTCACCAATCCAGTTGGGGTCCCCTAACTCTGGCTCGGGCGTAGGCGGCGTCTCTGATGGTAAGGCGAGCTCAAGCTTCTCTAGCAGTTTTCGTTGGGCGTCTGTCAACGGGGCAGGCTCTGAGTGAGTGGCCTCATATTCTTGCTGCCGATTGATCCAATTCTGGATGGTCTGATAGGTGTTGGACGATACCATAGCTACACTACTTAACATAGACGAGAATTAACGAAAAGGCAAATATTACGTATCGAGTGTTGCTATGATAGGGGTCAAATTGTATTAAAGGGGAATATGTAATACAGGGAGACGTCGAGTTACTGGATGACCTGTTCGAATGGTTAGGTGGGGTTGTGGTTACCTACCTAAGCTGCCTAGGTAAGTTCGTAGCTGGAACCTTCTTGCATCTGAGCTGTTGTACGACATTGTGAGATCTCGTCATATGTCATGTCTTGCTACTCGGGGGTCCACAATCAGAAATCCGATGCATGGATTGTTACAAGTGTCAACCTTTCATGTCTTTACGAATTCATCTCTCCTATCATATTTCTTTGTCTACCTAGGGTGAATAATTTCTCAAGTTCCTGGGCACATATGTATGTCTATGTACAGTAGCAGATACGTATGTACATACTACTTACCGATAAGATTAAGCTCAATCTTATCTAATCGAGGCGGCTTCCAGTTCAAACGCGCTTGAAAGTTCGAGTTCTAATGTGGCTGCTTTAATCATAGTGGACCTTCCGAGCCACTTTCGACCAAGAAAACGACTTGACGAATTGAACCCGAACAACTCTCCCACCCAAGATATTTTAAGAAGAGATCTGGGAATTGTAAATATGAGCAAACCAGGCTTTTCATTTGGCCTTAGTCTCGCCAAGAAGCCTGGCGCTTCAAAACCGGCTCCCCCAAAACGGAAGCCAATGTTCGGTGGCGATGACGATTCAGACAACGATGCGAATGCACGGTCGACCGATGGACCTCAAGCGACCACGATATCCGAAATAGACGATTTTACGACAGAATCTCCAAATCCCCAGCCAAGCAAAAAACCACAGCTAAAGCCGAACAATGGCCCGCCGTCGCAACCCCCGAACGGCAAAGTCAAAAAATCACAAATATCAATGTTCGGTGATTTATCGAGCTCGCTAGAATCGCGCAAACACCAAGAAGCTGCGGAAGAATTAGACCCTTCGATATATGACTACGATGCGGTCTACGAATCACTGAAACCGGAGAAAAAGGCTACGCAAGAAGATGTCGAGAGGAAACCGAAGTACATGAAGAACCTGATCGCGTCCGCCGCTATACGGAAACGCGACGCGCTAATCGCCGAAGAGAAAAAGATTGCGCGGGAACGGGCAGAGGAAGGCGAGGAATACGCCGACAAGGAGAAGTTCGTCACGGAAGCATACAAGAAGCAGCAAGAAGAGAATCGACGGATCGAAGAAGAGGAACGTAAGCGCGAGGAAGAAGAAGCCAAGAAAAATAAAGGAGGTGGCATGACTGCTTTCTACAAGGACCTACTAGAGAGGGGTGAGCAACGGCATGCAGAGGTTGTCAAGGCGGCAGAGGAACGCGCAAAGACGGGCCCCAAGGACGACGAAATACAGGAAGAGAAAGTGAAGACAGACGCGGACGTAGCGAGAGAGATCAATGAGAAGGGCGGTTCCATCGCTATCAATGAGGAGGGCCAAGTAGTGGACAAGCGCCTGCTGCTTAAAGGTGGTCTTAACCTGGGAGCGACTCCAAAACAAGAACCTCGAAAAGAGACCAGCAAAGGGCAAGATCGCAGAGACGACCGAGGTCCGTCGCGCGGCTTTGTTGGTGCCGGTGGGAAGCAAGCTATGCGGGAAAGGCAAACTCGGATGCTCGAGGCGCAGCTGGAGCAATCTCTCAAGAGATCTATGGAGGAAGAGGAAGCGGAGAAGCAAAAGGTCGAACGCGCATCGAAGAGCCGCAAAACCGAGTCCGACGTTTCGAGCGCCCGGGAGAGATACCTTGCACGTAAGAGAGAAGCGGAAGAAGCCAAGAAAAAGGCTGCTGCGGGGAAACCATGAGCAGAATTCTATACCCATCCCAACCTGTATAAAGACAGGATATCCATCGAAAAGGCTATGCCTTCGTATAATGTACACTTTATGTTCCCGTTCCCGTTGTTTCTATCACATCGTAAGATTGCCCCATTTTCGTTACACGGTCGGGGCATTTATGCGTTGGTTAGGGGGTCTAATTACCACGATTAGGGACGACCGGATACAGGCATGGTATACTTCGAAACGGGAGAATAGCTCACCTCGATACTTGCTCTCGTTTTACGCGGCCGATGTATGAGATGCTGACCTGGTTCCACGCGAGCATATATTTCCCTATGCATTGAGTCGCACAGGTCTGCTCGCTGCTCGACAAGGCGGAGCCTGGTTTGGGTACGCATCTTTCGAAGCAGTGGTCGTTAACTTTCTGCATGGCAAATTATGGTTAGGTCTCTCCCGTTGCAATTGTTGCCGGAGGGGTCCGGAGGTGCGATGCGTACTTCTATCAGCATCTTCGCATTGTCCAAAGCATGCTGCTCCTCGATCTGTCTCTTGACCTCTGCCAAGAATGCGCTGGATTCCATGGCGACGACTATTTTTGCCTTTCGTTTTTTCCTCAGGTAAAGATGGTTGTTCGTAGTGGCAGGGCTAGTAAAAGTCTCTAATTATACTCTGAGCTTTCTTGACAAGACGAAGCTATCGAAACTGGTCCTAAAATCTTGGTACCTTTATCGATAAATGTGGCTAGTGAATGAAGGATGTCATTTAGGTGTGGCTGCTCCTACACATAGATATGTCTGCTATGACGTAGGCGTGGCTTCGTTTTAACTAACAAATCATATGTACTGTATTTGACATCAAGGGACTGTGATATACATCATTAGTTGACTGCATCGTGCCTTAATGGCAATAGATTTATTCCTAAGGTAGAGGTGAAAAGTTCGTGGAGCTTGATACTCATAGGTTTAAGTGACTGGGTTTAGTACTATTCCCATCACGCCTCCTCCCCATGGATCTCGCGGTTATGTATTATGATTTTTTCCCGATACAACAAGACGAAGCAATCGTGTTAGTCTATACTTTATAGACCTATGTTATAGTTACTAAATATATATACATTTATTTATTTATATTGGTATTGAGATCTTGGTACCGAGATCCAGCTACTGCCTCGTACGGAGGAGGTGCTCTAAAAGGTCCTGACACACCATCCTCGCTAATCTGGTCGAGTTCCACGATGCAATTATCCTTCTTCCCATCTCTATAAAGGTTCCGTAGCCGAAATAAATCCGCACATATAGTTAGGGCGATGAAGGCGCTGTGGATCATGAAATTAGCCGGGCGCCCTATACATATTATGCCTGACTAAGGGGAATGGATAGGCTGCGTACTCACCTGGCAATGGAAGCTGTAGCGCAAATACTATTACGACGAGCGAAAGCAGATTTCACGGCAAGGGCGATGTCGGCGGCAAGGACCAGCAAGAGGATGACGGATCCGATTAAGACCGTATTCCTGAATAGACTAATTGATCTCATAAGACGGCGTTGCCTGTCTGGACCATATATTTTCCACAGCGCAAAGAATAAGACGACGTTGTAAACCGTCGTAACGGCGCCCTGGAGGCTAGTTAGATCTGGTGTAAGGATTCGAAGAATTGTCTGAGTGCTCACTACTGCTCCGGACACCCATGGTATGGTTGTGCGGTGGTCGACATCATCCCAGAACTCGTCGTCGGATGGAATATAGCCATTGTAGTTATTCGGTTGAGTGAAGACAAAACATATAACGCCGACAACGCACAAAGCGAGTTGACCTAAGATGGCGAGTGTGTGGGTTATCGCCCACCAGTTCACCGCGTTTCTAGCTGGGGATACCATTTGAAGTTGCTGTCACGATATACCTACCCCTATGCTCACAGGTTGTCCAACCTTTAAGTAATACATCTTCAATAGTGATAGAGGCACTGAGCACATCAGTGGCCGCTAGTAAAATGGGCTAGTTGTCGTAGGATGACGCGAGTGGATCTATACTTAGTGGTGTAAGCGCATCCTTTCGAAGGCTCAGTAGGCGTATTTTCATCTACCCATCACGGTTAATGTTTGAATTTTCGTCCGTCTTGGTCAAGCGCATTTCGGTACTGCCGAAAATAAACGGCGATTGTTTCGATCATCTGAATTTATATCCTGCCACGATGAATTGAGACCGGGGATTCTGTGTAATCGTGGGCTAAATACACCGATGGCGAATTGAGTTAGATCATAAATACCTACCAAGGGAAATCGCAGAGACCCTGTACTGTTGATCCAGACGAAATGAAATACATATGTAAGGTGGGACGAGAGACAATATGGGGGATTTCTTCAAACATGGCAACGATTTCTAGATAAAGTCTAGAAAATCGATCGTTTTACAATAATCCATGAAGATGACTCTTCATTTAGCAACTCGTCGGTTATTGCGGTTTCAAGGTTTCCAACGGTGATTCCTTCCAAAGTCATGGCTATTCTCGATCCTTGAATTTTGTCTGTCTGTCTGCCTTGTTCGATTGGCGTCGAGGAAAGAATGTGGCTCATATTCTATTTATTGGATTGGTGATAGTGGCTTAGATGGAGCTGGAGGCTATCTAAAGAGTTTAAGGTTAAGCTTGGGGAGGGATAAAAGATGGAATTATGCGATGCACAGTGGAGTTGCGCTGAACTAATAGTAGAATATGGTGATTGGTTAACTGGGTGGATACAATGGAACCAGGGCGGTGTCAGTTGCTGGATCAACGGAAAACAGGGGTCCCTCTCAAAAACAACACAAACTCAACGATCCTCAAACTTTAAATGCTTTCCCAGGTTTAGTATCCTTCCACAACCTTTCCCCTAGTCAACCTTCCAACTAAAACCGCAATACACTCTTACATCCCAATCCACGTAGCTCCCTGTCTCGAACCAGTCAAGCGGTTTACCATTTTTATCAAAATGGCGGCTCGTACTCTAGAGGCTTGCTTTGAGCGCATGTCCGTTAATGATGAGAATGAGTATCAGAATCAGGAGAAGAAATCAAAGGTCAGCTAAACCATTGCGAACCCGCACAATTTTAGTGGTTTGGAATTCTTATACGCAGATAGGCCGTTGTTACAACAACACAGTTAACACAAAGCTCGAGTCGCCCGAATCTATACAAAGTCGCCCTGCAATCGCAGAGTGCGAACACTGTCACCACTACAGTCACTCTCCCATCCCAGGCCGCACAACGCAAAGGCGCCCAGCCTACCTCGCCTTCGAGGAAACCGCTTCCGACTGCAAGTGCAGCGTCGAGAGCATCAGATGAAAAAGCACTGATCGAGCGAAAGTCGGCGAGTTTAATTGACCAAGTGCTCTCACCGAAACAATTCCACCTAGGCATGTTCGAGATTGGGCGGCCTCTGGGAAAGGGTAAATTTGGAAGAGTCTACCTCGCACGAGAACGCACGAGTGGCTTTATTTGCGCCCTCAAGGTTCTGCATAAGAGCGAGTTGCAGCATGGCCGGGTAGAGAAGCAAGTACGCCGAGAGATCGAGATCCAGAGCAATCTGAGACATCCCAACATTCTGCAGCTGTTCGGTCATTTCCACGATAGCAAGCGGGTCTTTCTGATTCTGGAATTCGCCGGAAAGGGTGAGCTGTACAAGCATCTGAGAAAGGAGAATCGGTTTCCCGAATGGAAAGCCTCTCAGTATATCGCCCAGATGGCTAGTGCCTTACGATATCTACACCGCAAGCACGTCATCCACAGGGACATCAAACCCGAGAACATCCTCATGGGGATTCACGGTGAAATCAAAATATCCGATTTTGGCTGGAGTGTTCATGCACCGAACAGCAGGCGGCAGACAATGTGTGGTACTCTCGACTACCTCCCACCAGAGATGCTGAGGCCAGGTAGCTCGGACAACTTCTACAATGAGAAGGTGGATCTGTGGAGTCTGGGAGTGTTAACATACGAATTTCTGGTGGGTGAGGCACCGTTCGAGGATACGCCCGTCATGACGCAAAGGAGAATTGCGAAGGCCGACATGTCCATTCCTTCGTTCGTCAGTCCCGAAGCGAGGGATCTGATCAAGAGAGTGAGTTTATTTCCCCCTTACTCTAAAACCTCCACAATAATATCCATATTAACATGAGTATAGTTACTGGTTCTCGACCCTGAGAAGAGAATCCCGTTAGAGCAAGTCGCGACTCATCCTTGGATTACGAAGCACTGCATCAAGGGGGAGCGGGCCTCAAATAGGGAGAGATCGCACTAATGATCATCAACGAATTAAGGAATAGTCTTCACTTGTAAACATTAGCGACTAGGCGTTTGGACAAGGGCAATCTGGCTGGGAATCTGCATAATGGGAAAGGAGTCGGAACCTATTGCACGTGTCATTCTCATTCTAATAAAAAAACACGATTCATCATTACTCATCGCTTCGTATTTTACCCTTGCCTCAACTCCTAGTCCTAGTATGGGGATGAATGTTGTTACAGGTAGTAATTACAGACTTCCTTTCAGAAGTGTTTTGTCAATGCTTATCTGTAGACCTCGTCAAATGGTCGGGTATCTGCGAAACATGAATCCCACACCTGATTCACCACCTTAACTGCTTGCACATCGTCTTTACACCTCGGCCGCGCTAAGACGGACTGTACCGCTCTTTTCCGTACGCAATTTTGGAATTGCTGTGTCAGTGTCCAATTCCCTCTCGTCCACGCCTCCCTCGTCCACCTACACTCGCCACTGAGCATCGCCGCTCGGATCTGCCGACACCGCGTTAGAGTTCCCGTCTCCAATCATGTATATCTCATATCATAGGCGGAGAAGTAAACGTTGGGTCTAGTAGGAAAGTAGATTGCAGATAATTACGCACCTCCGTGCAAGCCGCATGCTTCAAATCCTTATCCCCCATCCAGTCGACCTTCCACCGCAGATGGTCCCACGCGTGCACCATCTCATGTGCTAAGGTATCCTCCAGGTGGTGGCGGTTCCGCACCTCGTTCGCGCAGATCAGGATGCCGTGGTCGGGGTGGAAGCCGCCGCCGACGCGGTGCACCTCGCCGTCCTCGGTGAGCCGGGTCGGGCAGCGGCGGCACAGGACGTTGCTCGCGTCGAGCTCGCCGTTGAGCGCGCGCGCCTTCTCGCGCAGGAACCGCACCGTCGGCGAGTGCGCGAACGCCCAGTCCCGGTACTCCTCGCACCGCGCGCAGTCCCGCGCCTCGTGCTCCCGGTACCGCGACTCCCGGTAGTGGAACATGCCTTCTTTGGTCATGGACCCCGTCAGGATCTTGAAGTAGTTTATCCACCACGCCGTCTTCGGGTCGAAGCCCGTTCGCGCCGGGTCGTTGGTCAGGATGCGGGGCACGTTGTCGGATTGCGAGGAGGAGGGGGAGCTGGTTGAGGGGGGCTGCGAGGGAGTAGATGCCGTAGGGGCGGCGGGTTCTGGGGATTGCGACGACATCGTGGTTTGCGTTGTCGAAGATTAGGAACTTTTTCTGAGCTAGCTAGCTGGTTGAACCTTGTTAGAATAGACCGGGTTGGTTGCGATTGCCCAGTTCTCCCCAGGTGCCAGCTAAAAGTTGCGGGCCGTTGCGGAGCCCAGAATTCAGGCTTTTTCTAAAAATTCCGATTTCGGCAGGGGGTTACACCGTAGTGACGGCAGCCCAATTAGAGCTCAAAGAGCTTTCGATTATTCCAGTAGCAAGCAGTAGCAGCAACCCGCCAGTTCATTGCCTTTTTAAGAGGCCTGAGAGGCGTGTTACGGTAAAATATACTGTATTTAGCTCCACATCAATTCAATTCCCCTGCAGCAACAACGCACTCACGCCCTACCGCCATGGCAGAGCCAGGGGGGCATACGCCTTGTAAGTGATCAATCCACCCATTACGTATTCATGGTAATGTAAACTGTCGATTTTTTGAACGGTCTGGCTTGTAAAAAGATTTTTATTTAGAATTGTCGTTACTGATGTTGTCAAAAACGCAGCAGATATGAAGGGTCCTAAGCCACTTACAGTTGTCATCAAATTAGGTGAGTCGAACTTCAAATCTATGTAACATTGTACAAGAAAATGTTTAGACGGTGAGCTGACTTACACATAGGAACTAGTTCCATTGTTGATGAGAAGACTCATGAGCCTCTCTTGTCGATTTTAACTCTCATTGTAGAGACGGCTGTTAAGTTACGAAAGGATGGACATAAGGTCGTAATTGTCTCGTCCGGCGCCATTGGCGTCGGTCTTCGACGAATGGACGTCGACAAAAGACCAAAACATTTGTCCAAATTACAGGCACTCGCTGCCATTGGTCAATGCCGCTTGATGAGTTTATGGGATAGTCTCTTTGGGCATCTCCGTCAACCCATCGCTCAGGTTCTCCTCACAAGAAATGACATTGCGGACGTGAGTTAACTTTCTCTCTATTCAACGTTGCAGAATATTTACTAACAAAATGTCATAGCGGACAAGGTATCTGAATGCTCAGAACACTATGATGGAGCTCCTGGAGATGGGTGTGATACCAATTGTTAACGAGAACGACACTTTAGCTGTGGCTGAGATTAAATTCGGAGATAACGATACACTCTCAGCCATCACAGCAGCTATGGTACACGCCCATTTTCTATTTTTAATGACAGATGTCGATTGCTTGTATGACAAGAATCCACGGACACATCCTGATGCTCGAGCCATAGAGGAGGTCGAGGATATTAGTGCAATCCGCGCGGATGGTAAGGGGCCCCCTGAAATATTTCAAGAATCCGAAATCTAATGCAACCCCAGTTTCTAGCGCTGGATCTTCCCTGGGTACGGGTGGCATGAGTACAAAGATTGTTGCCGCTAGGCTCGCAACATCTGCTGGTGTCACCACAGTCATTACCCGATCATCTTCACCTGGAAATATCGTAAAGATCGTTCGGTACCTCCAAGCTCGCAAAAAGCGCACTCCATCACATCACTCACCGGTAGCTAATGATGAAGAACACCTGTCTCGGTCAACGGCGTCGTTGAACCTTGACGCGCTAGAGAAGCCACCTCTGCATACACGATTTCTCCCCCTTTCTCATCCCATCAGGGACCGATACTTCTGGATTCTCCACGGCTTAGCCCCGCACGGTACGGTCTATATCGATGCTGGCGCGCACCAGGCCCTTGCGGACAAAGCTGGACTGTTACCAGTAGGCGTGCTAGACGTGGAAGGCAATTTTGCCCAGCAAGAAGCCGTCCGGCTTGTTGTAGTGAAAAGACTGTCAGAGCCCGGACCGAATGGCAAACTATGGGAAGGCCCAGGGGATGAAATTGGAAGAGCGTTAGTTAACTACGCTGCTCCTGAGATCATCCGGATAAAAGGACATCGAAGTGCACAAATCGGGTCACTCCTAGGCTACGCCGATAGCGAATACGTGGCTGATCGGGAGAGTATCAGTCTTCTTCACAGGGAGAGCCGACCTGTCACACCTGTTCTCGAGAAATTGGGCGAGAACGGAGGAGTGGCTGCTTATGAAAATGACATCAGCTTATAGACATCGCATCACGCAAAATGATTGGCGTCGGAGTTATAGGAACCGCAAAACCTGATCTTGCTAGACATTCAGCATCTGGATAAGGAAAAATTCACCAATTGGAACAGGAGTAATGTAGAAATTGGACAAAGTCATAGATTACTTTAGATAACCTCGAACGCCCCTGAAATGCACACAATTCAAGCCGAATCCCAAACTCCGGGCCTTTTTAGTGCTAACAAGCCACCGATCATCCGTTTTAACTTTTGGTATCTATACACCCCAATACTTCATCTCGTCATTTGAAACTAAGTAAAGCTCTTTTCTATCAGCTGGCAAATAACGTATCTTCGTCTCTAAGATACTCCCCGCAATCTGCCTGTCGAAAACACACGATGCCCGTCGGATCTAATCTCCTCGCCTCGGCTGTGCTGCGGGCCGTGACGCCAAAGCCGAGAGGCGTGTCGGACATACTGTATACCACGATGCCCTGGTGACTGGGACAATCATCGGACCAGCGGCCGACGTGGGCCTTGACGACGTTGCCGCCGTAGAGGAAGGGCATCTCGCCGTTAGGCTTGATCCATAGCTTGTATCGCGCGTGCTCGGCTAGAATGGGAAGGGCCGTAATGTGTAAGCGGAATTTGCCTGATTTGGTGAACTTGCCTGTTTCGTCGCAATTCTTGTTAGCTATAGCTCGTGTTTATAGGTGGGATGAGGAGGCGGGCGACCAACCTAGACAGATGCCTAGCGATGCGAGGTTATCTCTCGATATCGATGTTGCTAGGTTTGCGACGGAAAGCAGGACGTAGTATACTCTGTCCCGATTCAGACGGAAGACATATCGATCGGCGTCGGGCGAGTCGTCGAGCGGCGCAATCAGGTTCTTTAGCGAGGTTCCGGTATAATTCGCCAACTTTTCGAAGAGAACCTTCGTCTCCGGTTCTGTGAGAGGCCGCATAATGACTATATTTCGTCTTTCTTCGGTTCAGATGTGAATTTGCGACGCAGATAAATATGGTGGGGGCTTGAGATGTAGGAAAAAATTCTGCCACTTGGAAAATTTGGCGGTGAGAAAGGTACCGAGTACAGCGGAATCACTCCGATTGGTTTAAACATTGCATAGATGGGGCTACAGTACAGGGACCCCTGCAATTTTCAGAAATTTTGAATTTCTTGGTCAGCTGTAAATGAGTTTACTGCCTTTTATCCTCTTATAGTCAATAATTATACTCAACAATGGCTTCAAGACCTACGAAGAAGAGGAAACTCACCCCTCCTCAGTCGGATGATGAGGCTCATTCTCGAAAATCTAGCTCAAGGATACAAAAGTCTTTCTTGACGAATGCGGCGAATTGGGACTTAGAACAGGACTATGAGACGAGAGCGAGGAAGGGAAAGAAGAATGAGAAAGAGAGTACCCGGCTCCCTCTCAAACTTCAGGATGGGCGTGTACAACATGTCTCCGCTCCAGCTGTTGATTTTGGTTCTCTCGAAAGTGACGAAGATTGGTTAGAAGGTGGCGATGACGAGTCTGAGGGTGAGGAAGCAAGGGTGAGGCAGCCCGAGAAGCCTGATATACCCGAACATCAACAGATCCGGGAAGCCAAAGAAGAGCTCGCGAAAATAGCACTGTTGCTCAACGAGACTCCTGAAGAGAATGGAGGTGCCTTCAAGGCCCTGGCCAAGATTGGACAGTCCAGGATCCCGGCTATACAAAAGCTTACTCTGGCCACCCAGTTAGCCGTTTACAAGGACGTTATCCCTGGATATCGAATAAGGCCCGTAGCGGAAGATGCGCCGGGGGAGAAATTATCGAAAGATGTGAGGAGGGTGCGGACCTTTGAGAATTCTCTCATCTCAGGTTACCAGGCGTATGTAAAGGATCTCACTAGGCACGCCAAGGCTGGACGCCACCATGCAAACGAAGGCAAGGGTCAGAGCGTCGCGAGCGTTGCCATCATGTGTGCTTGCACACTATTGACCTCCGTGCCTCATTTCAATTTCCGGGGCGACCTGATCAAGATTCTGGTGGGAAAACTGTCTAATAGACATGTCGATGACGATTTCAATAAGTGTCTCCAAACGCTCGAAACTCTTTTCAAAGAGGATGAAGATGGCTCTCCGGCCATGGAAGCTGTCTCGCTCCTTTCCAAGATGATGAAGGCTAAAGAGTATGATGTACATGAGAGCGTAGTCAACCTCTTCCTACATCTACGTCTGCTATCAGAGTTCTCTCACAAAGCATCTAAGGATTCTATAGACCGTTCGGACAGCGCCGTCGGCCCCAATGGCAAGAAGCCTAAATCAAAAAGGGAGTTCCGAACGAAGCGAGAACGAAAACAAATAAAGGAGCAGAAGTCGCTGCAAAAGGATATGGCACAAGCCGACGCAATAGTGAGCTACGAGGAAAGGGAAAGAAAAGAAGGCGAGACCTTGAAACTCGTGTTCGGCACGTATTTCCGTATCCTCAAGCTTCGCGTGCCGCACCTCATGGGCGCCGTCCTCGAGGGTCTGTCTAAGTACGCGCACCTGATCAACCAGGACTTCTTCGGCGACCTCCTCGAGGCGCTTAAGGATCTCATCCGACATAGCGAAGCGTCCGAGGACGACGACGTAGATGGACAAGAAGACGATGACACGGACGAGACGGCATCGGCCCGCAACCCTTCGCGCGAAGCTCTCCTCTGCACCACAACCGCCTTCGCGCTCCTCGCGGGCCAGGACGCGCACAACGCCCGCGCGGACCTGCACCTCGACCTATCCTTCTTCACCGCACACCTCTACCAAACCCTCTTCCCTTTGTGCCTAAACCCCGACCTCGAGCTCGGCGCGCGCTCGTTACACCTGCCCGACCCGGACCAGCGCCCCTCCCCGCACACCACACCCACGACGACCAAGAACAAAGTGAACCTGCAAACCACAACCGTGCTCCTCATCCGCTGCCTAACCGCCATCCTCCTCCCCTCCTGGAACATCCGCTCCGTGCCTCCCTTACGCCTCGCCGCGTTCGCGAAGCAGCTGAGCACAGCGTCGCTGCACGTGCCGGAGAAATCGGCGCAGGCGATCCTGGCCCTGCTCTCGGACGTCGCGGCCACGCACGGCCGCAAGATCGCCGCGCTGTGGAACACCGAGGAGCGCAAGGGCGACGGCACGTATAACCCGCTCAGCGAGAGCGTCGAGGCGAGCAACCCGTTCGCGGCCACGGTCTGGGAAGGCGAGATCTTGAGACGCCATTATTGTCCTAAGGTTAGGGAGGGCGTTAAGCTTGTGGAGAGGAGCTTGGGGAGGGCGACGGAGAGATGAGGGGGTGGGGGGGAAAGAATGGGATTTGGGTTTGTAAGAAGGGGCCGGTGGTGGAAAAGGGGGGCCAACTGGGTTGGGGGGTATATCGTAAGGGGGGAGCAAAGCTAGGGTGGAATGGTCTATGATACCGCAGTAGAGTATCAATATACATATATGAAGACCATCTTATGGTTTGTGTTTTCATTGCTCAATATCTTGAGGGCTTGCCCGTACTTGCCTCGCCCGAGTTTATCGTCGGAATGAACAAGTACTTGCTTATAAGTTAACAAAGAGTAGCCGTTTACTTTATTTCCACAAATTCCGTCAAGGTCACTTCATAAGACAAGGCCATAGTGGGAAAGGAAATAGTATTATACCCCTATTGACTAAGGGTTATGCAACGTGACTACCTATTGACAAGCACACATTCCGTACGTGCTCCTGATTTCCTCCACCCACGTTTTTTGCTATGTAAAGTGATCCATCGTACTCCATCACCGAGCCCCAGTACTTAACTTGACAGGTCAGGGGCCCGCGTGGAAGAAGTGACGAGGACGAGAAAAGAAAAGAAGTGAAAGAAAGAGAAGGAAATTTGCCTCGAGTATACTCCGTCAATGTTGATGTTTTCCCGTTCTGTCCTGAGAAGAGCGGTATACAAATCAACATTGTGGATATAACCAGGTACCCAGAGAGCCTGAAGCTCCTAGGAAACCAGGAGAAGATGTGAATCAAGGGTATCGAAGATCGGAAAACTTAAGGAAATCGGGCAAGTTGTCGACGAGACGTCTCAAATGCAGTCTCCGTGCTTCTCATAGCACCAACCAACTCCACGAAAATATAAGTATGTTGTTTTTTTCTGGTTTTCTTTTTTCTTTGGTAGGTAAAGTTCCTAATAGATGAAAACTTATTAGTAATAGTTCGTCGACAGCATGATGTTGGAATAGGTGTTTCTCATACCTCGGCAAGCAATCCTAATAGGGAAGAATCGCATCTCAATGTGTCCGTCAATGCCCAAGCATATGACCAGTAATCTCAGTCCCCTTTTCCGTAGACGCATAGGAGTACGTGAGCCTAATAGTTTAGGTACACAAGTTGGGATGAGATATTATTGCGATAGAACATCAGTCCTTGCTGCCCAGAATATCGTTCGGCGATGACATTGACCCTAGGAGCCCCAGCGAGAAGAGCGAAGTCCGAGTCCCTGTACCATTCCACTGGCCACAGTGCGGCCAGGGGAGGCCAGTCCACGTTGCTGCGATTCGCGTCGTACCTCACTGCTTTCCTCTTGTGACGAGTCGTTGTCAATGTCCATGTAGGAGCTTCCGGGGCGGTTGACATTCTCAGTATTCCATCGTGAGGCACTGAGGCCTCCGTATCGGGGCGGTGTGACGGGTTTCTCCATCTCATCCGTACCATTCATGGCTACATCGGCTTTCTGAGCTTCCAGAGATCCGTTCTTACCAGTGAACTGCATGACCGGCTGGTTGATTTCTTCTTCCTTTTCGTCAAGGAGCGATAGGCGAACAGGAGCAGGAGCCGGAGCCGGAGCCGGAGCCGAGACAGTCGGCTGATGTTGCTGCGGGGGTAGATTCTCTTGTCGCTGAGTGGACTGGCTAGGAAGCGGACGATTGAAATCTAGTAGATCGCTCGTGCGAGGCTCCGGCTGAGCAAAAGGTGGACGTTGAGGTTGAGGAGGTGCATACGAATCGTGGCTTGCTGGAAAATGTCCACGCTGTTGAGAATGTCCGTACTGCTGAGACTGCTCATAGTGCTGAGGATTGACGCGCTGAGGCTGGCCATGCTGCTGAGGGTTGACGTGCTGTTGAGGATAGCCATGTTGGCCGATAGGCTCTTGTCCAGCGCCGTTTCTGTTACCTTGTCGCGATCCAGTCCCGTTGTTCGTGCTTCCCATGTTTGTAGTATGCGCTCTACCGCGTGTTCCGCCCTTACGTCGTGGTGATCTTGTCCTTTGGAAAGAGGCTTGGAGTGCCTTGGCATCCTCAACGCTTCCCTCTGGGTACATTTTGATAGCTTGTCCGTACCTAAAATTTAAAGGGAACTTAGAGGAGACCGCAACACTCAAGGCCTGATACAGTCAGAGATTCTATTATAGGCGGGTAGGAGATGAGAGATGAGGGGACTAGGTGGAAGGATGGAGATGTGAAGAAGGGGACGAGGGATGGAAGGAAGTAAGAAATGAAAAAAAAAGTAGAGTCTCAGAGTTCTGGTAGTATACCTAAGCATAGCTCGCGAAACAATACGGGACCTAGGGGGAAACCGCTACGGCAACACACGATATTGCGTTTGATGCTGCATATCCACCCAGATAGACAGGAAACTCCAGCCTGAAAGTAAGGTTAAGGATCCAGTAGGGAAGTCGTTAGTATAGATAACCGCTCGAGAGATAGTCGGCCAGTGAGTAGCCGATGTGGAAGGAGGGACGTAGGCATAACAGTATAGTGGGACTAAGTATTTTAATACATACATCATGAGTACCCGACTCATTAGCCTCGTCTAATCAGTGTTGATATTCCAGTCAAGATATGTCTTGGAGACGAAATCTCACTGCGAGGACTTCCAGTGATAAAGTGTGGATGGCGTATAACGATGTCTACTAATGCAAGCACCCACCCAGTTGCAAACGGAACTGTCCAGCGAAAGAACAGGACGTTTCATGATAAAAGATGTAAGACAATGACCCAACAGTTGTGTAAAATACAGCTTAAAAAGAAGACACTCAGCATCCGTAGTCAGGCTTATGAATTCAATAGATAGCTTGAAGAAATATGAGACTAAGAGTGAGATACTACTTGCCTAGGTGCCTGGAAAGCCAACGACAGAAGTATGATGTATCAAACAGGATAGAAAGGACTTCTGATCAACATAGATTATCCATCTGGATGGGAAACCTGAAATAGGATACAATTAAGGCTTGGGCTGCTTATTGTTATTCTGCTTTTTGCTACCTATGAATGTCTCGATCGTGTTAATGTTCGTCCTCTGATATTCTGCTTGCCTTGCTTCTTGCAACCACTGTAATTCAACGGGCGGAACACGCTGTCGAGCAAGCTCGACTAATGCCTTGGAATTCGGGGCTCCTTCATAGAGCCCAATGCAGGAGACGCGAGGTATGCAGAGAGACTCAGATAAGCGATCTTCGCAAGGCTTTGATAACCCTACTAGCCTAATGGGCGCTTGGTCAGGATGCGACTTTGACGCAACAGCTACCATCTGAGGAAAATGCCCATTGAGAATATTTTGTTGCCCGGATCGGGCTACAAAGACGACTGAATAGAAGGGGCGTGATACTTCTTGACTGGCGAGCTTGTCTTCTAAGCTGGAATTCACGCTGTGTGCCTTAGACGCCATCTCCTGCAGATGCCGCGTTACAGTGGTCAGACCAACATCAACGTACAATCTGAGTTCAGGAGTAGGGGGGACAAGTTCCTTAGAGTCTTTCTTTGACGCTTTGCGCTTCCGCTTTTTATCACGTTGACCTCTAGACGGCTGAACATATCTCGCTCGATGCTGTCCCAAAGGCCCAAGTAGACTAATACAAATGGTTAGTGAGGAGCTCTGGAGGACCTACGGACCAATGATTTAGGAATTATATGCAAAAGTCAAAGGACATCGATTATAATAATGCCTATATAACGATTAAATATATCTTGACTTACGTGCATAGAATTTCCAGGATTGTCTCTTGATCTTCGAGAGTTATACTCGGCCTAACATTTGTCAATCTGTTGCTTCTTGAAAATTATTGGTGGGGATGGATAATACCAGGAGACTGCTGAGTATGGAGTGTCCAGTTGATACACGACTTTCTTCTTTTTATCCATTTTGAGATAGACAATTCAAAGAAGGATGAAAGGGCGTTGATTCTATAATTCAAAAACTTATGTGAAAGTTGCAAGATTGTATTACAATTACCTACTTCATATTCTTAATTTAATCGACTTGGTGGTCTGTGCGCCGTATATTCTCATACATAGTACCTTGAAGTCCACCTAGAATTTTCAATTAAATAACCTATACAATTGTCAAGATAGGCGGCACAATCTTATTTACATACTCATTCACAATTGTACAATTACTGTTGCTTTCATCTTTTTAAAGGTAAGGTAGAATTGGTTACCGATGGTGGACTTTATGGAGCAATCCTTTGATGATGTCCATATCTTTCTTAACGGTTTCGCTGTTCTCGTGTTCTTTCGATATTTCTACTTTAGACCTCAACCGTGCCACCATAAGATCTAGAGCAAGCCTTGGTGATACCAAAGACAGCTCCTCGTTCAATTTGGCTTGGCTGATCACTTTGCCATTGCACAGTTGCCTGACAAGACTTTCTGCCAAGTCCTGACAGTTGCTTGTCAAGAGATTATAACGTGGGTGTAGTGCCATGTGGTGAAGTCCTGGATCTCATGCGTTAGCATCAAAGTGAGCTATGAGATTACCTAGGTAGATGAGTCGATTCACCTAGCTCTTGGATTTCTTGATGAGACTTCGTTGTCTCCCCAACATAATAACATGAGCTCCATGTCTCGATGTATGCAGGAACGATCTCTGCCACACGAAAATAATTCTTGCCAATAGCGTTGAGTGCCAGCTGGTCACTCATCAAATCGTAGCAGTAGGATGGCTTGAAGCTACGGTCAATCACGCATAGGGCCCAATGACTGACACTGTTCAGACTCATGCCGACATGTTTGGCAAGCAAGTTATAGGAATTCTTTGATAACTCAAACACACCGAACTCGATTGGAATGGTGACCAGAAAGACGGCCTTATGAGACGCTGTCGGGTTGCATTCTAACGGCGGCATCTCAACGACCGACTCTCCCGTAATCTTTGCTACGACCAAGTTGAGAAAGTTATCCTTCTCCTGTCGGAGCCTGTCTTGTTCGGCTCTAGCCGCATCTTCCTTCGTCGCTAGGATTTCCCGAGATCTTCTGCGCTCCCTACAATGACTTTGGTGTTAGATGCTGTGGTTACCGAGGACGAAGGAAAACAAGAAAGTGGTTGGGCCAAGGGGGAAAAGAAAAGAGGAACATCACCATTTCTCTTTCAGATATTCTTCTGTAGCCAATCCCGCGCTTTTAAGCTTTGATAAAGCATCGAAGCCCATTCTAATAACTACAAATATGATTGGTGATGTGTCAGTTTTATAAGGTACCTATCAAGATATGCAATTCAGATTCAACACCGAATCTCTTTCCAGCATGTCTTTTCCGCGTATGTATATGCAAACATGTAAGTACTGTAATACGGAAATCCGGCTGTGGCTGACCGGGCAATCGGCCACTCTGGGCAGCCTGGGCTATGCACGCCGTAGTCCTACTTGGCCCATCTGCTTACATATAGCATGCGAATGTTCCAAACGTCGGTATGCACGCGTACAACGCGTACTTGGTGGGGGTAAATGGGAGACGTGATGCAAACTGCATGGATTAATCCCATTCCATCTTGTCCTATGCATGTGCCCTACCAAAGATTCATGTATTATGCCTGAGCGATTTGGAAGCCACTTAGGCTTACACATCTCATCGTCAACGGCGGTTTAGTTGTCTTCAAATGTGTAAATGTTTAGGTATGGTTCTTGCTTGCATGTAGCTTATGTATTATACATAGTACTATCTCACTAGGCATTTTAGTTGATTTCCAAGTACTACCTATGCCCCCATATGTAACACCTTGTCCAACGTCGATGAGTTTACCCCTCAAAAAACAAGCATTATATTACATTATCGAGCACATACGTCGTACAGTGTTAAGAAACTACTAAGCACCAGACCACACTGTATCTAAGAGCTTTTTAGTCAAGTAACAGGTAGGTAGATACCTAGGTAGGTAACTTTATTGGAATTGAACGAATTGTGTCTCTTCGAGGTCGATCTTTGACTTCGGATTTACAAGTATGAAAGACAAATCGAACGGGAGCACCCTTTTTTCATGCAAATGTACGTATTCCCCAAATATGTGCTCGCTGGGATGCCTGACCCATTATTCCTTTTCTTACCAGAGATCTCCATAATGCTAGGTACCTACTCCGCCGTGTTTGCCTAAGTGAGGAGCTTCCAGAATATTAACTATTTGAGGCGAAACCTTAGATTGAGCAACTGGTTCACTCTGCTTAATTGCCCTGCTGCCCTGGCAACACGACAGACTAAATTCCAGCATAACCCTGCGTCTTGGGTCCGCTGAAGTAAGTTTAGTTTTCATTTGAGTGCACCAGCTGACTGCTATGTATTCAATGCGTTGAATTTATTGCTATATCTAGCCTGCTACCTAGTGGGTACTTATTGATAAGTACATATTTTTAGGTACCTAGCTGATATGTAGTGCATGCGTTTTCTCCAAGAGCTTCTCCCGCTTATGTGGATTCTTTCTAGGTAGTTACCTACCAGCCTACCCACCAAGACAAGCAAAGATCCCATCCTAACTATGTAGGTATTCATGATTCAACTCTTCTTTAAGTCTATCGTGATTCCTTAGGTACTCAGTCTTGTGAGGATATAAAGAGTTAGACAGAGTTGCTAACATCATCTTGCATAGGAAATCTTGCCACCGACACTTTTAAATATCTAGGTATCCGTATTTGGATATCTCCCGTTTTCACAGACCCTACACGTACTACGCACTTTAAAAAGGTATGTAGGGTACCTATCATCTCCACTTTAATGATACGCTAGCGTCGCCTAATTCCAAGCGTTTTCGTTAATCGCCTTCTCAGCTATCTAAGCCGTGGACCTTACAGCCTGGAGAATACTGCCTTACAAATTGCATCCAGCATAGTGTTTTCGAGTGCGACAAATCCCGTACCAAGGCGATCTTCGACTCAACACAGCCTTACCCAATAGTCTACACACATTACCTGCCTTAGTGATACATTCCTCCTTCCATTGAATACCCTGATTGATCCATCATTTGCGCTGCACCAGGAGCACGTACTCTCCACGGCGCATATCATTTTTTGCCTACTAGGTAGCTGTTTACGAGTTCGACAGCTCGAGACTGATATTACATTGTCTGAATCAAGCTATTGTTACTTGTTACTTGTCATATCCTCATGTGAGGTAAGTTGCTAACCTTTATTTCATCCATTACCTCATCCATTAATACGCGTCAATGAATTCATCAAAGAGAGGCGTTACGCTGGCATTGTTTAATGGAATATTCCCTTACGAAAGAATCTATGGGAGCAAGAAACAAAATAATCCCTACCTACCTACATGCAACATAATCCCGTACAGTAATAGGCAGATAGGATACTTTCAAGGTTCCCTGCCTGGGATTAATAGCTGGGTGGTTTCTTAGCTAACCTTGAACTATATGCTCCAGCTGCTACTACGGTAGCTCTGAAGCTCTTGCTTCCCACTTACCGGGGCTGCCTTCCTAACTCGTTCTCCACACGCCCCTCCCCCACCATTAGCTCCTTCACACTTGCACCACTGACGCCAGACCCAAACAACCTTGGAACGCCCCCGTCACTACACCAAAAAGTAACTGGAGCTTCTCCAATACACCATCGTCACAATTCGTACCAGCTGCCTATCTTTCTGCAGACCTCTTTTTTTCCAGAAGAGGGTTCTCGACAGCTGTGGGATCTATATCCCTTTCTTTGTAACACTTTGATACCCTTTTAGATCTTTTGATTGTTTTTCTCTCCTTCACTTCTCATTCGTTCAGAACTTTTCACTTCATACTCATTCCTATTCTTTTCTTCCTCCGAGTGTTGTACCCCGCCTAATCATTCCGCAACCCACATGCTAATACTGGAGTCTACCAGCATCCGCCGAGCCTTCTCGCGCGAACGCCTCAAGCTTTATCTGGAGCTCCACGATTAACCCCCTACCCGATCGGGTCAGTAAAGACCAGATGGATCAGGATTCGAGATCATCCGAGCCGCGAGAACGTGCCGTCTCCTCCGAGCCTTGCTCAACTCGACCTAACCCATTTGACGACGGTGACCTTTCAGCCCGAAAACGTCGTAGGACCTCTCTTTCTGGTTCGAGGAGCGCGTCTGTCGATACTCTCCCGTCTCGGGACGACGCCGTCGCTTCCGACCCCAGCATTATGAAGGTTGACACGCCCGAGCCGCTCCCCCCGAGCACGCCAGCTCGTTCGGAGCCCGCTACCGAGCCTGTCTCGAGCAAGGTCACTATCAATCTACGAAATGCTGACAGCCTTGAAGATACGCCCTCTTCCCCGTCTTCCCCTACACCCGCACGATTCCGCAAAGACAGCATCAAGGTCAGCGTCGAAGAACCAGAAGTAAACATGATAGAATTACCTTCGGCTGAAGATGCCTCTTCGTCCGCGTCCGACATAGACAGTCCCGATGTACCTACCGTATCCTTCGAGGAAGACCTCGTATTCTGCAATCCGGAACCTAACGTAACGCTTTTGCCGGATGGAAGAGCAGCGCAATTTAGTGCTACTATGCTAGATTTTCCCTACCACAGTGACGGAGAGTCATATCAGGAGACAGTTGCTCGTCTTGCCGAGTATTTTCGCCAACGTGCGTCGAGTATCCTTATGTCTCGTGAATCTTCTAACGCTGTCCCAGAACCTACACATGTTGACGAGGCCCTACAACTATTGAATGGATGGTTGAGTCGCTATATAGCATATGCGCACATCGAGTTTTACCCTATGGTTGTAGAAGCATATCAGGAGAACAAACAATTCTGGCAGGCTCTTCCCGAGCTCTTCTACACCATAGTTCACCGGTACGTATGATGTTAAAGAATGACGTCGATCAATTGAAGTAACTAATAGCATTTCTTTATCAGGCACGGTTATTCCAAATCAACACAGACTCGAGAGATCATTAGTCAGATGTTTACGCAGATCGCCAGACTTACTGGATTCCTTCTGAATGTTGACTGCCGAACGCTGGCATACGCCACAAGCAAGGAGGACGTCGATTTCGATTCAATATGTCCAAGTTTTCTTAAACTGTTTGGAAGTCTTACGAGCAAGGACGATAACCAGTTGACCAATAGTTATCATCTGGCGAATCCGGGATTTTCAGAGTTGCTTGATGTGCTCCAAGCAAATAGCGACGGATTACAGGCCCAACTGGCCCGCTTTACTGACTTACTCACGAATAATCTGCTCCGATCCCCCAAGAGAGTAATGGATAGCCTCGCCGGCGCCTCTATGCTCATGGATAGCCTCGTACGTGATAGCCGCAGAAAGCTGTCATACCACGGGGCCTACCCCCCTGTGGCTCTCGAACGGGCAAGAAGAAATTTAGCTTACGGTCTGGACTTCTTCAGAGCCGTTGCGGATGCCTTGGATGTCGTGATAGAAAAGTCTATTAACAATCTTAGTTCGGAGACTGTTGTTTCCCTTACCGCCTCTCTATCACCCATTCTCAAATTCAGTCTGCTTGGTAGCAATGCCGAAGCTGATAGGCTCATGCAAGACCATCGCCAACAGCACCCGAATCTTCCAGAACAATTCACACCCGAGGCGATGAATTTAGAATGGCGAATACGCACATTCTGCAAGCTAGTAAGATCGCGTCAGATGCAGCTCAGAGTTATGGCAGCGTCTACGCTCTGTGAAGACTTAGTTCTTCAATGGAGAACATACGTTGAGCGCCAGGAGATAGGGGACGACAATCCCCACTTGACGTACCTCCGATATTTGTCTAGCTATCTTGTCGACACCGGGATCGTTGATTATCTTCTCGGGCCAACGTGCCACCCGGAGATCACGCAAGCGAGTTTTAACATTGTTGGATTTTTGGCTGTTACCAAGACCTACACGACCACGCAGACGATGCTTCTCTGGCAGACATTAACGTCTACGCAGGACCCTCGAATATCCGACGCCATTGTTCGTATGATGTCTAAGGTGGTCAGCTTGCTTGATTCGGAATCGCTCTGCTATATATGCGAGAAGTTCTATGACCTGCCCGTCGAGGCCTTTTCTTCTTGCATGCGCGATTTCTTCGATAATGTCACGAAAAGCCTGCAGGAAAAAATGATGCCTTACAATAATATGCCTCTTACGCCGTACAAAACCTGTGTTCGATTACTCCAAGAGTCTTCTATTTATGGGCCGCAAGGCTCTGTGGCATACCCGGAGATTCATCAATTTGCCTTATCCAAGTTTAGCACCCTTCTACACACGGGACCAGACCACCAGGGACGCGTAAGCATGTGGCTGGATTGCGTGCATGATATCGCTGCGAAAACACCGATGACGTCTGGGAGTCTCGAGGTACTTCATACGCTCATGAACCATACACCAGTATTGTCGGCGATGTTAGGTGAACACGACTCGACGCGGCTTCTCGTTGACGAACTTGAATCTACGATCGATAGAGCGCGGGCTGTTGGATTTACCCCTGTTTATGCAAACGCCATCAGCGTTGCTCGCCGAAAAATTCTCTCGACCATCATCACGAGCCACAGCTCTACCATTGATTCGGAACTTGGCCGACGTCTTTGGGACCTGCTCGTTGGGAATGGCGCCGCATGCCAGGAAGATAGAAAAGCTGCCTGGGATGACTTGAATGTGGCTCTTCGAAAGCCACGGCACAACAACCCTTTCCTCGACGCTTGCCTGCGAGAATACCTATCAGAACTACCCCCCTCCTGCTATTGCGGAGGCGCCCTTGCATTTGTCCGAGAAGCTATCATCCCCCTCGCAAACGATATCAATGGTATGGTTCTCGACGATGATGATAGTGTTCGGTCAGCTGGGCTCGAACTACTCTGGCAGATGATCTTGACAGCTCCTAATCATACTATTGAGGAGACGGCTATCTCTACGCTCGTGGACGATATATACGTCGACAGCCAGTCGATAATGTCATATCCCCTTCATCGCGCACGGAAGGTTCATTTTGCCCTTGTACAGCGATGCTTGCAGCAACTCAAGCGTGCAGCCCAAAAGCTGAAAGAATTTGGTAATGGAGACTCTACGATAGCGGTAACTAGTAATGATCAACGCCAAGAACAGGAGTTACAATTCACAAGGTCCCTGCAGGTGCTTATAGCACTTCTCAAGGCGCTGCAGGCGAGACCCCATTTTGCTGCGCCTGATTTGCGATCGCTCATGTTGCAGGCTCCTAGCCCGGTTGACGGTGACTCTGCGGAGTTAAAATACCAATCTTTTGATGGCGAGGAGCAGACTGACGTTAAGTCCCTGAATATTGGACTGAAGAATACTGCTGCCTCACTCCTCGCTAGCTTGCGCGAAGCCACCGGCTTCGACAATTACCGGCTGTACTATCGCGGACAACCTTTAGCACCATCAGAGGGCGCTATTTGCAAGCCTATCGAAGAACTCGACATCAGAAACGGGTTGATACTTGTGAAGAAGGAGTCCGGAATCGCCACATCTAAACGCATCAAGCCAGGAGCTTCGCCGCTCGACATTGAAATTCTGAGTCATTTCAAGGACTTGTGGGAGTACCTAAGCATGGAAGAGAAGTTGGCACGAGAAGTAAATAATAACTCCACTATACTATGCCTTACAATATGCTGACACCTGCTTTTAGATCTACCATTTTCTAGTATCCCTCCCAGCCGACGATTCGATCCTGACGGCATTCGAGAACCCCGCAACCTCCTATCGAGACGTATTCCCCCTTGCGCAACCTTTCAAATCGCTCTATGCGTTACACGCGCTTCGCGAGTATCTTAGTACCCGACAGCTCAAGAGCAATGTAATGCAAGTGTCTTCCCCGGATGGTGAGAGTCAAGTAGATACCGCAAACGACCGACAAGACGCCCTTATTAGAGCGATATCTTTGATTGTGGCGGCAATCTGCGATCCCGAAGTTGTCGAGCGAGGCTCTAGCGAGGGTCTGCAGCTCAAGCTAAGTCTTGAACTTGTAGACAACTTCGTGCAGCTCTTGAAACGTATGTTGCCCCATAGCTTTATCGGGTTGTCTTATGTACTGACTGAATGAAGAAATCCCGAACATTGAGACTGTTATGCAGCTCCTGAACTCGACCCTCCAAAACCGGCTTTCGGCGATACTCACGAGTGCTGCGACGGCTCAAACCAACCAGATCAGCATCGAACTAATCAGCCGAACGTTCGAGGCCCTTCTTGAGCCTTGTGCAAAGAGTAACGCATTCTGGGAGGGGTTGCAGGATGGAAAGGGAGTGCAGAAAGTGGTCCAGCGACTTCTTCTCGATGATTCACGTCCTATTGTTCGAAAGAACGTCGCAAGGCTGATCACATATAAGAGCATCGAAGGTTACGGCGTATCTGGAAGACGCTCTCTGGAATTTGCGGAACTCTTTTGGCCTATAGTATCCCAACTCGTGCCTCGAGCCGCTAGAGAGCCGAGCAAATGTGAAGAGACGTTTCTTCTCTGCTTCGAGTTACTCCATAAGCTTAATGACGAGAACCCTGGCGTCATCGACTGGCCCGCCTGCATCAGACAATGTGCAGAGCTGCTATTATCGTACACGACTACGGAAGACATCGCTCATCCGAATAAGGACTTCGTGGCACATGGCCTTATCACCATTCTAAACATTGGAATCACAGAAAGATCGATTAAAAGGGAGTTGCTCCAACTTCCTGACAATTTTGTCCCGAGACTGTTCTCCCGACATTTGTTCCCTCCTGAAGATGGGAGTGACGCGCTGGTGCCAAAGGTTATCCTCCACACCCTCTCGCGAAGCATGTTATACGATATCATATTCGCTTTGGTTAAAGACGATATCACCCAGACTACCCGTTTACTGCACGATCTGAACCAACTCACATCGCACCGTATCGAAGATGGGCTTGAGATTTACAAGTATGAGCTTCCGCAAGCTTTCGAAAGATCAACTGCTATTAGGTCATCTTGCGGGTATTCTGGACTACGAAATCTTTCGAACACTTGCTACCTAAACTCTCTCTTTACACAACTGTTCATGAATGTCGGATTCCGTCGCTTTATGCTTGAAAAGCGAGTCCGTAACCCGGCTACGCATGCATTACTCCATGAGACCCAGGTTCTCTTTGCATTTCTACAAGACAGTCGACGGCGTTGGATAGAGCCGACGGCCTGCGTAGGACAGATCACAACCTATGACGAGACTCCTATCGACATCCATAACCAAATGGATGTAGATGAATTTTATAGCCTTCTATTCGATCGGTGGGAGGCTCAGTTCTCTCTAGAAAGCGACAAGAAGAGCCTTAGATCGATCTACGGAGGCGAATTAGTCCAACAGGTGAAGTCTAAGGAATGTGAACACATTTCTGAGCGCATTGAACCATTCTCTGCCATCCAATGTGATATCAAAGGCAAGGCAGGCCTCGAGGAGAGTCTTCAGGCCTACGTGGATGGCGAGATCATGGAAGGAGGTATGTCGCTGTTCTTTGCCTTGCTGGTCTTCTTTAATTCTAACACTTATTTTTAGATAACAAATACAAGTGCTCAGAGTGTGACCGTCATGTTGATGCGGTTAAAAGGTAAGTAGAGCCCAGTCTATATTCGATCCTAGCAAAGCTAACTACGGCGACAGGGCGTGTCTCAAGGATATTCCAGACAACTTGATATTTCACCTAAAGAGGTTTGACTTCAACCTGAGGACGCTGACACGAAGTAAGATCAATGACTACTTTCCATTCCCTGCCAAGGTCAACATGCAACCTTATACAATCGAGCACCTCAGCGATCCTTCTCGCAATTCTGAACCAGACATGTTCGAATTAGTGGGAGTACTTGTGCATTCCGGGACTGCCGAGTCCGGTCATTACTACTCGTACATTCGCGAACGGCCGACAGCAAGCAAGATGCCCCCTTGGCTTGAATTCAACGATGAAATAGTGACGTCGTGGGATCCTGCACAGATGGAGAGCGCTTGTTTCGGAGGACCAGAATATCGACCACAATTCGAGGCTGGCACCAACTATGAGAAGGTTTACAGCGCTTACATGTTGTTCTATCAGCGATCTTCCTCGCTGCAGAAGGAGCAGGAAATGCTGACAGCGTCGGGCCATACCGGTCCTCTCCGGTCTGACCTACCCAAAGTCCTCGAGTCTCAGATCAGTGACGATAACTGGGCAATTATTCAACGACACTGCCTCTATGATCCAGCCCATATGCCCTTTGTGTACGAAGTACTCCTTAGTTCTTGGGGTGCGAGGTGTTCGAAAGATCACAGGAAGGAGAATTTAGCAATGCAAACAGCACTCGGCCATTTGGATCAAATTGCATCACGAGCCAAGGATCTTCCGGATTTTGACCAGCTCAAGGGTTTGTTGGTTAAAGTCTGCCAACGGTGTCCTATGTGTTGCTTCTCGTTCTTCGATTATTTCAGCCGGCACAAAGACGCTCTGCGCATGCTTTTGCAGAGAAACACGGACGCAGCTGTCCGTCAGGATGTATGGAGGATCTTGATATTTTCTCTCTGTAACATCAAGAAGCACTACCCAGAGGAGTACGGTTCGTTTGACAGTGATGGTGACATACACCTTGGTATGGTAAGCCGTCGCCCGAGCGTAATGGACGTCACCATGGATCTATTCTACCATATCTGGGACGCGTTCCACCTGCGCCTCAACTCTTGGACCGAGTGTTTTGGAGCTATGCTTGATTTCGCCCGAATGGGGCGCTTTGAAGCATCGATGTTCCTGGACAGAGATTTCCTGTTCAAATTTATTATGGTGATCGCAGCGGACCAGGCTTTTGATCTCCCAAACCAATACGCTAGGTTGCTCAACGCGGTGTCTAGGAGGTCTGCGAGGCCACCTAACTATGAGAACCTCATCGCCCTAATTGACGAACTTTTATCGGTCGTGGAGCCGACGCTAAGCCAGAATAACATCCTGGAAGAGGCTCATGGTCGATTATTACTAGCACTTCAGGGAGAGCCTGTTCCGCTTACTGCCAACGAGGTAAATCTTCTACACAGGGACTGGACGAGGGGACAGGCAAACATCTTTGCGGAAAAGCTAATCTCGCTCAACCAAAACCCTGCGGCCACGGATTCTATAATCGAGCGCCTTATAGGGTTTAATCCGGTGATGGATCAAAAGATCTACGCAACATTACGACTCGACATCACCGGGGACCTGACCTCTCATGTGGTAGCTCCTTACCTTCGTGCCGCTATAACTTATTGCCGCTGCAGTTCTAATGGCGAGAATGTCCATCGCCTGATTTCCTATGTGGCCGGTCAATGCAAAAACTTGCAAAATGCAGAAGGTCGCGCCTTTTTCGAATTCCACCGAGACGTCTTCGATGGGGCACGTAACACGGGGGAGACGATGGAAATGATACAATTTCACGGTCTAGACAATATCCCAAAATGGGCCCCGGGACTGCTGGGATACATCGACCAGGCAGTAAGCGACGAAGTAGACAGCTTCCTACATGAGAAGTTGTTTAGGCACGGACCTTCGCCCACGTTTGGGGAGAGCAACGGTGGGCTTGAAAGGTCACAAGCGATGAATTCGACTGCTAGGCGGTTGGCAATATCTTGTTTGGAGTATCTACGGGATACCTATGTCGTTCGCGCAGCACAGGCAGCCAGATATACTGTCGTTCCCCTGGATCGAGTCATCAAGAAGTGCGAACCGTATTTTCACCTTGACGAGGAGATAGATACCGATCTTGAAGTACAGTTCAATGAACTTTGTCGAGGTAGGAGTTCCGTTGGATATGAGCCGTTCGTTGAGAATTCTATGTACTAATTCATAAATAGTTGTCCTGGAACCAATGGACAGGCTTACGGTCGACGAAATTGAAGAGGACGGTTCCGGTATGTGGAGCGACTCTACCACCGCCACCATGGACTATGACTGACATAGTCAAGATTGGGAACAATCCGTCGGTTCTTCAGAGCCGATGGATAACCTGGCTGATATCAGCATGCAAATCGACCGTGATCTAGTATGATCGAACCTCAGGGTCGTAACGAAACCCTCTTCTACATTATTGTGTTGATTGATGCGTCGATATCGGTTTAATGGGACGATCGACTAGGTTGGAACGTGCAACTGACGGTTAAAAAAAGTTCGATGGCGAATCGGATAAACGGACTGGTAAACTAGGGCGAATGCATAGCACCGGAGTGATAGGCGTCTTCGGGATGGACAAAATGGTACTTCGCAACGATGTTCTTTCGGCGTCATGATGAATTAAGATGCTTGTTGAGGCGATACCTGGCCGGGACTCATCTAATTGTACGAATTATGGTTCACTGCATGGCAATTCCCACGAAGTGGAATGATAAATGTTTTCCCGGATTAGGACGACGAATACCTTAGATGTTGTTTTACGCTTTCTTCCGGTGAGAGTACTTACTCCTGCTATTTTCCTTTACTTCTTTTCACGATGCAGACATAGCCCGGTGGAGGCAAATAATGATTTGTGTTGCATCCATTGGATCTGTCATTCCTCAGATCAGTGAATGGTTTCTCGAGTATGCCGTGAATGACAAAAACGTAGCCCACTTAGAGGTATGTCCATCTATCAGCCGAGATATCGGTTGGCCCTTAGGCGAATCCAGTCAAACGAGTATCCTCTGAACATTGAAGAGTAGCGGCAATAGGTATGAAAGGCTACTCTCTCGGAATCGTGAGAAGCCGTTTGAGTGATATGTGTGAAGGCGATTTTGATTGGTTATTATTGTTGACAACGTTGACATTGACGACTGGCGAGATGCAAGTGCAAGGTTAAAAGAGTGCTTCCGACTAGGATAATGCAGATCTGGACTAATCAAAACTTGAAAGGTTGTTAAACGCCCTATCTTGTTACTATAATGGGATAGCGGGATCTAGTATTCGGCTCCTACACATGGACGTCACATAACATGATGGATATCCATAACTTTATCTGGGTATACAACAGTAGATGACGTTGCAAAGTTATTTCTACATGCCTCGGCCTAGACTAGATGTAGCAAGCACAAGAACACGGGTCGATTTCGCCTCGCTTTATTTTTCATTCCTTATCAAGGGCAACAATTGTATTCGTTAACAGGTCAAATCCAGCTGCGTGGTATGACTTACGGTGGGACCCAACTGCTCGTCAACAATCGACCGAAGGTTTATGCAGTCTATTTTTGGATTTGAACCCTAGACCCTAGAGAGAACAGCCCGGGACCTAGCCGGAATCGGCCTAGCACATGTGTTTAGCAGGGGTATGAAGGTCGGGTGCCGGGGCCGGGATCTATATTTGGGTCGCTGTAGCCGCCCATGCAAGATGCGGGGGAGAAGTTGGTCTTCTCTGGTTGGTCGATCATTTGAGATTTTTTTAATCCGGACAAGTTATGGAGGGATAATCGTGGATAAGCGTGGATATTCTTCGCTGTGAGCTGCAGGTCCGGCACACCATCATTCCACAATCATCACAACACATATGCACGGAACATGGAGCATGGAACATGGAAATTGGAAATCTAGGGCTAATAACGCGTGAGCCAGAGAAAATCAACGTCTGTCTTCAACGGTGAGAAGGCTAGGCAGTCTAGGGAAGCCCTACCGACGCCCAGCCTGCCTTGTCTAATACCCATCGGGCTGCATGTGATATGCAAGCAGACCTGTTGACGAATCACGCACGCCTCTTCGTCTTGAAACGAAGCACACTGACGACTAGCTGACTACCAGTCGAGCACGGTGGGTGCGGTGAGCCTGACGCTAAAGTTTCATGACGTCCGAATATAGAAATGATGAAGAACGGGAGGGAGGGATGGGTAAACAATGCACCAATAATCATCTCCGGATCCATGGGTCCATAACATTCCCCCCTTTCTTCAAACACCAAACCCCACGAACGCCTCGATCACCTCGTGGTCTGCTCGAGTCTATCGTTGTTTCGATGTTTCCGCGTTTCATTGTTTCATGTTTCGAAGCGCCCTTACTTTTTATATCCACTCTCGCCCTGTAGCAAGGCTTCTTTTCTTAACTTTGCTCCTTTCCCCTTTTGGTTTCTCTACGTCGAGCTTCCCTGCCATCGTGATATATCTATCTACTATCGAGGCTGGCCTTCGCTTTTTTTAAGACCTGGTAGATCATCCTTCAAGATCGATCTATATTCAAATCTTTACAGTCGGGAAATAACCTATCCGGCCTCGATCTCTTCTGTTCCTAGTCGAACAACACACATTGCACTGCCTCTCGGATTGTTTTCTCTTTGTCTTGCAGCACACATAGCCGCACTTCTATTGTGTAATATTCCTGTCGACATTATGTCGCTGTCTAAGCAACGCATTTCCTCCCCGTTAGAAGCGGGACAGTCGATCCTTGATGCTTACAATCTTCCATCTCACTTGACCGACGCGTTAGAGTACGCGTCGAAGAGGCTTGCGAGAAAGGCTCTGCATATTACCTTAGTCGTCGTGCGGAAGGAATATCAACTCCCAAGTGTAGTGCCGCCATGTCCGACACCGACCTCTCCTCCACCCACACCAGGGATAGCGTCTCCTACACGCTTTACCTCCCCAGTCGCTGGTTTAAGACAATTAGTCCGAAGGGGAACCGGCGGCTCCACATCTAGTCTATCATCCGTGGCATCGGACTCTACAACCAGCACATCCGCCTCAACATTCTCACCTCCCCCGACTGAACCTCTATCTATCAGCCCTCGTCGCTGGGTTATGCCCCTAACACCCGGCAGCCCCATGACCCCGGCCACACCATCCAGCATCATCACAGCATCGTCGACATCTTCTATATCGCAAGAACCCAACGAGTTCGGCATACGGCTAATCTACACCGGCCTGCTCTCCTCCAAAGCGGAGAAGACGCTGCGGACCACGATCCAGAAAGCGGAGCGCAAGTTCCGCATCGGCACGGGCTGGCTGCCCCACGCCACCACCGCGTCCGCGTGCGGCCTGAACGCGGACCTGGTCCGCCGGAGCCTGCTGCAGAACGAGGTGCTCTTCTCGTCCGAGGGCCTGATCCTGCTCGGCCTCGACAGGCTGTACACGTTCAAGGCCGCGCTCGCGGCGTACTCGCGCTCCCGCTTCGCCAGCAGCAGCAGCGGCACTTCATCACCGCTTTCCTCATCCTCGCACACGCCCACGCCCACGCCCAGGATCGCGGATATCGAGGACGCGGTGGACTCGCTCCGACGCCTGGTCCTCGCTAACGGCGGCCGCCCTGTGTCGAAGGCGGATCTGTATCGCAGCTACGACTGGCTCGGCGTCAACGCGCGCGCGCTGCGCGACGTCGAGGGCATGTATAGGCGTGCTTACGGCGGCCCGGAGCGCGTCGGCGCGTTCGAGGTCACGCCCGAGGAGCGGGAGCGCGAGGCTAGTAGCAGGCCCGTTGTTAAGATCGGTTCGCCGCCGCCGCCTAAGACGCAGACTACGCCCGTGCTTAAGCTCGACACGCGGCTCGCGACGGCGACGACGACGCGGATTTTCAAGCCGAAGGCTAAGAGCGTGACGCATGCCGTACCGCAGGCACCGCAGACGCAAATACAAACACAAACTCTAAGTGGGGGCGAGGTCCAGAAAACGCAAGGCGCTGAGGTCGTGGAGCTGGAGATCAAATTCGATAACCTAGCGGCGGCGGAAGACTCCGATAAAGAGGAGGAGGAGGAAGAGCGCACGGCGCGGCCAATGTACGGCGTGCCGTACTGGAACAGCGCGTCGATCGACGAGATGATGCTGTCGCCGTGCGACGGGGCGAGCGTCCGGCAGTCGCAGAAGATGGGCCCGCAGACGCCGAACGGGTACGACGACATCTCGCCCATCACGAGGGGCGAGTGGGGCTTCCTGTTCAAGGGCGACGGGTGGAAGCAAGGGCGCACGGCGGCGGTGGAGACTTGCTAAGAATAGGTCGCAAAAGCATCAGGCGATACAGGACTGAGGCGAAGCGAGGTGTACGTACATCGTGGCGTATTTGTATATATATAGATGGACGTGTGTGTACATGTACCTGTTTTTGGGCCACGGCGAGATTGTGAGATTGGGATTTGAGATTGGCATATTTAGATGATACCCGCTAGATTTACTATTCTGAAAATTTTTGTGCATATTTAGCTAGCTAGCTGCCTGTATTGTATTTAATCTTCACCGGGCGTGATAGGAATGGGTAGGGAAATCAAATAAATAAATAAGGATACCCCAAATTTGGTCTCAATGCTGATAGAACGCCGACTTATGCTATGCGATGTGATTTTGCTGCCGTGGCTCATTCATCTGTGGCCGTCGACAATTCATAATTCTAATTGCTGAACGGAACCTACTCATCCCCCCTTTTACCCTTAAGCGTCGCAAATACTTATGTTTCCTCCAAGCTCGACGCTACCGAGAATCCGCAGCTTTCTGGCTTTCTTCAGGTTTTAACGTAACCCGCCCTTCCTTCCTTCCTTCCTTCCTTCTTTACTCCTCTCAATTAGAGGAACCAAAGCGGAAAAAAAAAAAAAATCATCGCCACCCATACTGCGCACCAGCCTCGCTCCTCTTCCCCTTGCCAGCAGCGAAGCTCTCCTCGAGGGCCTCGCGCTGGTTCTGGGCCTGGCTGACGAGCTGGCGCAGGTTGTGCTTGCCGGCGGCGGCGATGGCGCGGACGGGGTTGTACGCGGGCTGCAGCTGGCCCGCGGCCCGCAGCGCCTCGTTGTGCGCGTACTCGCGGTCCGTGTCGAAGTTGACGACGCGGCTCGCCGCCGGGATCGAGGAGGCCGAGCCGCCGCGCCCGAAGAGCTCGCGGCGCGCCGCCGCCGACAGGTTCATGGACGTGGCGAGCGCGTCGAGGGATAGGTCTGAAGAGGTGGTGCTGGATGCTGTTTGGGGTGGCTGGTTGGAGGAGGAGGTGGCGTGTTGCGCGTCGTAGGCGGCGAATTCGTCGGCGGGTGTGGGTTCGGAGGTTTGGAACATGGGCTCGTAGGTTGATGGGTAGTTTTGAGATGCAACGCTGTCGTTTCCTTGTGTTGTTTGCTCGTCCGATATGGAGAAGAGGCTTATCTTCTCCCTCTTTTTCGGGGGTGGGCTTGCTTCTTTGGGAGGTGGTGCTGTGGGAGCAGTTGTTTCGGATTTTGGCGTTGTAGTGGTGGCTTTTGGTATCGTGGCAGATTTGCCCAAAGTGCCCTTCTTGTTCGGCTTCCTGGATACTGATAATGGCCTGAACATCAGGGGTTTGCCGACTAATTTGACTTCCTCTGCTGGCTTCTGCTCCGCCGGTATCGAGGGTTGCTTCGCCGGGGGTTCTGAATCTTCGCTTCTCGAGACTGTCTCGTCTGTGCCTCCCTCGCCATCCTCATTCGCCTCTCGGCTGAAACCCGGCGCAGCACCGGTCTTCAGATTCACACCAGGTCTCGGTGCTGGTTTCGCGCTCCCACTACTACTACCTGCCACGGCAGGCTTCTTTCCGACGTTTTTGGGGGGTGGTAGGAACGAGTTGAAGCCACTGAACGTGCCGCCTCCTCCGCCTCCTAGCCTCGCGCGCTTTGCAGGTGGCGCGTCGCTTCCATCGGCGGGTTTACTCTCGTCGCGATTAGAGGCGCTCTGGGGGAGGTTGACGAGGATCTTGCCTGGTTTCGCGCGGTCGACGACTTTCTGGAAAGGCCGCTTACCACTCGCTGGTGCTGGTGCCGGTGCTGCTTTTAAGGACGGTGCGGGCGCGGGCTGGGGCTGGAGCTGGGTGACAGGCTCGGAGTCTGATTCCGAATCAGAGTAGTCGACGAGTCCCATTTTCGCGATGTGAAAACGTCGTGTTGATTATTCGATGATATAATCCTAGCGCTTTATGGTTGCTGTTTAAAAACTTAGGTTGATTGTGGCGTCATTAAACGTTATATGGACTGTGGCGCTTGTTTTGTGGGCACCCTGAGGTACTTACATAATATGCATATATCAAGGCTTATCTAATTTGTACTATTACCTAGCAAGGTACCACGTAGAAGTGACGGCATTCCGTTTATTCCGAGAGTATGTAAATGCCGTCGAACAGCAAATAATTCTCTTGGCTCCTTGCTGCCTTTATAGCGACCCCTTATGAATTTTGTTGGGATTTTCGTCTAGCTCCTTGTTCGACCGAAGAAGAGATCAAAAAAGTACATAATGCGAGAAACACCTAACACAAGAGCTGCTGGTGAAAGGCCCCGGCCAGAATGGGCATTGAGCTCGGTGTAGGATGAATCTTGCGATTCTCCTAAGTCTAGACATGGAATATTATACGTAATGAGAACTACAGAAGACGATCTGGACAATTCCAACCGGCTTCTAATATCACAGGTCGACAAAGTTCTTGCATAGCTGCATACTAGCGGCTTAGCCTACCAGCTACCACGAGGGTATCACATGACAGCATGAAGATGACAAGTGGATCATTTCGATGAAGGATCTGGAACAGATTGATAAGATCATCTTATCAATCTAATCAATCAGCTCACATCTTACGTATCCCTGTCTTGGTATAAGAGACGTAGTGGACAACACGCCACTACTCGTAATTACGAGACTTGCCATGTACGTCCGCCATATCCGGAAAAGTAAAGCTGACGACATGTAGCTCCGGCTGCGGTCCGACCTTGTACGCGTGGAGAGGGCGTGGATGGTTGTCGGTTAAGGTAAAAAGGCAGCTGAGTCCCATGGTTGTGTCTCGTCCTTCGAATAGTCTTCTCGATCTTCATAGATATCTGAATTCGAATATAGTTGACGGAATGGCTGGTCCACAACCAACGCTTAACGAGTTAGCAGCGAAGATTACGGAGCTTTCCGAGACTTTCACCCGCTTCCTCAAGGAAAACAATGTGCCAGAACCCACATTCGCGGCGGATAGCCCAACCAGTTACAGCAACTTGTCGGCGGAAATTTTCATGACGCGTCAGCACCTATTAGATGCCCTGACGGATATGTGGTACCTAACGCAGGGTCCCAGTGAAAGCGTCTTCAACTATGTCCACAACGTGAGCATGCTCATCTAATAACGTCGAATGCATGGGAATTGTGATTATCAACCTAACTTCTTATAGGCCTTGCCTGATGCTGCGGCTCTAAACACATTGAACTACTTCAACTTCTGGTCTGCAGTCCCCCTAACCGGTTCGGCTTCATATGCGGAGATAGCGCGGCATGTTTCCCTCCCAGAAGATGTAATCCGGCGGGTCTTGCAGCACGCAGTAACACTCCGCATCTTCGAAGAGACCGAACCTGGGAAAAGCACATCACTGATCCGGCACAACTCCAGATCAGCAGCACTAGCCCGCTCTTCAGGGCTGAGGGCTCTTGTCTCCACCATCTTAGATGATGCTGGTGCGCCGATGATGGTTTTGAATGAAGCCCTGGACAGATTTAGTCGCGGCAAACCGGAATTGACCCAAAACATAAATGAGACTTCTTTCGCTTTATTCCATAGCGGTGGGCAGTTTGGTAAGCACGGAAATTCTTGGGATTTGCTTGAAAATGATGGTGCAGGAGACAAACAAGGTTGGCGACAGAGGAACTTCGTCGAGTTCATGCGCTATATAAAGGAGATATTTCATCTCGAAGGAGTTGGTAGGTTTATGACCCGAACATATATCATGCATGTAAAAATGCGAAAATTATCATCCCGGCTCTCTCCTGAAATCATTTATGAACACTCACTTACTCTAACAATTTTAGTGCTTGACGCTCATGACTGGAAGGCTGCCGGGAAGGCGACGGTCGTAGATGTGAGTCTTCAGCAAACCACCAATCTTTTGGAAAATGCCACACGTTTTAAAGCTACGTAAGTCGCCATGGATATCGCTAATGTTAGCAGGTTGGTGGTTCCGCGGGCCATGATGCCATAGTATTAGCGCGAAATTTCCCTGAACTCAGCATCACCGTTCAAGATCTAGCGAAAGTAAAGCCAGTTTTTGAGGCGAATTTGCCAGAAGACGTTAAAGACCGTGTGTCTTTCGTAGAGCACAACTTCTTCCAGCCGCAACCTGTCCAGGCCGATATCTATATTTTCAAGATGATTCTCCACGACTGGCCTGATCAAGAGTCATCTAAGATCCTACGGGCGCTAATTCCGGCGCTAAAACCGGGCGCTCGAGTGATCCTTTTCGAATACATCGGTAACCAGGGCGAAAGTGAGCGAGCAGCTCTTCCACGCTCCATTCAGCAAATGGGTACGGCTACGGATCTGCGACTAATGGCTCTGTTTAACGGAAAGGAGCGCCCTGTCGACGCTTGGGCGAAGATTCTCCAAGATGCTGATGAGCGATTCGAGATGGCCAATGTCAAAGCCAATCCGCAAAACTTCTTCGCCGTCATTGAGGCTGTTTGGCGTGGGTAGCTAGATTTTGTTGGCTATCGCCATATCTTATATCGACAAGTTAACAAATAACTTGCGTCGAGCTTGGAGAGACCCCGCTCTCCGGCTCCGATATCTAGGCCTAGGGGCCCTAAAAATGAAAAAGGCATTGAAAACGGGCACTTTGAAGTCAACGTCTAAATTTATGGGCTTGTTTTAATGAAAATTAACGCGTCTTGGCCTCCGTGTGCCAAGGGAAGACACAGGGGAGGCGTGCCGTATAGGATCCCGGCTTCCCCTCTAGTAGCCGCATATTTCAAGTTTGGTGCCGAGAAACCGAATTTTTTATCTCGCATTGCAATGCTGGGTGCGTGAATAGAATTCACGTGGGTTCCTGCATGACACCCACCGAGATTTACGAAAAAGAATAGATCGAATTAAATCTGATAAGATCATTCGCGGATGCTAAGACCCACCCCCGACTGTAGTAATGCGATCTAACCAGTGCAGGTAGGTCCGAAGGCGATGGGAGACAAGTCCCAACCGCGATCGGTCGTGTCATTTGAGTGCAGCCCCCTTTAGTCCGGTCTGCCCCTCTTATAAGAATGAATAATGAGCGTCGTTTCTAGCGCAGGTCGAGTTAGGAACCATCTAAAAAACCACATAAACAGACAGAAATGCCTTTAGCCGTACTTCCTGCACAGCTGGCTGATGTTGAGCCGGTGTACGACGTTTATTTTAAGGCATTCGAAAACGAACCCATACTCCAATTCCTCTACCCCGGAGGCGTCGACAGGCCGGCACACACAGAAGGGACTAAACAATGGTGGGCTCACGACAAGATAGGCTACACGATCAAGTGTATCGATTCTAGTACGGGAAAAATCGTCGGGATGGCTAGTTGGGATGTCTTCTGGCAACCGGGCAAAGAAAATGGATGGGAGCGGCCCGAGGGTATACCATGGTTGGAAGGAGATGAAAAGGCGAGGTGCGAGGGCGTTCTGGGTCCTATGTGGGATATGAGAGAGAAGCTATTTGGCAAAACCCACCGATATATATGTGAGTCCAGATGTAAAACACTTAGACCGTACCTACCATTCAACTAATGTGACGAGGAAAGACCTGAGTGTCATGGCTGTTGACCCAGAACAGCAACGCCGTGGGATTGGGCGCTTACTCATGCAATGGGGTATCAATGTCGCAGAACAACTTAATCTCCCTATATATCTGGAGTCGTCGAAGCCAGGCCTAGGTCTTTACAAGGCTATGGGATTCGAAAGGCTGACACATGTGAGCCTGATTCATAGACAAGAAGTCACCGGGCTGCCGGACGAAGAAATACCTCTAATGGTAAAGATGCCCAGCGCAGCAAAGGGGTTGAACTTCAAGGAGTGGGCCGATAAAGGGTATCCTTCCGGATACCAGACTTAAGTGAACGAGCACAAGAAAACTAATGGAATTAGGAAAATGGCTGAGTTCGAAACGGTAGTGGTCACATGCAAGGGTCGACTCTAAAATAAGGGGGAATATACTCGGATTGTCGGTTTAACATGCCATATTAGTCTTCCATATCTCTTCGGAATTGACTATTTAGAGTCAGCATCTGATATATAACAGCAATGAATATTAAAAAATCAATACAAGATCCATAAAACTGTCTTGTACCAAATAGCACAGCCCACGTAGGGAGGAATGCTTGCTAAGGCTACACGTAGCCAAATCGCTACGTTCAATACAGAGCCTCCGGACTGCTTCCAGGTGTTACCTAGCGAATAATGATAATCAACATAAATCCGATGTAACCTGAGAGAAAGCTTGGAACAGACAACATGGCAGCGACAGAATATAGATTGAAGAGAGACATGATCCTATCTGGTACAATCTGTGCCCCTATTGGAACAAGTTTCTCCATTACTAGGGTGTTCCTCGTAAGGTGAGGCACAAGCATCTACCTATGTAATAATTCTGAATTGCCCATATATGAGAAACGAGATGAACCTGACTTGCTTTATTATAATCTAGCCTACCAGAATGTAGGAGAATGTCTAAGGTGCACCTTTAACCTAACCCTAACCCTAACCTCTGATTTATTAGGCAAGTGGATTAGTAAGATAAGTCGGCCATGCACGGGCCACTTTGCGACGCTAACAGATTACCTAACAGACTATTACCTAAGAAATTACCTAACCGCCCGATTTACGTTCACGCTGGTTGCCCTTGTTCAATTGTGGATCAACATCAACCATCCCCATTCATCATCCCTCCTACATAATCGCAACAGTGCTGTGACAGGTGCACGCGCAGGGTCCTGTATCTTATTTACTGACGACATCATGGAATCGTCGTGAGCATGAATACTGCAGTCTTTCTTTTTTCTTAACTAAATTCACTCGTTATCTACCATGTCGCTGATACGGGTGGAGGAGTATGTAACGACACCACGCTACCGTTTACCTGATCGATACCTAGGAGATATGCTAACCTCGACTCGTGCTCTAGTTTGGTCTCGTACCAGCTTCGAACAAGCTACCTCAACGAAGTCGCTGATGGTGTTGGCGAGCGCCTTATCACTATCAATGATACCTTCCTCAACACCGCTCCTTTCAAAGCCGCTGGCTGGCGATCTAATCCGTCATACATCAAACGAACCCATTCGCCCCCGATACCCACTGCTATTGCCTCTGAATACTTTCAGGCCGCGCCCAGAGCCACCGGCCTAACGCTTGAGGATGAGGCAGAAGAGGGTGGCATGCTAACTGGAGGTGGGGGAGACACATTGGGACCCGGAAGCGCATTGAAGCGTCGAAGAGAAAGGCGCCGCGAACAGATGGAAGAAGACGATAGCAGTGACTTGAGCGACGAGAGCGATGATGATACCGATCAGAGGGCTGCCCAGCAAATACGATTTGCGAAGATGCCACTTAGAAGTCGCGCTGGCTCGTCGCCAATTCAATCGTCTAATCTACGTCAAGCCACCACGATGTCATCTCCACGCACCGCCCCAGCACCGAGACGAGGGTCGCAACCTACGTTAGAGACCGTTAAGGAACGGCCACGACGAGACACCGTCACTAGTAGTGAGGTTTCATCCGACAACGAATTCGATGCTTCGGGTTTCCATAAGAATCGAGAGGCCGCAAGAGCCAGGGCGGCGAGGTTGCATTCTAAATCTTCCGCGGAATCAGGTCAGGGTATCAAACGCCAGGGGAGCGAATTGCTGGCCGAAGAGGACGAGAACTCAGACGCATCCGATACATCATCAGCTTTTGTCGCAAGTGTTGATTCGACTTCTATCTTGGATACTGTTGAGAACCCGGCGGTAGGTACCTCGCCTGGTCAACAGGTCGTAGGAACCGTGCCGAAGCAGTTGCTTCGTCAGTCCACAGTGAGAAAACCGCCGCCTCCGCCTCAGTCGCAGATGCTTCAAGCCCTACCCCCTCCTCGACCTATGAGCACAATCAGGCCCCTAAGCATGCTTCAGCCTCGTAGTCTGCTATCAGAATCTTTTAAAGCGAAGAAGACTAAGCCATCCATGCCATTTGACACGTTCGCAACCTTGTCTGGTCAAGGAGATCCTGACCCTCTTCGAATGCGAATTTACGCGCCATTCTCCGAAGATCCTGAAAAGCCTTTTGAGGTGCTCATACGTCGAAATATTCAAGAGGCAGATGGAACTTTTAGGCCAGTAACTGTTGCTGAGTTGATTGGTCTGAGTCTATGGAGGTACCATGCTGAAAAGCTCCAACCTCCGGTACCTGCTGATAAGCTGAATGTGAATTGGTGGACGTTGAGAATGGTTGAAGAAGGCGGCGAAGTGGATGACGATTTTGAACCGCTGGATCGTAAGAAACCCGTCAATTCGTTTACTACGGCAAACAACAGGGCAGCAAGATCGCGGTCTGCATCTAAAGCCTACGACGAGTTTGCCTTGGTACAAGCTTCGGAAGCTGGCTTCATAGACAACCAGTCTCAGACTCCCCAGTATGAGCAGCAAAATGTAGCGGAACCTGTGGCTGATGAAGAGGCGACCCCAAAGAGTACGCCCCAACCACAAGCTTCCCCATTGACGGCATCACATCCGCGCACGAATCCAATCATCACAACCACTTACCGGGTGGACGCACCGCTGGCCGATAAACCTGAGCGGAAGCTTGACGCGCCAGCTGCAAGTAGAGGTCAACATAAACTTCTACGGGTTCGTATTATGTCATCCGATATCGCCCCTGGACAGATGGTTACTCTTGATGTCACAACGGATATGTACTTGGCTGAGGTTCTTGATCTTATCTGTCGTAAGAGACAACTTGACAAGAATATACATGTCCTTAAACTCCCCGACTCCGGAGCTGTGGTCTACGAGGACCGTACAGTTTCGTCTATTGGCAACGCCATGGACCTGGAACTTCATCGTCGCCGCTTTGCAATAGATGGTTTAACAATGACAGGTTCTCCTAGCAGTCCATCACCCAAGCCACACGTATGGAATGAGGTGCCCCAGAAGGGGAAGAAGAAGCTCATGACGACGCATCCCCTTGCCCAGGAAACCATGATGCAAGATGAGGCCGGTAGTGGTGATGTGAAATACAAGAAATACACCGTTTGGCGTAAGCAACCGATGAGGTTTGTCGGCATGAATGAGCGAATACTTGTCATTGATGGCGAGTACGTGTATATTCAGCCATCCTCTGGGGGCAAGGCAACGCGCGAAGGAGGCAAGACTACAACTGTTCACTTCAGTAACGTCGTTGGGTGCAGTGTTTCTCGCCGCCACCCAACCAACTTTAAGGTATGCCGATACGACACTCTACTCATGCATTTAATTCAGATGCTAACGTTGAATATAGCTTCTCGTATATAAAGCTACTGAGAGCAAAAGGTATGACTTTGAAGCCAAGAGCACCCAAGAGGCAGCAGAGATCGTGCGTGAACTTAAGAAGGGAATTTCTCCTTACAACAGGGACATATAGGGAATGCCCTTGAAGGGCACGCTTGGAGAAGCTGTTATTCAGATCTAGTCAGAGCACGGAACTCCGCCCGTGAGTTTCTGTCAGCTAAAGTCGTGATGATTTAGGACATGTCCACCGGGAGGCTCGGACACCTATCTCACAGACCACACAATGTGTACGCCACCGTTTGTCATTCTACCATGGAGCCGTGGAGTTTAGGGCTAAGTAAGTCGGTCCAACGTTGAATGGACTGGACAGATGTTTGCCTTGCCGTGCAATACAAAGTTTCCCAGACGACGGTGGGATTTAAGTCTTCGCTGGGCATATCCTTGACTGTCGCATGCGCAGTTTAGCTTAAAAGTGATCGTTTCAATATGGTGCTCCTAGGTCAAAATCCCGAGGGGCTTACCTGTCTGGTAGGTACTCATGGATACCATGCGTGGCGTAAAGCTTTCTTTTTTATTTTTCCTCATCGGGTCGCAATCCAATGGTCTGGTTCGCTTCGGGACCTTGATCGGAATTCGTGTCGAAATCTAAGAAATTCCGGGTTCATTAATATGGCGTGGGAGTTTCCGAGAAATATGCAACTTTAGGGGTGCGTGTTCCAATCATTACATAGGCGAAGGCAGCCAATCATGCTGACAAACCAAGGCATTCCCTCCGTATATTAAACCATCCATGGATCCTCCAATTCTCACGGGTTGAATGCATCTTGCCACTGTCCTGGCGGTGTACATTTCGTCGCAGTTGTCAAACTAAAATGGCGGGCGTATTCTTTCACCCCCAGTTAATCCGCACACGGTTCTAGACATGCTCGCGACTGTATGTACTATGCCGCAAATGCTCCGCCCTTCAAGTGGGAGAAATCGACAAAAGCAGGAAAGAAGGCTGGCTTATATTTACATTTGGATCTTTACCTTGGTAAGAACAATGCCTAGGTGATATAATGGATTGAAACTGGAATATGCCGGTGAGGTTACAGAAGTGACACGGATCATGATGAGGCTGATGTCCAGGCACTTCCTCTCTAGTCAGATTATACAACAGCCAGTTTGAGAGCACTCATTGTATTTGGCTGGCATGTGTAACTGTATCGGCCCGGTTTGTATGCTTGTGCTTTGCTTCGAACTAGAGGGGGGTTACCTAGGCAGGCCAACAGATGAACCAGCCCTGAGCCATGTATTCGGTAAGACATCCCGCTCAGGAGACAAGGATATGCCAGATAAGAGCTTAAACTGTTTATATTACTGAAGAAGGTAGTGTTTAGGGGCAGTTAATTGTCATTCGATATGTCGCAGGTAGATGGCACCGGGCGATATGAGACGGCGAGCTTTGGTAGACGGTTACACGCGAGAAGGTCAAATCACACAATACTCATCGTGTAACTATATCACGGCAGCGAAATCAAGTATATCTTAGAGGCGGGTAGCAAACAAATAAATTGGACGGGGCAACACTGGATGCTGCAGGAGACGGGTGGTGACATGAAGTATTATTAGCAAGAATTTTCGAGACGGAAGGGAAAAAAGGGGTAAGCGGCAAAACTACCAGCAAAATTATCTGATTCTGATTTACACATACTAGTACTACATACCTATCATCTATCTTGATACATCCATACCTACGTATTTAAATATCCTAAATTCTCTCAAGAGTATGTAAGTATAGACAAGCAAAGAAGTACCCATGTCTTTACGTACATATATTAATTCATTAATAGATGTACGCAAGTACTCACCCGTAAACAGCTTAACCCACCGATTTCATCCAAACCGATCGACTTGATCGGATCTGCTCGCCCATAAAACATTGCCATGCCCAAGCAACAGACGGCAATTAATTCATCTGAATTAAAAAAAGCCAAATAGTTCCATTTCGGGTTTAGATACCTGAGTAACGTACAGGATCCCTAATCAGTCTCAAATCTGAGGTGCGACTGGAAAAGATATAAGCGCAGAATTGAAATTGCAAAACCTTCCCACTTTCCTCCTTTTCTCACAAACACTCAAACCACTTACTCAAACCACTTACGCTCTTTCCACATCTCGTCCCCGACCAACTCAAACTTCCAGCTACTCAACTTACTTAACTTACTTACCTAACTCAACCACAAACAATCTTCTCTCTCTCGTTCATTTTCTCTTCTTTACATCTCTCGTCATCAACCCACATTTACGTTCCGTCAAACATCTTTCGTCTATCATCAAGATCATTACGATCATCACTACTCTATTATTCCGCAATCAAACATCTTCCACAGAATACTTCGAGTAGACTACGTAGTTCACATCTTCAAGATGCAGTACTCTAAGGTTCTTATCACCATGGCCATGATTGCCATCGGCGCAGTAAGTTTTCTTTCTCATCAATCTGTCACAACACCCATAACATATCATCGTCGCCCTCGTTACCTTCCCTCCTATCACACTACCACATCGTTATATTTACATCACACTCCAACCATTCTACCTATTACATATCATCTTCATACCATCTACCTTTGTTTATCATGTATATTTATTTACCAAATATTAATGACTAACTTTCTCATCGCAGGTCGCAACCGAGGCCGACACCTGCTCTTGCGGCATCGTCTCGACCACTACGGTCACTGCCGCAACCTACTCTGTGCAATGCAGCACCGCAATCGTTGGTCTCTCTACCACCTCGACTAGCATTCTCGAGACTGCTACCCCCTCAACCATCGTGGCTTCTACTACTACTGTGCCCGGCTCCGCTTCCGGCTCGGTCACCTCGGGTGGTACCGGCAGCACCACTGCTCCCGGCTCTGAGACTCACCCCTCAGGCAGTGCCAGCGCCAGTTCTACTGGCATCGGAAGCTCCACCGAGAGCCAACCTCATTCTGCCAGTGTCACTGAGACTCACTCGAGCACCCATCCCGCTAGCACTCCTTCTAACACCAACGCCACCCCTACGCCCTCTTCGGCTGCGGGTTCCGTGCCTACTGGCGTGATGGGCATCAACGGTGTGCTCGGCGGAGCAGTCCTTGCCGCTTTGGTCCACATCTAAAGGAGAGAAAAAGACCTGTTGATGGGAGGAGGGGTTATTCTGGCAATCACAAGGCAGAATGGTCTTTTCACTATTTGACTGCGTTCGATTCTTTTCTGTGGATACATTACCATACTACTGGTATCGACTTTGCATTATCGCGTTTTTCATGCATGGATGATGAGGCAGGTTTTAATGATCACAATGTACTCTAGGGTTCGTTACGTTTACGTTGCATACTGATGCCTTCATCACGAAACTTGCGGGGAGGGGAAAGGGAACGGAAAACGGAATTGGGCTTGACTTGATGAATTTACCTATTGGCCCTGAGTGTTTCTCATATGACGGAAACATCGTACTCGGGCAATGGTTACCTTAATACTCGCAAATTCACACATTACCAAGTCTAACTTACTATCTTACTGTTTACATACCATTACCGTGACTGATTGTTGACTTAATCTTCTAATCTCATCGTCGTAAGTGAGCCACAATTCGTACCCGCCCTCATTGATAACTCGATGAGAAAGTGATTCTGTCACCACCTTCGTAGCAACCCTCGTACATCATCTCGCCGTGTAAATCTTTGATATACTTCCCAGTTAGCGGATCGTTTATACCGAGGTCGCTTTAAAAATTGATTTTATCTTAAAACACAACAAAGTACCAATTCATTCGGCATAAATAGCGACTTTCACAGTACTGACGAATATAACTTACAAGATCCATACCTATACAGCATCCACCATAGGATTTATTTATTCACAACTTCGACGCCCCGCTCTCCCTAGCGCTATCCATCCTCACCCCTTCATCGTCCTGCTCCGCCACCGTCAGATCCGGCAGCGAAGCCGGCATTATGCGGCGCGGCGCCGAGCCGGGGACCACGGCGTACGGCGCGAAGTCGGTCACGCCGCCCAGCTCGCGCAGGTAATCCTCGTCGAGCAGCAGGTGGCCGTTGACGGAGGGCGCGGGCGCGCGGAGGATGGCCAGGACGGCGTCTGAGAATATGGTTGGTTTGCGCAGGTCCCGCGCCGAGGAGGGGTTGTTGAGGGTGGTTTTGGCGGTTGCGGCGGATTCTATCGCCTGGGATTTTTGGTTAGGTGGATGGTGGCTTTTGTTATGGATATTAAGTATTCGTTGGGTTACGAGGATAGGGGGTTAAGACTGGGACTTGGGAGTACGACTAAGAGAGAGAGAGAGAGAGAGAGAGAGAGAGAGAGAAAGATGTGGTATTGTGGAGAATGAATGAATAGGAGAAGGTGTCAACTTACAACCGCCGGCCACAAGCTAGTAATCGCCATGTCCTTTAGCCCCTGCCTCTCGAAATCCATCGCGAGGCCCTTGGTCAGCACGCTCATGCCCACCTTGCCCATCGCGTACGCCGCCTTGCCGCGGAAGAAGCGGCTATAAATAGGCGGGCTGACTACGACGATCCGGCCCCGGCTCTGTTTGAGGTGTGGCAAGGAAGCTTGGACGGCGCCGTAGAGACCCTCCGGGTTCACGCGCTGCATTAGCTGGAACCGCTTCATCGGCGTCTCGTCGACGGACGCCCACCATATAGCTCCAGAGTTGTAGATTAGCGCGTCTAGACGGCTGTAGATCTAAGGTATGGGGCTCTGGTGTTAGTGGAGAGTTTACTTAGTTTAGGTGGGTATGCTAGAAAAGGGGGGAGAGGTGAGGAGAGGAAAGGAAAGGAGCTGACCTCGATGGTTCTGTCTACTAGCTTCTGCACGCTGGCGAAGTCCCTGACGTCTACTGGGATCGCGGTTGCTCTCCCTCCCGCCTCGATGATCTCCCTCTCAACTGTGCTGATGGTCGACTGAGGGGAGTTGGGGTCTGGTGGAAATGGCACGGTGGTTTGGGCGTCGCTTGTTGATTTTGCTGCGACGACAACTATATAAATGTTACTAAGAGTAATTATGTGACTCAATGTATAGGTATATATACAAACTTACCCGCGTACCCATTCTTCGCTAGGTCGATGGCGATCTGTCTCCCGATGCCTCTTGAAGCACCAACTACCAATGCGACCTTGGTATTGGCCGCCATTGCTACATTACTACCTAGGTACGCAAAAATAATACGCAAGATTATGATGTTTAGGTATAGAAATACGAAAACATGAACAAAGAACTACATGTTCCTACCCATTCCAAGGTGTATGTTCGATGAAGCCGACGAGATCACTAATCCCCTATCCTTATACGAAATACAGGAAGTTAACCGCTGGAGAATAGTGGATCCACGGGAGCAGCCGAGGCTTAATATGTAGACCCACTTATCCAATATATCTTTCATATAGGTAGGATATTGCACAAAGGAGGGACTAGAGGGAATACCAAGATTCAAAAAGTGATAGGTCATATGCAGTAAGGACTACCTGGTATATACAGAACATAACAAAAGGGGGTATTTTCCGTCGTCCCTCATCTCTAATTCAACCTCGCTCTAGTCGAACTCCTGCCAGCACTAGGTATAGATATGCCTGGTTTCCAGCTCAGACATCAAACTTGCATTTGACATCCCCAATGTCTAACATCCGGGTGATACGGGATCACCAACCTGTCATACGCGGGCGCCCGCTAGGTGAACCCTTAATACAGCCACGGCCCTACAATCGAGTACGTCAGCTCTCGGCACTTTTATTTTTATTTTTTTAAAAAAGGGCAACTCTTCCCGGGAGGAGCCGCCACGGGAGGACAGATATGTCTTACCTGGGATGAACCGGTTTTCCTGCTCCCTAAGCGTCGGGATCTTCAGCACTTCGCTGTGTATGGCGTTCATCGCCGCCAGCGCGTCGTCCGCGCCCACGACGAGCGATATGTTGATCTTGCTCGCGCCTTGACTTATCAGGTATATGCTGATCTTTTCTGAGGCTAGCGATGATAGGATCTCGTCTAGGGTGTTGTTGTTAGTGATGTGATGTCGGTTTACGGAGAGTTATGGGTATAGTCAAAGGGTAACTTACTGGATACGCCGACCATGTTTCGCATCTTGTGGCCGACCACTGTTACGATAGACATATTAGGCGATATGCCAACTTGGCCGAACCGTTCGAGCTCCTCCTTAAGCCTTAATAGCGCGCTGGCGTCGCTTGGTGCTTGCACTGCCAAGCTGACATGCCTTTCGCTCGTAGCCACGAGGTCTGCGGGGATCTTATTCCGCTCGAGACGGTCGAACACCTGCGTTAGAAAACCTTGGGACTTGGTGTTTCTGTTGCAGACTACATTGATTAGGAGAATGTCGTCTTTCACGGTCACTGCCGTGGGTTTTCTGCGCTCCTGCTCCGCCCCGTGGTACCCGTTCTTCAGCATGAAACTAGAAAGAGGAGGGGTCATTCGGGGAGAAGAGTTATTAGAATCCTCTGACAAGCTGCTTGCTGGACTGGTAGGACCGGGACTAATGGTCGATGGGTAGATGATGGTGCCATGCCCCAACGGCTTGAAGACGTTTTTCAGACGCAGTGGTATGCCAGCGTCCCGGATCTGATCCATCGTCAATGGGTGGATGACCTTCGGTGAAGTCAGTAAGCCTCGTCTCTCATTGGAGGTGAATCTTCTCACCTCGCTCCCATAGTATGTCAATTCCGTGGCTTCTTCGTCTGTTACTGTCGATAATAGGCGTGCCGACGGTACTTTCCTCGGGTCTGCTGTGAATATGCCGTCGACTTCTTTCCAGATCTGAAGCTCGTCTGCTCCCACCGCTACCGCGCACATAGCTGCGCACAGATCGGAGTATCCCCTCCCTACCGTCTGCAGCAACGAGTCCGGCATTATGCCAAAGAACCCTGTGATTCTTAGTACCTGTCATCCAGATTTGGTACCCGAGGGCTTATCTTACCTGTCACGATAGGGATTGAATTCCCACATTCTCGAATCCGCCCACATATTTGGTCGGACAAGACATGATAGAACTTTGGGCCCAGCCTTTCGAGCGCAGCCACCTGATCGTGGATGGAGCTGCCAAAGGCAGATGAGACGATGTCGTCAAGGAAAAGGGGTCGCGCTAGCGTGCCCTAGACTAAGTTTAGCTCACCCATCGAACGATTAGTGTCGATCTCGGGATTTGAGTGGAACTTACTGTGCTCGTCAGGCAAGCCGCCACGATCATAGAAGCTAGCTTCTCTCCGATAGAAATGACGCGGTCTTTGGACCGTGGGGATAATTCTCCGACGATCTGGGACTAGCACGTTAGCTTGGGATCCATGCGAGATAAGAGCTAATCCCGACTGACCTGAGCGGCGATTAGGAATCTCTTCAGACCCTCGCACTCCTTCTTGATGCTAGACGCCGTATCTTCGAAGATCTGCCCACAAGCTGATACGCGTGCGGGGGAGCTTGCAAACGCCTCTAGCAAGTTCAAGTGGGTGTCCTTGATTAAGTCGATAATGTCCATCAGCCGCTTCTGGGCTTCGATACCTAGCTCGGCGTATGCTATGCATTGCAGCAACAAGCTCGTCGTCCCGCTCGCCTTCAGGGTCCCCGAGAAGGCTGAGCAGACAACAATAAGATTGTTTGCTCCGGCGTACTGCGGAATGATGCTAGTGCATATCGTATCCAGCAGCTTTCCCAAGCTAGTGCCGCCGTATTTCTGGACCAGCCAGGGCTTGCTCGCCGTCGCGGTCACCATGACGATGTAAGGGATGGTAATTGTAACACCTCAAGATGTAAAAGTTCTTTCTTTCCGTGTAGCCGAGGAGAAAGGAGAAGTGGCTTAAGATTGGGAACACGAGAGAGGAAGTGTTGGTGAGGTGGTTTGAGTTGATTCATACACGAGATTCGAATCTAGCCAGGCTGGCCGGTGTTCCTTTTTTTATGCTCCCCCCCTGAGCTGCCTTAGCTGCCTCTTTGGGTCGAAGCCAGGCCAGCCCATCGCCAAGAAAAAACCCACTCAACCCGCCGTCGGCGACGGGGAGCAAAGTGTTAGCGAAGCTTGGATCGCCCACGACCAACCACAGGCCGCCGGGATTGCGTCAGGTCGGGATAGTTCTACCGCGAACTTCGAGCGAGTGGCACTAAGCGAGAATGGAAAAACATTTGGCGTGGGCCGACGACAATATCATAACACACTCTCCGGATTTAGAAAGAATTTCGAAGGCGAAAAAATAGGGCCGCCGGAAGGGCGCAAAAACAGGGAAAGACAATCAGGTAATCACCGAGGCTTTCGTTGGGCTGGGCTACCTGGGAATTAGGACTTAGCAGGTATATGCGAAACCCCATCCATACCCACCGAGATAGCGTGGGTGCGTTTGTGTGTATGTGTACAAATCTCACACTACGTCCTCCCCACCTACGTACGGCATCCCATGCGGCCAGGTACAGATACCTAGCCGCAAATACTGGGGAACAAAAGAGGGAAGGGGTAGAAAGGTAGAAAGGGCAATCCGTGACAATGCATTGTGGGGAGGAGAGGAGAAAGTTACCCAAATCCCGACCCGGCATTTATGATAGGTTCCATGCGTGATAAATACTATGCATCGAGCAGATCCTCCTTTCCCAAAGCGGGACCCCCCCTTTTCCCCGGACTTACTGGATGCGGCGCTGTTTAGGGTATCGAACCGGCGGCCTTTGAACGTTCTACACTAAGGATCCGGACTAGCGACGGGCTAAAACCAAAGTAAACCAACGGCCGTAGGGTTATCTCTGTGTCAGCTACGGTATCACGATGGGTCCTTTTTTTTCCTTTGGTTTTTGCCTCTCTTCTCACTCAGATCACGAGATTGGGGAATGAGTGAGAGTTTGCCGTGGCATAATTCGGGACCGGATATCGCCGGGAATGGTGGCTTACACATGGCTTCTCTCGCGTTGTATCGAGGTAGCTTTGTTACTACGGCTCCAGTCAGTCGGTTTACTCGCAGCCGTTGCAACGTAGGATAGTCTAAGCACTCTATTTGCCCCGCGGGGGGGAAGGGATATCGTCGATTTGATCGAGAGAAATTTGTGAGCAGTAAACCGTGGCTTTTCTCTCCGGAGTTTTCTTTCCCTCATGGTCTCAGTTCCAGATGATTCTGTCATCTTGGGCCGCATAACTACGTATACGTTGTACAGAAATCAAGAGGCCCCCCCCCTCCTGAGGCCGCAGAAGCCACCGATGCAGGAGTGAATTACATCAGGACACTGTCATGTCTCTTGTCGACTTGTACCTGTAACCCAAAAAGGGCATATGTGGTGTAATATGACCAAAAATGGGTGATGCTACCTCAGTCTCACCGTCCCCAAAGCGGCATCATACCCCAAAGCATGTACCTACTGTGACATTGCTCCTGCGATAGATTGATGGGAACATTCAATAATAAACAGCCTACATAGAATATTGGCACTAAAAACGACAAGATCCCCCCTAAACTCCCCTTCCCAAAACAGTAAAAGAAAAACGCTTGGGTATACAAAATCGGTACAAACACTTGACTGGAACAAGCCATCCTCCATCCACCCCTCGCAATGATCCTCCTCGCCGATCAAATCACCAAGCCTCCACCTCGCCGGTCAGACTAGCGCCTCCGGGCTGCGCGGTATGCTCCTCGGCGGGGTCGTCGAAGGTAGCGGCGCTGTAATATTGCGGAAAGTCCTTCCTCAGCTTGCCCACGATCAGCGCCGTGAGCTGCTCGAACTCGAGCAGGAACCCGTCGTGGCCATCCGAGGACCGCAGCGTCGCGAGCGTGGCCTCGGGGAGGCAGTTGGCGAGCCGCTCCTGCTGCTCGGGCAGGAACAGCGCGTCCGTCTCGACGCTGACGACGAGGGCGCCCGCCGGTACTACCGCTAGGACCTCGCGCAGCGCGGTGTCGTCTCGGTCCGATACGGGCGTTGATGCCGGTGTCCTGCCGAGCGTCACGTCGTGCGCGTCCATCTTGTTGGTGATGTGCAGGTAGCAGTTGGCGTCGAACCGAGAAATAAACTTCTGCCCCTGGTAGTGCAGGTACCCCTGCGCGGAGAAGGAAGGGTCGCGCCTCGCGGCCCAGCCCTTGCGTTCCGCGCGCTCCCTGGCGTCGCCCGGTGCCGCCATAGCCGTGGCCGTGGACGCGACGCCCGGAACGTCCGTTCGCGGAAGGTCGAGCGGTGGCTCCGTTACCGTCCTCGGCTTCTGCTGTTGCTGCTGGCGCGGTGGCTTGCGGCCAAATCGCTCGTCGAAGCTCATGCACGAGCGGTACGTGAGCATGGCTACCATGCGCGCGGCGGCCAGACCAGCTGATGGCTGGCCCTCGGGCCGCGGTTCGTAGTAGCCGTCGTCGAACCTGGGGTCAGAATAGATGCACTGGCGCTGCGCCTCCGCCCACGATATGCCCCAGGCACTATGGTCGGCCGCCGTCGCGATCGGCACGATACTCCTGACATACCCGGGAGCTGTGCAGAGCGGCCACTCGAGCGTCGTCATGCCGCCCATCGAACCTCCGATTACGGCGGCTACGGATCGGACGCCTAGGGCATCGAGGACATGCTTGTGTGTTCTATGCGCAGACATCGTGTTAGTATCGACTTTCAATGTTCCGATGTGTTGTCTATATTCGTGTTTTGCATACCTCACATCGTCGCGAACCGTCGTCTGCGGAAATTCGCTGGCGTACTGCCTTCCCGTCCGAGGATCAACTGTAAGGGGCGATGCGCTCCCGTAAGGTGACCCGAGGACGTTGGCGCAGAAGATGAAAAAGTGCGCCGGGTCGAACGCCTTGCCGCGACCAAGGAGTGGACTCCACCAATCACTGATATCACTGCTGCCTGTGAGAGCGTGGCAGATAACCAAGACGTTGTCTCGAGCTTCATTAAGTCGTCCCCATGTCTTGTAGGCGATCGGGCAAGATTCTAGTATCTCGCCCGAGTCGAGGACGAGCTCCGGTATGACTGCGAATTTCTGCCCCTGAATGAGGCTGGCATAGTAATTGTCAGGATTCGGGTTGCGATCAAGAACTACGATGTGTTAGAGTGTCTTTCTAGGATAGCTTGGCCAAGGCCCACTTACGAGTTGCCATATCGTAATGATGTGAAAGAGAAATGTTTGTTGGTGGGTTCGCGAAATAGGCTGAATTACGAAGTCAAGATTGGCAAGTTTGAGCGAAGAGAGAAGCTATCTAAGAGCTATCTTAGAGCTAGCTGATAGATAGGTAGTATGTATCATATCTGTATATAGCTCGGATCCGCGCAGTCCCGGTCATAACTAGAGTCCCGATTATCTGGCCAGCCAAATACATGTGTTACTCACCCCACACAAACACCGTTGCAATGGAAACTCCAGATTTGACCTTCCAAGCCGAGAGCTAGGGCGCCGGGGAGCCAGGGAGCAAGTGTACCTAGGGACCAGATACACTACCTCACTAGGTATATCCTACTGCCAGCACCGGTGTTCGGACTACTGCCCAGCGGACCGGGATTTGGTGCTTCGGGATCTGCGTCGTGTCGCAGAGTTGTATGCGCCGTCGTACTACAGGATGTGGGCTCGGCCCCACAATCTACATAGCACGACTAGTCCCATTGACCAAACACCATGATGACATTCCCCACTAGCATTGGGCTTGACTTATAACCGTTATACATAGCTCAGATAGCATGTATGTAGGTGTCGTATCGTGTCGTATCGTATCTTGTACCATACTAGGTATGTAAGCAGCCATCAGCTGATACAGTAACAACGGCTCGTCCCGCATGCTCGTGCGTGTTAGAGGCGTAAACCACATGGATCATCCATGGATCCTCGAGTCCAATAGGAAAATTTGAAATTCTTCACGTTGGAAAGTCTTATTACCCCTATCTTGAAGCGCATATAGACCGTTGCTTTTGCAAGTCGGAACTTAACCTTTCGGACCCATCAACCTGGATACTAGAAACCGCCTAGATAACATGGCAACCACTCGAATCGTGAAAGTGGCGGCTGTGCAGGCTGCCCCCGTTTCCTTCGATCTTGAAAAGAGTTTAGAGAAATTGACGAGATTAGTCGGTGAGGCGGCTTCAGGGGGAGCAGATCTTATCGTGTTCCCGTAAGTCGTTGCGTACTCGATCTACACCAACGCGATAAATTGACGCCGCTCTGCAGCGAAGCGTTCTTATCAGCTTACCCATGGCGTTATGCATTTGATGCCACCATCGGAGCCCGGGAGCCTCGAGGTAAGAAAATCTTGTTTAGACGCAAAAAAAAAGGGCCATGTGATTGACGTCAAGTAGGAAGAGAATGGTATGCGAAATACTACGACTCGGCTGTTGCTGTGCCGTCTCCAGCAGTGGATACCATCTCAAAAGCAGCTAAATCCCACGGAGTGTATATCCAAGTTGGTATAATTGAGAAAGACGGAGGCACTCTGTATTGCACCGCCCTGTTAGTTGGCCGAGATGGATCTGTGTTGCTGAAGCATCGAAAAGTGAGTTTTAGTTGGCCGTTTTTACGACGCCCTATCAAAGCTAAGCGCATATCAAGTTGATACCCACCGCGGCGGAGCGCCTAGTATGGGGAAGAGGGTCGGGAGACGGCCTTGGAGTTGTCCAAACTGATATTGGCAAGATCGGTACATTGATCTGGTAGGTTTTCCTGACTTCGTGCGGCTCAATTTGCTGAGGAATATGCAGTTGGGAGAATTACATGCCCGCCGCGCGAATGGCACTCTATCAGCAAGGAATCGAGTAAGACGACGTGACCACTTGGATGATGGTAAGAATTCCGCTGACTAAACTTCCGACAGAATTTACCTCGCCCCTAATGCGGATGATTTGCCTTCGTGGATTGCATCAATGCAACATATAGCCAAAGAAGGGCGATGCTTCGTTGTCTCGGTAAATTCGGTGTGCAAAGTTTCCGATTTTCCTAAGGACTACCCGCCGTTTACTCCCGAGCATCATGACCGGAAGCCAGATGGGACAAGATGGGAGCCTGACGACATTGTAAACCATGGAGGATCTTTCATCGTGGGTCCACTCGGGATTCCCCTGACGGAGCCAGTATGGGATAAAGAAGAGATAATCTTCTCCGATTTGAAACTGTCAGAAGTCACAGAGTCGAGAGTGAGTCTCCTATCACCGAATTGTACTTACCAACAAAACTAACGAATTATGATTAGCTTGATTTTGATCCGGTTGGGAGCTACGCTCGTCCGGATGTGTTGTAAGTTTCCTCCGAGAGTGAAATTCCCTCGGGATAGGCCGTGGCGACTAACATGCCGATAGTACTCTAACGGTTAATACAAAACCCGGGACAAATGTAAGCTTCACAGGATAGGTTGGGTTTTGGGCTAGGGCGTGAGACGTTAGATTTTGTGTCGTTTCATCGATCGAGGAACACACGTGGTTCGATACACCAGGGTGGACAACCGTAGCTAGATTACTCTGTAGCCCGTAGGGTAAAACCATGAATGGAAAATACCCGGTTTGTACCCGCAGAACGACTCGTAAGCCACAGTTCGTGCTTCCCCTAAAAATGACTGCTCATCTTGACGAACGCATCGTGCCCTGTGAAGGATACCTGAACATGTGAAACGTGACCAATGGCCGAATGGCTCAAAGAGCCTCTCGGTTCTTCTTCGTAGACGAGCGAACCGAAAACCCGGGTCGCCCAGACTCGGTAACGATGATCAGCAAACGCCATTCTACCACATTACCAATTTTTCTTCATCAACCGCCCTTATCACATGTGACAAACGTGCGGGGAACGCCGTCGCCTCACATATGTATGTGACCCCTGTACCTGGGGAATATGGGATATGTCAACAGGAAGCTAGGAGCTGGGGTTGTGGGTCTATCATACGACGATTAGGAAGCCATCGGGCTTTGCTGGTGTTACATTGCAGTCTGATAGCTAAGGTGGCCCACTAGATCCGTATGCCGGATATGGACTGCAAGGAGTACCTTATCTGATGTAGGTTGGCTGGAAGGTACCTCTGGCTGACGAGGGAGCTGCAGGGTGGAGGGGGGTTATGTATGTATACATCCGCAATCCGGACGCCATACGCCTCCAAGTGTATGTTTGTCTCACATACATTTAAGGCCGAGCCTCTCTGCAGTTGACCTCGCTATATCACTTCGAATCGCAAAGTGAATCCGACTTCTCAACGTTCTCGACGTCTCCATACGCAGTCATCAGCCTTCAACAATATCAGAAGACGCGATTTGACCTTTGTTTGACCTCAACATGTCTCCTCCGGGATCAATTAGCAATTTGGACTGGTATGACGCCATACCTTCTCGATGAGGAAAGGAGAAACGTACATCTGACAGAAGATACTACTATAGGGAACCCAGCTTCAACACCGTTGCCGTACATGGTGGACAAGAGCCGGACCCAATCAACGGCTCCAGAGCAGTTCCCCTATACCAAACTGCCGCCTACAACTTTTCCGACGCAGCTGATGGAGCAAGCAAATTCGCTTGGTCCAGGGATGGATATGTCTACACACGTATGGGCAATCCCACCAACACAGTCTTCGAGAACCGAATGGCTATGTTGGAGGGTGGCGTCGGTGCTGTAGCCACCGCATCTGGTCACGCCGCGCAAGTGAGTTGTTGTTCGAATAAGGCGCTGTCGTTTTCCAATATGCTGACGAGCAACCCCAGTTCATGGCCTTGACACAATGTTGCGAACCCGGTCACAATTTCATCAGCACCAGTTGGTGTAAGTTCCCGAGCCCCGAAGATGCGATTTCGAAAGAATCATACTGAATATCCCGTGTTCGTAGTGTACGGTGGCAGTTTCAATCAATTCCGGGTATATCTGAGCAAGTTCAAGATCAACGTTAAGTGGGTAATCGGAAACGATCCCGCCAAATTCGAAGAACAAATTGACGAAAACACGCGAGCCATTTACATCGAGACGATCAGCAACCCCAAGCACAGCGTTCCGGATATTGCAGCCATCGCTGCCGTCGCGCACAAGCATGGCATTCCCTTAGTTGTCGACAACACCTTTGGCATGGGCGGGTACCTGTGCCAGCCAATTAAGCTTGGAGGTACATACGTAGCCTGCATACCCCTGACCCACTTCAAGTAGATGGCCGTAAGCTGACTTGAGCCTCTAGCCGATATCGTCACACACTCGGCCACGAAATGGATTGGCGGACACGGAACCAGCATGGGAGGCATCGTGATTGATGGCGGTCACTTTGACTGGAGTGCATCGGGGAAGTTCCCCGGCTTCACGGAGCCGGCAGAGGGTTACCACGGCATGCGATTCTGGGAGACGTACGGATACAAGGCATTGGCGGCGAAGGTGCGAATGGACAGCATGCGTGATCTCGGTCCTTGCATGAGTCCTTTCAACGCCTGGCTATTTCTCCAGGGCCTAGAGACCTTGCCACTCCGTGGTCAGAGGACCGTCGAGAACACGCAGAAGCTCGCTGAGTGGCTCGAGAGCCATCCTTGCGTTAACTGGGTATTGTACCCCGGTTTGAAGTCGCATCAAGACTATGAGCTGGCAAAGAAAGTGATGCCAAAGGGACAAGGTGGCGTCTTGACTTTTGGTGTGGTAAGTCTCTGCTGCAACGTATATAATGTAATTATGCATGGATGCTGACGCCGGGTTTAGGCTGGAAAAGTCGAGCAAGTCCGCGCCGTGGTCGACAATCTCAAGATGGCTAGCCACTTGGCCAACGTCGGAGACTGCAAAACTCTCATCATCCACCCCTGGGTTACGACACATCAGCAGATGCCCGATGACGAAAAAATAAAGGGCGGCGTTACGCGTACGTATAAAACAAGCCCCCATGGTCATGCCTCATATTTCAAAGGACCTTGCTGACTTAACATCTCCTGATCAACAGCCGACCTCCTGCGTGTCAGCTTGGGCATCGAAGACTTCGAAGACATCAAGAAGGATTTCGAGCAAGCCTTCAAGGCCGCTGGGCTTCAGAAGGCGGAGAAGACCGGAATAGATCCCTTCCAGACCGCCGCCAACCTCGTGAGCGGCGGATTTATGGGCAAGCTGGCAACTGGCCCACCGCGACCCGGGACTGATGGCACTATCCAGGCATAAATTGCACGATCGAAGAGTATACGATCGTACAAGGAATGGGACGGATTAGGTAACCTTGGAAGATATTGATACCAAAAGAGATCCGGGTGATACCTTTGGTACGGGGCAAGATTTCAAGGGGGGCGGCACTTGCATTCGGTTGCATTTATACATATCAGGGAACACAAGCGAGCCCAGGTGTTAATTATCGCATATTGGGAGGTTATATTCTTAAGCAACAAGTTACACAAAGTTCAACCCATTTCTAGAATCCTTCCCGTGTCGCTCCTAACAGCATGGGAATACGTACCTACGTACCTGGTGGGGCAAGGGCGGCTCGGTTATCTCATAACTGAAGCTGACTAAGATTTGATTAGTATTCACTGTCGCAAGTTGCCTAGGCACATGTTGGCTCCAGCTCTTACTTCATCAGTATTGGTCCTGATTTATTGTTCGAAGTCTCAACTGTTAATGATGGCATATCTGTAGAAAAGTAATGGAAACACACTGCTGATTAGGTATAAACATTTCGGAAAATATACAGAGAAACGAGTCTTCGTCATGGGCGGCCACATCGATCTGTACATTGACCTCGGTACGGGCAACCCATCCCCTCGGAGTTAACACATTCATTCACCCATCTAACTCGGGGCAACGTTCTAGCGTCGCTATACAGCTACATCGCACTCGTCCAGGTGCTCAAGACCCGTGATCTTCTCAAGCAGCATTCTGTAGAAATCGAGTCAGCTCACCTCATCTTATTATTATCTATCCTATAACATCCTCAACATTATAATGTCCCTACATAGTGGTCTTTCGTATAAGCTGACTAATGGCCGAATACTAGGATCCACCCGGTCCTCCTAGGTGCCATCAACGCCGGCTCCGGTATGTGTTTATGAACCTGCTGCCGCATTGTGCCCTTAGAGATTGGATACCCATATACGTTGGAAGCCGCATAAGACGAGAACCGATTACAGTTCGATCTAGGCCTGGTCTTTCCTTTTTTTTTCCCCAGCACTTTATCTGAGGGCTCAAGGACATACCATGCCTCAGTGAACGAACATCACTCAACTCAAGCCACAGCATCATTGATTCTCATCTCTTCACAGCCACCGCCCTTTCTCCCTCGCCTACCTACCTACCTACTCGTCACCACCTCCACCTCCCACCACCCGCTCAGCCCCCCCCCCCCCCAAAACCCCTTATACACCCACTAACCTCCAACCACCAGGCAACAAACCCCCCTGGATCCTCCCCGCCAAAGCCGCCCACAGCGCGCACGACAGCCGGCGGTCGCTGCACGCCGTGGGCCTGCACTCCGTCTCCGCGCCCGGCGACCTCTTCGAAGCCGGCAAGACGCAGCTGCCCCTGCGCGCGCTGCACTTCATAAAAACGCGGTACCCGGCCGCCGTCTACCTCGCCGCGTGGCGGCACCTGTTCCACGCCTTCTGGACCCTGCACCGGCCGCCCAACACGGCGGCGCTCCTGCGCGAGGCACTGTCCGCCGCCTCCGCCTCCGCCCCGGCGGCGGACTTCGCCAACGTTTCCGGGGGAAAAGCGGCTGCTGAGGGAGAAGGAAGGGGAGGAGGAAAGCGGTTATTCGCGGCCCCTGAGGTCGATGCCATTGTAGACGCGGCCGGGTCGGCCGAGTACAAGGACGCGCTGCGGCGGACGACCGAGACGGCGCTGAAGCGCGGCGCGTTCGGCGCCCCTTGGCTGTGGGTTACTAACTCGGAGACCCGGCAGAGCGAGCCTTTCTTCGGCAGCGACAGGTGGCACCACGTGTACGAGTTCCTCGGCTTACCGTATCAGGAGGTCGCGTTGCTCGCGCCGGGGGCGGAAAAATCCAAGATTTAGGGCGTAATCCCTTTATCTGACGGAGATATCTGCTGGAGGACAAGTCTGAGATTGTTCAAGCACGTGTTGATATGGCAATGTTGAGATCATGGCTAGGAATTGTATTAATCAATATGTATAGGTAGATAGGCTAGTTATATCGTGACGCTTTATCCAAACTCTTTATCCAAACGAAGCAAATGGGTATGTTCTTGTGTATATGAATATGTATACTCTCGTTAAATAGTCGTAAATGACGTGGCGTCGTAAGGTCTATCGGTGCAAATCGTGAATGCGCAATCAAAGATACCGACCCTGGTTGCGAGGTTGATCAACCGACTCAATCGGGATACCGTTGAGGCCACGCATCCCTCGCTGTGCTGAATTTATGTGAATGTCAAACCATTTCAAATTGATCCAAGCTGGTATCCTTCCTTCTCTCTCGCCTCGCCGGCATTGACGACGAGAAGGTTGGCGAGCGACCCCCAGAATTCCATGTGGTGACTGTTTTGATTGTCTTACTACGCATGATGGCCAATATGTCTTTCTCCATTGTCTCGATACCCTTCTCGATCTCTTCGTCCTCTTTTAGGTACCGTTCCTCGCGCTTCCGATCCAAGTAGTACCAGAATAGCAGGATGATGACAGTCAGTGGTATCGTGACGGCAAAATATACCCAAAGCTTCTTTGAAACTGTTGCGCCATCACCCGAGGAGTCATCGGAGCCTCCATCGCTTGGGCCTACAGAAGTTAGTTTCAAAGCCTTTCCACCAATGGGGTAAAATCCCCCTTTTTTCTAGTAAGCCCGCAAGAAACATCAATACTTACCAACATTGAAATCGAAGAACGTCATGCTAAAGACAGAGGCCATAAATGTCCCAGGGAGAAACACAGCGCCGAGTAGAGACAAGGTCTTCATCGCGGTACCGTCACGCTTGGTCGCGTGAGCTACTCTCCTCTGTTGAGAGGCTATCTCAAGATTGAGCTTAGATTCCTTCTGAGCCATAATGTTATACAGCTACGTCACCTGTCAGTAGTCTAGCAGCGAAATGGAATTAAAGGTAACTCACAGCTTGCCGCTGTATATGCAACCTTTCCAGCGTCGTATGAATGTAATGTTCCATCCCCGTGAGTTTGACTCGGTAGAAATCCAATCTGCCGATCATGCTAGCGTGTAAAGCCGCAAGAGCTGGTGAATTTCTGCCATGTTCTGGAACATATTTTATGAAATCATCCATTGCTCCCTTGAATTCTTTGACAATCTCCTGGTAGGCTTGCGGGCGCTTCCATAGGACCTGGGAGTGACACTCTACAAGGTCTCGATTGATCCCGTCAACGTCAAAATCCGCATAGGTTTCTTTTTCATCGATTTCATTACGCATAGTGATGGCATTTTCAAGACGTCTCAGCCAGTCACGAATCTCACGTTGTCTCCTGTCACCCCTAGATGAGAGATCGTGAGAGAGAATGATGATCGGGAGGAGAAAAGGGTGCCCGACTTCAGCACGGCAGGCGGCTAGGTGTTCGAGCGAGTCAACAATGTCTGAAGTTTCCGTACCCTTGACATATCCTGAGGTGATACCGGTCCTATACGAGTACGAGAGCACTGCAGAAACAAATGTCAGTGACCACTATGCCTAGATCGTAAGCGTAGTGGTAATATATGCTTTCCAGTGATAAAGTCTGAAGCATGATCTGAAAGAACATCATAAATCCGGGGGAGGGGAGAGGATCTAAAGGAAAATGAGCGTACTAATTTCCCATCCTCGAGTTTTTCCCTTCTTTCTCACATCAGATTTTCGAAAGATGATTTCTAGGAGGGGTTAGATTATATCGTTTATTAATGAGTCGTTCAAGGGAGAGGACTTACGTAGATGGCGATCGTTTTCATTTTGATCATGAGAGCACCAGAAAAACGGACCAACAAGACTGCTACCTTCGATTGCACGGAATGGGAGATGCCATGTCTGCACCGCTCTGTATTAGCAATCAGTTTCTTGGACGAGCTCCCGCGACCAATTAAGTAACAGAGCATAGCTCATACGCATCAAAGGGATCGCCGAGATAGTATGCGTAGTCGGGATTAAAACAGAGTTAGACTTAAATGAATAGAAATATACATACTCTCACCATCGATTCATAAAAATCCTTCTCCAAGGATATGTAATCAGGCGCGAACGTATTGACATGCTGGGCATTTTTTTGGACGCTGTGTTCATATTAGTTCTATTCTTAGTTTGAGGCATCATGCCCAACTCTTACTTACATCAAACGAATTCCATCCTGTAGCTTTACCGCTTCTGGCAATGGATCAGGAGCAAAGGTGCCCTATAATATGTCAATGTGTCAGCCCAGGACGCAGCTAATCTTGAGGTGAGCAACCTAATGATCAGATTGGCTGAGGTATGCCCCGCAATGCCCCAATGGAAATCTAGTAATTTGGTAGAGAAGGTAGACCTACAGTTTGATGAAGAAAGTTATCAAAGTCATCGTCCGTCAGTAGCCTATGTTCTTCACATATGTTATATTCTGGTTCCTAGGGTAGTATTAAAGTTAGTGTGGGCGTGTAGCTAGATACGGAGATCGAGCTTGTCTCCTGAAATAGTACATAGTAAAAAGACTTCATCTGTACCGAATAGTTGAGAATCTGCAAATAGTGCGTTTTCTCTGTGACAGAAGAGCATTGGTTTAGGTGATGCTTGAAAAGGTAATTGTCCATCTTGATATCGGTATATCGGTCAAGAGATCCAAACTGCTATCAAACGAAAACAGGGGAAGGCGAGCATATATCGGACAATTATTCGAGCACAACAGCTTTAAAACATAGTCAACTAGTAGAATCTCATATGGCTCATGACTTGCAGGAGATCGAGGCGCAGCCGTGAACTGTTGCGGAGAAGGCTTGAGGCGATGCTTGACCGAAACGTCTTTTAAAGGTGCAAGTCGAAGTTCTTGGTAGATAGCAGAAAAGGACCCCGAAGTATCAGAAGCTGTCGAAGTAATTCGATAAAATAAGGAATTAAGCTAAAGGCTAAGGGGAAATAAGAGAGGGGCGGGTAGACTAAGTTGGGTTAGAACTTGTGGAGAAACGAAACGGGATTGGGTGGAGAAAATGGCAGTTATGGGTCGCGGCTCTATCCCGAAAATCCGCCCCATCTTGTAATTTCTATGTGTTGTAGGTATCTTCCAGCGTTCGATACAGAATATACCTAGATTAGTACGCCGTATTTTTCGTTTGAAGAATGATGCGTGGCTTTTCCCTAAAGGTTGGATTGAAGGGAAATCAAAAGAGGCAAATAGTCACAAGTTAAAATACCCGCTATCTTGAAATCATTGACATAGTAACCATATCTAGATGGCCTATAGAACCCTTCAATAAATGATTGCAGGTCGTATGGCCATATGGCAAGGCGCGGCATAAAAGGTGGGGGCCATGGGGGAATGTTCACATGAAATTGTCAAAAGAGCCTCATGCGGGTCTTACGTCGACGTGTCTACCACACCAGACTACACGGTAGACAACCGTTGGATATCGCAACACCAGATGGCAAATGTTTTGTGGTAAGCAAAGACGTGTCTTTAGTAAGAAAATACTTAATAACAAAATTCTTCTTTCGTAACAAAGACGAAATGCTCACAACACTTGGATTTTGTCCAGGGAACATTACCACTTAACCATAGTGTATGCTTGTAGTTGGAATTTTCTCCAAAGCTAGGTAGACTTCTATGTTCATGCGTGAGCCTCTCCTCTTTCGGCGCCGAGACGATTTCCTGATTGCTCAACCCGATATGAGATCACGTCCCAATTCGCTGATTCTTCCAATCATGTACCGCATCATAGCATTTAGCATGATTCCCATGGTTCTAGGGGTCCCTATCATCACGTCCTTTTTAAGACGTTTGTAAAAGCAAAGCTACCAATATCGTGTCTTCGCCTCCCCAAATCTAATCCGGTTGGCATGTCCCGGATCTATGAATACAGCAAGGCATACTTCTCCCTGTCACTCTTGCGGGACAATTTGTCGACTTACTAGAAATCGGGGAAAAGGTAACCATACCTATATACGTTAGCGCCACAGCATGAATTGCGGGTTGCTTAACTCACTCGTCATTTCCAGACTGGCCATATTTCTCCGTCTCCTCGGGATATCTGTCAAATTGGCTGGCATCGCCGGCGCCGGCCTTGACAGGGGGCGTGTACGGAGCATCGATATCTTTTCTTGATAACCTATCCCATGTGACCTCCGAGAACCACGGATGGTTCTTGACGTCTTGTGATCCGCCGAACAGATTCCCCAATCGTTTGGTTAGATCTGGAGTAATGAGAAGTTCGAGCAAATTCTGCGCATCAGGGTGAACATATGCCGGATACTTGACCTTGCCTCTTAGGATATTTTCGTAGATCTTCATGGGTGAGCCGCTGTCCCAAAATGGTGTATAGCCGCAGAGCATCTCGTAGATTAAGATGCCTAAAGACCACCTAGATGAAGACCTATGTGAGAAACCAAGTTATCGGCTCTAGTCTACGAGCCAAAACTTACCAGTCGACTGATTTGTTGTAACCCTTGTTAGAAACGACTTCCGGAGCTAGGTAGTCCGGAGTTCCACACAGTGTCCATGTTTTATCTGGGACCCTTTTCGCGAAGCCAAAATCTGTTATTTTGAGGTGTCCATGACGGTCCAGCAGTAGATTTTCCGGTTTCAAATCTCTATAAATAATGTTTCTCGAATGCAGGTATTCGAGTGCCAGAGTGACTTCTGCAGCATAGAATTTAGCGACTGGGTTTGGAAATCGCTGATGTGAGTTAGCATCATACGCATCTGAGCTAGGGGTTGGTCAACGCACGCCTGATTTCCTCAATAGAGAGAATAACTCGCCACCTTCAACGAAATCCATAACCATGTACAAGTTCCTCGGATCTTGGAAGGTACCCCACAAAGTGATGAGGAATGGGTGTTTGACTTCTCCCAGCATTCGCCGCTCATCGTTGGTATGCTCAACTTGTTTCATCTTGACAACCTGGGCCTTCTTCAAGACTTTGATGGCGTAAAATCGTTGATTGTGCTTTGATTGCACCAGGTGGACGCGCCCGAAACTTCCCGTGCCAAGAGTACGGAGCAGATCAAAATCGCCAAGCGAATATTTGCCCTTTGTCACCCTGACCTCCGCAGCTGCAGGTTGAATGTGTTGCGACGGAGGTGCCGCGTGATGACCTATTATGCGTATTAGTTACGGAGGTACTAGCCACAGCATATGTGGCCCATACCGTCATTCTGTGGTAGGTTGATTAGGTTGTTGATACTCGGTAGATTTTGCGGCGTCCCAGCTTGCGCGGGGCTCGGACTAGGCTGGAGCCCATACGGAGCAGCTTGGTGGACCGCCGGCGGATTCATTTGCGATCCTCCACCAGCAGAAGCTAGTGCTTCCTGGCTATTTTTGGTTGTAGGTTGCGATTGAGATGGTCTTGCGCTCGTGGCGGTCGTGCTATGCGTGGGAATGGTAGTGAGCGAATTCGACTCGAAAGTCCTCGAGGACGTCGGGGTCACCGGTGTAACTGGACTCGTAGGTTGGCTGGAGGCAGAAGGGTCAGGCTTCTCCTCCTTCGTCCGCTTCTTCTTGAGGAATCCTAACGTCGGCATATGATATGATGTCTAGGGAATTGAGGGGCCGGACCCTCGAAACGATTGATGAGTTAAAGATATCCGTGACACTGCAAAAGCCGACTCAGATAGAGTAGGCTAGCAGTTGATATTGAATGATGATGCGAGTTACGCGGCCTGCGACTTCACGGTTCTCGGTAGGTAGTAGGTAATGGTCAGATGGCGTCTAGGTAGGTATCCAGGTAGGTGCAGCGAGAGAAGCGAAGAGCGGTTTGGAGCTTGGTGAAATATGACGTTCCTTCGTTATGATGTCGGGAGGAAGGCGATAGGCGCGGAAGGTTCTCAGAAGGTTTTTAAAAAGCCGAAAGTAGTTGACCTAGATTGTAAGAGGTAGCTTGAAGTTATCCGCTTTAGCAGCAGGCTAATCAATCCTTCCAAAGAGCACAAATTCACTCTTTCCCAAGAGTTGAATGATATGTTGCGCTCATACAAAGAGACTTATATGCCGTTCGAACCAATTGAACCAATCAATTGAGTCGCTTCAGCATTTGCGCTGAGAGCAAGTTCTCTTTCTCTTGTAAATTTGAACAAGAGAAGGATGGTCGCAAGTTGATCTAATGGGTGCGCCAGATGTTTTGAAATTCGATGTTCGTGGTCACGGTGCGATATGGCGGCAAATTGGCTTGGATTTCGTCGGGATTCGGTTGAGGAATGCGTATGTGGCACAGCAAGGACTTCGACAATAGTAAATTTTGAAGGTTCGCAGCAAGAGGAGACCTGGCTTTGGCTTTCCAACTGGATGTGGATGACGGCGAGACGAGCGGGGAGAGCTAGGAAAGGTATTGCAGGTAAGTTAAGAGGTGCTAAACCTAACCAGACCTAACCTGTGTAGGCAATGAATAAAACCTTAGGTACCTCGATATAGACACTAAGAGGCGCAAAGATGGGTGAGTTCGAGTAATGTAGGGGTCTTGGAAGATCATGTACCTTTCGCAACCTACCTTACCTAGGTAAATGGGATAAGTGTTATGTAGATAGCAAAATAGTAGATAAAACAAATATGTGACTATACACATAAGGAAAAAGAGCAGAGAGTAGCACGAGCCCACATAACCCTACTATTACCTCTCTTAAGATAAAAAGGGGTTGGGGGTTTAGTGGCTCATGTTGGAAGCACCAAAAGCCTGTGGGATCCTTTAGAACGAGGCGCTGGTCGAAGGCGAGGAGAAGGAGCACGTTAGACCATCGAGAGGATCGAAAAAGGTGGGGTCCTCTGTTCCCTTTCCTCTCAGTATCTTGCTTTTCTGCGCCAATCATTCAATAACAAGCGGGGTTGGGGGCTGTCGATGATGATGAAGGCTGCGAGGGAAAGCTGGATAACCACTGGCCAGAACCGTTTTGAAGTTTAAGGAAAAAGCCGCATCTCTCTTAGCGACATTTCTGCTTCCCTAGTAAAATACCTAGGTCCTAGGTAGGCTGGGTTTTGGGTTGAATCTGAAGGAAATCTCATGTGGACATTACGTAGATCCTTTATAATTGTGGGTTGGAAACGCTGATGAAATATTGGAGGGTTCCATCATTCAAGATCGGAACTAGATAAGATCCTGAGGAGCATTGCTGGATAGCTAGTCTGCTAGTCTTATAAACGAGAATGCAATCTTACACCTTGCTCCTTTCACCTTTTTTTAGAAACACGACCTTGAATAGCTGGATAAGTGCTCGAGATTTCAAATTACCTGATAGGTGTATTGTAACATGGATAGTCGATGATTTGTGTGGTGGTATGCGTGGACGGTTAGATATTAGGGGAGAGGGGTACTCCTTCCGCTAGTAACGTGCAGCGCACGGCGTAATCGTTTAGGTTTTTAGGTTAGGCTAGGCGGTACGTATCGACGTGGGGTAAACGTTTGGAACCTTGGTCATTCCATATAAAAACAGCCTCTACCGCTCTAGTGAGAAGCATTCGACGAGATACATTTTAACGAGCATCATTATGACGACGTCATACCTTCAATAGCATTGTTCGAGGTAGGGCGTACACAATTTTCTGTGTATAATCACCTAAACCGACCTTCATACCCCCTCGATTTTATATTCATAAACGTATACCAACATTCATTTTCACGTGCAACCGTAAGCCATTTGACTCGCACGCACAGTACCTCATCTTAGGTATCAAATTATATTGGATACTTCGTACGACTATTTCGAGTATGTTATTTAGGGGGCTTTTTATGCCGTATGAAATGGTATTATCATCGGATGGAATCCGCCGATGGCCATATTTGCAGGCCTCGTACAATGACACGCGGTGCAACCCTACACGACCACTTGACTCATCAGACAACCCAACTGAGTTATTGTCGGAGGAGGTTGGTAGCAACGGTCTCAGTGCGATCATTGTGATCATATAATTAGCTTCCGATCAAAGCATCAAGTCGGCAAGTTGGCTATAATAGAGGTTAATTGCGTGATACCAGGTATAATAGATGTAGGTCACAATCGTATTCTATATCTTCCGTTGCAGCTTTGACGAAGTTGTTGAATAATCTGAACATTTCGGGATTTGTGATTTTCTTTGCATAGAATATTGCCCTTTAGTTTTACACTGCCAGTTGACGCCTGCCAACCTCGTAACACATGAGGGGACCGTGGAACTTCGCGAGAAGACCACAGTTCCAAATTTTCATATGATTTTGATATGTACGTCTGTGCCGTTCTTGGCAAAGCCCCCTAACGTCCCCAACATCAGATACATATGAATTACCCCTAGAATCGATGGCTCCTCTTCTTGTTTGCCCGGTATGCCGTGTATCCTGCGTACGCGCCACCGACGGCCAGTCCAAAGATGATGAACTTGAAGAAAAACCAAGTCCAGCTGCCGCCACTCTTCGGCTGCTGAGGCGACTTCGCGCTTCCCCTGCCAGGTGTAGGCTTACTAGCCGTACCTCCCGTCATGTAAAGATTCTTCGCATCAATGGAAATGATGTCGTGATTGTCGCTTAGCTCGCCCGTCTCGGCGCTGAATCCAAGGTATGTGACAGAGGGAATCGCCGGCGGTTCGCTCGTCTCGAAACACAGTTGCCAGTCGTCTTCATTTTTGTACTGCAATTCCAACTTCAAGGACTTATCCTGGAAGTAAGTCATCTTTAACTTAGTCGGAACGTTTGCGTTTCGAATGCCACGAGCAGAGCACCCAGCAAATTCGGTATCCTTTCCATCGTTGTCCTTGTTATATGACGTCTTACCATCGCCAACCATTGCCATGACGTACGGGAAAACCACACCGGGTCTGTTGTTCTTGTAAGTGTCGATGAAGAGACCAAGACCTTCAAAATTGTCGGCATGCCCAAAGACCGGACCACTTTGTCCTCTTTCTTTCGTGAGCCACATTGCGAAGCCGTCGCCATATAATTGATTTTTGCCATGGATCTTAAATTCAATAGTGATTTCCCAATTCGTAGCAGTCAGGGGTACCCGAGAAAATAACCACCCATTTTGCGATGGACGATCCGAGGTTAGACGAATATACCTATGTGTAGTGATGAGTGGGAACATTCGCTCTATTATAACTATGAATGGTGACGTACGAGTCTGTCCGAACTATCGTATCGCCTCCAAAATCGTACCACCGACTTTGCATATCGGAGTCAAGGTATGGCTGCTTCAGCGTGTGGGTTCGCAGCTAAAAGGAAAAGGGGAATCGATCATTTAGTAAACGCTCCAAAAGCGTGTAGTCCACGCACACACACATTGTACTCACAGAAATAGTCCTAATATTTCCATCCTCATCGCGACTCACGGCACCCCAAGCTGTAGCCGCCAGCCACAGGGCTGACAGCGCTGGAAACCACATGACGAACCTCGATTCTGTAATAGGAAGTGTGCGTAAAGGAAATGCAGGGCGATATGCAGATATAAGCGGATATAGAGCAAATTGAACTGTAAGGAAAAGTTGGCGTCGACCTGGTGAGGCGCAAAGAGCCCCTATTGCGATATGTCGGTCGTGTGTAGGAAGATCGACGGTTTATACACGATGATAGCTGGCCTCTCCTCAGCCATATGAAAAAATCCGGGGTCGATTTTAAGTGGCCAGCTTGTTCCATAGAGCTACCCCTGCTTAGCTTCTGTCTCTTATGTACCTAAGTACTCAGGCAAGTCATCGATAATTCAGCCACATCAAATGCACCACCACAACTTTAATCTCTTGGAACTTGAAAGTGGGCCAGCCCATGCAAATGCCCACCTAAGTACAATCTTAGCACATACAAATTTGGCCAATAACGTTCAGAGATCACATGCTCTCTTACTAATAAAGCGATAAAACGCAAGGGTTTAAGTGCACATGCCATATCCCTGGAATTCCAAGCCGACGTCAGCGGTAGTCCAGCGTAACTCTTAGTCTAACAAAATCGCCGCGCTCCTATCATCTAATCTAATTCCTTAAACCATTCCATTCATTTCCATCGCGAACCCGCTTCATGGGGTTCTTTCTCATGTATCCAGTATGATACGAATCGCGAGCAGTCCGTCGCCGATACCCTCTGAGATATTTGCGCTCGTCGCGCTACTTGTTCTCTCCCTTATCGTTCTCCTGATTCTGCGACGTTATCTTCCACTGCGAACGACCCCAGCCTACCTGCTAGTACCCGTCTTCTTTGCGTTATGGCTACCTGCGACTATCGTCCTATTGGTTCCTATTGATCTCGCCTCTAATGCTAGTACCGACGATGAGACAACGAGAGGGATTTGGCTCCCACCCAGGGCGCTGCTCGTGTCGTGGAGAATCTCATACTGGCTAACCTTCGTCTTGACTTGGTAATCCTCGCCGCGCAGCATGTGTAAATACTTAAAAAGGCGGCTACTGACATCAGCTATTCTAGGTTCATACTCCCGATCCTTGCCGAGTATTCCGATGCCGGTTATCGCGAGCCCAAGGACCGAATCCTCTATTCTCTACGTTCGAACGCTCAGTACTATGCGCTTGTATTTGGCTCCGGTGTGCTTGGGCTTGTGTATTTCTTCATATCTTATGGACCTTCGTTCATGTCGCTGAAGGGTTTGATTTTCGCACTTGCCTACTGCTGGGGTCTCGTTCTGGCCATCTATCTCATGGGTCACGGTCTTGTTGCTATTCCCCGAAATCTATTTAGGGATTCGAGTGCCAGTCGCCGACTACGTCAACTCCAGAGCCATGCTCCTAAGCTGTACGAAAAGATGGAAGATGCTTCTCTAAGCCTGGAAGATTTAGAAGTCCAAGTATCGGAATTAAGTAAGCGCAAGACTGGAAGCGCCAGGGAATTCCAAGACTGGATCGAGGAGCTCTCGGATATTTGCAATATTCCGGAATCCCGACCAAGGAATATTCTCCCCAGGATAGACAATGACAGTCGCATAATTCCCACGGTTATTACTGAGAAGTATTTGGCAGACCTCACTCGCCAATTGAATCGTGCGAGACATACTAAGTCGCGTTATATCGATGAATGGGACCGCCTGCTTCACGATGCTGCAAAGACGCAAGCAATCTTGGATTCCGTAGCTTCGAAGAAGCTTGATTTTGGCGCGAGCTCTCCAAGCTCCTCATTCTGGGAGAAGACCACAGTCCTGACCCCCTATACTCGATATCTTCTTTACTGCCACGTCGTTCCCTATCTTCGTATTTTCCTTGCCGCCTTCCTTGCTTTAGCCTCGGCTTGCATCATATGGTCCGAGTTGGTAAAGGCGGCTCTACCGCAATTATCAGTCATCCGACTTACCGTGGTTCATCACTGGACAGGCGAGAATGGTCGCGTCGGCTTTGCAGGCCAAGTCATCGCTGCGCTCTGGATAATGTACATGTGCACAGCAGCTCTTCACTCAGTAACTGAGGTTAAAGTATGGCGTGGTCGCGCCCTGGTTCGGCGTAACACCGCCCACGAATCGGCATTTTGGTACGCGGGTCAGGTCGCGAGATTAACCGTCCCGCTATCTTACAACTTCGTCACATTTCTGTCTCCGCAGATATACTCGGAGACAACATTTTATGATATTCTCGGACAGTACGTCGACCTTACTCCACTTGGAAAATGGTTCGACTACTTATTTCCTGTTTTCGTTCTCGTTCCCGTGTGTGCGACACTGTTTGGATTGTACGGCAAAGTGAAGCGATTCTTTGGATTTGGTGATATCGTGGATGACGACGAAGAGAACCAGACCAGCTACGGTACTGGCTCGTGGCGAGAGGGGAGAGACTTGATCGAACGCGAGTTGCATGGAACTTCGATTTCTCGAAGATTGGATGAAGCCGCATCTAGGTCTGCGAATGGTAATGGCCGTACCGCTCCTATTTTGACGATGCCCGCAGCTAGAAACGAGGGCCCCAGAACACCGTTTGCTACGTCGCCTTCATATCGAGATAATCCGGTCGGAAGAACGGCGCGATCTTCTCGGTCTGATGCCCCCGAATCGGAGCCCGAAGAAGACAACTTCTTTACCAATCTAAGCCACCGGTTTAAGAACACATTTGATACCTTGGATACACCAAAATGGATCCAGGATATCGGAGAGGGTATCAAGAAGCCAAAGTGGATAGGTGGTAATGAAGCTGGCGAAAGTAGCAACAGAGCAGGCCGGAGTGACTCAGACATCAGACGATGGTTTGGGGGTGATGGTGGTAGGATAAGACTATGAGGATATAATTTTCGTCGGTACTTAATTAGTAAAACCAATTTCGATTTGGGTAATTGTTATCTAGTTTTTTCACGTGAATACCACAGGTGGTTAATGATATTCAAACTTTAAGGGGTAATATGTCTTAATGTGTTTAGGTAATCTGACGATGACAAACAGAAGTCTATTTTACGAATGGAAAGGGGTTTTCATTATAAGTAGGTATGTAGAACTAAATTGCAAACTCTAGGCAAGAAAACCAGGCATTTGCAAACCCACAATATCAGGTATAAATCTAAACACCCCAGGCATCTTTACATGACACTTCAAACAATGAATACCTACATAGATGGTTAGGGTCTATCTAACTCAAACAGCACCAGAAAACAAATCCCATCTGGTTTGCGAACATGACGCTGACTCACGAAATCCTCCATGACTGGTGATATATACGTGTAACAACGGACGTGTAGGTATTCACCTCAACCCCTAACTAGACAACCCAACCCAACCAACAACCAACCAACCAACCATTAACACCCTACCCGTACCGTATGCCATCAACCCTCAAGACCAGATGCCAGCAGAGGGGCGCATAACGAAGCCGTGCCCGACGTGCGGCGGGCTCTTCACGCTGCGCAGCCTGCGCGAGCACCTGCAAAGCAGCCACCTGGGCACGTTCTGCTTCTTCCCGGGGTACGACGAGGTGCGTCTCGAGCGCGAGGACGACGCGCGCATGACGGACGCGCTGATGCGCGCCAACGAGCAGCAGGGCGGCGGCCCGAACCGCGGCGGCACAGAGTTCGTCTGCTGCTGGCAGGGCTGCAAGCAGGGGCGCGGCCACTCGTATGACCGCCTCACGTCGCTGAAGCGGCACTTGCGCACGAAGCAGCGCGAGGAGTACCGCCGGTACCTCAACGACGCGAGCGGCGGCATCAGCTTCACCGCGCCACAGGCGCCGCCGCAGCAACAGCAACAGCAACAGCAGATCAATTACCAGGTCTTGCAGGCGTGGAATAACCTGCACGTCAACGTAGCGCTGCTCGTGGCGAAGTTCCAGTGCCTGGAGATCCTGGTCACGCCGTGGGGGGCGGCGGCGGGCCCGGAAGAGGAGGTCGGGCTCGGCCGGCTGCAGCGCATCCTCGACGACGTGATGAAGACGGACGGCCTGGTGGACGCGGCGATCGAGTACGTCGAGAGCGTGGCCAACAGCCAGAAGACGGCGGCCGGCTGGGAGCAGCTCGTCCGCACGAGGCAGGAGTGGCACAAGCTGCTTTCGGCTTGGGCGTACAACGCCGACCCGAACCTGGATCACTTTTACGAGTGGGCTTGCTTGAACACGCTTCTCGGCCAGATGACGCAGACTATTGAGCAGATCAAGGCTTGTTGAAACCCTCCGTGTATGTCTGTGTTTTAGGGATACGTAAGGACACGGTATGCCGTGGGCTTCTAGAGCTACGCTCTCGTGAAGAATAGTTTCCTGTCGTCTTGTTAAGATGCCTTTAGACCTGATGGTATTACTACTTGGTCGTTGCATTTCAGCTTCGCTCTCTTGGCTTACTTCCGTAGTATGGTCAGTAGACCAATAACAAACATGAGTATGGAAAGTGGATATCTTTATCGGATGCTTACTCTCAAAGCTTGGGACAGTGTTTAAGCTCACGACTGTAGCTTCGGGAGTAATCATTTCTAGATAGCTCAATAAACTGCGAATATTTTATCATCCCGGTCAATGAATCATATCGTGATATTTGCGTATGATGAGTACTGACTTTCCCCTACACTGATTTTGTGATATTACTAATACATTTGAAGCAATACGAAATTATCACCTGGGTAGTATGCATTCTATACAACATTGTGCGAGATGGACATCATTTTCGTAGGATCTTTAGAATATCATATAGAGATTGGTATTAATTAAGTAATTAGAGATGTGCCATCGAAGGCCACCTGATTACATCCACGTTTAACATGAGAATGGCAACAGCTTAGTAGTTGTCGTTGCTGCCAAATCCACCAGAGCCTCCGCGCTTCTCGCGGCCTCTCTCTTCCAAGCCTTCGTTTCCAAAGGCTGAACCAACCTCTGTAGTTAAATTAGCAAATATTCAAATATCGATGAAAATTGGTATAGCAATGATCTTGTAGAGACCAGAGTATCAAGGATCTATAGACCAAGGTGGTCCTAGGGTAGGAATAGGGGTAAGACTTACTCTCTAGCACCTTGCCAGTAAGGCTATCTCCCTTGTTGCTGGAACCGTACGAGTTGTTGTTACTGGACCCGTAGGAATCGTTGTCCTTCGATCCATACGAGTTGGAGCTGTTGTCGTTCGAACCATAGCTGTTAGAGTTGCTGGACCCGTAAGAATCGTTGTTGCTAGAGCCGTTGTTGCGGTTGTTGGAGGAACCGTAGCTGCTGTCATCGTTCTTAGATGAGCCGTACGAGTTCTCATTGTCTTGGCGGTTGTTGCTGGATCCATAGCTGTCACTGTTGTCGTTGGATCCATACGAACTGGTGTTGTTGTTTCGGCCAGTGTTGCTTGAGCCATAGCTGTCGTTGTTGCTTGAGCCGTAGCTATCTTTGTTGCTGGAGCCATACGAGTCGTTGTTGCTAGAGCCGTACGAATCGTTGTTGTTCTTGGACCCAGATGTGTTGGAGGAGCCGTAGCTGTTGTCATTGTCACGGCTGGAACCGTATGAGTCGTTGTTGTCTCGGCGAGACGACCCATACGAGCTATCATTGCCATTGTTTCGGGAGGACCCGTAAGAGTCGTTGTTGCCACTGCCGTAGCTGGACTGTTCCAATGTCATGTCAGCCACGCCATTGATGATAATAGATCTCGAGCATACTTACGTCGTTGTTGTCGTTGTAAGACATATTGAGAGTTGGTGAGTTTGATTAGGTATGGATTAAAGTGAACTGTGTAGATTAAGCTATAGGGATATACACGAGACAGGAAGATCGATGGTAGACAAAGCCGGGAGAGGGGTAATTATATAGAACAGACACAAGCTAAGAAGTTGGAGGCCTTCGAAGAACAAGCTTCCTCAACTCGGTTGAGGGGAGCTCTAGAAAGGAGCTCATCTTGGAGCTACGAGGTACGTCACCGGATGCCTCCCAATAGATCAAAGAGCTATGGCTAGGTTCGGCGAAGGCGAGGGCGCCATGGTGGATCTTGGACTATCCGGGTGTGCTCAGCGGGATTCAAAGCCAAGTAATGGTTCCCCCAGCTGGGAGTTCCCGGTATATAGTCACCGATTTCAGCTCCTTGCATCCTTACTCGTGGACAGCTGCATAATAGGGAGCAGGTTTGAAAGGAGGTCGACCAGTCGTATCAACGAATGTGCACACACAAGAAGTAGCTCAGCTAACTAAATGGCTTCGTCATTTTCTAAAGGCATGGCGGCATATAACTAGTGGCGTGTTTTGTCGTGACAAGATGTCTCGTTTCTTGTACCTTCTAGATCGTGTGGGATTTTCCAATATTTCCCTTTTAGGCAAGTTAGCTCATAGAACCGCACACGCATTTGGCGCCCTCCGATCAAACTTATTAGCTGAAATTACCGGTGCTAATAGTCGATACTTGACCGCTGTCGGCAGGTCGGAATAGCAAACATGGATAGACCCATTGCGTCAATTTGGAACATACATACTCGATACATTGTAAAAATCTACTCCATATTTTGATCTCAGTCCTCACTGTAACGTCGTCTCACAAAGCATGGCACTGTCCCAAACGTCATAGGTGATGTAGGGAGATTTGTGATGTCGCTCAGCCCCGACTGGTGGGGGGCAGCTCCAATAGATTCTCGACTATAATCAAGCTAAGCTGTGTCTGTGCCAAGAAAATCCAGGGGTATCGTCCCTGTTCGGATCGCGCAAGTTACTGGAAATCCGATGAGATCGGACCCATCAGCTTCTTTTGTCGGAATACTTGATCGTATCCTTTCACCATGTACGGCTCATGAGGATTGAAGTCGTCGTATTTTACCCCGCTTACGTCAAAAGCAAAGACAAGTCAGGATTGATGTTAAACATCAGGATTCGGGAGAGCGGGAATAAGGTGGAGCGCATGTTGTGCACATAGAGACAGCCACTATAAGGCGCTGTCTTAGATGTCTTTAAACCCACCACTAGAAGACACAGTAGCGTACACATGTTGCGCTAGGCGATCCCCAAACAGAGCATATCCTTCCTGTCGACGCATGTTGTCTGGAATAGATGTAGCAGATTATTACTTAGGCACATATTTGAGTCAAAGCAGAATCTTGTCAGGTGTCGTAGCACGTCTTTTTCCTGTCGCTGTCGACTAATTTGATAGGTATCGAATATTTCTGGTAAAGATATGAATCTTTTCTTCGAATGTCTATAAGCATCTAATCAGAGAGGCTCCCTCGTGCAACATCAAGCGCCCCAGATGTGTTCCTATGACTCCGTGTCAGATGCTCCGTTCCGCGCTACACATAAATGCTATCTAAGTATGAACAAGTCTTTAAAACCCGTCCTTGCCGAGCGACGCTCCTATATGCCCTAGAGCCTTGCTTGGACGACCCTCGAGGTGCGCGTTTCTAATGACCTGGTCTATAGGGGTATCAATCAATGCACATGCACCTCTCGTACCCTGAGGGATATCTCCCACGTAACAATACCACTAGCTCTCATACCGCCAATAAAGCAGGTAACAGCACACTGTACCGTAGAGCTAGAAAAATGACGATCAGAAGTCCGGTGCCACCGAGCTTCATAAAATCCCGTCATGCATCACGATAATGTTGCCTCAGCTCCACTAGCTCGGACGACACCATCACCGCTTGTGGCAGGGACCTCAATAGGCTTATTTCGAACCTTCTGGGTCAACGCTACCATCTCCTTGAGCATGAGCTCTCGAGTACTACGAGTAAGCTCGTCAACATCCTCAGATTTCAGTCCGACGGTAGAAATAGGGTCAAGGACTACGGATTATCAGCGTTAACTCCACCGAGGACGTAAGAGGCGAATGCTAATTACCTTTCATAGGGATCTTCCCCGACTTAAATGTCAGGCCCTTAATGTAGAGCACGTGCGAGTAGTTGGCCACCACCACCGGAACAATTGGCACGCCAGCTTGGACGGCCAGATGAAAAGCTCCCTTCTTGAAGGGTAAGAGGTCAGGTTCTTTCGAGTAACTACGAGTGCCTTCGGGGAACATGTAGACGCTCTGTTTTCGCTCCTGGATCTCCTTGGCGGCACCAGCCATCGCGCCTCTTGCGTCTTTCGAGTTCTTCCTATCAATGAAGATAGTGCCGCTTAACGACATGAACCATCCTAGGAACGGCACGTTCTTCAACGCCTTCTTCGCCGTCACGCTGCAGTATTTAGGGAACATGCACCCGAGCATGAGGACATCTAACTCAGTTTGATGGTTCCCGATGAAAACGGCCGGCCGTACTGTCTCGAGGTATCGGTTCGGGTCGATGACCTCGAAAGTGACACCGGTGGTGGCGGCCATTATATATTTAAAAGCACGTGCGGTAGTCCATTGCGCAATCTGTTCGCGACCAAGTATTCTTAATATTATAGATGCTACGGCTCCGTAGATGGCGCATATTATTAGGGAGATGTAGGCGGCGAGGGTTCGGGCTGCGAAGCCCGCTACGGGCAGGACGGAAGAGAGCATGTATAAGGCGAGAACGAGGGTGGTGTAACCCCCGATGAAGTAGGTTAGGATGGAGAGGAAGGACATGCTGCCCTAGACATTGGCGAGTCGTCGTAAATATAGGTCGGAGATCTTCGAAGGGTCAAGTTCTTAAAGGTCGGATGGACTATACTATAGGACGATGTGCTGGAAGATGTGCTGGAGGATGTGCTGGAGGATGTGCTGGACGTTGTGCTGGATGTGGCAGGTATCGGCGAATAAATTTGTGATATACACTTGTGACAAGAGTTAAGTCAGGTTGCGCTTGCTGTTACGGTCACTTTCATAGTCATAGGACCATTGGTGTGCCATCCTCACATTGGAGGATATTGCGTAGAGTAGACTTTGGCAAAATATTTCCAGGTGGCAGGTTATTTTCTCACCGACAACTAGAAAGCCGTGATTTGTTGAGGGGGAACCGTACCTAGGTACATGCGCTAGTGAACTCTAACACGTCCACGGGTCCTAAAAAAAATCCACATGGCGCATGTGATTCAACCCCACAAACTCTTATCTGATAGACTATGCATCAAACGAGGGCTTATATGCGAGGTACCTGAGTTTAATTCCCATTTTAATTCTCAATTGCTACCCTTCCGTTGTCATCCCGAGGTCATCTCCAACCTATCTACCGTACTATAGTAATCGCAATTATCAGTGGATAAGACTGCTAAAGACAAGATAGCAACGCTAGTAAGAAATACGCATAACGCTTTGCCCTTCAAAGTCTGATAGTTCCAGGGCTATGATTACTACGCCTGGTCTCCCCCATCCTTTATGGCTTTAAACCCCCAACACTTAAGTAGAGGCACGGCTGACTCGATTTGCCATTCCTGAAGGCAAACCTGGAACTCCCAGTCGGCTTCGTCTCCCGTTTGTCTAGGCACTACACTTATTTCTCCGTGAGGGTCATTCATCCACGGCCTGCGTATGAATTTCGCTCTCCCGTCATCGGGTTCGGACCCGGTACCCGGAATGCCGAAAGAGATATCCGCGCCAACCCCAACATCGATCAACCTGGTACCAGATTTGCAGCAATGAAGTGCGTCTTCCGCTATCTCCTGGATTTCCATAGGTGTCCTGAGGCTGTTCAAATACGTTAACCGATGTCGAACGTAAGTGTCGTTCATTGCTTCAATGGCTCTGCGAGTGTACATGGCAGCAAGTGAAAACAGCTCTATAGACTCCTCGAAGAAATACTCATCATCTCCGCTAGTCGCCATGATTTCATCGCCATTTCTAATCAAAACGACAGATGCCGCAGACATATTGCCAAAGTATGAATGGTCGAGGGACGGTAATAACTCATCGCGGACATTGAGTTCGATATGTAGTCTTGATTCTCTGTTTGGTGCCACTGCGTCGATTTGTCCTGCTCGAACGATCTCCGTCCAGATTATGCCTACAAGACAATCGACTATTCTCACGTAATCATAGATCTGATTTTGGCGAAGGTGATGGATGAGCTTACCAGTCCATTCGACGGCTCTCGCCCAATCCATTACGAAGATGTAGTTTGAAGGACGATCTTCATGTGCTGTTATCCCATTTGTAACACTGTTGCAGACTGTCCATTCTGGAAAGTCCTGGAGGTCCCCAACGTCCCCAGGGGAAATATATTCAGAAATATCGGGGGCTTGGTACTCTAAGCGACCCACAACGTATCAGTTAATTGCAGCACCAGTATACTGATCGATAACTGAACACATACCTGAAGGAGGCTCCTCGAGACGCTGAATACCTTGGCAAAATATTTTAAGAAAATTAGCAATTGACCAATCATCCGTGACGGAGTGGTGGAAGGCGAAACAAAGGACCAGACCACCGCTTTGGAGGAAGTTTGCCTGCAGGGTGAAAACTGGCTGCCATAAGGAGGGATCCGGATTCAGGGGGGCTGCGCAAAATTCTTCCGGTTTAAAGTGACACACAGGCATGTAGTGACTACACAAGTTCTCGTAGTTGTCCCAATCGTCCTCGTAGAGCTTGTATTTAAATATTTCTTTGACCTTTTCTGAGTCAATGGTATCGCCGTAATACAATTGGAGGTTCTCGTCGACAGAATCGGGCAAAACCCCGAGCTTTCCGGCGAGGAAGGGATAATGCCTAAGAGCATATTCAACACCCCGTTGAATGGAGTCGATAGCCTCGCGGATAGGGAGTTCTGAGGTATCTGGAAAATCGAAGATATACATCCAACGAATATACTGTCGAGGTGCTGTCGACCTTTAGCGCTAGTTTATGTTGTAGGAATAAAGGTTAACAGTACCGGATTGATCAACTGCAGTCAAAGGATGAGTGCGATTTAGGCCTGCAGGGGGCCCCGAGTGTTGGCTCGGATTATCGCCTGTAATGCCATTCGTCGTGCCATCCATCGTGTTCGACTATCAAAATGACTTAGGCGCAGCTAATGATGGGGGGTAATGTGGACAGTAAAGTATATAGGAGACAGTCGACATCGACGACGTCGTATCCAATGTTTCTAAAAACACTATCGAATAGTGAACTTCTGTAAAAAAGAGATCCTCATGGGCGAAATCCACGGGTGTCCGATGGAAACGAGTCTACGAAATGATACCACTACATAGACGACATAACTAAACGGTAGCTATTTCCCCTTACGTCAACATCAATACGTCAATTAGTTGGATGAGGGATTACATCTAGGAAATAGCATTCCTTTGATAGAGAGGATGAGTCGAGAATCATATTGGCAAGTACGTCTGGTGATGAACATAGGTATTTAACGTGGATCTAATGAAATCTCACAAGGAATAGAGGGCAGCTTCATGTTACGAACAATCTTGTAGACGTATCTGACAACCCCAAGTCGTAGAAGACATGACTTCCTGTACGTTATTTGAACGACCGTAGTATAATTGAATCTAGGTACATATATGATGTAAACAAGCACTAATATAATATGCATGTCATGGAGTATGGTGACTTACTAATTAAACGAGCGATATGCTAGTCGAGAAGAGCTATTACCTAGATCTATTATCTCCGAAATCTATCATGATATTTGAAGCTGTGATCACGACTGCAAAACACGCCGACTCTCTTTCACTCCAACAATCTCATTCATATACGTACCATTGTCATAGAATTTTCATAGCTTAATAAGCTACCTAGATAACTCCTCGGGTCGAAAAGAGTTAACAAAAGCTTGGCAAAGACGGGGTAGAATGTCGGGGTTTGACTCGCTATTCGTATAAAAGTGGCTTCGTTTCACCGAGGTCTCGGATAACCGTCCTATTCTCTATTTGGCATCACGGACATTGCTGAACATATCATCTCGACGAGCCGGACGGGGAAGACGGGAGCGAACATGAAAAATTGGTCATAATCAAGCGGTGATCACTTCTAGGCCATAAACTAATAACGTACGATGCCGCACAGCTCGGGGCAGGTTAGTGGATTACGCGCAGTTGCGGCACGTGGATCGTGAAACCAATTCCTGTTTAGGTAAGAAAGCTCGCTCTTGACCAATAGGATAAATCGTGTGCGAGAAATTACAACATCGAAGTTCCTCAAGGTTCTAAGGCTGGAAGGTTTCCTGCAGCGATGCAGCGATAGTGACAGGCACCTAGGCGGGGCGAATGCGGGACCCCGAGGCTCCGAGGGGATGAACACATTTTTATGCTACAGACAGTATATACTGTAGTTTTATACGGTGGTCCTTACTATACGCGAGTATTCGCTTAGTCTTGTCGTGTCGTACGGGTTTCGCCCCAACTTGGGGGAGCTAACTGAATATTATTTCGTGCCTCTTACGTTAGCAGCGCTAGATCCAACGATTTTCGGACATGCACGTTTCGGTAGATTTTGTTTACCAATCAGATCTTGTCAATCTGTCATCAAGTTTCGGGGGACTTTAGGGGACTTCGCATCCACTGTAAATAAACCAAATTAAAGTACAAAGCTTTCCGATGAACTACCTAGGTAAACTGAAGATGTTGACTTGAGTTACATGTCAGGATATTTGAATTCAATTGATAGAATATATTGATACCTACATAATTAATACCTGTGTGGATTAGGTTTATGTAGTTACTGAAAGTAACTCCAACAGTAACACGGCTTTATACTCAATCTTGTATGTGACAATACGTACCGCACCTTCTATGCTACCTAGTAGGCGTTATACCCCACCATATCCTAGGCAGATACAATAGACACCGCCCTAAAAGATTTAGTACATAAATCGTATCCTCTTCTTAATCACCCACCATTGAACCCTCTTTTTCCTTCCAAGTGTTTTGCCCCAATCAATTGGTAAGACAGGTTTGGATTTTCTTGTTGATCGCCGTTCACCATGGACGCTGTCCTTCGCCAGTCTAAGGCCATGTGCCCCTTCTTGAAGAAGGCCTCCCCCGCCACCCTCCGCGCTCTGTCTACCTCGACTCGTCCCCAAACTTCTCCATGCGGTGGCACCATCTCCAAGTTGCAGCTGCTCGGCCAGCGCTGTCCTGTCATGGGCAAGGCGCTGGCCATCCAGTCTGCTAGAGTTGGCAGGGCCCCAGTTAGTAGTGCTACTACTGTTGCGGCCGGAATTCGTCACCATTCCGTTTCGTCAAAGCCGGGTAGAGCCAGGATCCATACCACCCGCTCTCAAGAAGCTAGGGCTGTCGACACCTCTGTGTTCCCTCGCGAATCAGGTACGGACCCTTCTCCAAAAGCTACTACTATACTTAAGAGCCAATGACTCACAATTCTCTCCAGTCCAATTCCCACCAGCCGTCCACGTTAATCGCAAAGCCAATGCGCCTGGAGAACATCGTGGCGCAAACGGAAAATTCGATTACAATGGCTTCTATCAGCGAGAGCTCGACAAGAAACACAAGGACAAGTCATACCGTTACTTCAACAATATCAATAGGCTGGCCAAGGAGTTCCCTCAGGCTCACGGGGCCAAGAGGGAGGAGCGGGTAACGGTGTGGTGTTCCAATGACTATCTGGGAATGGGCCGGAACCCTCAGGTTTTGCAACAGATGCACGAGACCCTTGACGAATATGGTGCCGGTGCAGGCGGGACGAGAAATATCTCCGGTCACAACAAACATGCCGTTGAACTCGAGGGAACTATAGCAAAGCTGCACTCTAAGGAGGCAGCTCTTGTCTTTAGTTCCTGTTACGTCGCTAACGATGCGACTCTTGCGACCCTTGGGAGCAAGCTACCGGACTGTGTTATTTTATCCGACAGTCTGAATCACGCATCCATGATCCAGGGCATTCGCCATTCTGGAACCAACAAGATCGTCTTCAAACATAATGATTTAGAAGATCTCGAAGCTAAATTGGCTTCTCTGCCGATCGATGTTCCTAAGATCATCGCATTCGAGTCCGTTTACAGCATGTGCGGCTCAATTGGCCCTATTGAAGGGATTTGTGATCTCGCCGATAAATATGGTGCTATCACATTCCTCGATGAAGTTCACGCAGTCGGCATGTATGGGCCTAGCGGTGCCGGCGTTGCTGAGCATCTTGATTTCGAGGCCCACCGACAGGGCAAACCCCAAGGAACTATTATGGACCGGATAGATATTATAACCGGGACCCTTGGCAAGGCGTATGGATGTGTTGGTGGTTACATTGCGGGAAGCGCAAAGCTCGTGGATATGATTCGATCCCTTGCTCCAGGCTTCATTTTCACGACCTCTCTCCCACCGGCTACTATGGCTGGTGCTAGAGCTGCCATCGAATATCAGATGGGTTATAATGGAGACAGAAGACTCCAGCAACTTCACACACGTGCTGTTAAAGAAGCATTAGATGCCAGGGACATCCCCGTCATTCCTAATCCTTCACATATTGTTCCAATTTTAGTCGGCAACGCTGAGCTTGCGAAACAAGCCTCAGATATGCTGCTAAACGATTACCAGATTTATGTGCAGTCTATTAACTACCCAACTGTACCGGTTGGTCAGGAGCGCTTAAGAATCACTCCTACCCCAGGCCACACGAAGGAATATCGTGATCAACTCGTCGACGCTGTCGATGAGATTTGGTCAAAACTTGGTATCAAGCGGACCTCCGAGTGGGCGGCTGAAGGCGGCTTCATTGGTGTTGGTGAAGCCGGGATCGGCGCCCAGGATCCTCTCTGGACTGATGAACAACTCGGAATCGATCAAGAAGTCGCCAAGGAGATCAAGAAGACAAAGCCAGCCAATGGCTTCATGGAAACTCTTCTCGAACGCGAGAACTTGGGTAAGGCCGTGAGCACTACCGCCTGATTGCAATCTTAAGTCTCACTGGAGACGGATACACATCGCAAAAGGGGAGCTCATCGGACCTAAACCACGTTCTTTCGAGCGTAACGGGAGATTTGACAAGACTGCGATCTTCACATTTGATTTGATTCGAACTTTAACTCGTGCTGTGAGGACTCTTGAGTCCTACACGGCATCGCAGTGAATTATATAACTCGGCCTAATGGCATTCAAATAACAATAGAATCAGCGCCATCTCGACATTCGAATGGATAACGCTCATTGAACTTCAAATGGTCCCTCGAGAACTTGCCTAATTGTGAAATTCGGTGTGGATTTGTTTCGATATTTCTTGTCATATATGATGGAAGTCCATCAGCTTTGGGGATGCTAATCATCGATATTAGTTGTATGACGCATTTATTCCTTTTCCCAATTACAAAACGACTCAAGTCCGGCTAATACGTCCCAACGGAGGTCGATTCACGTTAGGGCGTGCTCAGAATCAGCCAGTCCATGACCTTAGAAGTTATCAAGAACTCCTAAAACAGTCGATAGAGGTTAGTTCTTACCAATATCACCACTAACGGTAGTAGTTCCAATTTTAGACTTGGAGCCCCCCTTTACGAGAGGCTAGAATCAGCTTCTCGCGCGCGGAGAGTAATCAGTGGCTAAATATACATGTAATTCGGTGAAGAGGATCTCCCCTCGTCTATTTACCCGTTCTTGGCTTGGAAATCGTTAATCTGAATAGTCTCATGTACCCCACAACCAAAATGCGGAGGTGACATTTTTAGGGAGCTTAACACGACGACCGCGTGGGCTTCGAAGCAAATCGGTTACTTCCCCAAGCGTTACGGACGGACGATGGCAGTCTACGGTGCATACAAATATTACCGCTATAATATGATAACGGTCTAGAACGAGACATGTCAATTAGTATGGGTTAGCCGGCAAATATCGATCATGCCGGTCTTTACCTCGCTTGGAGTCTCTGGTAAAGTTCTAGACTGATAAAAAAGGGGAAGCCTCTCTATGCTCAGTGTATATTCTAGCTACGAAGCAGCTATAGATATCGCTTTAAGATACCGAAAATGAAACTAACAGATCTAATCGCCTTCGCCGACGCCCTACCTCTCGCATTGGCAGTGCCGTCATGGCTCCCAGTCAACCGGCGCCAGGCCGGCTCGACCATTACTGTCGATCTATCAAAGACGTACCAGACGATCGACGGGTTCGGCTGCAGCTTCGCCTTCCAGCGGGCCAACCTGATCACCAACATGTCGGACAAGACCAAGCAGCGCGAGCTCCTGGACCTGCTCTTCAACACAACATCCGGCGCCGCCTGCGCCTCCGGCTGTTGAGAGCGAGGTGAGTAGGAGGGGTTGGCTGTTTGGTTGATGTGGTGCCGGATGCTGCGTGCTCGAGGGTTGGTTTAAAAGGGTTATCTTGAGCAGTACATATCTACTTCTATGAATGAAATTCAAGCATACTGATCTCTCAAATTGTAATGCTTTGTCATGAGACACATACGGTAAAGGGCCCCTCTCCTATCTAGCTAAGTATGTAGATAGTATGGGATCAGTAGTTCCAGCCTTCCCAAAACACACCCTATATTCGACTAAGCAAGCCCCCCAAAACCCCCTTTGAACTCTCGCTCCTCCTTAACCAACTTCACAATCTCCTTGAACTCCGGGATCCCGGCGTCGCCCATACACTCATACAGCCAACTCTCGCTCGTCGTCACAATCACGCCCGCGGCCCTGAGCCGCGCCAGCGCGAGGGGGACCTCCTCGTCATCGCAGCTGCTGACGCCGTCGGCCAGGACATAGACCCTGTGACCGCGCGCGAGCAGGTCGAGCGCCGTCTGCGTGACGCAGATGTGGCTCTCGATGCCGACGATGGCCACCTCGCGCTGCTGCTTCTTCTCGGGCGGCAGCACTTCGGGGAACCGCGCCGCGACCTCGGGAACGCGCAGCATGCTGAACGCCGTCTTGTCCGCGCTCACCTCTGCTGTCGCTGCTAATAGGTCCGCGAGCTCGGATACCGTCGCCCCCAGCCGCGCCCCGTTCTGCGTCGTCACGTACGCGGGTATCTTGAGGATCTGGGCCGCGCGCAGGACTTTTTGCGCTGTGAGGATGCTGCGGGGTGGGTTCGTGTTAGTGGCTAGCACTTAGGCCTTATGTAGACAAGAAGGAGGAAAAGGAGGAAAAGGGGGGAGAAGAGGGGTGTAGAGGCGTTGGGCAAACGGATGAATTGCTTGGTAGGATTCCTAGGTGTCGTACATCTCGTCGAAATGCCAGATGGCAGGGCGGAACTTCTCCTGCATATCACAGACGCTGCGTATTTCTGTATGTTAATTTTACTTTACATATAAGACATTGATAGTTCCTTTATTGAGATGAACTGACAAGACTGCCGGGTTTTCTGAAAGCTGTTAGTCTCACTTTTCTCTCATCTCTTCTCCCTGCTTGCTTTATGTCACTCACGGAAGTGCCTCTGCGGACTAGCTGCCATGATGGTGGTACTGAACGATTTTTGACCGCAATGGTGAGAATAAGGAGCGATTGGACGTGTCCGAAGCCCCCTGACAAACGTAGAGGTCGTCACTCTCATCAAAGTCATTAGAATTAGCTGTTTAAAATACCTCGCTTGTCCAGATATCAATGCAGATGAGGTGAGCTTAAAATATAGACAAAGATGAGGTTCCCGAACTTTGAGCGAAAATAGCGAGAATTAGTACGTTGTAAGTACCTACTAATAGCGGATGCGGGGCATGGGGAAGAGCGGGAGCGGGGATACCTAGCGCAGTTGTACTATGGATAACTTATCTAGGGTTGGCATTTTTACTATAGTACGTATAGTAACTATACGTATAGTTGTATTGTACTATACCGTATTTTAACCTCGCTATATGTATGGCGGAACGGATAAACGCATCGGCCCCGCTTATACAGGGGTTATCCACTTATCACATACGTACAAATCCACTAAAAAGTACCTAGGTATTTCCCGTTGCACTTATTTTCAATTGAACTGCTCCCGATCGCATTCAATTAATTCAATTTATTTACTCGAATAATAAGCTTTATAATAAAACTATAATAAAACCAAGTCCTTGTTAATGTTAAATTATTAGTCAAACTGTACAAAACGCGTTGTTTTGGTAGTAAAGCCCACTATACAACACTATACCGCTTACTATACGTGATTTATATGGTATAGTTAGGTATAGTGTTGTATTGTGCAACTATACGGTATAGTAGTGCTACTATACCAAAAATACCCATCACTAAACTTATCGATATCCGAGGTATACTCCTATACATTTCCTACGTGTATGCATATGTATCCACGATTCGCTGCGAATGGAGTTGTTTTGGACGTTCAGATAGGTGTGATGCCAGGTGAATTATGAACCTTGGGAAGCTATTACCAAAAAGGGGATTTGGGGAGTTAAGATATCCAAACGTCTACACAATCCCAACAAAGAAAGACATTAAGATATCACCGACACCTTAGCTCTCTTAAACCATTCGAGATGCCCCTTAACCGTAGCTTTCCTCACATTATGTAGCTCGTCAATAAACGCCGGGACGAAGGTGCCCGGGCCCTTGACATCCTCTCTCTCCGCCGCAATTTCCGCCGCGATACCGTAGTACACTGTACCGGCTATCACGGCAGAGAGCTTATCATTCGGATGTGCCGCCACCATAGCAGATATCGTTGTGCCGAGGCAGCAGCCCGTTCCCGTCACCATGCCTAGGTACTCGTGGCCGTTCTCGATCGCGAACACTGTTTCCCCGGCCGAGACCAGGTCCGTCTTACCAGTCATCACGACGATGTGTTTGCGGAGCTTAGCCAGCTCCTTAATCGCGGAAGCAAGCTCTTGGAGATTTTGACCGTCGGACCCGCTGTCGACGCCCCGTTGCTGAATGTTGGATCCCCCGGGCACACAGGATAGGATCTCCGACTGGTTGCCTTTGAGCACGTCCACATAACCTCCTCCGAAGATGGTTTTGACAGCTGATCTCCTAACCGCAGTAGCGCCGGCGCTATACGATCTTGTTAATGCGTTTGATCATCCAGGCCGATATTAATGCACTCACCCAACGGGATCAAATACCACAGGCAGCCCGACATCATTATATGCTTTCAGCGCCTTCAAATAATTCTTCAACCCGTCTGGCGTGACCGTACCCATATTAATGACCAGCGCGCCGCCTAGTTTTGCTAGGTCCGCGGCCTCTTCGCCGTAATTAGCCATGATAGGACTGGCGCCAACGCTTAGAGCGACATTAGCGGCGAAGTTCTGGACCACAAGGTTGGTCATGTTATGCGAAAGCGGCTTTCTGGTGTGGACCGCCTTGATGATGTCCGGTACGAGGGCTAGCAGCTCCTGAGGTGACCTCTTCTGTTGCTTGGATGTCGCAAGCGCGTTTGCGAACGGAGTTTTCCTCGTCTTTATTAGTTTATAGAGGCGATTCGCAGCCCATTCCGGAGTTTCGGCAGCCATGATGGCGCTGACGACTGCGACGCCATCGAGAGATCTCCCGTTTGCTGTGCTCTGCCATACCACGCGACCCACGTTAGATTCGTTGATGCCGCCGATACATACCGTTTTCACTGGCCACTTCTCGGTCTCGATTTTGAGCAGAATCTCCTGAAGGCCTTCCACACCTATAATACTCTTTGTGTTCTGTTTCCTATACATTTGTTAGGGTCCATTGCGTAAATTGTGACTTGGCCTGAGGGTTCTCACGTAGGCGTAGCAAACACAGTCCCGATCCCCAAATAATCTGCGCCCCATTTGACCGCGGTCTCTACTTCGGCAAGATTGCTCACAGTAACGCCGATGATGGCATCTTCCCCAAGGATTTTTCTAGCAGTATGTAGGTCTATATTTTCCTCTGGTTAACTAAAGTCCTTTCTAACTCATGTCCAACTATTCGTGTTTTAAAACGATGAAACTGAGGAATATTACCTAAATCATCCTGTCCGATATGCACACCCTCGCAGCCGACTGCCAGTGCAACATCTACGCGGTCGTTGATGAGGAGTGGGACTTTGTATTTCTTGGTGATCTCGTGTAGCTTCCGGGCTGTCGACACGAGCACACCTGTATCACTTGTTTTATCCCGATATTGCACGACAGTGACGTCGCCCCTTAACGCTTCTTCAACGACTTGGCATAAATCTCTGCCCCGAAGATAGTTAGGCGACGAGTCTGTCACTAAGTATAGCGTGTAGTCGACATCGTGTTTCGACATCTTCGAACTGACTGGTGGCGAGACTTCTATGACGTCGCGGCCATTTGTGAATTGTGCAGTTCCAAGTTCTAGGTCTGTACCTAGCTGCTAAGATTAGGACTCTAGTATGTCACTAGCGGGGTTGGCGGCGGACTATTCCCTGTTCCTATAGGCTGCTCCCATCCTATCGGATCGATACTACCAGGTAGTTCGGCAGGTACAGCATATAATATTACATGTACATAGTAGGTAGCTCCTAACCTACGGGAACTTGAGGGCTTATAAGATGCAAGCCTTAACCTAGATTTCTTAGTATGAGTACCTGAGGTCACATCGGCCCCGGATAGATATCATGATTGATGTAACTTATTTGACTTGCTCTTTTCATTGTTTTTCTTTAATCATGTTTCTACCTACAGGTAAGTAGAATCACTGTGATCCTAGCAGAATATCAAAACGCAAACATGACGATCCATCATCAAGCATCACCCCGTTATCATGGAGGTCACTTCCGTGCAAGAGTAGGCTTTCACTACTCAGCTGCCGCTGTCGGCGTTCTTGGCTTGCCCGACTGACTCATCCACGAGAAAGCTGAAGCGCTACCGATAGGATTCGACGACGTGCGAGGTGTCCCAGATACGCTTCGGCTCTCGCGAGTAGCCCCGGTTGGCTTTGTCTCAGCGCTCCCGATTGGCATTCGCTTCGAGTCCCACCGGAGCGTAGCGCTTCCGATACTGGCGTTGTCCGCTCCGCCTTGGCTCTTGCGTCGTAGCTCGCCATTGCTTCTGGGTGGTGGAGCCGGTTCGTAGGAGGCCCCTGTTCGAGCTGATGACGACGTCGACTTCATCGGCTTCAAGACCTTCATGTTCCGGCTCCCACGTCCAGCAGGCTGGTATCCACTCAGCGGAGTGCTCTCCTTTTGCTCGTTACCATTGAGTGCAGGGCCATGGCGCCATGAATTCCAGATGCTCCCCGTGGCAGAGGTTCGGCGAACGCTATCGCCTGAAGCGTCACTTGACTGGACTTGGGATCCCTTCACGCTAGATTCCGAAGTACCAACTTCTTTAAACTGCCTCTCGCTCTCACCGCCGCTTTCTGACACGGTACTTGTCGCAGCCGTAGCGGCTTGCTGACTCGCTTGTTCCGAAGACGGTGATGTTAGCACTCGGGTTTCGTCCTCATCACGTAATTCTTTTGTCTGGGGCCTATCCGATTGTACAGATGCTGAGGTTTGTGGTTTAGTCTCGGTTAAGACGAACGGGCGGGCAGTCGCATTTAGCTTCGGCTTTTCCGGGAAGATCGCCATCGTACGAATGTGTTTAAACACTCCGTTATCTTCGGGGCGTACGAAGGGGACAGATAGCTTCTCGCGCTCGCTACCGTAGAGAGTCATACGGTTTTGTGAGAACAGAACATCAGCTGAATGCTCCCTCAACGCCTCGCTACCAATGAAGATACGGATGGCCTTCCTGGCTTCGGCATTATCGGGTTGATCCATTCCCGCCACTTCGAACGTGCACGTTAGACTGGGCATCTGTGGTGCTGGGCTCATTCCTCGAGAACTTGGCTGAGATACGGTAGCTTCCGTCAAGTAGACCGGTAAGCGGATTCGATGAACACCATCCAGATCGCGGTGAATATCGTCCACCAGATCTAATTCCTTGATTAACGAAAATTCGACTACTGACTTTTGCGACCCGGTGCAGACATCTGCGTAGAGGAGAGTGTCATGAGCAAAATTAGCAGTAAGCCAGCAACGGATGATGGAAGGCACTGAACCCAACACAAACAGACTCGGGGGCGGCTCCGGAACGCCAATTGGAGAGTCGTCGTCCTGACCGCCAGGTGTGAACGTCGTGTCTATACCCAGGCTACTTCCGTGGCCAGAGGCAACGGAGTGATGAGAATGGATCGAGTGTACTGAATGGCCGGCTGAACTATGTCTACCATCTGATTTATGAGACAGCGAGCGTTCCATCATGTTATGATTGCCAAGGCCACTGCCTGGCCTAATTGGACCGAAATCTCCTGAATGGCGACCGTTCTGTGCCCAACTTGAACCTTGAAGCGCACTCTCGTCGAAGCGAACACTATTCGCCCTAGAAGCTGCGCCACGTCTCATAGGCTCATCCTCGGCGTCCAGGTGTAGACTACCTAGTAGACTCTGACCCTGCTCCTCGAAGTCGTCGAACATCTCGCTCGAGGGAATCTGGAGCGGTCCTAAGTAGATTCTGTTAGAACTTGCTTTGACCATGGAAAATTGGAGAAGGGGTAATCTAACCATGCTGTGGCGTGCCACTCAGAGCACTGGGAAAAGGCGAGTTCCAGACGGACTTGATCGCGGCATCGTCAGCCTGGCGCTTTTCTAATCGCGAAAGTCTTTCGGCATGGCTGTTCTGTATCATTTGCATCTGCTTGACGTCCATATGGACAGTGTAGAGTTCGTCACGAGAGACCGGGAAGCGAGAATCCATGCCCACCCGGGTTAACAACAGCGCCACAATCCCAACAGGTAATCAATAGAGGTGGACAATTAAACAGCTAAGATTAGGTCTGGTAGAAGCGAAGATTAAGTTGGCCAAGGAATCTCAATTGTAGGTCGGACGCAACGGAATAGAATGGTTTACGTCGAAGGGGCCTAGGAAGCCTACTTCTAGCATTGGATCGGGGGGCGTCGTGTAAAGCTGTAGCTCATCGACTTGTGTATAGCTCTGAAGAACGGTGCTTTGCGGCGTAATCGTTTTCTCGTTTCAGCCGTTGCGACCTCTATCCTTGATATATGAAAGATGAGGTCCACCACCGCCTCCTCATCGCAGAGGACCAGATGGCCACCTTGCGAATCACCGTATAGGGGCAGTGGTTCTCTCGTTCAAATTTATGATATCTGATATTTATTGGGGTAGCTGCTCAAGATCGAAACACGATGGCTTCCGGCGGATAGTTGGAATGTATGAGACGGTGAGACGACGGTAACGCGTAATCCCGATCAAGTAGTCCTTTGGTAGAAGGGTTTTCGACGAATTTCTTCGCAGTCGAGAAGGGCAAGGGAATTCTCGTAGCACCAGAACGGCTTCGACGTAGTAAGAATATATTACAATCACAAGCTAAGGTTACACGCCAATTGAACACTTTTCTTCAAATAGACGATGTTAGGTAGGCCTAGTTGGCGGTGGCGACAGGAGTTCGAAAAGGATCTACGGGGTGGAGGCTTTTTTAGTAATCGAGGGTCGACGTCAGAGAAGGCGACTGAGGAAGAGGAAGAGAAAGGGAGCACAGTTCGATCGGACTTCCAAGTTTCAGAACAACACAAGGGCGGGATGAATTGTTATATTGGTGGGGGTACAATAGAAGGATGACTATCAAGATAATTGGGCTATGACTTTGTGAGAAGAGGTACAAAGGAAGACAGAGGTAGTGGGTGGGTGGTTGAAGAATGATCTGTTATGTGCTTCTGAGAAAAGGCGGATGGGTTGGTTAGATATCGAAAATCGAGGTGAAGGTTGATTAGTATGGTGCGGTCGTAGGTAACGTATTCTTACAAAAAGAAGTAGTGGTCCCAGGTCCCATAGGCTCATACTAGGTAGGCAATTAGCAGTGGCCCGTTCACGTTCGCGGGCACTTCTCCACCGTCGAATTCCTTTTAGCTGCTTAGCGTGCATCAACTTCTTGTGCGTACCTACCACATTCTGCACATTCTACACCTTTGTGTGTAGGTATGTACCTAGTACAGACCTTGTGCTACGTCGCTGATAGGCTTATATCCATTTACCTAGGTACACCTAGGATGTCCACAGATGTTTCCTGATGCACTGACCAAGCGGTAGGCTGAGTGGTAGCGCAATAGAGACCCTAGCAGCCCTAGGTAGGCCCTAGACTAGGAACGCAGGGAACGCCACCACAAGATCTCCGACTAAACTTGACCCAATGGATCTTGTTCAATTCTCCTAATGCAATATCCCGTATGCATGCTTTATATTACTCAACCAAGAATTTGGCAAGCATTACTAGGCTCCCAACCTTCTATAACAATCCACCAGTTCAGTTTGACTCATATACCCATGGCTCTCATTGCGTTTGAGTACCTATATGTCAGCTACTATGCCATAATAACAAGAATACCTAGACTCCGATAGGCCCTTGTATGAGCGATTATAGTGTTCCGGGGTTCAACACACGCCACTCTGGAAACACCGTTTGTCCCGGTGGGAATGGACCAATGTGCGGCTTGACAATATCAAAGAAGACCTGATATGCCACCCCGCTCATGTGCAACCCGTCTGGTAAAAGCTGCTCTAAGGCGCCTCGTTTGCCTTTGGGATACCCCAAAGGAGGCCCGCTCGCATCGAAGTCCGTAGTCAAGGAGACGGCTTTGTCTAATATTGCTTTCTGAAGATCGACGAGCACAACACCGGGGATCTCTGCTGCCACCTTTCTAGCTGTTTCGGAAAAGGAAGCGCTGACAGCTGCTTGCCGAACCGCTTGCGCGTGGCCTGCGGCCAGGTCGAGCTCGGTAATTCGGATCTCGTCGATTGGCGGAGGTGTGACCAGCAGAATCTTAGGGCTGTGAGCTTTTATATGATCATGGTTCAAGATCTTAATTAAGTTATCCTTGTATTGGTCGATTGGAACTCCTTGAGTATTCGTCGGAACAGGGAGACACGCATCATTCGCACCCAACAGCACCAGCTAAAAGACACAATGGTTAGAAACCACAGACAAGCTTTTGCTTAACCCGAGTAAATACAGAACAGATAAGATACCAAGGTCCCAAGGTCGTCGTCATAATCTTATCACTCACAAGGTACTCTATCTTAGGGTTTGACGGCGACGGCGGCAAGAATATCTGAGGAAGATATTCCAAGGCATTCTTGGTATTCCAGCCAGAAAAGCCTCTGTTTACCACATCTAGATATCGTATGCAATCTAGAAACCAGTTAGATGCATTATGTCTAGTTGTTCAGGGGCTGTGTAGTCATACGATTCTGTAAAGCCCCCTGAAACGAGAAGCCATCTTGAACTGCGCTAGACTGCTGGAAGAGCGAGTCCCCAAACAGGACTAACTGGTTATACGGTCTCTATAACACATGAATTAGCCCTTAACTGAAATCCACCGACGGCCAACCCGCAAGAAAATAGTTCTTTGCGTGTTATTCACGTAGGCATACTTACAGCCATATTCTAAGATCTTGCGGAGAGAAGTAGACAGGTCAGATTCTCGGAAGTGGCTGAGACTATGAAGGAGTTGGAACGACCCGCGCACATAAACCTCTGAGCTGCTGGACCAGTTGAAACTAAAATAGTGGAAAGACTGGTGAGGGGACCATGTCCGCTCACCCGTACACTTGCATAGCTACATAAAATAGTAGGTACGGCCCGATCGATTACCTACTTACGGAAGTATTTCCACCGAATGTGTTGGAACTATAAAGGTACAAGCCAATCAGGGGTTAGGAATATAAAGCTTCCCACGATCGTCGCCGCATAATTCAGGACCTCGGCCTCGCAGCCTCGACAATCATATACTAAGCTAGGCAGGTATTTATATTCTAATTGCATTAACTAAGTGCTGAAGAGTAGGAGGCTCGAGAAGAATTCACTCTTATCCCATCCCCTTTAATGCCTAGGCGCGCTACTGTAATAATTAGCTTTTTGGATATTCGAAGTATATGTCGTAGGTCTAGTAGGTAGCAAAGCGGCTAGGATAGGCTTTAATTATACGCATGTAAGTGTAGATCCACCTAGAGACCTACATCTCTTTAGTAGATCCAATATAGCCATTTCCAATCTTCAATACTATGAGAAAATATCGGTTACTTGTCAACAGAGGCGAAGAAGATGTTTAAAATGGTGATCACAAGTGAATGTCCGAGAGATCTTGTCTGACCTTTGCTCTCCAGGGGAGATTTCAGACATTCAAACAGTAAGGCTTGAAATAACCCTAGTCCTGGTCACGCAATTGTGAACGGGTGCTGAAAGGTACTATTACCCGAGATATCAATTGGTCATCTATATCCAATTGAAGTACAGCCCATCTGTAGAAGTCTTCAAGAGTCGTCCGCTCTAAACTCCGAAATAGAAAAAATATCGGTCCAAATGTTGATAATAATGGGGCTGCTGTTATCCAGGGCATATGATTCGTTCAATTCCTTATCGGTAGACTGTTCCTAATGAAACTTTGCTCCCCGCTAAAATTTTGGGAGAAAAGTTCAATTGGTATCACGAATTGGAAGTCTCCAGTCTCCAGTCGCCAGCTTTCAGTATAATACAAATCCAGACTACCCGGCGCGTCTTCTCCCATGGAAATACGAGCCTCCTCGACATCAAAGCCAGTATGACGACAGCATTAGCTGCGCAACTTGCGCAGATTGCTGCGAGTTCGAAATCGACACTCGACGTTAAGGCGCAGAAAGCGGCCCATTCAAAGTCGTTAATCTTCGAACCACGAGTTGCGGCGTCGCAAAACTTCCAGACTCTCTATGGTATCTGTCACCAAGGATATGAAGAGCTTTGCCAGCTAGATTCGCGCTTCGTACCCTTTGGTACAACCATATTCAGCGAGCAGAGTCAGGATGAGGACCGGAGTCAAATGACTGCTGCCGAAAATGCAGAGCTCGACAAGAAGATAGACTCATTTCTCCACCTCGCGGGAGCGCGGCTTAGGCTTATGCCAACAATCAAGGCTATTGAATGGCTTATCAGGAGATTTAGGTATGATTTCTAAATACTATAAATACGATGTGTTGGGTTATGGTTCTAATCTTGTAACAGGATCCACGAATACAATACAGTCATGCTCATCTCGACCTTCCTCCCATACCACACCATCCCAGCCTTTGTGACACTCCTGTCTATCTTGCCTAGTAGGATACCGCCAGTGTATAAGTTCTTAGATCCCTACGTACGGTCGTTGACTCAGCCACCGAGGTCTGTCATTGTCCACCAAGCGATACACCATTCCGACTTCCTCGCTACCCTCTCGACGTACACTCTAGACGCATGCAAGGCCCAGCACCACTACCCTGCCTTGATATCTTTCTGGGGCGGGATAATGACCGAGGCGGTGAATGGTATGCTAGATAAAATGCGATCCGGTCGTCGTAGCATTCAACGAAGCAACGACCAAACTCTGCTGCACCAAATAGGTCCTATCCTTAGTGACGCTTTAGTCATGAATAAGGTCCCTGGTTTGCAAATAGCCTCATATATGGTGATATCTGTTTTCGTTGCGAAGGGCGACCTTGATGATACCGCCATCAGTGCCTTGATGGAGCAACTCGTTACTGGATGGATGGCAGAATCCCTCCGTCCTGGTCTTGTCTGCCTCTCGATTCTCGCACAATATCGATCAGCGAAGCAAATGTCCAGAAAAGTAACGAAGGCATTTCTTAAGATCCCGAACCTTTCTACTCTCCTTCCCGAAATTGGCAGAGAGCATAATATTACAAAGCTGGCGAATGGTCTGTGTCTAGCCCTGGTAGATAGGGCTCACAAGAAAGGCGATATAAAAGGCTTGCCGGTCATTGAGTCGATTCTCTTAAGTTCGGTTATCAATGACCAGCAGACGGCAGTCATTTTCAAAAGTTTATTGTTAGCAGCACACAAAGTCGGCGATGACGTCGACCCGCAAGGAGAAGTGCGAAAGGCTCTAGCTTCTATAATTATCAGGCTTTCGCAACTCGATACGGACGCTGGGAAGATATTCATCAAAGCAATCGACGAGACCGAAGTCGACGTGGATGCGCTAGAACTTAGGCTCGGTACTGATCTTCGACCGAAACAACTTGCTAACCAGCCCCAACAAGATATTCCGATGGTAGACGACGAAACTGTGCCGGTGCTTGTCGAAGGCATGGAATCTATTGTCCAGCGCGTAGCCCACATATCGACCTCGCCATCAGACTCGTGTCTACGAGCTGCTTCTTCGGACATCTTCACCGACCTATGTTCCATCTTTCTTTTTAGCGTTGCTGATCCGGATAATCTCAAGTCTTTCGACAAACTCGCGCCGTTGCAGCACGGCCAAGGGAGCGAGACACCCTTTTATCTCACGTTCTTAATGCGAACATGGTGCGGACCATACCCGGTATTAGCTCGTGCTGCGGCTCTTGACTTGGCAAAGCGGCGCCTAAAAGACGACGACTGCAAGAGCGTAGACTTCCAAGCCCTCTTGCCATACACTCTCGCGGCTCTAAATGACCCATCGAAAAGGGTACGTCGCGCTGCCGCGGATTTAGCAGCTGTCCTTGAAAATTTGTTCCAAGATTTAGAAAAGTCTGAAACTCACATCCGTTGGGCTAACGACTATTTGTATGATGACGCTGAATCGTCGGTATGGATGGACGTGGACGTCTGTTACAAATTGCTGCACAATGTCGTCACACCTGGCCTCGAAGAGTGTGTCTTAAATGCTGATCACATCATCGAGGTCTTACAAAGCGCATTGAACAGCAGCTCGAAATCTTCAGCTGAAGAAGATAAGGATAAGAAAAGCCACCTTTCGCATAGTACCCGACGATCCATCCTATCCTTCCTCTCTTCCCACGCAATTCAAACTCCTCTCATCGTCCTGAAGATCCGCCTTCTTGCGTCATTAAACCAGGTCAAGGGTGTCTCAGGCACTACTCGTACTCAATTACTTCTACCACTGCTCAAATGGTGGTCATCCTTGTCTTCCGACGACGCTACCCGCGTGTGTGCCCAAGAAAATGCCGGAGAGCCGGTCCTAGACCAAAGCATTGTCGAGATAGTGCTTCCGAACGATAAAGATGGCATGGAATTTCTACTAGGCATTGTGGGAACTCAGCAAGTTATTACAAGACCTAACCTCCTTCACGCCATTTTCTTGCGAATCCAGAGTTTATGGCCATCTATGAAAACGGATGCGAAGCATATGGTTGCTAGACAAATGCTCGAACTATCACAAAGAGATCCGTCTAGTGATGGCGGTGCCGTCTCCAGCGAAGCTGCGAATCTCTTAAGGAATGTGGAGCTTACAACAAACATTCTCCTATTCTTCCTAGAGTCTCTACAGCCGGCGGCTAAGATGGCTACCGAACCACCATCGGGCAAGCGTAGAAGGACTAGCTCTTCCGAGGCTCATCGGGGACTAGGGACACAACCAACTCCAGAATTAAGCACAATGCTCAGGCAAGTCACCTTTGTACTGCAGCTCGTCGAGGGATCCAATCCTGAAAACCACCCTGAGCTACTCAATGCTCTTTTCAATGCCCTTTCCGAGCTCCAACATTTTAGAGTATTAGTTGGTTCGGAACTAGGGTATCTTCAAAACCTCATTCTTCGGAGTTTGCTGGCCATGGTTCCCGCATACAAGAAGGACAAGTCGTTGAAGATTGACAGCACTGGCGGACACGGCGACCTCCTTGTTAATTGCATCCAGAAATCCTCGAGTCCGTCAGTGCAAAACACTGCACTTCTGCTTGTCGCAAGCTTAGCAAATGTTGCACCGGATCTAGTACTCAACAGCGTGATGCCAATCTTCACGCATATGGGAGGGTCGGTGCTCCGTCAAAGCGATGACTACTCAGCCCATGTGATAAATCAAACAGTTAAAGAAGTTGTGCCGCCTCTTATCCAGTCGCTGCGAAAAGGAAAGATAAGTCCTCTGGCGGGAGCTTCCGAACTTTTACTCAGTTTCGTAACTGCGTACGAACACATACCGTCACATCGAAGACTTGGGCTATTCGTATCCCTAGTTGAGACCTTGGGTGCTGAGGAATTCTTGTTTGCACTCTTAGCTATGCTTACCAACATGTACGGCGCTACTGATCAAGTTTTATCTTTCGCTACCGAAATCTTCAACTACTTCAAGGTAGAGATTCAACTCCAGTCCTTGATCAAGCATCTCGGCCTAATTGGTGATATCTTTCAACCAAGACCCGGTCTATCCTCGACCCTCCTTGGCACCAACGAACAGAGTGATCGGGATCCCCAGAAAATTGGGTTTCGCCAATTAACATTGGTCCCCCATCTTTTATCCAGCAGAAAATTGACCACACAGATCGCTAAACTCACTGAGCGGGACGACATGGAGGCTTCTAAGGTCCGAGAACTTTATTCGACTCTGTTGGAGGATCTCCTAGTTTTAGCAGATTCGTTGAAACAACATAAGAACCTGTATAATCTCTGTGGTGACGCGCTATCGAAGCTTCTGAATCTCCTCTCTATTGGAGAGTTTATCAAATCTGTGGAAACCCTCCTAGATCGACCTGATGCTGTCCTACGGCGTAAGGTCTTGCGCGCTGTCGAGGTCAGGATCGACGAGGAGAGCCAGGGAGATGCTAATTCCAGAGTAGCCCTTCTTGCATTCCTGCCACACTTAACAGCTATCATTAGAGTCTCGGAGGATACGGCATACAAGCACCTAGCTGTAGGCTGCGTGGACAAGATCTCCGAGAAATACGGAAAGAAGGATCCGGAGGCTGTGACTGCGGCTGCTGCAACAATTGCTAGCGACCAATGTTTGGGTCAAGATGATGATCAGCTCCGCGTAATGGCGTTGCTTTGCCTGGCATCTTTGGTAGATGTACTTCAGGACGGTGTCATGCCCGTTCTACCATCTGCTATTCCGAAGGCGCTTTCGTACATTGCAGAAAGCATGAAAAGCGAGGCTTCGGGGGTTGAACTCCATAACGCCGGCTACGCATTCATGGCAGCGCTGGCACAGCATCTCCCCTACATGCTCTCTGGGTCCTATCTAGGCCAGCTTCTAGCAGTATCAAGCGCATCTTCTAGTTCTAAATTGGGCGCCGAAGCCAATGATGCTAGATTGCAATGTTTGCGATTACTTGCCAAGCAGGTCGATGCTAAGACTCTGTTCTCTGCTCTAGAACAAAACTGGGGTACAGCCATAGATTCCGGCCCAGTTGTAAGTTACAATCACGGATCATATCAGAGCGTCAAGAAAACTAACATCGACTTTAGGCCACGCGAGAATATCTTGACATTCTCGGCATCGCACTTGACAAACATTCGAAAACAGATATCTCCAAGAATATCGCCTCCCTATCGGCCATATTCCTTAATGCCTTTGATCTTCGTAGACTGAAGTGTTCCAAGGGTGGTGCTAGCGAGGACTTCTCGAGGCAAATACACCGCATCGAAGAAGCGATTAACATAGTTGCTCTGAAGATGATATACAAACTCAACGATGCAACATTCCGACCGATATTCTCTCAGCTGGTAGACTGGTCTGCAGGCTTGCCGGAGAAGGATACCGAAGGCAAAAACCTCAGGCTTTTGAGCATATACGGCTTTTTCCTATCTTTCTTCAGCGGCCTAAAGTCTATCGTCACTAGCTACGCATCCTACATTCTCGACAGTGCCGTCGACATTCTCCAAAGCACAAGTCCAAAGAGACCTGTAGAACAGGAACTATGGAAGAAGGTACTGAACACTCTAGCAAAGTGTTTCGAGCACGACCAAGACGACTTTTGGCAGGCTCCTGCTCATTTCGGCGCAATAGCGCCCACTTTGGCCTCGCAATTTCCTCACGCCTCTTCCATTAACTTAACAAACGAGCTTATTCCTGCCGTAGTCGAACTCGCAGCCGCAGCCGATTCTCAAGAACACCAAAAAGAACTGAACGGAGCTCTACTAAAGCATCTGCGCTCCGAGCAGGCGTCGGTCCGTCTAGCGGCCGTGAAATGCGAACAAGCGCTCACAAGTAGGTTGGGCGAAGAATGGCTGGCTATGTTGCCAGAAATGCTTCCATACATCAGCGAATTGCAAGATGACGACGACCAGTTGGTCGAACGGGAGACGTACATCTGGATTAAGGGGATAGAGGGAGTCCTGGGCGAGGAATTGGATTCTATGTTGCAATAGAGGGTGTCGAATAGATAAGAACTAAATGAGAACCGGTTGTTAACCAATCTTTCTACGTCCAATTCATCTAGGTCGTGTGTAATTTATTCTATAAAGGCATGGAAGGGTTAGTCCCTTTTTCGGGTTGTACATAATTCCTAGACAAATAAATATTGATTACAAGATCATTCCTTGTTATTATCATGATGGTCCTTTGCTGCCTACCTAATTTATCCAACAGTACTCCAGCTATCATAGGATCACTCATAATTTAGCCAAGTCACAATCACGATCACGGCAAAAGTAGTTACTGGTTTTGGGGAAAATCTCAATTATCCATTGATTGCGGACTATCTGAGAAAGGGGGAAGGGGATCATTCATTCATGATGTCGTGGTTAGGTACAGTGGTTTTTTGTGTGTGAAAAAGCAACCATATAAACCTTTTGCAACGGTCCTTTTTTCCATGAAAGTCCTTTGCAAATATGAATCAAGTACAAGCATCAAAGTAAAAAAACAGTAAAAGAAGTGAAAGACGAAAATTCATGACCCAATCATCCCGATCCAACCCGCCGTTCCTTATGCCTACCTATGTTTATTCCAACCGTCATCGGTAACTTGTGAGAAGGAATAATTTGTTAGTTGTGTAAAGTAGGCTCAGGCCAGGGAGCAGATTGGAGATCACAAAATTGATTCATGGGAGATAGTGGGGTTTTTTTCCGGCGTTAGGTAGATATGATCTACCAGATGTGCACCAAGGAGAGCAGCACGGCGATCATCACGACACAGTGGAAGGCGCTGTTCTCGTCATCCCATCCTTGACGGCGGGCGAGCGATGAGACAGTCGTGGTGCTGGCCGCGTGAGTGTGCGTCGCGGTAGGCTCCATGGGCATCGTCATGGTGGTTCCGTTCATGACCATGGGCTCAGTGCTGTTAATTCCGGCGGGTCCGATGGGGAGCGATGAAGGGCGGTAGTTGTCAGTGCTGTTACCACCGTCGGCGGTCATGTTGCCCATGTCGGTTCCGTTGGCAATAGGAGGCAGGAGACCGGTGCTGTTGACGGACATAGGGTGGAACAGAGCCGTGGAAGTGCTGATTTCGCTGACACTGTGGGGGTGGAGACTGCCGGTCGTGATCGTGGTGATGATTGTGCTGATGATAACGCCAGGGCCGTCGGAAGATGCGGTCGTGGTGACGGCAGGGTTGGAGGCTGCGGGTAGCACAGTGATGGTGTACATCTCAGTCGAGTTGCAGGGGATGGTCACGATCGACGAGTTAGCATAAGAGTGCGAGGCAGTGATACCATCAACGCCACCAGTGGTACGAGTCAGAGTTCCGTTGAGAGTCGCGGTACTGGTGATAGTAGTCTCATGGCCAGTTGTGGTAGCGTTGGCAGTAGGATACACAGTAACGACGTCAGTTGTCTCGTTGCATGATGTGTGACTGGAAGAGATTCCAACGATGTCGGTGTATGTGACAGTCGTGCTATAACCGATAGAAACGGTCTCGGTGCTAACGGGGACAGGCGACGAAGTTGAAACCGACGAAGTGCTGGTCGAAGTGGGCACACCCCAGACAGTAGAGACGACAGTTGTAGTCACGGTATCAGTCTCGTGTTCACCACAAGGCTCAGTCGACGAGGTAGAAGTCGCAGTAGAGCTTCGAGACAGAGTGACGGTGATAGTGTTGACGTTGACTGTGGTCACAGTATACACCGAGATACTGTTGTCGATAGTCTCAGTCACGCTCTTTGTCATCTCCACGGTGTAGACAGGGGTAACAGTCTCAGTCGAGGTGCTAATGATCGTCTCAACGGCCGCGTCAGAAGTGGTCGAGGACACAGGGATCGTCACAATCACAGTCTCCATGGATGCTGTCGAGCTTGAAGTCGTAGAATGACTAGCAGTCACAGCGTCAGAACTGTACAAAATTTTGTTAGCTTTTAATCTTCTTCTTTGATGTTATGTATAGGAATCGTGTTACTTACCCAGCAGTAGAGAATACAGTCTCCGAAGCACTCAGGGTGCAGTTGTCCGATGAAGGAGAGATAGTCTCAGTGACGGTGGTGTAGATAGTGCTATGACCAGTGGTTGTGGTGCTAGCGACCTGAGAAGACGAGTTGGAAACCGAGATAGTGGACGAAGTCACAGTCGAATGAGTCGAATGACCAATGAAGGTGGTGGTAGTGTTAGAAACAGTACCAGTTGCCGCACCAGTGCCACCCGTAGTCCAGATAGGAATAGGAGAGAGGGTCACTGTAACGTTCATGGTCGTGGTGACGGGAACAGTTGTGTCAATGTCAGACGTGGAAGTGCCGTTACCGACAGAGTAGCTGGCCGAAGTACCGGTAACAGGAACCCAGTGAGTGATAGACACGGTCGAGTTGGGCCAAGAGTGGGGACCAGGGACGAAAGGCGTGACAGTGGCATTACCCTCAGAAGTGCTAGTTGCAACCTCAGTGATAGTCACATTGCTGCCCACAGTGACAGTCTCGATCTCGGAAGCGGTGGTGTTGAAGACCTGAGTCTGGGTGCTTCCGGAGGCGACGCCGGTGGAAGTCTCAGTGACAGTGATGTTGTTAAGACCAGTGAAGGTGGTCTCAGCGACATCAGTCGAGACAGTGACAGGAACAGTGACAGAAGTAGTCGCAGTAACCGTAAGATGATCAGTGACACTAGTGTCCAAGTGAGAAGTAACCGTAGGGAATCCAGTGATAGTGATGGTGGGGTGTTCACCACCATACGAGTAAGCCTGACGACCGACCACATTGGGCTTCACGACATCAGAGGAGGTATGCTTCGAGAGAACCTCCTTGAAAACGCGGTAATCAGCTGAAGGACACAGTTAGACATGTGTGAATTTCCAATGATTATAGGGATACCTAGACACTTACCCGCAAATCCGATGCCAAGAACAAAGGCCAGGAACAGGATCATCATCCAGGCGCTAACCTTGAACAAGCGCGTCTCTGTGAATGTGGGTTAGTCATATCATAGCAGTGAATGGAAGAGATGGGATTCAAGACTTACTAAAGCGAGCGTCGTCCTCACGATCAATTCGAGCATACTCTGCTTCGAGATCTTCGAAATAGTTGTCCAAATTGCCGATTGGACCCTGAGTAGCTCGGCCCAAGCCAGCTTCTTGGTCGTAGTTTGCTCCACCAGTCATCTGGTGAAGCAATGCGGCTTGCTTGCGCTGCTCCTCCATGGCCATGGAGCGAAAGGAGGCGTCGTCGCTCATGGAGCCGTAGTCAGGAGTGTAGGCCACGTAATACTTCTGGCCAGAACCCTTCTTGGCAGAAGAAGACTGATTGTCCGCAGAAGACATGGTGACAATGTAAGATCTAGAAGCTGTTAGATATGCTTGATCAAAGCACTCGGTCTTTTTTACAGAATAGAAGCAATGGGGGGTTGAGTTATTGTGATGGTGGATGTAGGTATGGCAAGGAGGAATAGGATGGATGAGCAAAATAAATGAATATCGATAATGAATTTTTTTTCCGTGGAAGGATGGAGCTTTGATGGTAGTGATATCAAGAGAGGAAGGGCTCAATAAATTTTGATGGTTATGAATAAGAAATGCGAGTTAGAAGGGTTGAGTAGATGAATGTTGATGGTTGATATGTTGGGATATGGGATGGGATTAGGTGATGGACATGTCAAGAATGGGAAATGGGATAGTTTGAGGGTATGGATGCTAGGGAAATAATCGGCAACGAGAAGGATCATGATGAATGTGTTCCGAAGGAAAGGAAGGGAAGCCGACGATGAATAGATTATTCGCCGACGTGTAGTATTACAACCATAGAAGGCATGATAGAAATAGTTTACGGTGATAGAGATGACAAAAGGAAAATAAATTCTTACCGAATGAACTGACTTGACCAAGTGATCTTGATGATGGGCGACGATGTTAGTGACCTGTGTCTTGACGGAAGATGTACGCGAAAAGAGTGTGAAGATAAAAGAGTGTGTGAAGATAAACGAGTGTGTTGAAGTGTTGAAATGGAAAACGAACGAGCGTGTTGAAGTAGAAGAGGTAAGGTGGGTTGAGTTGAGGATGAAGGTTGGAAAAGAAAGAGTGTTTGGGTTGGATGAAGTAGACGGGACGAAAAAGGTATGGGCACCTAGTGGCAGAAAAAAGGCGGTGTTATGTAGTAAGGTTAGGTACGAGTGTTGTTGTGGTGTTCTGTAGTAGGGTCGTTGACGAGTGGTGTTGTTATTTTTTTGGTAGTAGAGTTGGAAACGAGTGGCAGGAGGGCGAATGAGATGAACGAGTATGTGCAGCAATAGCGACGTTATTTGATAAAAATAATTACGCGGAAATGGAGATGAGGTATCAATAGGAAATTTACTTAATTACTTACCGTCTTGACGGATGTTGATGTCTTGCTTGTGCGACAGTTTGAGGTGCACGGGAAGATGAGATGAAGAGTTGAAGGCCGTTGTGTTGTGGCACGGTATGGTGAAGTGGAGAGTTGGATTGAGGTGAAGTAGGATAAAAAGGTGAAGGAGTGAAGAGTAAAAAAGAAGTGATGTAGAATTACTGTGAAGATTATATCTTTTACGATTGGCCCTAGTGTCTACGGCGGTAGGGTACGTGATTTGATCTTTCGTCTGATTGCTGGAGGACTTGATTCTATATGGAAATCGCGTCCAAGGTACCTATGTATTTTATGCACACTGGGCTCCAACGAGGTCTAAGATGTAATCATTGGAGTTCTGAATTTGTACTTGCCTGATATTGTGATTTATTTATTTTATTTTATTTTATTCTGTCCTCGTCCTTATCCCCCTTTCCTCTCTGCTAGTGACACTCATCTCGGGAATGTGATAGTAACACTAGCAAACATGCAACTAGCAAACCCATTAACTAGTTGATATAGCATTAGAATGATATCTCCTTGTTTAGGCATTTGAGATAATCCTAATATACGTAGTATTTCCATTATTGTAGGAGTTCGAGCAGGAACTTGCAGGATCTTATAACAACAAGCCTTCTAGGTAGGAAGGCAGTGCGAATACCAGCAAGCAAAACGTTAATTATTAATACCTAGACTGTGATTAGTGGTTTATTTGATCTCACGGTGAGTTACTTCAGGGACACATCTACCAGGATACCGTTAATTTATATGATTTATTTGACCACCTTTTTAAAAATCGTATAAATATTATAATATCTCCATGGTTAAGTACTCGAGACCCTCCTTATGATAGAAAAAATAATGACAATTAATTCTACAATTTTTTTTATAAATCTATTCGATCCTTTTAAGTATAGTGAGGGTTTGAGAATTGAATTCGAGAGAGTTGTGATCATATGTAGTTCGTGGTGTTGGGTGAAGTTCACGATATGAGGTTCAGGGATTATTAAGAGCCTCAGGTACATGTAGGGCAGGTACACCTGACGGTAGGTACTTAGGTACCTGGATACTTGCATAAGTACATAATCTAATAGATCCGTGCGGAATAAGTACGTACCTTTAAAGATCTGTTGGCCCAAGCTCTAATTTAGTGTTTTTCATATTTCTACCTTCATTGATGCAGGCTTTAGTACCTCTGTACCTGACATGGGTGTTGATTTCGCTCAAATTGGCATAGTGTGATATGCAATTTTACAATCACACCGGGAGTGGGGCGCGATCAAGGACATTGGCGGAGCAGGCAAGGCAGGTAGGCTAAGGAAGGAGGTAGGCACCTGGGCACTAGGTACTAGGTACGGGACGCCACACGCGACGCTGGAAATTGATTGATTGACCCTGCTGCAGTGCTCGTCGCGTAACACCCTCCCCAAGAAAGGACCAGAAAACCATCTCATCGCCAAAAAAAAAGTCCTCCCGGCATTTGTCCCACCTAATGTTCCTTTCTTCCGCAGCCACTCGACCAACCCTTTCCGCATCCTATCTTAGGAGTCGCCGTTCGTCTCTTTAGTTTAATTGAATTTGTTCTTTATCCTTTATAGGTACGCGCCCGGGTTCTTTATCATAATTCCGCCCATTCGCCCCGCTCCTAGGACAAGTCGAGGTCGGACGCTTCGAGCTTCACCACGGAAACCCGTGCTTATTCGTATCCGTGTACCTCCCGAATTCTATTACTATCAGATTGAAAGATCATTGAAATCTCGATATGGCGCGTCGCAGGGACGAGGTCCCAGAGGAGGAGGACCAAGAAATGGAGGAAGAGCTCGTAACACTTCAATTCGACGAGCCTTTATCATGGCGCGCCGGGAAGCCAATCGCGACCGGCGAGCTTCTTCGACGATTAGAGAAGCTTTCCAAGGAATTAGTTGACATGGACCAAGAGACGGTCGACAAGGACTCTCTCACTCATGTCGCGAAAGAGCTGGCTTCTCCCAATTTGCTCGCCCATAGGGAAGCTGGGGTTAAAGCCTTCGCGGCGGCATGCTTGGTAGACATCTTGAAACTATGCGCCCCAGAAGCACCTTTCACCCCCAAACAACTTAAGGTTTGTTTTTAGCATCCCGTTTCTATCTGTTGCCCTTGTAAGCACGCTTATTCTAACCGCCATGTCTTATTTTGATTGTAGGAAATATTCTCCCTCTTTGTCAAGACCATTCTCCCCGCCCTTTGGGATCCGAGTAACGCATATAACACACAACATAAATACGTTCTAACGTCTCTTGCCGAAGTCAAGAGTATTCTTCTAATCAACGAGGTCACGAACGCAGAGGAACTTTTACTTCACTTATTCTCTTCCTTCTTCGATGGCATCTCTGGCTCCTCCAAGGCAGCTTCGGGAGAACAGGTTGCCAAGGACGTTGAATTCCACATGACGGATATCTTGGTCACGTTGGTTGAAGAAAGCCCCTCGCTACCGCCGCCAGTCCTAGATGTCATAATGGCCCAATTCCTACGAGCAGCACCCCCAGGGGGCCGTAAGGAGAAAGCAGATGCCAATGGGAAGCAAATGACTCTTTTGCCTAAGGAAGAGCCAGAAGCGTATGTTATGGCGAAGACTGTGTGCAACTCATGTCCGGAGAAGATGGCACGTTATGTGGGACAATACTTTAGCGAGGTAATTATGGACGTATCTGGAAACAGCGGCCATGCCAATGGGCATAGGGATGATGACGATTCAGATGATGACGATGGTGCCGCAGGGCCCTCCGATTTGGAATTCAAAGAATTGCGGAAGGCCCATCAGCTGTTACGGGAGCTTTGGCGAGCAGCACCCACGGTATTGCCAAATGTCATACCTCAGGTCGACGCTGAGCTCTCTGCCGACAACATCCAATTACGTTTGTTGGCAACTGAGACGTTGGGGGATATGATAGCTGGTATTGGTGCCGCAGGGCCACCCCCTTCTCCAGAACTTGATCCGGCGGCGTATCCGCCTCTGAAGTTGAGTGACGAGATTCCAGACCATCCTGCGACGAGCATTCTTACCACCCCTATTTCACCCCTATCTTTCACCCAAACGCATTCCCAAGCGTTCCATAATTTCGTTGGCAGGAAGAACGATAAATCACCTCTAATCCGTACAGCATGGACAACAGCCGTGGGTTACATTGTCTCGACGTCTGCGGGCGGCATTGGGCTTAGCCGGGAAGACGAATCGGTCTTTGTCAACGGACTGCGAGACAAGCTAAACGACAACGACGAGAAAGTTAGGTTGGCTGCCGTGAAAGCTATCGAGACCTTTAGTTTCCGTGATATCGTCACCAAGCTGGCCGCGATCGGTGGTGTAAACAAGGAGGGCTCAGTTTTGTTCACTCTTGCAGACCGCTGCCGAGACAAAAGACCGTCCGTCCGTGTCGAGGCTATGGCCCTCCTAGGGAAACTCTGGGCTGTCGGCAGTGGAGAGTTGGCCGCAGGACAAGAGTCGGTAATTTCTGCTTTGTCGGGCATCCCTTCTCGTATATTCAACACATTCTACGCCAACGACCTAGAACTGAACGTGCTACTAGAGCGTGTCGTGTTCGAATGTCTTATCCCCCTATCTTTCCCGCCTCCTCCCAAGGCAAAGGGTGCTAAGCCATCTAATGGCAATTCTCAATCGCAAGCGGCCGTCGATCCCGCTTATGACCAGGACAGGATCCGCGCAGAAAGAATATTACTGCTCGTGAAAGATCTAGACAGCAATGCCAGAAGGGCATTCAATGCATTACAGGCGCGACAACCTCAATTTTCGAAAGTATTGGAAAATTTGGTTCGTCAGTGCGACGCGTTCAACGGAGGAAACCCCGAAGGCAATGCAGATAGGATCAACCAAAATCTCAAGAAAACGATCCAATATCTATGCCAATTCCTTCCCGACGCGGCCAGGGTCGAGGCAGATTTACATAACTTTGCCAACTGGCATGACCGCCGTTGTTATCAACTAATTAGGTTCGTGGTCTCAGCTGAGAGCGATTTCAAGACGATGCACAGAGCTGTCAAGGAATTTGTGAAGAGGATACAGGGTTCTCCGAAGCCTCACATATTGGAGACCTTGTTGCCTCTTATTTACCGCTCTGCCTACATCGTATTAAATAAGAGTCACCTCTCGACTTATATGGACTGCTCTAAGAGTGACAAAGACGGGCTTGGAGCTGCCGCGCAGGAGATTACAACCGAAATTTCTCAAAACAACCCTGACTTATTCAAGACTCACGTCGGGCAGCTTTGCAAGGATTTGGTAGACGGTGCGCCAGCAGCGGATAAGCCAAACGAAGCTGCCATGGTCGAGACTCTTAAGGCATGTTCTTCTTATTCCAAGAGGTACCCCAAGGAGCTTCCGGACGACCGCAAGTTTACCCAAGCACTGATAAGCTATTCTTTACATGGAGAACCAGCTAAAGCCGCGAAGTATGCCGTCAACGTCATGATGGCTAGAAAAGACGATAAAAGTATGGTGTCGGCTACGGACCTATTACAGAGAATTATGAAGAACTGGAGCTATGATTCGCCTCACTTCTTAACGAAGCTCGCAGCGATCAGTCAGCTGGAACTTTTAGCGCCTAAGGTGACCGCCGATGCCAATGACAAAATCACTGACACCGCGTTAGAGGACGTCTTATTCAAAGTTCGCACAGATGCTAAAGAGTCTGATCCTGAGTGGGTTGCCGATTCTGAGCTTGACGAAGAAGGTCAAGTAAAGTGCTGGGCACTTAAGCTAGTGATCAATCGTCTCCGAGGCACACAGGATTTGGAAGAAGCGAAGGAACTGGCGAAACCAGTCTTCAAGCTACTGAGAAATACCTTGAAGCAATCGGGCGAACTATGTAAGATAAAGGACACACCTAAGCACCACAAAGCTCGCTTACGACTGCTCGCCGGCCAGCTCTTCCTGAAGCTCTGTACCTTGAAACACTTTGAAGAAATATTCTCGCATTCCGACTATAACCAGCTTGCCTTCCTCACACAGGACCCATGCGCTCCGGTTCGTCGGCTTTTTGTCGAGAAACTCCAGAAATACCTGGTGCAAAATAAGCTTCGGCCTAGGTTCTACACGATGATCTTTTTGACGGCTTTCGAACCAGAAGCCGCGTTCAAGAGTCAAATCGAGACGTGGATACGATCTAGGGCGCGCTTCTTCCGAGATGCTAAGCAAAACGTCATGGAGGCGACAATGGGCAGGCTGATCTCCCTGCTAGCGCATCACCCAGACTATGGAACAGAAGTCGATGACTTGATAGATCATGCCAAATACTTGCTTTACTATATTAGCAACGTTACTACAGAAGCCAACTTCGGTATGATATTCAAGTATGCCGAACGCGTGAAGCAGACTAGGGATGGCATCACCCCGACGGAGAGCGAAAGACTCTACGTGGTGAGTGACTTGGCCCAGAGCCTCCTACGAAAATGGCAGGAGAAGAAGAACTGGAGTTTCCAGGCCTATGCCGGTAAGGTTGGCTTGCCTATGGGTCTGTACACGGCACTACCAAGTCACGATGTGGCACAGGAGATTGCAGCGAAGCAGTATCTTCCAGAAGGGCTCGATGAACAATTGGACGATCTGCTGAGATCTGTGGATAAGAAGAAGGTATAGTTACAAAACATCACCTTGCCCCAATCCGTCGCATTTTGAATTAACACAATTGGTCTCCAGAAACGTAGAACTGCAGACGAACGAGCTGAAGGGCAACCTGCTCAGAAGAAGGTCAGAACGGCAGTACCCAAAGCTTCCACAAAAGTGAAAACGCCCAAGGCCGCGAAAACATCTTCGAAGAGACCCGCTGTGAAATCTACCAAGACTTCGTCAAGGTCCAAGAAAGCTCCTACTTCCTCCCCAGCTCAGGACTCTGCAGATCGCAGACGTAGTGGTCGTTCTAAGAAGAACTCATCCTACATCGAGCGAGACTCTTCAGAAGATGATGAGGACATGCTAGAGGGCGTAGCGGAGTGGGACTACTACGATGATGACGGTAATCGCATGCGAGATGACGATCCGGACTCCTCGGAACTCTCAGGACCTGAAGAGGAGCCCGCACCGACAGACGAGAAGGACGAAGCGGAAGCAGCCGAAGGGGAGAGTGAGCTAAGCGATCTCGAAGATGAGGCCGAAGAGGCACCAACACCTCCGTCACCACCACCAAAGGCGAATGGACGCAAGCGTCGCGCGGCCACGTCTTCCCCGAAGACGAAGAGCCTGCCTTCTAGGCCAGCTGTCAAAGCGAGCGCGACTAAGGGTAAATCACCCGCTGCTAGTAAGGCCAAGACGAAGCCGCCACCAAAAGCAAGAGCTACTAGCACGCGCTCTACTAGATCTAGACGCGCGGCGTTGGAGGATGAAGATGAAGATGGTGACTCGGAGTAAGACAGCAAATCAGGAAAACCATTAGCCAAGTTCAACCAACCACGTAGAACGGCGTATACGGGTTCTACGTAAGGAGTAGGCGCCAGGAGGGGATGTCCGAGCTGCAAATGCGTGGCTGACATTTTCTTGCTAGACTGCTTTCCTCGCCAAGAGAGCAGCACCTAAGGGTTCCATGGAAGAAAGCTGGAATATGATAATGAAATCAGGGGTTGGTTCGGGGCCAATGCGGGAGTGGACGAGGTCACTTGGTTCTTTTTTTTCCTCGAGGCTTTATAAATCGCGTCATGTCTTTGTTCTAGCTATCCTATACTCCTTCTTATACCCTAGTCTCGTGCCTGGAGAGAATACCAAAATTTCTTCGTCATCGCGCGGTTATTTGGTTTGATTTTTCGTCCGACTTCAAAATATGAGAACGTTAGGTAAAATGGGACTTGTTCTTCGGCACTGGGTGAAATGGATTGCTCGGATAGTGGTCAAACATAACTACATGAATAATAATTATTCAAATCACGTTTCAACATACTCTATATCTTGGGTATTAAGTCAATTATGTAATTCAAATTAACCCACTCCGCGCGTACGGTAGGTGCTAACTCGGCAAGAGAAGCATCCGCAAACGAATCCTATCTAGCGAAGAAGACACCTCTCTAGCAGTTTATGTAGTCTTCCCCTTCCTTTTTTCTCTCTCCCTAGACGAACCCGTATCCTGAACTCCATCCTGATGGCCTCGCAATCGGTTGGCGTCATTACCATCCCAGGTCCAATAGTACCCGTCCATCTAGGCTGAAAACAAACCAAGTGAATATCTCAAACCAGTAACCCCGAACGCAGTGGATAGTGCCCTATTAACAGCCACATCTAGATGTAAGGGTAATTATTCCCTCCCTACCTGGGCTTATTTTCGAGCTTTGGCTTTATCTCGGGCTTTCCAGTTGTCCCGCACATTCTTGCTATGGTTCTCCAGCTCGTCGCGAGTCACCGCGTCTTGGATACTCTCGATCACGCTGTTTACGACAGAGATGTGATTGCCGTCCGACTTGTCATCTCGGAAACGGTAGAATCGCCATCGCTTTTGGCTGTCCATATACACCTCTACTACACGATCGTCGAGCGCCTCCCCCAACCCCTTAAGAATTTCCCATTCATCGTCCTCAAGATGGAGTTCGCCGAAGTGACGGTACTGGCCGCTACCGTGATTGGCAAGCAATTCTACGGGAGGTGTGCTATCGTAGTCGATGAAGGGTTCCGTGATACCCTCAGCACGATCATGCTCGTCTGGCTCGACTACGGGGAATTTCAACTTCCACTTAAAGTCAACCGTGTTTTCCTCGGCGTCTTTCCACTTCAGGATGTGCGGGTCGGTGCCTGGCTTATACTCGCTATGGAGGGCTGTGAAAATCAGGCCATCGTTGTCGTGTCTTAAATTTTTTATGACGTCCTCGAAGATCATGCGGATGCCGTATGCCATCTGCATGGACTTGAGGTCGATGAAGAAAGGCTGGAATTTTTTCTCCTCGGGGAAATCGTCGAGCAGCTTCTTATACGGCTTGAAGACTTGCTCTTGGAAATAGCCGAGGCGCTTCGAAAGTTCACGCGACATTAACGATTGCCCATCCAGGGCGAGGCAGTCGAATACGAGATATCGCGGCTCCAGGCGTCCATCGCTATGGGCATCCATTACCAGCTCTCCATCCAATATAGTGCCTTTATGGAAGGCTTGTAGGTTTCCCGGGAGAGGGAAGTGTAGTGAACCTTCTTCGATGTACCAATAATCGTTCTTCCGATCGATCAAGTAGTGGCATTCTTGATTATAATCGTCAGCGGCGAGGTAGAGGAGATAACGAATGCCGTCCGACTTTTCGCAGACGTAGTAGCTATAGAGTAAATATATATTAGCCTTAGACCTAGAAAGCCAGTTCTATTTCGTGTCGTAAAGCGAATCCTCTTAGGTACTCACTCTTCTCTGAGTAGTTCATCAAGGTGCTTCCTCGTAAAGCTAACAGGTTGCGCGCCTGGGAATGCAGTCGAATTCCGATGAAGAATGGCAGCAACTTCCTGTCGCAGCGCCATAACCACCTCATTAGGAGGTCTCCTGCCTGGCTCATCGATAGATTGAATTGGCAAAGTCATATTGCGCGACCAAAGATGGAACACTCTGCTAGGAGATAGGACAAGACAGGACACTGCGCAAAGGGTAGAGGATGAACTCGGCTGGTAACGGTTTGTTTAGGATAGGAATGAGATGCGACACGACAGAGTTAAAAGGATTAACTGAAAGAACCTAGGTAGTGGTAATACAAGGAATAAAGATGATGCGCAATCGATTGGAAGGTGCATGGGAACTTCATCGCATCAAATAATCGTCTTCTTCGGAAGTTGCTGTCGAAAATACATCCATCGCAAACCGGACTGAGGTATGCGCAGCCTGCGGTTTGTTCCCGTCCGGGACACGGTGGGAAAGCACGAGGCTACCAAAATCTAATTGTCCGTCGCGCCTTCATGAGCTTATCGGCTGTTATCACACGCTACCTGGCTAGTCCCTGCAGAAGCTTTTAATATGGCCCACTTTAACTTGCATAAAATCCACTTTATCTAATGTTGCCGTCCATAATCAGTTTAGCCTATGCTTCAATTGGAGTGCCTAGGATTAATTGGGGAAGGATTAAACTGCCTCTATTCAAGCTGCCGAACCGCGCATTAGAACGTTAAAAGGGTTTGGCTGTGATATAATATCTTGTTTGCTAGTAATATGAATGAAGCCTTCTTTGGCAGCAAGGAAGTATCTGCAAGATATGAAGTTTCGTTGATAACTAACTACATGGAAACTTTCTCCATACTATGTAAGTGAACTATCAGTTTCTGTGCGAGACTCGATAGAGAAAGCATATTATATGGCGTTCGCAGCTGATATTGATACATACTCCGCGCTTCCATGAAAGCACAATTTAAACAACTCCCCGTAGCCAGCAAAGCACTAGTCGAGGAGCGTATCTAGAAGTTCCTTTGATCAACGAAATACCTTAACGCAGAACTCCGCACCATGTCTTATAGATACTCTGCATCCCGTCTGCTACTCTCGTTCCTATCCGGTAAAATATAATGGACTCGTTCCGATTTGTTCAACCAACCCTGCCGTTTTCTGACGCTATTCGGAGCTCCACCTTTTCTTTGTGTACTTTGTTCTTGAGATGTACCTCGAAGTTTGAAGCCGATATATCAGGGCCTGGCGTATATAGCTTGCCAGGGCAGTCGAGGCAGCGGATCCGGGGAAGGAAGTAGAACCGCACATGTGGGGGGATCGGATCACCCGGTTGCGGAAGGGGAACTGGCATGCCCGTGTTGCCGTCTACCGCACTGTATCGCATTACACCTTCGAATCTGTCTTTCGCGTAGGCCGGCTCCTGTTTGAATTTATCCAGCGCAGCGGCGAGCCATTGAGGAGGTGGGGGCTGTTCAGGTAGTGAGTATGAGTGCTGGTTCGCTAAAGGTTTAAGACCATCCTGCGAAGCCGTCGATCCTGACTATAGATCGTAACGGCTTGAGGTGAATCTGAAGATCGAGGAGTTGGGATGTTGGGGTGGGTGAGGAAAATGTCTTACGGGAACTGGGGGAGGAGCCCCGGCTATTGGAGCAGGGGCTTCAACACGGCCGATCTGTCCTGGAGGTACGCCGCCAGGAGGGGGTGCTACCGGGATTGCTGATGTCGACACATTCGGGGTGGAAGGAGGAGGCATGCTATTCGATGCAGAAGCACTATGGGCACGAGCTGGGGGCTGAGATGGGGTCTGTGATCTGCCTGGTGTACCCTGTTTCAACTTAGGGTCGCGTAGTAAGATTTTTCGTAGCCGGTCTTTATTTGATACCCTGAGGGTAATGCGGAAATGTTGAGGTTCTTCGGTATCTTCTCTAGTTAGTTCACGTCCAAACCTCCTCGATGTCCGGGTTTCGTGGTGATGTATCGTTGCTTCAGGGGTTTCGGACCGGCCAAGGTTCGCCATTCGCTGTTGGGCTGCAGTGGCGGCACCTCTCATACCCCTAGTTCTCGCCGTGCCAGCTAGCTGTGAAGCTGCCGGCGAGTCAGGGCCCGAATCGTCACTTTCGTCCGAATCAGAGATATCGCCATCACGTGCGCCTGCTCCTCTCCTCCGGCCTGCACCCGGTGCACCGGCAACCCGTTTATAAAGTCTGCTTTCTTCTACGCTGGTTGCTGCGCCGGGTAAGGTAGATGATACGACAAGCGTGCGGATTGTTCTCTGTCTCTCCTTTAAGTCAGGTAGCGAGGGACCACCTCGTCTATTGATCGATCTCTTCTGTCTTCTCTGTTCTCTAGAGAATACCATCTCGTTCCTTTCCAAGTCTGCTTCGCTGAGCTCGTACATATACGGAGCATATTCTTTGGCTTGTTGCTGCGGCCTGAATACAGAAGGTAGGGGCGAGGGAAGGAAAGCCGCGACTAGATCCGGATCCTCAATTGGTCTACCGTCGAATGGATGTCCAACGCTGTACAAGCTCCGCGTAAACAGTTGGGTTTGTTCTCGGATACAGTGCGCAATGGCGGTGGTAAATTCTCCGGAGAGCGCGAGATCTTTGGCCATGCTCGCAGCAAACTCTTCGGGGGAGTTGAGAGGATTGTTGATCTCCCATTCGAATTGATCTACCAAAGTGTGCTGCCCGATGGTGATGTTCAACTTGACTAATATCCGCATCTCGTCATTCTTCCAAGCTGAATATGGCAGCTCAGGGTCTAAGGCATCTTCGTCGGAGAATACGAAAGGGTAAAAGTCGTTGAGTTGTTCGTGCATCTGTTGGATGACTTGGTCAAAAACTGGCTGTGCTGCAGGCGCCTTCAGTCCCATATCTTCCACCAAATGCGCAGCGAACAATTCGGCGCCGACAATCCTCTCGTGGAGGTTCCACGTAAAGGTGTCGCGCAGCTTAATCTTATCCCAATCCACATCTAATCTGACAGGTACCAACTCTTCGTGCTGTTCGGCCTGTTGCTTCATGTCTTTTCTCTTCCATTTTAAAGGCGGCGCTTGTCGCTTGCCGGGTCGGAGTCTGTTGGCTGGATATATCAATTGCGACGGCTGTCCTGTCTCGGTTCTTCCATTGCCGTAGCCACTATAGCCCTCGCCGAAGAGCCTACTAGGCGTGAACCAGGCTCTATACTCGTTACGCAAAAGTTTGTAGTCGTTGATCATCTTGAACTGGTACTTGTTGTGCTCGTTTTGGCGATCTTTGTCGCTGATCATGGCAGCGGAGTGTATATGATCTCGGGCGATTGCCTGCCCTATCAAGATTTGTTTGAAGGCATCTTTGTCGCGAGCTGACTGGGCGCCAGTGTTTGAATCGTCCGGCGCATCTGATTTATTGTTGGGAGTCGATGTTGATGAATGGTCTGATTTTGACGTTGAAGAAACACCGGCGGCGCTGCTCGTTGGAGCGGGCTCTGCATCTTGTTGAGTGGCCATCACTAACTCGAAGCCTCACATGGAGTGAGGTATCCCGCAAAGTTTTGTCAATGATTGAAGACTTCTCAGTTCACCGTCACCGATCCTTCACCCGTGCTTCCCGTATTATTTCCTGACGATCGTGTTGTGCCTAAGGTTGTAGATCGAATTGGTAATCGTCGCCAGAGTATGAGTCGATTTATGAGTAACGTCGGGCACGAATTAATAAATCAATGGCTGTGCGCGGTGGTAATGGTGTTGTGGTGCTGCGGTCGCGATGGATTCATTTGATGGGCGCTCGACTTCCAACTTTTTGTGTAGGAGCAAGGTAGGTCTCGATCGTGGCTAATGAATAGAAAATCGCAAATGGGAGAAGGCTGGACACGCGACGAACCGCGATCAAATGAGTTAGAGGAACATTGATTTTTGCGTGCGATCCACGCAAAACTAGAAGTACCCTGCTGGATTTGTTAGACTGTTGGACTGACGTCCGTGCGTTTGCAACAGAAGTTATGGTTTACTACCTACTCATTTGATGCGAGATACATAGTATGCAAAATATGTATGTATATACCGGGTATTTGCAGAATTAGGATTCCGTTATCATCGTCCGTACGAAGTACCTGGGTACCCAGCCATGTACATAGTAGCAGCAGCAGAAACAACGCAAACAACGCAACGGCCGGCCACTGCCACACGGACCAGGCGAAGCTGCAGCCCTGAACTGAATTTTAAAGTAAAGAACGTCACCAGCTCATCGATTAATCTGCCAACCAGTGCCTGCCCCTCTCCCGCTCGCACAAAGCCCCGCAGCCCAGACGAAAATACGAAAATACCTTAACATACCTACCTCTGCCAGACCTCACCTACTCCCACTTCTTACTTTACTTCATTACCCTTACCTTAGACGCCAACGCATTTCAATTCCTACACTTATAAGCCAGTGCGATACATCAGGTAGTCAACATGTCTGATGAGAAGGAGATTGGTTCGTCTATCAATTTCTATCCATTTTTTGAGCAAAGCTTCCTGTGAACTACCCCGCTATTGGCTCTGTCCGTTCCTCGACCGAGGTCCTCGAGGTCCCGTCGCTCGACCTCACGAGACTCGAGAAACCCGAAAAGCAGCTAACGTGTTTATCCATTAGACTACTCGCTGGCGAACCCAGACACCCTCACCAAGTATAGGGTTGCCGCTACCATTTCCGAGAAGGTCCTCGCCGCCGTTTCCAAGCTATGTGTCGCCGGCGAGAAGATCGTCTCTATTTGCCAGCAGGGAGACAAGCTCATCGAAGATGAAGTTTCCAAGGTTTATCGCACAACCAAGCTAAAGGGTAAGCAGGGAATTCCGTGCTACCTTTTACACACTCGAATGTTTGCTTATGTTGGACATTGTGCAGGTTTTTCTCACCCCACGACTGTTTCGCCCTCCTCGTACGTGACACCCTACACCCCCTTGACGTCCGACAACGCGGAAGCGAACATCGAGCTTCAGGCTGGTGAGCCCGTCAAGATCCAACTCGGTGCTCAGATCGATGGGTTTGGTTCCATTGTCTGCGATACGATTATCGTTCAACCCAAGGACCAGGCAGAGGATGTCATCACTGGTCGCACCGCCGATTTGCTACTTGCGACGTACTACGCCAACGAGCTTCTCATTAGGCTCATGATGCCTCCTGGACTATTGGCAAGCGGGACCGACGAGGAGAAGGCGAAGGCTGCCGCAGCCAAGCCTCCTACTCAAACCAAGATCACCTCTCTCCTAGACAAGGTCGTCAAGAGTTACGAGTGCAATTTGGTAGAGAGCACAACTTCTTGGCTCTTTGACCGCAACGAGATTGAAGGCAAGAAGAAGATCGTGCTTGCCCCTGCAGAGTCTACCAAGGGAGAGGGATCGCCTGAGATTGGCGAAGTATGGGGTGTAGAGATGGGCGTGAGTCTAGGTTCTGGCAAATGCAAGACAATCGAGCAGCGAGCGACTCTCCTCCGCCGAACGAACAATACCTACATCTTGAAGTCGCAGACTGCGCGTAAAACCCTCTCAACTATCCAAAGCAAATTTGGTCACTTTCCTTTCAGCTTGAGACAGCTTGAAGAGGAAGGTGGTGATACCAAGTATAAAGTTGGAGTGTTTGAGGGCGCCCGTCAAGGCGTGATACGACAGTACGAGCTCGTCGGCGACAAGGATAGCTCTCCCGTAGCGAGACTATTAACTACCCTCGGTATGTATTCAGTATTCCCCTTTGCCCCTTCTCGCTACCCCCTGAAGCTAATGCAAAACAGCTATTACGAAGAACGGCATTTCGAAACTTGGTGCCCCACCTGCACTGGATTTAAGCAAGGTCCAGTCGGATAAGAAGATTACTGACGAGGAGGTCCTGAAAATATTAGAACAGCCTCTGAGCAAAAATAAGGGGAAGAGCAAGAACAAGAAGAAGAAGAAGCCTGCCAAGAAGGCTGCCGGGGGAGATGCCGAAGGCGAAGACGATAGCGACGAGGAGTAGGATCGCCAAGTACTCTCACCACTCCAATGCATTCGAGGCACGCATTCTGCAAGTCTGTATTGCCTTGGTCATAGCTGCCGCAGCATAGGGTCAATGAATGACGTGGGCTCGAGATTCCTACGTTCATCGATCGACACGGCTCACGTGTCTGTATGGCTCAGCATTTTGACGGATGGTTCTTATTGAATGTCATACGAGAGCTAGATGCTGAAAACGCGCAGTGGACCTAGTGAACTGAGGGGGAATGAATTACTTCGATCTCGGCTTCTGTGTTAGTAGTTCCCATAGAGGAAAAAAAAGAAAAAAAAGCAAGAAAAAAGGGTGAACTGAGATGAATGCAGATTTAAACCCCGTAAGCGGAAAGCAAGCGATTCTACAGTGAACGAGTACAGTACTGAGGCTTGACGCACTGGTGCCATGCTGACTTCCCCTGTCTAATGACATTGATAGGCGTTATCAAGATTAGGTTAAGTGAGCATTTGTGAGCATTATTCCCATCAGCATTCACAGTCAGATTTCTAATGATGATGATGACGGTTTGGTGGCGGAATAGGTAAGGATGCAAACTTGTGGATTCGGGATTAAGAGAAAGATATTGGTGCTTCGCGCCTAGATACGTTAGAGTGATGTGTGTGAGTCAGGATCCCAGACTCCTACGTGGCGTGATGATCTTTGAGGCCGCAAATCGCAAAATGGACAGCGGCAGAACGGGAAAGAGGGTAGATGCAGTAGGGAAGGCGGAAAGTGGGGAGGAGCCGGCCGAGTATAGAAACGGAAAGCTCAAGGCTTCCTGAAAATCGGGAAAAGAAGAATATGAGAGAACATGTGATGGGTTGATGATTGATGATTGATGATTGAATCAGGTGGATGACTTTTTATCGTTACTGTTCCCCTTAAGCGCGGTTGACACGACACATAACGAATTCAGGGGGGATGTACATATTTCAGGGGAAGTTAAGGAAAAGGGAAGTGGGATAAATAAAAACTACTAGAGATGCAAATCGTTGATGCAAAAAGACATAATTGAAACTTTAACAGATGCATTATTCTTTTGAGCTAGATTGAGAATTTATTTTATTCAGGGCAAAGAGATGCCTAGAAGAAGGCAGGAGCAGAGGGAATTTGAAAAAAAAAGAAGTAATAAGCGTAGAGCCTGGACCTTTGGTTAGGGGGGGAAGGTACATTTTTCAGTAGCGTGTGTCTTGCCCCTGGTCATGGCGGAAGGCCGTCACCTCCGAATTTTTGGCGCAACTGGAATCTCGCAATACATACCTAGACCCTTAATACCCTCCCTTCGCCCTACCGCGTAGGACAAACACCACCGGCGAAAAAAAGCGCGACGACATAGCCTCGCCGATTTATTACAGCACAGAGAAAAGTATGTCGAAAAGTATCGAACTCGGAAGATTAAATGCTAATTTTTCTGACTAGCCGCACAATTGATTTGATACGGTGTCGCGCGGTGCTGAGAAAGCAGGTGAAAGGCAAAAGGGGTGCCGGGACCCCCCTCCCCTAAAAAAAAATCAGAATCAGAATCAGACGCAGCAAGGAAAAAAGTGTCAAGTGCTCCCGCGTCCTGCACTGCACTCGCCGAAGAAATGTCGTCTTCAAACAACAAGCCCGTCCGATCGCGATTTTCAAGCCCGTTGCATTCGAGTTCGCCTTCCGGCCACAATAGGGGATCGGTGATGGAAGGTCAAAGACATTTCATGCAGAGGTGGCTCGAACCTCCGGTGCAGAACAAAGCGAGTTTTCAAGAGGCAGGATTGATCAGAGGCGGTGTTGTCGAGAATATGGCTCCCCTAGGTACTCTGCCCAAGTCGGCTATGCACAAGAAATCTCCTGTGAATGGTGATGGATTACCGGCTCCTCCACCCGTCAAAACGCGCATCGTGCTGAAGAAGCCGTACGCGACTGCGACGCCGACGCCGCGTGAGAGCGTGCCTCGTATTGGGGAACAATCGCCGGATGAGGTCGAGGCTGAGGTGGATGCGGCGCCATTATCGCCACTATCGCAACCCGTGGCACCTCCTACCGCGATGGATGATGGCGAAGATGAAGATTATGTACCTAAGAAGTCCAAAACACGCACTTCCCAGCATACCACGCCTAGCAACGCACGCCGCCATTCGGCCAGGCGTCGAAGTGCGCGTCCTAGCCCTACACCTGTTGCAGTCACTGCACCAGCCATTTCTACGCCAGCTCAATCTTCACCTGTCCAGGCGGCAGCCCCGTCGCCTCAACCTCAACCTTTACCTCAACCTCTACCACAGCCGCTACTCCCACCCGGCTTTCGTCCACCCGCATCTATGCTTCATCGCGTGCCGGACAAAGAAATGGCAGATAAAGTGATTGAGCGTGCAGTTGACGAGGCACTCGGCCATTACCGTTACCCCACAGCATGGGCACTTCGTCTACTTTATGATGAAAACTCAGGTGATCCGCAATTTGTTTCTATGATGGAGGATGTCTATCATCAACGCGCAGATGTGGACACTATCATGGAATTCAAAAGACTCATTGCCGCCAAGAAGAAGGACGGTAAAAAGGACAACAAAGGTTGTTATTATTTTGTGCCGCCTTCGACCGGTAGCCGCTTCACTCCTCACAAACCCAAGCCTGCACCCTACGGCGACCTGATCAAAATGGACTTCAACCATTTTCCCGAGGAGACTCCCAAGGGACATGTCAGCAAGAAGGTCAAACTCGACGAGGATGCTATTATTAATGCAACCGATGCAAGCACCGCCAGTCCTTCCAAGGTAAATGGAGTCAGCAGCCATAAAAGTGCCACAAACAACAACAAGTCACCGCACAAGTCGCCGCACAAATCACCATCTAAGGGAAGAAAAACGCGCTCGGGATCAGTTAGCAGCTCTTCGTCTCTATCATCAGTTCCCGATGATGTGCCCGATGACTACGAGGGTTTCATGGATCTAGTGGATGACGACCTGAGTGTCGCGCGTCCCATAGCTGCCGCAGCCGAAGCGAATAATGCGCAAATCCCGGCAGACTCAATCCAGCCAATCAGCGACCAACAGAGGAAACCCGCCGCGAAAAAGAAGAATGGCGCATCACCCAAGAACACTCCCTCCCACACTACCCGTCAACACCCTTCATCCCGTGATTCAAGCATGCCCGCTACTGTTATCACCAACGGCCTCTCTCATCACGACACCACCCCCAAACGTCAACAAACGCCCGCTATCAAGTTTACCAGCAAATTTGGTGTCGCCGACCTTTCGGAGCCGCTCGTCCAGAAAAAGCTGGACAACAAGCTTGAGACCAGGAGTGCTACGGATGAGATCGTCGAGGATAGTTTCATTCGAGAACCTCTCCCAGACGAAAGCCTACCCTTCGAGCTGGCTGTGCCACCACCTCCTACTACTGAGCAATATCGCTCATCTCGGACGCCAGCTTTGAGTTCACGAGCTGCGAGAGCGGCCAAGCGCCACCATGATGAGATGGACGATTCCATCTCCCCGACTACCCAGTCATTCCGGGCCGCTGATCTGGATGCGTCTTCTGCACGCAACTCGCGTGCTGCGACGCCGGCGTCCAACTTGCGCTCGAGCAAGAAACCTCGAGCTGGTCTACGCGTAAAGAACTCGTGAGTTTCTACTCTCTCTCAATTTCCCCATCATCCTTCTATCGTTTGCCGTGCCGTGCTGTGTTGTGGTTATTTTTCCTCGCAGCGTGGTCCGACCGAAACGCTGTGCTGTCACAAAGCAAGGCCCAGCCAAGTGGCGATGTGGCACCACATGATCTCACGTTGGGCCAAAACCAACTTCAGCACGGACACTCTCACTCTTACCAGCTAGATATGTATACATGATTACTGCAAGGGAATATTCACTAACGAGAGCGCGTTCTTCATGACAGACCGATGAAGAAGAAGGGCACTTCTGCGGGTATTCCTCGTAGCGCCGTTGATCGACCAAGCCCTGTGGGCTTTGGACCTCCTCATCATCAGGTAAGCGAAAAAAAAGTCCGTTCAATTATTCCCATCCCCCTAGAAGGAAATCGTATTCCTCATCTACGACATGTGTCGCGATGTGTTCTTGTGCGGATTTTCTGCCGCCATGGGCCGAGGGAGGCTTAGTTAGCCCTAATGCCTCAAACGCGGGATTCAGGTGGTGGCGATTGGATCCTTCTTGTCCTTGTTCCCGCTTGGGCCGAAACTCTACTACATCCGCTATCTGCGATGATTTTCTATTCTCATGCTGACGACATCTATTAGGACGATAACGACGACTCCTGCTATACGTGCGGGGGTAATGGTGAGCTCGTCTGTTGTGACGGATGCAATTATTCTTTCCATTTTCTATGCATCGACCCTCCTATGGACGAGGGCCACATGCCTGATGAATGGTATTGCAACGAGTGCAAGCACTCATGTTCTCCGCCCTTTAGTGGCGAGTATTCGGGCCCATTCCGATCTCTTCTCAGCCTTCTCGACAGAAAGAACACGAGAGCTTTCCGTCTTCCCGAAGATGTTCGAGAACTTTTTGAAGACGTGCGAACAGGACCGGAGGGCGAATACGAAGAGACCACGATCCCTAAGCCTAAGTGAGTACAGATTACCGTAACCTCTTCTATTACTATCTAGTTAACAGATGTCTTTTTTTAGGGCGAGCAAGAAGGGCGCTGAGGAAGCCTTCGACTTTTTCAAGGTCAAGAATGCAGACGGCCCGGTGTTGTGTTTCCATTGCCACAAGGCAACTTCAGACAATCGCCCCATGGTCCCCTGTTCGGTATGCGGCCTCAACTGGCATCTCGAATGTCTAGATCCGCCCCTAGCTGTTCCACCCGTTCCTCGAACCTGGCGATGCCCTTGCCATGCCGAGGACATGTTGGCTGAGCTTCCAGAAAGACTGGCCCCGGCGCATCGTCATCGCAAGATCAAGAATGCCCCAATCATCGAGCATAGCTACAGCAGAGGAATGGCCAATGATGGCTACATCGAGATCGAGAACGATGACGATAGTGAGGATGAAGCGCACGCTTGGCGAAAGCACAAGGGCTTTGGTCGTGTCCATCGATTGTCCGCGAAGGGCATCAAGCTGGACTTCATCTCTCGGTAAGATTGCCTCGCCAAACAATAGAGTTCCCAAGATACTAATCTCATAATAGCGTACGAGAAAGCCGCAAGCGCAAATTCACCCCGGTTAGCACAGTCAGCCCTGCTCCCGCGATGCAGCCCAAGGTCCGATCTCTCGAAGAGCAACAAGCAGCCTTGAATCTCGCTCAGCTAGCTAGAAGTGATGGCATCAGTTTACTACAGCGAGCCATGATTGTACGTAAATTCACAGGTCTTGTATAAAGATTTTGCGACTAACAATATGAACAGTCACAAGCTAGTCCCGATATCCTCTCTCTAATGGCAAGCGGAGATGCTAAGCGCATTGCCTCTGGCAGCCTTTCTTCAGTCGATACCGTCTCTCTTGAAGCGATGCTCGCACAAGCCGAATCCTTACAGCAAGGGATCCGTCAGCTCTTGGACAGCAGAAGCAAACCAACTGTCGAGAGTGCGGCGGACGACGCAGCACCTAAAGCGGCGAAGAAAGAAGCTTCTCTATCATCCGATAGCCCTAAGAACCACGATATGGCTACGCCCAAAGACGGCAAGCGATGTGCTGCTGCCAAAGATGTCGCCAGTAGCCTTGATACTAAGGGACATAAGCCCACCAAGGACGAGTCTGCAATGCAGATCGACTAAGAAACCTTCATCCCTTCATACGAGCTTAGCGCATGTACCGCTGCCCTTGCCGGTGTCTCCTACTTTATTCGGACTCGGCTGTGGTGGAGCTTGGTCTGTTCTAGATGCAGATCCATGGTTTCAAATTCTACAAGACGAGCATCGTGGAAATTACACTGTCACATCGACAGTTTTGACTACTATTAATTTTTCCTATTCCATTTGCGACATTACTACGAGTCGCCACCGCCATTTTTCGATCACGAGACTCCAGGACTGCCAATTTCCTTAATAGACACTGGAAATTTGCCAATTTACAAGAGTCGTTTCACTAACAACTCGAAGTTGTCGACATATTCAAGTCTCCTATGAATTTAGTCAACTAAGGCGATTCCTTGTTAGGTTTGATCACAGGTCACAGTGCATCACGTCTATTCAGCCCTTTTTCAGGTACAGGAATGGAAAGGTTCTTGCATCTCGGCCTGCTGTATTAATACTCTCGGTGGGGAGAAGCATACGGACACGCAGTCAGGCGAGATCAGGAAGGGGCATTAGTGCTAGGACAGACAGGTCATGGTCTTTCAGATCGCAGGATTCACTTTTCAACACCAATTCCGTTCTCGATGTTCATATTTGCAATGGCCTACCTACATACATCTGGTCTTCTTTCAATACGTCCTCGAAGCTGGCAGAAAACTTACAGCCTCGAGGAAGGGGAGTTCATGGCGTATGTTTTACAAGGCCCATCTTCGTCTCCGTTTCGTTTCTTTTCTCTTATTTTTTTCCCTCAATTTGCATCTTCCCTTTTACCATTCCCGTGCCTCTGTCTGTCGACAGCGCACCACGACAAGCATCAGGACCAAGCAAAGCAGTGGCAGAGGAGGAAGAAGAAAGGTTGACGAAGAGAAGAAACCAAAAACCATCCGAGTTCTGGTTCTCTCTCACACGGCGGAATTTGCAGAATTTTGGGCGGATCGGCGTTTTATGCGAGGGGAATGGGTGAGAGAAGAAAAAAACTGGATCGCTTTAGAGCTACGCTTAACCTTTACCTACTACTACTTACTATAGTCGCACGCAAAGCCTGTCGTATACTAGCAGTAGGAAAAACGCAGATTTTTTTCCCACCCCCAATTTACCATGCATACATAGGTACATAAGTGCCTTTCGCTAGTAGTGAATTGTTGCCTTTTTTTTATTTTATTTTTTTTATCGTAGTTTCGTGGCGAGGGCTAAAGGGGTCAGGAAAGGTAAGCTAAGCGGTAGTATATACATGATGTGCAGAGTTAACCAGCCACGCCCCCAAGTTCCCTCGGCCCCCGCCCACTTCTACTCCCAGGTGTGCGCTCCGGGGCGGCTAGAGCAGCTAGGTATGTACATACATACCTACCTACCTACATACGATATCTACCTGGGGTTGCTATACGTCCTCCAGCTGACGTGGCTGCCGTGTAGTGGGTACCGCATCTAGCGACCGCATCTTGTTTCGGGTAAGGGGGGGTGATCCCGGGAACGCGGTTGGGTAGCCTTATTTTCCGCTTCCTTCGAACTTTTTTTTCGTGTATGGTACGGCCAGCCCGGCTATGTGTATACTTAGGTAGTTAGCTAGGCTGCTAGGTAGGTTGGATATGTATGTGTATGTATCCGGGGGCTGGGACGAAAGGGGGTCGGTGTAGATCCCGCGATGAAGAGCTGGCCAGGTGTCTGGTATAGTAGGCATGGTATGTTATATCCATACGTATTTATATCGAAGAAGGTGGTTTTCTTGTTCGAGTCACATAGATGTATTCGTAGATAGACGAGCATTAGTATGTTGTTTAGGTAGCAAGGCAGATCAGATCATGTGTACCACAAGTAGGAAGTTGGTGCAACGGCCTACGTTAAGTAGCCGTACATAAGTCGAGTAACGAAGCATCCCAAAAAGTAATGTAGTTCGGGCTGAGAGTTTAATCATGCGAGTATATAATACTAAACGTAGTTCTCTTTGCAATGCCCTCTTTTGACTACCTACCCTTCTTCAAACCCCTCTCACGAACTCTCGAGGAGGGGAGTTAACTTTTGCCGACAATGTCGAACGGAGAAACCCCACCGAGCCAGGTTTATCTTCCACCAGGTGCCTATAATGATGTAATGTCTACTTAACCATAGAGGAGATTGTATGGCTTTCATCAGGGAAGAGAAAAAAAGCAACAGCAGATAGGACGAGGGATTTAGCGATCTGACGAGGCTTATCCTACAGTACTGTCGGTATTCGCAGGGCTACACCGAACCGCAGATATGATGCGGAAATATACTAGGATCGACGTTTTACGCCGAGTCATGCTGCAGAAGCGGTGACAATTTGCGACTACGAGGTTGGAGAAGGAAAAAAACAGCGTCTCACCGCCATTCAAAACTCGGGTATCACAAAAAGCAAGCACACGAGATGGAAACAGCTAGTAGGCTAGGTGGTAAACTCATTCGTCTCTTAACATATTTTTCCTATCCATTTACTTCACTAATGATGTGGTTCCTTCAACTCTGAAATTCGTAGGCGTACGAATCCCCTCCCTTGCTTGCGATGGGGCTGTCACGAGAGCCAAGTTGAAAAAAAACCAGTACAAGCAAGTCTTTGATAGCAATAGAGCGTTCTGCAATAGAAAATTCGAGTTCCCCGCAGGCATCGTTTGTCCTGTCCCATACCTGCTTCGTCAACCATACTTTGCTTTTCTCTATATCTTCTGGAAACTGCGTCGAAGCTAGAAGAAATCGGGTAAACCTCAGTTCGTCCACGTGGAGCCCTGACTTTGTACACATAACAAACATGGCGGAGCAGCCCTCCACCACGGATGCTTCCTCCAAGTGAAAATAAAAGGTATCCGTGAGGTAAAGCTGGCCGGTCTCTCATTCATCATCTGCTGCTGCGGAATCACGATTGGAGATAGGCCACGTCTAAGAATCGTGTAAAGGGGGGTACAGTATAATGAGAGTAACTGTACGGAGATCCAAGTACTGCCAGGGTGGTTTCCAGCCCTCCACGGCGTACCAGGCTGGGTCTCGGCGGATCGACCACAACTGCTTTTGCCACACAAACTTGTAAATATAAATCAAATATGATAAGCCAACCAACTCCCATATCGGTACAGCCATGCAATTCGGGAAAGTAGATGCACGAGGATGTAGATAAGCATCTAATCTCATGCGAAACAGTTAAGATGACTTATCAGATCATCTCTGAAGTCATTGGTCAGCATCATCGGAATTCATGGTCGAGGCGACCTCTTCCTTTGAGGGGGTTGACCTACGCGTCCGCGCCTGGCGTTGACCGGTTGCTCCTGCATGTAAGGCATGGCATTACCATACCCGTAACCTCCCATATTCACTCCCATGTTGAAACCAGGAGGCGCATAACCGGTGGGAGCCCCAGGCGGTTGAATGGGGCTGCCATTTGCCGCGTTCTGGCCGCGATATTGGTCCATTGAAGGGCTACCGTTGTTGTAGCCTCCGAAGCCCGCTTGCATGGGTGGGAAATAATTGTTCATCGGCGGAGTTCCACGTGGGAGCATGTTCTGCTGGTACTGCATTTGCTGGAGGTTTACCGGTGCCATCGATCCGCTGCTTGCATTATACATCGGACCCTGGGGTCCGTATGAAGGGAATGCAGACATGCCGGGTTCCACGCTCTCGCTTCTAGGACCGGGGAAGCCACCCATATCAAAATTCGAGGCCGCACTAGCAGGATTCAGCGGGTTTAAGTATTGGTTGCCGTACTGAGAGTTCTGTTGCACGGCGTTGGCATTCGATTGAGCCTGGCGAGAAGAGGGTCGTTGTCGTTCGGTCGATGCGTTATTACCTACGGAATGATCGCGGGATCCACCCCCTCCACCACCGCTTCGAGTAGATAGACCAACCTCGTCCATTAGACGCTTATAGCCTTGGTTAGGTTGCGCCTTAATGCGCACGAGGACACTTTTTACATTCTCTACCACCTGACCCCTGATGCTCTCGTCAAAGAAGGGAGTCGTGAGGACCTTGAAGATCAGCGTAGCACCACAGGAGTGATCGCTTAAGATAGCCTCCAAGATCTGATCTTTAGGAGTAAAGAATAATGCCTTAAGAATTGTGTCTCTCGCCTCTGGCTCGGCCTTCTGGTTAATAACCTTCAGGACAGTAAGATAGGCAACTTTATGTGTGCAGAGGTGGACGAGATAGGGGACAAGCTGAGGAGCCAGAACGCTACGTCGCTGAGGGAATGTGCACGTGTCTAAGAACCAAGTCAACAGAAGGGCGCCGTTCGCATTGGTAGCCAGCTGAACGCTGTGAAGAGCGATGGCAGCAGCGAGCATCCTCTGTTGGTCTTTAGTGGCGTGGTGGCTTTCAAGACAAGCGCGCATTGCTCGGGCACCGTATCGACCTTGACCGACTTCCCACATCTTGCCAAGCATGGTCTCGAAGATGAAGTCGTTGAATGGTGCACCAAACTTGAGACACCCTTGCAAAACATAGTTGCCATACTGGTCCAGGAACAACGGGATAGTATATGCCCTCAGATGCTGAACAATCAGAGTCATCTGGTGAGGCGTCTTGCAAACATCAATGATCTTTTGAGCTGCCCATGTTCCATTCTTGTGGACACCGATTTCAGCCATATGAGGAGCGATTTTGGCCAACATGAGATCCCGGATATTGTCCGAGCAGTGCTCGAACAGCTTCTGGACAACGGTGTTGCCAAGGTAGTCCGAAGACAACTCCGCAATTTCAGAAAGCATCTCGGTTGCAATGTGCTCGATTTCGCCTTGAGACAAACTTTGGTTATCAATGCGCTTCCGGATATCTCTCAATTTGGGCGCATCATGAACCCTAGTATGCGTAGGCTCGCGAATCGGAGGAATCTCATCGACAAAAGCGTTGTACTGTATAGCCTGCTGGAGGTTGTGGGAAATACGGTAGGTATCGTCGTCAGTTGCGCCGAAGGACTTAACAATTTGAAGGATATCTCCAGTCATGTCACGTAGAGGTGGAATCACCGGCGCCGCGTTGGTCGTGTTTGCGGATGCTGCGTTATCTCCCGCAGGACCGGCAGTGCCAGGAGTAGTACCATCTTGACTCTTCGCGAACGGATCGGGGCTGGGACTTGGGAACACTCCATCATGACCAGGTGTATTCGAGGCAGAAGGTGGCTTGGCGAAATTAATCCGAATGGGACCAGCTCCAGGGAAGATCTCCTTACCATTCATGCTCGCCTTCGCCGAGATAGCACTGTCAACCCTCTCGAAATTTACGAAACCGCAATTCTTGTGAGTCAACACTCTTGCCGATAGAATAGGACCGTACGACTTGAACATCTCGGTCAAGGTTGACGTAGTGGTTGATGTTGGAATACTACCCAGCCACAGAGCACTCGTGGGACCTTCGAGACCGGCCTCTTCCGCCGTTAACAGACCATTGTTCCGACTGTTCGACCTGCCTAGATTCATTCCGGCCACGGCCGCGGGAAGGTCGTCAAATTCCTTCTCCTCTGGCAATCGAATCTCAGCAGCTGTGATTGAGCTATCAAGACGAGAGGGAGTAGGGTAGTAATTCCGCATCAACCTTGAACCTGCTCCTTGCAGCTCCAAAACCCCAGCCGTTCGCGCACGTGGTCGAGTGACTGATGCTTGGGAAGCAAACGCCTGCAGCCCCTGAACAGCTAAGTTATGACTGTGGATAGCAGCGTTAGTAGCAGCTAGCTGGTCCTGAAGATGTGCAGCATATTGGCTCTCGAGGGCCAGACTGTCCTCGTCATAATCATCCTCCTCATCTGCATACTTGTCCTTGTTGTTGACAGAATAAGATCGGAATCGGTTAGCTTGTTTAGTGAAGTCAGCAAGACCAGGCAAGTAAGGCGTAGCTAACTGAGCACGAGCCGGCTGCGGAGTCTCGGCCAGACCTAGATAGTCGAGAGTTCTCATATGAACATCGTTGTCTCCAGGTCCCTCCTTCGAGAACGCAGACTGGGCCGGCGAGCTTGGTCCATTTGACCCAATGCTTGCTATGCTTGCAAGAGTATTGCCCCTCTCACGGCCAGTCGGGTTCCATGTACTAAATACCGAAGGGCCGAACGGCGAGCTACTCCCAGGCCCGTGGGAGAAAGGACTGCGCTGTGGCATAGAACCAGCTCGGAGCCTTGATAATAAATTCGAAGATCGAGCTGAGTCTGGCGGATCCAGACCCGGAGACGGTGACTTAAACGGGCTCTGGGACGGCGTGGGCCGGGTCGATTGGGAAGAAATCGAGGGGAGATTAAGGAGACCATTTCCTATACCACCAGCGGGGAATCGGGACGGGACAGTGCCTGCTCGCGCACGCCGAGTCGAGGGCAAGCTGTCCGGGGTAGGCAATTGGGCGAAGTCGGGAAATCCATCGGTTGGGGACTCGGGTATGTTCTCTCGCAGAGGGGTCGAGTTTCCACTGGTCGGCGGGCCACCCCAGGGGTTACCAGACAATCCAGGAACACCTTCTTGAGCTTGAATTTCTCTTGCTCTAGATTCCAACAGTTTAGTTAGATATGTCCCAAATAACAGAAATGTTTTGAGTGAAGCCAGAATTAGAACTTCTTACCTCTTGGAGAAGAGCCTACTTGAACCAGCAGTCTCGTGCGAAGGAGAACCAGCCCCGGAACGCGTGGTACCTGCCATCTTGCCAGGCGGGTTCAAGACACCAGACATGCCGAAGGGAGATCTAACGGAAGATGCGCCGGGCGAGTCAACCGGAGGTAGGTTGGCGGTTGGTGAAGTAGAACGACCGTTGGCTGATTTAGGGGGGTAGCCAATAGTCAGATGTTCGGATCTAGCAGTTGACATTATCGATTATTCATCCGACCCTCATCAGGAGAAGCAATAGTAAATGCTCTCCACGGATGATAGTTATGGGCAGTTTTACTTCGTATAGTAGTAAATAGTTAACGAAGCCGAAAGAATTCGGAATGACGCGATGTCACAATGTCAAGTCGGATGGGCGACTTTTCTGTACTTCTCGTCCTATACTAGGTAGTAATTTTAACGGCCAAAGCGACGGGGTTTAACCAGCCACACCAGCGATCGCTAGACGTGCTTGGTAGATTAAAGAGTCGCACACGAGGCCGTAGGAGAAAGGTATCCTAAAGGAATGTGTGGAAGTGTCGAAGGTAGTAATCCCACAAGTTGCTGTCTGTTTCTATCGCGGCTCCTTTGGGTTATTACAATGAGGCAAGCGACCGGGCTGCGAGCGAGGCCGAAGCGGTGTCGGTTGGATAGAATATTGAAATAAAGGGTAGAATGTAGAAAAATACAAGGAATGTCGTAGACGAATTATTCCAAGGACGATGTCCGAGTCGAATTGAGACTGCGATAGTGATTCTGACGAAGGACAATTTTTTTCGATTAGCCTTCCCTCTTTTTTTTTCCTTCCTAGACGAAAACCCCCTTGAAGAAGAATTGGTGGGAGGGAAGAAAAAAAAAAGAACGGCCTTGTCGGGACGGAAAACAAGTTGACCAAACAGATCAGGATCAATATACAGGCTCCATTAAAGATCTACGTATGATCTAGAGGTGGGGGAAATATGAAAGGACTTGAGCCTGGAGAAGGACATAAAAAAGGGAAGAAGGTGGAAAGGTTGGAGAGAGGACTAGGTAGACAAGACTGTGTGTAGTGATTCTCAGGAGAGGTTCAAAGAATAAGAACGGACGGGTACGAAAAAGTACAGGGTACCGGTACTAATTGGGTTATGCCTGGTGTCTGGGTGCGCAAAAAGTTGAAGTGCAGCAGGGAAGGTACTATGGGTTTTAGTGGGGGCGATGGCCTCTTTCCCTACCTGATGTCCATACCTCAAGTCTTCGCCCAGTTAGACCAGTTTTGGTTACGAGTACCCGTATTCACTGTGTCTATTGCGCATTACATAAGTATCTTATAGTACTCTGCTTGTACCCTCCTTGGCGTTCTACAGCAAAGATCCCTATTAGGTCCATACTGGGAATGACATAACCGGTACCTCAAATATCCAAGTTAAGCACCAACAATCCAAAGGTACATGTGGGCTTTGAAACAATGAGATCGCCCTGATCAACTAAAGAACCCTCTCTTTTTTTTTCTCCTCTCTTCACCTTTTAGTCTCTTCATACATACGTACGTGTTACCTTTTTCGTCTTCTCTTTTTTCAATTCGTCCGTTGTCCTATTCATAAAATAAGTATTAGGTATGGGTATAGTTAATTATATCGTGCGATACTAATAATTAAGACATTGATAAATGAATTGAACTTATAAATATACACATGGACCGGCCTCAGGGGGGATTTTTCTTCTCCCGCAATATACGGTATACTCAGATATATTATATTCTTGATTAACCCACACTAGGATTAATTGAGTTGCTTCATCAGGCGCTTCCACTTGTCCCTCTCTTCGATTTTCTCGAAACAGGGGCAGTCGACGCATGATTGGGGAGAAGCAAGCTGTGGGAAGAATTTAAACAACCAGGCCACTCTCCGTTTAAGCATCGATACCGATTTGGCAGTTTAGAGAGAGGGAAGGGGAGAAAAAAACATGTGTCCTGTGCAAGCATGTCCAAGCTTGTCGGGAAAGGCGCGGCAGTGCCCCCGGTAATGACCAAGTAGACGAAGTAGACGAGAATGACGACATCTCACCCAGACAACCAGACAACCAAAACTTCTCTGTTGAGTACTATCCAATGCTATCGATGCTATGGATCGTATCGGATTCCACCTAAGAAAACAAGAGACTGGTAGACTGGATCCGACTCTAGCTAACGGGTTCTACGGTTCTGATCCTGTTTGGCAATCCGGCTTTTATCAACGGTTCTCCCCACATTGCGCCTATCCAATCCACGTTGTTTTCTTCGTTCCATAGCTACTTTAGCCATGTCGGCCACCCATTAGAGAAAGCAACACGGATTATCCCTAAGACCCTTCAGCACGTATCATGCAAAACGTGATACGGACACCCGAACCTGGTATGCAGTAATTGAAATATCAGAACACCCTAACAGAAAAGAGCTCGTGTGCTACTGTCCTGGGACTCGAAATGGACAGGCTATTACAGGTCAAACCACCATGTTGTTTAAAATCCGCCTCAAACAGCTCAAACTAGCAAGCCATCAATATATGGGTGCTCAAAGCGGGACGAAGCATCTAGTACCTTTCCTTTTCCGGCAGGAGAGTTGTGCTATATACCCTGACTCCCTGACGTTGCATAGGAGAGGAAGCATCATATAGATGAAGGGGGCTTGTCCGTCGAATCTGAGCATGTCTACCTAGGCAGGTTGAGGTTGTAGAGATGCGACAAACAACAGCGAACAGCCGAACAACAGTTCAAACCACCTAACTTAGTAGTGAGGACAGGACCAGGTTACACGTTACCACCGAGGCTTTCTTCACTAGTATTCTACATGCCACATCTCACATCTCACATCTCACACTTCATACTTACATACAAATAGTCAAAGCAACGTGGCACTGCTACCTCAAAGTCGATCCCTGGAAAAGTTTGCTCGACTACGATACTGAGGTTTATGCAGGCAGAATCTCATCGCGAGGCAGACGAGTACCAAGCAAGGTTTCATTGTAAGCCATCAGCACGTCGATGAATTCGGCTCAACCGTCCAGTGATCACAGGTCAACCATAAGTCGATCTTAAAATTCAGGGGTAATCTACCTACTATATGTCTTAGCAATCGGCGGCTGTCTAGCATGTCTTGGATACGTACATCATTAGTAGAACCATTCAACGTTCGCTATACATAATCGAACTAACCTGTCGACTGAACCTTGTCGACAGCTGCAGCGTGATAATGTTTCCCCAGAGCTTCTCGCAACGACATCGCATCCCGCAGTTCCAATGGATCACCTTTTCTTAGTCCCGGTCTCATTGAACCGGCATGGATGTTGCATTGTGGCTTGCGAGCTACCTACCTACACTAGATGACCCTTCCACTACCGCCTTAAGATGCGCAGCTATTATTTCATGCTGGGGTCGTCACTGGGAGCCGAAGCACCAATCAGCGATCTTAGAAGGCCTCAGAGGGGGATCTGCCTATAAAATCTGAAACGTCGCTCTAAGTCTCCCTCCAATCCAACATAAATCCTCATGAGACTCGATTGGGCCACCGGCAAGCCACCCTGCAAGCTTAACAACCCGACGCGAAACCTTTGAGACCACATTGGACGAAGGTGCGAATCTTGGCTTAGTGATTGATATCTTTCCACGTAAACTGTACTACCGTGATAAGGCTTTCTTTTGTCCGATGGCCTTGAGAAGAGATGAAAGGGTTGTTCGGTCGCGTGAGTCTATTCTGCCACAATATCCACCCCTTTCAAAGACATACCAGCTAGGTAAGAAGCTAAAACATCGACATCGTCGTAACCTCTTCGCCAAGCCCCTTACACGCGGACTTTCGTACTAGCCTCGCCTTATTATCCACCCGTTTCGAATCCAACAAACGTGATGAATTTTGTTTTAAAGCGTAGCTTAAATCCCATCGACGTCTACAAAAGACCTAGTGTGGAGTACGGACCGCCTCTTGGTATTCCGCCCCCCGGATAGGTCTATATTTAACCGCAGAGGCTCATCGACGAGCGGCAAAGAGCCCCCATTTCCATTTCCATGTTCTGAATTATGCAAAATAAATACCTACCAAGGCATCTTTTCTCATTCTAGCTTTCGTCTCCAGTTTCACATTCTTCCCTGTCGCTCAGCTACGCCTTGCTGAACGGGAACTTGGCTATCTGGTTCCCCTGCTTTTTGATCGACGCTACATGATGCCACCTCTTTAAGCTTCTATTTCTGTTTCGCTCCAACGCACCAAGCTAGGGATCGAAAAGTTCCAATTGCCCTTTTTTTTTCAATATGCAGAAAGAAACACTTAAGAGAAAGCCGTTGACGATGAAGACGCAATCTTGCGCAGACTATAGTATAACTTTTTAATACATATCTACACATCAATAGCAGTATCAGAAAAGACCGAATATCGACCAGCAACTAAAGTGAGCCAGCATGTTAAGATAACACTTCCTAAAATAGAATTTGTCATCCGATCTTGCTTCTAGAAACCAAAATGAGTCGTCATATCTTACGCCATCTTTTCGGTCCGGCCGAGAGCTCCTAGTACACTGGAATATTCAACAACTCTCAAGCCACGACAACCCATCCAAGTAATAGGCAATTGACGGGCATAGTGGTATCCTAGTTAGAAAGGCCCTTGCTAGCTGGCGCGTAGATCGTATAATTAATTCCCCGATGCATCAAGTAAACAGTATGCGTCTAATTCTAGAGTTCTAGGCCTCAAGCCCCGTCCCAACGACTCAAGAGGACCAATATGATTCAAATGTTCCCAAGTGCAAGATAGCTTCAATTAAACTACTACGCTGAACTAGAACTGACTAAAATGTATGTATATGATACTTTAAGCGTGATTTGTAATTGAAGACTATCCAACATTATGGGATCATAGGATGGAGGAAAATATAAGGAATTGCTCTCTTAAAGGTAAAAGCCAGGGCAACATCAGCGATCTGGAAAAGAAGTCCAAGAAATTATATCGAAACATTTTAATCGCAACATAATGTCGGCATAGGTAGTCTATCGATTTGATTGTATTACTACTCTTATATTACCACCAAGAGGAGTTTAATCGAGTAAACCAACATCCACACCTCAAACTTCAGCTCCCCCGAGCATCAACGCCAACATCAAAGGCAAGATCCGGTAAAAATGGGTATCAATTTCTCTAGCATACTCTTTCTCCTTCCAAGACAACGTCATAACTACCTAATACCTAAGTCCTATCTCATATACAATGCCCCCCTTAACGGCGGCAAATCGCGAGTAAAGTCAACTGCCTTATCAACGACGACTCCAACCCTGACTGTCGACGGGTATCTGAAGCCTGTCATTCATCCCGAAGCGTACTTCGAACCAAGTCAAGGCCCTCTAATCCCAAGCCTGATTATTTCATCGGCAATCGCCCGCTCGAACAGCAGGAGCACCCGTGAGTCCTCCCAAGACATCCATCCATTCTAACAACACCAACCAACCCCAGAACGTGGCGTCATCTCTACATCTCTACATCTTTAATTCCATATCCCACATCTCGCATCACAAAGCCCACTCACCCTTATCGTCCTCCGCCGTAATAAACGGCTCGTCGATCCGCTTGATAGCGTAGTCGCTGCACAGGATACTACACATCACTTCGTTAGCCTCGCGCGTCATATTCTCTAAGCGCCCACCTCTTCCATCCCCCATAGTATGAGGAGGAAGAGAAAGGGGGGTTTCTTCAAGCTTACCAAGCAGAAGCGACCAGCGCATCCAATTCCGCGACCATGGCGTCCTTCCTCGCGCCGCTGACCAGGCCCTTGCTGATCTGGACCTGGCACTCCTTGATGCGCCTGCTCTTGGCCACGCCGGCCTGCTCCAGCACCTTGCGGCCGAGGCAGTCGGAGTGGAAGGCGTGCTGGCACGGAAACACGAAGAACTGCCTGCTCAGCAGCGGCAGCGCGCACGCGTAGCACCTCTCCCCCGGCTCCACGATCGCGTACCGGTGGTCGAGCCCGGCGATGTCCACCTTGATGTTCGCCGCCGTCTGCGAGCTCTCGTCCATCTCCTTTTTGAGGCCGTCGATGTTGCGCGAGTAGTCCTCCAGCGCCGAGCAGATCTCGTCCTTGAAGTCGTCGATCACCACGAAGTCCGGGAAGAACGGGATCAGGTCCTCGATCTTGAGCAGGTCGCACCGCTTCAGGAACTCGATCGCCGTCTTGATCCCGTTCGACTGCGAGATCACCTTGCGCGCCACCGCCAGCCACAGCTTCTTCCGGAGCGCCGGGTTCGACATCGGCCTGTCTGCGATGATGGACGCGTATTCGACTTCGTTGTGCGAGAGGGCGAGGTCGACGGCTTGGACGTATTGTCCCATGTTCGTGTAGATATGCACACATGAAAGGGTTCGCTTATGCTGGATACATAGGCGAAGCGCAAAATCGGGATCAAAATTAGGTTCTTCACCTTGTGATTCTAGGTACGCTAGAAGTCCCGACTCGTCTTTCGAGCTGTGAGATGCGTAGATAGAGACGAGGGTGTTGTGAACAGCCGCGTCCGTGGAGTGAAGTTGATTAATGACGAATTGTAGGTATCGGACGGCTTGGTTCTGTAGGAGAGTCCCATTAAAGGTCCTATTATAATCAAGAAGAGCTGGTATGATTTTACGGGGTTCGAGTTTAGGATGTCGCATCAAGATCTCGACTAATTCATGTCCGACGTGCGTCATCAGTACGCTGCTGTACCGATAGAAAACTTCCGGGGCTGTCTGCTTCTTGAGCACATTCAGTGTATCCGTCCATCGTTCTCTCTGCACCCAATATGATAGAACGTAGTTGTAGTCGTTTATAGCGTTGGCGAAGAATAGGAGCTCGTCTTCCCGAGCGTGACTGCTAATAACATCGTAAGTTGTCTTGCGATCAAGATCGGATTTGTGCTTATTGACAAAGTCGTGAAATTCATTTCGAACAGCATCGAGCTGCTGCCGTGATTGTTTCTTATTCTCATTTTCGGTCGACTCTGCTTCCACGGTAATGGAGTCCTCAAGAGAATTAAGCTTCGCCATAAAGATCTCGACTAGCCATGCCGCTATCAGCATCCTCTGCATAATGGAGGACTTCTTATATGTCGTGAGTTTCGTGATAAGATATTTTCGTAAGGCATCATTTTGGCCGTGATCGATGAACGAAAGCGCAACGTCTTCGAATGGCTTGCTACTTTTGCCATATACACCAGCGGCTTCGACAAACAACCCTTTTTGGACAAGGTAGTCGCCAGATGCTGTTGAAACCGCATCTTTCTGTGCTGTGGTATGAGCGTATTGCATAGCCATGTCAAACTGTTGTCTCTGTAGCATGATTCGCCATATATCTCGATCCTCATCTCGGACAACGATCTCAAATATTTCTTGGGCGGTGAACAGCCAGAATGTATTTTTCTGCTGGTCAACGTAGAGTCCTAAAGCTTTCTGTCCTTGCTCTAAAATTACTTGGTCGTATATAACTGACCCCGTGAGTCGATTTATCGCCACAACACGACCACCCACTAAACTGATAATGTGCCACTGCGTTAAAGCGATCGCATCAATAAACTCGGACGGTGTCTTCTTTCGGCCTGAAACCTCAGTCGAGACTACTTGGGACCTCGATAGAAGCTTGGACTCGGCGTACACTTTATTTCCAAGGTCGTTCACAACTGCTGTTAAGAGCTTTCCATGGTAGACCCCGTGGGAAGAAAGCCAGGCGAAGGCTCGCTCCGGGATTACGTCCTCGTAAGCATCAGCATTTGGTGGATCTGGTGATATAGCTAGCATAGAGGGAGCAGTAGCCGAGCTCCGTGAAATTTCGTGGATAACCGGCTGTTCGGAATCGAATAATCTCGTATAGATCGACCCGCTCCCTTCATGAGCGCTTCGACCAACCTTCCCCGAGAGGTGGAATAGCCGGCCCTGTGTGCTGATAACTACCCTTCTCACATCAGTCTTCCCGCCCATATTATCAACCCATATCCCCGTGACTGGGCCATCCGGAAGTTTGTTTAGCGCCTTCAAGTATTTCTCCTCCTTCCTGTAGAACTCTGTTGATGTTTCGATGAACGTCTCGTATATGTTTCCGTCGGAGGCGCCTATTAGGATCTCGCGAGTCGTGGCAGTGGGCAGAGACGGATTCCAAGCTACAGACTCGACGGAGACGCCGCGTAACCTACTTAGAGGCCGCGGCTGGCGTGATTGGGTATGTAGGTAATAGTTCTCGCCGAGGGAAGTACATATGAGCAGATGAGAGGCGGTGGGGTCGAGGAACATGCGCCGGATGATGCCAACTTCGGAAACCCGCTTAGGAAGGTCGATATCGTCAATATCTTCGGGTCGATTAAGGTCTATACGCAATATGCGCCCATTAGACAAGGCTAGCACGAGGACATTGTTGGCAACCTGAGCTGCAACGAAGTCGGCGGCAATGGAGAACTGGAGCTGTACGGGCTCGACATCGAAAATGGGCAGGCCACCATCGTCAGTAAGATCGCGAACGCCGTTGGTGGCGACGAAGCCGTTCGATGTACCAAGCGACATCTTGAAATCTATTCGATCATGTTGGGATTGTCAAGTTCGCGACAGGTCGCAAAGCTGATTGTAGAATATCGTAGTCAAAGCGGAAAAGGCGTTACAAGTTTAGGCATTAGGTAGTCGTAACATTGAACCTAAGGTTGTAGCTTAGAGCCCGTCAACGGGAAGCTACATAAAGTGGACACCTGCATATGTACAATTATGTAATAACCTTGGAGCGCTCGAGGGACTATGCATATTTTAAGATTGTGCAAGTAATGCATAAATAATGCGGTAGCTAAAATCGAATCATTATTTATACTTTCATTTTGATCATATCATTTAATAAGGATAAATGATAAGTGAAAAAAATATACTAAAGAACTCGCTGCCTGCCAGTATGCAATATTTCTCGGTCCTGGGTATGTTAGTTGATGCACAAATAACCTCGCGCTGACCCAGGCTCCTTACATGTCCAAGAATTCAGATCTCTTGATTCTTGACCTACTCCATCCACACCATGATTACATACAATAAAACAAAAATAAAAATGCAAGTGTTCGCTTGTAATAGAAAGGGGCTATCAGGCCCCTTGTATACCCCCCCAATGCTTCCCCTGAGCGTCGATTATATACTTAAAGGTCGATGTCGTCTCGATCATGTGTCAAGGGCCCGAGGCATGGATAACATAGGTATTATTCATTATGACGGTTCTTATAATATGCCTCGAACCATTATTCAATTGGTTTTGGAAACGTAAGTTGAGGTTTTGCCAATTCTAGGACGGGGTTGGTTTGCTAGTTCTATCACAGCATCGGCTGCTACCTAGCCCGGCAGATTTCCATTCGTAACATATCCGCTTTATTGATTGGAACAGCCTTGACGATCCCTCTCAGGTTTACTGAGCTTTTGTCGTTAAATCGCTCTGTAACGGGTGTTTTCTCAACACCCCGTTGACTCGGTCGTAGCTGACACTGTCTGTGTGCGATTCGGGCGTGTTTGCTCGAAACTAGAGGCGAAAGAAGTACTCTGTGCAGCGCTTCTCATCTCAGATGGCATCGAGAGGTATCCGCTTTCTCCGTCTGTCGGTTGACTATCCTCCGCCTCAGTATCCTCCAGCATCTCCATCAGCTTTTGCTGTATAAGCTGACTTGGTTCGCGAGATGGTCCCCTAGACCAACGCGGAAGTAGACCTGGTTTCCTCCCTTTCAATACCCGGACCTTGACGACGAAACTTTTGGATTTCTTAGGCCTGAGCGCCATCGTCATCATTTCCTGGCCGATGATGTTACAAGCTAGACGAACTTCTTCAGGGTCCCATCCTTTGTATTTAGTCAGAAGCCTTAGACAGATCGACTCAGCTCCGTTTAGCATAGCTAGAAGCCAGAATTTTCCCGTCGAGCCGTCGTCGGTTTTCAGAGGGATAGCGTGTTCCGTCAGTTGGACATCGACATAGCCCGCATTAACCAGGAATCTAGGCTCCAGATGAGCAACGCCGTGTGGCCTCCCATGCATGATGGAGGCTTCGACAAGATCATTGGCCACCCTGCACACGATCGAATCGGGTTCGAAGAGGGAGTGTAAGTTGGACATCCCCTTGTGGTCATCGAAGTCTAACACCTCGATCCATCCACCTGGCTTGATACAATCGAAGGCGTACCGGTAGATGCTCTGCCAGTCGGAAAACGACCCGGCCAGATCTCGCAAGTGTACTAAGTCATAGTGATTCGGCGGCCGTTCCCATTCTATCTCGGCGTCGTCAATTTCCCAGAAAACGTTCTGAGGGACGCGTCGCTCAAATATGTTGGCGATGTCGGTTCCGGTTACTTCGCAGTCGGGATAAAGCTCAGCCATATCTATGGCCCATTCGCCAACTCCAGTCCCAATATCTAGGATATGGGTCGGCGCTTCTAAAGGCACGCTCGTCAATTCGCCGTCGAACGTCTTTAAATAAACCTGGTTGATTAACTGCAACCGGACTTGCTCATCGTCGTCATTTGGCATGTAATATGACCCGCAATATCGTCGGCCATTTTCTATTATGTAGTTGAGGTCCAGTTCGTTGACTGATCGTGTTGAGTCTCTGCTTGGTATTAGGGTTGTCCATTGCTCTGTTAATAGTTTGAGGGTGAGCTTACAACGTGTCCTCATCTATCAAGTCTTCCTCGATCTCATACGGTTCCTCTATCCGATACGCCAATGGCGGAGCTGGATAATGATTCGGAGAATAAACGGAGGCGGCATCCAAGTTGCTCGTCGCTATCTCTTCATGCGGCTCTACTATTCGACTCTCCGGTTCCAGGGCACTCGCGGTCCACGCGCTCAGATAGTCACTAGAGAAATCTTCGGTAGAGACGTTGCTGTCTAACTCCGGCACAGCGAGCTCGGAAATTCCTACACTACGGGCATTACCGGTACTATGTGGACCGACAGACGAGCCGGTAACGCTAGTGGCTTGCGACGGCATGATATCAGCTGGCGCATCCGACTCCGATAACCCAGACTGTCGTCTTCCTTTTTTCCCTCTTTTCTTCTTCATCACAGTCGCATTGGGAAATTCTAGGTTGGTAACGAGGTATTAGTCAGATAGTTCCTTCTAGGTCCCGTGGCGAATCTCATATCGTGCCGGCGTCTCCGAAATTTCGAGTGGCTCGGCGGCGGATTCGCAAGCGAGGGGCGGCCCTGCGTTTACTTCGGCCTTGATGAAAAAACTGAGAGGCTTGCGAAAGCTCCGGTCGATATTATTCAATGGGAAAAGTGTATTGTGGACTTCGTTCTCCGCGGATAATCGAATGATGGATGCATTAGCGGGCCGAGTGTGCCCGCGAAGCGCCCTTGTTACTTGGGACTAAGAGACTAAACGATCAAGAAGTCGTTAATCTAACTCCGTATCGAATATAGGAATAGAAAATGGAGTCGGTTTGCTAATTAATTAGTGTAACGGGAGTGAGGGACTGGAATTGTTTTACAAGCTGGGGAAAAATGGATTATGGGCCACGAGGGAAGCGGAGGACGGTGAAAGACGAAGATGACAACGATTGGCTACCGAACTGATCATCGACCAACTTCTGCAAATTGACGACGGTTTGGGGTGTGGGCAATGTGTTAGCCGGGTGCGACATTCGACACCTTCTTCTGTCCACGATCCAATGAGCGGTCTGCTTTGGACGGCAACGTGGAGTCCAGGGCAGGGGATGAGCCACATGTCATTGCCATCCCTGGCCATCCGCAAGCCTAACCCCATGTCGACGGACCGCCCCCTATTTACTCGGCTGCTCATACTACCTATATATGTAGGCATTATGTAGTATATATGCAGCCCTTCAACTTGGGCTACAACGCTGGAGTATCGCGCCTCAAAAAGCCCAATGATTGGCATTGGCCGCTTCTCACGCTTATTAGACCCAAGGGACTAAGTGTTCTTTTTCATTGGACCCAGTTAGGTGGAATTTCCGTTCCTGAGCGCCGACTTCAAGCAGCTCAGGGTACATGGTTGTAGCATTTCCTTGACTCACCCTGCTCACCCTGCTCACCCTGCTTACCCCAGCAGGGCATTTAAGCCTGGGCCACCTTCGGGCTCGGACTCAACTCCGCGTGAAGACTGATTACGTCGCAATTATGAATATTATAAGAGAGCCTATATTAGGGGCATCCAGGTTTTCGACGCAACTGAAGACATCGACAGATCGAATGACTGTTTCAGAGAACGCAGCACTATGTACATGTTCCCGAAAATTTGAGCGGAAAACTCGTGTCCCTCCACGTCGGATCCATTCCACTTTGAATAAGCGATAGCTGCACTGCGACACTCCAGGAACTTTTTATGGTACTCCGAGTGATCTCATTGGGAGCCTATCGAACCGAAGCCCCGGTCACGGCTGCAGCACGCTGGAATCAACAGGCCGGCTCGGAGACCTAAGGCATGCATAATGCCCGGAAATCCTAAATATTTCCGGGTAAAAGTCCTATAAGATGTCGATATAATCATGAGGTGAATGTAACCTAAAATCCATTTAGTTATAACGCCCCCAAAGAGCCTTGACCGACACTTCTATAAAGCCCATGCATATTACCAAGAATCGCGGCTCAATATGTACGTATAGATAGCAAGATTACCAAGATAGGTATATATGTTTGAAAAAAATCATGGTCTATTCGCTATTTGCCGAATACGGCGACAATTGCTCCGGCATTTAGATATTTGTACGTCGTACTAATAGCAATGGGAACCCCGTGCCACTTGCACTCCTCATGGTATCAATATCACAGGAAGATTGAGCTCTCTATTACTCCCAAAATCGAGGCTTCATCCGTATAAATGTATCCTAACTCCACCAATGCATTCATTCCTTGGGATAATGTCGGGGTGTAAGCGAGGATCAACCACCTCTACGTGGATGTCGGACGACCACTAATTAAGCGACTTGCGCTTCTTGGGTCGCTGAGGCTCATCACATATCTCCTCTTTGTCAGATACCACCTCAGCCTCGACAACAATCGGGAAGGGACTGAGGACTTTGCTAATATCACCCCACCATTCTTCGCCGAAACGCTTGTACCAATCGACGGTGATCTTCAAGCCGTCAATAAAAGAAGTCTTCGGGTTCCAACCTAAGCGTCGCAGCTTAGTTGCGTCAATAGCGTATCGGTGGTCGTTGAAAGGCCTATCATGTGTGTATTTAACCCACTTGTTGAAATCCTCTTGGTTTTCGTGGGGGATGCTCATCTCCGTTAGGAGCATCCTGCATAACTCAATGTTGGAAATCTCATCATGAGACCCTACATTGTAGACTTGACTAAGGCTACCTTCATGTAGGATCGTATCGAATGCATCGGCCGCGTCGCCGGCGTATAAATATCTTCGAGTAGGGCTCCCGTCGCCGTGGAGCACTGCTGGCCGCCGTCGATTCAACAAGCAGATAAATTTAGGAATTATTTCTGCGTCAGGTTAGTGGGGCACGCACTTTCACTGCTCATGATGATGACCTACTCTCGGGAAATTGGTGCGGCCCGTAGACATTATTACACCTGACAATGATAGCTGGGAGTTTGAAACTCTTCATATAAGAGTGCACCAGCATTTCGGCGGCAGCCTTGCTCGCAGCATATGGGTTGGTTGGTGACAGAATGCTTGTCTCTAATAAGTCATCATCGTCATCCTTTACCTCGCCGTACACTTCATCGGTGGACACATGGATGAATCGCCTAACGCCGATCTTCTTCGCGCTCTCCAGCATAACGTGAGTGCCGTAGACATTCGTGTGAGTGAACCCGTAAGAGTTTCCAAAACTCAAGTCGACATGCGATTGCGCTGCGAAATGAAAGATGGTGTCTATGTTGAAGCGCTCCATGCAATCGAGCACTTCTGAAGGATTGGTAATATCTCCATGATAGAAAGTGAAGTTTCGCTTATCATTGAGCATACGAGTATTGTTCAACGAGGAGCAATAATCCAACTTATCGAATGACACAATATTGTAGGCTTGTGGGTAGGTCAGAGTAAGATGTCGGACAAGCCAACATGCGCTTTAAACGTGGTTAGTCACAGCGCCAGACCTTTTCACAAATACTCACATGAAGCCGGCACCGCCCGTAATCATAATATTCTTGACATCCGGCAGGGGTTCAAACTTGGTAGTCCCAGTCAAGATAGGAGCCTCTTTCCATACCCCGTAGTCCTCGAAAAATCTAGGTTTTGTGGCTCTAGTGGTTGCGGCTCCATTCGCGGCTGCGTTTGCGGCTACATATCCAACAATGTAAGTCAACTCGATCCACTTCGGTGACGTCGACGGTCAACACTTACAATGCACCCCATTGGTGCCATTCAGTTGTGGCGCTGTCATGTTGCGTCGAGGGGTGATCTCGGTATTTCGCCAATGATTGGGCTCAAAAGGTGGGTTAAGTATTCTCTAAAGCTCATTCAGTAAAGGGAGAGCTGGATTGGCAATATGATATAAAACACAAAATTTCAGGATAGATGTGTAACGAGGTCCATTGTCTTTTCTTCGTCTCGTACAGGAGCGTTGCAGGGTGGACAGATGTCCAGATGCAGATCTCCAGACCGGCCGTTGCAAGTCGCTAACTCGCCAACTCGACACAAGACAGTCTTGAGATTGACTCAAGATCGAGATCAAGAGCGAAAAAAAGGTATCAAGGCAAAGACGACCGGGTGACCAGATTATGTTCTATCACCAATTTAGCAACGGATGATTCAAAAACGCGGAAGTACAGGTCAGATGATAATTGAGTTTGCGGATTTGGCTGAAAAAAGATCCAGATGCGCTTGCGCTTCGGCCGAGGGATTGGTGTCAGGTACTAGGCTTTTGTATAGTACTCGATGGAAGGAGTAACCTAGTAATGGATGGATAGGTGATCGGGGGAAACTACGGATCCCTACAAAGAACGGTTAATTACGTAGGTATCGGTATGTGATACGAGTAGATTTCGGGAGTTTCAGCATGTTTATTTATATCTCGACATTGGTAGATTAGATCAATTTACGATGGACGGGCCTATGATGCGCGTAGTCGACTTTTCAAGAGAATTTCTTAATCAAAAGCTTCCAAGTTGGTATTAATCGGCAGCGATCGGCCGTGAGGTTAAGCAGGTACAAGGTCAAACGGGACTGAACGGCCTGACGGCTAGACCAAGTTTTGCAGCACATAGACCCACATATAACCCCTAGTTCATGTACAATTCCCAGATCTACGTAACCTTCCACTAACCATTAACCTTGCACTACTAAAGCTATGTCCATCTAACCATCTAAAACTTCGAGATTTATAACACTTACGACCTTTATCTTGACGACAATCTGTTATTGTTTAAGTCTGAATCCTACACACATGTGATAGGGGTAACATATCGTAGTACGAGATCAACTAATGTCATCGATTCGCTTTACTCGTATACCGTCAGCTTATCAACTAAGTACTACCTAGCCCCTGATTCGCTCAGCCCATGTTGTCATAATATGTCAGAGTATGTCACACCTACCTACTTGATTTATGATACTCGGCATCAATAGAAATAAGGCCCAGAAAACTTATAGTTTACTTGAATTAAACTGATAATTCAAGTCGCGTTCTGTTTAGGGTATAACAAAGCACCAAGCAATCGTATACTTCCCTATTTTTTTCTCCTCGTATAACATGGGCTAGGGATTCCCTCATAATTTAATATTATTAATTAGTAGGGAATTTACATCTCTACCTACTCTACTACTCTCCAAAAACAAAATGCAAACTACGTTCCGTGGGGATTTTATATGTCTCGCTTCTTGCAAAGCTTGTCTGCATACCTAAGCAGTATCATGGTTGATCAATACGAACATCAGAAGTCAAGACGGCTGTTCGGCATCGACATCATCCCTGCTAAGCTATAACAACCAAAGGGAGCTGCCCAGAGCGATCCTCCTATCATTACGTGTCTAGCGCCTATGTAAGGCATGCGATGTATGGGGCTCTTGGCGAACGTTTTAGTTCGCCTTATGGTAAGAACTTGCATTGGGATATCATGGGGGTAGTAAGGACGGCGCTTCACCGGTTAGGGGAGTATCTGTAGGTATTAGTGAGATATATCTAGTTTCAGTTGAAATCTGAGTCATAACGCGATGAGTTTATTGAAGAGAAGTCTCCGCTCAAATTTATCAAGAGACCAAAAGGTACATGAGGCTCATATCTTAAGACTTGACGAGATCGCACTAATGTATGAGATATGTGGTCGTTGTTTTTATTAGGACTAGGCAATGAGACATGGATTTAATCGTATGTAGTACCTATCTCCTTATTTAGGTACCTTGGCATGTAGATTTACCTAATGTCCTGGAGAACACTAGTATAGAAGAGATCGACTTCATATGAGAAGCACCTCCTGGTTTATATTGGGGACGGGTTAACACAAAATCTCATGTATAATTTTTCAAAACCTTGATAACTTCAAGATATCATTTATATCTTACATACATCCATACCTAGATGCATGTAGCTGTCTAGGTATCCGTTTAAACTCATGTTGGTACTTTGTAATATGTACAAACACTGAATGTGTGCAGGAGTGGTTTGTAGTAGTAGAGGGCGGCACCTATGGTCGTAGCTAGGTAGGTCGGCTATCGAGTTAGGTACCAGTCCAGGCCCAGTTCGTAAAACGAATGAAAAAGGAAACAATACATACCTAGGTGAAGATGGCGACAGTTACACCATCGAGATAATTACGGCGAACTATCTTTGCTTAACCAAGCATTACAAGTTTTAGACAGACACATTGTCTTATAAGCCTGCGGGCAACCCTCAATTGGGCAATTGCGCATGTTGCAGTTTTTAACTGAAGAATCCAAAGTTCAGATAGATACACGATATTTACATAAGTAGAATTCATGTACGAAGGTACTAAGTCAAGAAATGAGTCGGCCTTGCCACGCTCAGAAGCCAAGACACTTACATCAGTAGTACCGAATTTCAATCAATTAGCCCCTGTTAACCCGTTCGCCATCGTTCTGCGAGGACCCGTTTATTAAGCTGCCAATCCCGCATTTCATACCTTGTAATTCAAACCGACACTGGATTCGGTTGTTCGGCAACCCCTGTAAATGCGATACTTAAAAAGATTCAAGCTGTCTTTTACTTCCCAGCTTCCATCGCGGCCAAGTGAAGCTTCGTTTCTCCTAACGTGTAACTTGAGGTTTAGATCAACCAGATCAACTCCAACTTCCGTTCCAGGCTGACGGTCGGCTAAAGTAACAGCCAATCCGACGTCTCATACGGCATCCCGCCCTCCGGGTTACGTATACAACCACTTTCCTCATATGGAACTTCTCCATTCCCGTTCTATTCTGGAATGCACCCATCGCCGTTAATTTCGGACGTCCTTCACTTCTGAAAAGAGAGGAAAAGAAAAATCTTCAACCGCCTTTACTTCTCTATTCATGACCGAGTCTCCTTATAACCCCCTCATGCTAGAACTTACTAATTGTAAGTGGCGGAAATTTGGGTAGCTCCCATCACATGCCTTTCGAAGCTTGGCATGGCATCTTTGAGTGGTCGTCCAAGACGATTCTCATCCGGTGATTCACCCTTCTCAGAAATCCGGATTGAAAATGGCCGATTTGGCAATTTCGACGGTATAGATGATCGTGGTTCTCGAAATATCGCCGTAGACGATGGTAATGTCAAGGACGCTGAAGCAGACGGAGGGTTATTAGAGAAGGTCACCGGGAATCAAACTATTCGGAACTCCTCCAAAGGTAGCTTTGGTTGGGCCGGATTTTGGATCATAGTCAACACCCTGGCTACAATAGGCATTGTATGTTTCCTTATTTGCTTGTCCCGGCTTCATAAGAATAACTAATAGCTAGAATCATATAGGTCTTCACAAACAAAGCCATTTTCTCCGATCCCTCACTAAAGCTTGCGCAGTTAACGTTTGCCGCCTTCCACTTTTTCATGACATGGCTCTTTCTATTCACATTGTCGCGGCCTCGGTTTGCCTTCTTTAGCCCTCGCCGTATTCCTCTTCGAGATATTGTCCCCCTTTCCGTTGCTATGTCACTTAATGTAATTCTCCCAAACCTGTCTTTGGCCTTCTCGACTGTCACCTTCTATCAGGTTGCACGTATTTTGCTTACCCCCACTGTTGCGATCATGGATTTTGTCCTATACCAGTCTATATTACCTCAAGACGCCATCATAGCACTGGTTCCCGCTTGTTTGGGGGTTGGCATGGTTTCCTACTATGACTCGCTCCCAACAGAGGATGCCAGCGTCAAGACTACATCAGGATTAGGGGTGATATTTGCCTTCAGTGGCATATTCGCTTCCTCGCTATACACAGTATGGATCAGAAGTTACCAGCGAAAGCTACAGGTGTCGAGCATGCAGCTACTATTTAACCAAGCTCCTGTCTCGGCATTTCTTCTGCTCTACGCTATCCCTTTTGTCGACACGTTTCCTACGTGGACCAAAGTCCCTGTTAGCCGATGGTTCATGATCTTGATGGTAAGTCAAGAAACCCCTACTTAGACATTCGTAAACGTTGACGCCTAACGTTACACAGTCTGGTATATTTGCATCTTTGATCAACCTGTCACAATTCTTCATTGTTGGCCACACAGGACCAGTTTCTAGTACAGTTGTCGGACATTTGAAGACTTGTCTTATCGTGGCACTTGGCTGGGCTACTTCTGGTAGATCGGTAGGCGACAAGTCTGTCGTTGGTGTGTTTATTGCGATAGGGGGAATCATTACGTAAGTTTATGACCCCTTTAAAGCATTCCGAGTTTTTATATTGATATGTTTCAGGTATTCGATAGTCATGCTTCGGCATGCAACTCGGAGCCATGGGAGGAAATTGTGACATTCAAGGAAGTCATTGCATTTTCAGGAGTTGGAAAATTTTATCTGGCACATCTGGGCAAAGGGAAATGATGGTCACTTCAGATCGGAGGCAGTTCGGGAGCTTCATTGTTTTAGGCGTTATGACGGTGCTATGAACAGTTGTGGTCTGCGTACCATTGTTGAATAGCAAGCATCAGGATGTCTGAATATGCCTAAAGTTTCGAGGCGGACTATAGCAACTAAAGCTTGGGGTGTTTACTATATGATGTCCATCATTCCCATGGAATTATAACTACATTCACATCCACTTAGACTATATTGATCGAATGGCCTCTTACAGGTCGGCAGGACCTGGTCACGCCCTAGGTATTGTAGTTGAACAAAATGAGGATTGGAAGCGGCTTGCTATACGGCAATTCCTAAACATGGAGATCGATGGCATTAGTGTTCCGTTATTTCACTGTTTCCCGATGCCTAATGAGTTTCTTCTATCTCGAGTTTATGGGGCAGACTATTCCAAGTGAGGCAGCTAACCTAAGCGTGGGCATATTGATCGTCTATCTACGTAGTAGAGACCAATTTTCTGACATTCTTGAAATAGGGTGGGAATTGACGATATGCCCGTATTTAAACATAGGCGGGAGGTAGATAGCCATATACTTTGGGGATTAAAAAGTCACTATCGAAGACTGGATAGAGGCATAATCTTCCTCATGACGATGCATTTTAGCACCGGTCACAACGAAAAAGGCTGAGATCAAAAATTGCACCCGCTACGATCCACGAGGGATAATAGAAAAGGGCTAGCTCCGCGTCGTGAAATGCAGGCCTTCCCCCTTGAATTTCCTATTTCTTGAGCGAGGAAGTTCCGAATAAGGTAAGTATGAAGAAAAAGGAAGGAAGAAAAGGAGAAGACCACAAGCAATTGGAGGATATTAAATGCGATTCACGTATCACCTGACTAGCCGCAAAATTAGCGGGGCTTATTGGAAAAGAGGTAGGTGCATACTGTAAGTACCTAGGTACCTAAGCACTTTGTGCCTGCCAAGAAATCAATGATTGGTGGGGAATGATGACATAATTCTGCCAGCCTTACCGCTTTCCCTCATCACCCCACCAGTTTGGACTCTATTTAATCTCAGCTCTGCCTCTCGTTTTCTCTTCCTTTCTTTCTTTTCTTCTTCAGCTCTCTTTGCCTTTTGGCTTAGATCAAGTGTAGTATCTGTTCTTTTCAGTTTAATCTCTGGAAGAGTCACATAGTGGCTCATCTTTGATTATTCTTATTTTTGTAACGAGGGAGTCCATTCTCTGTGCTTGCACATGATGGCTCTCACAGTGTCCCTGGTATTACACTGCCTCCAGGTGATGCGAACCTTGCATTTTCATTGCTTTCTCAGGTTGATTCCTGGGATGTGAAGAAATACGCATCGCAGTATGAAATGATATGCTTTCGGTCATTAAGTAGTCCGTTCCTATAATGTGCCATACTTGATGGTTCCTCGACAATTGCTAATCTGGGAATATGCCATCATCTGCTGGATTACGGCGCCACTGATGGAAATTTTGCTTCTGTACATAGTACCTATCAATGTGTATCCAAGAATCTTGGGAATATGCCTTAGTCTCATGGAAGTGAAGTTCTGTAGCATGACTATCACAAAGCTAATACAGCGCTCATGTTATTAATACCTCGATATCATGCCGCGAACTGATGGACATCACGAATTTACCATAAGCCTTGGAAGCTCACCCATCATGGAGCTCGGCTTAGCGTATATGCACATATACGACAAACGCTAGCTGTATTTAGATCTGTAACTTCTCAGCTAAGATGGAAAGTGCGAATAAATTAGCGTGGTCCGAGTGCCTGATTGAGACATGACCTCACGGAGCAGCCACCAACAAGGCTCCCGCTTTCCGCACACACAAGCTCCATTGACCTCCGACCTCCAACACCTAAACCCGAACCGCATACCTATCGTTTTACATATTAATTTGTCAGTTGACTCAAAGTTCAAAGTATCTCCAAATACACGTCAAACATAGAAGATACCGCCAACGCATTCTCATTCTTCGTCATAATTCACTTTTAGAAAAATCACCCATCGGCGTTCATTCAATTATTCTCTCCCCTCCCCCGCCCTGCCTGCCTTCCCGTCCCTCTCGGCTTAGACCTATCGTATCGTACCCAACGTCGCAACGCCTAGCGACCAAATGCGACTTGACTCACTTGACATCCGCCGCCGTTGATATCACTTAGGGATTAGCTTTGTTTGTCGTGTTGCTGTGGACGCAACTGATTCACCATGTGGAACGATGAGGAAGACAATAACCCGTACGGGACGAGTTTCGACCGTCGCGATTCAATAACATCGTCATCCGCCAATCCTACTTCACCAGTATCCCACGACTGTAAGTTTTGCCCATCTCTTCTTCATATTCCAGGACCAAGGAAAAATAATGTGGGAAAACATAGCGTTGGATGACTCTCTTGACGAGGCTGATCCCGACTGGGAACATGTAGACCAAGCCAATCGCTTCGAGACCCCAAATACTCCTTCTACCACTAGCGAAGATGCGCCGCCCACTACGAGCTACGGACGGCAACTAGCCGATCCCGAAAGTGACGACGAGTATGGCATTCAATCTCGGGATCAGGCGACCCCAAAAAGGAAACCAGGTGGTTACGATAGTCGTATCGAGCAGATTCTCTACGAAAACCCCGAACTCCCTATACTTATCACAGACGCCGGAAAGAGCATGGAGAGTGGAGGTAAATACATCGTCTATACCATCAGAACAGGAGTGAGTTCCTACTAGGTGCTTCTAAGACGTCTTTTGCTAATATTAATATAAACTCCAGGACCTTGAAGTCCGACGCCGATATTCCGAATTTGCATCATTACGCGATGCGCTGACTAGACTTCACCCTACTCTTATTATTCCCCCGATCCCCGAAAAGCACACAATGGCAGATTATGCTGCTAATCCGACGAACGCAAAACAAGATCAGCAGATTATTGACTTGCGAAAACGCATGTTAGCTGTCTTCCTAAACCGCTGCCGACGGATGGAACAGGTCCGAGAAGATGGAGTTCTATGGAGATTTCTCGACCCTAACGTTAGCTGGGTATGTCTGCAGCTGTGTCTGTCAAACGTGTTCTGACATAATAACTAACTTGATTATAGAATGAGGTTCTCCATTCGCATCCGATCTCATCTGTTCCCAAGTCTATCATGAAAGCACCCCCGCTAGATACCGCCAACCCTTCACCGGCACACGCATACCTTCCGGTGCCCGCTACTTCTGCCAAGCTGAAGACGCCCGTGAACCCAGCGCCGGGCCCTGTTTTCGACAGTTCAGGCACAGTCGCTTCTCAGTTACTCCGTCGATTCCCCCCTGAAGCCCACGATCTGAATGAGCAGGAACTGGATCCCTATTTCATCACTTTTGAGGCCTCAATCAAGGAACTGGAGCAAGCTTTAATGGGACCTATGGAGAAAGTCAACAGACGCACACTCAACCACCTAAGTTCTTTATCCACCGATCTCTCGGATCTAGGAGCCAAATTCAATGCATTTGCGTTGTCCGAGCCATCCCCCTCCCTTGCCGCAGCAATTGAGCGAGTGGGCCAAGCAGCAGACTCGTCATATATTGCAACAGAAGAGTTATCAAGTTCACTAGGGGCTAGTTTCGCCGAACCTATGAGAGAGAGTGCACAGTTTGCTGGTGTTGTGCGTAGCGTGTTGCGCTACAGGATTTTGAAAAGAGTTCAGCAAGAGATGGCTAATGACGAACTTCTGAAGAAGAAGGCACTTCTAGAACAGTTAGAGACTAGCGAGGCTGAGGCTAAGCGGATTGACCAATATCTCAGCAATAGCCAGCAGATCGGAACGGGTTCTCAGGTTCACCCGCCCCGAAGATCATCTAGTATGAGGGAAACTTATTCACAGCACCATAAAGAGGGCAGTGGAGAGGACACCGCCTCGATCGACTCGGATTTCCCGTCCAATCACGGAGACGTTCCGTCAGCACCTTCAGCACGAGTGGGGGTTCCCGAGCGCTCAGCTTCTAACCCGAGCCATAAGAAGGCTCCTAGTAGCAATTCTATCACAGGCAGAATATTCGGCCCAATCCGCCATGCAATTCAAGGTGTGGCCGACGTTGATCCGGAAAGAACCCGACGTGACGCCATCGGCAAAACGCGCGAGAGTATCGAGCAGCTTGAACAGGCTCAAGTAGCGGCGGCTCAAGATGTGAGGGATGCGAGCGCAAGCATTCTACAGGATCTGAAGAGATTCCAGAACGAAAAAGAAGATGACCTCAGACGTTATATGGTAAGTTAACCTCGATGTCTTCTAGGACCTGATTCTTCAATTAACGATTATTACAAGCTTGCTTATGCCAAGAGCCAAATTGAGTGGGCCAAGAAGAATAAAGAGACGTGGGAAGAAGCAAAAGCGGAGGTCGATAAGATCGATGAGACGTAGAGCGTTCGCGAAAGGAAAGGGTTAAGGAAAGGGCTAGGATCGTTAGGACGACTTCATCGCCACCGCCGCGGCGTTACGGCAGAGGTTTGTACAGATGATTACGTTGTTATAGAACACTCGGAATGATTTCCCCCCTTCGGAATGGATAGTTAATGAGACGAACATGCCCGAAAGTATCACGAGAATCAGGTCAAATTTGGGGATATCCACGGAATAAGGGGTCTGCGTAGTGACGTGAGACTTTGTGTTTGTATTATGGACCACGTGGTGCACTAGGGCTACGAATTAGCAACAATACAGCTTATGTATGTTTGACGAGCAGGTACGACAATATCTGATTTATGGTCTAGTAGAGGTATGTAATCTCTAAAACCCCAACTCCGTGAGCACCATCATGTTATATTCGAACCTGCTATAGTATCACTCTCACTCCACGGGTTTCCTCTCGGATATTGAATGAATTACTTATATCAATATAGACACTGAGTAACGTTCTCCTTAGACTTAGAGAGCATCAAAATCCCGATGATAACGCCGTAGAGGCCGAGGACTTCGGCAAAAATGAGGATCAGGACCATGCCGATGTAAAGGCGCGGCTGCTGACTGCTAGCTCTCACTAGTCCGGATCTATTAGCCTTACGTCCTGCTTGGTTATATCGAATCCCCGGAGGAGATTTGGAGAAGAAAGGGGGATAGGCCCATGATAGACTAACCTCCGGCGTCTCCTACGATTCCGATGGCGAAGCCGGCTGCGAGGCCACTGAGCCCGACACTAATCCCGGCACCCAGCTGAAGGAAGCCCTGGTGTAGGGGCATCTTCTCTACTAGATCCTTCGTCAAAGTTAGTAATTATTACCCCTATATACGAAGGATAAAAAAAATCAGCAATAGGAGTCGGGCGTTACTCACGCCCGAGATGATGACACTGGCTACGAGCCCGTAGATAGATAGAATCTGGGCCATGATTGCGCAGAGCCTGCAACGTACGCGTTGCGGGCCGATGTCAGCATTGCTTTTCCCGTCCGCCGGTTGGAGGGATGACTTAAGGGGCCGACGGGGATATGCTCTCCTGGGTGAGGGAATATGATGCGGTGGTGGGTGACGTACGTGTTTTGCATGAGCCGTTCTGGGCGGATGACGCCCGAGGAGAATATAGCCCCGGCTGATTTGGCGGTCCCGTAGGATGCGCCCAGAACTGTGAAGACTATCGACGCGGCGCAGCCCAGCGCCCCGAAGAAAGACTACAGAATGCGAGCGAGGTTAGACGGCATTAGGGGCAAGTGATAATGCTCTACACGTACAGCGTATATTGGGCTGTATAGGCGGTTAGGTAATAGTCAGCATCTAAGTACCCTTTTTAAGGAGGCGTCAAAGCCACGAGACAAACCAGCGAGGATCGTAGACCGCCTCGGCAAGGGCGGCATTCATCTCGGATAGGATCGCTTGTTGGGACATTGGCAAAAGCTTGGAAGTGCGCAGCTCCGAAATACAGTAAATATGCTTAGGTAGAAACTTGATGAATTCAATGCGCCACGGACGCGCAAGTGAGTACCTATGTATGTAGATGGCGAAAGTCTGACCTTCCTACCCATCTCCCCTTTCCCAGCTGAAGACCACGTCGGGCGCCCGCCCATTTTATCGTGTAACGCCTCATTCTGCGTCGCCGAGTTCTATTCGCCCGTCATCTGCTGATGACTTAGATCTACATATTCAGATGAGGGGTTTGCAGGCAGAAGAATATGGTGTTGACTGATTGGGCTTCGGAAAAAACCTCGGATCCTTAGGTGTAACTTCCAAGTTATAAGCGAGTGCTTACAATATTCAATGAAAAGAAGCTTCGCGGTGTGGCTGATGGATACCTATAGTCAACCCGGATCGGAGCTGTCATATCCTTCTTGTCCTTCCACCCTTCCACCCTTCCACCAAATAACGTTAAGGTTTACATAGAACGTTACGCATGTCAAACGTGGTTTAGTCCGTGACAAACCTACCAAGATTCTGGACAAGCGTTGATCAGGAAAGTGCTTCTCGTTGCGACACACAGATGACATTTGAAGTTGTGTTTGCTTTCTTATCAATTCACCCTTCCCCATTCGACTCTTTAGCCGTCAAGGATTTCCGTATTAGGCAAGACTTTCATTACTAGTAGCTATTCTAGATCTTGTTCATCTTACGCGGTCACTCACAGAGCCTCAATCGGTCTAAACCTGGTCGGCATATCCCCATGAATTATATCCCCGGCCTGAATCAGTCTAGAGATCGGTTCGTTTTATTTCGTGCTGACAAGATGAACTAGTGTCCTTGTCCGTCTCTGTTCTCTGGGTCTCTCTGGGTCTCTGGGAAGAAATAGCCCTACGAGTCCACAAAAATACTTTATCGCCAAACAGAGCCCAGGCGTTACGAGCTATTTTGGGCTGCGTTGAAACGCTGCTAATCGAGCGGCGTTGAAAAACCCGTGCTCAGTACTGTCTGATGTTCTAATCTATTTCCTAGGGTCCCTTCACAATGGACCCTGGTTCGAGACATGATACAACCAACGGTATCAGATCTTAAGGCCTTGACCATCAATTCAGAGAAGAAAGAAAAAGGCGCTCGGCTTTGTTTGCTGCAAGTCATGCTACCTATCTTATTATTACTTGCTTACGTCTGCAAGAAAGAGCTAGAGCTAAATAGTTCCTCGAGCAATTCGCCCAGCCTTGTTATTTCTTCAAATGACCCTTCGATAATTAGCCCCTGACTTATTTAAGTGAGTGTCGAGGACGTTGATGGACGCGCGTCACCTGCGCCAAGACCTCAAACAACGACGCTATGCGCGGACTCCCCACCATACGTTTACCCCTGTCTTTTTTTCAACGTGCCGAGGAGGTTCGACGGCCAGCTCATGCTGCTCAGGGTCTTCCACGATTTGGTAATCCTAGTTCATATGAAAAGACGTGGGCATAATATTTTGAGACTCAAGCGTCCCGGCTGGCGAAGCCGGAGTGGCTTAGGTATCGAACTTATCGTCTCGTCACACTCGGCCAACAGATCCCCGTCATTCTTATTCCTACCATGCTAAGCAGCTGGATTGCTTCTTTCTCTTTCAAATAATATTATGGTTTCCCCCGCAGACATGAGTTGCTGTTCCCGTTTTTAGACTGTTTTAATCCATCCTCATATCTGTTCTTAGCCCCGGCTGGCCACGCACGACTGACGAATCTGTCCCACCGTACTGGATACATATTTTGCCTCCTTTACCGTCCTTACCGGCATACCATAAAGACTAGAAATAACCCCGGAACCCACTAATAGATACTTACTTCAATGTTTCGGTTATAGCATTTGGCATCTGGCATCCTGTGTTGTTATCGACTATTTGGACGGGGGAATAAAGACATCTCGAAGACATCTCGGCACTATAGCTATCACGCTAAGGCGGCTTTTAATCACCCAATATGAAGACAGCAACGACGATACTTGCTCTGATAGCAAGTGTATTAGCCATACCAGCAGGCGCACGTAATATACCAAGTAGCACCGGCCAGCCTAAAGTTGTAAGCTTGACTACTCAACGACAAACTATACGAAACCCGGTAAAGCGGGATCGTTTACGGCGGAGAGATGGCACAGTTCAGGTTGGATTAGACAATGAGGTATGGATCCTGTGATATAGGGGTCTCCAAAGACACGTCTGCTAACTCTTTTATAGGAAACATTATATTTTATCAACGGTACATTAGGAACGCCGGCACAGTCTATACGAATGCACCTAGATACTGGTAGCAGTGATCTCTGGGTTAATACAGCATCCTCTGCACTCTGTTCTACGTCATCAAAGCCCTGCGCTTTTGCCGGAACATATACAGCCAACTCGTCTTCTACTTACAATTACGTTGGAAGTTGGTTTAATATCTCCTACGTCGATGGCTCCGGGGCCACTGGAGACTATGTCACCGACACGTTTACTATTGGCGGAACGACGTTGGAGGATTTCCAATTTGGAGTCGGGTACACGAGTTCCTCCGAACAAGGCATTCTCGGTATCGGCTATGCTGTCAACGAAGTACAAGTTGGAAGAGCAGGAAAGGCATCGTACGAAAACTTGCCAATGAAGATGAAGTCAGCTGGCCAGATACAACGAAATGCTTACAGCTTATGGTTGAACGATCTCGATGCGAATACGGGGAGCATTCTGTTTGGAGGAGTGGACACCGCGCAGTACACGGGAAGCCTCCAGACGCTCCCGATCCAAGCTAACAATGGCGTCTACTCGGAATTTCTGATCACGTTGACTTCTCTGTCGGTGGGCAACACAACTATCGCGGATAACCAGGCTCTTGCGGTTCTACTCGACTCCGGTTCCTCGCTCACCTACTTACCCGATGACATGGTTGAGGATATATATGAGGCGGTCGATGCGCAATACGATTCGAGCACAGGTGCGGCATACGTCCCATGCTCTTTAGCTCAGCAGACAGCGACTATGGACTTCGTATTCTCAGCCCCGACGATCTCAGTGGATATGAACGAGCTTGTGTTGGACCTAGTGACGGCGAATGGACAACGACCCACATTCTCAAATGGTGTGACGGCTTGTCTATTCGGCATCTCCCCAGCCGGTACGGGGACTAACGTGTTGGGCGATACTTTTCTTCGATCTGCTTATGTCGTATACGACCTTGACAACAACGAGATCTCGCTTGCGAAAACGAACTTTAACACGACGGAATCCAATATCGAGGAGATCCCTAGTGGCACGGGAATCCCGAACGCTACTGCGGTATCCAATTCCGTAGCAGCGACGTCAGGCCTTGTTAGGGGCACCGGAAATGGCAATGCCGGCCTGGGTGACAGCACAACTAATAGCACTGCACCAACCGGCGCCAGTTTTTCGACGGCGGCCCTAATGTTGCCTTTCGGAGTGTCTATATTGATCGCGATACTATAAATATTTTGAAAGGAGATTTATACCCATGGATATTGTTCTGATAGGATCTTGGATTGTTGGGCGATATTTTTAGCAAGCATTGCGAGGCGTTCGGGCTTGGGGTTTTTAGGCTCACGTAAAGCCGCTACGACATAAAATACCGGTATAGATGACCGAGGAATGACAAGAGCATGGCATAGTTGTATGATATCCTCGACGGGCTTCGGAGGCAGCGTTTGACGGGTCGGGTTGCATTTATAGCATGGTCATATCTGGTGATTATGGAGCTTAGCAGAGGAGCTAGGCGTTGGATAAATTTGATATTAATTACACATGACGTTTGTTTTGTCGACTATCTGGATCCACCTGTAGCAATTGTGTGTCGTATTTGCCTTTTTACGCGCTTATCATCTCTGATAGGCTTGGCCACAAGTCTTCACAACGCAGGCGCCTTTGACGAAATACTCATCTAGGTACTCTTCTCGCTCACTGTCAGCAACTTTAGCGACTGACAAAAGCACTTATCGATTTCCTGTACTCACATACTAGAAGAGCGTATGATGCTATGATGTTGTACCGACGCCGTTTCTTCCAAGCATGGAACGTTAGAAGCATGGCACGAAATGAAAATTGTTCGGCCGTCTGCTAGAATTTTCTCAACGTGACCGAGACGCATTTCACTCCACCCAGTAAACTATCACGGCCATATTTTTTCCACAATTTTGCGGTCCAAATTCAGGTTTGTAATCGGTGATGGTGCGGTAGGTAAGATGCTCGTTACCTATCACTAGTACCGACGCTGACTAGCCTAATTTTTGATATTCGCAAACGAGATATGCCACCCCTATTATCGGCGACAGTACCACTAGTAGCAGTAGCAGTAGAAGGAATATTATGAACAGCAGGAGCGGTAGCATTAATAATAGCAGTAGAAACGTCCACATCGCAAAGAGCTAGTCAATCGTCTATTCCTCGCAACCCGCCGCGGTGTTTAGGGCGTAGAACTGTTTGTTTGTAATGATACAGGTCTTTTCCAGGTGGAAGAGATCGGATCAGGGCTGGATGAGCTTGTACAAACGTGTGTCGTAATATGTGAGGCGGGAAGTTTGGGCTGCCGGTAGATGTGAGTTCTCGACGTCTAGTTGGAATGGGAAAGAGACTCAAATTATTGCTAATGAGTGTCTTAAAGGTTGTTCAAGAGAAGGTTGCCTTAGTTTATATTCAGGTGGCTGGCCTATAGGTTATAACCCCGCATATGCAATGATATTTTATGACAAGTCATTTGATATCGGGTAGGTACCTACCCGTTGAAGAGTTTCTTCGCCGGGTTTCAGTATCGACAAAGGGGAAAACGCCCTTGGAGACTAGCCAGAACACAGGAAGAGGCCTGAGGCCCAAGATGGTCATAAAAAAGAACGATATAAACAAATCATCAAACTACCTGGTTACAATAGGAATCGTCTATATTGTTGAGAGATACTCTCATAGACGAGATAATTTCCCCTGATTTACAAGGTATGGTAATGATAGGTACCTTATGCTTATAAACTCCAAGTCGTGAAACAGGTTGACTTAGAACGGATTCTATTCTTTTATCCAGAATCTCATTGAAGGAGCATTGGGGTGGTGCTAACCAAAGACTCCCCTCCCCCCCTATTTCCCCGATTTCCACGTCCATGAACCCCAGGGCCTTGGCACCGATGAAGCGTGAGCGAACCCAGCCAATCTTCTCCATTTACAAAAGCCTCGTCCCTTCTCCCACAAAGACCTCAGCATCCATACCTCCCCCATCCCTCCAACTTTCACCTCCCTACCCCCCCCCCTTACCTACTCCCCTATCCCCATCACCTAACCCCATTCAACACTGCAGCGAAGCAGGGACCTTAGGATCCTTCCCCGCGCCGCGCAGGAACCTCTCGCAGTCGAACGGCCGGCCCGCGTCGCCGTGCGCCGTCATGTACGCGTCGACCCAGCACAGCGGGCACGCGACGTAATCCGCGTTCGCGAAGGCGAGCTGCGGCCGCGCGTCCCGCGACGCCGTCGCCGAGTGGCACGGGCACGGGCACGCTACGCTCGGCCACGTGGTCCCGTCCGGGGCCCGGATCACCGCGTTCGCGTTCGCGGCCGCGGAGGAGGAAGGCGATGTTGGGGAGGAGTAGTAGTAAGGGCGCGCTTGGTTCGCTTGCTCCCGTTCCCGTTCCCGTTGCATGGTTGCGAGTATGGAAGCTGTTGAAGCTGAGCAGGGAGTGTACGGCGTGTAGGACACGGGCTCCGGGTCCGGGTCCGGGAAGGGCGGGTCGAATTGCGAACTCAGGTTGTCTCGGAGCCGCGGCGACGGCGGGTACAGCGTCCGCCACGCTTCTTCTTTCTCTGCGGCTGTGGTGGAGGCGCTGAGGCTGGTGGATATTAGGACGTGAGCGCTGTCGTTGCTATCATTGCTATTGGTAGAGATAGCCGGGGTGTATGTACTGCTGCTGCTGCTGCTGCTGCCAGTCTGCTGTTCAGGGACGGATGTGTTTGTGCTTTCGGTTGTTTGATCCGACATTGCCCTATACCTTATGGGAAGGACCTGGAACTCCGGAGACGAAGTCGGGATTTTGAGAAAGTTGGAGGCGCGTAGCTGATGTTTGTTCATCAGTAGACAGGATGTGCGCCCCGTCGAGGAATAGGAAAAGAGGCTGATTATTGCCAGCCAGATGTATCGTGGAAGTACGCTTAAGTTACGTTCAATAACCCTAGTGGAAACCGAAAAAGTGGTAGAAAGGACTGGGACGAATGGAATCAGTATAATTCACTATCAGCTGCTTCGAAAAAAGTAGTCGAAGGACAGCAAGGCGTGCTCTATGAGGCATCTGCGAGTGCGGTTCTCCTACTTGCCTGCTTCCTTTCGTGACCCAGCCAAGGGCTCGCAAGGCGAGATGATATTTCAGTAGTCATAAGAAGCATTGTGGAACATGATGACAGTAGAATAGCACAGGTCCGAATAAGAAGCTTGACACGAGGCTCGAGTCACGAGAGTCACGAGCAAGTGTTACCATGGGATAAAAGAAGGTTCCCCGTAAGAGGGCGATCTGAAGCATCGTGAATTGAAAATTTAGAGGCAAGGCCTGCTCAGATCGTCTTGTGGGTGTTGTCGGGAATGGAGGCGTATTGAAGAAAACTGTTTTATCCCCAATGACGTTGCGACACGGGATGACGCAGAGTCAGCCTGACTAGGTACTTGGGATGTTTCTCAGGTAGTTGGAGATCGTAGGACACATTTAAGGATCCGTACGGGTTCCACAAAGAGGCTCTGGTTGAAATCGATATCATGGACACTTCATTCACTTACTCACCATAGATGGGTGTGGTACAAAACGTCCCTGTTTATGCCCATTCCTCAAGTAGCAAGTCTTATCGAGCTTGATTTTGAACGGCATGGAAAGGTCATACCTAGCTCTTGTATGAAATCTGCAGCTGGCTCGGGAAGGAAATGGTTGTATGGATAGAATGCCTCGACGTTATGATCCGTTGATACTCTCCTATATTTACTATGCCCCAAGATTATGTTGAATAACATTAGACAGAACACCGACTTATGAACAAGACTTGGCGGATAAACATTATATGTAACGATCGGGAATTGGAGCGGAAACGCACATATAGGTCGATATGTTGATTTGCTTGCCATATTGCCTCATGCTCGGTGCGCAGGTTGTAAATATATTCCTGCGCCTGTCATCTCTAATCAATAGAAGAGTTGTCTTAGTGATGAAGAGATGGTGATAAGTGAACACCAAATAATGAATGGATAATGATTTCTAGTGTTCTTGGTGTCAGCAAGCAAGGGCTACCTAATATTATTTCGGTACACTTCTGCACCTCGCGGAAGCCTGCAGATCGAATCAAACAGCCATTGAAATAGCAGCTCTCGTCGTAGTCATTCCTCGTAAGTAATTATATTGCACACCCAGATCATCAGCGAGATCATCAATAGCCCCTTTAGTACTCGAAATCATCATCCACGGACGGTCCCTTGTTTTTCGTTACACTTTCTTGCTTCCTGTACATCTCTGCCACTTGACGACTACTCGTTGCCTCGTCGGGCTTCTTGTCATCTCGAAGCTTGATGAATCTTGGAAATCGCAAACTAATTCCCTTCTCACCGGATGGGTCGACATTCTCCTTTATTCCAGCTTTATATCGAGGACTGAGCGTCAAGTCCGCAGTTCTGACTTCCCAGACGTAGCGAGGTTCGAACCAGACGTCTGGCTGATGCTGCCCACCTGACGAATGCGCGTAGAATGGTTTGGGCCGGTCGATGACAATTTCAGAGAGTTGCTTGTGAAGTTCTTCAAGGACCTGTTCCGAAAACCCGGTACCAATATTGCAAATCGTCTCGTAGGTGTCAGACGCCGCGTTATAGCATGCGAGGAGAAAAGCACCATAAACCGAGGTACGCTTGCCTTTGCCGTAGTAGGCACCGAGTACAACAAGGTCAAGGGAGTCACCAACTCCCGACAGGTAGTCTTTCTTGATCTGCTTCGCTGTTAGTAACAGTTATCGATTAGACCTGTTGAAGTCTTACCTTGAGCCAATTACGACTTCGTTTGCTAGGCTCGTATCCACTCTCCGAGCCGTCAAGCATCTTGACCATCAGACCCTCACAGGAGGCCTTGACACTCTCGTCTAGGAATGTCTGGATCTCCTCGAGCTCCCTGCCATTCATATGAGTTGCAAAAGAAAACTCGCCTTCTACTGGCTGGAAGGCGTCGTAAAGCAACTCGCGACGTTCTCGGAGCGGCTTTTCGACTACCGGATCCCCATTCAAAAATAGCAGGTCAAATGCGAACACGCAGACTTTGACTTTCACCTCTTCCAGCTTGACGTCCTTCTTCTTTCTAGTCATTAATTGTTGGAAGGGAAGGACTTTCTTCTCATCAACATCCCAGGCTACTGTCTCGCAGTCTAGAACGAAACTCTTGGTACCATCTTTGACCCATGTATTGAGCTTTGCAAGAATATCGGGATATTTCTTGGATAAATCCTCCGAATTTCTCGAGAAAATGGACGCAACCCCCTTGGCAGCTTCCTTTGTGGCACCAGGAAGAGCATCGATATACTCATCCGAAGAGTCTTTGGCGACATAGTGGATTTGTGCTCTCTCACCATCGTACTTATACTCGCAAGTAAATGTCTGATTTTCGAAACGATCCAAAACCTCCGTGATTGCCTTTGTAGGTTTCGCAAGCATGGGCTTCAAAGGCACCCCTGGGCGGAGTTTGCAAGTCTCTTTTAACCTCATGATGCCGTTCTTGACCATTGCCGGGATAATGACATCCCAGCTGGGAAGTTCACTAAGATACGTTAGAGCGGTCAGTTGACGATTTGACATGTCACTAACCTGTATACAGTCTTCAACATAGCTTCTGCTTGTTCTATCTCCTTGGTGCTGGGTACCCCCCCTTTTTGCTCCGCCTCGTGGCATATTATAGCTTGTGCTATGGATACGAGAACCGTTTTCTCTGCTAACCCTAGTCTCAGCTTTCCCTCGAGAAACCGAATTAGGTACTTGGCCTCGCTGGGCCCTCCCTTGTCCTTCTGAATATCGACCTTGCCGGTCGAGTGGGCATCAGCAGCTGACAACAGCTTTTTGATTCCGTCGACTTTCCTTCCTTGAGCACCGTTCCCAGTCACGGTTGCAATATCCATCAAACCTTTGTGCACAGCTCTGATTGTCAATGGTTTAGGTTTGAACATGGTAGGCTGAGTTGATCTGCTCTTCACTGCAACAAGACCTAGATCGCCAATTTCTTTTTGATCCGCCTTTATTACTTGTAGACTCCGTCCCGTAGTCTCGCCTATAGCCTTCATGATGAGTGATTCGCCAATACCCAACTCAATGCCGGCATAATCAGGGGCTAATTTGTTGATCATCAATAGCACTGTTGGAAGAAAGTCGTCGGGGGTCAAACGTAGTACTTGTCGGAGGAACGAAGCACAATATTCGGTGATTATGAGTCGTTTTGTTGTAAGTTCTATGAGGGAGAACGTTGTACATAACGCGGCATAGGGCACCGGTGTGTCAGGTTTCCAATCGGGATATGGGTCTTGCGTCTTGCCCTGAAGCTTAGTCTGGATCTTTTCTCGGGCTTTCGCTGCAACCTCCGGCTTCTCTTCATCGGACTCTTCCTTCTCTACCTCGGATGCGGATTCTGATGCTTCTTCTTTAATATCTGCATCCCCTTTCTTAGGTGAGGGTGTACCTTTCTTCGCGGCGATTGGTGTTGTCTTGGTAGAGGGGTTTTTGGGTGATCTTTTCCTAGGAGTAGTCTGCTTCTTGGGTTTTGTCGGCTCTGCATCAGCCATGACCTCATCTTCTTCGTCATCGTCCTCAATCCGGGGGCGGGTCTTTCGCTGCCTTTTCACCACAGGTGCCTCGTCCTCCAACTTATCCTCGGGTTCCTCAGCTTTGACCTTTGTAGGCTGTTTCTTTTTGTTCTTCGGGGAAGAGGGTGTTCGAGATCGCTTCTTCGTATCTTTTGGAGGATCACTATCCTCTTTCACATTGGCCTCAGACTTTGATTTTGGTGACGGCGATTCACGTGCATCCGGGGCAGATTCTGGCTCGTCATTCGTCTTCTTGGCCGACTTCGTACTGAACGAAAGCTTCGTCTGCTGAGGAGCAGGCTTTGGGCCATTTGGTTGACCGAAGAACTTCCTAACATAGTCGTTAGCAAGGAGTGAGTTATACGGCGCAGTATGCCAGGAAGACCCACCCTAAGGTGGTCTGCGAAGATTTCACATACCCCAAGGTAGCCTGCTTGGGTGCCATCTTGAGTAGTCTGAAGGACGTACTCGTGGCAATTTGGAGGCAAAGACGACGTGAGGCCACACTGGTGAAAAAATGATGTTCGAAGAAGAATTGAGGGACCCTAGTAAGTACTTTAATGTGGCTTGCTATAGGCATTCACGTGGCACAGGTTTGGAGTATCGTATCAGATATCACTATATTAGATAGGAGGCGCGACCACTAACTTCCTCCGACGTGACGCGACTTCCGAAAAACTAACCGCGTTAATGAGCAGTGACGCGAAATTTGCAGGCATCATACAGTGCCGATATCGTATTAGAAGGTATTTGTGTACTGTATGCAATATCGAAAGCTTTATCGATAAGGATGCTGCGATATTTCACGGGTAAAATCGAATTGATATTTCTGAAATTCTACCTAGTATGGACTCGGATTTCATGATAGAAATATGAGGGCTACTCGTACGTTGCCGCACCTGTTTCGAAGGTCGCCATGCCTTGGCCCTTCGGCTTCCAGGTCTTGTCTACCAAATTGGCGACGCACCTACAGTATCCAGCCAGCCCAGCCTCTCTCATCGGATGACATCAAGGCTGAGATGCTGGGACGCCCAGCTCAATGGATACGGGACATCTTATCACCGACCAATTCCACCTTGCTCAACATTGTCCTCGCGGACTTGATACCCAGAGAGTGCCTAGCAAAGGGTACGAATATCAAGAGTATCTCAAAGAAGAATGAGCTTCCCGACGGCCACCATCTTGTGTACTTCCCGCTCCAGAAGACCCTTTTGGAATTGTGCCCCGACGGCACAGATCCGTCTCACAGCCCCGGCGATCCATTTGTGCGGCGCATGTGGGCCGGTGGCTCCATCGACTTCAACAGAAATTTCAAGCTGAGCTCGGCCTCCGTTGATTGCAAGGAGAGCATAGAAGACGTCACTTTCAAAGGCCCCTCGGGCCAAGAGAAGATATTCGTCACCGTACTGCGCGATTACATGGTGAGTGCTGACCGCACCGTTATGTCGGGCAGAGACTTGCCGAGGATAAGGGAAAAAAGAAGCCTGGTATTCATGCGCGGTTTGGGCAAAGAGCAGGCTCGCGAAAATCTCGTAAAGTCGGAAGGAGAAAGAGATAGGATCGTCAAGGGTATGTCTGCATCATCCCAGCACTCTTTATTATTAGCCTACAGTATTTCTATTGCTCGTAAAGTCCCGTGATCATGCCTGACATTCCAGCTTAGCTTCCAATGAGCCCGACTACTCATTCACACTCACGCCAACACCCAGACTTCTGTTCTACTTTAGCGCGTTGTCATTTAATTCACACTCCATCCATTTGGACACCGAGTACTGCCGGAAAGTAGAGGGCCACCGCAACTTACTAGTACATGGACCTCTCTCCCTCATCCTAATGCTTAGCGCAGTCAAGTCGCAACTTAAAAAGGAGGAAAAAATCGTGAAGATCGATTATCGGAACCTAGCTCCTCTCTATGCTAATGAGCCTTTACGCGTTTGTGTTAGGCGCGTCGAGGAACCACATGACGGCACACAACGAGATTGGGAGGTTTGGGTAGAAGATCGGGATGGAGGCCTTGCGGTACGAGGTACTGCTAGAACTGATCTAAAATAGACAATACGCGCCAAATGTAAGCCGAAAGAAGATCCTGAACAGAAAGAAGATATTGGTTGACATCTGCCGGTTAACATCTATGGGAACAAAAAGCATAGCTCGTATTTTCTTTGAGGCATGCCAATGTATAAATGGAAATGAAATGTTAGGAACATCAAAGATTTCTATCACAATATCGTACAAGGTCGGCGATTAATCAGAAGACAGGTAATCAAGAATCATCGATGATTATATTTTACTTCTCTATTTTCCCATGTCCACCGTGTTAACCTAGGTGATATATATAATTACAAGTGCTTACGTCCGCAAAATAGGGAAGTGCTATAAGTAATCGTTCCAGTTCATTTGCTTCTCATTCATGTATTCGGCACCTTGAATTCATTGCAGCTGTGCTTCAAAATGCCGATCGTAAAACCGAAAATAACAAGCCCGAATGTAGAAGCCAGCCCATATTACCCATTACCCCTTTCGCCTCGCCAATGCATCGTTATAAACCCCCATTTCTACTCATGCGAAGGCTGCCAACAGCCTCTTATCACTACCCGCCAAATAGAAATTTCCGTAAACTCGTTCCTGGAACCAGAAGTTTGACATATTGGCCATGGCCGCAGCATGTCGTCCTATAAAGGAGATTGGTGACACTACAAATAGTAGTCACTTATAATAAAAGTGTGATCAACGTCGATCGCATATAATCAATTATCGTTCAGGAGTACGACTTCGTTTGAGAAAAAGATTGACAACAAAGCCAACCGCAAGTATACGCCATTCAAATTATTCCTAGTTCGAATGTCGGCAAACCCGGATCGGTTGTTGCAAAGGGGTATCGAAAAAATAGCAGGAGAGAAAGCATAAAACCATCTTCTCCTTCCGCCTAGGTAATAGGAGCTAAGAATGGGCTGAGCATAAGCTCATCCGCGCTTGGTCGCAGATTATGGTCTATCTCGAAGGTCTGGCTCAAGAATGTCTGCGCCTCGGTGCTGGCGCTCTCCGGAATAGTAGGCGCAGCTTTCCCACCACCAATCTTGAAGATGGCTTGCAACTGACTGCAATCAGGGAAAGGGTGTGTACCTGTCATCATCTCGACAACTAAACAGCCGAGAGACCAGATATCAGCCTTGCGGGTGTATGAGGTCTGCTTGACCACCTCGGGAGCCATCCAAAACACCGAACCTTGAAGTGAAGGTCTATGCTTGTTGTTGTTGGCACCGCTGAGGATGTTAGAAGCTTCGAGCTTCTTGCTGATTCCAAAATCGGATATCTTGATTGTACCCTTGTTGTCTACGAGGATATTGGCGCCCTTGATATCGCGGTGGATGATGTCTCGGTTGTGTAGGTATGAGAGTCCATTCAAAATCTGCCTCACAAAGCTGCGGACCAGAGGTTCGGGCAGTGCGCCATACGAATTGAGCATCGTCTGAACGGAGCCACCAGGAACGTACTCGAGGAAAATGTTCAGGTGTTCCGCCGACGAGCTGCATCCGAGATATTGAACAATATTTGCGTGCCGAAGATCTCGCAGCAAACCAATCTCTCGTTTTAGAGCCTCGATCATGCTCTTCTTTCGCGCGTCCGTGGCGCTGTTGGCACCGGGCGACGGCGCCTCGACCTGCTTGACGGCAAGAAGTTCACCAGTCACAGCATGCAGAGCCAAGTACACGCTACCAAACGATCCCTGGCCGATCAATGCACCCTTCATCCATTTATTGTCGTCCCATGATTCCCCGGCTAGGAAACTTTGGAGCTCTTCGTCAGCATCCTCGCCATCCTCGCTCAGAGCTTGCGTGATTTCTTTCAGGGAACCTGAGCCCTGGGTGCTAGTTTCGTCGAAGTAGCTCTGGCGGGCGTGTCCTTCAGGGTCAGTGATGCTAATGGGATTACTATCGGAGCTACTGTCTGCGAACGAGACATAAGACTTGCGGTTGGGCTCGATAGGCGACTCCTCCTGAAGGGTATCTAAAACAGACGAAGCTACGGAGTCGCGGAATCCATGCGGCATTCGGCCCTGTATCTCACGAGCCCTGACTTTGGCAAGTTGGCCACCGCTTAACCACGAATCCGCGATGGTTGGGATGGGCGGCGCATCTTGGATGCTCGACGCGAAGCTGAGATTGCTAGCAACACTAAGACGGCTATTCACCTTGCTCAAGCGAGTGGACCTGCGCATAGATAACCGCGCGGTCCGATCGATATCTTCTCGAGGATGATCGGGGAAGTAGGAAGTGAGATCGGAAGCAATCAACTCGCTAGGCGGTCTCAAGCCACCAAATTGTCTGAGAAGTCCCTTACGCCTTGGAAAGGGTGACTTGGCTTCATTAGAGGCAGGCCGTTCCAGATCCCGGGCGGCATTATGAAGATTTCTCTCCCTATCCTGGAAAGATATCGGTGACAGCGGCTGCTGAAGTCCCTCGTTCCAACTTTCGCCTAATAACTTCTGGACCTTGAGCTGGCTTCTCTTGTCTTGCACATTCTCCAAGGCGCGTGCATGCGACTGTTGGGCTTCTTCCATGGCGATGGAGGCGGCTCGTTGCAATTCAGCTTCACCAGGCTCTCCAGAAGGTACCCTCCTAAGGATTAGACGATTTCTCTCCGGCCGCTTCTGATCCTTGATGATGCGCCATAGTTCGGTATCGCCGAGACGCCGAGATTGCTTAGGATCGGGGTCTACACCAGCTAATACCCAGAAACAATAATTGCGATCATGGTCCTCCCGCAAGGCAAATTTTCGTAATGTCACTCGCATAACCTCTTCGCAGTTGCTGCAGTCCGCGATCTTGACAACTTTCGTAACGCCGCCCGTAGATATGACGCGGATGACATCTTGGCCCTGTGGTAAAGCAGCCATCAGCGAACCATCCAGACTCGAGGCATTTCTCGTGTGATTAATTACCAGGCGGCCAGTCATAGTTGGCGATCCAGGTCCTCGTGCGCTCGAGTTAGGTGTCGTATTGACCATATACGGCTGAGCCTGTTGATACCGCTGCTGTCTAACAGCTCGGGCCTCGGAATTGGGCAAAGGGGAAGTAGGTCGGGACGCAGGCCTCCCCATCTCGGACATGGAGCTCATCGCCAGACTCGACATGTCAATCTGTCGAGAGTATCTTTTGTTTGCCGAGCCATGGCCCCGGCCACCAGAGTTAAAGGCACGCGGTGATCCTGTCGAGGAGGGAGTATATTGAGAATCTAATCCTCCAAAAGAATCCTATACTCAAGACGTTAGAAAACACATCCAGCCAAACCGTCGGGTTACCCCCCGAATGTCCCGTAAATATAGTACAGTGGCGACTCACCCGATTGCGCCTCTTTTGATTCGCGTACGCCTTCGTCCTGAGTTTCTTAATGCCGAGGAATAGTCGAACTCGATCGCCAACCTTCTCGATGCCCATCTCTTTGAGAACCTCCTTGTCCATCTCTAATAAATTCTCGCCATTGACGTTATTCTTCCTGAATAACTTTTCATACTCGCCGCACTTAACGCTCCTCAGGTAGTCGCATACTTGGTCCTCGGACCAATTCTTAACGGCGTCAGGGCCGTCGACGTCGGAGAATTCAGACTCGGTAGGGCTAGCAAAAGCCTGGCCGGTAGCATGGACGGCCGGTGCTCTTCTCGTGGGAGCCATACTGGACGGCTGGGCACTAGAGACTAAGGTGGCATTCGTGGAGGCCAGCGAAGCCGGAAAAGACGACTTCGAAGCTAGCATTGCCATTGTGTGCCTAGGTTATGCGTGTCGATTAGGGTTGATTATCCGCTGTCAGGTACGCATGGGAAAAGATTTGAATAGAGGAGATTGTATAAAAAAAAAAGAATAAAAAAAAGAGGAGACGAGTATAATTTTTTCTTTATTCCTCGAAGCGTTGATAATTCTTTTTTTTCTTCTCTCCGCTCCTTTTTGCGGGATCGGACAAAGAGTAGATTACGCCAGCGAGCGGTGTCGAAACGGAAAAATAAATTAGGGAGGTTTCGCAAATCGCCAGAGTGTGTCGATGATAAAGAGTGTGGAGTTTGGAGTTGGGATTTGGCAGGATTGGGATTGGGGGATGGGATTCAATGTTATTGCAGGAGACGATTTACAGGTACATTCTGCCTAGTATCACCTCGTACCTCCCCTAGCATATTTAGCACGCTTTGCAGGCGACAGGTACCTGACTATTCGCAGGTGTTGGTGTAACTTTAATTCCAAGGGTTCTATCTTAGTTGCAGGCTGACTAGCCCCACCTCCTTAGAATAGCTTAAGTCGTGGATCACTTACTATCCTATCCAAGTACCTTTTCCTACCCACTTTCCTCCATTATACAGTATCTAATCTAGGGTATTCTCACCGTCGATGAGGAGTGCCTGACCAGCTAAATGTGCAGTAGCGTTCGGGTTCGGGGGTTTCACTTTGCGGCCGCTACCGACGTAGGGAAGCATGAAATAAACTTTTTAACCACTAACAAGACTAACACCTTCTCGCGTATTCTTACTGTGTAGCACCAGTCGTTTGGGTGCATTTCTCCGATCGTGATTGGCCCGAAATAAACAAGAACGGGCGGTAGCTGATGCTGCTGATGTTGAAAAGTTGAAACTCGTCAAGGAGCGCACGGCCACTGGATCATAAAAACACAGTCCTGTCATCGACTCATCCACCTTAACCCACCAACCCACTCTGCCCACTATCTCGCATTTAATCGCCCATCGGACGAGAGATTCACTTGATTCGAGAACGATTCGCGGAGATACGTAATGTGAGGGAAACGGCACACACCGATACACCGTGGCAGAGCGTGTCTTCTCAGACGATGATCATTGCTCTCTGTTTCATTGCGCGTCTACCGTGACCATGTGACGCAAGCTGAAGATCAGAGGAGAAGAGTGAAAAAAAGGCCTTGACTTCCCAATTACATACCAACATACCTTGAGAACCTATGCCATATGCCTCCCTCGGGGCAATCATTAATACATTGTACATCACATAGTACATACAAACTACTCTATTTTTTGCAACCTCCCCATAATGCAAAACCGGATATACAAGCGTTGGTGTCCATGTGCGGGCGGCTACTCGTCGACAATCACATTCCGCCCCCATTTAAGATCGCGGCGTGCGTACCCCTTTAAGCTACATCCGTATATCCAATTTCGAACCCGAGCAGTTACTTAGACTGCCGTACGCTAGTCTACCCTTTACTACTACTAGTATGTAAAGTATCTGAGATTGCCTAGTTGTCCTAGCTGCCTAGTTGTTGAAGATGCATGTATTTTTATTCTTTAGGACCAGTGTTACAAATAGCTGGGCACATGACAAGGGCACTACTAATAATAAGACGTGTTGTCGTCAACCACAACCGTCAAGATCGTCGAAGAAAGCCCGGCAGAGGAAGCGGTAGTGAACAAAAGCTGAAGCATGGTGCCAGGGTAACCAATAACGGCGTCACCTCGATTGGACTGGCAGACTGGCCCTGGGACTGCTGGATCTCGTCCGCTATTATTCGCACCTAGGCACTCACTCGGCCGCTTCAGCAAGTCATATCCCACCTACAAGGTGGCATGTACAGGGGCTGACAAGACGATAGTGTATCCACAGGTGTGTATTTTAGGGGTCGATTGACAAGGGCTAGGCTATGATCTCCAACCTGAAACCCTCCAAGTTTCGACCAGCCGGATAAGATGGGTGCATTCGGAGCGTCAAGCGGGCTTGGGGCCTTTTTGTACCCTTCAGGGCCTTCACAGCCCTCACTCTTTGCCTCTTTTCTCGCCTCTTACCGGCAGTGTGGTTTACGTACGTAGGATTGTCGACATGGTCAACGTTGCTATTTCTGAAGGGGTCATCATTTTTTCCTTCTCAACCCCCGCAGCTTTTCGGCGAAGTTGCCTTACGTACTTCATCTGCGTTAAGTATCTTCTTTCTGAAGTACCAAGGTAGGCAAGTATCTTGCATATCCCGAACCCAATAGGTCGTGATATGCGTGTTACTTGGCATGAGTTAACCCCCGCCTATTGGCTAAGGCGTCTCATCGATAAAACGTCGTTCTTAGGAGAGACTTCGCCACGATATATTGAGCATGACCATATATATTACCATAGTCGAGATCGGCTTCGATGATACCTATGCCTTATGAATATCTTTAAAGCGTGAGGGAGCAATGGGCGCGTCCTCTGACGCGATCCTTCCCGACTTCATAGCATCATCTCGTTAAAATTTTAATGCTAGTACATAATATCCGTATTACTAAGGAGATAACATGAGTTCGCAAAGACTGTTGATTCGCCGGCTTCAGCCCATCGCGATAGTGTTTCTCCGTGAGATCGGAGGCGCTCAGACGGATCACCGCCAGATGCTCAGCTTATTGGGCATTCTAGACTCGTGCATACCACGCCGAGCTTTCCTAGGCAAGGGGCTAGGTACCTAATCCGACATTTAGGGATCTTTTCAGCGATCTGGAAGCTGTAGAAGTTTGCTAGCGTAGACCCGGGACCGAGAAAGCAAAGGCTGCGAAGGTGGGATTAAAGGATCCCATTGTCACGCCTGCATCTTTTAGCACGCATCAAATCGTATTATGCTGTTGTCCGGTCACCTTTTGCATGTTGCGGCTGCAAAGGCCTTGGCTGCTCCCGCCCTTGGTAGGACAAGGCAATAAGAAGCTCATTTAATTTGCATGGTACACCGCAACGAATCCCGAGATCCTCGAGGATTGGGGTGCTGGGGTTTTCGTCAAGCTTGCTCAGGTTTCTGGGCCCTTTGTCATCGAGCATTTCCATGCTTTGCCTCGTATCTTACCAACACCCATACTACTAGTTTGTCACGAGATTCACGATGTAAAGCCCAAGCTCGATCATAAAACACCAAGCGTCATGTTACGCGCTCGATGTCAAGGCGGTCTCGTTCCATTCAGGCTCAGAGCGCCAAGCTTAGGTGGTCAAACTTCTCGGCCGTCAATGTCGCAGTATTGCTGGGCCAATCGACATTGCAGAGGAGCTGCAGGCTTTTGGAGGAAGGATTGTTTACTTTTAAGAAACACGTGTATGTACCTACATCGTAGTGCTGGGCCACTAGGCACCCTGGAAGCTTAGAATGCGTCAATAACATGGTAATTCCCAGTCTGGTAGTGTTGTAATGCCAGCGGTCGATCGTGAGGTTGACCGACTTTCGACCAACTGAGCCTTGAAACATGCTCAATGCTCGACAACATCAACAAAAACATTGAATTAAATCAACACTTTAAAAATCTGTAGGAGCTATATAAGAATTTGGGCACGTGAAAAGCGCGAACACGTAGCCCTCAACAAAGGGCTTCACGGGTTTTCCCGGATGAGAGGCATGATGCTCTTTGTTTTCTCGACCTTACATTACTAGGTCTGCAGAGTTGGTTGGGCTTTAGGACTCGCATTCACATTCAGCTGTTACACAAAGAGTCTTGTAGATTTAGTGCTGTACGTCGTGTCCATTGGGTCCATTGGAATTGTGGATAATAATCTCCATTTTGTTCGATCCTGGGGTCGCTAAGAATTCAACTCACGTGAAAATCGATAACGTTTTTATAGTCACCATAAGTTAACACGCCTATGTATCTAGCTTGATGAGTAAATTGGAATGTTTGCTATAGCAATATAACTATACTGATATCGTACCTTACATCGAACCCTACATCGAACCCTTGGAAAAGGTACCAGTAAGATTGATAACAATTGCATGTGTTAATCTATTGAATCACCCAATCGACCTGCTTATGCACATACATGTTATAAATCCATAGATACCTACATACCCAGATATTTACCGTATGTAACATCGAACTGCTGTCTTCGTGTATGTAGGAGTAAATAGAGTACGTCACAACAAGAAACCTGAATAGCCAAAGCTTGAAGGTTATTGGACCAGCTGGTCTCTCCAAACCGGATCATAGCATCATCGAGGCTGGAACTATGCATTAGCGGGTATTAGCGGGGCAGATCACTGCATTGGGCCTACCGCATAAGTGCTTAATGAGAGTCGAATGAGAGCTGAATGAGATGAAAAATGCAGGTAACGAGTCGAACCTAATCTGTACCTTACCTTATCAGGCTTTTGTGTCCAAGTCCGGACCGAACCCAACCTCGAACCAACGCTAAATGTTCACGCCATCGATTTCCTGAAAGCTGATCAGGATACGTTTTGGGAGCTCGCACGCATAGCTCTTGCATAGCTTCTACATAGTTTATCGCAAGTGTCTTTCTTCGAGGCTCTCGTCGAGGACTGATTCTGTTCTTTTCTCTGTATACTCGGTCCAATATGCTCTTTCGTGGACTGATAATCGAGGGGACGTTACCTCGCTGATTAAGGAGGGATTAGCTAAGCTAACGAGCAATGTCGTATGTGGCGTGTTGAGCTTCTCTTTACCAGCTATCCCGAAGCTCTCGCCGTTTTCGAGTCCGACTGTCAATCACACGGCTCTCCCGGATTCATTATTCCCGCATTGGGTGTCATGAGCCTACGGCAACCCACTGTGGGTATCAAGAATTTTTAGCTTTATACGCCGTAGTCAAGGTCGACTTCGACTCTCACGAGTTCAGTCATGGATCTTAAACCTCACTCCCAGCAGATAGTTGAAGGAAAGGAAATTCACATGTCTCAAAGACGCCAGTCTTTTTCAGCTATGAAGGCTTTGCGGCTACGGTCACTCAGTATCACTTCGCAGATCTCGAGCTCTTCCGAGACGGATATACACTCGCCTGTAGCAGGCCGTAGAAGAACTCTAACTAAGAGCCGCCCTTTTGAAACATTGAGGGAAGATTTGATTCGGAGGCCTTCTGGCTCTTCAACGGGGGACAATACTGAACGGGGCTCGACATCGACTAGACCTACGAGTCCTTCAGGCACCGGCAGTCAGTGCGCCAGCATTTTTGGTGATTCCTTGGTAATCACCAAGTCCGGGCCCCTTCAACCGGAAACGTCTATCTTGAGGTCTAAGAAAGAGTTTCTAGTCTTAACGCCCTTGGCTCTAGTCAAGTTCAAGAGTCGCTCAGCTGCGGTCGAACGATTCCCACAGATCTCGGCATCAAATAGCGGTGTTGACACCCTTACGCCCGTTGAATCGACAAGCTCTCTAAGAGATCTTGGGGCAAGCGGGGAATTATTTATCCCGCTAGAGAAGATCGTATCGGTTTTCAACAATGAGGGTACCCGTCCATCATTTGGCATAGAAGTATGGTGGAGTGATCGAAAAGGGGCCACATTTACATGTCTCCAGTTAGACTTTAGCCTACCAGATGATCGCGATGAATGGTTAAAACAGATTCGTCATGCGATCAAGGTTCGGTCTAAGGCTTTTCCAGAAGAATCAACTCCGTCTGAAATAGAACAGGAGCTTAGGCGACAAGTCCAGCCCCAGCACGAGCAAGGTTGGGATGCCCAGATAGAAATGTACCCCGTCGTGCCTCGACGGCCATGTATGAGGCCGAGAGCAAACTCTGGTGAAATTAAGAAGGGCTGGCGGGACAAGTCGTCTTTCTACATAGTGCTCACCAGGAAATTCTGTTACCTCGCTCAGTTTACAAAACATTCGACGGACCAGAAATTGAATCCTGCCATGGTACGGTATGGGTTGGTGGGGTTATCGAAAGTTAACGTTATTCTGAACGATGAGAGATTCGATCTTGTCTTTCGGTAAGGCCACCCTGAGCTCTCTTGTCATATCTTATTAGCCCTATGTTTTGATAATTTTCTATGTATAGCTTGTGGCCCATGTCTAACAAACACAGACTACCTTTAGAAAAGCCCACGAAACTGGAGCTTGCTAGTCGACATCACCGGAGCATTTCGTCAAAGTTGTATAATATGGACACCTACCTTAAACCCGCTTGGCCCCTATGGACCCGCCGTGAAGTGTTCTTTATCGACGGTGAAGCACCGCGGATGCCTCTTCCTAATGGCGAAGATTATTGTGGTTTTAGAACAACTTTGGGAGCCTTCGTTGAAGGTTACTGCTGTGCCCCGGTGAATTGGACGGTCCAATGGAAGAATGTGCGGCACGCTCCTCAGTTTACTCTTCTTGCACCAACGGAACAGTCCAGCTACACTGCATATCAGCTCCTAGCTGTCTTTCGTGCCTTGCGCTTCAATGACTTTTTCAAGTCGTTGTCATTCCGCGACATTGACTTCTCCAATCTCTCCGGCGTCTTTGACAATACTTCCCGACTCGAGTCTACAATATGGCTTTCCAGAACAGGTTTGTGGAATTGCACGTATGATAATCGTGTGCCGCTTTCGAGCTAACATTCGCCAGGGAAACGTAGCCTTACTCGGGTTGAATTCGATTTAGTAGAGAACTCCTCTGTACTATTTCAAGAAATTGTAGCTCTTCTACTAGGATCAGAGTCTATACGACACATTGATCTTACCAACGTGCTTGCTAGAGAACCTGCAGCTTCAATGGAAAATGACCAATCCGTTCCGTCTCCGACAAGCCGAGCGTGCGAAGTCGTGCCGCCTATTGTACTTCTCTGGAAATCCCTACAAACTCGGTGCAATTCGATCAATCTCAGTGGAAACTTCCTAGGTGTGCCCGATGTTGCGGGTCTTTGTAAGCTTAATATCATAACCGTTCCGATTTGGATTTACTGACGGCCCTATAGCTCGAGCTTTACAGAATAGACCTGATTTTCTGAAGACATTTTCGATATCGCGATGTCACCTCGATGAGAACGCGCTCGCGTTGCTCTGGGAGGGCTTACATGAGCAGCGTTCGGCTATCGAGAATCTTGATGTATCCCACAACTCAGGCCGTATAGAGGCAGAAAAGGCCGCAGAGACACTCACAGATGCAAGTAGACTACGACACCTCAATCTTGCATATTCAGTCAAAGGAAGTTTAAATGGTCCTTTATTTCGGCCATGGAGCGCGACATCAGACTTCGAGCCATGGCATTTAGAAGAGCTGGATCTATCAGGTTGGAAGGTATAGCATTTGTAAACCATGCCTTAGATCTAACTAACGGAGTATAATAGATTAACTTCGATACCTTGTGCGGGATCATGAAGTTTATTGAGCTTGATGAGTCTCGCAGTCTGCGTCGCCTAACCCTCGAGAATTGTGGGCTATCAGGAGAAATGGCGACTGGCCTCCTGTGTCGGCTCGGCGCAGGTCGGAACATGCATCTGCTACTCAGTGAGAATCCACTTGAACTTGGTTCAACTGATTGGATCGACTTAATCCATGGTAACGAAGCGCCGAGGATGCTACACCTTGATATGATCCAATTTGAGCACGAATCGAATTTCAATCGGCTACTTAAGGCACTTGCCCATAACAAGACCATTGAGTTTTTGAGCATGGTAGGAACCGGGCCGCCAGACCGGACCAGTTCCAAGACATTGGAGCTGCTGTCTCGCTTCTTCGAACTGAACGACACCTTGCAATACCTAGATCTATCTGGATACAGCGGCAAGTTAGAAGATAGCCATATGGGTTGGGGGTTGACTGGAGCACTAGGTGGATTAAAGCAGAATATCACACTACGTCAACTTCGCGTTCGCAATCACGATATTGGCGCCGCCGAAGACGTGAGCGAGCTATGCCGGGTGCTTGCTGCGAACAAAGGTCTTGCCATGTTCGACTGTCAACAAAATAGTTTTAATCATCACCAGTTCGCGAAAATAGTTCATGCCCTGAACTATAATCACCACATCATTTCCTTCCCCCTTTCTGACGCCGATCGACAATATGCGGTTCAGCAAGAAGAGCGCTTGTTCCACAAACATCAAGCTCAACCCAGCAAATCATTCCAAACAAAAATATTAAAAGCAGCAGAAGGTCGCTTGGACGGGTTACTAAAGTGGGTAGAGGAATTTTGGAATAGTGAAGCCGAGAAAGCACGAGAGGTCCTAGGCAGGAATAGAAGCAACCCTGCAAACCATTCACTCGGGCTCAAGACGGAATACCTCGACGCCTGGGAAGATGAGAGTCTTCTATCCTGGATATTCCCGACTTCTCCGACCCGCGACAAGGGGAAAGAAACGTCCCACACGACCCAATAAGTCAAAAGGACATGCTTGGCCCGTGTTCAGCCCTACGATCGGGTGTCCGTGCTGACCTCGTGACACCTTCAAAGTACACATTTCTAAGGAATCATCAAGATTACTTAGTTCCTACTAGTAGGTAAAAACAAAAAAGGATTTCACCTCCTGGTATACCTACTTATGGAATGGTCGAATTTAACATCAAATATAGACCGGCGAGTCTTGTTCGACCTAGGCTATACGGCGCCTTTCTCCCTTTGTACGATTATTGTTGATATATTTATTTTAGTTGGAAGGGTGGCGTTTTAGATTATAAGAGATACCCAGTGAGAAACGAGGATTTTGAATTTACCTACATATTATTTCCTGCTCATATTTCATCTCGTTTGTCCGGGCGCTTCTTTAATATATGTTTCGATGGGAGCATCAACGCTACTATCAAACGACGCGAACCGCAATCTCACGACATCAGATCGCATAGGTGACGTTTGCGGGATCAAGCATCCGGATTTAGCTAATGAATCCGATTTATCCTAGTGGTTTTTGTTCAGTGCTCTCGTAAGACCGGGTTAGAGTTCCAATTAGGGCGGATGACGCGGATTATGAAGTCCAGGTACCATCAGGTTGGATTCGGTTGCGTTCCGAATTTAGTCAGACATCCATAACTATTAGTCTGTGAGGCTGAGACGACAAGTGTACGCAGCACAGTCGGCTAGCCTTGACGCGGGAGCACGAGGCTTGCTGGCTCCCACGATATTTCCTTACCCGATAAATGAGGTTCATGATGACTCTTAAGTTTCTAGGGTGTCATACAAGGGCTTGTGATGATGTTCGGGGAATATAAGCCGATTAATGACAAATGTTCGTTATTTTTGTAGGTACGTACACTGGGCGTATTCATAATTCTGGTTTGCTACCGCGTTATCAAGATGGATTATCGATTTGCTGACAGACTTTGAAGCTTGACAACTTAGTGATTTATGAGATTCATCTTAGTGGAGCTAAGGAGCAGTTGAGAACTTTGGTTCCCTTACGTCGGGGAAGGGAAGATGTTATGAGGCATTCAAGATCGCATCGGTGATTAGTCCACGAACTAGCCATCTTTCTTTAACCCAACAGTTCTCCAAACGCCGAACAATCTACTATGCCAATATGTAAAGGCATATGACAGTTCGAACTCCCAGCTACACACCCTTCGGCATTTTGACAGGGCTGGGATTCGCATCCCTCACCGTACAGTCGGGCTCCTAACCCCTTACCCGACCAAACCAACCAATCCACACGAACCGAGCCGAGCTCAACCCAAAAAAATCAAGCTCACCTCGCCTCATCTACATACGTAAGACGGTAAGCCGGGTAGGAGGGTTAGTCTGTTGGCCGACTGGTGCCTTGGGGGAAAAGAAGGAATTTCACATGTCATTGTTGTGCTTAGCGCACTCACCTCCGGCTCACCTAGCACCTGGCCCGACTTGAAACAAACAAAACTCACTTGCAAGGTTACCTAAGCAGCCAAGATACTAGATAGGAGGACCTACCTATTTCCACTATATACGAGCCGTAGTACGAAATACGAAAAAAACGAACTCGGACTCGGTCGGAAAACGAACCGATCCGAACCTGGCCCTGTACATAACGGAAAAGAGGCGTCGGCGAACGGGGATTAAAAAGCGACGTGACGTGATGGCGATCCACGGATGCACTTCAAGGATTCTCTCTTCGACGGGGACGCGAACACGTGTTTGCAAATGGAGGGACTCCGCCTGCCCCAACTGTGTCCTTTTTCTACGTTCCGTGCGCGAGAGCGTGCGCCTCCCAGCAACAGCCGGGCGACTGGGGGATGACTGGAGGGACGCGGCACAATGAGCAATTAGCTTCCTACGAGCATTACTGCCAGACTGCGTCCAAGTGCCGTTTGCCCGTTGAAGCCGGGTTTGTCAGGTTTAGTTGAAACAACAGCTATCTAAGCACCGCCAGTTATACATAGTAAATTATCTTGGATAGGATGGAACGGGGCACTCCTTTTTTTAAAGTCACATAATAGTCACTGGACCCCTACGTAGCCACCTCAGCTACGAGTTTGGTAGGCATTAAAAGGTTCAGCAGGTTAGGCAAAAAGCTGGGACGAACTAACGCAAAAATACCCCAGAAAAAAAGCGAGACGAAACGAAACAAACTAAAAAAAAAGGGAAGAAACCGAAAGGGAAAATACCATGTACTATGTAAAAGAGGAATAGGGAAATGGAGTACCTTTTCGGGGTTTCAATTTCGTATATGTAATTTTACGCAACCTACCGAATTTACACGAGCACGGCGCGCATGAGGGATCGACGCTACGCAGGTACGTGTCCGTACCTGGTTTTCCGCGGTTCTGTGGGGGGCCGTATTCTTGCATGGCTCTTCAAGCAGGGACCACAGGGCAAGAAACCCACCCAAAAAGCTTCGAACAGCGGAGAAAAGAAAGAAGAAAAAAATAGAAAGAAAGAAAAGATGTGCGCCGTGCATTGGTCAGACCCATCTTCTGGGGTGCAGGAAGGCCAAAAATACACCACATATTAGTGGAGGAATATGTATGGGAGTTTTGTTATGAAACTTGAGAGAGATACGTAGTAGAGAGAGAGTCTCCCCCCCTACCGGTTTACCCATTATAGAACGTTCTAGCGTGGCACGTTGGGAGGTAGGTACATATAACCGTCCCATCCATTAATACTACTCTGCTAAGTATTGCTACGTAGGAGGTATCCAGTATTTCAGGAACAGGACAACATAACGGATGAGTCAGACTGGCTGGGGATGTCCGATATGTCTAGTACCTGCATGAACGGGTATCACCACATACGCATACATACGTCGGAACGATGATCAACGTAAGACGGTTGGTTCGATGTCAACATATGTGTATCCATAGGACGGAGATTTGTAAGTTGCTTGAAGTGATTCTGATTTGTTGTCATCGCTATGTATTAGGTATTCTGTATTCTTCCCATCTCACATATCGTACTCGTAATCCATCGTCTAAAGTGGTATATCCGTCTGTAAACACCCACCCCGTCATAGCATCCCGGGGCCTTTCAAGAATCAGATGTAGGTTATCCGACACATGTCCCCATTAGATCCGCCTCATCCGCTCCGTAATATACATACGTCACACTTGCTTCGAACAAGCAACCAGTACCTGCTCTGAAAAGCTAGCCGGCCGTGTCCCACATAAACCACTAGGGTATAAGAAATTCATCCTGTTATTTTTTTCCCCGCTGAGCGCCAGTATGCCGTAATAGGAATGACCATAGAGGGAACATCGCAAAGAACTCCATACTTTTAAAGTGCCTTGCCTAATATTCCGTTGGTGACAACGAGTGGTCCAGATTCTATAACCCATTCTATAAATACCGCGGAAAAACAAATGAAAAAAAAAAGGAAAAAGTGAAGATTGTATGATATGTCATATGTGTATTTGGTTTAGATGAAGTTGGCCATCCATCCCATGTCACTGACTACTAGATCGTCTAGCCCAGCGTCGATCCCCGGGCGGCCAAGAAGACCGGGACTGCCCAGAGATACACCGCTATCTAGCCTAGTGACCAAGTCTGGTGAACCTAGAGCTGCCGGGGGTATGCGGCTTGCGTCCAAGTGCTTTTCGTTTTGCGTCGCAGGTTGAGGTAGACTGTATCCAGTGATTGGCGAGTTGAGATGCTTAGGTATCGTACAGGTGCCCTCGCTATTTCGGCGAGCTCCCTGAATCATGAATGGCTCGTCCTCTGTAGGGAAGGCATCCTCGCTATCGTTTTCCGAGTCGTCAAAGAAAGAGTACTGATTGAGGTCGCGAGGCTCGGGCGACGGGGCCGATACTGGAGAAACCATACTAGATGATGTTGTGGAATATGAGAAATGTGACCGAGGAACATCTAATCCGATAGTATCCATCCTAGGTAAGGCACCAATGGGCTTTGGAGCGACATCGTCATCCTTCTTGGTATCCAAAGGAACAACAATGGTCGTAGACTCATTAGTGCCGGGGCTAACCGAAGACGATGATACGCTTCGTTGAAATGGCGAGGGAGAAAGTACTGTAAATGGTGCGTTTTCGGATATTGCGGACGTCGCAAAGTTATCGTCGTCTTCGTTCTCCTCGATAATCTCGTCTGGGATTAGTAGCCTTGGCGTGTGTTCCACCACAGCCGGGGATTGAGGTCGATCGTCAGATAGGAATCTTCGGAGAGATTCCGGCGACATATCACGAGATCGAACACTCCTCCCCGATGGCGTGGTGCTTCTTGGTTCGTCATAGCGCCTGCTTTGCCTGCTTTCTTCGCCATAGTGACTCTCAACCTCTGTTTCACTACCAGCATCGCTATCCTGGTTGCAACCCTTCTTCCGTCCCAAGAACCGTCGAGCGGCGCTAGTCCAGCTAGGTGCGGGCGAAAGAGAACGGGCTGATCGTTTGTGAACAAGTGACATTGCTGGTTGAGGTGAAGATCCAACACGAAGGTCCGGAAGGCTGGGTACTGGGGGAGCTGGTCTAGGGGTCATGAATTTGTCCCTTGGCTCCATCGTCCTGAAATCAGCAATCCTAAGAGAATTCATTGATGCACTTCGTATTCTTGATAGACGCTCCGAGGGAACGTCTAGAGTGTTGACAGTTTGGCCAGGAAGATAAGGGCATGCATTCGTCGTGGGCATGGAAGGGTCATATGTCTCGGTTGAACCATCCAATTCATACTTATAAATATTAGCGAAAGATAAGATGTCTAGGACTCGAAATGATTTACTCACATAATAGTAATATGTCTGACCCATCTTCAGTCCTCCACTTCGTTTTTGACTCGTGATTTGGTCGCCGTCGCAGATGATGTCGTTAAAGGTATGGCAGCCTCGCCATTCGCTTCGAGCTCGTTTAGCGTCACGCTCCATAGGATGGTATTTCGAGAAGTTGTCCCACGATCCAAGAAGTCTGACTGATGATACAGAAGGGTGGGTTTGACTGCATACGTGGTAAGCTTCCTTGTCGAGATCAAGTTCCACAGGTGGGTAGGGCGGTCGATGAATAATAAGTAAACGGAGAGGATGCGATGTGTGATGTGGTGACAACATACACATACATATGTCCACCAGCTCAGAGACGCAATGGGTGACGAAAGCAGGGGTGTGTGGAAATGAACCCACTACTCGGAGTACTTTTGGAATGGGAGCATGGGTATGCAAGTGGATAGTGGGTGTAAGTGGATTGTAAGCGGGCTAAGCTGCTAAGGTGACTGGGTGACGGCTGTGGTGACTACCTAGAGCGCTTGCTTTTTGGGACGATATGGGCAGTATGGGCATGGATCTGACAGGAATAGTGGCTGGCTGCCCTCTCTCCGTGCTCTGATGCCTGACAATGATCCTCGTTCCCCAGCTAGGTTACGAGCTGTAAGCACTATGACAGGGCTGACAGGGAGGACGACAGGGTGTGTGCAAATTCCACCCTTCAGCCACTCTGCCAGTGTTGTTTGTTGGCAGCTAAACTCCTTAGGAGCTTAGGCAATGTCTGACTTTTTCGCGTGGAACCCCTGCTCGGAGATGATATGCTGGATTTGACAATCTTGGGATCCTAGCAGATCGGAAATTCTAGAATACCTGGCAATGAAGTTTTATGAGGTCTTATGCTGTGATACCTCAAAGTGCCGTTCCCGCTTAATCTGTTTGATCGAATAGGGAAACGCCTCGATGCTAATTGCCGTGCCGATGGGGGAAAAGTACATAAAGGGAGTGTTATAGCGAGCGTGATGGCGGTATACACGGGAAGCGACAGGGTCGAAGACCAAATGAGAGCGCCAGGCTAGCTGGATATGGTTTCGATAAAATAATGCAAAAATGAATGGAACTCACAGCATAAAAGTAAAGAGTGTCGTGGTGGGATCCATGATGAATGGAAGAATCGTATTCGACGTTAAGAGGCGGGATTGAGCCGATATTATATGGCCGATCGACACGGCAACAAGCTAGGGATATTATATTATAAATAACAATAATTGCCGCCGCTTTCGTTCTCAAGTAAGAAGCATGGATCGATCTCTGTTCGCAATGTTTCGACAGACGCAGGAACGCAGCGTGCAATGCAACTCTTTCTCTTCAAGCTTGGGCGGATTGGAGGAATTGGCCAATAGCAATGGCGGATGGGGGCTCACGGAAGCGCCGTAAAATCGTGTTTGCAAAGCGGGCGGCGCTTAAAACAGGTCAAGCGAGATTTGGGATCCAACGGTCTCAGGGTCTCAAGGCTTTAGGGTCTTAGGGTCCAAAGGTCGCGTATGAGAGAGACCACTTCTCTCACGTTGTCGGTAGTAGCTATATGCGAATACAACAGCACCAATCTAGCGAATGGAAAGGCAGTAGTTATAGGTAGACGGAAGCAGACAAAAGATGAAGCTCGTCGCAAGGAGGAGGTGTCGGTGCTAGAAAGCTTCAGGTAAAGTCTGAAATTAGGAGGGACCTGAAAGGCTGAAACCCGTTCACGATAATTTAGCTTTTAGCTAGACAGCTAGGTATTAGCTCTTAGCTCTTAGCTCCTAGCTCGAGGCGTTATTCTAGACCTAAAACCGAGCAAAGTTGCGGGAGAGAGGCTGCGATGAAAGTAGATCAGACCTGAGTCTCCCTTTTTCGTCAATGATGAATGCGCCAAATGCGGGCCTGTTTGAGAAGAGGCGGCTTAGGACGAGACGAGAGGCTAAGCAATACTATTGTCCTATGCTCTGTTACTAGATCCATGATGCACACACTTCCAAGAAATCGGTTTGAACAAGATCACTGGATATCCGAGAGGGATGCAATCTGTATATCGGTATAATTGAGGGGGACATTCAAGGGGGGGCGAAGGAAATGACGACAGTTTGATGGGATAGCGAACGCTGATCTTCCCCGACAAAGGGCATTAATTGTGCCGAAAAGGGAAAAGGGCATCCCTGAGACTCGATGTGATTGGTCAATCTCGTATAATAGGTTTACGTAGCTGAGTTTTAGTACGTGTATAGTAGGTACCTGAATCTGCTGAATATCCGCATGCGACTTAGATAGGACATACTATTGCATCTACTACATCTATAATCTAATCTATAATCTATTATGTACATGCATCTAAGCACAAGCACAAGCACTCGGTCTGTAAGTAATAATGTGGATTCTGTGAATATCCCCGAAATCGTACTACACTTGTACCATTTCAGGAACATGACACCTTAAACATTCCGTATGCAAGTGATACCAAGGTACTCCTCGACCATTGTTTTATTACGCTGCTGTGGTTACCTAGTTTTAGCAGTAAGGCAGGTACATATAACCGAATATTGTCAAATTCAATTTGTACAGATAGGGATATGCATGTTTCGGCATTCTGCATGTGGAGTCGGCGGCCGCTAACATGAACACGTTCTAGCAGAAGTTCTACTAGGTATGTACTAACAACGATTCTACATAGTAGTAACGAGATGCTTATTACGTAATAAGGGGTGCTTCCAAATTGTGGCTTGCATAAAAGCTAATGGCGGTACCATGCAACTGGTACCTACGCTAAACCCAATTTCGACTGGTTTTACAGAGTCTCTGAGCTTGAGCTTACAAGTTACAACCTGCTAGCAGATTTCTCTAATGAAATTTGAACCTATCACAACCAATTCACGACATCAGGTCAACTACCTTTCAGACTTAAGCAAGTTTCAGAATGTTATACAATGAACAAATGACAGCCTTGCTCGCTTGAATATGTCAACGCCATCGTTGTTTACTGATATGTCCTTCTCATCCCATTGGTCCATTCGTTTGCATATATGTATGCCAACAAATGCATACTACATATTGCTGCAACATAGTAAATCGTCACTAGACCTCGAATCACATTGCTTTTTCTCTCAAGTACATCGCAGAGTTGAGGCAACCAGGAACAACCCGGCAAAATGAGACAATAGATCCATTCGGTAGTCAATCTAGCTCAGCTCGAGTCATTTTCGCAATTTGGAAAACATTTTTTTTCATATCATATCAATTTACATGGACCCATTCGTTCACGACAAACGTTGAAGAAAAAGCAACGTCGGCGAACTTGGACATAATTTCCATTTAGATTTCAATGTCGCACGCGTCCATACCACGCTCCCTTCACGCGTAACACTTAAAACTTGGCGATATGATGACGAGAATTCGATATATGCGGGTCCTGGCAGGGAGTCACGATTAGCCAGGTACTCACATGAACAATAATTACGGTGAGCCCGGGTTTCGGCATGAAGAGATCAGGGGTCTTGTAAAGTGACAGCTGTGGCTTGCATTATGGCTTAAGCCAAAAGCTGGTATAATCGTCAGGGACAGCAAAAGGCCCAGTAGAGCTGAATCGCAGACTAGGAGAATTTCTGCTTGTTTCTTACTAGTACCTAGATTTCTTCAGAGGCGGAGAGGGCAGAGGGTAGACGGCGACCGGCTCAACATCACGATCTACATACATGCTAAAAGCCGGCTCAGCTTGTGTGTAACCCTAGACGAGGCGCCGCTTCTGGAAGCTCGCTAAGCTTAGTGCCCAAGTTGCCGGGCCAGCGGCGTGATGGTATTCGATAATATTCGACACTTCATCACGCCCTGATCCCAGTTCAACAAGATCCCGACGCTAATATGATGGGGCTTCCCCAGGTACCACCCTCGGCGATTACTACTCTGTGGCATGCCCTCTTGTGGTCCTTTGTGGTCATTTGACCCAAGAGACGATACCCATTCTCCGAAGGATGTCTCAGCTCCGCTAGTGTCAACATTGTTCTTCAAAACTCTCGAGCCAATGACGAATATCAGCAATGGTGCCAACTTGGCGTGGGGGTGAATTCTTGATGCCTAGTTGTGAAAGCAAATTTACACCTACTAGGTATGTCATGATTCATCAACGCGAACGAGTCTTCGGCTCTCGCGACGTCGCCCTATCTCCGGAGTGGCCGTACTAAAAGTTGGCCAAATTTCTTTGGTCGCACCTTCGCGAGTCTGGCCCAGCTAACGCCAGGCGCTGACGTGGTTGTAAACATTGCTTCTTCTACATAGATGCATGAGGCGTCCTGTCAACAGTGCAGTATTAGCTCGGAATCTTGGGTTGGAAGAGATGCACTTTGGTCCTTCGTTTTCTTCATGCAGGCACCATCCGTCGTCTCCGTCCTGGTCAGCATCGATCATAGCCTATAATCTGACATAGATCCCCCTCTAGCTGAAAGCCAGCCCCGTCTTCAAATCCACCATCTACGTTGGTCTCATTAAATGAAGATTACCAATAGCTGGTGAGTCAAGGACTTTGCCTCTTTGCGCCTAGGTTCATACCGAAGCACCATATATCGAACTACATCGTTAGTATCGTACGTTGCTTACAGCACGCCTAGGTAGATATAAGCACTAAAAACGAAGCGTTCTAACTAGAGCGAGCTTTAAAATCCAGAGTCGTCTAGCTCTTGCTGGAGGATTTGCCTCAGCGGTGGTCGAACAACTTGACATTCCTACCATCAGCAATAGACATCGCGGAGCTGAATCTCATGATTCATGCGTCCACGCAGACACGCATCTATAACGATGCTTATTCGGATCCTGTCTTCCGATACTTCGTCTCAAGTCTGTGGGAAATCCGAATGTATGCCGTCGTATTTGATATTTTCTCACCCGATCGTTCCTACGGTTGAAGTTGCTAGGAATATCTTGTCCATTGTGCCCTAGATGAAATCCTTCCTTTTCCCCAGTCTTACGCGGCCTTGATGCTGAGGCTATCAAAGGCGTCCAGCAGTGACCTAACAGAAGGCCAGTCCCGCGCATCCTACAACAGATTGATGTGGTTGCGATAGCAGTGAGATTATGGAATGCTGCAATGCCCGTCTAGAACCCAACATCCCAAACGTTTGCTGTGTTCATAGGTTTCAGTAATTCATCATTATAAGGATTCGAGCTCAGGGAACATAGTTGCGGGACACGATGACTACCCAGCACTTTATTTCCCCGTAAAATATTACTCTATCTCTACGGCGGCCCCTAGCCTAGGAAGTATCTCATTGAAGGCTGTTGTAGGACTTTACACTAGCTCTCAACATGACACGTACGGAGCTACAGCCACAACGATGGTAAATTTTGTGTTCTTCACTGAGGATCTGCTTCTACTGTTACTGCCGAGGTGTTACTAAACTGTATATAGGTAAATGTATGCTAAATTCATGAGATCAAGTAGGCGACACCGCATTGTCTACGATTCTGCCGGATTCGTAAAACCAATCCTGATACAGCATACCATTATTGCACTTGTCATAGATGTATATAATGTAAGGTTTAGATAGAATCATCGATACCCCTTGATTCGAGGCAGCTTCATGTGATCGAATCAACTAAATCAAAATGAACATTTTGGTAATGCCTATTTCTTGCTGAAGCTCCCGTCTGACGCTCAAGGCTCGTACAGCCGGAGTATCATTTGATTTGTATAGAAAAGCCAGCAAAGTAGATTCGAAAAAGTGTTTCTAGTTTTAGTATATAATATCTTTCAGTTGATAGTATCTGACGAAGGCAAGCAGTGCAAGGTAGATGATACCTACCTACATTATAGTCCTACTAAATAATCTCCTGTACAGCCCTCCGCATATGAGATCAGATACACTCGAATGTAAGTACGCGAATTATTACGACGACGGCCGATATCAATGCTGGAAATTTCCTATCTTAGGTAACCGTCTATGCCAGAGATTCCCTAGTGGTACACCAAGTGAACTAGTACAATCCTCGCCCTTTACTATAGATATAACAAGTTTATACAGTTTCTCAAAACGTGAGATGGCATCACCCTCCAAGGTTTTTCTATCAAACCAGCACTACCTGGCGTGGGGACTTTGTGAAATGCAATTACATCTGTTAGGTGCTGAACCATGCCATCTCAATCGTCCTCGCGTACATAGCCAATATCCAAGCACCTTATAGTAGGGTCATCTATCTTATTCGTGGCACTCAAAATCTTCCATTATTGTTCGCTACGCTGGAATTTCGATGAGACTCACGCTTCATCGCTATACATACAAGGTAGGTAGTCGTAATTCATTTCCCTGAGAGGGCTCCATAACTGGGCAATTACTGTCACGATAGCACTACTGGTGAAGTAATACCAGCCTCTCACGTAGTAGATTCCACACTCTGTGTAGTATAGCGACGTAGTTCTTGTTTCTGACGTTAAAGTGTAGCAGGTTCGTTTACTCGGCTAAGTAATGTTGTACATACCTTGGATTAAGTCGAAGGCATCAGTTGCGCCAGGCACTAATAATTTTCCAATACTATATACTCGAAGAGGCCGAGTGAATCTTCTACTTCTTTCCGCACTACGTTGTATCTGAAACTTGAAGTTTTGTCCTTATTTCCCTGACGCGCCTGAGCTTGATTCGGAGCTAAGGGGCACGTTACCCCTGAATACTCTTTTCGAACGACGAGGACGCTATGATAGTGCCTCTCATGAAATAAACATCGTTTACACAAGCCACGCACCGCGATGAGCTTGTTGGTAAAAGGAGTTGTTTTTAGATCCCACTACATAGATACAAATACTAAGCCGTGTGAATGTTTAGGAATACATCTGAAAATTATGCCTGGGCATTCTTTCGATATCCGTCTTCGCTAAGTAGTCGACGACTTATGTTTATCTAAGGCCTTTAGTATGCTGCCACGCTACTAGCAATTCCTTCATTTTACGCTTAATTCCCTACCTACCTCCTTGGGTACTAAGAAATTTTACTCAAGACAGTTGTGTTGGCTCTTGTCTTCGTAAACCGACCCCTTTCTCCTTAGAAGGAGGCTCAACGAAACACTTCACATAATATTGGCGATATATACAGCACATACATTTCAAATAATCCTCAAACTGGGTCTATACCTATACATGATCATAAGATAGAATTATATTGTCGGTCAAGGCAGTGGATAGTCAACTAATCCTATGGCTGGAGTAGAGAAACCCAAACATTAACCATAATTAGTACCAGAACACCGTCTCTTACCCATGAGATATGTTACAAAATCAAACATCTTCATATCGAGATACCTAAGACTCCTCAAGACGAATGAAACTTTCATATGAAACGATAGTCCTGGTTCGACGAAACCACCGGAAGTCTTCAATAACATACACCCTGTATTGAATTACGTACGTCACAAATAATTAGGAGACAAATCTCATATCCAGATAATTAACACCTTGTCTACCGTACATGCATCCCCCATTAGGGAGCGCCCTGATAAATCAACCCATATGATACTAACTCGCAGCCGACACGGAGCCAACGCCCCGAACTCCATAGGTAGCCCTAATATGAGGAGACACTCGACAACACCACCTTTGCCACATCATTCCAACCCCTCGAACGACACCCACAAGCCGCCCACCCACCTCACAAAAACACGCGCCGCTCATCCCATCTTCCCAGGAAGGGGACACTCCTAAATCAAGCGGTCTTCCTAGCCCCCGGCGCCGGCGGGCCCCGCGGGTCCCGCAAGCGTCCGAAAGCGCCGAGCAGCGTAGCCCACCTCAGCACATTCAGCGCCGCACTAACGCCCACGCCGCCCCAAAGCATCGCATTCCAGCTGCTCGTATCCCAGAACACGTCGGGGCCGACACCCCTGTAACACGCGTGTACGTGGCCGTAGTCCGCGAGCGCGACGGCGACGAGGTACCATTTAGCTATGCTCGCGTGGCTGGTCCAAGAGCATAGGACGGCGACGGCGGCGAGAAGCAGGTACACGTTGGTGAGCTGGAGGAGGAGCACGAGCGCTTGGGGAGGCACGGCGTCCGCGGAGAAGGGCGGGGCTTGCGCGGCGAAGAAGGCGGTTGGGTTTTCGAGACTATCTTTGTACGCCCACACACTAAAAAAGGGAAGGCTGTTTGTTAGTTACTAAGGCAATTTCAAGCTGTTCATTTTATTCCTCGTGCGCGGGGGTTGTAAAACGATCAACATATGATATATAATGCGACGCGAGGCTACGGTGACGGTCGCTCATAGGGAGCCGGAGGTACGTACAGCATGGCGGGCTCGACCACGCCGAAGACGATCCGCGGGATAACGGGGAGGGAGCTTTTCGCCATTGTTTTTAACTGATCGGGCGAGTCTTAACGCCTACGTAGAACGACGAATCCGGATAAGGAGTAATAAGATGAAATGGAATGAGAGAGGATGAGCCGAAGTCGTGTTTTCGGCGCATTCATTTCTCGCTGGCTTCGTTTATTTCAGCTCTGTGCCACATCCCATGTGGGGAGATTGGGGGACATGCAGGTAGGCACCATCCTCCCTTGAGCGCAAAGCAAGGGATTACCGATATTATTTGATGTTATATTTGGACAGGATTCAAGTTGATTTAAAAAATGTTTGTAAATCCCCCCCATGTTGGACCTAATGTTAGCAGCCGTAAGGATCTCGAGAATAACCACCGTCGTTTCCAATCCAATGAACCATTATCATATAAGTTACGAGATAATGTAAGGCGCGAGTTTTTCAAGCGAATGTTGAGTGGTATTATTAATTAAGAGGAGCTATGGCAAAGACAATGCCAGAGTCAAGTGCCATGCATACAATTTTCCCTAACATCCAACACTAACGCCATCCACTTTCCTCCACACCACTTGAATCGGCTCTTCGCCTACCGCATCAATCGTGTCGAGTAATATGTAGGACCTGGTGTTGATTCAAACACGTAAAGGCATGATGTTTTACAAGGCGTGAGGTAAGAAACTCAGCCCGGTACCCTTAGTAGCCCAGCCGAGCCAGAGTGGTAGACTCAAAAGAAACGCCCATCCCAATGCTCCCTGTGTATAGGTTTCATGTCACTTCAACCTTCGATCCAGAATACCCCGTCGCGCCTCAGATAATAAAACAGTAAACGTCCCTAGGATGATACAGCGAATGTGTGCACCAAATCGGTGCAAATGGGTGGACGAAGCGTCTATTGGGCTTTCTCGGATGCTTTCTTAGCCTCCGCTTCCACGAATTCCTGGGCCTTGGTCCTCGATCGTTCGTACTTCAGCGAAGTGTCGCCGTGCCACATGGTTCCCAACAGCTTGTCCCAGAAAGTGAAGAAAGGCTGAGAGAAATTGGTCTTGATACCCCAGCTTTGGTGGTGGATATCATGGTAAGCTGCGTTGTTCGAGGTCATGTGCTGAAGAGGGTCCCAGGGCAAGGCGTATCCACAATGATCATCGACCGTCTTGATTGAAGACATAACCCAGAAAAATATCCCTTGTCTAGGAGTCATGAAGGCGACCTTGTACGCAAGTCCGGCACCCGCCGTGTCAAGGAGGAAACCCTCGAACGGATGATTATATAAGGCTCCATAAGCATACGGAACGTAAAGTCGGTGATGTCTTGAGTGGAACGTGGCTATAAAGGTGTTAGTCGCTGTTTTCTACTAATACTACTACCATAGTCAAAAGAGGTTAGGAACACGAACTGTAAAGCCATTTATTCTGGTGCATTATGCGGTGAAGGAAGTATTGCCAGGTATCGAGGACGGTAACGGCGAGGAACAATTGCATGGCTGGGATAATGCCCCAGTAGATAGCCTTGGCGACCAGGAGTTCCCAAGTGGCAAAAGTTGGTACCGCGGTTCCATCTGATCCGGCAAGCTCGGTGAGGAAAGGATAGTGTCCACCGGCGAGGACGCCAGCTAAGAGCGGGTGAGAAACGGCCATATTCTTAGACACGGAGGCGGCGTTGATTCCGAGAATGCCTAACATAGTGGGAAGAGCTCTCTGCGCCACGCGAACCCTCGTAGCCCAGACAGCAACGTCGTACTCCTCCATACCCGTATACTGCGGCGGGTCGGTCATGCCCAGAACAAAGGACATGACGGCCTGAATGACCTGTTGGAAGAGGACATCGCGTAGAACTTCGTATCGCGAGGCTTTATTGCGCTGGGCGATTTCGGCGGGAGTATGTAAGCGATATTGCGGAAATAGGTCCCAGGTGTCGATGATGTGGAAGAAGATGGAGATAACCCAGTACGCGAGGGTTGGCGCGATAATTGATAGATAGAAGTCGGGCAGCCACGAGATCAAGTCTGGTGCCACGACGACGTTATACGCCGGGAGCGGCGGGAGGTCCGTGATGGACGTCATGTTCGTAGCCATGACGGGGTTTGCCAGGCGCGGGAGTTATTAGATTTGGTGTATTATTAGAAAAAGCCTAAAAGGAATAACGGTAGTACTGGGTGATGGAATAGTGGCGGGGAGAGTGGAAGTATAAAAGGATCGTCGCGATGAAAAGGTGAAAAAGTAAGGAGTGTGAAATAGTTAGATAAGCTGGTGAAGGTTCAAGGTTTAGGGAGGTGAATTATGTATGTATTTGAGGAATAGGATAAAGTTTTGGCGCGTTCGAGTCGCAAATGCCAATTGGGCCCTCACCTGTGCTTAGTGGCAGCTAAGTGGTCCGTCATCATCTCATTGTCAGTGGATTTTTTGGGTTTTAAGTGGGACCCCCTTTTTATCAATTTATCACTTTTATCAATCTCGGCTGCCCGCCATCCGTCAATGTCCGAGATCACCTGTTTCTGCGCCGAATTGTCGGCCTTCGTACGTATAATGCAATCGGTAATCTCATAATTGTTGTACGGATGACGACTGAGGCCTCCGAATCAAGTTGGAGAGTCTCGAGAAATTAGAAACAGATAAAATAGATTGATGGCTTCAATGGGACTAAGGTTAAGCTCACGAATTCCGAGTGCCTTATACCGGATGTACTAATAAGACTTTTAAGGCTGGATTTAGCTCCAATGGATCTGCATAATACACAATTTCTCCAGGTTGACACATACTGGTATCTACAAAACCAACAAACATGAATTCCATCCATGGATGCCTAGGTCTTAAATTAATTCAGGTGCCTGGCAAGGCGGGCTATTAAACATTGAAGCTGTGCCTCTCTCCAAGACTCATAGCCTATAGGAAATATTATATGCATGTGATAATTTCAAATTGATGTAGGAACCAACTGCCCGGAAATGTAGCAAACGAGTCGTGGCGGAATACCTCGATCCTAACCGGGGTGTATGCAATAATCGATTCGCCTTACATAATAACATAATATTATGTCGAGGTAGGTACCTAGTACATACACGACCCACCTTTGACCTATCGATTTCTTCGTGGAAAAAATACGGAGCAAAAAATTCTAGATCTGATCGAGGCACCAAACTAGGTTTAGCTCCGTCGCCCCTCCATTTGCAGTCTCCCACTTTCCTGCCCAAAAATTTGAGGGTCTCTTCCTCCAGTGGAAAATCTGCCCCTCATTATCCGTCGCAAAAGCCGTCTTTCTTTTTTTCCTGCTACTCGACAATTTTCCATCGTCAATCTTCGACAATTCTCATCACCTCCTTGTCTATCGTTCACCAGATTTCTCTGTACCCACCGTCAACATGATTATTTTCAGAGTATGTTATTGACCTATAGTGCGTTGTTGAGGACGTCGTGAAATATTGTGCTAAGAACCCCTCTTTTATAGGATGCTCTTACTGAGTCGAAGGACGAGCTCCTGTCCGACTCCTTCAAGTTGAAGGAGGTCGATGGGATCGCCTACGAAGCCGACTGTGCTATGATTGAAATCGGCGCCGTCGATGTTGGTACGTCTATAGTCATTGGACTATATGATTTTAGAAGCCCAATATGAGAAATCTAATGCTGACGGGTTTGCGCAGACACTGGTGCCAATGCCTCGGCCGAGGAGGCTGACGAGGGTATCGACGATTCCGCTCAGAAGGTCAACAACATCATCCATTCCTTCCGTCTTCAGCCTACCAGCTTCGACAAGGCCTCATACTTGTCTTATCTCAAGGGTAAGATATATTTTCCCGTGTTCATATCCTAGAAAAAGAGTTGATGGTGGAGGGATATAAACTAAGCATCGCGTGTATAGGTTACATGAAGAGACTCGCCAAGCACCTGAAGGACAGTGGCAAATCCGAGGAGGAGATCAAGGATTTCCAGACCAAGGCTCAGGGTTTCGCCAAGAAGATCGTTAGCAACTTCAAGGACTACGAGTTTTACACTGGTGAGAGCATGGATGTTGACGGAATGTGAGTCTCCCTTATCCTATGCAATGAAATAATGACTTGCATACTAACATCTAAATCACAGGGTTGTCCTCCTGAACTACCGCGAGGATGGTGTCACCCCCTATGTCACTATCTGGAAGCACGGTCTGGATGAGATGAAGGTCTAAGGGCCTAACTACTAGGACAGGAAAACGTCTCATGAATGCTATACACACGACTTGCACCCATACTAAACGACTTGACGCCCTTTTCTCTCTCTCTGTCACGGAATGCGAAACTTAGGCTTTCACATAGATTCGTTCTCATACGAACTCTACTCGGCGCATTTTGCGGCCCATGCCTAAGTCCAGGAAAAATACCAATTTATTGCCAATACCTGCAAAAATCCCAGAGCAAATACATCAAGTGACCCGAATATGTGATTCTATACTATTTTCTCTTACTCCGAGCGCTAGTAAATAATGCATCTAGACCATTCGTAGCATCCTTTATCTCAGTTGAACCTTGGTCTCGTACCTATCGGGATAGGGGGCGGCGCCGGGGCGCTCGTCTCATTACTCGTTCCGGGTAGCAGAGGAGGCTTCTTCTTCGTCGGCGGTGGAGGGGGCGGCTTCTTTCCGGCAGTCACTGAAATTTGGCCCATTGGTGACGATGATGCTCCTTGCCCATTCTGCCCATTGTTCTCAAACATGCCAAATCGTTGCCCTAACCCGTTTGCCGTGTTCACTCCGGATGCCACTTGATCTCCATGCCTCTGATTGAAATTATGTGCTGTGCTGGCGGCTGCCTTCGCGTCCGAGAACGACACGGACGTAGGGTCTTTCTTGAACTTCGCCGCCGTCTTCAGCGCTGCCTGCTTCTCCGCCCACGTCGTGCCCTTCGTCGGGACCGATGGGGATGGGGCCGGGCCTGAATCCGCTGCAGGCTCTGGTGGCTTGGGAGACCCGCTGCCAAAGCGAGAGAAGCGGTTCTGTAGCTCGCTCAACCGCCCGCTAGACGTTTTTGTCGTTGTCGTCGACGACCCCGCGGATGGCGAATTGCTGCCCGAACGGTTAGGAGGCGGCGGCGGAGCAGCCTTCCCTCCGATTCCTAGGCCTGGTACCGAAATGCCCGCGGCACCTAACCGGTTGATGGCTCCCTGGTTCAGGTAGGGAGATTGGCGAGCGATCGAAGCGGGGCTTTGTGTCTGCACTGGAGACGTGTTTCCGCTTCGTGGCGGGAGTCGAGGGGGGAGCGAGGGCGGACCACTCGGTTTTGACGAGGATGGAGGGGGGATGAGGGGGCTGGCTTTTCGTCCGGGTGGCGGTGGGAGATGCGATGTCGATAGTCCCGTGGTGTCGACTTGGTATGGTTTTGCTTCTATAGGAGACTCTTCGGTCTGCTGGACGCCGTAGGTCTGTCCGGCGTGTGGTTGATGTTGCGGTGTGGCCGACGCTGGACTACGAGCCCCGGCTCCGACGTGCTTCGGGGGAGGACCGAAGGACGACGGATCACGTAGTGATGTTATCGGGGTGGCAGTGTGGCTGCTGGGAGTACGAGAAGATGAATTATCTCCACGGCCGACAAGACCTTTCTGTTGATTGTTAGCATATGCAGGGCGGTATGGTTCGAAGACGCCTAACTGTGTAGACGATGTGCTTTTACCATTTGATCCTTGATGGATGTCCCTTCTTTCTCAGGGTGCCAGCCATGTTTGACGATACCTTTCCAGTCTGTCATCCTGGCGTTTCCCAATTACCTTCGAAGATAGACGGTGAAGAAATGTGTACATTCTCACGATAGCTTGACATTTTGTTAAATGATTCGTAAGTGTTCGGTGTACGTAGATACATGATATGGGTCTAGGTCAATTGGTATGACGTAGGACGGCGCCACAAGTGTTTGAAAGGGGGTGACTGCCGGATGAGTGAGGAATCTTGGATGAGCCACGTGAGCCACAGTGTCGCGGCTGAGCGCCTCATTTAATTTCAGCCCGGGACGTTCCGTCTTTTTCACCCCACCACCAAACCCAAATATTGACTTATCGATATATCAAATCGCGTCGCGTCAAACGCTGCCGCCCATAAACCAATTAGTGTAATTACCACCAATTACCGAATTAAGTCCCCAGCATTCTGCGAACGACGGCGGTGGACGGGACAACGAGATTAACGATGCGCCCATCATGACGTCCTCCAATTCAGATACCGAGCTTTTGACGGAGCATTTCGGATATCCGCCTGTCGTCAGTATCCCTCTCATCTCCCAGCGCATATTTTCGATCCGAAGCCGATCCAATACTAACTCGCAAATCTGGGATACTGTAGAGTTTGATCGACGACATAATTAACAGCATAAATATCCTCGCCGAGCGCGCCCTCAACAGCGTCGAGCAAGGACTTCTCAACGCCCCCCCGGCCACCCTCGGTTTCAAGCCGCCCAAAGCCTCCCGGGGCAACGGAGGCGATGCGCAGAAGCAGGCGGTAGACCCGGCCGAGGCGGCCAAGAACGAGATCGAGTCCGGCACGCACCAGCTCGAGACGCTCCTCTGCGCCAGCATCGACCGCAACTTCGACAAGTTCGAGATCTACGTGCTGCGCAACATCCTGTGCGTGCGCGAGCGCGACGTTATGCACTGGATGCGACTCTCCCACTACGACGGCTTAGATTTCTCAGCCGTTACATCGGGAGGCTCCCAATCAAGTACGCTTGCAACAAACACAAACCTACCTACCTACTACTGAGATACCCAGCTACGTGAAAAAGCAAAGAGAAAAACAGTCCGCTAACCAAGGCGAACCCAGATACCCCCTCCCTCGACACGATCAACCACCTCCGGCGCAAGCTGCGTGAGAGCATGCGCCTGAACGCCCTCCTCACCGCCGAGCGCGCGCGCAACGAAGCCATGCTCGCAGACCTGCAATCCCTCGTCGGGCTATCCCCTCCGCGCGTCAAAACCGAGAAGACGTCCCCCTCGCAACCGCAACCGCTTCCCCCGACCAAGAGCCCCTTCGCCTTCCTACACGACAAAGGATCCCTCACAGACGGCGGCTCCGAAGCGCCGCTGAGCACAACAACAGCCTTCACCCTATCGCAGATGCAAGCCCTGCGCGCGCTCTCCACATCCCTGCGGAACCTAGCGCCGGATCTGCAACCCTCGTCTACCTCCGCCGACGCTATGGACGTCGATAACGACGAGAGCGGTGGTAATAGTAGGAGTAGTGAAAGAAAGACCTGGCGCCGCGAACGCCTCGAGTACGTCGAGGGCGCGACGAGGCGCTACCTGGAGAACGTGGAGGGCCTGGAGCTGGGCAAGCACGGCGAGGTGCGCGACGGCGAGTGGCAGGGCGAGGGCCGCGGGCTGGCGAGGGACGAGGTCGGCGGCTTGGAGTCCGTCGTCACGTTGCTAGGCGGTGGGCCTGCGGAAAGCGGTACGACTCCTGCTGGACCGTCGACGGCGGCGGCGAGGGGTGATCGGATGGACGAATCATGATGAAAAAAGAAGGGAAAAACACCTCTATTCGAGTAAAGTAAGGACTGTCTTGTGTGCGTATCCTTGGTTTGCTTCTGTTCTTTGTTCCAATACCTAGGAGAGGGGAGGGGAGGGAAGGAAAGGAGTTCCGGAGTTCGCCTTGGGAGTTTTGAGGTTTTCTATTTTACACACATCTACCGTACGTTCGTAGAAATCGTGCCATTGAGAGTGATGGAATTGAATTCGTTCATGGTTCATGTTCTACATATCCGGGCAATTTGCAACCGGATTCGAGAGTCTATATGCCGCTTTCTTATGCTGAGATTACATCAATCTTCCGCTACACGAGATACCTAGTGCGTATATCCTCTAGGCCGTTCGCCCGGGAACTTGCTCATGTCCAGAAGCCCGTTTGCCGAAGCTATGTGCCAGAACGTATGGTCCCAGAACTCGGCCTTCTCCACCTCGCCGTTCTTATACCCCGTTTCGAACAAACTACTCGCAGTCTCGGCCAGGTATCTCGCTGCTTTAGTATTGCCCTTCTGGAGAAGCGCGAGTAGTACCTTCACTTGCGTTTTTAGCGGGATGATAAGGCCGGCCTTCGTGAGTTTAGTATAATAAACGAGCGACCTCTCGGGCAGGCCGGCCTCGGTGTATCCACGAACGACGTTGTCGTAGAGGACGATATCTTGGTCGTCGTAGTCGAACACACGTCGGCGCTGCAGCAGACTATCGACGGCCTTGATGTCTGGTGGCTTTATTGAGAAGTAGTAATCGACGATCATCGTATAGATATGCGGTGTTAGTTCAAGGCCCTGGTCCCATAGGTGTGAGAGCACATGCCTCACGGCGTCCTTGGCTGTGTTGCTCCCCTGGAGTAGGAGATATATTATCTTGCCATAGTTCTGTACGTTAGTCTCCAGCCCAGCCTTTTCCATGCCCTCCAACACGCTCCTCACTGCTCTGGACTCGGCCTCGGCGTCGCCCGGCGGAATTTGCCTGAAGGCCGCATCGATCAGGATCGTGAACGTTGCCGCGTCAGCATTCACGCCGCGCTTTTCCATCGTGACAAGGAGTTCCCGTACATCCGCGGCACGCCCGTCTTGAATATAGCGCTGGAGCAAGGGGTTAAAGGTAAAGATGTCTGGTTCAAGCCCCTTTTCCTCGGCCCACTCCAACAGCTTTTCGGCCTCCGTGACTAGATTTTGGCGCAAAAGCCCCGAAAGAACGGCATTGATAGGCTCGATAGTCGGCTTGACGGCCTTAGCGTTCTCGTCTTTCGAGCTCTGATCCCACATCCATACCATCTCCCGCAAGGCCTGCAGAGAGCCTGAAACATCACCACATCGTATTAATCCGGAGACGCGAGTTGTCCATAGCTTCATATCTAGCTTCATTTCGGACGCGACAAGTTTCTTCCAGACGTTGTTGATACCGTTAAGATTGCGGGCCATCTTACAACCGTCGAGCATGACGTTCCATGTTTTCAGGGTCGGCCTGATTCCGACCTGGCGTAAAGTAATTAAAACGTTTATGGCCTTCTCAGGCTGGTTCAATGCCATCTGTGTGTAGATGAAAAGATCAAAGACGTCGGGGTAATTTTTAAGCTCCTTAGCCCGAGCCGCCGAAATCTTTTCGTCTGGCCCCGGCTTAATAAATCTCTTCCACCGCGAGTCTACTTCTTTCGAATTCCGAGCTGGAATGGCGAGATGAAGATGGTATTTTATTGAACGTTGGTTGATATCGTCTTGATCGATTGGAGCTAATGGCCATTCAGGTCGGGTTACAGCAACCGAAGATTGCGCATTCTGGGCTCTTTCTCTCAGTTGTTCCTTAATATCTGACCACTGGGCCATAACATATGGTTCGATCTCTGGAAAGTATTTCGAAGTGTGTTGCCGTAGCATTAAGTCGGAGTATTGTACATATGAAATGAGGTAAGCAACCCTGTTGATAAAGCGTGCGGCACGATACCTTAAATCTTGATTGGCTCGCCGAGGATCAAGTAGCAAGGCATACGTGGCGATGCCGAGTACACCTGTAGGTTCATCATCCTTTCCCCATTTGTATTGCGGGAAAGATGTGACAAAAGCCTCATGGAAAGATCCCCCTTTAGAAAACGCCGATAAAGTATGTTTATCAACCCTCGGAAACCAAAAGTTTTCCAGGACCTCGTCGTCGTCGGCCTCGTTACGCGCGATGCTTGGTACGGATAAGATCTTCCAGCATTCGATTAAATCAGCAATCATGTCCTCTTGCGTAAGAAGTCCATCGTCGACCACCGAAGAATCAGGGCTCTCGGCAGAGGGATCCATCTTCACGATCTCCTTTACCAGCGCACCGGCTAGCTTAAGGAACTTGTTAGGTCGAATATTGGTGAACCTTGAGATGTATAGGAGCAACTCAGAAGCCCGAGGCAACTCTGGGGAACGCATTTCCTCTAGCTTGGCGTCGCGAACCACTACCATCAACCGCATTATTGTCTTTTGACAGACTTGGGGCAGGGCCTCTGCTCGCTCTCCGAGTAGAAGTTCCTTCTCTCGAAGGACAGGGTCTACAACCGTTTTGAAATGCTTATATACTTTCGCTACCGGTTCGCCCTTATCGAGCAAATGCTGTACTTCTCCTAATTGTTTAATAATCTCGGAGAGAGCTAGCTTTAAGTGATAGTTTTTCGGTCTGCGGGCTGTTGCTTCTTCTTCTTGGCCGGCGGTTTGCTCGCTAACAATACGCCGAAATAAGGCATCGACCCGGTCCGAACCTTTCCTGATATTGGCGAGCTTCTTTTCCTGCATCTTGCGCGTCCATTTTGGCTTACCGGGCATACTCTGATCAAATAACGTGATCTTCCTAAATGCTGTCTTTTCCTCCAACTTATTCTTGTTTGTAAGCCGGTCCCTTACAGGAGTGGTGGCTGCTACCAGATCGGCCAAATCAGTGGCTTTCGGAGCAAGCGTTGTCGAAAACCGCGATATTTGAGGTAGCCATTGCGGAGTACGTGCACCGCCTCTGGTCACTACCATGTGGCGACATAGTAGACACGTTGATTTGGGATTATTCATAACATCCAGAGGATCAAGCAAGTGTCGCGAGGTCGTAGAGATTGTAGAAACGGTTCGAGGTCGGAATCGAAGTCACAAGGCCAGAGGTAGAGGAAGTATGTAGATAGTAACTGGATTATGAAAAATTTACGGATGTCGGATGTCTTATCGATTACGAGAAGTCAAGGTCGGGCATCATTGTCTTAACGCCGATTTAGGGAGCTTCAACCGTCACGGCTGCAACCCCACTATGCAATCCTGCCCGTCAACCCTAAGTGACGTACATAACCATATGTGTAGGGAAGGAACAATAAACATAGGTATGTTACTTTTCCAAACCTCATTCAAGAGCCAGACCAGCATCAATCTCTCTCCTACATGCCGCCAAGGCATAATTATCGACAATTGTACTCCAGCGCAACCCGCCCATAGCTCTCTGCTCTAGCTCTCTCAACAACCCCTCTACCTCGCCCTCCAACCAACCGCCAGCCTCACCCCTTCGAGAACACCCGCGAACCCCCTTTCCGCCGCCGACCTACCACGATGACCTCCCTCGTTCCACGCCCACCCTACACCGACGACGAGCTCCGAGCCCTGTACCCGCCGACGCTCGAGCTACAGCTCGTGCAAGTACTCCTGCGCCACGGCGAGCGATCGCCCGTGTCCGCGCGCTTCCAGAACGCCGGGCTAGCCGCCTTCTGGCCGTACTGCAGCGCGGTGCGACAGCTCAAGTCAGCCGTGCTAGACCGGCACCACGGCGAGCAGTTCTCGACGATGGAGTGGAAGCGACGTCTCGAGACCTTCGGATCGGCCGACGAGCCCGTGCTGGCCGCGGGCCCCGCCGGCGAGCTCGACGGCGTCTGCGAGATGGGCATGCTGACGGACAAGGGGCGCGAGACGACCTTCGACCTGGGCGCGCGCCTGCGCGCCCTCTACGTCGACCGCCTGCGCTTCCTGCCGCCCGTGCTCCTCGACGCCGAAGGCTTGTACCTGCGGGCGACGCCGATCCCGCGCGCCCTCGACTCCGTGCAGGAGACCTTCACGGGCCTGTACCCGGCGCACACGCGCCCGCCCGCCTTCCCGCCGCCCGCGATCCTGACCCGCGCCCCCGGCGACGAGACGCTCTTCCCCAACGACAGCAACTGCAGGCGGTTCGCGGCGCTGTCGCGCGCCTTCGCCCAGCGCGCCGCCGACCGCTGGAACGGCACCGACGAGATGGCGTACCTGACGCGGCTGTGGGGCAAGTGGATGCCCGAGGACTCGCCGCGCGTCGCCGTCGACTCGCGCCCGCGCCTCAGCGGCATCATGGACACCATCAACTCGACGCTGGCGCACGGGCCCTCGACGCGGCTGCCCAAGGAGTTCTACGACCCCAAGGCCCGCGACATCATCGAGAAGATCGGCGTCGAGGAGTGGTTCGCCGGCTACAAGGAGAGCCGCGAGTACCGCGCGCTCGGCATCGGCGGGCTGCTGGGCGACGTCGTGGGGAGGATGGTGGGCAGCGCCGAGAGGTCGACCGCGGACGGCGAGTACGAGGTGGCGAGGAAGCTGGAGAGTAATTCGTTGAAGGAGGGTAAGGGAGCCACGCCCATCCGGTTCGGACTGAGCGGGTGCCACGACACGACGCTTGCCGCGATCCTCGCCAGCCTAGGCGCATACGAGGGTAACAAGTGGCCGCCATACACGAGCCATATCGCCATCGAGATGTTCCGGAAATCAGGCGACTCCTCGAAGCAAGGCAAGCCGGCGGAAACCAAGTCCAGCTGGTTCAAGTCCTGGGGCTCCTCCGCGAAACCAGGAAACCCTCCCCCGAACACCATAGGCCGCAAGCGGAGCGAGGAGCTTACGCCTGCGGAGAGGGCTAAGCTGCAGGACTACTACGTACGGATACGATATAACGACGAGGCTGTCACGGTGCCCGGATGCCGGGCGCCGGGTAAGCATCTGGAAGGCGACGAGAGTTTCTGCACGCTGGTAAGTTTTACTTCTCTGCCCATTTTTCCTCTCGTATAGTGGGAATTGGTCAGGACGTAGAAGGTAGTCTACTACTGCCTCCTATTTCAAGAAGCAGAGGCGATAAATATTCGTAAGCTAACAGCCATGACTATCCAATCTCGTAGGACGCGTTCAAGGCCATCGTCGACAAGTTCGTCCCGAATAACTGGAGGCAGGAATGCAGAGCCAACATCAAGGGCCCCGCGTTCCCTTCTAAGCCGGAGCCGGCTGGTTATTAATAACCACCTTCCTAAGCATAAGCAAAATGCTCGAGAGTGAGAAAAATAAGGGTCCCTAGTGTATATATACCAGTTGCATCCATATGTACATTCAAGATCAGGTAGCTGCTCACATGAGGTAAGAGGTCAGATTAGCTACGGAGAACGGCACGTGGAACAGAGCGTTAAACGGATCGGCATTAGTTCTTTAGCACTCGGAGGCGCAAAAAGAAATAGCATTTACATCAATAGAAATTAAGATGACTGATAAAATCTCGGGTAGACAATGCTATTGTCTACACAAGGCTTTATGTATACAAATACACAATAGCTGAAAAGGGGTACGTGAATTTACGTGAATACTTTAAAGTGGCCAAGACCAAAAAAGGGGGCATTAAAAAGTTGGTAAAGGTGGCAAAAGTCATAGATACGTAGGGCTTAAACATGCACATTTCATAACACAGTTTAGGGCAGTTGTTTTATTGCTTGTTATTACCCTCCTAACCCCGTCTAAGACTTCGTATTGGATGCGATGACAGCAGAGAGCTAAGGACACTATGGACACCACGATGCCATTAACCCCTTCACGATTAAAATCGCCGTCGACCGCATCTCTTCCCATATCCGTCTCTTCATGCCTCAACTATGACGGAACTGCGATATACCCATCAAATCTGCCTCTTAGATCTCGTTTTTCAGAGACTAAGCTCTTTCTTCCTAGCGCGTGTCCAACTTCTCGAAATTAGGTCTTGGTATTGCTGTGTTCGACGGTCAACCAGCAGCCAGTAGGCGGTTTCTCTCAGTAGGTCCATGACCGGGGAAATTGTTCAAGGGTTTAAAAAGATCATACAGCAAGACACAACCATAGCCGTGGAAATCTGAATGAATAACGCCGAAGAAAATCAACGCAACAATTACAACATATTATCTTTCCCTAGTACTCGCCCGTAGAGTGGCCGTGTCACATCAATTGGCAACCTCCTCTTCAACCCAGCCGTTCAGTCCGCCTTGGATCGCAAGACCAAGTCCTGAACCCATGCCACCAAAGCTGGCCTGATATTGGTGTCCCCGTCGTTCTCCCTCGGTGAGACCTCCAACGGCACTGACGGGGCTGTTGCCACCGTTCTCAAAACCAGGCGCGAAAACTGGCAAGCTCACGGCGCGGTTGTGCTGCCCTCGGGGATTACCGGGGGCGAGCAGGCCGCCAATGGTTGGGGCACCGGAGGCGGAACCGTTTGCGTATCCGTTCGAGATACTGGCTGATTGGCCGTGACCAGACCCGGATCCTAGCTGAGGAACGTCGACACCAAGCTCATTCGGAGATGATGCTGCGGTACCGAATAAGGCCGCCTGTTGCGAAGCTAGGATCTGCTGTTGCTGATGCTGGTGGTGCTGTGCTTGCTGGGACACTTGATTCAAGTACATAGTCAGCGGATTGTTGCCATTAGCAAACATGCTGACGCTGTTGGCAGACTGGGGAGAGGTAGGGTTGGTGGGTGAGCTACCGCTTCCGCTGCCGACGGGTGCAGGCGAGGCCACACCCTCTCCACGAGGAGACTGAGCTTGCTGCTGCAGTTGTCGAGGTTGATTTCCACACCGGTCCTTGCCAAAGTTGACCTTGAACTTCTTGTACTCATCCTTGCTCCGGACGGCTTCGATAGCCTTAATCGCATTGGCAATGTTCGTGAAGTTGACGAAAGCACAGCTCTTTTCACGTAGCGTGTTCACCAATTCAATCTCACCATACTCCGAAAAGTCTTGCCTCAATCTCTCCTCAGTCCAGGTCTCATCCAAGTTACCAATGTAGACGTTACGAGATGCGCCACCGCTAACAGCCAACGCAATAGCCGGCGGAAGAGCACCGGAGTGCTTTCCCCAACCAATCTTCAGACGGCGGTTGTGAATCATCAAGCCCTGCAAATTGCTCAAGGCGTAGAAAGAAGCCGCCGCCGTGGGGTCGATGAAAGTAACGAAACAAATATGCTTGTCCGGAATGTACCGAATATGGTGAAGCAAACCGCCACGTACAACATTGCAAATTTCTTCGATTGTCGTCTCTGGGTGAATGTTACCAAGATAGATGGTTCGATTGCCCAAGTTGTTGATACCACCGGCTGTAGTGGCAACTGCAGCGGCAGCAACCGATTGCTGGGCGAGAGCGCTGGAAATCACCTCGCGATCTTGGCCTGTCAACATGTGAGCATACCCAGGAGCAATGCCGAGGTACTGAGCCGCGTTCTGCTGCTGCGTCTTCGAAACGTACGCGCAGCGGTCTTTACCGTAGTAAACGCGACGAGGGGATTGCCACTTAGGCTCCTGCGGCAATTGCTGAACCGCCTTCATAGCGTTGGCGATGGATAAGAAATGAACAAAGGCGATATTCTTCTCTCGGACAATCTTGATTGTATCGATTGCGCCAAACTTTCCCAAGTCCTCACGTAACTCCTCTTCTGGGATATCCTCAGGCAGATTTCCAAGGTAAACATTCCGAGATGCCCCAGACTGCTGAACAGCCAACGCGACTGACGTAGGAACCTGAGAAGGCTTGCCCCAGCCGATCTTGATATCCTGTCCCTTAATGCAAAGCTTTTTCAAAATAGCATCCGAGTGGAAGTGAGTGGCGGCATTTGCGTCAAGGAAAGAGATGAAAGCGCAGTTCTTGTCAGGGAGTAACCGAACCGACTCGATCTGACCGCTCCTAACATGACCAAGAATTTCTTCGGCGGAAGTGTCAGGGGGGATGTTGCCAAGGTAGACCGTCCTGCTAGTTCCGGTAACGATACCAGGGCTCAATGTCGGCGATTGAGGCTGCATCTGCATACCATTCATATTGTTGAATGAACCATTGGGTGACTGCGGTTGAAAGAACTGCGGGGCGCCGTACGTAGAGGGAGACACGATCGATTGGTAAGTCTGGGGCGACATGTTCTGCTGAACAGGGCTCGTCATACCATTCTGCTGTTGCTGACCATTGTGCTGTTGTTGGCTGTGCTGAAAGGCGGACAAGTTCTGAAACTGGGGGCTGTTGAAAGCAGCCGGGGTACCAGGTTGAAAGGGACTACCGAGAAGCAACTGGGACGGTAGCAAAGGAGTGAACTGCATATCGAAGCCGGTGCCAGGGGTGGTCATGTCAGGTATGTTGTTCTGAACAGGAGGGTTTAGCTGCTGCTGAGTGTTGATTGAAGGAATGTTACCACGGCGAGGATGTCTGTCAGCAAAGCCAGAGATGTTGGAAGTGAAAGCACCGTGAGAGAAACCGGTATCGCTGTTGGAAGGCTTAGACGCGTGACCATATCTCCCCCCTGAGTTGGCGGCAGGGCCAGTGGGGATACCACCAGGCGCTGAGAGGTCCTGCATCCCGAGAAGATGAGGAGGGACAAGGCTGTCCCGCGAGGCGTGCGATAGAACCGCCGTTTTGAAAGATTAGACGTGCCCGGAAAGAGGCACGAGGGCAGAAGGCAGAAATAGGATCCGGTAAAAGCACGGGATCCTAGCAAAGCAAGTAACGTTGGCTATTATAAGAGCTGTTGACCGAGCAAAGTGGAAACGGAACAACTTGAGGTTTTGTCCAAACAATAGTTTAGTTGAAAGATAATGGGTATCTCTAGTCGAAGAAAGAGGTACCACCGAGGAAGATGGATATAAGTATATGCAGCAACAAGTCGGTGGTCTCTCGTCAAGATTACGCGCAATAATCGAATCGGCCGTGGGGTTTAAAGAATATCGAATAGTACAACACCAATCCGACTGGGTTTTACCTAGAGCTGGCCAGGATAAAAATTGTGAGGCGAGCGGTGAGCTACTTCGACGAGCAAGTATCCGTCTGGTATAATTGTGCTTGTCCTTTGATCTGGGGTTGATGATCCGACTACGTCGAACAAAGACGAGACGAATATTTATCCTCCAAAGCGAGCGAACGGGGTGACCTGCCAGAAAAGAGTGTCGAGGAGTCAAGGGGGACTAGCAAGCTAACAACAAAGCTCTTGTCGTCGATTTCTTATAAGGCTTGGACCTCTAGGTTCGCTACGGTTTTAGCTGCGCAGACAGGATCGAATTGATGGATATACTAGCTGTCCCTGGGCGAAAAAGGGAGGGAATCTTGGCGGTGAAAGTTTATAAAGAATATTAAGAAAGGTATAGCGAATGAGCGTAGGTAATAAAATGCTAGAAAAGATCCCCGAGATTATGAAATCTTAGGGAGCTCTAGGAATGAGAGGGTAAAGAAGGATTGGATAGGTAAGATACAAGAGGCAGAATAAGGATGAAGAGGATAAGGAGTAGAGGTGAGGTAGGGGAAAAGAAAGAGAGAGACTAGACTACTCCGTTGAGAAGATGACTGGAAGAGAGGTACTGTACTGGAGGGAGGAAGTGAGAGAAGGAGAACGGAGCAAGAAAAAATGGAGGCCAGTCATTGGACGAACTGGGTTGGTGCAGATTGCCAGAATGGCCAAAGCCAAAATGGGGGGCGCTAGTTTTAATGAACAGCCTGCAGCTGCTAAACCCATTTTGAACCACTTTCCAATCTTCCTACCAATGTTCCTGCCGTTTTTCCCTGTACCATTTAGGTAACTCTCTTAAGGACAGGGGGAAGGGATGGTCCCTAGACGGAATACGTATAAAGTTAAGATGAGAGGTAGCTTTGTCATACAAAGGAATACGTAAAGGTACTCATGTCATTAATATCCATAATGGATTGGTGTTCTGTTAAATTCAATCCCTCACCCGACTTATGCCAATTAGTTTCAGGTCAGGGAGTAGCTAGGGACAGTTAGGGGCAGTTAGGGGCTGCTATTTTCATAACGCGTGTCCACCGGCTTAGTCTAACAGGTGTTCAATGTTTATCGACACCCGTATTTGATGTATGGATGTACCTAGAAACCTAGAAGCACTCGGTGTATGAACTTACGAACAAGCCAACATTAAAGTCAATTCAATGTTAGTCTGATACAGTTAACTATCACAGTTTGACGTTTCCAACGATCACCTCACCGAGTGTCAAAATTCAGCCTCATTCCAACGTTTCGTTTCTCATTAGCGGATTGAGAGCTTTGAGGGTTTTGATGGGATATTTGATGTTCGGTCCGCCCAGAATTTGAGGCCCCATCCAATCCCAATGTTACGATATTTCCAATAACTTACAACGACGGTAACCAATTTCAACCAATTGAGAGTATTTCAGGTTTTCGGTCTTGGAAAATTCAACCCAGAACCCATTCTGGGTCATCCAAATATGTCAGAGTTTCTAGAAGAACTGTTCCATCGTCGACGCGCAAGTTGAGACCACATCCAAAGACTAGGGTCGGACAGGGTCTAGACACGAAGTCTCAGATCATCGTCGAAAACGCTATGCATGTTGAGATCAGGGGAAGATGACAGCAGCGAATGCATGCAAACTCGGTCACCATATTATGTTCTAGTGTATGCCCGCATTCATCTCTTATGCATAATATTGAGGTCGTTCGCTATTCGTTTATGATAAAAACGAGAACTACCGTATTATCAATAATTCATTGTTTCTTTTCTCCGTACATATTCAGGTCAGCACCTCGTTCTTCCAATTGAACATAGATAGATGGCTTGTAGCCGTTTAAACACTGGTGTTATTCTTGGCTCACTAGGTCTCGTGGGGTCGGACCATAGGCGACCATCTCGATTTCGAAATCCTTCCTTCTGGGACGGGGCCGGGCCTAACCTTATCAATTCTCTTTTCGGACTTCCTCGACGCCCATATCACACGTTGTCGTTCGTCGAAGGTATTGGATTAACGTGACCTCGAGACGATTATTCTCCGCGTTCAGGGTCTTGTAGGGTCTTGTGGTTCTTGTAGCTTGCCTGTGCACCCATACGACATGAAACTCTGAAAAGTCGTCGTATCATCGTCTAACCTCCCCGCATCGCCTCCTGCAATATTAGGCTTTAAACGGCCGGAGGAGAGACGTCGTGCCTTGCATTGCCATGCCTCATGTCTCATTACGATGCGGATCTGTACATAATAAGCCCAAGAAAATAAGGACCGTAATTGTGCCAATTGCCATGCAAACAAACCACCGCGTAATAAGAGTGGGCGAAAAATTGATATTGGTCAACATATCTTTTTCAATATGGCATCATCCGTTCTCATTTCCAATTTCATCAATGGCTTGCTTGCGCTCGAAAATGCAGGCCAAGACAAAACCCCTATTTCCCAGCTAAAAATTCCCGATTGAAAAAAAAAATACTTAATGAGACCAAACTCTCACCTGCCCCACTCCGACCAAGGCGGTCCCTGCGGCGCGCTACGGCAAGGTACCCGAGGTGCGCAATATTAGCGCGAATCAAATGCAGTACGACCATGAAAATACGCCTCCTTGGCTGTATTTATTGGTACCTACCTGTGGTAGGTTTTTACATAGAAGATGTGTACGAAGTGTATGTATACGGGCATTATGTATACATCCATATTGTGAAGGGGAAAGGGAACCTTATAACAATTTTTAGTTTAGCACTTATCGTGGTACCTACAGATCTGTAATTGATCTTTCAACCTTCCATTTTTATCGCGACCCTAAAACCTGACATCAGAAACAGCCTTCCTATTATTATATCGAATGTCGTGTTGGTACTCACTAGTACGGAGAAGGCTTTAGTCGTAATACCGTACTAATGGATACGTATGTAGCAATTGGCTACATCACAGGGCTATGATTGGCGGCGAGCGGATTGGATTGGCCTATGATCTGCATGGGTATGTCAAAATTTATTACACAGAAAAAAAGACTCTTGTTCTACACGGCTACACGGCCTACACAGTCTAGTATGTAGGTGTGTACATACCGCCAGTCGTATCCAATAATGTGATATGTCTACCTCCCCAAATTCCGAGCAACCTCCTGCGCATATGCGGTGGGCATCTTCTTAAACGCCGCCTCTATCCGGTACACTTTATTTTTATCCGTTTCCACTTTACCCCAGCGGTTTGGGAGGTTACCAACGTCACCGGACACTTACCCGGTCCAATCTGACGGTGTACCAAATAGGGTGATATATACGTAATCCGATCTGAGATGAGAACTACAGAAGCCTATTCGACCTCTTCTCTGATGTCAGAGTGTAGGTAATTGAGATATCTGATCAGATACATACCGATACGGCGATACCGATACCAATTATGGACAACTTACGAGCAAGATCGTCTCTATCCCAGGAGACAGGCCTAATATCGAAACCCCTACATGACCAGCCACTCACAGGGTCATATACGGCAACCTCTAGTTTGCCTAGAAGAGTCGGTCACAGGGAAAACTTTTAATCGGATGCCTTTCACATTGACGTGTCCTATGATGGACAGCCTATCCTGCAATACCTAGTCTCAGAAAGCAACAGCTCGATGCCCATAAGCTTGACCGCTTTCCCCAACGCCAATCACGTCCTGCTCTGGATCCACCTTATGCATCTTCGCTAGTTTTTCCGACCTCAACGCCGGCAACCTCGGCCCTAGACCTAAAGAAGATGCGAATTGCCACTGCTCAAGGCTTGCATCGTCCCATGAAGCGGGGATACAAGCAAGTCGTGCGGACGGTGTGCTGGTTAGCAATCCAAGCAAGGAATCGTTCAAGTCCAAGACCGTATCCACCATGAGGAGAAGTACCGTATCTACATATAGTTAGTTTCTAACCGAGACCCGCGCTTTGGGTGAAATAAACTCACTTTCGCTGGTCAGTGTACCAGTAGTAGTCCTTGGAGTCGATGCCCTGCTTCTTATATGCTTCGAGAAGTTCATCGTAACCTTCCATCCTCATGCTACCGCCCACAATCTCACCAACACCAGGCATCAAGCAGTCCACACTTTCGGTTACTCGTAAATCTGAAGGGTCCTTCTTCATGTAGAAGGCCTTGATCTCTACCGGGAAATGCGTTAGAAAGATAGGTCGGTTGATAATGTCCGTCATCCGACGCTCAGCAGCCTCCGCGATATCGTCTCCGAACACGTGGGGGTTGCCCTCCTCGTTGGGGATGGGGGGATCTTGGGCGTTAAGCCAGTCGATAGCGTCACTATACTTCATGCGCAAGAAGGGGCGAGAGGGCTTCTCGAAGGTAGGGTTAAGCTCCTTTAGATGCGCAGCGATAGTAGGGTTGGCTAGCACAATATCGATAACGCGGCAGATAACCTCTTCGAGGTGGTCCAACAGCTCGTCGAAGTCAATGTAATCCAGCTCGGCCTCGATGTGGGTGTACTCAGAAAGATGACGACGCGTCAAACTCTTCTCAGCACGGAACGATTTCTCGATACAGTAGACGTCTCCTAGACTAGGAATGACGGTTTCGAGGTAGAGTTGAGACGACTGAGTAAGGTACGCCATCTCATCATAGTAAGGCGCGCTGAAGAGGGTAGCACCGCCTTCAACCTGAGTCTGAACCAGAGCCGGCGGCGAGACCTTTGTGAGCTGTAGATCTTCGTAGACCTTGGTAAACGCTCCCTCTACGGCGGCACGGATTTTCATGAGAGCAGAAGCGTTCTCGCCTCGCAAGACCAAGTGCCTGTTGTCAAGCATCTGGGCATCCCATTGGTTCTGCTGAGCAGAGACTTTGTTAGTGATGGCCTCCTCGTCGCTCGGCGACGCACCCAGAACCTCGTAGTAATCGACATGCAACTCTCGATCATCAGGGGCCGTCTGTCCGGCGGGTACCTTGCGCATCTCACCATAAAGTGCGAGCGAAGTTCCTTGGGCAAAGGTCAAGGCATCGTAGGTCTTGGTCAAGTCACCAGCGGCCAAAATACATTGCAGCTGGCCATATCCGTCGACCAAGGTGATAAAGGTAGCCTGCTTCTGTACTCGCAAACGGTGAATCCGTCCGAATACCTTAACTCGCGTTCCTTTCTTATCGCCTTCTCCAAGCTCAATATCCTTACGGCCGATCTTGATCTTAAGAGGTTTCGGCAGTGACTCATCCTGTTTGATCACCACCTTTTTCGCAGCCTCGAGGGTCTGTTGTCTCTGCTTCTTCAGTTGTTCCTCGGCGGCGGCGGCGGTTTGCTGCTTCTGAAGCTTTTTCTTATGAGCGTCAAGTGCTCCCTGAGCCTTCTTAACGGCGCTCTTGGCGGGTTCCTTCCATAAGAGTCGGACGGAAGGGTCTTCGTCGGCACCGACAGGGCCAGTGACGGAAGCTCGAATTTGGTATTGAGGTGTGGGCTTCTCGAAGTTCTGGATGTAGGCATAGGCCAACGACTTGTAGGGCTTAAACTCGGAGCCATCGGCGGTCTCGTCATCTTTACCCGCATCAGTATCAATGAAGCACTTCTCGTCGTTCTTGACCCGTTGGGCCAGCTCTTCCACGGCAGCCATGACTACCCAACGTATAAAGAGAGATCGCGGTCGTGATTGAAAAGCACGGGTGAAAAGCAAGGAGCGAATATTAAATAATTCGCGACTGCGATAATATCTAACTTCCTAAGCTCAAATATGTGGAAGGTGGCTTGTATAATTGTGAAGTCTAAATATGTGGTGGTAAAATGGAAGGTGGGTTGGTGGGGTTAAAATTCAATAGATCTTGGATCTTATTTTTGATGGCGGGGGAATTGTTCGTTCTAACTTATCAATGTCGACAACAACCGATTTGACTCATCTTTTTATCTGCCCCTTCAATGTTACTAGAACAACAATTATCCGGTGCGCTTCATACCAGCCTTTTGAGTCACACATATTCTCCAATAAATTGGATTGATATCGGTTTCAGCGACTGCCCCGTAAGATAAGGTCACCTAAATATGTGCGTATCAAGGGCCGTGTGTAACCTGAAGCAGCAGTTTCAAGGGTTGATCTGCCGGACTCTACGTTGCCAGGTAACAGACCAAATACTTCGATATACTTTTCCGTGGTGGAGGTTATCTATGTTATCATTTATGTTATCTATGTACCTATGGGTACCAACTTCCAATTTAGCTGACCTGCGATGTCGGCACTGTACTAAAAAGGCGAGTATGACCTCAGCAAATATTGAATCCTTAGATACGCGATACCTAAACATATGCACGGCAAGTCCGACCAATATTGAAATGAACTCTCAATTGGGTTTGAATTCAGGAACTCAACTCTAATTCGAGAACCAAGGAAAGATGAATCGCTGGCGATGCTAATCTCCGCGTTAGACACCTAATTCCCCTGTATCAACGTTGTAACTTCAGGAAGTCTATATCGAAGATGCAGACCCTTACTGCTGACCCTCCTCCCAGTGACAGCTTAGCCTCATACGTAGTGTTCGTAGGTAGGTCAAGAGACATCCCCTCCATACCCCATCTTCCCCAGGTGGGCATGAGACCAACAGCTCTACGAACCGTAGTCATCGCCTACCTACCCTTACAGCTCCTCCCTCAAAACCTCTTGCTTAGCATCCTCCACCTCCTTGACCTCCGCCTTCTCCCCCGTCTTCCCCATCTCTCCCAACCCCTTCTTCACCATACTACTCAGCAGCTCAAACACGACCTGCGCTGCCGCCAGCGCCGTCTCCTCGCCAACACCTTGATACGCGGGCGCCACCTCGACCACATCAGCGCCCACGAGATTCAAGCCCTCAATCCCCCTCAGGATGCGGATCAGCTCGCGCGTCGTCCAGCCGCCGGGCTCGGGGGTCCCCGTTCCCGGCGCGAACGCGGGGTCCAGCACATCGATGTCGAGGCTGAGGTAGACGGGGTCCTCGGTACCCAAAGTCTGCATGATACTATCGATAACGCCCTTCGTTCCCAAGTCATCGAGGTCGTCCGCGCTGATGCGCAGCCAGTTCTGCGCGTCGTCGTCGTCCCAGTCCCCCGTGCCGGAGAGGCGCGTGCGCAGGCCCGCGTGCACGTTGGGCGCGCCCGTCGCGTTCGACAGCAAGCCCTCGTCGCCCGCGAGCCAGAACATGCTGCCGTGCGTGAACTTGCTCTGCTCGCTCGCCCAGTAGCTCGGGTACTTGGCCGGGTGCCACGTGTCCAGGTGCGCGTCGAAGTGCAGCACCCTTACGGGCCCGTACAGCTCGTGGATCGCCCGCAGCGCCGGCAGCGCGAGGCTGTGGTCGCCGCCCAGCGTCACGAGCTTCGGCTTCGTGAGTAAAGGGGATACGGGCGCGCGAGACCCTAGTTCTGTGAAGGCGGCCGTCATCTGCTTCAAGGCGATCGCGTTGTCGACGGGCGTGATGGGGATGTCGCCGCAGTCGAGGATCCGCGCCCAGTTCTGGTACGGATTGATCCCGGCACGCGGGTTAAACCCCCGGAACGAGGTCTGCCGCGCCGAGGCCGCGCGGATGGCGCGGGGCCCGAAGCGTGCGCCTGAGGGGGCGTTTTAGCTATATGCCCAGAGTCTTGGATGTGATCGAGGGGATGGTATGAGACTCCATGATAGGGCGGGTGAATTGTTGTGTTATGGGTAAGTAGGCAGGTGAAGTAGACTTACCAGGTCGATAGCTCACTGCGGTATCAAAAGGGGCGCCGATGATCGCGATGTCGAATTGCTCGCTCGGATTCGTCAAGCACTTATAATACGGAAGATGGGCGAAGGCGGAAATGCCCGAGAATCCCCACTATATGCTCATGGTTAATAATTTGTATGGGTTTTATATATAAATTTTAATTCCCTTCATGTTCTAACAAGTGAGAGAAGACATGTTTCTATGAGCAGTTTCATAGCTATTGGTCTAATCTCTACTTAGAGTACCCGTTGTCTCAAACAATAGTTGGTACCACGGGATGAGCTTGCTAAGATGAGATCTCTTACCTCGGTCCCCCATTTCTTCTCCAACTCGTCTAATTCCTCCTGACTCCATTCCCTAACCTCGCCGTGACCAGCGCAAGCTCGGACGACGGCCGAGCCATAGCTCAACGCAAGGCAGAGAAATAATCTCGGCCTCATTGCTCCCTTACAGAACGTGATACGAAGAGGGGGGGACCTGCAGAGGTGTTGGCAAACGTGACGTGAATCGTAGAATTTTATGGCTTGGCGGCGTGATCCTAGGTAGGTAGGTACCCAGAGATTTCCAAGGGATTGGGAAGAAAAAAAAAATCTTAATCTTCACCCGTTCGATTCGAAAGAAATTAAGTCGAGACGAGTTAGATAAAGATATACTTAATATATCCAATGGATATTACCTAACGTCGCAAAGATAGATACATAGTCTATAGCTAACGCCAGCGGTTCGAGCCGGAGCGGAGTACCTTAGCTAGATAAGGGCGTAGTTTCGGCGGCGCTCCGTGGTAGACTAGAGATCAAAAGGGCATAGATATCGGTTCGCCTCAGGCCATTGGTGGCCGCGATTCCGTATAAAGCAAGTACAGGAGCCCCGACTCCGGCATAAGCTAGCTATTCTCTCTACTCTCTGCCAGTTTTCAATGTTCTTTGCTTACAACGATGCTCCATATTCTCGACATTAGCATCTATGTTAGTCGGCATGGAGCTCGGAAGGCGTGTGCATGTATTAGGAAAGAAGGATAGCGAGGACTTATAATAGGGACCCCGCGCCCTATCAGATAGGGGGTGAAAATGCCACATGCGAGGTTACGAACATGGCGTTTCTCTTATCAACCTTGGGGACGTATGACGGAAGTTCGAATTTCCCATTCTGCCTTGCCGTCCTTTGTCCTGTCCTCTGCAGCCACGGCGCAGGCTATGGCACCCAATCCCGATGCCTCGGACGATTAGTAGGAAGTGCATGAGGGCCGAACCGGTGCATTTATGTACCGATTCATACGACGAACTAGTCGCTTTTCGGTTACGTCCGCTTAACCTGAGAAATCCGCAAATAATAATCCGTTTCGTCTCGCTATCGCCTCTAACCCTTATCCCATATTGAGGTTTTGAGAGAAACTTCCTAAGTTCCTCGCAAGAAAGCTAGGTATAGGCTGAATCACAAGGCAATCATTCATTTTCTCAAGGCTAAGACGGTACCGAGGTAATTATTTGCCTCACTTTAGTTGCTGAGTACCTCTATATGTGGCTAAGGATGCACCTGATATGCAGGTCTACTAGGTAGAGGTACCTGGGACTGCAGCGAGGATCTATGAATGCAGGCGAGCCTCGATAGAACCACTGTGATGAATAATAACGTAGCCATCTGCTGACACTCATGTGATGAAAGGATTATGTATATATATAGAACGCAAAAGACGAATGTCAAAATATGCTGCTATGTTGCACTGAGGCTATCCCCCTGCGTACGCCCAAGCAAGCTTTCCGTTACATTAAACCCCATCGCAAACCTGGAGCTGAATACGTGGAACCTCTGCCTGGGCTTGACCGAGACAACAGTTTGCTGCATTGCATATGGAATCCGGGAACGTCGTCGGTAGAAGTCGGAATTCTTTTGCTGTCTGTCGGCAACGCACTGTTTTCCTATGTGGGCGGAATGAGGCAAATGAGGTCTCGGACGGAGAAAGCACACGAAGATTTGAGAGCAGAAGTTGGGAGAGCAGAGGGGGACATGATGCTATAGGTGGGTACGGGTACCTACTTGAATCTGAAGACAGATCAGATTCACGTTCTATTAAAGGTAATCACAAGGTATCGTTGTATCAAGGGTGGCGTAGACGATCAAATCAATTCAGATGCACTCCGATCGCCAAACAATCCTATCAAAGTCCTTCCTGCGTTCATGAATTTCCCCTCCAAACCCTGGCTGCTCGAAAGTAGTAAGAAAAAGAGAAAATCAGAATCAGGGTAAGTAGTAGTGCGACAGTGCGACTCGAAAGCTCTTGTCCAGAGAGAGAGAAAGTATGGTCGGAGTATCGCCCTTCACATTGTAGCTGCTGCTGCTATTGTTGCGGAAAACTCCTTCATATTCGCGTCGGTGTGAATCTGCCTTCCAAATATCTCCGGATTTCAAGAACTTTCTGGGACTGTAAAGAGGTTTTCCTCTCCCTAGAGGGGGAGCTAGATTCGATGTCCTATTACATGGATGTGTGGGTATGTAAGGAGCATCTTTTGCTGTGTTCGCCTGTTCCAATGGTACCTCATAAATTTGCGGTATGCTTCCGCGTAGTCGATTCATTCTGAATCCTATCCACCTGTGGTATCACAAGGTCAAACTTGTTGTCTAAAAAATCGCCCATTACGAAATATGCAGATGTCGTGGAAAATGCCCAAGAAAGACATATCCTTATTCCTTCCAATCTTTAGGGGGGATCCATTGTGGTACTCAAGGAACGAAGGCGGAAATGTCTTGATTCGACCCAAGTAGTGGCATTACAGAATCAAGCACTTATGGGGCTTTTTCTTCGGCGCCGGAGGCTCTAAAGCTGCGACGATGGCCTAGAAGCAGTTAGTATATATGCCTGGGATCGGCGATCTGCGGAGAAGAGACTACAAACCTCGTCGAACACATCCTTGAGCTTGTATTGGGTCAAGGCACTGCACTCTACGTATTTGACGGCGCCAAGTTCCTTAGCCATGCGCTCTCCGTCCTCTTTACGCACAGGTTGCATCTTCTGCTTTGCAAGTTTCTCCCGGACGCTGGCATCATCTCGCAAGTCTGTCTGAGTACCGACGATGAGGCAGGGTACGCCAGGGCAGTGATGGTGAACTTCGGGGAACCATTTCTCTCGCACGTTCTCGAAAGAGGCAGGCGATGTCACACTGAAGCACACTAGGAAGACGTCGGTTTGTGGGTAGGACAGAGGTCGTAGACGATCGTAGTCTTCTTGACCGGCGGTATCGAACAAGCCAAGCGTGTAGGGTTCATCTCCTATCCTATAGTGGGGAGCATGTCAGCCTTGTTTCAGGTCCACACCCAGCCATAACATGTATTCAATTGACCCTTAAATTGACCGACGGAACACCATATTTTGGGCATATCGATAGTCGCGGGTCTACACCTGGTCCAACTTAAGAATTGTACTTGGGGTGACTTACATAACCGTCACGGCATAGTTGTCGAAGACCGTTGGGACGTATTCGGACGGGAACTTGTTTGTGGTGTAGCTGATGAGAAGGCAAGTCTTGCCAACGGCACCGTCACCAACAACCACGCACCTGCAAGAGTGAGGCAAGATATTAGCGATTCATCTTTTTACTATGCTGCTGTCATATACTAAGATTTGTAACAAGAGGCTGGATGAGTAAGAGGGCATATGACGCGTGATTTGCATCTTGGGAGCGACGTTGGATATATGTGCATGAAACATCAAGGTCCGCAGACCTCGGAGACATGTCTGTGATACACCCGCGCGTTTTATCATTGGGATTGTTGGAATGTACGAACACCAAATGTTGTAATGGAATATGTAGATGTAGATGCAAATGCAGAAAGACGACAATGGGAGGAAGGGAATGGGGAATGAGGAATGGGGAATAGATACTCACTTGATTGTAGCAACAACCATCTTGACTTGCTTAGCCCCGACGAGGGAGCAGGTGCGCTATGTTGATGTTCTCTCCGAATTAAGTAGCTGTCTTATCGCAAGTAAGCTTGGAAATTGTCGGCGGGTATCGGCCTTTCTGACTTGCAGCTTTTAAAAAAATAATAATAAAAAGGTCGTCGTAGAAAAAAAAAATAAGTCAGAGGGGTTAATGGGTCTTGGGGAGGATAAACGATGTCTCTCAGGTCTAATCCTCAGGTAAGTGACGGCGGTGAGGGAAAGAACTGGCAGAGACTTAACGAAGGAGAGAATAGGTGCAAAGAGTGCAATAGATGGTAGTATTGATCACAAAGAGAATTGTAATGAGGAAGTCGAAAAAGTATCGGCGGAGGGACAAGACTACGAAAGAAGGAGTCGAGGATGACGGGACGGGACTTGGTTGGCGGTAGGGAAACTGTAGGAAACGACAAGGGACAAGAAAGCTCAACCCTGAACGAGATTGGCAGTGGCAGAGGCAGTTAACAAGGTGCAAGTCCCAGAGGTGCAGAAGTGCAGAGACGCAGAGGTGCAGCGGTGCAGCGGTGGTCGGTTGTCAGAGTGGTCAGTGAGATCAGTGGTGGGAAGGTGAAAAGAAAGCTGGGACTTGGGACTAGAACTGCTGGCGCTGGTATTGGTACTAGTACTGGTACTGGTACTGGTACTGATACTGGTACCGGTGCTGGTACTGAATTTGACCGGGGTCTGGTTCGGCAAGCGCAAGGCGCAAGACGCTGGCGCTGTTGTGATTTCTTATTCCCTGAGGCTTTGCCTGCTAGGTGATTTCCATTTAACCTTGGGCTGCTTGGGAAGTTGCCAGGTGCTTGGGGATACTGGGAATTGCAGGTGCAGGCCGGGTGCAGACTTGCGGGCTTGGGGTTTTTGATTTGGCTTGCACTTGCATTACTTTGATGCACCGGCGTTGGATAAGGGGGTACGTACTTATTGTACGATGGTACAATTAATTCCATCCACTCATATCGTTGACATCTGAACAGCTTAAACCCCTTTAGGAGGACGTGCAATTAACAACATGATGCACATAGACGATTTTTTAATGCTGCAGATATATCATCTCAACTACCTACTAAGTACTATCACACGTTCACAACAACCGCTATTATCACTTGTCATATTGCACAATAAGTCGCTTCGGATTGGTCATATGCTTATGAACAAAGGAAAAAGAAAGGGAAAAGGAGGAAAGAAACGATTTCTCCAGCTACCTAAAACCGACCTAACTGTGCAACGATACCAACAAATAACCAACAAATAAGAAAAAAGATGCAATCCTGCAGCAGTACTGCGTAGATATGAGCCATGACCATGTTATGCGCAAAGCTTTTTCGAAGCTTTCTGTGTTTAGGAACCCGGGAAATCAACAAGGAGCTAAAGAGAGGGTCAATTGATTACCTAGGTATTCATTTTAGCAAGTTCTCGTCTGTCATGTCATACCTAAGCGAAATCCTCTGTATGGAAGTCTGTTACATTGTTCTAGCTTCGAAGCCGGCATGAAAATTTCATACTTTTCGGGTTTAGTTTGGATTACTATTCAATACCTGGGATAGACCCAGGGACTAGGTATAGGTTATATTATCCCGTTCTGGTTTATTTCATCTTTTTCTCCCTTTCCCCTTTTATTACTCATGCGTCATCAGGGTCCTTGAGGTCATGACGACGCCAGGTGAATGGATACCTACAGCTGTAAAGGTCGCTGGATAAGGCGAACACGCCTCCACTCTCCTTTCTAGAACAAGCTTGGAAGTTTAGGTATACATACCAGGTATACGTAATAAAGCCCCAAGGAATAAAGAGACAAACATGGCCTAAAATGGCCTAATATGGCCAGCATGGCCTCGCCCTGTCCGCATAGCTTTTCGGCAGCCCTACCTTGACAGCTGAGATACGGTGCCGTATTTAGATTCAATACCCTCTATACGATCAGGAATATCTGCATGGGACCTGCGGTGGCACATCACTAACAAAAGACGAAGTCTCGCATAGAGGATTCATTCGTCGACGCGTCCGTGTCTGTAATTTATACTCGGAGCGAAACTTGCAGCCCCCGACACGAGAGCATTCACCTAGCCGCGCCTCGTCGTAAATTATTCCCTCGTCTGATTTTTTCTGTTTTCCTGTACGTCTGACACTAACCGGCTAACCCCCAAGTTAAGTGCGCACATGCTCGGAGTAAGGCGAGACAAAGACGGAGAGAGGGTACATACATATCAGGCGTAGTGCTACGGCGGCGGTTGAAGATCGCAGCCGGTGGTCGTGGCGGAGCCTGTCGATCAGAGCGTTAGTGAAGGGTATCTGCAGCTCCAATTGGCATCTCTCTTCATCCGGATCATATGAAGTTTTCTGTACGCGCTCTCAGCAAGGACACTATCTAGTACTACGTGGCAGTCTATGCGAGGCAACCCTCACGCGATTCTGGTGTCGTATACATCTGTAGGGATTTCGTCAATCAGAGCACACGTAGCTATACTTGGTGACACGCGAGGGGAGATGGGTGCGACCGTCATCGTAAGAAAGAGAAAAGGTCTTTTTAGAGGTCGCCCGTGATACTACACCGATAGCCTTGGATCTAGCCCGTGACGGGTTTATTTCTCGCTATCAGCCTGCCCAGGTGGCCAGCAGCATTGCCAAGTCTCGAGGAGCGCTATCGAGTCGCCGCTTAACCGTCTTCATACCTCCCCTCGGGATCGACCATATGACAACGTAGAAAATGTGGAGGAGAGACGGAGAGCAAACACAAAAGAATTGTTATCGAGAAGGATGAGCTGGATGCCTAAAGATTCCCGCAAACTACGTCAGACGGTTTGTCTTTCTGTGATCATGAACACTTGGTTCAAATTTGGATCCTTGGATCCTTCAGGTCGAAATTGGGTAGTGGCGGCTGCAAAAAGGGTCCTTTTGGGTCTCTTAAACGGCCACTTAGACCCTCTGGTAGGGCTCCCAAATGAACGGTGTGTCTTGCAGATAGAAATTGAGATCCAGGTATGGGCAGTTTGCATATGCCAGACTGTAAGAACCATAAGAACCGTAACCGCTGCCACCATAAGAACTCATCTGGAGCGGCTTCCTATTCGCGATGTTGGAGAGCCGGGGAATTATTTGAATAAGGGGTCCTCTTATAGGCGCATATAGACGCTGTAGACGTACGCTGTAAAGTTGGGCCTCTAGGGCTGTCACATAGCTAAGCCACAGTCGTTGAGACCTGATGTGTGGCGTCCAATACGATTTACTAGCACTGGAGCTTACCGTAACTTCACCCCAAGAAATTCACTATTCATGATACATATTGTACTGGCAAGCTGACCAACCTCATAAATACCACACCTAAATTTACTCTCGTCTCTCTAATAGTAAACACAATAGACTGTCTCCCTGGCCAACATGGAGGCCGATCATATAGATAAGCTCCTCGAGCGCTATCTTCACCTGCTTCACGAGTACACGGCCCTAAGAGACCAGCTCAGCAGTCTGCAAACAGGCATATACCAAAACATCGCCCGCGCAAACTTCGCCGCGGAGCGCGGTTTGCGTTTCGGCCAAGACCACTATGACGAACGCATGCAGGCCAGCAGGAGAGTAGCAATTACTCCCGAAGATGACGGCCAAGAATCTTCGGTTCCTATATTCACCATCACGTCGGAATCTAAGGACCCGGAGAAAGAAGCAGCTGTTGACGACGACGCCCGGAATGTAGCTGAAGAGGGAGAGAAGAAGGAGGCGGATGCGTCTTCCGCAAAGATGCGGCGAAGGGACCCGCTGAGATGGTTCGGGCTACTTACGCCAATGGCCTTACGGCAAGCCCAGGCGCAGAGCATCGAGGCGGTCGAGCAGGTCATCCCGAAACTCGTCTCCGTCAACGCCGAGATGGCTCAGGTGGAGATAGAGGTCCGCCGAGCTCGCAAGAAGCGTGCCAAAGCCGAGGCCGCCGCCGCTAAGAAGGAGCAGGAGGTCGGTGTTGGTACGGAGGTTGCGGCATGATCTTGGTAACGTACGGTAATGCAGTAATCTACCTAGGTATATAACTCGTCTCACAGCTAATCGTGATATAAGAATCTACGTAGTACATTCAATAGTTCAATTAGCTTCTTAAACTATCCCGTCTGGCCCGTCCTATATTGATCACACCGCATTGGTATCGTGCTTTTGACTTAGTTGATTAAATTAGTCAACCTCCTTTTTTAAATTGGTTAATAGTTAGGTAGTTAAAAGTGAGGCTGTCTAGGCTTGTATATGGTCGATTTAAGCGTAGCTTGGATGTTTTCCACCACTGAAGCTGCAAGGGATAGGGGGTGACCTAAGTGGCGTCGAAGCCTCAGGAGATGACCTTTTTATTATTGACCATGATCATCAGTTCGAGTTTAGAAAACATCAGAGGTTGTCTGGAATCATCGGAAGTTTGACTTGAACTGTTGGATGCACCGAACCCACGTGCTCAAACAGGAAATAATTGAAACACTTGCTATAGGTACTATATTTACAGCCTCTACCAACAGAAATCGAACCCGGTATCCTGAGCTTCCCATGAGTGCATCTTCTATTCAATATTCGTACATCATTATTCCTAGCCATCTAAGCTAAACGAGCGAAACGACAATTTCTACATGGGTATCATCTCGTAGGTACGTAAACGCTTAAGCATAAGCAGCCCAACCTAAGATCCAATTAGAACGCGTAAAGCTAGAAGGGGGTCAAATCAGCTGGACGGGAAGGCACTCACCAGAATACAAAAATGCAAGATTCCTTTCGTCGGTCGCCTGGTTGATTAAATCGTTGACCGTAGCCGTCACGCTCAACGTCTTGCTAAGCTTCTTGCGCACGACCTCGAGCGCACGGTCGGCCTCGCTAGGCTCGTTCACCATACCCACGGCCCCGGCGGTCTTTTTCTTCACGTCTGCATCCGCAGCGCCTTCTCCCTCGTCTCGCCGGGGGTCCTGAAGTTTGGCCATGCGGACGGGACTGATGGACCAAGAATACAGGGGATCGTATCGTAAAACATCTAGAATCGTCATAATAGAGTAGGTCTCTTCGCGTAGCGCGTCGAGGGTGAACTCGCAGCACCGTCTGAAGACGCCTTCCGTTTTGGTGATGCCCATGCCATCGACAATATCCCGCGTGAGCCGGAATGGTACAAGCTCGGGGACTGGTAGTACACGGCCCATCTCGAAAGCTACACCCAGGTCGATATGGACAGCTTCCCCGCTCTTAGTGTCGAGAAGGATGTTATGACCGTGACGATCACCGAGGCCCAGCACATGGCCTAATATAGAAATCGCCGCCGTAGTTCGTGTGTAAGCTGTGCGTTTGGCGAACCACTCATCTGGATCAACGAAGTGCTCCATGAAAAAGTAGCGCATCACAGGCTGAAATTTCTCCGTGACCCTCTTATAAGTAGCTACGCGAACCTCAGACGATTTACTCTGGACTTGGGAAATCTCCTTCCGGCACTGCGACCCTTTGAGATCTTTCGGATGATACCGTTCATGAGCCGGCATTAGATATTCGTGGAGCGGTATAGTATTCGACACGAACTCGATCAGCCCGGAGGCTGAAGTCAGGGGCAAAACCTTGTACGTTCTGATTCCGAGATTGCGTTGCTGGGTAGACCGATGATGCTTTAATACGGACGACACAGCGGCAAAGACCTGTTCCATGATTGCGTCCTGGCGCAAGTCATCGTTTCCCCCTTTAACAAGTTGTTTGAATCGTTCTCCATTAGTCCCAACCACGGTGATTATTTTTGGTGCGCTGACGCCGGAAGCGATAGACATATTCGGCTCGATCTTGGCAATATATGGAATCTGGCTATAGTCTCGACTAGCTTGGAGTTCAATTTGCATTGTCGGGGGTGGTATCTGGTATTTGGCCAGAGTACTCGAAAGAGCAGAACCTGCAACAGAGTCTCTGACTGCGACCTTTTGTCCTGCCTTATAGCGAGAAGGGTCCAGCTCGGTTGCCAGCTTATGATAGGCTTTGTTGGTCTTATCAATCGCAGTCCATATCGTTGCCACTGAATCCGTTTTGGCAAGCCTTTTACCAACCGTTACCGTAGCTTCCTGGCGGAGAACGGCCACGTCATCGTTCTTATTCGTGCGTGACCACCACCCCGACCATATCTGATACATCCCATGATAAGGATGATCAACACAGATGCGATACACAAGCTCAAAGAGAAGTTTCTGGAAGAGGCTATTCTGGTTAATTAGGCGTGAAGAAAGCTGATTCATCAGCGGGGCGAACTTTCGAGTTGCAACTTTGTCGATGTATCTCCTGACAGCTTCATTGGTGATGTCTTCATCAGACCTTTCTAACCACAAGGCTGTGAATCTGAGGGCATCGTTATTGTGATCATCGCAGGATATCAACGACAAGAGATAGTTTTCCAAACTTAACCTGACAAATTCGGTCCGACTTTGCTCAACGCGACGTAACTCTTGTTCGTCTAATTCAAGCCATTGTCTCGCTTTGGCAAGATGATTCTGGTACCTTTGTTTCTTTTGCGAATCTCTCTCCGATGACACAAGTACCTTAAGCTGCGAGACTTCATCGCTTTTCCCCTTCTTTAGATGCTGCAAGCGAGCCAAATCTTCGAGCCCGTCCGGATTCTGCAACTGCTCATCACAGAACATGGCGAACTGATGATATACCTTACCAGCCTCTTGGCCATCTGTCTTTCCTTTAAGTTCCTTTAATGCAGGCTGTAAGTAGTCTTTTTGGATAGTCTCAGGCTTTTCCAACTTTGCTACGGATATTTGATATCCGGTCTTCGCGAGTAGATCCGGTCGACTAACAGGAATGGTTTGTTTCTTGAAATTTGGGTCTTCGTCGATGCTTTGTAGCATATGGATAGATGATGTCATCTCTCCATGATCCCAGAGAGAATTGGCGGCCTCAAATTTCGCTATTGAGTCAAGATGCAAACCGAGACCTGCACTTGGTGATACTAAATCGGTCAGGGATGTTGCGATGTTTAAAGACTCTTGAGTAGCTTGGTGATGTCTATAAACGCCGGAAGACAATAGCATCGACTTTATCTGTGCTAATGTGGCCTCCGGTGGGTTTACCTTTGTCATACTACGGCGTTGAGAAGTTTGAGCTAGCATACTCAACGTTGTTTCTCTGCAGGATAGAATTTGGCTAACATCCTCGTACCTAAATTTCGTCAGTAATTGTATAGAGTAAGAGGTGCCTTACGACACATACCGTCCGCTTTTCATCCATCTAGAGCGATCTGTGAATGCCGTTAAGATTTTGTCAAGTTCGGAAGAGTCAGCCATCTCTACAACATCATTGAGTTCTGTCAGGACAGCTAATGTGCCAAGATGACGTCGGAGTTGGGCCGGGCCAAGGTCATTCTTAACTATGCTTCGCATAGTTTTAGTGAACCCATCATGAGCAGCCCTTCTTGCAAGGCTTAGCTCGGTGGCTTGGTGCCAAGTCTGGTATGCTTTATAAAGTGTGACAGAGGGATGATCGGTTGACGCGGGAGCTGGGAGGTTCCATATTTCCAACCGCCTAGCTGTACTGAAGGTACTTTCCACGGTAGCTGAGGAATTATCTAGGCTTTGCTGGGTCTGAAGAAGCGAATGTGACAATCCCGACAAGCCGAGGTTGCCGAGTGTTCCCACTAACGATTGAGTATCGATATTGGCGTTTGGATCTCTCCTCCGAATATGACTATCGTATTGTGCGCCACGGAATGCTAGGCTCATGCTGCCATTCTTTTCGTATTCGAGCCGCGCGAGTACATTGCTCAGACTTGAGGTATGACTGATACCATAATAGGCATCGGGATCATCAATGTTCTCAAAAATGTCCATCAAAACGTCTGTAGATTCCTGAGTCCGGGCGGCAGATGAACGGCGAGATGTTCGTGATCCGTCCGCAGATGCCATCTCGACAAATAGCAATGCTGTTTTGAACATACCACACCTAGTAGCTGCCGAAGCAACTAGAAGAAGATCGAGATCAAGCCATTGAGCTCGATCAGCGATGGAATTCTCTTTTGGCAGTTGCTGTGTCCTCAGATATAAAATGGCATTTATTATGAGGCCTATATTTTCTTTGGCCGTTGGTGAGTCTAGCTTGAGCCAGTTCTTGAGTGCGCTCGACAGGTTACGCTTAGCAGAATGCTGCTTCTCCCGCTCAAATAAGAGGACAAGATGTATAATGTAAGGAAATGCTTGTTGAGCAAAGCCTTTGATATTTGTGAGTATCGGAGGCAAAGCATTGAGAATGGCATGATCGGGATAAGATTGTGCTAGGTATACAGTAACACCTTGTGCCCATTTCTCATTCTCGAATGCTTCACTGGAGAGAGCGTGATCTTCATAAACAGGACTGACAGGCGGGTTATCAGACGGCGGCGTTCGATATGGTGCCCAATCCGACGTGGCAAGAAGCTGATCGGACAAGACCTTTTGACAAGCTATGAGCAAGTCTTCGTCACCCTGAGCTGCAGCATCTGAGACGATCGTTCTTAATGCCGACTCCGAGAGCCCAGCTTTATAACCGTCGCTGTCAGATGTCAAAGATTGTAGGAGACTTAGAAGACCATGCTCCGATCCAGAGGCGCCTATCGAGAAATTATAGTATCGCGATAATTCAGATTCTCGGAGCAGGTCTTGATCGACGTGGCCGGATGCAGCAAATCCTCTACCAATAACTCGGCCTGCCCAAGCAAGGTACTCGTTGCTCAGACCTTGAGTCTGGCAACTTTTCCAAACAACAGAAATCCAGGCCAATGCCTCTTCGTCAGAACTGACGACGTCCACACTGTGAGACGTCGGGATCGTGAAGTGACTACAAAGCATTTCTAGCGCTAGTTTGCGTGAAGGCTCGTTTAGTAACTGGTACCCGTGCGTTCCATCTTGGAGAATCTCTAATAGAAGTCTACTTTCGTAAGAGCCTCGTTCTGCGTTTCCCGAAGATCGAACGTGCGCCGCGGACCCTGTTATGGTATCAAACGCCTCGCGTTGTTCGGTGTCTCGGAAGGAAGGAGATTCGTAATCCTCCAAGTATTTCGTAAACCATGAATGGAATTTCTGCGCTTTGCTCATAGTAGCTTTGAACTGGCTTTCTTGGGTCGTGCTAGATTGACTAGTTTCTAGGAATACGCGAAGTGAAGCCAACACAGATAGGGCATAGCCAGCTAGGAACGAAGGTGATTTTGACAATGAATTTGATCCTTTCTCCAGGAGGTATTGGCTCATCCCAAGTGCATCATCCGCACATTCCGTATCCACAATCAGAGGACGTATGGCTTGTAGGAACATCTCTAAAGGATACGATTCCCAAGCAGGTTGGCCTGCTAGACATATGAGGACCCGCACCTTTCGAAGGACAGAACATGTATGCAAAGGTCCCAAAGCAGCATGAACACCATCGAGGAGTTTCCGAGCAACGCTGACCACGAGTGCTGGTGTCCACAGTGCAGACATCTCGTATTCCGTTCGACTACACAATAGTGCTATCTCTCTGGTTAGATACTTGGCCCGGAACATTGGCTGCTGGTTCGGCGACAAGCCAATCTCGGAATGACCACACTTCTTAATTTCTGCCATTGACTCAGCAGCGTACTTGAAGTTTGGATCTCTGGCCCATGACTCCTCAATTGGATTTTCTTGGTCGATAAGGCTGAAGAACAGCCCGATAATATCCGCAAAATTGATATATATGCCCTCAAGAAATGCCTCTCGACCAAGGATCTTGCGCAATCGGCTTTCACCACTTCGCTGCTGCTCCGATTGGGGCATGCTGATATCATGCGCCATACTGTACGCTAAGATCCTTGAGAAATTACGCCGGATGAGTTCCGCGAAACTATCACCAAGAGTTGTTGCCAATTTTTCCGCTGCTTCATCTTGTCCTCGCATGATCATTAGAGATACGACTTCGGATTGTGCGTGCTGTACTAATTCCTTGAGACTTGAGAAACCGAATATCCTAAATGGGATGTCGTCGATACTTTTAATTTCAAGCCAGGTATAAAGTAGCTGAGGCGCAAACAAATCAAATAACTCTTGTGCGCTCTCAAGCTTCAAAGAAGCAGATATCTTGTTGAGACAGCGTTCTGCATGTCTCATCGAACCAGGAATTTCTCCCGGGATCTCAAATATATGATATATACCGCGTCGGAGGAGAGTAGGCCACTTGCGTGCTAATTCAGCAAGTACGAATAACCGCAAGGCTATACCCTCGGGAAAGTCGCTTTTGCTCGGAAGCACACCGAGGACATCAACTAAAACCTCGTCATGAGACTTCAGAACATATCGGCCAAACAAGCTCGGTAAGCAGCATCCTATATAGTACTTGACAGATATTTCTCCGTCCTCTAGTATACTAAATAGGGACGTGCTTGGAGGGTCCATTTTGATCGTCTCTGGGTATTTATCGTTGACTTGGATCAGACGGAGAAGTAATCGAGCCAGTGATATCTGGACGCTTGATGAAAGTATATTATTCTTTAGTCCGGAATTGAGGAAGTAGCAGTACAAATCGCCCACGTGAGATGCTATTTCGCCATTGCTGTCGGACCACACTGGCATGAGACCTTCCATTACGTCGAGACATACGTTTAGAGCAACTTCGCAACTCGAAAAAGCCGTGCTACCGAGTAACTCGCCGATTCGGGCGATCACTCTATCAGCGTCATCGGGGTTGACTATGAGGTCAGAGTCAAATAGTTCCCGTAATAAGCAGCGGCACGAGAGAAGTTCTTCGTCCGATAATTCTAACAATTCATCGAGGAACAAGGCGGGAACGAGCCCAATTTGGCCATTATCTTCATACAGTATATCGAGAAGATGAAGCCTTTGAATAGTATCGGAGTAAAAAGTTGCTGCTTGTAGGTTAATGGATGCCTCGTGTCGGGATATTTCAAGTGATTTGGACGATATATTAGACCGGTGTTCTTTGGATTCAAAGCCATCGTCAATATCCATGAAGTCATCGTCGTGATCAGAAGTTTGCTTTCCAGATCTTTTGCGAAAAGCTCCATATATCTCGCAGAGGAGTTGGTGGAGATACTTCCACTCTTTGCCTAATTTACTCAATTCGGCACTTGACAATGTTGGTATATAGGAACGAACTGACATAAGAAGGCAGTCGTACAGAGCCTGGCTGTCGGACGTGTTCGAGACACCAGCCAAGGCAATTTGAAGAGTTGGAAATAATGAGTGTTGGATTTCTTGAGACTGTGACGAGTTCGCTTCCATTATCTCAGGAAGTATAATGGCACCGACAACCAAAGAACATAATACGCTTTGGAGTTTCTCTGGCGTGATTTGGACTGACTTATCTTTCTGTTTGTCCCATGACTCACACAGGGTTCTGATTTCCTCAAGTTTCGGATAGAAGAGTTCTGCTATGAGTTTTTTCGTGCTATGAGCATTTGAGCTATCACTAAGTTGCGTAGCTGCAGTCACGGCTTGCTTCTGACTAGTACCTGTTGGAACTACAGGCGTTTCAGGATCTAACAGAAGCAGGTATTTGACTAGACTTTCGCGGTTCTTGAGCAGACATAGAGTCTCCCCAATCTGTCCGGAAATCGTCTGAGACGATCGAGACAACGTCATTTCCTGATCGCCATAAGCTGCTCGCATTAGATTGACGATATCTACCGGTATAGTATGGCCGGAATATGACGATATGAATACTGTGTCGGCTACAGTTTTGCTATAATTAGATTTAAGACGGACTTTGGGTAGTAAGTCTTACTCACCAGGGTCCCATCTAAAAAACATCCACCGGACTACATGATTGCAGGTCGCGTAACTAGCACTCGGAACTTGAATGTTTCGAACGTTAAGAAGGGTGGTCATGAGAATGAGAGATGAATCCGTCACAACAGCTGGTCCATTGACATCAGAACTCATGATCATACTGTTGATATCATCGGCAATATGACTGTATGGCACTAATTCATGAGTTAGGATGGAATGAAGCAGAACACTAGAGGCACGGCAGCTTGCAGTCATGCTAACCGCTCGCACTGCGATCTGCCATACTTGCTTCCAAAGCGTGCGTAGATCGTTATCAGTGGCGCTGGGTTGGAGAGTTAAGCTAATTGAAGGTCAGTATACGGTAGTAATATGACGAAGATAAAAACTAACCTTGCGCAAGCAATCATAGCCCACGAAGATACCTTACTTTTCTTGCTAGTAATTTGACTCATCAAAAAGGATAGCAGTTCTGACATCTCATCAATCTCAACTTTGAGATCCGATACAAAAAAAGGTATTACTTGAAGAGCAGTATACTGTACAGACTGGTCAATGGAGCGTAGTTTTTGGCGAAGTCGACTAAAGCCTGCAGTAGTCCGTTGCTTCTTCCGTGGTTGTTCATCGTCAGCTAAAGCAGTGTGCAATTGCTGAGAACCTCTCCACATTAGACGTTCGAGAAGGGCTAGAATGTGCACAACTGCCCAATTTTTCTCGCCGTCAACATTGAATGGGCGTAAAGAGAAGGACTGTACTTGAAATGTCGAGCTGCCGCAAGGTGCGGACGAGTATGTCAAATCGTCTTGCTGAAGCTGAGCGCGTTCCTCCCGCCTAGAATATTCACCCCAAAATAACTCCGCCAAATTTTCAACGTCTCCAAGTAGCGATCGCTTGTTGTCTTGCTTGATTAGAAACTCGAGTTGGAGGTGAATGTTGAATAGAAGCTTCAACATTTCGACACGAACGCCATTCAGAAGCGCGTCGTGTGCAGATGCCGCTTTCGTTTGCCACCACTGGCTTACCAATGGCAGGCAATCCATAGCTAGAGAGTTTGCGTGGTCAGAATCATCCGTCTGGGACGCCACGAAAATCTTGTTAACTAATGCGAATGCCACTTGATGTAGCTGGCTTATTCCGAGAGAACGGAGCTGGAGAACTTGAATGACAACAAACGAGATCTCCTTTGAACGCTGCAAAAGAGGGGCATTTGGGGTAGATGCGAGGTGAAGAAGGCATTGTAGAAGATCCGGTAAATGACTACGTGAAACTCGGCTAGCTCGCTGCGACGCGGAAGCAGATCTGGGAGTTGACAAAATCGAAGACGCTGCCTGAGCTATTCCGGGCGCCGGCGAAGCTCGCGATGGGGCAGGATCTTTCTCGGTCGCCGCTAGATATAAGGTCAAGATGTCAATGGCGAAGTCAACACACGTGAACCAACCCTCGCCACCCCCTGTAGCAATGAGCTCGACGTTAGCAGCATGATTCAGCAGAGCTGCAAGTGCTTTGATGTAGTCCTGAACAAGCGGCGGGACTAGGTCGTCCTCAGAATGTGGAAGGGTCTGAGTAATGTGATCAATGATGGCGAGAACGGTTTTCCGTTTTACCTTGCCCGCCCCTAACTCAATACCGAGGCGGAGTGCTTCTGCACACTTGGTAAGCCTGTTAGCAGCCGTGCTCTTTTTGGCATAATAAGCTTGTTTCTCAGCTAATGAACACCTGAAAAGAGATTCGAAGGTTATGTGATAACTTTTATCATCTAGAGTCGAACTAGATCATGTTAACTCGAAAGTGTGTAAGTTGTGTTGATGGTTACTCACAAATTTGCGGCCCTCGTTTGTTCTTTGAATATATGAATTAAATCTAAGAGAGTTAATACTGATGTATGACCATCCAAGTAAAAAAGACATTGGTCGTCTCACCATCTAAGCCCGACGAGCGAGTAGTACTGTTACTGCTTTCGATAGCGACTGTCTGACTTTTAGCATCGCTCGGCTATAGTCCAAAGTCATCATGGATGCAACTTACTCCGGGCGCCATCCATAGTAATCTGTCGTGCTCTCAGTCGAGGTGCCATCTTGTCACTTTTGTTTCATCTCTCCTCACTAATTTCCAGGTTTATAGAAAATAGATAATATATTTGGCTAACAGGGAGAAGGAGATGGAAGAAGATATGCGACTTTGGGACCAGCAATAAGCTAGCTTTGGGGTTCGGAGACTATCTACCGTGACAGGTGATATGACATCAACTTCATCTGAAGACCGAATGTGGCTGCAGTCCCATCTTGTTCGATAGGTGTAATTGACTTGACCAAGTATGAAACTCAGTCATCAACATGAGCTTTTATAGGTAAATTTGGCAGTCAACAAAGTGTGAGGACCTTGCTAACTTGCAAGTCCAAATTGCTATAGACATTGTGAGTATGAAGAATCGAATAGTTGAATTGAATTTGTCAGAACATACTAGATGCGCGGGATCTGGATGACTACTATGCAGTTTTGCTTTTTCTTGTCGAGTGATATGGAAATGATAGGGCGTGCCTTCTGTTATCTACCTAATAAGAGGTGAGCTGCTAAATAAGTTCCAGGCTACAGCTCTTCGAACTTTGTTTATTGGTAGCCCTGGAGACGTTTCTACCAGGAAAGTCCTAGCCCATACTTTATTTTGCCGGCAAAAACCGACCGCCTTCCTTAACTAGAATAACGTACCTAGGTATCAGGCATGCGCCAGACTCGTTTTAGTAAAGTCAAAAGTGTAAAAGTGGGTACATGCCCATTTTACCTGGATCTGCTAGGTACATACCTTACCTTAGCAACTGCTTAGCTTGACACGTCCAGCATCATTTTCTTATTGAATTGAATTTCTGAAGATTGCGTTCGCGCCCCTCCGCATCTTCGCAAGAAACAACACTTCCTTCAGTGCAACCAGTGCACATACAGCAAATAAACGACCGAGTAACCAATACGTGGTGCATATTCATTGCGTCACAATCCTATTTCTCACAACGAACCACGCGACAATGCGATAGAATTCAAGAGTACAAATCATGGCGGACGATGGTGGTCTGGAAGCTCTCCAGGCTTTGCATAAAAATCTGAGCAACACAACCGAGGCGCTCAAAGCCGATCGCGAATTTGAGGCCCGGAATGAGTTGATACTGCGCTTTTTACAAAGTTCCGGGGCTCTCTTGGACGACTTGACCCCGACGTTTAGGGGATTACTAGAAAGACCCGGAAGAAAAAAAGAAAGTCGAGATGCTGTGCTGTCAGGTTTGTTGTTTATTATTCTACTCTACTTAGTCTAACTTGCTTGTCCTAATAACGATTTCGATATAGGAAAAGTCACAATATCTGACGAAGAGTATTCTCTGAATAAGGACTTTCAAGAGCTCACACTACAAATTGCCGACGGTTTGGAGCTAGACGAGATCGAAGCAGCCAAATTGGCCCTCCTTGCCGAAGATGAAGAGATCGCATGGGGACGTTCTAGGAAGGAATGCGCCATCATACGGTTCCATAAGCAGAGAAACTACTTGCTCAACTGCATGCTGTTGCTTTTGGAACTTGCTAAGGAGGAGGATGAAATTGTCGCTGAAGGAGTCGGTGAGAACCTCGGAGCCCTTGGAAGTCTTAGTCGATACGTAAGCGAAAATATCCTTCGAGAGAACCTTCCTGGCATTACCAATTCCCCATCGCAACCGAGATTCGTGCCTACGTGCGCGTCAACGATGGGCGACATCAGAACGTGGCTTCAAAAACTCGCTGAGCAGGTCGCGAGTGCCGCAGTATTAGGCGTTGCTAGCGAGGCTCGATTTCAAGAGACCGTGGAATTTACATATGTCAGCTTGACTCAACAGCATGAGCTCCTCTCGGTCATTCTCTGTCACGCAATCGAGAAACACGTCGCGATCGAGAACGATTTCCTTGATTTTCTTCGGATACTAAAGCAGGCTACTAGATATGATTCCTGTACTGGTGAGTTTGTTATTCCTGTTTTATTTGCTCCTGATGAAACGGCTTGACTTTATCAGCCATATTCGTCTTCATAACTAACTTCGCCAGTACATCTTGTACCTGTTCTCGGCACTTATATTACGATTTTCGGTTCTACGGAGGGTAGTGGAAGTGTGGAACAAGCGAGAAAGTTGAACCGTATCGTTTGTCAACAATCGGAAGACGAAGTTCGAAGCTTGCCTTTTCTCAGCGCAGCGGTAAGAGCTTGGTGGATTGCCGAATATAGTGGTTGGTATATGGATGATGCTGCCGGTTCAGGTCTTTCTGGTATTGATATTGACGAAGGTAACAATCCCCCAAGTCTGATAATATTTATTGTCACAACTAACAAGCAGAAAAGAGGACAAAGAGAGGTCGAAACAGTTCGCTGAAGCATTGAGGGATGGCGCCTTTGACTTTATGCTGGCAGTTATTGCCGATGTCAAAGCATCTGAGTGGGAAGATGCTGCTCGAAAATCATTACGGCAATGGCTGCGAAAGCGAACTCCAACACTATCCCTCGATACTATTCCATTTACAGAACCATTTCAGGTTCGCCTTGCGGCAAAACTTGAGACCTTTGTAGATGCCTTCATATCCAACATGCCCGATGTACTTCGAAGACTGAAAATCGAGGAGGATGAGCAGCGCCAGACCAGCCAAGCCCAGGAACAAGACTATGACTTGGAAAGGTTCCTTCTTATTATCGCTTACTCGTTCGAAGGCCGCCCAGAGGCCGCGGATGGTTTTTGGGGTGATCCCGAGAATAATCTAGCGGGGTTTCTTCAGTGGGCATCTCGGAGAGCGACGACCCCAGTGCAGGCCGCGTTTTGTGAGATGCTACAATCCTTATCCGAGGATGAACCCTCTGCCAAATCTGCGCATGAATTTCTTCTAGATGAGGCTCACCAAATTCGAAAGCCATTGACCATCACATGGGCTCACATCATCCATGAGTTGGAATACTTTGCTAATAAAAGCAGAGAGAAACCCGCCGCAACCCAGGTCAGCATGAACAGGGCTGTAAAAGTCAACCCGGAACAAGCCGAGACCGAACCAGAATTCGCGGCAATGCTAGAATCCTATCTGAGACTCATGGCTAAGCTGGCTGCTCAAAGCGAGGCAGCACGTAAATATCTGCTTGAGCAGCCACATCTACTTAGGGTGCTCTTCCAGGTAGTGAGCAGCTTAGTTGCACCTCGGATCAGAGCGTGTACGTTTAGGGCGCTATCCGCCCTCCTTAATCGAAAGACCATTGAACAAAACAACGTTTTGTGGCAGTATCTAGAAGCGTGCCTCTCTGGGCGCTTCTTCCTGTCTACAAATAGAGCCGGGTCTTCAAGTGCTCAGCCCCCATCTTTTTACATGGAGGGACTCTTTCAAGAGATGAGTCCGCACGCCGACGATGCTATTGCTTTCATACAATTACTACATGCTTTGACGTCTCTTCCAGAAGGATCTAGCTCTCTTAGGGATTTGCTACCGTATCCGAAAGATCTGGGCGCATCGACTCGGATGCGCCCCGGAATCGAGCCGTATATCGACTTCGCTCTAGGGCACATGTTCTCTGTACGAGCCCAGGATATTCCAGAAGTGGTGCAGCAGAGAATGCTACGGTTATGTTGCTTGGAATTCGCATTGACTTGCGTTTCCACCTTCAACGAAGACTTGATTATATTTAGCAACGAAACTAACATCAATGTCGATTCTGCTATAAAATGCGACAGCCTAGAGAATTACGTCACATTACACCCGTTCGCTAGAGTCATGGAGTGGATGTATGACGCCAAATTCATGAAGGGCATCCTCGACACGATACATCAAAACCGAGCCGATATTGAAAAGGCTACACAAGATTCACCTCTCATCCTCAGTATTCTCCGCGCAATCGAGCTTATCTCTAAGGCCTTAGACCTTCAAGCTACTTATACTAATCTTATTCGGCCGATTGTGAAGCCGCAGTCTCGAACACAAGGTCGTTCGCCGTATATACCAGTATCAAATGGGGCGTTAGCTTCTATAGAAGATGGTCTCATGATGAGTATGGCGCTGATGGCCGACCTTGGCGGCTACTGTGGCATTGGGCATCCAGATTTGACTTTGGCAAGTTTGAAACTCTTGGAGAAGATATCCGCATCGCCTAGGATAATTTCCGTTTGGCACTCTGGGTCTTCCAACCTCTCTCATCGCAACAAAGCTATTATGGCCTTGGAGGAACACAACGACGCGGCCACCATAGCGGGAACCTTTATCGGCGAATTTAAGATTCCCTTGGATTTTTTCAAAGAAAGCGAGTCACCCCAACATCAAACCAAACTCTACATCCTCGATTTTCTCCATTCTTGCTTGCAAGCGAGCCCGGATCGACCCACGATCGCTCACTTGCTTCTCGGATTCCGCTGCGGGGCTAGCACACTTGAGATCGAGCCTGGTAGCCCATTCGACCGAAGATCGTCTCTATTTCATGAGCTATTGCCGGTGATGATTGAGGTCCCGTCGTTGAACGAAGAGGGATCCATGGTTACGTGGCTCGTGAATTTTAGGTACAAAGTTATGCGAATTCTCAGAATACTCTGGAGTTCTCCGCTATCAGCTAGGATCGTTCTTGAAGAACTTCGAGAAAATGATTTCCTTTTTCATATTCTGATGCAGGGTCTGGTGGTTCAGCAGAACCTTCTATGGGATGGGGTTGAAGCTAGCGGGCCCGACTTCCTTGCCTGCCCTGCCGCTGAAGGCTACGTTGATTTTCTTTCGATGAGGGCGATGGCGCTTGAGTATGTTACTCGCGAGCTTTGCAGCGTCTCCCTTGGCCACACGCCCGCGCTGAAACGACGGATATTTGACGCGCTCGGCGGCCAAATTAAAGTCGACGGCCTAGAAATTATATCGGTGCCCTCGGCATTTGAGTTTCAAGATTCCCTACCTCAAGAGTCTCAGTTCGCAACTGCTCCACCTGAATTTAGGTTCGTTGGTGAATTAGATCTGAGTTCCTGTCTTGAGGAGGATGATGACTTGAATCGAGTGTACAACTTGAACAAGGTACAAGAAATCTTGCTTTTACGATACAATGAAACTAGCAAGTCCGGTCAACTTATCCTGCAAGAGGACGCTGAACTTATGGAGCTGGAAAAGGATAATCTACTACAATACCTTCGATACTTGAACCGATTTACGCAAGTAAGGTCGTACAGCCTCAAGGTTCTAGCAGCGTGGACGAGACTCCTGATGGTCATGACCGATTGCAACGAATTTAAAGGCACGAATAAAGTCTCCTTCATACTACAAACTCTACAGGCGATGCTGCCCAGCCTCGAAATGTATGGTTCAGATAACCCCGGCGCCGCCTTAGAGCTGGCAAAACTTGCCAAGGTGTTGTTGTTCGAACTTGATTTCGAAACCATGACTTCGACCGATAAACAAAGTCGAGCGGTGGAGAATTTGATCAGCGACAAGCTTTTCCAACTTCTCCAGGTCTGCCTAAGCGCGATCGCGAAATGGGCGGGCAACCAAGAACTGCGTGCAGTCTATTACAGCATTTGCTATCGGCACTTGACGGGGCTCGTCGACCACGGACACGGAGTTTCGTCGAGCCTACGAAAGACAGCTCGAACAATACAGGCGTTCGGTGAAAAGCTGCTAAACGTCGTGTGCGACGACGCATTTGGCGGGGACGCGGCATGTCAATCGGCGGCCCTGATCCTCCTAGGAAGCCTAGTCCAACTTGGCAAGCAAGAGAAGGACAACTTTGTAGTAGAAGCTCTCAACAGGCTGAACTTCATCGGTATTCTCGTCGACTCTCTACGCGACGTGTTAGCGGAATGGGAGGTTGTCAGTCGGACAGGTGAGCGCTGCTTAAGACTTCTATTTCTGGGAATTTGCGATCTAACATGCATTTCTAGGCGACCCGGATCAGCAGAACTATATCGACGCCAAGCTCGCTCTTCTGCTCCAATTGTGCCAGACGCGGGAAGGTGCCAAGAATGTCCTGCATGCGAATCTCTTCAGGGCCATCGAGCAGTCAGGGCTGTTTTCCGTGGACCCCGAACTACAGGTTAATTCGTCGGATAGCAAGGCGTTGGAGAGGCACTATGACCTTCTCGTCAAGGTGGCGCGCATCATCGGTGCGGCGATTGTCAGTCGAGGATCACATAACGTGCTGCAGGGCAGGCGCTTCTTGACCGAACACCGAATGCTAGTGATGCACGTCTTGAAGCGTTCAGCTGGAATCGGAGCTGGAGTTGGAAAGACAGAGGAGCTACTCTCCGAACGCGTTAGTGACTTGGCCGAAGCGTTCATGGTCGTAATAACTGCGACCGGATTTCTTGAGGTAAGCCTAGATTACGCTCTTGGCATAGCACGTTGTATCGAGAAAATTGGCTAACACACTTTACGTCTATCTACAGTTTGAGGGTGGAAATTTACAGGAAGACAAAAGACCGGCGCCGATGCTGTTCCACTAAAGATAATTAGGACCGCTTCGTGAGAGCCGTAAGAGGGCCTGGACGACTTTGATATCCAGATGACGCGGTCGAGCAAAAGCTCGTTGGTGGTGGTGTGTACGACAAAAACTCGGACCCGTAGGTCAATAAGCCTGATAGTAGCACCACAGGAACGCGTGAGATCGGTGTTGGCCTTGGCAGTTGGTGTATGATACGATTTAATGATGCGAGCCTACCCGCAGGAAATGAAATGCAAGATACCGCCGCAAGGCATAAAAGGTATTCATTAGTAACGATTCACTGTCATGTGACTGATATGCGCTGAGAACTAGGCTTTTTAGCATAGCTGGTTTGCGTGCTTTTGCGTGCTGGAATCAATCTAGAAGGTCTTGGCTCATCTTGGCGGGTCTTTGACGGGTCTGCCAGGTCTGCCAGGTCTGCTTGCTTGATTGCCACAGAGGCTAGAGGGCGATATCTGGGTTGGCCATGATTGGCTAGAATGGGCTGTGATTTGCTAAAAGATTTGGACCAATTAGCTAAGCTAGCGGATGCTGAGCCGTTGGTGTCGGCCTCTTAAGGCTTGGCCAGCTTGTAGCCCCTTGGCGTAGGTAATAAGAAACTTGGCCTATCAGGTTTTCCAATGCTCATTCCGCCCATTCTACCATAGTCCGCCATCTGCCCCAGACCTTTGCCCGATCTAGAAGCTGGCGAAGTACCCCTCTGTTGCCCCTACTTCCCCTACTGCTCCCTACAACCTTGACTTCCCCATCCGTGTAACTCATTATCTAGAGTCTGTGCAGACTAGGCCGTTGTGGGAACTCGGTCTCCATCGACTATGGCGAAACGATACCACTGCGCACTAACGCCTTCTTGGTAGAGCAGATGGTTGGTCGGGAGAGGCTGGTGGACCTGGGCCTTGCAAAATGACGATAACCAGCGAGTCTGGGGAATCAGAGGCGTCAATTCGACTATTACACATCGAAGACGATGCGGTTGTGCCCTCGTTGCCTTTATGAATGAAACATCACATGTGATCTGCGTGGCTGCGGCTCGTGGTAGCTAGGGCAATCACATACCACATTCTGCACATTCTCCTGGATCTACGACATTATCGCGACTGTCACGCACGCATCGGTTAGGTGGCTTCGACGAAGGCGCCGAAGAAAGTCCAGATTGTTGATAGGTATGTTATGTTGAGGGCACACGACATGTCACCAACCAGTTTAACGGGTTGCTTACCTACTCGAGCATGTAACACATCTACAGTCTATTATACTACCTAGTATACCTCATTGCTAGGTACTTGCCTAGTGGTAACTAATGATAGGCCTACGCTTTCGCTGGGAAGAAGCCAGTCCGGCAATGGGCCAAGAGCCTCTAGGCTGGGTTGGTAGGGATCGTAGTTCGCTGCACGGATGATTGCAGTCGTTCCCTCGGTCAATGATATGCGCCCGGGGGGGGGGCCTTGCTACATATGTAGGTACTATAGTACATACTACGTACGTACACAGACTGACGGAAGGAAAAGACAGTTGGAGAGATAAGCAGGACGCCCCATGCTCGATGCCCCGCTGGGCTCGCAAGAGATTTACGGGACTAACAAGCTAAAGTGGTGGACAGTTAGACCTGCTTAGGCTAGAGGCAACAAAATGATACGTAGTAGCCAACTATCTTCATCGTTCCGCCCACCAACGGAAGGCCGATTGGGATTGGTCGGACGGGTAGCAAGACCGTCTCCTTACTCTGCATCTCTAGACCTCTGCAGCCCCGTTGGTGCCAACCCGATATAGTACTTGCTCCCATCGACCATTCCCTGGGATTACATGGGATTGCATGGGAGGCCATTTAATACTTGAGGATCGCCCAAAGCCACATCCTTCGCTTCTTGCTTCCGCCTCTTTCGTCGTTCTGACTTCTTCAACAAAAACCCAAGGGACTCGGACACACGTAAAACGTCCCCTGCTAACTGTCGTCGGAAACGAAAAATCGAAGATTTCAAAAACTGGGCTTGTTCATCATGTCCCACTCGAACCATTCCAGTTTGGTTCAGAGGTCGACGGCTTCGTCGCCCTCTGGGGACAAGGAGAAGATGACTTACACCGACGTCGACCTCGAGCGCTCCAACACGCACATCCGCGGTCTCGAGACCTCGGCCGAGACGTCGCTGCACCGCGGCCTCAAGGCTAGGCACATTACTATGATCGCCATCGGTGGTGCTATCGGAACAGGTCTCATCATCGGTACCGGAAAGGCTCTCGCGCAAGCCGGGCCCGGGTCTATCTTCATCTCCTACTCGATCGTCGGTTTCGTCGTCTACCTAGTTATGGCCGCTCTTGGCGAGATGGCCTCTTGGCTCCCCATGTCTGCTGGTTTCACCGGTTACGCTTCTCGGTTCTGCGATCCTTCGCTCGGTTTCGCGCTCGGTTGGACGTAAGTCGCATCTCTATGTAGTTTCTTCCACGGCTTCATTTTCATTTTTATATGTGAAGCCGCATTATTTCTGAGACATTTATTCATAATGTTACATTTATATGACGAAACTAACCATTTAATCTCCGACGATATAGTTACTGGATAAAGTATATCATCGTCACACCTAATCAGCTGACCGCCGCCGCTCTGGTTATCCAGTTCTGGCTGCCTCGAGACCGAGTGAACCCAGGTGTCTGGATCACCATATTCCTCGTCGCAATTCTCAGCATCAACTACTTCGGTATCCGATTCTTTGGTGAATTCGAGTTCTGGCTGTCTAGTTTCAAGGTCCTCGTCATCGTCGGCGTTATCATCCTTTCCCTCGTCATCGCGGCTGGCGGTGCCGATGGTGACCCGAGAGGATTCCGATACTGGCAATCACCTGGGTACGTTTATTTCTTAATTTAACCTATCCTTTCCTGCAGGCTGTGCTCCCTGCAGACATGCCATTCTTACGACATGCGAGGCTGATCTAGAACTAAATAGTGCGTTCGCGCCGTACATCGCTACCGGATCGTGGGGCGAGTTCCTCGGCTTCTGGTCTACCATGGTGACGGCCACCTTCGCCTACCTGGGTACCGAACTCGTCGGTGTGACGGTCGGCGAGGCCCAGAACCCGCGCAAGACCATCCCCCGCGCCATCAGGCTCACCTTCTACCGTATCGTCTTCTTCTACTGCATCAGCATCCTGCTGATCGGCATGTGCGTGCCGTACGACTCCCACGACCTCGCCTTCGCCAACGGCACCTCGGGCAACGCCAACGCGTCCCCCTTCGTCGTCGCCATCAAGCTCGCGCACATTCCCGTGCTGGACCACATCCTCAACGCCTGCATCCTGCTCTTCGTCTTCTCGGCCGCCAACTCGGACCTGTACATCGCCAGCCGCACGCTCTACGGCCTGTCGTCGGACGGCGCGGCGCCGTCCATCTTCCGCAAGACCAACGCCAACGGCGTGCCGCTGTACTCGCTCATCACGTCGGCGGCGTTCGCGCTGCTCGCGTACCTGAACGTGTCGGACGACTCCAAGGCCGTCTTCACCTACTTCGTCAACCTGACGACCATCTTCGGGCTCATGACGTGGATCTCGATCCTGGTGACGCACATCTGGTTCGTGCGGGCGCGGCGCGCGCAGAACCTGACCAACGACATGATGCCGTACGTGGCGCCGCTCGGCATCTACGGGTCGTACGGCGCGCTCGCCATGTGCGTGCTCATCGCGCTGACGAAGAACTACGACGTCTTCGTCGGCGACTGGAGCAAGAAGTACCCGACTTTCATTACCGGATACCTGGGCATCCCGATCTACCTCTGCCTCATCGCCGGCCACAAGCTCTGGACTAAGAGCAAGGGCGTCCGCCCCCACGAGTGCGACTTCTACACCGGCAAGGACATCATCGACCGCGAAGAAGAAGAGTTCCTGGCCGCGAAGGCGGCGGCTAAGGCCGCTAGACCGGAGGGCTCGAAGGATAGGGGTGTTAAGTGGTTTTATAGGAGGTTTGTGTCTTGGCTATTCTAAGCTTTTCTCGCGCACACAGACTCTCTCTACCTAGAGCTGAGAAACGGGACGGCTTTCTATGTTGGGACGAAGCAATGGAAATGGACATCGGAATTGGAAATCGGGGGCATCTGGGGTATGGGAGGAGCATATTATTATTATTATTGCTGCTTATCATACCGGCACTTGGAAGATACCTTTGTTTTTTTTTTACTCGTTTCTTTTATATGTTTTGTATATATGATCTACGATACGGTCCATTGGATATGGATGGTTCACCAACAAGCCCCAGCGCTGGCTGTTATTTACGGTTGTTCGAGCGTCCCGGGTATAATGAAGGGGAAAATCTTATTAATTTTGGTATATATAGTATAGTATATAGAAGTACATATACATATATTTTTACCTACAGATGCAATGGATATGCCTCCCGCGATGATGCTTGTAGTTATAGCGGTGCTTATGAGTAGTGAGCAATGATTCGCATGTTTGATGTTTGCTATGTAGGTAGATAGGTAGGTACTCGGCCAGTAGGAGTGAAGTTATTACGATTACACAATTGCACAACGGATTCCCATGGCTTTGGATACAGTGTCTAACTGAAACCACATAATCGACTCTCCAGGTCCCGGGAAGGGATCGCGCAGGTAGGTAAGACATGCGGCAAACATTCCCGTCCGCGGGTCCCCTCTTTGCGGCTCAGGAAATCGGGAAGGTTGAGTGATGTGAGGTACCTAACGAAAGTCTTAGATGCGGATCCTGAGGGGCCTCGGTAGGGTCGCACCGCAGCAGCAGCGGCAGGCAAACTGACAGGTGAACAGACACGAGACTCCTTGCCCTTCTAGGCTGGTGGGTTGCCTGGAGAGTTGGTAGGGATTTTTAGGTACGTTGGTTGCTGTATTCGCCCGAGTTTGGTGTGCCGATGCAACGCTCAGCTCATGCCCCTGAAAGCGGGCTGCCGGACGGCGGCCAATGAGGACCTCCATTGTAGCTGTTGCAGCTGTCGAGGTTTTAGCACATGCTTTTCGCGGTATATAGCGCCGCTGTCAACCTGTCGATCAGATTTCGAATAGGCGAAAGGTTCAAGTATAAGGTCGTGGATTCGTCCGTTTTGCGTGATATCGTAGAATACTACTCTGTCGCTCTGCTGCCGAAAGAGACAGGAACCGCGATATTTGATTATTTGACTGTTTACCCAATCATACTTACATACTCATACTGGATGGTTTCGTCTTCTATCCTATTCTTGCCTACTATTTTTAGTTATTTCAGCACCTATTTTTCTCCTACTTCGGGTCTTCGCTTAAGGATTTACAAGGGCCTTTTACGGTTGCAGTTAGATCGGGATATTGTTCCTCGAAGGATTCAATCAGCGTCAGCGAAGGCGTGTGTGCCCTTTTTCGTCTCTTCCCCGTCCTTCAGGCTTCCGGGCTTTTAGCACTCTTTACTGGATGGTCAGAAGTCTAATTACCGACATCAGCAACAGTGCCCCTCGAATCTAGCCCCCATCGTCGCTCGCTAGCCTTCCAGGTGCGTCTAACTGGACCCTTAGCCGCGTCGTCGCATTAACGGGTCCGCTGAATCCAGCTATGATTGCCGTGGTTCCGCCCACTAGGAGCTATTGCGGAAATTCCTCGTGTGCCTTATTAATTGATGTCTACCATGTAGAGACCAATGAGGCGGGCTATGCCGGTGCTTAACTTCAATTGGGTGCTTACCTGGGAAGGCTAGCTTGCCCGCTGCAAGTGATCCCTTTTCTAAAGCTACATAGTACGATGTCTATGCTGACTCCATAGCCCTCAAACAGCTAGGGTACAAGCATATTCTTAGGGAGCTTGGTTAAGGCTGATGCTCCCTTGTCAATGATCTCGTATTTGACTTTGAATAGCGACATGTTCATGATCATATAGCCGTAGCATTGCTTTGAGAGACGTGCGATTTTCGTATGACTAATCTCATTGTTAGAATGTAACCTCCAGGGCGTGGGGGTCAACCTAGAGAACTAGTTACCCCATATGTGCCCTATGGATCGTCTGAGCGGCCCCATAAACTCACATATTGAACTTCAAAATAGGACTGAGTTACCTATTTTGCTAGAGAAAATGAACAGACCGTTTGAAAAGGGGACTAGTTCCATCGGATCGCTAGAACTTCTCATACAGCTCTATATGATCTACTAAATTAATATCTATTTAAAGTATAACGCGTAGTGGTCATATGACGATGAAAATACGTAGGTAGATTCCAGTGTCTAGGTAGTTGTCGGAGCACTTGCACCTATCCCCTTTTTTTCTGTAGAATATATTGAGTCATGTGAGACGGCGTTCATCGTGTAGTAGATTAAGAAGACGATGAGATTTTCAACCCACAACTTTGCAATGGAGCTCCAAGATCTATTCCAACCATTTGGTATTTGATGTCTTATTGTCTAAAGTCAGATAGCCTTTTAGCAAAGAATATATTGGATTCATATATATCCAAATTAACTAGGCGTCCAAGGTAGACAATACATCCTCTAACTGCTTTGCAGTATCACTGCCTTCCTCTGCCCTACCTCTCAATTGCTCGGCGAGTCCTCGAATAGCTCTAGCTGAGTGTACGTACCGCTTTTTCATTCCTGGGTTCGCATTTTCTAGCAATGTGGTGGTGAGTTGCAATACATCCGTCTGAAACTCGAGACATGTAGCGTCATTGGCACTCTCCATGCTAGGGACATCGTATGCTGCTACAGCCGTTACAATTCCCATCCAGTCCTCGGGTGTGCTACCTTCGCTCTCTGCTACTATATGTAGGGCAAAAGCGATACGGGTGCCACGGACGAAGTCTGCATCTTGTAGGGTTCCGGGAGAGGAGCTTTCCTCTAGGATCTTGAGCATGTCGCGCGACAATATTGCCCAACCATCATGAGAGTTGAAAGCGTCAATGCCTTTCGACGTTCGGAGTATACCCTCGAGTGCTGCGAGTATTGGGAGTCTATAATCCAACCCGTTTGGTTGAGAAGATGTTGAACTACTGCTCTGGTATAACTCCATGAACATGTCCATCAGGCCCGAACCCTCTTTCCGTAGGACATCCCCGTCATCATCGCGAACCCAGAGCGCGATGGCCCGGATAGCAGATAAAATGAAAGCATCTGTAGCTGCCCTCTCGTCCTTAGCATCCCACGCCAGCGTCTTGTGAGAGCCGGAGTTAGTATGCGCGTTGCCGGTGCGAGCTTCCGGGTGTAGCCCCTGAGCGCCAGCTACTGACGCATCCCAGCGATCTCGAAGATACTCCATCGTGACGGATAAGGTCTCGGCGATGGAGCGGCTTAGCTTAAGGACAAGGTCGGGAGATATCCTAAGCCATATACTTGCCGAATCCGTGCCTGGCTTAGGATCGTCCAGTTCTTCCATCCAGGCGACGAGCTGGCCGATGAAAGCTGTTAGGATATCAAGGGCTGATGTAAGGCGTTGCGATATACGAGGGTATTCCGGGTCATTAAGTTTCTCTAACAGTGTCGGTAAGGTTGCGCGGAGATCGACTAGAATGAGGTTGATAAAGAGATATGAGAACGGTTTTGATGAGTCCTTCTCGTCGAGGAACAACAATCGTGGTGTCGATTCAGGGTAAATGAGCAGCAAGGCGCCAGCGCAATTTGTGTATGCTGACCGGCTAGCTGCGGTTGGCCGGTTGGTAGCCAAGTTCCGTATAAGCTTGGTAATCGAACCAATCCATTTGGGATTTTGTGGTATGAGCTTGATACTTGTTAGAGGAATCCCGCTACGGCCTTGGGGGCACAAGAGAACTTACATTCTCGTCTAGATTTCTTAGAATATGAGATACAAATTCTAAGAGGCTCGTTGCGTCGGTGCCAATGAAGGAAGATACGAAAGACTGGATGCCACTATTGATCTTGGCCCTCATCAATGCCTTTGCGTTCTCATCTTCAATACCAAGAGTGCCCTTTTCCCAGGCCCAAATGAATATTGTTAGCACATGTGAGTGCTCGGGCGCAATCTCAATCAGAGAGGTCCAGTCATCGACTTCGAGGTTAGCGAAGCTTTTAGCACCGTCAGGTACAGTGATGAGAGTTAGCAATGTCTCTATGATGACTTTCGTAGTCTCTTTAGAGCTAATCCCAAGTTAGTGTAGGAATATTATAGGGGCAATATCGCCACGTTACCTATGGAGAACGGCTTTTGCCAACCTCGGTATCCGGTTCAAGAGCTTCGAATCTTGCTTTGCGTCCTCGGGTAGCAAAACGGCAAATGTATGGATGACAGCGACGGCTAAGTCAAGCATATCCTTGGAATTCTTCGACTCCGAACCAGGATCAGAGCCAGTACGTAACAGGCGGTCGAGAAATTTGGGGGAGACAGAGTTCCATAATGAAACGATGACTTCCTTCTCACTTTGGAGGTCGGGGGAGTTGTCCAAGACTGATTTTAGAAGAGCCAGGCCAACAAATCTGGAGGTGTCATCCTTGGTCTTTAGAAGTTGTTGGATATTTTCTATGGAGGGGACTTTAGTTTGACTCGATCCGCCTGCGTCGGCGTCTTCAACTTGCAACTTCGATACATCTGGTGCGTCCATGTTTATTCTCACTTATATGAGATCCAAGCCTTATGTAGGGGTCATTTTCATATCCTTTTTGTTCGACTCTCAATCTCGATACCGAGCCTGAAGATAAATTGTTCGCAATAAACTTGTAATTGTACCACCTTGAGCTGAGTGAATAGAGAATTTCCGATTAATTAAGGAATCGAAGTTGAGTTTTGAATTTACTGAGTTTCCGGTCACTTAATTGTGAAGTTCTTTCCAATTCTATATTCTACTCGACAGCCAATAATAATGACGACACTAATGAAGGTTACCGGGTCACAGTAGCACAGATGTAACGCATATTGGTAACAGTGTACGTAACAAAGGTAACATTACTCTTATCGTTATCTCACACTAATAATAGGTTCCCGGCAGCTGGGACCCCTAACAGGCTCTCGTTGATCGCAAAGTCGCAACACGGTTTACAGTCATGTTCCAAGCTTATGCGGACGCCCCACATTATTATCTTAACAGTGGGTCAACTGCCAAGCTTCATCTACACCTGTAAACCAGCTGTATCAGCCAGATTTACTTTTCTGAGCAGCTGGAAACAGCTGGCAGCCAGCTGCATTCTGGGCTTGGCATGTTACCCACTATTATGATAAAAATGTGGGGCGTCCGCATAAGCTTGGAACATGACTGTACAGTTTACGCTTCCAGCTACGAAACTTGCTCAACCCTGAAATTAATCCCCGAATCCTCAGGTTTTGCTCCAGCTCACAATAGGGAGGCACTGCGATATGGCAAATCGCATATACGGGCCTTCGAGATGGCAAGCAGCAGCAGGAATTTCATGAATACCCACGACGAAGAAGGCTCCTCATCTTCATCGAAATCGCCGAACGCCCTGCATCCCCAAACCCACAATGACGAAAGAGACGAGCTCGACAACTTATTCGATGGGGACGACGATGGCCTCCTTAACGACGACCCGATGAGCGAGGGGTTGGCGGAGCCTATGAGCTTCAAGAGGAAACAGAAACAGTCCATATTCTCCAAATCGAGCAGGTTATTGTCTACTTTGACAGGCAACCGCTTAGGATCCGTGTCGCCGCGGTCACCTCATTCTGCCCACTCCGGCACGGCGACGCCTACGAGATTACAACCGCAGAGTGCCCCTGAGACGCCGAACGTCCCGAAGGAGGGAACCCCGCTTGATTGGTACGTCGAGGGGCCTGGGAGGAGAGTAGGCTACGAGGATTTAACTGCGATTGACTGGATCTTCGAATACACGAAAGAGCGACAACGTTTACGAGTACTATACTCAAGCGCAACTGGTATTGTAGGATATATACAACAGCTACTAGACTCCAGCCAGATATGGGTCATCCTCGTTCTGACGGGTATTGCTGTCGGTGCGCTAGCCGCGGGGATAGATGTTGCCTCGGACTGGCTAGGAGACATAAAGACGGGTTATTGCGCCTCAGGCCCTGAAGGTGGAGCGTTCTACCTAAACAAGCAGTTCTGCTGTTTCGGTTACGACCAAGGCGCCAAATGCTTAGGATGGAAACCGTGGGCCGCTGCTCTCGGGATAGGGTCTGCTGGTGGGAAGTGGTTTATAGAGTATTTCTTCTTTTTATTGCTTTCCGTGAGTTTTCCGTCCACGCCATTGAGCACAAATTGCTGACCTACGGATAGGTGGTATTTGCTTTCTGCGCCGGATTTTTGGTCAAGGAATATGCTATTTACGCCAAGCATAGCGGTATACCCGAAATAAAGACGGTCTTGGGCGGCTTCGTCATCCGGCGTTTCCTAGGGGCCTGGACATTGGTCACGAAATCTTTAGGACTGGTACATTTCATACCAAAATGCTCTGTGACGGATATCTACTAACGAAAACTAGTGCCTTGCTGTCGCATCTGGCATGTGGCTTGGAAAGGAAGGCCCCTTAGTGCATGTTGCATGCTGTTGCGCCAATCTATTTATCAAGTTATTTCCAAATATTAATACAAATGAAGGTGAGTATTATGAAAGCCGAGAGTACAAGACAGACGTTGACTCGGAATAGCACGAAAACGAGAGGTTCTATCTGCAGCTGCAGCATCGGGCATCTCGGTTGCATTCGGATCTCCTATAGGGGGTGTGCTGTTCAGCCTCGAACAGCTGTCCTACTACTTTCCCGACAAAACCATGTGGCAGAGTTTCGTATGTGCCATGACAGCTGCTGTTGTGTTGCAAGCTTTCGACCCATTTCGGTCTGGCAAGCTCGTGCTGTACCAGGTCAAATTCAGCACAGGCTGGCATGGGTTCGAGGTGATACCATTTGCCTTTCTTGGCATCCTAGGTGGTCTATACGGCGGACTTTTCATCAAAGCCAATATGTATGTGGCACAATGGAAGAAATCAACAACATGGCTTCCGGGACCCTTGGTACAAGTAACTGTCGTGGCTCTCTTGACGGCCCTGATCAATTACCCCAATTTTTATATGCGAGCGCAATCCTCAGAGCTCGTATCTTCGCTCTTCTCCGACTGCGCCCTGGTCCTCGATGACCCGTTTAGTCTTTGCAAGACGGGCGCTGCAACAGCCGGCACCATCGTCCTACTCCTATTCGCCGCCGTCCTCGGCTTTTTCCTCGCGGCTATCACCTTCGGCCTGCAGATCCCCGCAGGCATCATCCTGCCCTCCATGGCCATCGGCGCGCTCTCTGGTCGCGCCGTCGGCATCATCATGGAGATCTGGCAGCACAACCACCCGGGCTTCTTCGCCTTCAGCACCTGCGACCCCGGCGGGCCGTGCGTGACGCCGGGCGTGTACGCGATGATCGGCGCCGCCGCGGCCCTCGCCGGCGTCACGCGCATGACGGTCTCCATCGTCGTCATCATGTTCGAGCTCACGGGCGCCTTGACCTACGTCCTGCCCATCATGGTCGCCGTGATGCTGGCCAAGTGGGTCGGCGACGCCTTCTCGCGCCGCGATATCTACGAGAGCTGGATCCACTTCAACGAGTACCCGTTCCTGGACTCCGGCGACGAGGGCGGCGGCGCCCAGCACGTCCCCGACATCCCGGCCTCGCAGATCATGACGCGCATCGAGGACCTCGTCGTGCTGACGGCCACGGGCCACACCATAGCGAGCCTGCGCGGCGTCCTCGAGACCTGCGACTACCGCGGCTTCCCCGTCGTCAGCGACCCCCGCGACGCGATTTTGCTCGGGTACATCAGCCGCGCCGAGCTCACGTTCAACATCGCGGCCAGCCGGCTCCCGCCCGAGGCCGAGGCCTTCTTCTCGCACCAGCCGCTCGCCGACCCGCACGCGACCCTCGACCTCAGGCCGTGGATGGACCAGACGCCGCTCACGCTGCCCGCGCGCTCCAGCCTCGCCCTCGCCGTCTCCTACTTCCAGAAGCTGGGCCTCCGATACGTGCTCTTCAGCGATAGGGGCGTGCTCCAGGGCCTCCTGACTAAGAAGGACTGCTGGTACGTGCTGAACGGCGCCGAGGAGGCACGGCGTGGCGGCGGGAGGAGTGGGTTGGTTGGGCAGACGCTGCGCGCTGACGGGGATGGCGCGGAGGGCCAGGAAGAAGGTGTTATAGCCGCCGACGACGAGCGCGGCGGGTTGTTGAGCGTTGACCCGGAGGGCGCGGTGGAGAGCCCGGCTGATGATAGGGCGAGTGGGATATTGTAATACCTATTGGGTTATGTTTGGCGGGTTTAGATAGATATAGATCTAGAATCTGGAACTTTGAAGTTTCAAATTTTTTTTATTACGGGGTGTGGAGTGAGGTAGAGAGATATATGGATGGCATGGCATGGCGGGCGGGTTGGCGTATGTCCCAGCGTATATCTACCTAACTACTATACACCTAGGTAGTCACTCGTGCTAGCTATGAAGATATACCCACCTACTACTACTATCTTATGTTATTACATAGTATAATATCGACCCCTTTACTCGTGTGTTCATATGCCCACATAACAAAGCTGCGCGAGAGCTTAGAGCTAACGCATCTTACATAGATGATTCTAGAGCGCGCGCTCGATATTTACGATATTGCTCGGATTGAGGGAACGCAACTACGTAGGGGTTAAGTACCCACCTACAGGATTACCGTGCGACTTACGATAGGCGTAAGGAATAGAAATACTTCTACCTAATGAATTAGGGACCTATAATCAGTTACGACCCTCTCCCTGGGTATTGAGAAAGCTGCCTACTATCGCGTAGGAGATGCACATAAAACACATTGGGAAAGTTTGGGAAGGTTATTATTTTGTATGACTACCTAGGTAGTATGATTGTTACTATCTTGCCGTAACAATCACAAAATTCCCCGCAATATAGTAAGGGGATATATGAAAAGCAGTAAAGGCGCCTCCGAGCCCGATGAGAGGTGAAAACACAATGGGGTATCACGCCGTGGATGTTATGAACGAACTCCCCTTTCCATGCAAAAACCTCGCATATTGCCTGGTATCAAGTGTATGATGCTGTAATGCCTGTCCGTAATTGCCAATGCCTTTCCTTCCCTGGGTTGAACAAGAATTACTCCTTTAAGGAGGGCCCAACTCTATTGTAATCCGCTCCTATTTTAACCGCCTCAACCAAGGTCTTGCGACATGCCGTCAAAAGAAAAGAGATTATTCGGTCGTCATAAGTCGCTGTCGACTTCGTATCTGAACTGCGTCTTCACCACGTCAGTTACAGCGTAGCAGCACCTGCGCCGCGATCAAGACGAACTGGCAGGCTGCTTTCCCTTCTTATTTGCCGTCATAATCTTGAGCTCGAGGTGATAATACGACTTCTGGTTTTTGCCCTTCTTATCCTTAGGATCGACCTTCGTTCGGCAGACGGGACATGTCTTCTTCATGTTGTCGATGTGGAGCGCCGAATGTAAGCATTCGGAACAGAAAAGGTGACCTAGTGGGATCGTCAGTTAATTTATCATCAAGTTGAAATTTGGGCCAAAAAATAACAGTTTTCCACATACCACAGTGTGTGACAGTCAGGTTAGATGCATCGTCCATGCAAATGACACACTGAAACTTGCCAATCTTCACTCGATTGTCACGTTTGTTAGCCAATAGATCGTTTGGCACGTCGGCAGCATTAGACAAATCGATTGTCTCATGAGCGTCACCGTTCGTAGGATCGCTAGGGAGTTCATCATCGATAAATGGCGAGATATCGCTGGCTCGCTTCGATTTTGTTCGGTTGACTCGACTGGAGGCAGGAGAAGATGCAGAAGAACGTCGGCGCTTGGGGGGAACTGCGTGCGTGTCGGTGGCGAGGGGTCGTTTTCTAGCGAAAGGCGGCATTCTGTGCGTTGTAGGGTCAACCCCAGAGGGTGAATCAGGCTCCTCCTTTGTTAAGTCAACCATGCGTCCTTTCCCAGTTCTTTGATCGCGAGCTTGAATTGGCATCGCTTCGCCAACTTCCAAAGGGTTCGGCAATCCCGATAAATTTGATCGTCGGGTAGGTGGGCGCGGACTGCTATTGATAGGTGGTAGTGAAGGCGAAGAAAACTCGCCAGTAGCTAGGGCATTCAAGTAGTGATCGTCACCATACGGGTCTGGGAGGGATCGATATGGCTGAGGAAGTTGCGCGTGTGGATTCTGAACGAAGGATGACGACGATCTATGGTGCTGGTCTCTCGGTGGGGCAACGGAATAATGTTGCGCGTGGTTAACGGACGATTGTCGCCGATAACCCGGATCTAATCCAGGAAGTGCCGAACCCGCTCTCGCCGACACCCAACTGGGAATCTCTTGATTACGATAATCGTTAATGTTCTGAGTTGGCGCGTTATGGTAGTGGGAGATTGACGGCAATTGCTGATGGTGTTGCTGAGAGTACTGCTGAGGGTGTTGCTGAGGGTATTGGGGGTATGACTGGAGGTATTGTTGGGGGTATTGCTGAGAGTATGGTTGAGGGTACTGCTGAGGGTACTGCTGAGGGTACTGTTGGTGATATTGCTGGTTTTGTTGTTGGTGGTGGTGTTGATAGTACGGGTTGGTAGAGTGATGTTGTTCATACAAACCAGCCAAAGGAGGCAACGGAGGGTTAGGATGGCGTTGCGGGTTTAGGTCCAGCGGATTGGAATCCGGAGGGTTGACTGGTGGTGGCGCCCAAGAATCGGCGAATGATGGTCGATTGTAGGCTCTCGGGGTGTTGAAGTCGAGAGGAGAGTTGAGGTTGTTTGTGAATGCGTTCTGACCTGAGCCTAGATCCGCTTGGGATGACGGTGTTTTGCCTAGGTTGCACACAGCCGGGTTTTAGCGTTTTGCAGACTCCAGCTTGTTTCTTTTTAAGTTGATTCAAATACGTGTGAGGTATGACTAAGGAAAGAGAATGTATGGTGGCAAAGACATAAATGACTTAGGGTAGGTAGGGATAAAGAAGACATAAACGCGAAAAGAGTGCGCCCGAAAAGTAAAATGCATTAACGTGGGTGAAATGAAGAAATGGGAAGAATACCTGAGGAAGCCATCGTTCCTTTTCAGGGCTGAGAAATGTAAAGTTCTCAGGTTAAAACAAGCCCGGCAAGCCGAGTGTTTGAAAGGCTCAAGAGTGACCTGCTTTTCCACGCCTGATTGTCGGCTAGGTATGTACTTTTGTTTATCGCTGATACCGATAAAGTTCAGTCGCCTTTCCTATTCACGGAGGGGCGAAATCACCGTCGCCCGTCCTCGTTCTGGGTGCGCGATGCCTTCGATAGGTATGCAGTTGATTCCAAGCGGTCCAAGACGACTAACCGATTAAACACAAAATTCTTTCTGCTTCCGATCAAAATATTTCCACATTTTGCCATTCGGGCAAAATTCATTCGGCGGTCGATATATATCTTGTCAGCGTCGAGAAAATAGAACGAAGTTCTAAATTCTCTGGATCAGGCTGGAGGTAAGCGATGAAATAAATGAACTGGTGTCGCAAAAGGAATGAGTTCTGAGATTTGTGCTAGTAAGAAGCAAGTACTGTACCATACCATACCGTACCATACAAAACGAGCGTTCTAAAGTTGAGGTAGAAGTGAAGGTTCGTGGCAGTGGCTAGTCGCCAGGTATTTATTTGGACTGATATTTCTCGAGTGTGCACGATAATGCATCTGCGCTTGCGTGGTGCCTACCTTCAGATGGTGGTGACTACCGTAGGTAACTACCAGGTAAGGAACATTGAAACTTAGACCATCAATTGGAACCACTTGGGAAACAACACCCGCCTGATCCTTCCAACAAACCACCTGGGCAACCTGTAGCTGCCATTCCATACGATGCACCTGGCATAGGAGTAATGATCTCCTGATGGTTACTAGGTAGGTTTGTACGATGTACAGTACTAAGCTACTGCTACTAGGTAAGAACGGTACAGCTCAAGCACTGTCAAACCACCAAACGTGAAGCTACCCCTGTCGAGCCTTTGTCTTATTTTTACCCTCTCTTTTCAGAGTTCAACGAAGTTTTGATCTAACCCCACATACGCAGGTATACTTCACCTACCAGGTATTTCTTACTATTCACTGCCACTTTTTTAACGGTAAAGCAGTTCCACGGTGGCAGTAAATTCTATTGGGATAATTGACCATGTGTGTATTCTATACATACATCATAGGTACCTACATATATTATCTTACACAATATTTCCTTATGAGCTTAAACACCGTGCTATTCGACAGCCTTCGCTTCTTCGGAGGAAACTCAGTCTTATTTCCTTTCATATACCAGACATATCTTCGGATTTTAGCATTTCAAAACTTGTCAACACTTAGCGAATATGGCTTACGTTATCCAGACACCTCCCCATATATATATATATATAGAGGTAGATGATATAGATGCATCCAACGTTGCCACCGGACATGTCCCGTGCAGTCTCATTTCATCCGGTCCGAGTCCAGAACCATGAAATATCTTGGAAGCTGAGAATGGCCGTGATACTTCCCTGAGGCAGCCTACTTCTGCGCGTTGATCACGCCTGCACCCGTTCGCTCCAACCGTCCCGTACCGCAGGAGCCCGTAGCAAATAGCAGGCCTTCCCGAGACAACGGGCGTCGGCTTCTACTGAGTCGTGGTATTAGGTATAGGAGGCAAGGGAAGGCCAACCATAGGTACGCATTAATTACACTGGGGCAAGGAACTTCTTGACTATTCGGGTGTATTCTTTGGTATTCATTTTTTTTTTCATCGCAAGAGATACCTACGCTATCCAGTTACTTAGCCCGATATCCCCGTATGTGCCAATTATATTGCTCGTAACCCGCGCCATCTGCCTCGGCTACGGGAAGGCAATTATTTCTACAATTCTAAGATTCATTTCTGATGGTCGAATGTTATGTCTTGTACTCGTCAGAGTTATTCGAATTGTTCTTTGGACATCCTCTCTCATGAAGTTGATTGTCAACGAGTTCCAATTAAAGAGTGGACGTTGGACGACTCCGAAAGTGTTCTAGGTGACATAACTTCGATTTCACCAACCGGCACAATATGGAGTAGTGTTGGAGCTACTGTTCAGTTTTTGTCTGCCCCCCGCGTCGTCTTGAGAACCTCCAGTTAAATATTAAGCACAGTATAAGACCAACTATGCCTAGACCGATGGCCACACTGCAGCGATCTGAATCAGTAAATGGGGTTCAAAATCCCCAGTTTTCGATCGGGGGTTGTAGGGGTTATCGGGTTAAAATAAATGAAAAAAAGAATTCGGAAGATACTCACTACCAAGCCCCCCTATATCCTTTTAAAATACCTTCCGGTGTTTTCCCACCATTATTCACATGGAGTTCGACAGTTCCAGCAACGCCCATCGCAAGCGCACCACTGTAATTCACCACGGTAGTGACGAGACTGGCCGCGATACCTTGATGTTCGCTAGACACAAGGTCCGAAAGCATGAGTGTTGCTGCCGGAAAGCTCAAGTCCATTCCCCATGTGATGATTAAATTGCAGAGGAATGTTTGTGTCCAATACGTTTGGTCAATGGGAGCTGTTGCGATGAGAGTGGTACCGATAGTAAAAGCTAGCAACGCGAGGGCCATCACTACTGCAGGTCCGACGCGATGGATGATCACGCCCGTAGTAATAGCTGCCGCAACACCACTAACCAAGATTGGGCTATGCATTGCTGTAGCTAGCAACGGCGAGGCACCTCTTAATACCTCATAGAACTCCCAAATGTAATAGATATATATTCCAAAGCAACCCCAGCCGCAGAAGACCGCTGCAAGGACGAACGTAACTCCAGAGTTGATAGCTTGGAGTGGTATTAGAGGCTTTCTAGCCCGCCTCTCGATGAAGATGAAGCACACGCATAACAGCGTCCCGACTATCAGGAGTGTAGGAACGTAGGGATCCTTCCAGCTATTGATAGAAGCCTGATTCCAAGAAACGCTGATGAGGACGAGGCCACTAACGCCGGTCAAGGCTCCGAGCGCATCCATCTCGGCGCATAAAGTCTTAAGATCACCATGGATTATTCTTCCTTTATCAGGAGTCAACCCACCAGGGATCACAAGCATACCAGCAAGCGTAATGAGGATTAGAAAAAGTGACAATGCAAAAAAGGCATATGGCCAGCGCGCAAGAGCCAAGAGGCTTGTGAATGCTGGCGAGATAATGGCAGAAGCTGGGGCCATGGCCCCGAAAATGGCGAAGAGCATGGCTTTCCGTGGCCCAGGCACATAGGTAACACCTAATAAAGCTACGGCGCTCGGGACCAGCAAAGCTGGGCCGATGCCCTGCATGATGCGTGCGAAGAGGAAAGTAGCGTATGGCCGAGGTGTATAGACGGACAGTCCGGCGATGAGTGAGAACAATGCGAACCAAGCATTGCCGATGAGGAAGATAAGCTTGTGTCCGTACACATCCCCAAGACGACCCGCCAGCAGAATCAATGTTCCTGTCAAGCCGTAACCTGCGATAATCCATACGAGCTGCCCTGAACTTGTAACCCCTAGGTCAGATCCTATTATGTGGAGGATACAGAGTGCTTGATGGAAACCAGATTCTGTCGATGTTTAGTTAGCTAACTCACGGAGGATGCTGAAGAACAGGGCGCTCAGAGTTGACCTACGCGGAGTGAAGTTGGCCGTTGATACAACGGCAAAAAATGCTATCTCGTGTATGACCGTCATCGGTCGACCGAGAAATATATGTGCCCTTGGGTCCTCCCTACCCCCCTTCTTCTCTAAGTCACTGCTAAGACTCGATGGCTGATTTTGATGGTCATCCATTCCTAACTTAGGTGATAGAGTTTTGCCGTCTAGATCGTGGCTCGGTAGTTCTGGTGCACTGTGACTCCATACTGTCTCGTCGAAACCGTCTTTCCGATGACACAATGATGCCTGCCTACCAACGTCTCGGCTAAGCGCTTCTGGTAACGAGTTCGGATCCATGAGGCGCCTTTATCTCGAAGGGTGACGGGGCGGCAACGACTGATGGCAAGATTCGTTCGTAGGACTATCGCATGCTAGGCTAGCAAGGACATCAAGCCCAAGGAGTTCACATTTATATACACATTATCCATGAAAGACCTACGCCCGACCTAAAATAGACATTCATACGGTGAAACATGAGCGGGACTATCGAGTTGGTTCATCGAGTAGCGTCGTGTCGTGACTTTCCACCCATTAAATCTCGACAGATGGTTTCGGAAAGGGCTGAGACCTATTTGGAAGCATGGTTAAGAGATCTCTGTAGCACGCGACTATCCAGTTCTCTCAACTGCCGATACTACACAATCTCCCTTTTTTGCCTCTTACTCCTTTGTACTAGGCCATACAGCGGGAACAGTGCAATCTTCTCCTTCATTCCCTTCCCCTTTCTCGAGTCGACTCCACAACTTTGTGCCACCATCCCGTGCTGGTACCACGAACTGAGAGAGCACCTAGAATGTACGGATGGGTACGCTGGCGATCCCTCATCCGGTCCCTTGGGATCCCGCTTGTCTCGAGAAGTAGAGTCATTGGTGATATTTCTGAATGTTATTTATGAACATTACATCCCTCTTTTCCTTTTACACAACGAAGAATTCTATTTTTACGGTCACGTTCTGTGCCCGCGTACCTATTTCCATACGGACGAGACTCGACGGCGAGCCAAGGACATAGGCTAAGGGAATGACTCGGAAGATGATCCTCGACGGATGATGTTTGCTACCATATTTTCGTTTACCCCCCTTCCCAAAGGTAGAGTTTCGGAAACGGGAGATAAGTAATTAGATATGTCTCGACTCAAGACCCGAGAAGCACGGTCGCCATCGGCCGGCGACCAAATTGGCCCGAGACTTCTCGGCAAACCGGTTGCAGGCAAACTACCTAACCCAGGTGTAGCCACATGTATGGTGTACGCGAGCTCGTGGCATTTGTCTTATATGATACGCTTCCGGCGCACGTTGTATGTCGCTATTTCGTCGGCGGTACCAGCGCCGATCCAGCGTGCTTTAACGACAGCGATGGCTACGAGCGTGGAATATGTCGTCATGCGAGACCAGACTCGTAATCGATGTCTTGGGCGTAGGCACCGAATTGTTGGGTTATCGTCCTTCCACCACCGACCTAGGCTGCTGCCGTACATACCTCTAGCTACCAAGCATCTTAGAACGAGATATCGATTGACCTGCCATGGTCCACAGACGAGATCTAGACTATTACCAGAGCGGTCCATCTGATACCAACTGCGGTTATTCCCGAGAAGACACACTCTTTGTCTTGTTTAGAGGCTACACGGCTACCACTTAGGAAAGTCGCGGAAGCTTCCCCGAAACACCAAGTCTCAAGATAGAAGGGGAGTGTGTCGGCTCCCTGACATCGTCATATATCTGCTGGATCTTCTTCGGCTATGAACCACGATCTATCCCGGGTCCCCGGAAAGCCCGTAGGCGGATATCATGATTCATAGATCCTGGGGTTGAAAGGATAGTAGTCTGTTCGATTTGATATCATATGGCCTAAGGAATATTATGACCTACAACCGAACTCTAGGTCCACATTTAGAGGGACTCCTCTATTTCTAGGTAGCAAGATATAGAGCACTTTCATACTCCAAGAGTCTATACCATATTACCACTTGTATAAAAGAAATTAGAGAAGTTTATCATGAAAAGAAAAGAACCTTACTAATAACTTGTATGATGTAAGCATTTACGAGGTAACACAGGAATGTGGGGTGATACACGCACTTTACCATATTGGGAATTAGCTTCGATCCACTTGGTGGAGCCCCTTATCAAAATTTCAAAGCTATCAGAATTATCATTGCCTTCGTCATAATTCGCACCTGGAAAACGAAGAGTTTTAAAACCTCATCAGAACGACATGATCTCAAACAAACGGCGGTGATGCTTCATCCTGCAAAAGCCCGCGTGAGAGACGCATCAACCGCGAGCTTCGTGCGTCTTGCCAAGCACCGGGCGCAATGTCATCGTCCTCGGCAGCCACCAATGGCGCATTTATCGCACTTGAGATGGCAGACCACAGCCGCAGTCGCGCAATCTCTTAATGAACCTATACCCGTGCGACCGAGAAGCCTTGCCAGTGAGTCAAATATCCTTGCAAAACGTTGTAAAGCAGTCCTCTAAGAATATATATCGTAGTCCCCTCCGACGCTCGGTTCAACGAAATAGGCGTGCAACAAGTTAGTGCCCGTATATATGATCAGGTTTTCCCGATAGGTGGCGAGAAACCACCAGAAGAACTGGTGAAGCTATCGAAAGACCACCTGACTCGCCATGATCTCCTCGGAAAGAATACCGACAACAATGCGCCGATTGCATTTGACGTGCCCAAGCTACAGGGCCAGACCTTAGATGAGCATTTTTACAAATTAGGCATTGACTGCGCCGAGCCATTCCTGTCAAAGGCGAAAGAGTTCGCGAGACAGAATGTGCCCCCTCGACCGAAAAAATGGGTGAGGCAAAGTGGTTGGACGAAATATTACCCCGACGGGCAGACAGAGCGCCTCGAGTCGCCTGATGCCGATATGCTATGTTTCGACGTCGAGGTTATGTGGAAAGAAAGTTCCTTCGCCGTTATGGCATGCGCAATGAGCCCAACAAATTGGTACGCATGGCTATCACCCTGGCTACTAGGCGAATCCGAGTCAGATAGACATCTGGTTCCATTAGGCGATCCAACTAAGGACCGAATTATCGTTGGTCATAATATTGGATATGACCGAGCGAGAATCCTGGAGGAATACGACTTGAAGCAAACGAGAAACTCATTCCTTGACACTATGTCGTTGCACGTTGCGGTTAATGGCATGTGTTCGCAACAACGACCAACGTGGATGAAGCACAAAAAGAGTAGGGAACTTCGGGATAAGATTGCCAAAGAAACGGACAACATCGAACTAGCAAACCTATTGGCGAACAATCGAGAAGATGAAGAAGAACTCTGGGTCGAGCGCAGCTCGGTGAATTCTCTTCGCGACGTCGCCAAGTTCCATCTAAACGTCACTATCGATAAAGCAGCTCGAGACCACTTTGGGGAGTTGGATCGAGAGGGTATCTGCGGCAAGCTAGACGAGCTGCTCGACTACTGCGCAGCAGATGTGGCGGTTACTCACAGAGTTTACGGCATTGTGTTTCCTAATTTCCTTGGAGTCTGTCCTCACCCTGTCAGCTTTGCCGCATTACGACATTTATCATCCGTAATTCTTCCTGTCAATAAGTCCTGGGATGAGTATGTTGCCAACGCAGAGGCAACTTATCACAGACTATCTAACAACGTCCAAGAACGTCTAGTGTCACTTGCAGAGAAGGCATTGGAAGTCAAAGACGATGCCGAAAAATGGAGTAATGACCCCTGGATGAAGCAATTGAACTGGTCTGGCCAAGAAATTAGGATGGTCAAAGGAAAGAAGAAGGACGACCCCCCTAGGCCTGCTGCTCGTCAGAAAAAGCCGGGAATGCCGAAATGGTATAAGGATCTATTCCCGAAGACCGATGCACCCATCAACCTCACGGTCAGAACTCGAATCGCACCACTCCTGCTCCGACTTACGTGGGATGGTTATCCCTTGGTCTGGTCTGATAAATATGGCTGGACTTTCAAAGTGCCGCTTTCAGATATGGCAAAATATAGTTCGACGCAACTTGTCCGATGCGACTTCTCGGATGAACGTATAGAGGCCTTGAAGAATGACATGGACGCGCTGTATTTCAAGTTACCTCACAAAGATGGCCCTGCTGCGAGGTGTTCGACCCCGTTAGCTAAGAGTTACCTTGTATACTTTGACAAGGGGACTCTATCGTCGGAATATCCACTGGCAAAAGAGGCTCTCGACATGAACGCGTCCTGTTCTTACTGGATCAGTGCTCGGGACAGAATTCAGTCTCAAATGGTCGTCTACGAAAAGGAGAAGTTTGGGGATGGACAGAAGCTAAATGGAGAACACGACAATGATAATGGTTACATCTTGCCACAGGTTATTCCCATGGGCACTATCACTCGAAGAGCGGTCGAAAATACTTGGTTGACCGCTAGCAACGCGAAGAAAAACCGGGTTGGTTCTGAATTGAAGGCAATGGTTAAAGCACCGCCAGGCTATTGTTTCGTGGGTGCCGATGTTGACTCTGAAGAATTATGGATTGCCAGCGTAGTTGGAGACGCCACTTTCAAACTCCACGGTGGCAATGCTATCGGCTTCATGACTCTCGAAGGCACAAAAGCCGCAGGAACCGACCTTCACTCCCGCACAGCTTCCATCTTGGGCATAACGCGTAATGACGCCAAGGTTTTCAACTACGGTCGAATTTACGGAGCTGGGCTCAAGTTCGCTGCTACCTTACTCAGGCAGTTCAACCCTAACCTCTCAGAGCAAGAAACGATAGACGTCGCCGGAAAATTGTATGCCGCGACGAAGGGCGCGAAGACCAATAGGAAAGCACTTTGTAAACGACCTTTTTGGAGAGGTGGGACGGAGTCATTTGTCTTTAACAAACTCGAGGAGTTCGCGGAACAAGAACGCCCGCGGACGCCAGTTCTCGCCGCTGGAATCACCGAGGCACTAATGGGGAGATATATTAGCAAGGGAGCTTATCTGACCTCTCGCATCAATTGGGCAATTCAGTCATCGGGAGTGGATTATCTTCATCTTTTAATTGTTTCGATGGATTATTTAATTCGGCGTTTCAACATTGACGCTCGTCTCGCTATCAGTGTCCATGACGAAATTCGTTACCTCGTCAAGAACGAAGACAAATATAGGGCCGCTATGGCGCTTCAAATTTCTAACCTTTGGACGCGAGCGATGTTCTCGCAACAAGTAGGCATCGATGACCTACCGCAATCATGTGCCTACTTCTCTGCGATTGATATTGATCATGTTCTTCGCAAGGAGGTGGATATGGATTGCGTAACGCCCAGCCACAAGACACCCATTCCACCCGGCGAGAGCATCGATATAATTGCATTACTCGAGAAAGGAGATAAAGCGTATCTCGACCCAGGTATCGTCCCAGCGAAACACGCCCCACAATTAGAGGGCATAGTGTACACGGGTAGGACGCCTGTTATGAAGCAGCTAAACGACTCCGAAGACCGCAAGGATCTCAGCTTTTTAAGAGCCCAGATTTCAAGCGACGACAAAGAGCTCAGGGAAATTCTCAAGGACCAGAGGAAGGCATCTGGCGGCGGGTCGACTAGTGGGGCAGCAAGAAAACCCAGGCAGAAGAAACTGGTTCCGTATAGCTCGCATGCTCAGCTCATACCGCATATGTACCGGCCGTTCGAGGCGAAGTTTACGTCGAAGAAAGACTTCAAGGAAGAGTCTTGGACTTTCGAGGGCATGCCGCCGCCGCCGCGCTCCTGGAGAGGTAGCGGGCCGAGACTGTGATGTTCTATGCTATCTATCACTGCTGTTGACACAGCGTTATTTTCTTTTTACATATCGTCATTGTGCTGTAATATTGGTTATGGGGGTATGCGGCATGCGGCATGACCTCAGGGGGGCGGCAGCATATTAAAAATGGTACCAAAAAGCGGCGTTTGGGAGGCGGTCCTTACGGAGTATGTAATGACTTGAAGCCCTATGCCATAATGTGTCTATGTATTTCAAAATTCGAATCATTACTATTACCCCCTTTTCCTATTGTATGAGTTCTACATATCATCTCCTATTTACCTAACCTCCTACAGCCGAGCATAAGTAGAGCTTCAACCCACCGGGGACTCCCTTCTGGAAAAGACCTTCCGAGTCATATCAAATGCTAATCTCGCGGAGATTTTCTACATTTTCAAACCCGTACAAGCCAATCACATCTTAAAAGCTGTATGCGTAGTTCAAGTACTTAAACTGAACTGCAGAAGAATGAGAGGCCTCCTCAGGGGCAACGAGACGTCAGTATAGGTTGAGTCGCAATAAAGTGCGGGATACATAGGCGTAGGTGGAATTCGTTATGCGATATTGGAGATGGATATAGAGAAGTCAGTGAACGGGATTTAGTCTACCTGCTAGAGCGAGCCCCCCCCATCCCTCCCAGCGCGGACCGGCTCCCCGTCACCCGGACCCCTTCTGGAACCACCTGGGCAACCTCTCGTACACGTTACCCCAGCGCTCGCCGGCTGCGACTTCGACGTAGCCATTTCCTGAGCACTACCCCGGTCAGGTAGCGAAAATCGGCCGTAACGCCGTTCTCGCGTTCGAGCATCCCGGCAAGGGGCTGCTGCCAGGGGCGCCACGGATGGCCAAGCGCACCGCCCCCGCTCAGCGCAAACGGATTGAAGATTTAGATGAACCGCGCCACCTCCTTTTTGTTCCTGGGTAGGAATATGGCTGCGGGGAGGGACCCTCGCTCTGCAGTGAGGACAGGTTCGACTGGTTTAGCTTGGTATACCCGCCAGTTCCAGCTGGTGTGAGCTGCTCGCTCAGCAACGCCCGCAGGAGCGCCTCTACGGCCGAGGAGATAACGGTAACCGAACTACGGCTAAGATAACCATAACCGAAGAGTGAACCTTTCGTTGGAGGGGATAAGGAAAAGGAAAATAATGTAACAAGTGATCCATCCCGTTGGTCTAGAGTCAAGAATAGAAGTAAGGGGGCCCCGTGTAGCGGGAGTTGCCGTACCTTACAAAGGAGAGGAGGGATTCACAATGCTATTGGGGGAAAGCTCCAAATTTAATGAGATATACATTACAAACTGCCATTTCTGTTGAGGGGTCCGTATAAGTAGCCCATCATTGGTTTTGCCTTCTCCTGCCAGAATGCCTTGGTACCGATCCATCTAGTCCCATAATCGCTGTACATAGAGATACAGTAGGTAAAAATATTCCTGTCAGGGGGTGGTCCCGTCGTTAAAGACTGTCACAGAGTGAGTGGGCAGGCAGCTCGCCTTTGGCTCGCTTATATGTAGTGAAAGACTGAGATTTTCGCCTGTCCCTCTCATATGGGCTGCGGCTAACTAGCTGTTATCTAGCTCCTTGCCCCTAGCCCCTGACAATCCCATATGCCAGCCCAGATTTCTACCTATAAATGTGGCTTCGTCAAGTGTTTGCCGGCGGTCCCTGAGTATAACGTTCTAAGCACTGACAGGGAATCCAGAACATTAATTGGCTGCACCCTGCGATCTGCTTTTTGAACTTGAGGTCATAAATTCGTGTCAGTATGTTCCTTGTCGATTTCCCTCGTGATCACCGAAAATAACAGATAGATGGCAGGAACATATTGATCAAGTTTGCTATATCAACATGTCAACACATCTAGCAACATAACAACAGGAAAATCAGCATTTCGAGCAAATGGTGCCAGATGATTTATTGCCTAGGTAGGTACACAACATCTTGTCAGATGCAGCGGAATGTTGCTCTCTCATTTACCTAGGTAGCTGTACATAGTAGTGTTCTCGAGATGCTACGTCACTCTACAACTAAGAGTATGCAGTCAGCCACAGCAGTAGTGGAGGGGCGGTATGACCGTCACTATGCATGAGCCGAAGTATCACATGGATAGCGCCCATGCTAATTACTTATCTGTCTTACGGCAATGAATAATGTATCATACCTAGGTAGGTAAAATACCAGTATGCTGTAGCTACAATGCCCCGTTCGAATTGTGCATATATAATGTATCCTTCGACTTTCTATTTCAATGCTGAAGCGTCTTTAACCAGTCCAAACGAAAGGTTTGGCATATTCAGTGTACTTTTAACATGCCTCTAGCAGGTTCCATTAGTAGCATAGACTGGTAAGTGCGACTTTTTCAGCGAGGAGGATGAGTGCTAATTGAATGGTACATATGCAAGGGAGCCTGGGTTCGAGACTATGGCAGTCCATGGTGGCCAAGAGCCCGATCCTGGCAACGGCTCAAGAGCTGTGCCGATTTTCCAAACAGCGAGTTATGTTTTCGAGAACGCCGAAGACGGCGCGGCAAAGTGTTCATGGAATAAGGATGGTTATCTCTATACTCGTCTAGGAAACCCTACAAATAGTGTCTTTGAGAAAAGAATGGCAATGCTAGAGGGAGGCGTTGGTGCAATAGCTACAGCATCTGGACACTCCGCGCAGGTGACTAGGGTGACCCCTGGGAAGGTCGTATACTGGTTCTATAATGAACATAGCTAATACATACCTACCCAGTTCATGGCCTTGACGCAATGCTGCGAGCCAGGCCATAATATCGTCAGCACGAGTTGGTGTAAGCCACGTCGCCGTCTCACTCAACATGTTCTACCCATCTCGAGCGTGAGCTAATTATCTACCTTGCTTCATTAATCAACAGTATACGGCGGCACGTTTAACCAGTTTCGTGTTTACCTGCCCAAATTTAACATCAAAGTCAAATGGGTCCTAGGGAATGATCCTATTGATCTCGATAAGGCTGTTGATGAAGATACATGAGCCATTTACATCGAAACCGTCAGCAACCCTAAGCAGTGCGTACCCGATATCCCGGCCATCGCTGCTGTGGCTCATAAACATGGCATCCCGCTTGTCATTGATAACACGTTCGGTATGGCCGGGTATCTATGCCAACCTATCAAGCTTGGAGGTCTGTGAAGTCCTACCTAGGTCAAATCCGAATCGCCATTAGCCAAGACTTTAAGGAGACGCTGACAACCTAAATTCGCTATACAGCTGATATTGTGACCCACTCATGCACGAAATGGATCGGTGGGCACAACACAAGCATGGGTGGGATAGTTGTCGATGGTGGCCGTTTCGAATGGGGATCCGCTCTATCGGCGGCCAAATTCCCGGGTCTGACAGAGCCGGCCCCGGGGTATCACGGACTCCGGTTCTGGGAAACGTATGGCCCGCGTGCGCTGACGGCCAAGTTGCGCATGGACAGTATGCGTGACCTGGGCCCTTGTATGAGTCCATTTAACGCGTGGCTGTTTTTGCAGGGTCTCGAGACGCTGCCGTTGCGCGCTCAGCGTACCGTGGAGAATACCCAACGCTTGGCTGAGTGGCTTGAGGCCCACCCATGCGTCAATTGGGTGTTGTACCCCGGATTGCCATCGCATCCAGATTACGACCTGGCGCGGGAATTATTACCTAGGGGCGCTGGTGGGGTGCTGACCTTTGGCGTGGTACGTGTCCTAAAAGGCCGAGTATGGCATTGCCATCGGCAGCAAACGATCGTGACACTAAGCGAGTGTTGATACTGACCAGTTGCTGGGTGATAGGCAGGGAAAGTGGATGAGGTCCGCGCTGTCGTCGACAACCTTAAGATGTGCAGCCATGTGGCTAACGTAGGCGACTGCAAAACTCTTATTATCCACCCGTGGGTAACAACACATCAACAGATGCCCGACGAAGAAAAGATCAAGGGAGGAGTAACACGTGAGTAGCCCATACTTGACTAGATGTTTATAAAAAATGATTACTCTTAGCTGATGTACTGATAAAGCCGACCTGCTGCGCGTAAGTGTGGGGATCGAGAACTTTGAGGATATCCAACGCGATTTTGAGCAGGCTTTCGTGGCGGCGGGCTTACAACTGGCGGAGAAATCAGGAGAAGACCCCTTTACGGCAGCTATGGAATTGGTAAATGCTGGATTTATGGGCAAAGCAGCAACGGGCGTGCCCCAGCCGAAGTGATTCGGAGGATGCTGATACAGCGTCATGTCAGCGGGCTAAGTTAGGTATATCTTAGTAAATTCAGGATGCTGACCTTTTTTTCTTGATGCCAAAGTAGCCGACAGAACGGCAGGATAATATTAACCTCGGTCCTTTATATACTATTACATTCTATGAAGATCATAAATCTAGGTAAGTTTAGTATCTCAAATTACATGAATCAGGACGCGTTCGCTTGTAGCACATAGTAATAAATTCTCTGAAGAAACCTCAAAAACGTACTGGACCCATTCATAGAATCATTCCCAACTGGTTTAGATCGCTTTGGCTAGTTCCGGCCCGACCTTAAGAATTCGGCTCACTGTAAGACCTATGAAAGAAGCCGCAAGTAGAGCACCACACCACACAACCAAACCGACCCAGTCCTCGTCGTCGCCGAGAATAGCGCCAGCTATAGGGTTGCTAATGAGCATACCGAAGCCTATAAATGCTAGCGTCATACCAAGGCGTGTGCCAATCTTACTTTTATCGGGAGAAAGGTTAACGATGCTAGCGGCAGGCAGTCCCATGAAAGCGCCAGCCATGAAGCCGTATAATACGGTAACAACGACCAGGGCAGCGGTGGTTCGGATTGCAAGCATGCTGAAAGTCAGCACGGCGCCTGCAAAAGCTACAGCAGCCTGCGTATTGAGGCTCCCAATGCGGTCAGCGTAGTAGCCTGGGATGATGCGGCCGGGCAGCGAGGCGGCGTTAAGAATTACGAGGAGATAGCCGGATAGATGAGAAGAGACATCGGTTCGCTCTAATGCCAGCAGCTCGATATAATAAAAGATTATATAGAACCCCATGACGCCAAAGAAAAGGCCCAAGCTCAATAGGAGATAAGGCGCATCTCTGAAGGCGGTGCGGTCGATTAATCCCCTGGTCGGCCGGGGCGGGGCAATCGATTTCATGAGGAAGACCGGGATGGCGGAGGTTGCTAGGAGGATGAAAGCAAGCACGCGGGTGGCCCAGCCAAATCCGACGTGTGGCTGCAGCGCATTAAATGCGATGGGGTATATGATTCCGCCTGCGTTTGATTATAGGTCAGACTTGTATAGGTAAGTAGGTAGGTCCTGACTATGATACTACTATGACGCGAAGTAGCAGAACATACCAATAGCGCTACCGGTAGATGAAGCGCTCATGGCCAGCGCGGTTTTGGCATGAAAGTGCTGGGAGACTATAGCCGGCGCAGGTAGGTATAGGCAGCCGAATCCAAGACCCATCATCAGGGCCTGTGTCAAGAATACCTGCCAGTAGGCGGAGGTGATGCTAGTGAGGAACATGCCGACAACCACCAGTAAAGATCCGGTCCAGAACAGCCATCGAACGTATCCTGCGTCGAAGAGGGGACCAGCAGCGAGAGAGACGAGGAAGAGTAAGAATGATTGGGTGGAACCAATCCAAGCAATATTCGATGGAGAGTAAGAACGTAGCATGTCCAACTGGTAGAAAGTCTGGAAGGCGCCATACGAATTCATCATGCCCCAGGTGTTGAGGTTCAGAACGAAAGCTCCCAGGACCTGTACCCAAGCGAATACGCCTTCCTTTGGCGGTGGCGGGAGCAGGACCGGGGACGAAGACTCTTCCGCCTGCACATCAACTTCCGTGTGCTGCAGCGCATCGGAAGGCTCGCCGCTTTTCTCAGATGCCATAGTCGCTTTCAACTCTGCCGGTACATGAGCCTCTTCATAACCAGCTCTTTTCAGAATTGAAGAGTGACGCCGGCAGGTCGGACACTGAGTTCACAAAGAAACTGTCAAGGGATGGTTCCGTGTAACATCCCGCGTCTACCTGTGAACGCATCTGGAACCTAAAATAAGCTGTGCGTCCCATTGCAGGTGCCCCCGGCACGTCGTATCTACCTAGTGACCGTATTATCAGCCCTGGAGGGTTCCACTTAATGGATAACTACCTAGGGCTGCTAGGTACCTAGACACCCCTGAAGTGGGGGCGCCGATGCTACCTAAACTCCAATACAAGCATCATCAAGCCTACTAATAAGAGTTGAACCTTTTATCCCTATCTAGTGCCACTAATACCTTAAATTAACGTCTCATTCAAGGCTGACATGGTTTACCCCTTTTTACACTCATTACAACCCATTTCAAGGCTGTTGAAAGTCTCCTATCAGACTTACGAGAGTAGGTACATATGTTGCTGCATATAGCGCCATGCCGCGACTTACATATATTATGATGGTGAAAGCCCTACCCACCTTGATAGCGGTTTGTTGCATGTCTGCGCATGATCTATCATGATCTATCAGAATCACTTCGATTATTGGCTGGGACACCATCCTTCTTGGAAACCGGTCTGCTAGGACGAGGGAACATTGAAGAAGAAAAATGAAGATAATGGTGTTACGGGTCTTAAATCTTCTAAATTATGAGTCACTCGGCTATAAGTCTATACCTACCTGATTTACATTTTAGCGGACAAAGAAAATTTCCAGCTTTAACATTCATGGGACGTCCAAGTCTACGGGCCCTTGTCTGAAACGTCGGTGAATAGATAGGAATTTTGCACCAGTTAAAGAAGAAAATAAAGTTACATTTGGAGTGAAGGGCACCATTATTTTGACAAGGCTGTGAATTGCCGTACTCAATGTCAGGCCAACGCCGAAAACGAGGTAATGGATCCCCTCTAGTTAGGTGGCACAGGAATCTGACAGAATATAGGGCCAATGGAGAATCCTTGAGTAGCCCCAATCTTATAGCATTACGAATCTCCCCTCTTCCAATATATACATCGTTGCCGATCTAAGCGCCATCCGAATCAGTGGCGTCGCGGCTTGGCCATAGTATACGTCCATCAGGACATGACTTAAACCTCTCAATCATCGGACCCGGAACTTCATCCTCATGCTTGAAACAAGCGGTACGTTCTAATGCCCACTTCTCCAACTTGTGCCAGTCTCTGCACATCCTCACCTGACCAGCACCAGTACCAGGTGGGTCTTGGAAACCGGCGTATCGTGGTGCGTCATTAGCATTACATACCACCTCTTGACGCAATTGGTCCAGGCAGTGAAGGGCGTGTGATACAGCAATACGTTGTGGCAGGCCAAGATCTGTATACATGACATAACGAAACAAAGTACGCTAGGAGATGATAATCGGCATGGTCAGCAGTTTGTTCTGTCTTAAGCGGATACTGATAAGCACAATGCGTACCAGGCAATGGAGGTCATGGAACCCCTGTAGCAAGTATACTCCTTTATCTTCATCCCAAGGAAACCGAAGAGCATGAGGTAGCCGCTTCTCCTGAACATAATTCTGAGATAGCGCTACTACTCCAGGATCGCCACTAAGTCTCTCCCATAGCTCAGTAACGGCAGTGATATTATCGGAAGTATATTCGGTAGATTGATAGATTTGGACCGGAACATCACGCTGCAGCCCAGCTATAACTGATGAGGAGAATCTTTCAAACAAGGTTCCAGGCTAACTTACCGAATTCTGAACGACAATCTCCTTGTGATGTTGAAGTTAGGAAGGGCCGCATACTTAACAACACGTTGACCGCCAGCGAGAAGGCTAGAAAAATGGCTGTAACTAATGTGATAGATGATTTCCAGGGGTTAACATGACGTGTTGAAGAAGAAGATTCTGGCTCTTCATCGCTCCACTCAGTAGACTGGCGCTGAAGCACATCATATTCCTTCGTGTCAGGTGCCATTGTGTAAAACGATGTCCTTTTTAGGTAGAGAAGAAGGGTTTGGGAAAAGATTGAGGTCCGAGGGGTCTTGAAGATATAATCGAGTAGTGTCGGGCACAATGAGTGTGGTTATTTGCTAGTTAACCTTAGTTTATACCAGCAAGGTTACACCGGCAGGTTAGGGGAACTTTATGTAGGTTGTGTCTTTCTACCTAATGATTGGTTGCACATAGGATAAATTTTGTAAAGTATGCAGTACCTAGGGGCCCAACATATCCCGGCTCGTTATACCTCCAATCCTAGTTGTCGTTACAACCATCCTAGATACCAACAAATATGTCACTCCGAACAGCATTCCGACTAATTAGCGCGAGCATCCACCCAGGACTGATCAACCTTGGCCGGATAAACGACGGCCTCATCCGAGTCTGTAGCTTCGAAATCGTCAGCAGTGTTAATTTTGTACTTAAAAAGAACTGCGATGATGATGAAATAGCACCCACCGACACGCGATTCAAGGGGGATAGCGGTGGCAATGGCGACGACGGCCATGAAATTGGCGATTACTTGAATAGCTTTCATGATGTTTTAATCGGAAGGCTTGTTTTGATTCAGACGACAGCAATATGACTTCAACTGGTATTTATTTGCGGCGACTAGAAGCACAATGTAAGCCGAAAGAAGATTTCAAAGTGGTTGATTGTCTGGAGTGCTGCATTTATATCATGAACCTGACCATTCTCTTAAGCCCCACACCTTCGATTAGTATTGCCTTTCCAAGATGAATCATTAGCATTATTTGGTCAGTAATACTTGACTACCTAGGTACCTGGTAGGGTAGCATCGTTGGTTGAGGCGGCTGTAGGGCTGTCCGCCAAGTACATGTACACTAGAAAACCGTAGCAACCTTGGTTGGCGATCATGCTTAAATCCTGCCGTCTCACCCAGACAAGTTACCTAGTCCTAAGTGTAGTATTGCTAACTAGCACTTCTCAGCACCCATCTTTGGTGTCTCGGCAGATACATATTAGAGCATTTACATGGTATGGATGCTGACTGCGTGTGTGGCGTAACTAGTGCGAGTCGAGAAAGCCTTTCAAGTTGTTTACCCTATATTTCACTGCCCAAGCTGCCAACTCGCTGTAGTCTCGACATATGCGAGGATTTTCCCAGCCTGTAACACCACCCAGAACTGCGTCAACCGGTTCTAGCGTTGCGTCCGCTGCACACATGAGACTCTGTCTGAGATAATCAAAGCAGTGCCGCATGTGCGGGGCCGTACTTTCGTCACCCTCGGAAGTATCCGAATGCAACACGACGTAGTAATTACGATGGATCGACCACTGTGGTGCGCGCTATTATTTAGTTTCCTGCCTACTTGGGTCTGGACCGAACTGCTTACAAGGCAATGAAGCTGGTGCACGGCTGACAACGTATAGATTTGGTGACTGTTGGCTGGATACCGGACCGACCCTTGCCCAACTGCCGTAGCATCTTGGTTAGTTGATGTTTTGATGGCTTGCAGATAGATAGGGGGCACGTACGGGGTACGATAGATTCCCAGGCTTCCTCCGTACCATTGTCCAATTGCGGGTCAGCTCCGAACGTCCGATTGTAGGTGAATTTCTCATTGATAGTTCGGAATACGAATGTAGAGTCGGGTTGTTGAAGGGTTATTTTAGCACATGGGGTATGACTTTTCGTCAGTGCGGCTCCTATGATGACCCCTAGACCACAGGAAAGAGCCGCTACCAAAGGCACCAAGAGACATTGATCTCGATTAGATCGATTCTCTGGTCTCACACGCCTTTCTAGGCCTCCTGCGTCGCGATCCCCCGGGATTGGCAAGTAGCCCGTCATATGTCTGTAGAGGCTCAGCATAACGAAGATGAATGTTAGCGAGACGTGCATTTAGACAATATAGAAAGATACGTAAGTAGATTTATTTGAGAGCAAAGGTATCGAATGAATACTATATGCAAGAGTGATATATTGCGTGAGCTCGTGGCATGATGTCGGACCGCCTTCTAGTCTCACCGACATATAATGTTGGTTACACTCCTGACGCAACGAAACACCATTTTGGTCGATAACGTACGGCATAGGGCTAACCAATAATTTATCATACTACTACACCAACTAATACAGTCATCTCTTCCCCAGCCTGCCTATCAATGCTTGGGGAGTAGACGATGCCCCAAACGCAAATACCTAGAAGTAATACACACAGCTTGGCGGAACAGGAAAAAGAACATTAACAAGTTCTACTACCTAATTAAAGATCATGTTCATCAACATAATGGCTACTTCAGAAGTAAAATTTCGCGATGGTGAAGAAGATTTGCCCAGCCAGTGCAACGAGCCATTGCTTTCCGTAGAGGATGACAATAGTGGGAATTTTCAACGAGATACGAATGATTGGATAGGGAGAAAGTGGAAGCCCTGGTGCCTCCATGTAGCTTTGCTGCTGATATACTCGGCTGGATACTTCATACTGGTGGTCGCCAGTATGGCCTCTCAGTGCGTCGAAAACGGAGGAAAAGGAACAAACCAACGTCCTTGTAAGATCTGTAACCGCTAGCTTTTGATGGTGAGTTCTAACCTACCTACGCTGCAAGTGCCTTCTCGGGAGGGTCTTCTCTGGGAAGAACGCAGGTTTCCCACTAATATCGTCGACAATCCCTTTGCGGGCAACCCCCGACCAGAGCTCGACGAGGCATGGCATCGGCTTCTTCGTAGTAGGTTCTTTTCTACCCCATACGATTTACCACGTTATATATAACCAATCGATCAGATGACAATATCCGTGTACCTCGGGGCTACTTAAACGAGCTCAACTTGACATCGGTACATACTAAGGACGGATCAGAAGGAATAGCATCCCTCAGTGTGTACCACTCCTTACACTGCTTGGTAATAATCTTAGCCTATGCCTAGATATTTGATTCTATGATACCTGAGCTAAGATAAATGCACAGAAAAAGGTGAAGAGGATGCTGTTCAAAGAGTATTACCACAGCGATAAATCCGAGGAAGCAATGGCACGAGAGGCGAAGCACGTCGGTATGTATGCCACTGAACTTCCGCATGCGACACATATTGATAACTGGCTTCATGGTGCAGATCACTGCGTTGAGTACATCCGAGAGGCTTTGATATGTCAGCCGGACCTTTCCATGGTTACCTTCCGTTGGATTAATAACACGGCTCAACACGAGGACAAAACAGCATTTTACCCGACAAATTTTGATGCTTCTTTGCACACATGTGCCATGTGGGAGCCACTGGACTCATGGGCTGGTGATCGTATGTTTGATTTGTTCCAGGTAGACTTACTGCAGAGACCAGCACCATATGAGATTGAGAACCCCTGAATTAATAAAATGGTAGATTTAGCTGGATAGATGTTAAATATACCTAGGTTACAATGAGAACAGCTACGCTTAGTCCTATCAATGCCGATCTAATAGCGAGCATTGTATTCTAAATCAGGTGCCTTTCTAGTCAACATCTAGGTACCCAACATACATGTAGGCTATCCGCCTATTCCTTGAGTACTGCCTCTACGATTCCGTCGGCGTCCTCTTGTACGGGCGGCCAGATCTTCACAACTTCGAACCCGGCCTTATCAAGCAGCTCTTCCCACTGCCTCGCCGACCGTTCCATGCCTGAGTTAAAGGTCATCATGGTCATATCAAGCATGGCGTGGAACGGTGAGGCTCCCTGCTCCGGAATTATCATCTCATGGAGGAGAAGCTTCGAATAGCCTGGTTTCATCGCCTTTTTGAGCTGACCTAGTATTTCTAGGCATTTTTCGTTGGACCAATCGTGGAGAATGTGATGGTAGAAGTATGCGCGTGCGCCTAAATCATAGTCAGTACAACTTTTGGGAATCCTCTTTTCAAGAGTAGTCGATTTATTTACCTTTAACCGGCTGCTCTGCAAAGAAATCATACGCCATCGGCTTGATGGAAGGGTCGAGGCCTTCAAGGTTGTCCGTCACGGCGGCCAGGTCTTGTAGTACTAGAAGTCCCTGATCCGGGTATTTGTTGTGGAATGCAAGAAGATCGTGACCTTTTCCAGCGCCAACGTCAACGAGCAGGGCGGATTCCTTAGTTGCACCATCGATAAGTCGCTCCTGAACCGGAAACCAATCGACCCAATAATCTCTGGCTCCCATAGTATTCCCCATGAATAAGTTGAAGTCTTTCATCAAGTCTGGCATTGTACTGAAAAGTTGAAATATGTTCAACTTGGTTTGATAAGCGTACTGAATGAAGCCATCGTGGGGGTTGGTGGGGCAACGATGCCCGGATTCTTTGAGCCATTTGGGTGCTTTGGTCGCAGCACCTACAATCATGCCGCTGTATGACCATCAGTAGATGCACAGATAATGAGATTGCTATGAGAGACCAGACACGGCTTTGATACCGATTTACTAGATACTCACACCGTTCTATGCCCAGCGGCGATTTCTTCCGTTGCCATGGCTTCAGTGATTGGTGTGGCCTCCCAAGTCCGTTCCCCAACCTCTTTGACGAAGCCTGTGGCGGCCATGGGCCTCAAAGCTCGGACTAATTATATGTTAAACAAGTTCATACGTAGACATTTAGACAATAGTGCTGAGGCGGCGTACTAATGAGCAATTCCTCTCCACCCGACAGAGTGGCAAGTTGCTGGGAAGTAATAGGACCGCCATGGCTAACAATCAACTTGAACAGATCCAGGTTGACAGCGATTCTCGCAGCTATGGCAATGAATGGCTGTCAAAATAGGTAAGCCAACGAGCCAAGATATCCAAGCATAGAAGGAGGTGGCGTACCGAAAAAGCCAAATGCACAGCTGCATTTTTAGGCTCTTCAAGACTTGCCGTCAATTCTTTACTCAGTTGCAATGCTTCGTTATTAGCTTGAACATCATCTTTCGAAGATAGCCTTGAACTGAGCTTATTAAGCTTTTCAATCAGGGTGATTGCCTGGTTTGAACTCGAAGCCATCTTGAATAGCTGCAGCGCAGAGAGTGATCCTGAATCAAAGTTAGGAGAAAGCACTAGGAAATAAAAGAAGTGACCGACGGATGAACCGGAGGCTTTGGTTTGTGTAACAGCGAGAACCTTACCGAGGTTGAAGCCAATGTTTGTTTGTTTGTTGGTTGCTTCTTTCGATAAGTGTTTATATATATTAAGCCTGCTCAACTTCCGCAAAATTCTCAGGATCGGCGCATAGTCTGAGTAATGAAAATGATTCAACTTGCTCACCATATATGTCCGCATGTTGCGAAAAAACGAACAAGGCTGCGCGCATGAACCGTAACTCACCCACCATCTACTACGAAAGGATTTTGGTTTTCATCATACATACGGCGTTGCATTGCATGAGACACTGAGTACACGTCTTTAGACAATACATCTTTATATTATTCGCTACTTCCGAAGCTGCGTGGCTGATAGGGGCGGTAAGAATGGCGCTTTTGTGCCGCACTCGTTTTTTATGTCAGAATACAGTATCGACCAGCAGTAATACCATGGTATGAGCTTTTCTTCGTTCCCAGTGTGCTCGGGCATTGTTTCTCTTCTATATCTGCAAGAGGAACTTCTTTAGTCTCAGACTCTAGATAATCTAGTCTCCAATATACCGAGTATAGTAGCCAAAGCCAATGTCATCCGACAACCTTGGACCCGCTGTGGTCTCCGTCTCGTGGGTCTTTGCTACCCTTTCTACGGCTGTAGTTCTTGCACGATTTTATGTACGCCTACGAATTGTACGAGCTCTTACGCTTGACGATTACATCATTGCAGTCACTCTTGTGAGAACCTCTATCATATCCTCCGTCACGATGCCCTCACCAACGTTCGGAAGTTAGCTGATGCGTTGAACAGCTTCTTGCGCTAGGAGATAGCGTATTTCTAACGATCTCAACTTCTTGGGGCTTAGGGCAACACATCGAAGCATTCGAATCACGACCTTTACATATCGTGTACACTATCAAATGGGTATACTTATGTGAATTCTTTTCTATCTTGTCGCCCGGGTTTGGCCGAATATCATTTGCCTTTTTACTCCTCGGTCTTATGCCACCAGCAAAAGCACAACGCCGGTTTCTATGGGCTATTATATGCATCCAGTTCATAGTGGATGTTGGAACTATCATCATCAGCTTTGCTCAATGCAAACCTATTAACGGTTACTGGGATCCGAGCATCAAAGCTGACTGCTGGTCCCCGTACGTGCAACAATATACAGGCTACTTTCAGGGCTGTAAGTAGGCACAACTCTATGACCATATCCGGGATTGTGCCTCCACTGAGAAGCTAATTGAACTCAGCCGTATCCTCTTTAGTAGACTTCATCCTAGCCCTTTTTCCTACTAGTCTGTTCTGGAATTTGAAAATGGAGTTAAAGCAGAAAATATCCTTGAGCTGCCTAATGGGATTAGGCATCTTGTGAGTCGCTCGTGGCCTCAAATTACTTGGTGATTGTTTGAATAGGTACTTATTTTCATTTACTAGCGCAATGATAGCATCTATTGTCAAAACGATCAACCTTCGGGCCATCAGCGAGACATCTGATTCGACATGTAGGTAACTATCATGTATTTTGATGGAGTTCTGCCAGCTTACTCATTTACTTTAGACGCTATGGCCAAACTAGCAATCTGGTGGACGTAAGTTAGCCCTTTCCTTAATGCCATAACGTGAAATTAAACCTAACTTACGTGTCTGTATGGTTAGTCTCGAGGCCTATCTTGTCCTTTTGGCTGTTTCTATACCGACCTTAAGACCTATTCTGAAAGGTGCCAGTGTTTTCACACGAAACAGGAGTAGCCCTTCTAGTGACATAAACACGTTCAACTCAAGGAAGCAAGGTCAGCCGAAGAGTGATCTAAACAACCACGGCCCCTTTCAACGCCTCGATGAATACGTCTATGCTACAGGCATCAGCAGTGATGGTGGCTTCCAACCTAATGAGGCTTGTGGATATCCCATGGATCCATTACGTACAGCCGGTGTTCGACCCCACGATGAGGACGGTATACGCAAGGACATAACAGTATCCGTCACTTTTGGCGGGGCGATCGCAGATAGAAGGATTGAAGGAAGACCAAATAACAGAAGCTCAGCTTGACAGAGTACTACATTGGACGCCTTTATGCGGACTGGGACTGTAAAACGAGTTTGTAAAACCAGAACTAAGCTATGACGGCATGGTTTGTGGGCGACATTGATATTTCATGGAGCACCTGTTCTCACTTCCGTTGACCTCTTATGATTTGCTTAATTCATAGAGTTTTCCTAATAAACAGAACATGTTCTTATCCGACAAACCCCCCGGAGGCTAAAACTTTTCCCCGCCCTCCCTCCTCATCAATCAAGATCACCCTCCTTCATTACACGCATAACTACGCGATTCCAGGGAATTATGAAATAAGCTGAATAGAGGCCGAAGGAAGGTAGATTCATTCTCTCAATTCCCGCTTTCCAACCCCCCCCCTCCCCCCCTTCTTTTTCGATCTAGGTCTCGTCAAATAGGGGTTATCAGGGTAAAAACCAACGAAGCATCAGTACGCGACACGACATCCAAGCGCCCGCAGCCCAGTCCGCAGACGATGGACCTTCATCCCAGGACCGGAGTGAGGAAGACTCGATGATGACAACGTCGAGTCCTCGCACCTCACACTCCCACAAACTTCTCCTAACCTAACACCTCCCCACCTCCCCACCTCCCCCCCTAACAGCACCTCAACAGCCCCTTCCAATTCATCCTCATCCCCTAACTACTTTCCATTTAACATGCGACATTGAATCTTCTCCGTCTAACACTCACTCTTACCACTTTCCCCTATTCCATTCACCCGTCTCAACATTCAATCTTACCTAACCGCTCTCCCCGATGACCATATGCAATACCTAACCCACCGCTATCTCTCTGTTTGCCTCCTCTACATCCTGAACCATGAGGCGATATCATCAGCGCTAGATACTTCCACCCCAGTGTATGGTGAGGTCTTATCACCTGTTTCTCTATTATCAACCTTTAGATTAGGTGGCTTTTCTTGGGTATAAAAGTCTTAGGTGCCTGTAAATGAAAATAAAAGATGAAATATCGCGTGAGGTAGAATGGTTGCTTGGGGGGAGAAGATGCATCCCTTTAACGAGCAGTTGTCTGCAGCCAGGGATTAGGAGGCAAAATACAGCTTCACATGAACTGGTGGGCCAGACCCATAACGTAGAGCACGAATGGTATATACTTTTACATAGATTTTACCTCGCGCCATTCGTACCAACAATTCCCTAAACCGAGCTTTGTGGGTGCTTAGGTGTATCGTGCCTCCTGATCCTTGGCTGTAGACAACTACCAGTTAAAGAGATAGGTTCTGGAAAGGCAAATAGGCCCCGATCTCGTTAAGGAGCATAAACCACGTACAGAAAAAGGCGAAAAAGTAAAAGGCGCATTGTTAAAGTCAGGAATGTCAGGGAAAAGCGTAAACGTTCTATCAAATTTTTATAAATCTGATTTCCCGCATGTTTCGTAGGTATTAGTCCCGTAGGCTTTCTTAGTAAGTATAGTCTACTAACAGGTAAAGGTTTCATTCATAAAAACAAATACTTCTTATAGTAAACTAGCTACTAGCACTGGCTTGTGACGCCTCCTTGTGCCGTCGGCACTGCGCTTTAACTAGGAAAACGGGCAGTAATTAAGACATACCGCAGGTTAGCCGACGTACTGATTTTTGATGTAGTCCTCATCTTACGAAGATCCTTACTTTCCTCGATTTTGGCGTGCTTATTAGGGAGACACATGATGATATAAGAGACGTCCTACATAAGAGAAGTATCGTCTTAATCGCTGCCCGTTTTCCTAGTTAAAGCGTAGTGCCGACGGCACGAGGAGGCGTCACAAGCCAGTGCTAGTAAGCGGTAGAAGAGCAAACGCTTATTTTTTATATGGTATCTAATCTTTAACATAATACATCGCGTTACTTTTCTTTTTTGAAGTTGATATAACCGTTGTTCCTGGCAGCCATTCCCGTCATGATCCGCAGATCGTACCTAATCCATTACCATTATCCTGTTATCAGAGACCCACGATCGAGACGCCACCCAGAAATCTAGGCGAATGAAGGACGAGGGGCCGATGCCTGTGTTGGCTCGTAGGGTGGGGGGTCATCCGTGGTCGGCTCCACCGGGGCGATGATCAAGCCTTGCGACGGGTCGCCGGGCCAGAGTTCGATCGCTGAGAATTCGAGAGCCGGTAGGTTGGTGATGTACATCCCGTCACGGCGGGAGCTTCCCGTGTGGGTCGGAGCTGGCGTTGCAAGATAATCTTGGTCGAGAATCTCCCATGCATGGTGACCGTCGTACCCTTTTCTGAGTTAGCGCGTCCATTGGCGATCGTGGAGGGGAAAAGGATAGTTAGGTATGAACAATCGAAGGGCTTGGGTCTACTGAAACTGGGGAGGTAGAGACTTACGCATGGGGAATTCATCCCCTTCGCCGGCCACGAACTCCTCCAGGTTGCCCAACTCGATGGCGTCGCCATCTACGGACCCGATGTCTGAAGCTTCATCGAGGTCCTTCTCACAATACAGCGCAGCTGAAGTGACAAGTACTGTCACTAAAGCGATTCCGATAACGAAGATGCAGACCAGGAGGGTGACAGAGGAATCCGACATCGTATTGGTGTTAAATTGTAAAAATGATTTGAGTAAGCGTGGAAATAAGTGGTACTATTAACTGAAGCAAGTAACTGAAGCAAGTATGTCTTCAAGGGAAAGTGCTGAGAGAATATGATAGCTTGTTGGTATGAACGTGAAGAGAGAAGAATTGCAAAAGCGAAAAGGAGAGAAACGGAAGAGATCTTATAGAGAAATAGATGTGAGAGGGGTAGGAGCATGGAGTGTGCCTATCGAGAATAGAATACGTAAAAGGAATGCCCTCCTGTATAGCTTGGGACGGAACATTGTGCCTCGTCGTCTCGATGATATCTAGACAGGCCTTCTCGGATTGAGAATCAGGATCCAACTACGCTTGGACCGGGAGTATGATTAGACAAACTACAGTTTGGTAACCTTGAAGAGAGTCGGTGAGACCTTGGAGATGTCATTGAGCTTACGCACAAAGAATTAGGTCGACACAAAATGATCACGCTGACGTTTCGAACTTTTAGTTTAGAAATCGACACATATGAGATGGGATCAAGTTGATAAGCAAGAAGAGTTTGCATATGCGAAGAAGTGTTTGGCAATTCTTGTGAGAGTCAGCGGTGATGAGCTCCCGGGACCTTGTTGAGCCGGCAGGTTTCACGCATAAATGATGGATCACGGGAGAGGTATTGGAAGAACTTGGCCTTGAGTTGGTTCTATTGAAAAACCTTAGCAAGAAATTTCATCCCGATTTAAGAAAGGGTACTAATGTACCTACGTATATCTATTGGTAAATTTGTTAGGGAGATACCTTCATCAAGGCGGATTTCGTGGGCCCAGAAGGTGTTTAGATATTGCTATGAAGGTATACCATAACATTAGGCCACTAATGTTTACAAATGCTTTGACCAGTGGTATTTCTTGATTCTATTCCATAATACCTTCGAGCTATACCCCGCGAGGCGAAGATAGCGGAAACGTCACAGACTAGTATAGTTCATCCAAAGTCTTTCTATTCATAAGCGAATGCCTAGTTTGATCATAGGCTCTGGAGACTCCAAGAGACTCGTGCCATAAGCTAGGGCCATGTGCCGAGATTACTGATGCAAGATAACATCACCTGAAATGGAATGGAATGGTACAGAATGAGAGAGCCTTGTAGATCCTGGTTTGCGAGCTAAGATCTAGAATAACAGGCCCAGTTGGTCAACATCATCCATCCTGAGTCTATATCCTCAAGTCTTTGAGAGCTGCTCATGTCCTACGGCGTACTGCAGGTATTGATGCAGCTAAAACGACTTCAAAGTTTGTTGTAGGGTGACTCAAATCGGTTGAGGTGGAGACAACCAAACTTGTCAAGCAGTTGTGGCACACAGTTTGAAGCAAGTGCCATTCAAGTTTGGATATGCTTATGAAGTCGTCGACGACTCAACGAGTTCTGGGCCTTGCATTGTGTAATGCTACATAGATGATTGGTTGTGCCAACCAACACTAGAGGGAATTAGAGTGACTGCCTACATATAGACATCAGATGAAGGTACATAATTGAAGTACCAACTTACATGTATCTAGATACCTACCTGCGTAATGCTTTTGTGAGTGCTCTATGCTTGAGCATGCTGTCTTAGCTCTACAGGAATAGAAATGATTTTCTGTTAGGAATTAATACTGTTACTATATAGGAAGATATATCACGACGAACAATAAATATCTCTTAATTTTCTTTGGCAAGTAATTTATGAACGTTGAATCGACTACGATTAGCAAGATATGAACACTGTAATTGATCTAACTTGTCTGGCTTGACTTAACTTGGTGACCTAGGAAATGACTAATTTGTGTTGACTCTATGGTAACAATAAGAACACTGGTGAAGGATACGGACAGGAAATGTTATCTGGTTGTTACGGTTGCTTTGTCCACTTATGTTCATCTGCAATCACCATAGACGCATAAGCATATAAATCCGTCTATAAACTAGACTGCCATTCGTAATCTTGCAGAGTGAATGATAAATCTCTAAAAAGCAGAAATATTGATTTGGCTCCTGGATGTCGTCCGTGCCCCTATTCCCATGTTGTTCAAGAAAAATCACGACTCAACTAGGTGCCACGATATTGCTTCTTAGACTAAATAGTAACGTCATTGTCTCTTATTCTACAGAACTTAACACAAAGTGAACTGTGTAGGCTTTAAAGACGTTAAAATTGTCCACGAAAGGGTATACGACAATAGATATACGCCCCTTGAAGCCTGGAATAGGGGTCGTCTGAGGTCAATATAAAAACCGGTTAAAAACCGTTTATATTCCGGCTAAAATTCGGCTATATCTATAATTATAGATGATTCCAAGCCTCTTTGAACCTATAGGTAGAATAGGGGAGCAGATTCTGTGGTTTTGAGATCACTTCCGACTATTTTGAGCCTCAACACCGCTCCTCGGCCCCCTTTCCGGTTTCCCCGCCAACACGGCCAGTTTCAAAGCATCACTTGATAAGGAAGACCATAATCAATATATGGGAAGAACTTTAGCTCAATTGTAAAGTTCATTGAGAAGCTAATTTTCTTAGTTACAATATAAAATTTACCCCTTTATTACTTGGCCGTGGACTACATCGCGAACTACATAGATAGGTAACTACTGAGCAAGCTAAAGGGAGAAACCTATGAGTACTTCGTAGAATTAATACTAGATTACATAGGGCGTCCATTTTCCTTGGAGTAGAGCTTGCAGGTAGGGAGGTACAAGGTGAGAGAACTATACAGTACGAATACAGTATAAACACAGTGCATCACACGAAAAGGGGTTCAAAGTAAAAGCTGAAACATTATCTTATTGAGATAATATCAATTTAACTAAGATAAATAATAATCCAACCCCAAACCAAGGGAATCGCATTGCCTCGCCTCAAGAAACGGCCCCTGAAAACTAGGCCACTGCAGCGTCCGCATAGTCATCCCCTCTAGGAAGGTCGAAGCCTCCCATTTCCCAGCACGTTCGACCTCCTCCAACGTGCTCGTGTACCCCCTAGCTTCGAGGAACTCGACATCCGGATTCGGGTCGAAGGTTCTCGCGAAGGAGCTGAAAGTGTCGACGACGAACTGCTCGAATGGGAGGTCGAACTCGTCGCGCATGGGAAGGCCTTGCCGTGCAAGGTTGCCGAAGACGTAGTACAGCTCGCCCGAGTGGCACTTGAGGTATTCCTCGTTCGGGTCGCCGTACGGACGGGGCGCGGTCTTCGGCGGCTCGCAGACGTCGAGGTTGGGCCAGCCGGCGGTCTGATAGGTCCTGTTGAACTCGTAGTAGTAGATTGGAGGGAACCTGTTGTTTTTGAGGCCGGCGTATACGGTGGCTTGGTCAATACATTTGAACATTCCGTCCGTGGCGAGGTGAGAGGCCATCTCGAACAGTGCGAGCGTCTTGTTTGCTATGCTTGGGATCGGGAAAAGATCTGAGGGCGGCACGTCAAAACCTTGGGAGGCGAGGTATGCAGACTGGTTCGTAGTAGTGGGATAGCTGATGAATGGTGCGCCGTCGTCGCGAGTGGTGCCCATCATTATGTGAACAGGAAGAGTAGGTCCGTCAAGTTGAAGTTCGTCGGATGTGAGGTAAGTCCCATCAACGACCGGGTACCTCGCAACGGTGTCCAGGTTTGCCAGGTCATATGGCGATATAGCCCGCAAGCAGTCTACTTGGGATGTCGCATTTGCGCAGCCAGTCTCCTGCAGAATGGCATTTCCCGCTACCTCTAATTCCTCATCAATTGTGTAGTACTTAGAGTACGTGGTGCCATAATTTATGCCCCCAAGGTTGCTCACGGGTATGGCCCCGGCGAATTTTCCAATCGACTTAGGCGAAGCTATTAGAGCTCGAACGCTGCCCGCTCCGGCAGACTGTCCGAAAATAGTGATCCTCTCCGGATCACCGCCGAAGTCCTTTATGTTGTTCCTTACCCAGTCAAGAGCGTTTATTTGGTCGGCAAGCCCGAAGTTTCCGTTGGTGACATTGTCTTTCAGTGCTAGGAACCCGAGGGTGGTAAGCCGATAATTGATGCTGACCACGACAACATCGCCTCTTGATGCCAGATTACCCCCATCGAAGGTAGGATCGTTTCCTGTCCCGCTTGTAAATGCGCCTCCATGTATCCAGAACTTGGCAATAGTTAATCATATATACGTGGGTTCGCTTTGGTACATAACGCTCATGGCTTACCATAACCGGTTTCAGAGCCTCCACAGTAGAGTTGGGACCTGGGATATAGGTAGTCCAGATATTCAAGAAGAGGCAATCCTCGCTTCCAAGATCCCCTGCCTGGACACATTGGGATCCATAACCAAGTGCGGAAGTCTCATTACCATTGCCGGTGTATGGCTCAGAGTAAGTAAATCGTTCGGGTTGGGACGCATATCGAATTCCTAGGAAACGGAAACTGAGGCGGTCGCGGAAGCTAGACACGTATTAACATATGTCATTCGGAATAGTAACAGTTGAAGGCATCTGACCCAGTAAGGGTTTCATTGTTGGATTCCACCGTGATTTGCCATTTCTCACTCGTATCCTGAGATGTTCCGTTGGAGAACGGCGCTGATTGTGTGCACAAAACTGGAAGTTCGGCGTCTAATTTCGTCTGAGATATGCGGCCGTCCAAGTCGATGGCTCGAATAGATCCATTTTGAGATGCTATCCAGAATTGCGAAAAACCCGTGTTTAAACTTGAGTAATTCAGATAATTCAACATATTTTGAACATTGCTGGTATTTGGTTCCAGCGACCAGAGCTTCTCCCCCACATCCTCACAGGCTTCGCTGGCATTATTCAATGAGTACGCTTCTAACAACAATGCTCCTGAGTCGGAGGCTGATCCAGCGGCACCTAGGAAATAAGTCAGATAGATTTTCTGATAGTCTTTACATAGAATGAAGCTACCTTGAAGATCATTATCAACCAACAACGTAAGGCTAGAGTTCAGTGTCTGCGGAGAGGGGATCGCGATTACTCCAACGACCAAAGCCGTAATTGATAATTGCAACAACATCATGAACAGAGTAGAGGCCTTACCAAAAATTCAATAGGACGAATAAGGCGACAACAACTGTGAAGAAAAGCAAATATACCATTTGACCATCCCCGCGCTTCGAGAGAGTAAACATCATGACCTCACCCCATCCCGAACCCGGCTCACGCAGTTCCAGCCTCGGCTTTGTTTACGCATCTTAGCAGACGGGTCACATTTCGCCTGCATATTGACCTCAGTATAGTTGCATTGAGGCCCTAATTGGGTTCGCTAAGGCAAGATGAAGAAAGTGGAGGTGTATGTTGCATAGGAATAAGTCACGACCCCAATAACCTAAACGAGCCTAGAATCGACTTCTAATATCACGTTCATTTAGCCTCAACTAAAAGCGGACTTCAATTGAGTGATTGCGAAGTGATATGCCGAGCGGCCAATTTATGTAGGGCTAGGATTGGGGTAGGAGCATAATCCATTGGTCCTTCAACCCGGATAGCGACGAGTAGGTCTCGATAAATTGCCGCATTAAGAGGTATGGATACGTGAGTGCCGCCAACACGTAATGTGCAAGACCCCTCGGTTCAGCATCATGATGAATCAAATTTCTAGTCATCGTAATCTATATGTTAGCCATGAGTCGTCATAGTAAGAAGCGGTCGACGATTTCATCCCTCTTAGGTAGGGCATCGTCAAATTTACGGCCGCTGGTAGACGTGATAAATAGGCCAAGAATTTCGTGACGGGAGTTGCGGTGAGGCCTTATAGTGAGGTGAAATCAAAATTTTCATTCGCTAATTGGGGTATATATATGTGTTAGCCACAACAAAAGCAAAGAAATTGCAATCAAGTACATCAATATACATTCAGTTCATACATCCACGCTCCGTTGAGACCTATCTTCTCTCGTCGCGTGGGAGCGCCAGTCAGAAACTTCCAATAGACCATACTCGTCATCGTGACTAGCGTTCAGTGTCGTATCGGCGTGGCTTGACATGCGTTTTCCCCGGCCAGCCGGGTTATCATGGCCTCCGATAGTATTATTCGCTGCTCGTGCCCAATATCCGCTGGGCTTTTTTGAGTCGCCGGAAGACTGGCTATCGTCAGGTTTGCGTACGAAAGACGGCCAGGTCATGACTTTCGTACTCTGATGGCTGCTCCAGCCCGTCCAGTCTCTGACATGCGAACAGGCCAACTTCCAGAGGGGTGCTAGGGTTGCGACGCAGGCGCAGATGAGTCCTGTTTGAACTTCGAAAATCGACAAGGTGAAGCTAATACCAGCCCACCACGGTCGGTCGGTAGTTCCAACCACTATGAACACCGAGTTAGCCATCTGTTTATGGAGATCACGCAGGCGGTTACTACGTACAGTTAAATGTCGCGATTCCCCAGCGAGCGACAGCTATCGCCCAGGAACTGTAATGGCCTGTGTTAGTAATAGTTTGTCAGGGGATAGCTTATGTACTCACATAAAACCACAGCTCAGGACCAAACTCAACCCGATTTTCTGTCGTGTAGTCGCCACTTGTAATTTCCATATCATCGTAAGAGGTAGGATGGCGATGACTAGATCACTAGCCATGTTACAAGCCCCGTAGAAGGTAGCTGTGATGGTACTATTGATGCACTCCCCCGGAATGTCCGGCTGCCACTTTTTTCTGATCGGATGGCAACCGAGAAACTCGGTCATCATGTTGCAGAAGAGGTAGCTCATACAGAAGAACAGAGTGCCGTAGCAAGTCCATCTGAACTTCGTGTATACGCCAAATAGTTGAAGGTACATGAAGAGTAGCGCGCATTTGAAGCCGCACAAGCCGAGTGCGTAAAACTCGGAAGTGATCCCGACCCACAGGTAATATCGCGAATTGAGTTCTGAGTCGTATTGCCATATATGTAAGCCCATTCCGTTATATGTCGCAATCGCCATGAGGACGGAGTGGGCGATGCAGACGGGCATCGTCAGGGCCACAATATCTACCATAAATCAGCATCACCATGCTGTTGTTGCGCGCGCAAGGGACGTACAATCATCAATCGTGAACTTCTTAGCCTTCAGTATATAAATCCGCGTATAGAAGCGTAATGACACGAAGAAAAATGTGATAAAAGGCATGGCGACCGCCGCGCGCCAAACGTGTACGCCATTTTCGGCCGGTAAGTGGTCCGGTGGCGTTCCATCAAAAGACCCTGTAGGTGATGCACGCTCGATAATTGCCGGTATGTAAGTCATATCGAGGTGGCCTGTGAATTTCAGCCCTACCCATCGGGTGATGACGCCAACACCATAGATAGCTGATAATAAACACAAGAAACGAAGGTATTGATGATGACAATGATGATGGATTAGAAGAGATTCGGGTAAAGTCCTTACGCCTAGAAGACTGACAACTCTAGACAGCCAATGTATCGGATATCGGGATTCTGCTGACACATTGCGATCCTACTCGGGCGGAGTGGATGTTTATGAATCCTGCGTTTCCTTCGCATGTTCTCTTTATCAAAGAGCCACGCGACGAGCCCTGTGATGTAAGTAGTGCCTAGTGCTTACAGGCCTCGTTAGGGCTGAGACGCTGAGCAGGGCTCTATGGCCTATCAAGAGGCTTAGTGATAGATTACGCATATATACAAACATAACGTAAAATTTTTATCCATAAGGGAAATTAACCCAGCGAAAGGGGACCCTCAAACCCTGAGATCGAAACGTCGAGAAAACGCAGTTGCGTAACATCGTGCTAAATCCATTAGGTAGTGAATGGACTTTTCGCAATTGTATTCTTCAGGGCGTCGTGCCAGGGACATGAATGGCTATAAATAGCAGCCCAGGCGCCTGGTCGGAACTAGGTACTGTAGGGTTGCAAAATGCTGTTGGAGACTAAATATGGCCTTTTAGGTAGCATTGAGGGGAGTTAATGCATGGAACTGCGATATGTGGTGGCAAAGCAATTATTAAACTGAAGATCGAGGTTATCCAGGCTATCGAATTACTTAATATGTAACTGAGAGGACGAAAGAGATCGAGATCGCTCAATCCATGTGAGATATATTGACTATATCGTCGAAATGCTTATATTCGTCGACGCTGAGTTAGGACCATCGAAGGTGTACAAGAAGAGGGAAATGTAACGTTTAACTGCCTTCACCGGCTGTTGAAGAGAGTTAGACCCTGAATGTCCAGGATGTCTTAGCCACATTCACTAGTCGCGGTAAAACTGCCTTAATGCCGACGGGAAGAAGCGTGTGGCTGTGTCTGGTGGGGTAAGTGCGCTAGGTATTAGCCCGTTAGCATCTCTCAGAGGGAAAGAAGCAGCTCATGTAATAATTGAACTCAAAACCAAGTTCTGTTTCGATTTCAACTTGATCTATTCTGTCAACTCTTAGATATATTTAATAGCATTTTCTAACACGTTCATCACCTGTGTCCGAAACGCTTGCTGTAGTTTAAGGTCTTCTTTTGAGTCATCCTTCACATTAAAGCCCATCTTCGAAGCCAATCGTTTTTCGGCATGCCGCACGAGATGTTTCTTGATCGCTTGTGGATCACGCACGTTTGCGAACCCGGACTTCTCAAGACTAGTCGTTTGTTGCCAAAGACCTTGTGGAAAGCTATATGAGCCATACGAAAAAAGAAAGAAAAACAAGAGGCGACGACTTACCAATTTCAAGCAAGACTACTCCCAACGAGTAGATATCGTGTACTTTATTAAACAATTGCGTCGGTCGCCCTTGTCGATCTGTATGGCGGCAGATGTCACGCGTAGGGCATCTGTCCGACTGTCCCTGTGAGAAATAGGCCTCTGGTCGGCTAAATTCAAAGCCTAGGACCCATGGCTCTGATAATTTGAGACCTTCTAACGTAGGCTCAGAGTCTGCATTTCTATCTATCCTCGGTGGTGAAGACAGCACATTCTCGCTCCGGAAGCTCGACGGGATGTTCCAAAGGCGGTGGAGATTATTGAGATTATTGATAACTCCAGTAAGGATTTGACGTCCTCGAACCTTTCCCTTGATAGCGCTGAACGCACACCTCTTCATTCGACTGTCACAGGACCCTTTACACGAACTGCCACTTGGATCCTTGGGAAGAAACCCGGTCTACTAAATGTTGAGGATCAATATGGCAGAACCGCTCTCCATTATTGCTACTAAGCTGCTAATGTTAACCTACTCCTTTCTTAGGGTGTAGACGTCAATTACACTGACATATTTGGACTTACAACATTGCACTTGGCTTGTCTTCATGGGAAACTTGATATCGTTCGATGTATATTAGGAAAGAAACCGTTACTAAAACTCAAGAACAACCCCTACGGTACCCCTTTACATTGTGCTATCATCAACGGCTCATTGGATATAACAGGTGCGTTACTCGAAGCTGGTGCGCCTGTCAATGAAGTGGATATAATGGGCAATGCACCGCTTTACGTGGTATCTTCATTTCCCCGTCATAATATCATTCGACTTCTTGTACAACACGAAGCGGATATCTGCCGAACAGATTCCAGGGGCCACACAGCAGCCACAGTAGCCAAAAGTCTGGAGACATTAGTGGGCATTATCACGCTGAGAATCCTCGAAGGGGAGATCCCAATTCAAGACACCGGACCTACCGAAGCTTGCTATGTGCCGTATATAGTGAAGAGTTTCGATGACGACACACTTCCCGAGCGCCGGCCAAAAACAGAATCTTTGTCGTCCAAGACTTTGTCTCATGAGTCGGACTTTGCAAATGTCTCATTGGAGCTGTTTGATTTCGCCGGGGATTCTCAGACGGACAACAAGCGGGATAGCTTCAATGAAGAAACGGAGAGCGGATCTGATCCTCGAGAGCCAAAAAGGAAACTTGCAGAGTTCGTCTACTACCTAACTACTCAATATGGGACATCCCTTCACGAAGCGAGACTTCTCGTACGTAATCTCGTACACAGCTACGAAACTACGAAGAATGCGAATCTTGATGAGTTTAGTTTGGTTAAAAAAGAGCTTTTTTTTTTAATAAAAAAAAAAGTTGTCTAGGGAGCTGGGTCATTCAATCATGAAGGCTAATCTTCTAGTGGCCTATTTATGCGCCGAATCGGAGATGGGCAAGGAGAAAGTGGCGAAAATATGTGATATTGCCGACGAAAAAACCGCATGGTCATCAAGACTCCTTGGCATAGTGTAGGCAAAGCCGTAGCGATCATCTTAATACTTGGAAGGCCTATATGGGACATATTCGGGTTAGACGACAAGAGAACGGGTTTACTGGTGAACGTGGGTAGGAGGATCAATCTTATCGCAGAAACTTCACCCAAAGTAGCAGCACGATTCGGCATTCCCTCCGATAATTACGACACGGAAATACCTATAACTATAGATACGTCAGAAGATCAACAATGGAGGCTCTCAAGATGAGATCGGTACGAAGCTATATTACGGGCCATGGCAGGGAAAGAAGGGGAAGACGAGGGCTATTTCCTCCTATCAACGCAATTTCCGAGACGAGACGAGTCTGAAGAGCGTAGGATCTTTGGCGCTATTGGTAAGGATGATGAAGAGGTCGGTCCATCAAATAGATAGAAACGTGACCGCACCTCGTCTTTTTCCTCCAGGGAGCTGAGAAAAGATGATTGGCTTGTACATAGATGGCATCCAGAGAAATATGTGTGGAAATCTTCTATTATGTAACATTACCCGCAACCCAACCCATCTTCGACGCTAGAGCTGCTAGCACCGCACACAAAACGAGAGGGAAATAAAGGCAGAATGACAAGAGGGCAAAAAATTGATTGCTGTGACAAGAGTGGGATTCGAACCCACGAGGGTTTCCCCACGAGGAAATCGTGTTAAGATTATTGACCTTAACCTCGCGCCATGGACCAACTCGGCCATCTTGCCCATTAGTTTGAAGGTTGGAAGTGTTGGAAACTTGGGCCACTATTGTGGATCATATACCTACCGCCTACTCGTCCCTAGCAGCAAGAGAGAAAACACAAACTAGTAGGAGTGAGTTGATCATATCGCAATTCATACTATTACATTTAATGGACTGTGAATAGTCTTAAAAAATCTTCCCTACATGATATGTTCTCCAGGCGAATGTTTCCGCCATGTCTTGAAGTTTGCTTTTTGGGAGTCCACCCGTTTAAAACATATTTCTCGTTCGTCAATTGTAATTACATCTCGCATCCATAAACCACAACAGGCACTATACGACGTAATAACGCATATATTTCATGCGATAATAATATCATTAGTTAATAATACTCAAGGTCTATCTTTCAACTGGTGACTCGTCATGCTATTATAATGTATCTGTTAACGCATTCTTACAAATACCCATTCCCGTCTGTTTCTTCGTGGTGTTATATCCCGGGCAATCCGACGAACGCTCTCAAAGCCGGTATCCACCGCGGGAGGATGTAAACGGGGTAGATGCCCATTCCAGCTACCAACAGGCCGGTGAACTGCCAGGAAAGTCAGTAAAGACGGCTCAGTACCTAGAATTTGTAGCGAGGACGTAAAAATAAAAAAATAAAGCGAGTGAGAAAAGGACGAGGCGAAACCAACCTTTTCAAACCACGTATGAAAGTAGATAGCAGTCATAAGCAGCATCCACAAGCACAACCCCACAACCGCCAGCGCGAACCTGCCCCCGTACCCGAGCGCCCTCTCCTCCTCGGCGCAGCTCTTCTCGGCCTCAACACCCGCGCCCTTGACCGCGCCGTCGGGCATAACCACGCACCTCTCATCCCAGCCGGCCCTCGCGGCGCGGTAGACCACCCACCCGACCTCCTGCATTAGGAAGCAGCTACCGAGCACAAGCAAGAAGACATGCCCGCTAATATCATGGCCGCCGCTCCACCGTCCCCCGGCGGCCTTACACGCGACCGCCGTAAACAGCTGCGCCGCATCCGCGTCGCCCTCCCTCGCCGCCTCGCTCGCGCCATCGCACTTGCCGCCCGTGAACCTAAACCCGCGATCAATGATCGGGGGGCCGAAGCACCACTGCGTAACCAGGACCCACCACGCCGTAACCAGCGCCCACCTCAGCGTCGCTTTCAGTCTTCTTATCGTTCCCGCCTCGCTCCCCTCATTCCCCCACTTGCCAAAAACGGGGTGCGTGGCCGCGAACGCCGCGAACGCGGCCGTGATCCACGCCCACCCCTGCTTCACGAACAGCGCGTTGAACACGTTGTCCTTGCGCGCGAAGTAGCTCGGCGCCTCGCCCGCGACGTGCGACTGCCTCACGGGATCGTACGCCGCGTGCCGCGTCTCCGGGCTCAGCGCCGAGAACAGCGCCCCGAAGACGAGGATCGTCGGGTACGCTAGTAGGACCGCCGTCTCGAGGGGCGTCGGCAGGTACGGGGAGTTGCGTTTCGCGTTCGGGGACGAGGATGAGGTGGGGGGAGAAGAAGAGTAGGACGACGACGAAGGCTCGCCGTTCGTCGCCCCCATGTTGGCTTTGGCTTGTTGTCGTGATCGGAGCGAGGCGTTGGTGGTGCTGTGATTATCGTCGGTCATGGTATAGACGTAGAGGTGGCATTAAGAGCTGTTGCTTTGTAGGATCCTTGAGCCTTAGCTTCTACAAATGGAACCCGCGGAAAAATGTCGGAACCAGGCTGGGGGATTTTGAATTTAAGTACGAGAAAAGACACAAAGAAATGCAAAACTTAGGTTATTTGCCAGTTTGTTATTTTTTACAATAGTATTTAGAGACAGTTCGAAGGGATTCCGGATTTCTTGAGGATCGAGACAAAAGCTATCGATGACGTTTAATCTACGCATATGCAAATATCCGAATTAGTACTAGCGTTATAAATTCTCCACAATAGCATGTGGCTGGACAACTGAAGTACTTGCTAGAAGCCCCTGGGATCTAAGCGGATAGGCAACTAAGAACATTACGCAAAAGTCATTCACATCACAGGGTCAACACATTATCAAATATTGAAATCAATGAAAATTTTTACTAATGTAGAATCCATCGTAGGTACGGAATAGCTTTAGGTCTTATCGACCGCCACCTTCCCTTCCTAAGATCTTGGTGATCTTCTCGCATCAAACCGGTATCTCAGTATCTCAAATCCTGTCATGTACCTGAACTCCAAACGATTCCTATGTTCCGGTAGACTGAATTAATTTTGACGCCTCCTCATTGGACAGCGGAAATGCCTCTAGGGCCGGGAAGAAGAAGAAGAAGAAGAGAAAAATAAACTGCGATGGAACCTTGTTTTTCCACCATTTCAAGGATTCTTCACGTGTGGCGATTTGGACCCGCAGCTGCCTGGTGTGACGGTCGTCGTTTTTGTAGCAGTGCTTGTTGAGTGAGTGAGGGTCCGGGAATTAGTCCCAGTAGCCACGCTTCATGGACTTTGGGAGCAAGTTCCCGCCGCCGTGACCGTCTGAGTGATGGTGACCGTGACATCACCGGAATCACCAGCATCACCGGTACTGCTAGAACTGCCAGAACCGCCATTGGGGGTTTCCGAGGGAATAGGAATTGTCGTCACAGATGCTGTCATTGATCCCGCCACAGATCCCGTCGCCGATGTACCGGCAGTCGACTCTCCACCGGGTGGAACATAGCTACCTGCCGGTGTGGAAGCCGGAGTAGCCGTGGCCTGAGTGTCAGTAACAATGCTCGGGGTGCCACTAGCTGAAGAACCGGAGCCTGAACCGGGAATGGAGCCTGAAATTGACGCCGAGGCTGAGGCAGTCACGACAGTTCCAGAGAGTGTTGTCTCCGAGGCCGAAATTGTAGACGAACCCGCTCCAGCGCTGCTTGACGCTGGCGATTTGGAGCCGCCGACGTCCACCTCGAACTTAGCGATAGCGGCGCAGAAGTTGTTTCTGTTGTCTTTGTCAAGAACCGCGGACTGGCCATCAACACTGATCATGTTCACCGAGGCCTTGGTGCTGACTCCATAGAGGTGTACTCCAGTAGATCCCTCAATGGAAATCATGTTGTCCTGGCAATTGTTCTTGTCCACACATTTCTGGCCATAGTTGTTAAAGAAGCTGTATAGACCAGTGCCGTAGACATACACCGAAGATGAATTCGTGACGCGAAGACCCCAGGTGCGGGCGCAGGTGTCGGACGAACCGTCGCAAGACTTGTCAAAGTCAGGGTCGACGAAGCCTTCAAGAACTGTGGCGCCTTGGGGAGCCGGGGGGTTGCCCTGGAAGTAGGCCGTCTCGGATTGAGCGATGCCAAGGAAGACATTCTGAGCGTTGGAAACCTGGTAATTGTACAAAATGCTGTGCTCCGAAGCAGTGCCCCATAACCAAACAGGCTTCTGAGATTCAATGAGGACACCACGACCGTTGAAGATGTTGATCTGGCTGTGGTCGTTCAAGTCAAGCTCGTGATCGGCAACCCAGAACCAACAGTTTTCGATGTAGGCTGAGGCCGTCTGCGTGATGTGGAGCATCATGAAGGTACCCATACACTCGGGAGTAGCTGTGGTTGTGACATTCTCGTTTTTGGCACACTTATCGGACTGCAGTTCAGTTCCAGCCGTCCCACCGATACGGAAATGCACATCCCACATTCCAGCGGCGCCATTCGTGGAGCCCGCGAGATTCCACTGCATGAGGATCGCTCCAGGAAGTGGACCTTGGGTTTCAATGATCAAATCCGACATCTCAACATCGCCTACATCTCCAGCATCGCCGACCTGGAAGACAGGAACAGGCTTAGTCTGATCGGTGAACTTCTTGCCAGTGGCCATCAGAAGAGGCCACATCTCACCGGTGATCTTGATGTTCTTGGGGATTTTGACGGTGTCGGATATCAGGTACGCGCCGTGGTCGAAGTAGATGACATCACCCTCCTTAGCACTGTCGAAGATTTTCTGAATCGCCGCAGTGTCATCGGTTTTACCATCACCTTTGGCGCCAGCCGTCTTCACGCTAACAAAGCTGCTAGACGGAACGGATTCGTATTGAGGCTTGATGCGGGTGAAGACTTTGCCATCGTCACCCAGGAGAACATTGGGCTTGCGGACATTTTCTTTGGCGGTCTGGATCGCCTTGCCTTCGCTACCATCGTACTGTCGACCCTGAGTGAATCCTGTGACCTTCTGGTTTCCCTGTAGGATGACAGATTTGTCCTTCGCGTACTGGATCGCGGCGGGGACGCCCTCGGTCATATCCACATTGTCTACAATGAGGGTGTTGTTGGTGTCGGTGTTCTCGGGCTTGTACAGGGTATTGATTCCAACGGGGACATTTGAGATCTTGCTATCGAGAAGAAGCAACGAACCGACCTTAATCTCATCCAGCGAATCGCTTGCCATGTCGATACCAATCTTTCCGCCGTTGATCGTAATGTCCTGCAGCAACCAAAGCCAGTTCCAGATGAGGTAGATGGCCGTGTTACAGTTGTTGAAAGTCATGTTGCGGGAGGTGTATTGCTGGCTACCGATGTAAGCTCCCATACCTCCGCCATTGAACGTAAGATCGGCCATGAAACCACCAGATCCATTCTCGATATACAGGCCTTTCTGCGCGTTTGCGTCGCTAGTGTCTGGGTTCATCTCGAAGACAATATTCTGCAAACTGGTTGCCTGAGCGACTTGCCAATGGATACAGGCGCCTTTGTTGATAGGCACATCCTTGATGTCGATGATAAAGTTGCGAACCTGACGGAAGAAGTTATTCTGGTTGATGTACCAGTTCGCCGCAGGTTGTTGGCTGTAGTCATAGGGGTTCGCATCGATCACAGCCATACCATCGAAGTTGGGGAGTGCCTTGATGGTCGGAATGTCGTTCGCATCACCAATGAATTGGGTGTAGTAAGTCTGGTTAATCGGGTTGCTGACCATGTAGACACCGGGAGGGAAATAGACAATCGCGGGGGTAGAGGTGCGGGAATCACAGTGCGTTATGCAGCGGTTAGCGCCATCTTGGACGGCTCGGTTGATTGCTTGGGTGTCATCAGTGGTGCCGTCTCCCTTAGCGCCATAGTCCTTGACATTGCGGAAGACCTGGTAGCCGGGATCGGCGTAGACAGCGACACCCTGGCGTTTGATGTCGGCAACCCAATAGTCAGAACTAGTACTTTGGCGCTGCTGCACAGCTGTCGACTGACTAGCCTCCACAGAGCCAGAAAAGAGGCGTAAAGCCAGGAGAGAGGCCGCGAGGACCTTAGAAAGACCCATCTTGAGTGTAGTACCTGCTATGTCGAGATGGCGTTGAAATGTGATCTACCAAAAGGAGTGTGGGCAGGCCTAGTACTATTCATGCAATGTCAGCTCCGCTACTCCTCCAGGGAGGTCGATGTGATAAAATAAGGTAAGAATGAGTTAAGAATGAGGCTACAAGTATGGACAATAAAATATGCAAGAGATCTGCTGGAAAAATGTACTTGGTGATAGGATAATGGTGAAGGTGAAAAGTTGGAAAGGAGAAGAAATGGAAGTGGAAGAAGATTAAAAACGAGAGGAAATAGGTTCGTATTGGAAATTTTGATGTGCTTGTGAATACTCCAAGATGAGAGTTCGTGAACAATAGTGATTGTTCATGAACAGAATGGAAGAGAACAAGGACATCGGCGTGATACGACGGGCTTTGTGTGTAGCGACTCGAGGAGGAATGAATCAAGGAATGAATTAGGGACGATGTGTTTGTGTGCTGAACAAAAGGGAACAATAAGAATAATATCAAATCAAAGACTTACCAGTCACGACGAATCTTGGTGTTGTTCGTTGTGAGACCCTTGTGTCCAATCGGCGATATCGATGGCCTGACCAAATCCAGGGTCGGGTCAGTGGTGGTCTTTGGAATCGTCGAATAACGAATGACTTAATGAATGACAGTGATTTTAAGGTGTCGTAGGACGAGAGAATGGACGGTCAGACTAGTGACCAAGAATAGAAGAAAAAAAAAAGAATGTTGGGGGTTCGACGTGATAAAAGGGAAAATAGGAAATGTGGTGTAGAGGGGAAGGTTTTTTCTTCTACGCGGAAGAAAATCGACGACGGTATGAAGAGGGTGGATGGTGAGATGGGTAGCCCAAATCGGGAAATAAACGGTTGACTACCACGCGTGATATATATAACCCCAGGTAGGTACTTCCACTTACATCGCTATTAGCAGGCGCATCTGATTAGAATATAGCGCACCTTCACTTACCTCACGGATTCTAAGTAGCAAATTGTGAAGGTACGTAACTAGGTACCTTCAAATTATAACATACATACCTACATAGTACCCACCTGCGCTTCTAAATGACGGTTCCCCGGCTACTTTCTTTGAAAGATTCAACTGCCACATGGTTATAACACAGTGTGTAACTCTTTAATCCGATCCAATGAAAAGCACGCCCCTTGCCGAAAGAAGTAACCACTGGCTAGTAGCTGCTGTAATATGCACGAACCTTCGTATGTTTGTGAGCAGTACCTATACTTGAATTATCGCCATATCATATGTAAATATCTCCCATCTTTAATGCAGATACGATGCTTTAACCGACGACATTCTGTGAGCAATGAACTTTAATTATTATTGATGTGTATACCCACATACTACTGCAAAGTAGCGGCGTTAAACCACTCAAATTGCCAAGATGCAAATTACTGAGCTACACGGTAGCGATTCGACAAGGGAATAGATCCCCTAACGGTTATTTCGCCTGTCTACAAAACTACATGATCTTCATCTTTCGTTCGGTTGGTTGGGTAGTGGATAATCCGATCGAGAATACAGTATTTGTAGGTATCTATTGGTGTTGGTGATATGGAAAATCGATAGGAGCTGACAGAGCTGACCCAAAGGCTTGGAGTGCAACATTACGAGCTGCCAATATCACATTTAGTGGTAGTCGCATCACTAACATTTCGTCATTGGCAGCTAGTGCTCCACGTTCCTGCAGGAAACCCTGCAGGGATTATGGCGATCCTCAGCGATCCGCATTTGTTTGTGGCCTATCATTACGCGGCATACAGAAATCCAGCTCCCAATTGGGTACGTTTCTTTGTACTATGGTTTCGAAATTTTATATACTAGGTAGGTACATGGAAATACTTAGGCACTGAGAGCTTTTACAATCAGTACAGTACATCGGTTGTTTGTGACTTCACTAGAAACCCCTCAAAAGACGGGGAGATAATGCCACGCGGGAAGTTGAATTTTTAGACAGTGATAGGTGATGTTAGATATAAGGCTCTCGCAAGAACCCTCCATCCCATATTTCAAATGATCGGTCTGGGGGGCGGCTATGATTATCGATAGTGCCTAGGGGCTGCAACCTTAAGCCAGTGGCTTACACCGTTCCTGGATAATTCCTAACTGCCCGCTCCCTTGTCCCTACTCCGATAATAATCAGAGCACAGCAGCGGTTTACGGAAGCATGTCGTTGGACGACTCGTTTCTCGAGCTCAAACTAAGCTTCGTACCGGCGGAAACTTGCATCTGTTTGTACTACTACATATAATCCCTTGACTCGATACGATTCGACTGATTAAATCGATCAAAGAACGCATTTGCCAATTATTAAGGCCAAGCAGGATGGGTAGGATCGTGCCGCACTAGGTATTCTGTGGTGCGATGCTGGGCATGTTAATATCAGAATTATACTGCATGCTATGCAGCTATGTAATATGCTTGACACGCGGTGCTGCCATGCCCAGTCAAAACTACCCCGTAAAGAGATCCTTGGGCAATCTCGGCTCCGATCTAAACCACCAAATTTCTATAATTTATGTCTACGTATATATGTATCGTTTTTACTAATGCTTTATGGAAATAACCGATGATATTTACGAGCAGACGAGTAGATGCTCGATCATAGACAGGTTACCAACCGCATCTACCAAACGTACCTACTGAAAGCCGACTCGGGCTGCCCAGAACCACCCCTCGACAAGGTTGTCCAGGTAATTCGGGATCAAAGCTTTTCGCTGAGCACAACCGATATCTGCTCAAAAAGCAAGAAAAGTTCTCTAGGTCAGTTCTCGAATCTGATCACACCGTACCTAGATAGATATCTTGGTAATTAACATGTCCTAATGATGCAAAGCATTTGGCCAACCAACATGGCCCAGTCAGGCCTGCATGAAACAACGCCATAGCACAAGCAAAATTACGGATCTTGTTTAGTCGCCTCAATTCATTCCCCTTACTCACCGATCCTAACCTCTATACTGCTCCACAGGTGGTGTCTCCATCTCCAATTCATGGCCAACCAGAAGAGAGTATGCATCAGCTGTAGAATGATCTAGCATGATAGTCTGGATATTTTGACCTGCCAAGTTGTGTTTCGAAACAACTTTTTTAGTGCGCTTTCCCCTGAATTGGGGGGTGATGCATGGTAAATAATCGAGGGTCCGTGTTTCATCGGCGCTAGGAAGTCGGATCGCGCGGGGGCCATTGCAACCAAGGCACAGCCCTACTGAGTAGGAGGTTCCACCTGCTATTTTAGGCCGTGCCTGCCTGGTTGTAAGGCCCGTTCGGGCGGCTACGTAGATCGGCTCTGTTCCGTGGAGAAATTCTGGACCTGCACTAAGGGAGCTCGGAAACTTTGTTTTTCTAATTCCTACCTAGGTATTCTTTTAGTCCCTATTTCATTGGTGAGGTTTCAGTTTGTTCATTCACCTCACTGACCTCACTCAGGAAGAAGCAAATACCGCTAAAAGCAAACAACTCGAAATTCGAGAATCTTTGGAGTTTCTCAGGACGCTTTGATCTATGCTTTCCACAGAGTGTCGAACCATTGCTACTTTAAAATGAAAGGCGACCTAGACAGTACGCCGTGTAACAGAAATTGCGACTCCTCATAAGAGAATGCGAGAGAGTCACAAGCTACAATTCCAAGGGCGGCAAATTCTATAGCAGCACAAGTTTTGGAGATGTCGGCTTAATCGGAAAGTGTTCAGGTACCTACTCATTCAAGAGTCACATACAACTCACTTGTTCGAAGGGATCTTTTCATCCGGATGGAAATGCTGAAAGCTAGGGAAGAATTAATGTAATAAAATTATCATCAACATACCCAACCTACTCGGGTACTTGACTAGTCACCGCCGACCACGCGCGGCCCGAATCACCCATAAATCATATCCCATCTCACCTCTCCCTTACACCCTGCCCTGCCTACTCTTCATCAGCGGCTGAATCTCCTTGCCGAACGCATCCACGCCCGCGAGGAAGTCGTCAAACGTAAGCATGATCCCCTTCGTTCCCTCCACGCCCGCCACCTCGTCCAGCATGCGCGCCACCGTCGCGTAGCTGCCTATCAGCGTGCCCATGTTGAGGTTCACCGCGCCCTCAGGCAATTCCAGGCTCTTAGCCGTCGAGTGCGCGTCGGCCTTGACGTCCTTCGACGACTGCGACTTCATCCAGGCCAGCGCCTCCGCGTCCGCGCCCTCATTATACAGCTTCCACTTCGCCATCGCCTTCTCGTCCGTCTCGTCCGCGATCACCATGAACAGCACATACGAGCCGACGTCGCGGCCCGTCTTCACCGCCGCCTCGACGAGGCGCGCCGTCGCCTGCCCGAACGCCGTCGGCGTGTTGATCCCGGCGCCCAGCGCGAAATTATAATCCGCCAGCTGCGACGCGAACTCGACGCCTCGCCCGGACTGGCCCGCCGCCACGATCTTGACGCCGCCGCCGTCGCGGGGCCGCGGCGACAGCTTGCAGTCGTCCATCTTGAAATGCGCGCCCTTGAAGTCCGAGGACCCGCGCTCCCACAGCTCGCGCATCACCTGCACGTACTCCGTCGCGTAGTCGTACCGGTACCCGAAGTACTCGTCGCCCGGCCACAGCCCCATCTGCGAGTACTCGGCCGACTGCCACCCCGTGACGATGTTCACGCCGAACCGGCCGGGAGCCACCGAGTCGACCGTGCTGGCCATGCGGGCGACGATCGCCGGGGGCAGCGTGAGTATGGCGGCCGAGGCGAATAGCTTGATCTTGGAAGTCACGGCGGCGAGGGCGGACATGAGCGTGAAGGACTCCAGATTGTGGTCCCAGAACTCGCTCTTGCCGCCGAAGCCGCGGAGCTTGATCATAGATAGCGCGAAGTCGAAGCCGTACGCCTCCGCCTTCTGGACGATCTGCTTGTTCAGCTCGAAGCTGGGCATGTACTGGGGCGACGTCGTGGATATGAGCCAGCCATTGTTGCCGATGGGGATGAAGACGCCGATATCTACAGTCGACATGTTTTCCGTATACCTATTTCAGTTGCTAGTGGTGATATATAATTTGTAAGTGTTGCATGAACTGAGGAGTATATCCTTTGTGAGACGTTGACCAAGCCACTCATCGCCTCTGCCACTACCCGTATAGTAGGGAATATAGTCGCGTACTCTTGCGATCTTCGGCGCATTCCATTGCTAACCCCGCCCTTCAAGTCCGGAGTGATAGATAAGAGCTCTTAGCTTGGCCGGTTGATGTGGGTTACATTCACGTTCACATGCGCTATACCTACCGTAGATACAGGAGATATGTATGTAAGACGATCGTCAATTATTATCTACCCGATCGTGCAAGGGTAGTAGACGTATCTAGGCGATATGAGATATTGCACCGTGAACCTCTTGCTTAGGGGGTTGAGTTGTGAGATAGAAGCTTAATTAGGTATGCCGAGGGGCGTTTTGGAGATTATGAAGTGCGTCCCCAGCTGGTATCAGCTGGCAAGAACACCAGGATCTCAAGTACGGAACTCCGACTGACTTGCAGGTGCTGATGATGTAACAAACTGGACTCAATGCAACCTCTCGCCAACCTAATTAGACTACGACAGTCGCTACAATGGCAGAAATGGCCCGCCCCGTCGCGCCGCCGAACCTTCCAGCACTCGTCAAAGCAGCTTTTGATAAAGCGCGAGTCAACGGCGACGTAACGTATTACCCGACACAAGCCGCCGTCTTGACGGCCGGTTCTATTGCTGTAAGCCCCGCATATTTCTCATCAAGCCCCCCTGACCCGTACTATAGCAATCACTAACTGCCCATCCGTATAGTTCCAGCTTCGCTATGCGCCCTCTCTCGCCTTCAAGCCCAAAGCGCCAAAACCCAAAGAACCCAATGGAAAACCGTTCAATCCCTTCGAGAATCCCACCCCAGCTATGCTCGTTGCCGAGCTGCCACCATCCCACAGACTAGTCCTGAACAAATTCGCCATCGTGCCGGAGCACTTCATCCTCATTACCAAGGAGTTCAAGCCGCAGACGCACGTTCTCGAGAAGGAGGATATAGACGCGACGTGGGCCTGCATCCAGGCCTACGGTGAGGATCTGTTCGCGTTCTTCAATTCGGGGCCGCATTCCGGAGCTAGCCAGCCGCATCGGCATCTGCAGCTGCTATCTATCAAACGTATGCGAGACGGGCTAGAAGACGTAGAACATGGCAGCCAATGGAGCGTGCTGGCGGAGACGCTCGCCGGGCTTAGCAGAAAACAGCTACCTTTCAATGTCTTTACGACGAGCATGCGTCCAGATATGAGCGCCGAAGAGAGGCATGGTGCGTACCTGGAACTGTACAGACACGCTGTGAAGGCCGTCTATCCGGACGGAGAAGTGCGTAGCGAGGGCGAGGCCCAGATCAGCTACAACTTCGCAATGACGAGCAGTATTATGGCTTTGTGTCCGAGAACAGCGGAGGGTGTGATGCTCAAGAAAAAGACCGGCGAAGATATTGGTCAAGTATCGCTCAATGGAACGGTTCTAGCTGGCACCGCGCTTGTCAAGAATCAAGCTGAATGGGATGCTTTAAGAGAAGATCCTAGCACGTTACTCGATGTCCTTAAAGGAATTGGCTTGCCTCCCTAGGAGAAGTTAACAAACAGTCAAATACAGTCATGGGATTTGTGAATAGTTACTAAAAATCCGATTAGAGGGTTGGCTCGCAGTTATTGTATTCTCCTTGCTACCTAAGATAGCAAGGCCCTATGTTGATGTCCCGTCGTTGTAAGTACACACCTGTCCTTTGCTTTTTCTACATCCATTAATTACATCTCCCAAATCATAATACACACATGTTTGTAGGCCCCTATCATACATACTCAAAGCTAACACGCATACTTTACTCAGTCCGGCCCCATTTATTGTGATAACCAAGTAGTCAGCCTGAGCTCACTTCATTCCCGTCTTGCCCTCTTCCACCAGCTCCTTCCACTTTCTGTGGCATGTAGCGCTGCCGAACTGGTACGAGCCGCCGTTCTTTACGATGTATTCAGAGATCTGTCCCCATGGTGCTTTAGTCGGCATGCTATCCTCGCCGCGACATAACTTTCGGACTGCCTTCTTGAGCAGGCGGATCTATAACCACCCGATTAGTGAAACCTGAAAGTAGCCCGCTATCCGACTGAGAAACTCACGTCGTTGTCTCGCCACTCCGGCTTCCTCACCCGCGCCTCTTTGTCCTTGGTCAGTGTTCGGAAGCGTCCTCTCAATGTCGACTCGGCTTCGGTGAAGTTCCCCTTCTTGCGGATCTCGCGATACGTCAAGCCCTCCCTCTTCGCCCTAACTAGGAATTCGTCTTTGGCAGAGCGAGTTTCCTCAATTAGTCTCATGTCGCCATTTCCCTGGGAAGAAGGGACAGGGGAAGCTTCGAATTCGTATGTTGTGCTGCTCTGTGGTTCCTGTATCTCCTGAGATACCTTGGGCTTTTGAGGCAACTCTAGTTGCCCCGAGGGCAGTTGTGGAGGAGCTTGCTTCTTGTCTCTCGACTTTGATGCGAAAGGAGCCGTCGGTAACGAGCGCGGTTTCATTGGCTTGCTTGGAAGTTCTTTACGTGGCTTGTGGACTTGTCGATTGGGATTGAACGGACTGCGAAGCTGGTGACCGAAAGGAGGGTTCCCAGTAGATGTGCCAACATCGGGATCGCAGCTGGCTAGCATATTGGTATGGATTGACTCTGACGATGAAGTATGGGTCGGCGACGGGTTGAGGCGCAGCATCTTGGGAGAAATGGTAGGAGGATAACCCGATGCCCAAGTGTTTCCAGAGGCTTCCGAGCCGGAGACAGAGTTATTCGCTCGTGGAGTTCCGATTGCATTGCTATGTGCCGCCATAGAATCTAGGGTCATCGCAGCCATAGCGTCGGATGTTGCCGAAGACGGAATCGACGACGAGAAGCTGCTGGGGCTCACCTGAGGACCCTCCAATGGTTCACCGAAGACGGGCATATTATGTTGCCATTGGTTGTCGGGTAGGCCGTCAGGGTAGTCGAGGTAGTTGGTGGTTTGGTTGGCTCCGGTGTTGTTGTACGCCTGCCAAGGATACTGGCGGGCGTCATAATTGGCCCCGAAGCCTCGAGCGTATCCGTTTGCTAGACGCAAGTTTGGCAAAAACATTTGCTCGTTTCCCGCTGGTTTATTCTGTTGAGCGGGACTCGGACCAAAATCCCTTCCGACGTTTACGGCTGAGACACCAACGGCATTCGTTTGGCTCCTACCGTATGGCGCACTCGCGTCAGTAACCGGGAAGCAGTCGTTATAAAGGTCCTCGGTCTGCGAATACAAGTGTAAGTAATATATTTCGATACAATCTCGAGGGGATCGAGTTATGATCCTACCGCAAAAGCCTCATCTCCACTATCCGCAGCCATGTGTTGGAACCAGTGTTGGTCGTCCATTGTCCGCCGCGATCGCTGCTGAGACACGTCGCCGGCCCAAAACTCGCTGAGTTGGAGTGGACAGTTGCTGAATCCTTGACAACAAAAGACAAAGACTCCTATCTCAGGATTGCTGCGAAAGTGAGACTCAGATGCAAAGATGTGGTCACTTGGTAGAGGATCAACCCAGGCAGGCTGGGGCAAGATCGGGTTAAGAGTCATCTTGAATCTGTGCCTGACGTCGATATAGGTCTCTGTCTTGCCTCCTTTTCGCCTCTACCACGGCCACGGGCCTCTCCTTTCTCCCCTTTCTCACCGCCGCTTCTATCAGTCCTCTGTGCGAGCCTTTGGGTAGAGAATACCTTCGATACCCCGCTTGGGGCTGCCGGCAGACTGTTCTGTTGTTGGGTATTCTTGCAGCTGAACCTAGCGGTAAGGAACCGGTGTTCTTGGTAGCGATGCAGGTCTTGTGCGGCCTCCCGAAGATGTGTCAGGAACCGTTCCTGCAGCTGGCGTTCTAGCTAGGACACGCGAAGCTATTTAGGGGTACATATGAGTATACGAAGATAAGTGGTCGATACTGCGATGATGGGGATGATGAATGATGAATGGAGAATCGAGTGGCCGCGTTGATGAGGCAAATATAAGTTGTTGGTTACAAGATAGGTAGTAAAGTATCTATACGGTGGCAAGTTCTCCGTCTACTATCCGCCTACATGAGATTGCGGGTTCATCTACTGTGTTTTTCTATGTGAAGAGAGGACAATCGAGGATACCAGCCTCCAACTTCTGCCTGGGAACATGTCGGGACTAATACTATCTACCCATACGATTCATTCTTTCCAGAAGCTCCTCCATTGTCTTCCCAATATGGTCTACGACTTAGGCGAGTCCTGGGGCTTTCTGGACTTCAATAGAGAGTGGGGAACAAGGGGCCGAAGTGGAGGAGCGGGAAGCAAGTCACTCAAAAGGGTCACTCGAAAGGGATTTTCGATACCGTCCATCATAATCAACCCGGTCCTCCCGCCACAGACTAATAGCACGAGCCTGGGAGAGATAGATGAAGGTTGTCAGAGCTATACAAGGGTTACCCTTGCGCTGTAAGTCTTCCTGAGGCTCTGACTGCAACAGTCTGCACGACAACATCTAGATTCTGCATCAGTCGGTAAAAACTGACTGTAGGCCGATATGCGTTGCTTTTAGTGCCAGCCAAAGTAGGTACCAGCAATTTCAGTATGCAACTCTGCACCGCATATATCTGCAATGGCTTGCGTTAGCGCTCAGTATACTTACGGTAAATCTTCTCCCCTGCATCAACCATACATATCCATTTCACCCCGATGGTATAACCTCTTCCCCAGCTTTATTCGCATGTTTGGTTTCACCTTTGGGCCATAACCTTTTATGGGACTTTGACAGCTGCGAGCGAGAATACGGGACCCTGCTTCTGTTGGTGTTATGCATTCCGGGCCTATCAACCTCGGGCTCGAACGTAATCCTTGCTGAACGTTGGTTATACTCGTCATTCGCTATCCACATCGATTAATGAGACCAACAGATCCAGGATCGAGACGGGAGATGGAACGAGTGACGGCCCAGATACTAGGGGCGGAGTATCCGAGGGGGTCTTCATTTCTCTGGCTGTGTTCGAGCTGCAACAGCGTCAATTAAGCTATCAAATTAGCCTTTTTCGAGATCGCTATAAACAATTCCGATATATCACTAAGATCTAAGATCCTTGCACCCGGGTGACCGGTAATACCCCCGGTAGGTAGGGCTGCACTCCGCAAAGGCACGCATGCGCGCCAGTACAGAACAGACTTATCCTGCGTCACTGCAGAATTCAAGCGCCAAGTTGTAGTTAGAACGGAGACCGCGGAGATTTTGTGACTTCGTCTAAGGTGGGTACGGCCTATCATCGTCGTGGGATATATTACAGGTAGATATCAACAGAACTGAGGTCCCATCCTGTAGATATTACGTACAGCGTACATCACTAGACGCTTAAGGAGATCTCTGACCATGGTTATCGGATAGTCCCGAGATGAAAAGACCCGAGCAGCGCCCTAATCGACGTATTGACCCCCACGAAACATATCTAAAACTTGGTAGATGAACGTTTGCCAAGTGCGGTGGGTGGCAAGGCTACCACCTACCAGTCTGCTGGTTCCTGGCCGTTAACCTTCGTTCCACTTCTCGGCCCAAAAATGCCAGATTCTGCTCGTCTTTTTAAGCGATGAGGTCCAACTTCACGCATATCGTTCGTCGCCTGTCTACATGCAGAACGCATGCAGTGCAGCCCAAGAATTCACCGATCATCAATTCAGTGTATTCTCACGAACCTCCATAGATGCACTAGAAACTTGCCTCTTGCAACCAACTGGCAGGACCATATTCGTTTGAGACATTTCCGCCAACGTTTACAGTCAACGAGAATCTGTGGCTCTGTGCGACCAACCTTCCTCTGCACGTTAGATTCCGTCTTAATCGAGCCTGGCGCATATCAAGCTCGCAGACTTCGGCCTCGTCAGATATGATAATATTAAGAGTCGCAGTAGTACCGCCCGTGCCGTTAGTCCAGTTGTCTAATTGGCTAAGTCCTAGCAGAATCAGGTCTCTCTGTTTGACGATGACGCATAGGAGTGAGAGCGGGCTTGCTGAGCTCTCATACGATGCCCCAGCTTGAATGCTCACTTCCAAATCTAGTAATATATCATTTTAGCATCCTGACCGAGATCCAGACTGTAGTTTCCCCGTGCGATTCGCTAGGTATGTTCTTAGTTATCTCTGGGGTCCAACCCCAGTTCAACCGAGGTTCAACTGAGGTCGGTGGGTTGATACATGGTATTGATATATATCACTGACTTATCAAGAAATTTATATTTTTCAGATAGTATAGGAATATCGATAATTGCGACAGTGTGAAATTTGGAAGCTGGTAGGTGTAAGAAGACCGATTTCAATGTTTGAAGCCAAAGCCGGTTATCGTTTGCAAGCCGACGAAATGACTATTCATGCGTAATTTGCTTTTCCTTTCTTGGGGATTCTTGTTTAGGGGGAAACCGGGAAAAGAGAACCTGGGATATCTAGAGAGAAAAATAAGGAAGTTGAGAAAAGAAAGTACTACATAGAGAATCTAATACTAGAGGCATCAAATACCACTATGCACCTCAGTTTAAACGTCAAGTGCAACCGAAACTAAACTCTATGTTACCTACCTAGGTAGACAACTTGGAAGTGAAGAAGTTGCAGTCGTCAAGTAGCAACTGCACTTACATCTACCTAACCCCTTGTTTGGGTTTAGCTTCCAAACGACAATCCGGCAACTAAGAAATAGCGCCAGGGCGGCTAAAGCTTGCCCCAGATCCCGGGTCCTCATAGTGCTCAAAGCTTCCTGCCGGTTAGCCAATCGGCATTCGATAAAGACCCATGAATTACCACAAATGGACTCTAGTGGCGCAGGTTAGTTCCGTCACGGAAACCTCAGCTCAGGTCAATGCCGACGCCGATTGCCCAATGGCCATTCCAAGGTTCTATGCCAATTCTCGTAGCTTTGCTGGCCGTAAAAATAAACCTGGAAACTGTCCTTAGAACATACATCGTACAACACACGTTATTTTTTTACCCGTCGAAACTGGGACGTCTTCAACGACAAGCCTAACGCTCAAAACCGGCATAACCAGTCTTCAACAGACATGCCTGATTCGAGTAATTGGATGATTTCATTGATACCCGCTCTTCCTGTTTTATAGCTAGCGTCCACGCGATGTCCTCTGCGACGCCCGGCGCCGAGCTACCGCAGCAACGACCGATCCGCATCGCCATCCTCCTCAACTCGTACCGCTCTCGCCTGCTCCCCGCCATCCGGGCCTCTTACGAGCGCACCATCAGCGCTGTCGCCCCCGACGCCCGGCTCGCCTTCTACGAGCCGGCCAACAAGAGCGGCGAGTTCCCCGACCCGGCACATTTCGACCTGATCGTCTTCGGCGGATCCAACGTCGATCCGCGGAAGTCGCATCAGTGGATCCTCGACGTCCACGCGTTCGTCCGCCGCCTCGTGACCGACTTCCCGGAGAAGAAGGTCCTGGGCATATGCTGGGGCCACCAGACCATTTCGCGAGTCTTCGGCGGCAAGGTCGTTGATGCTGCGCATCCAGAAGTTAGTCCCGGGTCTTACCTTGCTTTAGCTCATTCCATTACGTTTTATATAGTAAACATAACACGGTTTAGAAGCTAATAAAGGTCCTTAGATGGGCGTGGCTACCATAAAATTGACGGAGGCGGGAAGACAGTTCTTCCCCGAGGCAACCGTCGTAGGGTCTTTTAAGCTACAGCAGCACCACAGGCGCGAGGTCGCTGTGCCGCCAACGTCATTTACCCAGCTAGCGCACGGTAATCAGTGTTTGTTGAATAGGAGTAACACGATTCTAACGTTCCAGGGACACCCGGAGAAGGACGCCGAGACGGCGCGGTTGCGGCTGCACGACTCGATGCGGTGGTTTGGATTCGACGCCGCCATAGACGAGAAGGCTTGGGCCCGGCTACAGGAGTTAATTTTCATGGAACACGACGGCCCTGCCGTTTGGAAGCGTATTTTGGAATGGGTTTGGGAGCCACCGGTCTTGGGATCTGGGATTGTAGACAACCCAAGCAAAATGTGACTGCCTATTTTTCCACTTGTGACTCCTCCCATGAGCTTGAAGTGAGATTGAAGTTGATATCAACTGATCTGAAATTTAAAGGGATAGGCTTAGTCACTACGTTAGCCCAACAAGAAAATCTGGTTAATTTTCAATTCAAACTGAAAATGGAAGCATGAGCCGTAGCTGGTTCGTCAAGATGGTCTAACTACCTTTTTTACTAACTCATATGGGGTTAAATGAAAGTTAGGATGTGAGATGTGTCTATACATATATATATATACGTACGAACTAAAGCTCGGTCTGATCTCATGTTTCAGCTGAAGCCTTGTCTTTGAACTGAGATTTAGCCATAACCCCTACCTAGAAATATGATGGTGTTGTAGTATAGGTATACTAAACACAGTTGGCAGATCTCAATTGAAATCAAAGTTGACCTAAAAGTTTTTGCACAATAATGACTTTTCACGATACCTTGTTGAGAAGGATGTGGAAGTTAATATTATTATCAATGATTAGGCTTACTATCTACTAAACCTATCAGTAGATCATAAATGAGGATTGGTTTTTAATCGTGTTAAATATTTTTTCATTATGTACTCGAGATCCGTAATGCATCTGAGATCTATATGCGGCGCACCAAGTGTGCAATTAGGAAAATAGAGCCGCTGAAAAGATAATGAGGGCTAGAAAATAATCTTAATGCCTCTAATACCAAGATTGCAAGCAGCAAATCCGAACTCCTGATCTAGGCCTTCCTCTTTTTGTTTTCCTTGCCTCAAATAATGTAGGATCTAGCCGGATCAAATGATAAAAGTGTGCAAAGTTACAATACGACCGTCTCTCCGCTATCCCGTGAGGAGTGTAAAGACGCCAGGCTATGCTTCTCGATGCACAAAAGAAAAGTGTAGAAGTGAATATCTCCTTGCTTCGTCCGTGTTCCATACCACAAAAGGAGAACCCTCCCGAAACTCCACCGATCTAGGGGGAAAGTGTCATCGAAAGGAAATTCGTAAGATCAATTCGTCGCCGTTCAACTGCCAAAATTGTGCAGGACGACTTTTGGTAAAGCGATGCTTCAAACGTCTGATCGTGATTACATATTATCTCCACCCAGCCTTAAAACAGTCTCATCTTCTCATATGAAACTAGCGTAACCAGCGTCGCGGATTTCAGATCCAATTTCAGGCTTTCGAGCGCTCTCGAGCATCCTGATATCTGGAACATCGGCACCAAAGTCCATAATAAGAATTTTAGCATCCTGTCCGGTGCTGACGATCCGCCTGTAGTCGCATTTGGCGCTGAGTACCCAACTAGTATGCCAACCGGGGAAATCGAGGTGTTGTTGACCAGTCTCCATATCAAAAACCTTGATATCGGTATCATAACTACCGCTAACGAGACGGCCACTAATACTGTCAATGTGCAAACTGCGGACAAGGCTCTCATGTGCCTGTATCTCTCGAAGGCATTCGCCTGTGTTGGCATCCCAAATGCGAATAACTTTGTCGCTTCCGGCGGAAGCAACATATCGACCATCTTCAGAAAATTGACTGCAGGCAAGACCCTTAGTATGACCCGCGAGTTCGCGGATCACCCTACCGCTGTCGATGTTCCAAAGCTTCACGGTAAAATCCCCAGAGCAGGACACGAGAGTATTTCCCCGTAGCTGCACCGCATTCACGGGGCCGGTGTGGCCATTCAGCTGTTTAATTAGAGCACCAGTGGATCGGTCCCACACACAGATACTACAGTCCTTGGAGCATGTCACGATATGCTTGTCGTCGAATGCCAGATCAAGAACAGCGGCCGTGTGAAACTGGAGGCGTCGAACAGGACGATAGCCAGCGCGTACATTGTAAATGATGCAGGTGGAATCCGAAGAGCCGGTTACCAAGATATCGTCATCGTACTGAAGGCAGAGGATGGATGCGCTGTGGTGGATCGGGAATGAGACGGTGACGGGTACTGATGCAGTTACTTGTTGATTGTCAGGACATAAGGCGTAGTGCGTAGGATGGCCAGTTTGGTCGAATAGGATCGAAGTATCATTGACAGCTCGCGGCGGTCCAATGATGAGACGACATTGCAGAGTGTGCATATCCCAAATTCGAATAGTCTTGTCTCGAGAACCAGTGATAATCTTGTTCCTGTTCAACCGTTAGTAAAATGAATTGGACAAAATGACGTATGAAAGAACAATGATCCATACTCGTCGAATTGCTGGCAATAAACACTATCCGTATGGCCATAAAGGAAGATAGCGCGAGCCTGCTTCCCCAACTTCCACCGCTTCTCTAGCTCCTGTCGCGCCTTGTAGATCTTTTGCCAATCATTTCCGGGGCGAATCGAAGGCACACCAGCACCAGTTCCGGGTTGGACTGGTAGGCTGGTAGCATAGGTATTCGTCTTCTCCCTGAGGAAAGATAGACGCCAGACGTGTTGGTCCTGGATCATACCGTGCCAAATTTTAGATACTCTACTAGCCGTTGCTAGCTGAGCAGCATCCAAGTAAGAGAGAATCTGTACAGCAAGCTCGCAGGGCAGCTCAACTATAAAATCTTTTCTGATTATAGGCGCACTCTCTTCCGCGGGCTCGTTGATTTGAGATGTAGACATGGTAAATGTGATTCCGATCCCACTTTCGCGATCGTTCTGAGATTCGGCAAGAGATACTAATTCATGGTAATGGCGTGCGTGACTCAGCGATTCGTTCTGTAATACAGCAGCAGCTTTGGCTGCGGCACCCGTGTGCCAGGGGATGATGGGAGGCTCGAGACCATTGCCGGGCACAGGAAGACTAGGAAATTCGGCTTGTAGGGGGGAGTAGATGGTCTCTAAGGTACCGTGACCACCATACGAAGTTCGTGTGTGCCGGAAGCTGGCTGCTTGTCGTAACTTATGCCAGGTGGAATGTGCGGTGGTAGGGCGTAATTCGTTGTTATCGGCAGCGGACTCTGATCCTCGGCGTTCACGGAGAACGATACCTTTGAGAGATAGCGATGCACGCCGGATCCTGCCCTTGAGGGAATCGCCAGAGGTGCTCCCATGACGAGCTCTTCGGAACGGGTTCGTAGCTGACAATCTAGTAGCGTCGTGTTGATCACCGGGTTCCATGCCGGTGTCATGTGAGTATGAACTTGCGTTCGATGATGTTGAGGGTCCGTGGAACATGGTGGGTAGAGGCCCAGTTGGAAGAGGACCGTCGGAGGTGGACGTGACCATGGCAATGGCCAAAGAGATTTCGTAGTTCGAAGGTAAGCTGTGCTTATGATCGACTGGCTGGAGTAAGATTTTTTTTCTTCTTAGATCGTGTTTCGGTCTCAACTGTTTACGTGATCGGCTAGAAGCGAACGATAAATACGGGGAAGGAATAACGAAATAAAGAATAAAATAATAATAAACGCAAATGAGAAATAATAATAATATAGATCTAACGTCGGAGTGGAAATGAATGAGGGAGGTTCAATGAACGGACAGGATGTGAAGTAAACAATGCGCCGGTATGGCGAAAGAATGTAAGCTGTATAGTTCCTAACGTCCAAGGTTGTAGGAGTAACTATTGCAAGTCGATAATCTTTTTTGTGGCTGGTCGGCGAAATGTTCAAATGCCAGCACCCGCTGTTTAATTGGTGTGGGAAGTTACCTTAAATGTCAACGTACCTGCTACCCGGGATTCTACACAATAAAGCAAGGATACATAGGGTAAATTTTTTTAAACCAGTGAACCCCACACGCACTCTTCACGTACTATATGTAAGTACAGTGTATGTATGTCGATAGTATGTAGATACACGCTATGTTTTTATGAGTCCCCGTTCTCCTTTATTTGCCTCTCCTGAGTCAGACATAACAGTACATGAACGGACGCAAATGGAAAGGGGGACTAAAATCTAGGCGCACCGGACACTTGCATAGCGTTTCTAGTCTAGCTTCTAGTCTTATGTACGGTCTCTAGTCAAAGAATTGAATCACATTAGTTCTTCACGGATGAGGGCGGAATGGAAGAACTTTGCAGGATTATCCAGCATTGTACCTGACTAAGTACACCGTCTTCTAGAATTTCCCACTTTTCTATCTTTTTTTCCCCTTCGCGGTTTTTACCTATCATCCTGCTTTAAGTTGGGATCGACTCGCGCCTACTTGTCTGGAAGGCGGTGGAGTGGTCAATAGGTACCTAAAGCAAGACCATAAAAAATTAAGTTTTTTTCCCTTCTTTCTTTCTTTCCCAAAAGACGGGCTGATGCAGCTACGGCTGAAGCGAAAGTCGGGGATCCCGGTCCATGGACCTGTACACACCAACTCGTCTGACTTGCAGCACAAAAGCCACCTATGACGAAGCCCGGTTGTTTCTTCCAAAAAAAACATCATGGGGCATCTAATGAGATCACGTACTTTAAATGTAGCGCTGCTAATAGGACAGTCAAAACTCAAGCATAAATTGTGCTCAATAGGTAGGTACCTAGTATATAAGAATTGAATACAATGAATAACCCGTACATTGCATGCATCTTACATCATAATATGCTCTTACACTTATTTATCTAGGTACCTACATAGTAGGTATTTAGACTATTGTTTCAGGGCAGAACTGTGTTTCTGCACGTGGAAGGACCCTTCTTTTAAGGTTGTGTCCCTTGTTTCAAACTTTTAATGATTCGGCATTGGATAGAAGAATTGATAAAGGAATCTTACCAACTTCAATCTATGTACATATGTAGGTAAGATGATAGGATATCATTCCTACATATCCATAAGCAGCCACATCGGACTCCCGATGTGAGGAATGGGAAAATCTATTTCCGCGAAGTTTCAATGCACACAAGGACTTCAACCAATGCGAACATGTTCTGTGTTTGCTGAGCCTCGTACTAACATTCCCGCCGAATCCCAACTCCCGCTGGCGTTGCATACTACAACGACCAGGGCTTCGACGGATGTATAATCTGTAACCATTGGAGCATTCACGGAAAAATTCCAGCGGCCAAGCCAATTCGATACAATTTCCGAATTCACTGCTGGTTCTGCTTTGATTAGAACCATTCCTTGTCGCTTATAGATGGATCACCGATAAGGCGTCATTTAAGGGAGTCGCTCGTGTCTATGAGCAAAGGATCGCGAGCTCTCACTCATTCATCCTCTCAACATAAAACATAAAATATCAGATCCGTTAAGGCTGACAGCATGGATAGGTAACTACCAGGTAAGTACGGGTTTCTTCGTCATACCAAATCAGTCTTTTCGACATTCATCTTATTGCGAATGATGGATTCCCGGCTCGTGTCGAACTTTCGACTGGTCTTTTTACTGCGGTCCTTGCGCGCCCCCCGAGTCTCTTACATAGGTATCAACTCCGCATCACGAGTTGGTATGACAGCCGAATTGCTGGCAGCCCTCGTTCTCCTTCGTTGTCTTAACCTGCTCCCTGCAGAGTACAATGAAAAACTTGCTCACCGCCGATGGTCGTCGGTGCTTCCTGAAAAGCCTCTTCTTGCGCTCAGGGAAGAGTTCTGTCATCTGATATTCCCCTTCTTCTAGTACCACAATCCGCCATTCGTGTCGGCGGAATGGCGCTCTGTTCGTCGCCTTAATCTCATCGTCCACGAGAAACTGGATTTTGTCGTATATAGCCGCCTCCAGATCGAGGACTCGGTTAGCTAGATCCTGAGCGTATGATCTCTTATTTCTGGGATTTTGACTCCATATTCTCGGATGGCGTCTAGGTGTAAATTGGCCAACCCTTCTTGGTCATAGCCTCTGATTAAGACCAGCTCATACTAGAAAAACCACGGGGAGGTAGCAGAATACCCACAACATCACCATTCACAAAGAGATAAATAATAGCGAAATCGGTATGCATAACATTCGTCATCTCCCCAGAGCTGTACTTACACCACAGAACAGCCCTACACGTAGGTACCCTCCGAGCTTCAATCTGAAATACCAATGACTTTTACTAGTTACAAGCTGCTCTAAGGCAACATCCCCTATAGCTCAGGCAAAAAGACTGAAATCCTCGAATCAGCTTCCTTATCTAGGTACTCTTGGTCGAAGCTCCTAAACACGTTGCACGTTTCGCGCCCAACACCTAGCTTGTTTAACAGGTAGTAGACTGTCAGGTTCTTATCAGAGACGCAAGTCGAGACATCCTCAATGAAACTTCTGAATTCTTGCGCCGACAAGTCAATGCATCGACGCATAATAGAAGCAGTGACATCAATCCAGGCGGTGGTCAGGGCCGGGTTCAGTGAACCTTGCATATGCCGAAATTCGATCGTATTCAACTGGCTACGCCGAACCTTTCCTGCGAAATCAGAGGCCGCCGGTAAAAGTTCAGTGATGGCGACGGAGGCCCTGCGCGATTTTTTTACCTCACCCACCAGCATTACGAGGTCGTCCACTGTCTCTGCGCGCCATATCCATTGGATCTTTGCCTTGTTCATGTGAAGAGAATTTCGAACTTCAGTTGGGACGTTTTGTTCCATTTCATGTCTCCAATCTCCATTGTCGAGGTTGTCGATCCAGTCTGGGAGTTTGGAAGTGTTATCAACTGCCATGTTTGTCCCGTGTTGCAGCAGCGCAGCATATTTCCTCGCATCCCCCCTCCAGGTAGCATGTAGGTCCATCAAACTATCCTCTGTTACCCACATGAGGGTAAGAACCCGCTTGACGGTTAGCAGATTATATTCCTTTCCACTGATTCCCCAATGGACATGAACACTGCAACGACTGGAGCCATGTACTGAGTCCTTCCCTGCATTGATACTGACGGAGTACTTCGCTCGCAGCGTTTTGCAGACGGTCTCGAGTTCCAATTTCATAGGCTCGAAATCACGGTATCGAAATACCTTGCTGACAAACTCAAAACCGAGCCAAAAGTGTCCGTCTTCGGTCTCGGGCCTCACAGCCATACGTTTCCCATTCTTTGGGTCTGTCCATATCATCGTTTCCTCCGGCACGATAGTACATTGTTTATAGGAGCTATAGCGGAATTCGTCGAAGCTCCCCAGTCTCGCATCTTCTTGGTCGAGTTTAGGTGCGTCGTCATCTTTAGGATGGCCTTTCTCCCGGTAGGCTGTCGGTATTCCAGCCTCAGTCAACTTATCTGCGATCTCGACTCCGAAATGATGTAATCTCTTCATATGGAGTTCATGATCGCCGTTGCCGCGCTTGGCCAAGTCGTATGGCTCTTGTAGAGTCTGTTGGAAAGGTTGGCTAGCTTCCCCTGGTTTGGGATTCAGCTGCGTGATGTTGGACTCGCTAAGGTATACTAGGAACTCGAGCTCGAAGCCGAATGTTCCCACGTCAGAAAACTCGACTCTTTTCGGGGCGTCCATGGTAAGTGTCATAAATCAACAAGCTTGAGTACGGCTTTCTAAGAAACGCGAGGCTTACAATTTCCCTCAGTTTACTCTGTTCATTAAAGAGTATATATCCTCGCGAACACATTGCTGAAGGACCGAACTTCCACATTTTGCTCCTTTCCACTATCCTACTCACAACTAGTGGATACATACGAGGCAGCAAATGACGACTTGCTCCGTTTGGAACTGATCTAAGTCTGATGACATTGCAATGGTTAAGGTGTGATCTGCAGAAGCCCCTTGGCGCTGACAACGAAACCGGCGTAGTTCGACGTGCAGAATATGAGATATCAGCAACAAGTTAGCTTCCAATCCATTATTATCACGAGAACAACTCAACTCCCCCTCAGGTAGTAATACTGATGTTGTGGACTGGTAGATTTTCTTGCAACCTCGTCATGCAAGCTGGCAACTTCTTGTGAGCAGGTGAGCCACCACAACTACGACCGCCGCCACCAACATAACTTCTACCTACCACTACGGTGTGAGTCTCAGTTTGTCACATACCATTGTCATTATCCACGCTCTTATATGAATATTTGTGACCTGTAACGTCGTCATCTCTACTGTTTCTAATGGTGAAAATCGCCGGTTTACTCATGGAGCAGGCTTGAAGGGCGTAGTACGATGGAAGCGCTAACCCAGGCCTCGTATTTAGGACGCAATATAATATTGTAATGAAACGTCATTTACTCCGGACGGTCGAAGATTGTTGCTAAGCCGTACGGGCCGAGCTCCTGGACCCGAGATCCGGTAGCCAACAAGATCAATGATAGCTCAACTCCAACGACGGCAGTGGTCTATTACTCGGGCCGTAACTTATTCGGGTCCACACCGGCATGTGGAATCATTGTGACCAGTCTCACAAGTCCAATTGATCGCGCCGCGCATGTACGTGTATATGCATCATCCCGTAGTCAATACCAAACCTCGAAATGCCCGTACCCGATGCAGATCGCCTGGGTTTACCGGACGCGTGTTACCTACTGTCATGCGGCGCCGGTCATCCCAGAAGTAATTCCTAGCGTCGCACCGTATCATACTCCCGGCTCCTATCTCTGCAACGACGAGCAACGATGGACGATGGCTTGTGAAAGAGATATATCTTGAAATTGCTACCTAACATTCCTTTCCTAGGTAGCTACTATCGCATTTCCACGCAATTGGAGGATAAAAAAGATATGACCCTTGAAATTAGGTCTATGCCGGTGACGATCAAGATTCTAGACTCATATTGAGTCTTCTAGCAGTGACTGCGGTGTTGCCCTACACCATCGCTGCTTTACGACTAGAAAATAAGCATAATGGGTTGAATAGCCATTATAAACGTCTATGGCCACACTTACAAGGTATCTAGCCTCAGGGAATAATCCCCGAGGTTACTTGCGCCGCCATCACTCTTCAAAACAGTGTCAATGGTATGATCTTGGCATCTGAGGATACTTGAGGCGTGTCGTCAATGATGACCTACTATCGCGTGAAAGTATAACATTGCGTCAATGGGAGTTGGTAGCTGGTTAATTCGTCACGCCACTTGCTGCAGTAAGCGTCCACCTGCATATTCCTCCAATTGATTCGTTCAGTGATAATAGTGACAATGACTCTTTTCGAAGACTAGATAGATTCAATCATTTGTTTTCATATGGAAATAATCCTCGGCATACTATTGATATGCTTACCATGCTAGGAATCAGAGTATCCCTTTGACTGGCACAAGTCAGCAGCCGGAGCTTGAAAGAGATACTTGCTAGTAGGTTGGATCTATGAACCATCTCAATGAGTTGATGAAACGGAAGTTACTTAGTTTTACATTTTTTTTGCCTTATATTAATTGTACTAACAATGTTTTGAACTAATATTTTGCGGATGTGAGGCCCTCTAATCACTAGCCGCCGACTTGTGTTAGTTAAGGGGGTGAATATGTTGGTACCGCTCACATCAAGCCTCACAGGACCCCCATTATCAAATAACCAACCGGTCCCCAACCCCTTGCCTCCCCCCCTTGCTCCTATACTACAACCCTAGCCAGACTCACTAACAGTATCATAGAACGTAACGATTCTCTCTCTATTGCAGCATCTCCCAGACTCCGGAACAGATGCAGGACCTAACTACCTAGTACCCAACTATGCCCAACATACTATTGGTATCCGAATGCCCGCTTCTAATTTTCTCCTATCCTCACTTCCTCGCCCCTCCCTTTTCCCCTCACGCACCAAAAGCCTTATCATAATCCACCATCGTAAACCGATACTTGACATCCGTCTTCTTCAGCCTCTGGACCGTCTTTCCCAAGTTCTCCGCGCTGATCGGCACGGTCTCGACCCAGGACTTGATGCCCTTGTCGGCGGCGAGCTGCAGCATCTCCAGCATCTCGCGCCTGCTGCCCAGGTGCGAGGCGCCGATAAGACAGCCGTTCGCAATCAGGTCCTGGGGCTTGATGTTCAGGTTCGCCTCCTCGGGCAGGCCGACGCTGACCCAGCGGCCGTGCACGTCGAGCAGGGCGAGGTAGCCGCTGAGGTCGAACCCTTCGCCGAAGTTGTTGGCCGTGCTGATGATCAGGTCGAAGGTGTACAGGTGCGCCTTGTTCCAGTTCTTGTCGGCGGTCGCCAGGAAGCCGTCGGCGCCCATGGCCTTCGCGTCCGCCTCCTTGCTGTGCGACCGCGAGATCACCCAGGTCTCGGCCCCCAGCGCCTTGGCGAACAGCACGGCGAAGTGGCCCAGCCCGCCGAGCCCGACGACGGCGACCTTCTTGCCGGGGCCCGCGCCGTTGCGCACCAGCGGGCTGTAGCTCGTTATCCCCGCGCAGAGCATTGGCGCGGCGAGGTGGCTGGGGAGGGCGTCGGGGATGGGGAAGACCCTTTTTTAAGCGGTGTTAGCGAAGGTGGCGTGTTCGTATACCTTACCTATAAACCTGAGGTAGGGCTGGTAGGTAGGTATGTAATCAACGGTTCAAAACAACGTACCAATGCTCATGCGTCCTCACGTGCGAGGAATACCCGCCCTGGGTGACGATCCCGGTATCCGGCCAGACGGCGCCGTAGGTGTCGACCTGCTGGGTGCAGTAGGTCTCGTTGTCGTTCTTGCACTGGCGGCACTCCAAGCAGGACCAGGACTGGGCGCCGACGCCGACGCGCTCGCCCTCCTTGATGAGGGTGACCTTGGGCCCGACCCTTATGGCCTTGCCGACGATCTCGTGGCCGACGGCGAGCGGGAACTTCTGGTCGCCCCAGCCGCCGGTGATGGTGTGGATGTCGCTGGCGCACACGCCGCAGCACTCGATCTTGACCTCGACGTCGTGGTCGCCGAACGGCTTCGTGACGAACTTGTTCTTCTTGAACGTCGTCCAGGTCGCGGGCGACTCGACCTGGAAGCCCTCGTACTGGTCGTATTTGGACATACTTTATGATACGCCTATTATTACAGATATGATATGTAGAGGTTAGGATTAAGTACGTTACACTTTGTATGAAAGTGTATGAATTCTAGGTATCTACATATGTAGGAGGGGTTATGTGTGGTGGAATGTATCCATATATGTGTGCGTGTATGAAAGCGACATTCAACTCCCCCACCTTCTTTATCCCCCCTGTTTCCCCTCCCCCTAAGCTACCAAGCTAAGGGGCATTACTCCAAAAAGTAAAAAAATAAAAGCCACTGAATCATCCTTTTATCCGCAATAGGACATCCCGCCTTAGTATGGTGCTCGCGTCGGGATAATCAATGATGCAGTGGCACCGCTTCAACTTCGTAGCTCGCGAATGAGATTCCGAGCCTAACGTGAAACTAATGCCGGAACCCGCCCGTTTTTTCTTCAGTGTTGTCTCACATGGTTTAATCCGATAGGGCGTTGCCGAATCTCCCACCACTCAAGTCGTCGGGATAAGGGGGAATAAGGCGATGCCCCTCAACCCCCGATATCGTCAGGGCGGTATTTCATCCTACCGAGAGATCGGAGCTTTCTTTTTAAGTAGTTGGAAAATAGCATAAAAATGGGGATAGCTAAAGTAGCTGGCTTTGTGATGGCCTCGGAAGTTTGTTCGTGATGATTGTTGCAGATACATATTGTAGGTAGTGTAGGTAGATACAATGGGTGAGGATGGTAACAGCTTTGCAGTCTCAATGCTTGGCATGGTCGCTCCTACCTGAACCAGTGAGACCGATATCAACTTGACGATTACACACCACCGCACTCCGCTCAAACCGCCTTCTTGCCCTTACTCTCGCCCGGCGCGCCCAGCCCAACCCCAGCCAAGAACGCGATCCTCATCGAGGCGCCCAGGTACACGAACGGCACGTTGCCGTAATCGATCGCGTTCCAGCGCCGCACGTCCCAGTACATCCAGGCGCCGTGCGCGGCGATCGAATACAGGTGTCCGAAGTCCGCCAACAACAAACCGAACAGCACGGTCCGCCAGACCCTGAGGTCGCCCGTGGACCGCAGCACCAGCGCCTCGTTGAGCGCGAAGAGCAGGTACAGGTTCGCGAGCTGCGACATGATGATCGATAGGCCGAATGACACCGGAGAAGAAGAAGAAGACGTGTGCGTTGTCATCGCCAGGTACTCGTCCTGCCGGAAGTGCGCGTAGAAGGCGCCGACGAGCGCGGACGTCGGCTCGATGATCAGGAAAAAGGCCCGGTACGCGAGCGGGAGGACGGTCTGCCGCGGTGCCATGCTGCTTGCTCGCTCCGGGCAATAGGTAGTAATCTTTCCTTTTTATTTTTCTTTATGGTGTTTATGTAATGTGATGTTCGTGGTTGACCGCTTCAATATACAATGAGATGGGTCTATGTGTTTGCAGGCCCAAAATATGCCCTAACATGAGAAAAGAGACGATCTCCAATTGGCCAATTGGAATTTCCGTAACGATCCAAAACAACGGTTTGGAATAACCTTCTTCCCTTGTCTTCTTCTCTTGACTTCTTCACATCCCTTCTCCAATTGTCTCCTAAGGTTCTCTTCAATTCTGCTCCTTATCACAATAACCCATTTTGAGATCTCGTTGCTATGAACGGTTCATATTTTTCTATGTACGCTTCTAATCGACAAGTTGTTGGCGCTTCCGGTTATATTCGGCTCATTTTTATACACTCTGGAGGAAAGTAAGAGGAAAGACATAAAGCGTGAAAATTCGGCAATCAGTATAATATCGAAGAATCCCACCAAATATTCTGACTCGTCAATGGCTCAATTGGGAGCTGAGTGTCTTTGAGAGCAACTAAGCTAGTGCCTACAGAATAGGTTGCTTTACGGCGGACGCTCATCCAAGAATTATCTGTTCTATTTACAACCCTGGGCGTTGTGAAACACCTCACACCAACAGTCGCTGTGAGGTCGTTCGTCGTACGATGTATGGATGTTGGTGTTAATGCGCTTAGCTCTTAAAGCTCGGAGTGTAACACGGAGGCTGACAGGGGTTTATGTGATGAATCGTCAAGTACGCCCTGGCTCACGATCTTACAGCTCTGTTTACCACAAGAAGACGTCTCCCTATGGTACATGGAAGGCAAATCAGAATACGATTTATGGCTCTAGAGCTAGGTTGTGTCTGTTCACCAACATCTTGGGACAACTCTATTCTCGAGCTCCGTGATGTCAGTTTCTAAGGTGATCCTGCATATGTTCGAGTAGACTTCGGTGAAATACGAATTTTCCCCTAGCTGAATAACTGCATCTTTCCTGATAAACTTCGTCGTTTGGCTGGTTAGGTATCTTTGCTCCTCAATAAGCCCATCCTTAGATAAGCTGGTGAAACAACGGTAGTCCTACTTGATCATTTTTACTCAAACTTGCCATAGAATTGCAGGTGGCCCTTCTAGTCGACTCCAGTGTAAGATAGTAGACACCTAGTATGCCTAGAGCTACTGACATAAGCCCTAGGTAGGTAGTGCCACTGGGAGCCAGGCCAATTGAGAATGAAGCTCAGCTGGAGATCCGGAAATCCTGGGGGCTCGGCATCCGTTAGTGGATTCCTGTCAGAAAATAACCCGATATCATTCTAGAATTCATCCAATACACGTGAAAGTTATGACACTAACGTTGAACGAGCAATATTATGTGATTGCCGAGATAGGCTTTTGAGCCTAGATACCTGTGTAGCCTCGTCTTGACGAGGACCGTGGTCCTACATATATACACTAATTTTAGAACGTCAGATTGGTAATCCCCAACTCCCAACTCCGGTCTGCTTTGGCCCATACATGGTACGATAGACTGCTTTTGTTTTTATTCCGTTGCTAGGCTGAAAGATCATCGCTGGACATTCGTTGCCGGTGATGAAGGGAGCTCAGCAATTACAGGGCGTTCCGTGTCTCGGCCCTCAAGCTCTGTGGCTGGCGCTAGTAATGGGGCGTACGACTGATGCTTCTTATCCGGCGACACAGAGCTCCATCCGCTCAACTCGGAAGTATTCGAGACATGTCTATTGTCTCCATGCCAGGAATCTGATAGCGCTGGTGAGAGTTGTGGGTGGCGATACTGGCTATGGGTGGGAGAATAGGGCGCAAATCCAGAATTGGGGAATCCAGGGCTTGGCTCGCCTGATCGATGTCCATCCTGGAACGGTGACATATGAGGGGAGTATGCTATTGTCCTGTTAGCCTGATGTAGAAAGAAGTCGTAGATAGCGAGAGTAAACTCACGTGTTGAACCGCCGTACTGACTTGCCGCTCCGTCGCCCTCCTTCCCTTGTCTCTTACGTTTTGCCAGCCAACCGCATCTATACGCTAGGATAGCGAGTACAATCGCGACGAGCGCTGCACATCCTAGAGCTATTCCCAGTATCGCGCCCAGAGAAAGAGAATACCCAGAAGAACCTGCGGAAGGGGTACCTGTGTTGAGAAAGACTTGCGCATTGCCGTTATTGTCGCTCAGGGTTGCTGGTAGTAGGTTTGCCGTTGGGCATCCATTATTACTGCACGGGTTGATATCGCAGCATCCAAGGAACGGTGGTTGGTCGGCCTTGCAAGTATACCACTCGCTAGAGTTATGAGGAGCAGCGCAGCTCTGTGGCGATATACTGTCGTAGTGATCTGATGAGAAGGTCGCCGATGCCAAAGAACTCTGAGGACAGTTTCCGCTCCCATCTACACACGGGTCGACGGTACAGCAGCCAATAAACCGGATCTTTGCTTGGTCGCAAACGTAGAACTTGCCCTTATTTGGGCACGACAACCCTAGATCGGCGCGAGTAATTGACATTGCGAGGATAGATTAGGAATTAGTTGGTAGATTAGGAATTACATGTACGATAGTTTGACCGCCGATAGAAAAAGTTAATAAGGGAGTGAGAGGAGCATCCCTCGCGGGGTCGTTGCAGCGGCAACCAACAGTCTTAAGGTCCAAAGAGATATTTCATCACTTTTGGGCTTGGCTAAGAGATACGTAGATCCAATCCGCTGTTAGCAGACGAAGGATTGGTGCAGCCTTTGGAACCCGTGTGGACAACGGGCGACCAGGCCGTACTCAGTACACGGGACCGACATGTTGAGCCTCCACTAGCTACCGTGGCAGTGATCCCGATCAGAATAAGCAAGCGTTGGGTTGGTTTGTCTATCGAGAGATGCATCGATATCCTAAATTAGAAATGTCACTGGCGTCTGATTGGTCGGAAGTCCGCCAGCTGCGGAGGCGCAGTCTCTGTTATATTGTAATAATTGGGTTAAACCAGAAAGCTGGGTCTGGTCCTAGACTACTCCAGCTCTTCATCCTAGGTACTCCGCATATCTTTCCACTAGACCTGCACGCCCTTACCGAATGATACTACCGGTAGACTAATGTGTTCAAAGTCGACGTGATATAAAGCCCCGTGAAGCCATCGCCGATTACCCTGAGTTCCTCGAGCCTGTGAGGGAAATGAGTACGAGCAAACTACGAAACAAGACTGCAGCGAGAGCGACAGGGTCGAAGCTAGAGGCTGAAAGCTGAAGTCAAATAGCTCGAATCGAGACACGGAAACTTGACGAGGCTCTGACTTAAGCGAGGTCGGTACCTATTATAGTTGGACCCCATCAGCCCATCTGATGTGCATGGAACGTTTCCATGAATGCATCCATAAGTGCAGATCCCCATTACACGAGAAGCAGCTGAAGCGGTGGGAGATTTGCGAGGCGTACTGGTAATCTTTTGACTTGGCATACGAAGGTTTATGTTGGTGAGAGAACCCTTCAAAGATAATATCATCCATAGACCACCAAAGGCACCAAAGAATTGGACATGGTGACAATTGAGGTGCTATGTTATCTCAGAAGAATACCTGGCGAACCTCCGTTGAAGACATGTACTCCCATGTGAGACGATGTAAGGGAGTTAGTTGGGTGATGTATCATATCAGGAGTAGATTTCATATCAGGAGTAGATTAAAATGAACAAAGACAGTTGAAGTTGGAGTTGGGGAAGAATTTAGTTGTCAACCAGCTGACAAATGGAAAATTGGTACATTGGTACATGAATTTTCTTTAGCCACACTGCTCTCAACCAAGCCACAGCAATTCCCCTCTTGGAAAATCGCTTGTAGTAAGCCCTGAGTGGCCCAAGCTTGGACTTGCCCACAACCAAATCGATTTTTGACAATTTCCTAATTTCCATTTCTAACTTGTGAATTTTCGCGATTTCAATCTCGACCAACCTTAACCCACCGTCTTCGTCACCCACTCTCTGCGACTTTCCCCCCTTGTTTCGACGACAAAAGCCGCAATCATGAGTGCCTCGTTGAACAAGATCGCGCCTAACAGCGCTTCGCGCCAGAACCCTTCTGAGCTGGAGACCAGCATTGCTGGCGCTCTCTACGACCTTGAGACGAACACCGCCGACCTCAAGGCTGCCCTCCGACCCCTTCAATTCGTCTCCGCCCGAGAGGTATGAATCAAATGAATAAATCCCTTTCCGAATATGTCTATACATACCTAGGACCGCTTCCAACCTGGCCCTATTCCTCGATCGCGATCGTGCAATTCTTTGCTACCAACGACTCGTCTACGGTTATCGCAATCCGTAAATGAGTTCGACATGAATGGCATAGGAATATTAATAGCAATATCAATATCAGTGGAATAGGACGGGAAGCGGTCCAAGGAACACATCATAAAACGTGTCCTGGAGCTCGCCGGCTAACTTTTGGGTCTTGATTAGATCGAAGTTGGCCACGGCAAGAAGGCAATTGTCATCTTTGTCCCCGTTCCTTCTCTACAGGGCTTCCACCGAGTCCAGCAGCGGTAGGTTATCTACTCCCATTTCCACCTAGTCATCTGTGAAAAATTACTAATATTTTACTGCTTTATCAATAGACTCACTCGTGAGCTTGAGAAGAAGTTCTCCGACCGCCATGTCCTGATCCTGGCCTCGCGCCGTATCCTTCCGCGACCCAAGCGTTCTGCTCGCTCGCGCAACACCCTCAAGCAGAAGCGCCCTCGTTCGCGAACTCTGACCGCCGTCCACGACGCCATCCTTGGTGACCTCGTTTACCCCGTCGAGATCGTCGGCAAGCGTCTGCGAACCAAGGAGGACAACAGCAAGCTTCTCAAGGTTATCCTCGATGAGAAGGAGCGAGGTGGCGTCGACTACCGACTGGACACCTACTCTGAGGTCTACCGCCGCCTCACCGGCCGAACCGTCACTTTCGAGTTCCCTCAGTCTGGTGTCACCGAGTACTAGGGTTAAACGGTCGTTCATCTGGACTGGTCTGGGACTAGGGGATTTGGCATTGGCACCGCGTTTCGTGGAGTTATGACTGCATGGCGGCATTACGGCGGGCCAAAAAAGTGACTGGCACGGCGTCTAGATAGCTTGTGAAATAATTGACAAGCCGGGTTTCTCTGATGAGAATTACGAACTAATTCATTGCTTTGATATCTTCATGTGCCTCTTATGTCATGATGTCTGCATTTCGGGGTATCGTAGATTCTCTGATTATTCCTGACTGATCCGACCAATGCCGATGGCGCACCAGTACGCCAGTTCCCTCTTCTCCCTCGTATCCTTCTCCTTGCCAGCCGTGCTGCCCATGCCTACTTGATCCTGAGACACATCGCCTTCCCACTCCAATCGTACGAACATAGGTATCTCTAACACATCCTCGTCCTCCTTCAGCGGACTTAAGTCCGGTTCCGCATCATCGCTCTCGTTCCTGAGCAATGACGGCTCTCCTACCTTGAGGGACGCGGGGATGACTTCAACCACGATACTAACCCAGTTGCGCCCCCGCTCCCAAATCTTGCCCGCCTCCGCCTGATGCGTCCCCGTGTCGGCGCGGCGGCGGCTCTTATCCTTCTCCCCGTCCTTCAGCACGTCGTCGAGGTACATGTCGGTGTCCGTGTTCGCGTCGATGGTGAACTGGGGGCACAGGACGGTGACCTTGGAGGCGAAGCGGCCCGGGGTCATGGCCGGCGTCGCTAGCGTCACCTTGATCTCGTCGAAGATCGGGTTCTTGAAAGTGAGCAGGAACTGTGCCGGCTGCAGGGGCTTGAGCAGGCCCGGCGGCGGGGTGTTGTTGTTGTTGTTGTTCGCGAAAGGGGAAGAAGCCGCCGCGGTAGAAGGAGACGAAAGGGACGGAGGGGCCGGGGCCGGAGGGGACAGCGGCTTGATGGAGATGGAGGGGATGTTGTTGTTGGCGACGAGCCGGATCCGCCATCGCGTGTTGCTCACCTTCGACTCCGGCTTGCTGATGATGTGCCGGCAGACGGGGCACCGCTTCGACCGCTTCGTGCGCAGCAGGTACGGGATCGGCCACAGGTCCGCCGCGAAGCGCGCGCCCTCTTCGACTTGCGCCCGCGACTCCGCGCCCGTCACCGTTCCCGCCCAGCCGTCGCGCCGCAGCCGCGATAGCGCGGCGCTCTCGTCGAGATTCGCGGCGCGGAACCCTTCGCTCGCGGCGTCGGCTTCCCGCATCACGGGGGCCTTGGCCTTGGGCTTTAGCGTGGCGCTGCTACCGCCGGGACCGCTGCCGCCCGCGGAGGCGTTGCCCGAGTACAGGTTCATGATGCGCGAGAGCGCGCCCGGAGAGTTGAAGCCGTAGTCGGCGATGCCGGCGAGCGCGCCGCCCGCCGTCGACGAGTTGAGGTTGCTCTGCGAGGCGTAGAAGGCCTTGAGGGCGGCGAACCGCGCCTTCGCCGTGTCGTCGACCTTTTTCGGGGTCGCGTCTCCTCCGGCCGCCGCCGTCGTTGTCGTGGTAGCGGCGGTGGAGATGGCGGAGTGTTTGGTGTGGTCCTCGCCGTGGCGTAGCTTGGAGAGCTGGGAGAAGATGCCTTGCGGCTTGTCGAACTTGACGCCGATCTCGGACGAGTTCCAGTGGCAGTACGAGCAGGCGAGGATCCAGGGCCCGGAGGGAGGGACGGGGTTCTGGCCTTCGGCGGTGAGGAGGGAGGGCTCCGGGGCCGATTCGAGGGATTGGACGGCGAGGGGCCCGATGCAGATGGGGCATTGGAAACAGCTACGTGTGCATCTGGGTGAAAGTGTTATTATTATGTCTACTTGTACATCGTAGTGTATAGATAGACATACCTATTCCCTTCGGTCTTTAAGCTACTACTCCCAACCTCGAAGAGACAGTTCGGGCAATATATAGTAGCGAGCTCCTCGGAAACACAGCGAGGACAGCGGATCTGGGAGCATACATCGCAGTATAGCAAGTATTCGATAGGGTATAAGCTATAGTTAGAACGCGGCGCACGGGGATCGAAGGTCTTATCATCGTCATCGTCGGGCTCGTCCTGGGAAGTGGGAGAGGGCGCCTCGTCTACCGGACGGGCCCGGGTCGTCGAATCGTAGCAGGGACATTGGATATACGTGTAGGGAGCGAACGAAGCCATTGAGACTTCTCAAGACGGCATATTTCAGCCGGGCAGCACATGCATAGAACTTTGTGAACCAAAACTGAGACAATCAGAAGCTCGGGTCGGAGGAACAACGTCGATTATCTCACTACACCAAGTCAAACGGGTGCAGGACTTTTACGTGGGTAGGTAATTATTTCTTTGTCCATCGAGCTTCTTGCCTTGCTCTAGCTAAATAATGATATGTACTAAAGAGGGTATTTTATGCTTATACTGGTTTCCGATGTCTAGCCGATACCGTAGAGCTCTATCGATTAGCTATTGTTTGTGTCCACAAATCGTCGCAAAAAGCTTATAGGCCATCTCCAATTGATTTTGCACAAGCTTCAGGAGAGAGTTTCAAGGCACTTTGGCGGAGTGGTTAACGCGATGCCCTGCTATAGGCTAATCAATTAGCAAATAGTGTAGGCATTCCCTTCGGGGGCGTGTGTTCGAATCACACAGGTGTCGCATCTTCTTTTTCCGATATCCGTTACCTTGATCAAATCAGGGTCTCGTTTTTCCTTTTTTTAATTTTTTCTATCCGCCGTTTGATGAGGCAACATTTTCGAGTTTATATCTAGTGAGGCTTTTTAGTTAGCATCCTTGTGTTATTGACTCGATCTGCGTACCTCTTAATTTTGCTTAGAGATTTAACTGACAACACCTACTAATTCCATTATTGGCGTTCCTATGGCTATTGATCTCGATGTGTCTTGTCTTCAATCTAAGTATACCGTATACCCTCATTGCGGGAAGGGTGGTAAAAAGTAAGGTTGGTAATTAATATAAGATTCCAGTCACAGCGGCGGTTTGCAGCCACTTGACAATAGCTTAATGCAGTGGTGCAGTGGTCTTGAACGTGCATGCGGCAGCGAGAAACCAACCTCCTACCACCCGCAGTTAATATCCACGATCCGCGAAGATAATAATAGTATGAGATACAAGGCCGAACTCATGAGTTCCATGACGACTCCCATGATTCATTCCTGTGTCATAATCGATTAAAAGACGAACTGCCAAATACTTAGCCAAAGTTCAAAATGAGCTGCTAGGTTAGCCGTCGCCCGCTTTGAAGGTTGCGTCTTTAATAAATTATGAGGAGAAGGTTGAGAAACTGGTCGAAGATAATTCAAGCCTTCAATCGAGCGCCGAGGACTGCATACATCAGCTAAAGGTTGTGATACAGAGCCTTCACACCACAAGGTCAAGATTCACCCGTTCGCCAAGATTCAGCATCTCCGCGCATCCGAAAAATCAGAACAGATAATCTAGATACCAATGGCAACTACATACCATACACTCCTAGACTAGCAATGCCATTGTTATCAGCGTCTAGTATGCCTAGAGAAGGACTCTCAAGCCGTCGTGCATTGTACCCGGCTGCCCGGTACGTGACGGTGGCTTACAACGGCCTGTCAATGGATTACGCCTCCGACGGTGATAGCGCGTTCCGCGCAACATCATGCTTTGCGCTAGCTCAACATGCAGCCGTTTTAGGTCCCGAAATAAGCAAGGTAGAGAAAAGGGGGTTGGAATACCCGGGCTTGCGTGGAAATCGCAAATATATACCCAAAAACTGCCCATTAGTCTTACCAAAGTTTGCTGTGTTCGAAATGTTTGACGCCTCCATACATACGCTTCGTTATGCTCACTCCAATTCAAGTATCCGACGTCATGGCGAAACCCCACGGTTGCTAGAAAGCTACCCAGGTCTAGATCTATCAGGATCCTTGGGAGGACCCCGGGACGTTGGAAGCTTCGTTTTCAATAACCTAGGCTCAGTGTCATAGATCAGGCCTGTAAGGTACTTACATGTATGGATCTCTCACGATGACCGATACAAACGGCCACCCTCATCCCACATCCATGCGTTCAACATGTCAAACAGACGGACAGCTCACGCGGGAGCTATCCTTATATAACGGCGTGTCCAACCGATCGCGAGGCTGGAAGACGAAAAGGTCTGACAAGAGCACGGAAATACGGCCGTCTCGCAAGTGGAGTATTAGGAGATGGGACGGCGCTTCGATGTCTAGTAATGCTTGGGACCACTTGAAAAGGGTATGTTCACGGGTCATCGTTTTATTTAACATGTCACAAACTCACATCGTTGACCGAATATAGGATCCCGAGTTATGGTATCGGGATGGGAATTGCTACATTCATCTTTACGGCCAGGGACAAAGCCGTAGAGGCCCGGCCTTCAAGGTGCCTTTCTCCGGACTCCTGGAAGCTAAATGCGAACCGTTCATCGATAGATTTATGGCTCAAGATATCATCAAGTCAAACGGCTTGACTCATAACGACAATAGTGATCCAGTAAGACGAAGTCGCATCGAACTCTTTATCCCGTCGCCCCCTCGGTCAGAGAAGCAAATGTCATACAAATACCATTTAGCAACTCGTAATTTCATCGCTTATGTGTTTCGCAGATCAGTGGTTGGTGAGAATCTAGGAGCTGCTCTCGTCACTCTCATGCACAGTATGTTTGAATTTCGAACCGAGGGCGTGGATAACGTAAAAGACTTGATGGACTACCTGGACGAGGAGGGTTATCTCAACTTCAGAAACAACCCAACTCATTCTTTAGCTATACTTCATTTAGCAGAAACTTTTCAGTTGAGAAACCTTTACATCAGTGCTTTCGCACACTGCTGTGGTATGAGCGGCCAACTACCCTCCTCCCCTGAATATCAGGTTCGTACTTCTATGCTACTTCATATATAAATAACTCGGATCGTTAATATGAACTAGTTTGTGTCTCCCGGAACCCGAAAGCTGATTCGCTGTGCTCGGGTTGAGATGAATCTCAGGCTGGGTCAGAGTGCGAACATGGTTGGAACTTTCCTCGAGTATGAATTATCAGAGGCACACCTTGGTCTATACGCCGGTGCTAGAGCGCATCTTGAACGGTTCCGAACTCTATTGCAAAATTTTTACGTTGCCAAATTTGGGTCTTACCCGCCACCATCCGTCGATTCTCGGACGACAATGTTTGAGATAGAAATCCTCCAAGAGATGAGAGCTGATTTCGAAGCGCTTTACCAATACTTAGTTGACGAGACAATCGATATCACAAATAGAAGCCCATTCTTAGCTGAGGGGGGCATATGTGCCTGGCAGTGTATCCAGGCATTCGACAGGAGACACGAATTCAAAACGCTGCTTCATCCCCTTCCACTTCTTCCCAAGGTATCCCGGGAAAATACCAAAAGGACTTCATGGTTAGGTAAACCTATGAAATCAGACCGGAAATGGCGAGAAAACACCCACGCTGCTCTGTTGGAGGCCACAAACTCGAATGCCAATCTTATGAAAAATGGTTTGGTGAGGATATATCGCCAGTTCGAAGAAGGACTAGCCTACTGGCCTACAAAAGCAGATAAAATAGAAAATCTGGGGCCTATGGATAGCCGCAAGGTGCGGTGGATCTTGATCTACGCGACCTACCAAGCCCTCCGACAAGCAACAGAGATACCATCCGAAGTCCGCGATACCGCAGGCGCTCCGTACCATCTCTGCATCTCCACAGCCGACCTGCCTCCGTGGGACGAAGACCGACCCGTACATAAACTCGTGCGAAGGCAGACGCACCATCTCGCCCACGGCGCCCTCACATCGCCGAGCCAGGAATCCACCGCGAGACAGCCGTCTCCGCGCGAGCAGAGCTTCGAGATCAAGCCGGATATCGACTACTTCGCGCTCACGCACCGCGACAGCGGCAACGAAAGCGAAACCAAAGACGGCGGCGGCGTATCGCGGCTCCGCAGAGCGGGAAGCTGGACCGGAAGCCTAACCAGCAACCTATCGCGGAACCTAACGACGACACGCCGCCCCTCCGCCAAACTGACCAAGCAGCAGCCGGACCGAACACCCACGCCCATTCACCGCAACAGCAGCAGCAAGAGCAAGAACAACGCGCACACGCCTTATCACGAGATCGTCGTCCAGGGCTACGGCAACGGCACGAACGACATAAAAGCCTCGCTCGTCGACGTCCCGCCGCCGCCGAAGCCGAAGCGCAAGTCCACGATCGCGGAGGAACCCATGGACCCCGTAGTAGCATCGGCGGCGTCCACGTCCTCGTCGCGCTACTCGAGTAACTCGGACCTGCGGAAGTCGTCGCAGGAGAGCAGTAGTACGGGGAGCGCGGGAAAGACGCCTGATACGTCGGTTTGCGGGAGCGCGACGACGGAGACGCAAGGGCAGGGGCCGGCGCGCGGGCCGGCGAGGCTGCGTAAGGAGCGCCGCGCCGCGGATTCGCGTACGGGCACGTGTACTGGTCTTGGGTTCCGGCGGAGGATGCGTGACGAGCGCGCGCGTACGCATACGTTTCAGGCGGGTTGCGGGTTAGGATTGATGAGGAGGCGGGAGCGGGAGCGGAGTGAAGATGAACGCTTGCAAACGCATTGTCACTCTCACTCTCACCCAGACATGCACTCACATCCACATTCCCAACCTAATTCAAACACACACTTAGACCCATCCACAAACCAACCCGTAGACTCCTCCCCCGCGATCCAAGAAATCAGCAGCGCGGCGACGTCCCTCGAGATGCCGGCGCCCCAGGCGCCCACGTCGTGGGACTACGTGAAGGCGGTCATGGAGGTGAAAGCCACGAGCTGGATGACGGCGAGCGGGGGCGAGGGCGAGGGCGCGGTTGCGGATGACGTGCACCCCGGGTGGGAGATGTACAACGACCTCGGCGGCCTGACGGAGGTGCACGAGAACGCGAGTTCTGCGCCCTCTAGGGCGGAGGGGAGGAGGTTGGTTAAGGCGCCGCCGCCGGGGCGGGGGTATTTCTAGAATGGAAAGGGAGAAAGGGAGGGAGGGAGATTGTTCGTGAGATGCGTTTTATGATGGATGGGTGGATGGATGATACCCGCGGCTCGAACTTTGCGTCAGGCGTTCGAGTTTAGTTGGTATTTAGTTATCTAAGATCTATAAGGGTGACGCAGCGCTCAAAAATCTCGTATATATGTCATCTCAGGGGAAAAGGGGGTCAAGTATAGCCAGAGGATATCAATAGCATAACACAGCTTGGCCATGGGTATTAGGTGTATTCTTTCAATCTTACAACCTGTGCTTGGACTCGTATACACGTTATTACAACCTCGATCGTGACATCTGATCATCCCTTCGTAACTGACATATACGCTTGCTTTCGTCTGCGCCTTGACTTGCTGCCCACGTGAAATTGCAATTGACCACTTTCCCACTTGCTCTACTCGGACTTGATCGCCGCACCAGCCGACGCATTCGTTAATCCTTCTACAATCTCGCCTCCCATGGAATAGATCATGTACGTTGGGAAAATGAGCCACAGGCCGCTATCTCACAGTCAGCCAATTCGATGATATTACCTAGATGGGGAGTGAAAGGCAACCTACTTCGGGATGATCCACAAAAGAATTAGGTCTTGGAGGCTGTTATGGCCGATATTGTCGAAGCCCGAGAAGTACTCGTTGAGCCCTGTCGAAAGCACGACCCTTATTAGCAACTACTACTCATCACACCAGCCAAAAGATGCCCATATACGTAGCTCGTAAGTGCAAGAAAAATGAAAACAGAAAATAGCGAAACACCTACAATACAGCACAGTCTTACTCAACGTCATAACCGCAGCACTAAACGCGACCAAAACCGCCATCGCCGCCGGTCTCCCCGTCAAGGCCTTGGTCGTACTCCCCTTAACAGCGGCTCTCTTGCCGAGGTAAGTCGCGACATAAAACAAATACATGAGCGTCTCGACGAGGTTCAGCGCGCCCTGGGCGGCGGTGAAGCCGCTGCGCGCGTGGAACGCCTTCCACCCGTACACGTGGTCGACCTCGCCGTACAGCTTGTACGGCGCGTACAGCGGGTAGTGCAGCGGCCCGCCCTCCATCGTCAGCGGCCGCAGTAACACGTACCCCGTGTCCCAGATCACGAGGGGCAGCGACAGCCCGAACCAGAACAGCGTCGTCCGCGTCGGCGCGTGCGTCCACGCCGAACGGGAGCGGGAGGAGGATGAGCCGGTACTGGTGGTGGGGGGTGAGGAGGGCGCGACGGAGGCGGCGCGGCTGGCGGAGCGGGTTGTTACCATTTTGGCGTTCTTCTTTTTCTTTTTTTTGTTTTGGTTTTTTATTTATCGTGGAGGTTGTTCGGGTTGTGCGGCCTTCTTCCTTCTCGGGCGGTTCTGGCGGGGATGGTGGGATGTGGAGACGGGTGACGTGTGATGCTATCGTGAATGTTTTCCGGAGGTAGACGAACAGAATTAGATAGAGTTTTTCAATTGCGTGGAATTACTTCAATATCACATCTCGTGCGTCGAGAGAGAGCTGAAGTTTAGTAAGAATGAAAAGGATAGGGAAGCTTATTTGGATGTGATAGGTAAGGGTAAGGTAAGGTGTAAGGTACTAGGTAAGGTCGGGCTTCCTTAGTAAAATGGGATTGCTGGATGCGGGGAACGAAATGCGACGCTGCGCTGTCGTACCTGCCAGTAAATAAATACAGACATGGTCAGACTTGACACTCGGTCGTCCCACCATCCGTAGCTCAGCAGCCAATTGGGATGATCGAGCCCCGTTTCGGAAGGTGCTGAGCTGGGGTATTGTGTCTGCCCTAAAGGTACGAAGTACCTACTAATTGATGGCTCATTGGGCTAATATGATCTTTTGCGATGAATAGAAGTTGCTTTTGAGTAAATTCGAGTATAGTAAAGGTAAATCTAGGGGGGAATGCCGTGGTGTTGTTTTACCGCCAGGGCTACACGATGTCTGAACAAGGGCTTCACATGTAAAACCAACCTATTATGTAGGCACTGCAGTCAGAATTTTGTGTAACCAATTATGAAATGGAAACCGCTTCTGTTGATCTGGAGGATGTAATTTTCAATAGAGACCTTTAGAAGAAAATGGCTACGAAATACCATAGGTAAAGTGAATCTAGGATATTGAGAACCATCGAGTTCAAAATCATAAATACCAGGCGGGCTTAAGAGAGGGTATAAATCGTTCATCATGGCTATCCAGTCATCTTATCCTTACTAAATCCTTGCCAACGATCACTAAAACCCCTAAGCCCTTACATTTCCGACGCCGCTCGACGTTAGCATGCGGACATACCACCGGTGCAGGAACTCGATCTTCGGCGGGACAGGATGACCGGCGTCCTTGGCGAAAGTGCCAGCGCTGTTGAACAGGGCCGACTTAAGCTTGAACTCGGCCTGCGACGTGTCCTTGTCGATCTTCGCGCTGAAGAAGATGAGGCCGTCCGAATTCCTCAGGCCGGGCTGCAGGGGCGAACCGCCGCACCGGACGACGATCTCGTTGCCCTCGTTGTTCACCACCTCGAAGTGGTTGGAGAACTTTAGGCCTTTCTCAAATTTGGCGGTTTTTAGGTCGCTGGTGTGCCACAGCTGGTTTTCCGTTCCCGGTGGCTTGTCGTAATATTCCTGGTACTTGCTCTGAGGCCAGAAATCTGGGTCGATGCTGTTAGCCGGCTAGTTCAGTGAGGGGAAACAAGACAAGCAAATCGTACTGAAGCCGCTCCATACGCCGCGACAAAATTCAAGAGTGAGCGCCTTTTCGTCGTTGCGAAGTTCAGGTTTAACGGCTGACAGAGGTATCCGCTTAATAACGACATCTTGAAGCGCCGGGTTATCCTTCGGATTATATTTCTTATACGTTTTAGTCTTAAACATAGGATCGTTCTTAGTGAGGTCGATGAAAGTGGTGGTAGCAGTAAGATAGGCCATGTAGCCTCCTAAGGTGGCACCACCGGCCGGAATGGCTAGTAATGCCGTCTTGATAATGCCCATTTTGCTCTGATTTCGTGATTTATTTGGAGTTCGGTAGGAAAGAGGTTTACATAGATAACATCGTTTGTCTTGGATACGATATAGTAGTATGTGATTCAATCCTGGTTAAAAACTGGAGCTCTAGTCATCGGGATTAACCCGGCATTTTACTAGAATAGCTGCTGCGGTAATAGTTCTCGCGAGCGGAAATCCTGCGGGTGCAGCTACATAGTTATCGGGTTGTCTTTCATTGACGATGCATGAATATCAATATAACTCAAGGATTTGAGACGTTTGGTGACGACATTGTATTTTATGAACTGCGACAATTTGATTTGTCAAAGGTCCCTCTTCTGTTGTGAAACCGTTGCATAGGATGCTGATTGAGACAATTATCTCCAACTCAGCCGGACTTCTACATCGTCGAACAACTCGTGTTTTCGCTTTGATTTCTAACAAATAGACATCGCAAATGTCTTGCTATATGGACACCTCCGGATACCACAATCTTGGTATAGTGGATATTTAAGCCTACCTAGGTACTCTGGGTACTGTAGGTAGGTAGGTAGGTAAAGACAAGAAAATGAGAGTTGATATGGATATCCGTGTGCTACCAAAATGTGATGCGCCGCAAGGTTGGCACCACAGAAAGAAAAACTGGCAGCAATCACAAGTCGCTCTAGCACGCAAATATGACCGATAGCAAGTGGGCGAATGGAAAATCGGTTGATTAATCGTGCGATGTTATAAAAGTGTGAAGAGAGAAGAAAAAAAGGAACGCGGTCCAGGAATTCGGAAGCGTACAAAAAGATTGATTGAAGGTCATGTGATCAGACAGGCTAGGATCCACCACTAAAACGAATTCCTTCAAATTTTCATAGAGATTGTTTTTTCCTTCTACTTCATTCAGAAGTAACAACCACCTCAACTCCGAGAAGGATGTGAGACGGAAGCGCATCATTAAATCTGCTCGGAGTATAAGGCATAGTAAACCCTACTGTTATACAGTCAGTCCATTTTGGTATGGATTTTCAATATCAGTGTTGTTTTTGTATAGGAATCATCTCGAACAAGCGTCTCGTCTTGTCTCTTCTCTCCTCTTTTTCCTTCTGGACAACACATGAATCCAATTGACTCGCCGAAACCCACAAATTGCCTACCTCTCGCGACTCTCAATGCGCGAGAGCGTCAACTTCTTTATTATCGTTCGTGTGGGAGAATGAACCAAAGGCCTAGACAGCCGGTCCAATCCACCCTGCTGCCGTAGACCGAGTGCGGTAGCAGGACTAATGAGGACAAACACGCCATCGACTGATTAGTTTCATATCAATTTATATAATTATTTACAAGAATACATCATATAATATCTCATCTTCCCCGTCGACCTGGCCCATCTACGGTGTCCCAGGAGATCCGTCGTCTACGCTGGTGTCGAAACCCGGGACAAAGTCTCCCTTGGCCTTGTCGAGATTAGACTGGAAGGTGGCGTCCTTGAACGCAATCGTAGCGCTGCCGAAGTCGTACGCAAATAACTTGTCGCGCAGATCCGTGTTTGGGAAGCCGTTGTATGAGACTAGTGCGCCGTAGAACCACTTTCCGGTGTCGTTCTCGATGTTATCGTCGGCTGCGTTCGCGAAGCGGAAGTCGTGTGTGCCGACCCCATCCTTGTTGTAGACCGCCTTGGGGTGCGTGCCGTCCCACCGGACTTCGCTGGCACTCTTAGTCTGGTACTCGCCGTGCTGCGATACGGCGACGGCGACGGCTTCGTCGTTCTGAGTAAACACGACGATGTGTTCCCAGTCGTTGCGGTGCCCTGGGTCTAACGGGATATTGGGAATAGCAACGTCTTTCTCGAAGTAGTAGTCATATAGGTAAGCGCAGTATCCGTTGTTACACCGCGCCCTGGAGTACACATTGTTGTTCTGGAGATCCGAAAGGTCATGGCAATCCTCCGATAAGCCAGTATTTTCATGATCTAGGCCGGGACATATGTCTCCGTTCGCTCCAATGGCAGGAACATTGTAGCACCCATCAGTGTCGAAATCCATCGCCGGTTGCCACCTGAATACAGGTAAGCCTTCACGATCACGTTAAGTCGTGGAGAGTGACCAAAAACTTACTTCTTGTCATTGGCCGTCGCATTTTCAGGAAGTGCCGTCGGCGGGTCCCGAGTCGTAAGAAGTTTGAGCAAATGCTCAATAGGACTGGCATTTACGACCGGAGTGGCAGTAGCCATTAATAAGGCCAACCCTTTGGTGGCGAGGCTCTTTCGAGAAGGCATATTAAACGAGTGACTTTTCGACCTGGTAGGTTAGGAGTCAAGATGGCTCTAGGACTACCGATCTCACTCTTCAAATACAACCTTTAAGGTCTTCGTCCCATCATCTTTATATCTTTTCGGCCAATGTTACTGTACCTAGTTCTCTATTTCCCCACGACTGAGCCACGATAGGTTTGGAGTAGGAGCTCGACGGCAAGCTGGGGCCAACCTGACCTGAACAAGGGTCCTCTTCAGGGGCTGACACGATCCGCCTTCCTCCTTGGGAAACGCATGAACATTATGCCGCGTTCACCAAGAACAAAAAAGACCATCTCGTTCCCTATCAATTCTCCAACGTGCTCGTTACTTAGTTAAGACTAGCCGTTAGCCTTCTACAGCTAAGCTCTACGTAGTTTTCGCCTAGCTTCACCTAAGATATTAAAAGGGGGAAGCATATGGGTATCTGCCGATCATGATTGAGGCTGAGGTTACGCCCCGAGCATATGACCGATCTTTAGGGTCTTTAATCTGATCGAAGTCTTGCTATTTTTAAAAGCACGAAGGAGCCGGAATTGCATCATTGCAGTGCCGGCCTCCCAATTCTGTTCGATGCTGAACTTTGTAATCGATTGATACGGGAAAGGAGGAAAGCCATATTAATGCGGCTTTTTGTCTATTCCATAGCTTGTCTTACCATGCGACATCGCAACATCTTGGCCATGAAGGCGTACACGCTAGTAGCAACGCTGATTTATTCGTTTCTTCGCCGGCTGTTTCACTGTACGTCCAGGGACCTATTGTAACCCAGCGTAATAACCCTATTGAATGGGCCATGCCTTCGGTGGACAAATTGGCGTCTCTGGGCGCGCTGCTCCGCCTGTCATTGGGCGGATCTCCACACGTGCGCGGACCTGACGATCTCCACACTACCGAGGCAGGTAATAGTAGCTGCGGTTTTGGGGTATAGACACCGAAGACGACGCTGCAAGTATAGTAATTATAGGTATATAGATGTCGATCTAATTGATAGTCAATGGAAAAGTAGACATTAGGCCTGTGGCTATGAGCCATCAAATCCATGGCACCACGGTTCAGGAAACTAGGTTCTTAATGACCTGATCGTCTGAATTGATGGCACTCAAACACAATAGCCATAGTTTAGTCACGAGGCCCATGAGAATTGCAATACGTTCAAGATGTGCTCCAATTCAAATACCCGACATGATTCGACAATAGGTAGTACCAACTCTATCGCCTTGATAGTACTTCATAAGCCCCTTTCGTATATAGTTGCAAACCGTTCCCAACGTGAGCTCGTCCCGGGGGTATTCAAACACAATGATTCCCAAACCATCCCCGTCGTTATGTTTCCCGTTGCGTATCATACAGGTCTAAGATAATATATACAGAACATATTCCATATTCCCAAGGGACCTAGATCGTAGTAAAAAGAAAGAAAAGAGGAAATCAGATCTAGTACTGTCCGTCGAAGAGGTACCTCTCGTCGGTAAACGACAACAGGAATCTCGCCACGAGGCGGCCCGTGTAGTTCAGCGACACGTCGCGTGGGAACGGGTGGCCTTCTTGGTTAGGCAGGATGGGGTCCGCGACGAGGAAGTCGAGTTCGTGCCCTATTCAAACCGCATTAGTACCCCTATGGCTCATTGAATAATAGGAAGGGGGGAGAAAGGAACTTACAGCTATCGCCCTGCAGCAACTCCTTCAAGCTCCTGACCATCTCCGCCGACGCGTCGTCAAGCTCTGCGATCTGTGATAGGTTCCCGTCGGCGAGGGGGTTGAACGCCTTGGCCCCGGTGTCGCGCGTGTGCGTCTGGTAGATCTGATGGAACTGGTACGCGAACTGCTTAAACGGCATGTTGTCGATCTCACGGCACAGTGCGAGCGCGAAGTCGCGCTTGTATTCGGGTTTGCTGCGGTTACGAATCGCGATCTCGTTCTGCGAGATAACGAACGTGTCCGCCGCCGTCTCCACCGTCTCCATGAACAGGCACAGGACCAAGAATGCGGCCAGGCAGGGGCCCCACTCGCGCCGCAGCTTCGGCTTGAGCGACTTGGAGAAGCCGTCGAAGAGTAGCTGCATCTCGCGCAGGAGCATCTCGTCGAGCACGGCTTTGATCTGTCGGTTGAGGACGCGTGCCGTGAGGAACATGTTGTTGCTGTGAGGGACCATGTTGGTGCCTTTGAGGCTCTCGAGCGTGGGCTGTGTGAGGCATAGTTGCCGCGTGAGCACGTAGTGCATGACATAGATGGATAGCGCACGTTTGACCATAGACGATTGAGAGGATTCAGAGCGTTGCGCGTAGCGCTGGACAATCGTCAAGACCTTCTTGGGTAACTGGGTACACCGGATCGCATCTGTGACCTGTTCGGCGTACATAGGGTCCGAGCTAAGGTTATGGACGTACTCGCGAGCCCTCCTCTTAAGCTCCTCCCTCTGGGACGAATTCTCGGGGTCGATACCGATAGGGGCAGCGCCGCGAGACTGCAAGTCCATCTGGTTCATACCCATGTTCATGTGCCAGTGCTGGAGGATTTCGGCGGACTTAGGCGTGAAGAAGCTGGCGGGGACCGTCAGCGTGGATCCAAATCGCGTACCCGAGAACAGCTCAACAGTGCATGTAAGTTCCGTGCCGTTAGGCTTGAAGTTCTCGACGTGCTCGCTGATGAAGTTGGTCATCTGATCTTTCTTGAAGTGGCTCCGGATGAAGTCGGGGAACAACACCGGCAGAAAGTCGCCGAACTGCCAGCACATTATCTGAGGCACCTGCGCGGTGAGTTTCTTGCAGTTTTTGCATGGTCGTTCTTTGTCGCATTTGACTTTGCGGCTGTGAGTGCAGAAGTAAGTTGTCTGTTGGCTGAAACAGAACAGAAGGTTAGGGGATGGAATGGGGATACACACCTGTGGCAGCAGAAACATGCTCCTAATCTCCGAACTTGTAGAGCACTCTCCTTGGTATCGTGTGCTAATGGTCCTTTTCTGCCCCTCTGGGTGGTTCGCATAGCTTCGAAACACTCGAATGGATTTGGCTTTCCTGACTGCTGGTTGATGAGGTTTGGAGTCATGATGACAAACTTGCTCGACGATTCCGACTTCTTCTTTTCGACTTTGTAACCATTCCTAACTTTTCGTATAGGGCTCGCGCCCTTACCAGGTTCCGACTTCACGTACGGAGATCTCGGGCTCGAGTGGTGGGAGCTGTGAGTGGGCGATCGTTGTCTGGGTGACTGAGATGTGAAGCTGTTCGTCTCGTCCACTACTCCCGAAGTGAAGTCTTCGTTTTTCAAGTTCGTCGGCGCCCATGGCGGGACGTTATTGTCGTTTCGAAACTGTTGTGGGATGCCCAGATCGACTGGTTGAGGAGCCAAGTCGAACCCTTCTAATCCTGACAATTCGGCAGTTGTCATACTACCCTGAAATGTAGAATAATATTGCGTCATGTCCATGTCTATAATTCATTAAAACCGGCACTTCAACTGTGATATGTCGAGTTACGATGCCATAACTTACCAGTCAGCTGCTCATTAAATATCATTTCTTGGCCGGTTATGAATTGATGTTCGTCAAAAGCTGGCATCAATTGGCCGTCTACTCCTGCGGATGCCATCATGGATGTTCCTGCCGCGTTGTCTGGATATGAAGTGGGAGGCGCCGCGCGAGCCTGATCGTGATCCAACTGTAAGGGAGACATAGCAACCGGTGAGGCTTGCATCTGGTTAGGGTACCCAACTATCCCCCAGCTATGCATGCTTGAACTCGCTGGACTAGGCATGAAACCGACTGATGCTGGGTTCGACTCTACATATTGCCAGGAGTCCGAGTCGTCGCCAGATTCCATGGGAAAGCTGTGCCTGGAGGATGGGGAGGCAGAAGCGACTGAAGCCATGATGACGATATTCAATCGTGAAGAATTTTCTATCAAGATGCGTAATAAACCCAAAAATCAAGTGTTTATTAATAGAATTCGCAGTTCCCGACTCCTGCGCGATCGTACTTCGAAATTATCTTTAAGATCACGATATATGCCGAAAGGCTGTTTGTCGTGGGTTCGTGCTACCGACTAATCGCTAGCCGAGCAAACAGAAGCGGGAATTTATGAGGGAAACGGGCGTCGCCGGTACAGTTCTTGGTTGCTTGTTCTCTAAGGATTTCCCAACGAAGCCACTCGGTAACGGATTGGCCGACGTAGATGGTTTTTAGAACCCCAGAAATTCCATTATCAGGAACACCCAAGACGGCCGCGAGCTGAGGGGCCTTGCCTGCTTAAAGGTGTCCCAGAGATGACGGCTCCGCCACTGAGAAACTAGGCTCGATTGGATGACCGACAGCAGATGGATTGTTACTATAATAATAACGCACTAGTCCCATTTTGGACTTCGGTGTCGATCCTACGGCTGTGTAGATCATAGCCAATCGCTGAGTGCGAAGTGTGTGGCACATTGAACTGAAGAAATGGCAACGGTGAAATAGGAGTTTGCAGATTGTCGAATTGGACTCTAGATTAGGTGAAGACTAGATTAATTCCCAAGATGTTTTTCCGGCGCCGACGAACTAATACCAAGGTGATTTTTAAGTGACCAAGCATTGCCGAATTTGTAAGATCGAACGTCATCGTCATCTCTACCAGCAGCCTCGAATCCCTGCCGAGATATAGGTAGGCTGGTAGGGTTGTCAATTCTCGACTGCGGGGGGCTAGGGGGTGTTTGCGCCCGAGCTGTGTTGTGCTCACACACCTAGGCATCTTGAATGGTTGGGCGGAAGCTGGCGCAAGAGAATGTGCATTTCTTCAACCCAAGTTCCTCATGCTTTATGCCCAACAGTGCCATCTGTCCAATCCCGCTAAGGCAATTCTGACTTGGCCGCCCAAAACTACCATCCGAAAGCATCGGGAAGCGTAGATCTCCCGATCGAAATACCCCAGAAAACCCAGGTAGCAGGTTACTTCGTTAGGAGACTTGAAAAATAACAATACATCATGCTTGCTCGCTCGCTCGCTCGAAAATGAGACAAGTCTATCCCACTCTCGTAAAATTCAGAATTCGAACACTCCAAACCCGTACCAGACATTACCGTATCGCGCCTCAAAATACGAACGATGCCTCTCCCTCCGCCTGTGCCGTCGAAAGGAGACGATAAAGAAAAAGAAAATCGTGATTCATTCTGCCTGCACACAAGCGGCTTCATACATTGTTAACATATTGATGGGGGCGATCCAAGGCGCTACCCAATGCCCTCGGGGCGAGTCTCGGTAGCTGAAGAAGCTTCGAGAGGAAAAACGTTGATATCATCACCGACCAAGATGCCGATGGTATTTTGTTCAGCGGAACCGTGCCGACGCTGCAGCACTTCGTTCCTGAATCTGTTGTTCGGTTGAAACGTATAGTCTGTCCAGGTAGTCCATAGCGGCTGCATCCTTGAGGATCTTCGCAACCTGGATACCGGCACTGATTAGTTGAAGGATGTTACGGTCATCCTTCAACGGGCGCGACTGATGCTTTGCAGCATGCCGCATTTCCAAAGAGTTTTCCAGGATAGTCACGAATTGCTTGATCTGTCCGTTATAGAGAACCCGGGCGGGTATTCGTCTCTTCGTCGCGAGACGCTTTAGTAAGTAGACCCATTCGGTCCATTCCCTATCCTGGGGCCTCTCGACAGGTCTCATGTCCTGGGTCAAGGGGATCGGAAACTGGTATTTGGCAACAAAGTCGAACGCGCACTGCGAGAGTCGATCGTTGACTTGCGTCAGGACACTATCCTGCTCTTGCACCAAGAGATTCGTCGGGAGATGCGGCAGCTCTCTCTCCTGCATAGCAACATAATCCGGCGGAGGTCTCGCTAGAAACTGGTGGGGTCCGTCGAACTCATCTCTGTTAGATGGCCGTCTTTGGGGACGGCTCTTTCCACTGCTCTTGGACTTTCCTACTGATGCGGCACCTCCGCCATTGTTATCCAAGGTGTAATCCGATAAACCGGGTGATGTGATGATATCATCAACGGAATCCGTCGGAGAGTATCTGCCTGGACCATCCCAACCCTGCGAGCTCGTGCTAGTATACGAACCGTATGTTGCCCCGGAAGAATTTCCGTATGGCCCGGACGACGCTCTCGAGATGTAGACCGGCGATGGAGTGTAGGCGGACTGGTGCCGCGCGACTGGACCACTAGTCCCCACTACCGACACGCTGGCCGGCGAACTATACGATGGACCGGACCCGGACGAGTAAATCACACTTCGGAAGCCAGTGTTATTCCCATGGTTTACGAAACGAGGGGGGACTTCTCATTCACCCTTACCTTGAGTTTGGGTATCCGTTCTCACGGGCGCTACCTGGATATGAGCTGTCATCGTAGATGACGCTTTAAGGATGTCAGCTCTACCGCAATAACATAAACCGGAAAACTTGGCTTAATGATCGCACCTGCGCGAGGAGTTCCAGGATCCGTGAGACATGGCAGAAGTTCTGTAGATCATTTCTTGCTGGGCCATGTCTTTACAACTTTTTTGGAAAACAAGAAAAAAAAATACGGCCGGCAGGACGGAGAGGATGTGGGATGAAATAAGAACCGCACTGGTTCCCGTAGAAGGTAGTGACCCGGCGATGTACACCTGGCTTTCCAGAGTAGGGACCCCGGGAAGCACTCTTTTTGTTCTAAAACACGGATTCTAAAGTTTGGTTCCCTTGGGTCCACGGTCGATGTCCTCTGCAGGATAGACTGGCTCGATTTGGGAGCGGTGGATCGCGATTGCGCGCTGCTGACCGGGAAGAGAAAGGGAAGTCAAGTGGCTCGGCGGATTTGGTAGTAACCTCGGGAGGACAACATAAGCCCGGATGCGAAGGAAATATTGCATGCTCCAGTATATATGGAACCTTTGAGGCAGCAGATATGGGATATCTTCACCTTGATCCAGAGAAGGAAAGCCCTTGGGATGAATCGTGCTTTCGAGATTTGAGAACCGAGATGGGGACACTTTTATTGTATGATAAACTCAGTGAAGAATTTGCCACTGTGGACAGGTAGGTAGTGACTTTGGGATGACGAGCCGCGCCGGAGCAAGGCACTCCCCAGATCCAATATCAAGGGGCTCGCCCCAGCTCTAACTCAAACTCCAGACTGGGGCTGTAACGTAGGTCCAAGGCGGACCTCACGCGTTGCGAATTTAGTTAGGGATGGGGGATAGATGCCTTCTCGGGCGCCTGGCACCGATTCGAGACGGGGCTGGATGAGTCGCCAAACTCAAATGAGTCAAGATCGACCAGCGAAGCGGTTCGATCAGAGGCGTAAGACAGATGGCAGTTCGAAAAGAGTTACTGCAGATGTCCAGGAACACCCTGCCTATAGTGCATGATGTTGAACCGAAACGACCCTCTCCAAGCCATGGTGATAATTATCCACTGAAAGTAGCGGGATAGAAGCAAAGCCGTGATTGGATATTGCAGCCCAATCACGGTAGGGCACCATTGGGCAGCTTAAGAGCTAAGAGCTAAGAGGCCTTTTTGTTCCTGCTTGTCGTCTTGTTGCCCAAAGATTGCAGCCTCTTGCAGCCTCCGAGGGGGGTAATAGTGTAGATTATTGCAGGGAAAGACCTGGTGGACGAATAGCGGTGACCCATGAGGGCGGACTATCTGACTAGATTGGGCAGAAAAGCGTTGCACGAGGGACGAAGCCCAACCCTATGTGCAGGTACGGTACGTTGCTGCCCGGAGCATTCTCGTCCAGTCTTCATCAATGTACTGTAGTTCGTCGAAAGACGAAGGTCCGGGAGCGCGAGGAAAAAAGGAAAAGGAAAGAAACCACCAACCGAAAAGCAAGGTAGTGGGAATGTCGACGTGTGCGAGACGACCTCACTATGAGAGCATGTGCCGGATGGTTCGCCGACCGCTTACCACGTATTCGGAGTCTATTCCCACACCTTAGATACCGTCATGAATTTAGGCGTCTTCAATTACGCTCTAGCGATTGCTAGGCCCTCCGGCCTAATGGCATGTTGAAGTTGGTCGATATGAGGTCAATTAGACTACATTTTTGAAGAAGTCAAGTTTGGAAGCTTCCAGGTCTAAATCATTTCATATCGTGAAGAAAACTTATAAGCTTAAAGCTTAGACCACTTGCTATCGCACCTGCTGTGTCTAAAGACCCGCTTAGCATGAACTGAAAATGGAGGTTAATATTGGAAGTGGCTGGGACTAGCCGAACGTAGAAGTTGCACTCTGTTCAAAATACATACCTATCGGCGGTATACCAAGGCAATTACGGAAATACTCTTTTGTGATGTTTCCGTAAATATGTTGGGCGAGTACCTACTTCGTACATATCTCCTGTTCAAAGGTGTAGGATGAGGTAATCTCTATGGCGCAACGCACGCATGATATAGTATGGTAGCATTTTAGGATTTTCTTGCCATCTTACCTACCTCGTGAAGCAACATGATGAACTGCAACATTTCAAGATGTGTGGATGCTGCAAGCCCATGAGAGCACATTTGTGGAAACATCGGTCGTCTTGACCATAGCGTGGGGTACACTCGGTCGCAATGTAGGTAGGTTAAAGTAGGCATACACTGCTTCAATTAAAGCAGGCTTGTGGCGTAGAAGTCAAAGAGTGTGAGATTATGGAACGTGATGAGCAACGTGACCCTGCCGACGCCAATAGCATCTTTGAAGCGCATATGCTCAGTAGGAGTTATGTCAGCTTGGTAGGAGTCCTAGATAAGCAATGGGGGCATAAAGCTTATAAGAATTAACTAGCCACGGAAATCGGCATCAACTGTCGAAAATAGACTGCCAATGCCTGGACGAAAAGAGCTGTCGATCTGCCACCGTACACGAACGTCAACCGATCCATAATAGGAGGCTCTCGAACTTCTATACAAATACCCCTGATGATGAATAAGGTAGAGTAGCATCGATTCTAGAAGTAAGTGAGATGAAGCGCGTAATCATGACGGACAGTCGGGTATTTTCGAATGGGTTGGTCCATAGTTTGGTGGTAACGATGCAGAAACATGCCTGCTCACACGTGGTAATATCTTGACTTGGGACGAACAATAACATGATAAATCTTCCAATCCATGAATCGGGCAACACACCATTAACGGGACGATTCGAGTGCCCTTTCACGGTTGTGGCAAGCTATAGCCGAAACCTGGGCAATGGTGTGATTCATGACCCCGTTGATATCGACATGGCCTCGCCGACGCTTAGTGCCGCGCGTATAGAAGACGGGGTGAAGAGTTGAAGATTAGGTGTGCATGAGACTCTCAGCCGTAAGGCGGGGTTGAAATATTAGGACTTTTGACATTATATAAGATGAGAGTATCTATAAATCAGAAGCCTCATTTTCCTGAGTTTGAATTGGGTCCCATGGATTGTTACTGCAATTTAACGTAGCAGTGCTAAAGATAATGTTACGCGTATTCCAAATCAACTTCTTAACTCGTGCTGCTTATGTCGTCCTGAGGATCATAGTGTCTCATGTTAGCCTTATTATGGAACAGGACTTTTGTAACAATTAAAGGGCTGCCAATCGAGATATGGATCGCTTGTTTAGTCCCATAAAATATAGAAATGTGGAAAGCGTCTGCCCTATGCCTCTTCCCGACGGAACGGGGAGGCACTATTAGTCCAGATCTTTAATTCTATTAATAACCCTCGGAAACTCGCGGTTATCATTGGTTGAATGAATCAACTATAATGATAGTGACCGCTTTATTCGTAATTAAGAGGAACCCGCAAGAGATTGAGCGTGCGGTGTGTGCTGGGGACTGTGGAATAAAAGGTAGGTAGTTATGCACCTGGCTGACAGGCTGAGTTCTACAATCGTCCAGCCATCCAGCCGGTGAGCTGAGGGTCTATCACAATCTGACAGGCATGAGTCGGGGCATCCAAGGATCCAGCCGTTAAAGCCGGAAATGCTCATTAAGCTTGCTCACCCCCGGTCAAATCGGCTCGCTTGAGTCGACGCTGAACGATGACGGTGGGGCCTTTCAAGCATACAATGCCACAGAAGGGTAGGATTCGACCAAGAATGGTTCAATGAAATCATCGCGTGGTGACCAGGGGTAGGAAATTCGTCTGCCTGAAGAGTTCATTGACATGTAATATAATGAGATGTGAAGATGTCAGAAGATCGCAGTTTCGAACGCCGTATATGTTCATTTCTATCGAGGTGCGGCCCAAAGGTCGAAATATAGTGTCGCTTACGAATCTTGAATATCAAATGCGCCTATTAAATACGATGGCTGAATCAGCTCCGACAACCCAGCGTCAGCGTCAACGCAAATTCCATCGAAGATCGAGAAATGGCTGTTCCACGTGCAAGGCTAAACACATCCGGTGCGACGAGCGAAGACCTCTTTGGTAAGTCGCCGAAATATGACTCCGTGTACCGATGCGGGCTGCGTCTGAGTGAGTGTGTATACGAAGCACGCCGCCGAAATTTGCACAGGCGATTGGTGCCCGACGCAAACCAAGAATTGTGTTACATACGTTACCTCCTCGCGCCCCTTGTTCCGCAGATTGCCTCATCTGCGCCTATCTAAATTAGTTTATCTCTTGCTTTTGCTCCCTGCGTCCCATTGACGACAGAGTATCTCAGAAAACGCGTTTCGGTGAGACTGACTGTGCCCGTAGCACATATTGTCTTCGACATGGTGGAGAATGTGGTTATCCGGACGGAGACGCTGAATCCAATACTACGGAGGCCGAGTGCAGATCCGGATCGAGGGAGCCTCACGAGTCTACCGAGCCATATCTACACCTGGTAGACGCTACCCCGAAAGACCCATTCTTAGGGACTTCGTACGACGTACCCCACAGGTCGCGATCGCTATTTCAGCTCTGTAAGTGATGCCGGTTACGTTGGGCAACAATATGTGACCGGACGCTAACGGGTTATCGATGTCCAGTCACAAATACGAAGGTATTATACACCACTCGCGTCGAAAGAGATGCCAATTCGTTTATGTGAGTAGATGATCAGAATCGTGGCTGTGGAGCCGCTTAATCCTCAAGAAACTTGGCCTAACTCGCAGATACCTAGCGTCCACAAAGCCTTGTCACATCCGGGATTCCTCCACGCTGCGCTGTTGATGACAGCCCTGCACTGGGCTTGGTCCACCGGCGATGTTGAGCATTTCCGAGTCCCTTACCTCTACCACAAGCTGCAGGCAATACGATTTGTGACCGATCAGCTAAGGCATCCGGAAGCCGCTGTCCACGATGGCACGATTGCTGCCGTTTCGACCCTCGCTTTGGTCGAGGTACGCGTCACCAAGACCCAGAAAATGCCCGTCCGTCCGTCCGCCTACTAACCGCTGCTAGAATTCCTTGGGGTCCGTTGATGCTGTCTCATCTCATTTACGGGGGCTTGCGAAAATAAAGGAGTTGCAGGGCGAAGATAGACGGCCCAAGAAGATGGGCCTACTCCAACGAATGATCTTAATGTGCGTGCAATGCCTGTCCCTGTCCGGCGTGCTTGTCTGCCTGATGAAGGCTAACGGTTTTCCCTCGTAGGGCAGCAAGAAGCGTCTCTAGTCGTCCCGTTTGGGACATCCTTGACATTAGTAGAACGGACTTCGTGCATCAGTCAATGATCATATCGCTGCTCCGAGTTGCACTTCGGCCGATCTATAGTCTGTACATACTAGGTGACTCGCACGATTCAAGAGAGCCGCTCTCCGAAATCCTAGCGAGAAAAGTTCCCCATCCTCGGGCGAGCGACAGCAACGTCCTAAGCCCCCTCAGATCAGTGGACTCCAGTAGGTCGGGGTTTATAGCTTGTTACTTCTACCTCTACGTGATCATGCGAGAAGGCTGCGTCGATTCCTTCATACTTAGCTGGTTCATCGAGCAATTACTGGCAGATGTCTGCCGCACAGAGGTGCCGATGCAGAAAGGGCAATACAGCCCGTCTCTCTGGTTTTGGTCTGTCATGTTTGGGGCATGTGCCACGATGGCTGCTAAGGCGAGTGACGAACTCGAAGCGTGTCAGATGAAGGTGATGCAAGACGTGTACCTTGACAAGATAAAGCTCGTGAGCCAAATGTTAAGGATAAAGAACTGGGAGGCTGCCAAGTCGATCCTGATGCTCTTCGCTTGGGAGGATGACTTTGATGGGGAGATGGAGTTGAGGGCTGTATGGGAACAAGCAGTCTGGGAAGACGAGGGGAGACGCCTTGAATGGCACGGCGCATGAGATGTCGACTAATGGGGTTGGCTGGTTTGTACACATCCAATGTGTATATAATGGGTTACCAGAATGGTACTGTATATAGCGTCATCCCTGGATTGGGACCGAATACATGGTGATACCCATCAGAATCTCGTACGTTACGATATTGCAATGTAGCTGAATGAAGCCATACAGATGCGAGATTTGAGGCCATTGCAATCGCGGTGGTTCGGGAATCCGGAGTCCTAGACCATCCTAATAGGCACTTGGGCAAGTTGAGCCGCTTCCGTGGCACACCACACAATAACCAAGGCGTATTTTCCTTTTCCTCTTCCTACCGCCTCCGCCGCCGATAACAGCTTTGAATGGAAACTCAGATGAGGAAATCTGGTAGTCCTGCATAACTACACAGGTAGGAAGGCTAAAAGGCGGCAGATGAAAATTATTTCACCACAATCGTCCGGGCGATGCGTAACGTACGGCCGGCCACTTGTCAACACAGCCGCTGCTAGGCTGCTAGGTCAGGCAGGTCAGTGACCAGCGAAGCCAGCAAAAGGCCGGCAGACAGCAAATCAATGGTCTAGTCACCTACTCAGGTAGCAGGTATTGGCTCGAAATTGTCAAATTGTGACGCAGGACAAGTCAGGACGTTTAGTTTGGCGCCAATTATCGAAGCACTTCAGCAACAATCTGATACCGTACCTAGGTATCTAATGTAAGATGTAAGGCAAGATGCATCTTGTATGTATCTCTTCGTTCACCGCTCATTTCAGCGTCGATAGTTCGGCTCGAAAAGGAGTAATTACACCGACAATCGGGGTCAATTAACAGCCCGCCGAGAGTTCGATGATGAAAACACCAGGTGATTTCGTGCTGGCAATGAGGGGTTTAAGAAGACAGGAAGAATATTGTATGAATTTCCGCGACTCCCGCAAGGGCTGGGACGGGTTGATAGAAGCACGTAGAGAGGTAGCGACGCGTTCTGATGCGTTCTGATGCATTCTGATGCGTTGGCCTACCGCAGCGGCCGGAAACCCCTCGTTGAAGTCGTCACGGTGCATGACGATTGACTCGATAGGACTCAATCAGACTCAATAGGCTGCCGACAACTCTCTGAGTATCCACATGGTTACGGACCGAGCCCTGGGAGCCTATGGCGATTGCAGTAGGGGACTGCCAGCACATTTCGTAGGTGGATAAGTGAGAGAAGTGAGGGGAAATTAGTGATCGTTATTAGTTAGCGGTTTTGGCGGTTGCGGGAGGTGACGGAGGTGATTAACCAGTTAGAACGGCCAAGCGCGTTTTAGCTGTTCGATAGATTCACCAATAGAAGGTAATACCCAGATCCTGGACCAATTAATCTTGGTTTGGTGGGTCTTTGATGGGCCGGTCGTGGGTCAATTGTGGGTCTGGCTTCAGAGCGGGGTTGATAGCAATACTGCACTTCCTTGGAATCTTCCCTGCTTCTTCTTTTCACAATTCCACACAACCAGCCAACGACAGCCAACGATGGCCCTCTGCCAGCCAACGACATCACGTCAAGCACGACACCCTGGCATCGTGTCATCCTCGCTCATCGTGTGCGTTGGCCAACCCGGTCCTACACCCCATCCACAATTCTTCCCTATGGCACACAATAAAACCCGAATGTCCCCTCTCTCTGCCCAACATCCATTCTTCACTCCTATTTTCCAGCCCAAAGCCCTGACGTTTCTGCCCAACCGAGACCCATTATCACCATTATCACCAACTCTCAACCGAACCCGTGGCTTATTTTTCGTTGCTATACCCAAGACATTTTACCAACTGCTCCGCAGCTCTCACAGTTATCCAGTTACCCACACAGGATTCTCAACCAGTACCCATTCAGGCCGTGTTTGACTCTTGCCGGTTGTTTATCTCTATCCAGGGATCGCCTCTGTACAACGACTTATCGACAGAAGAACAGACTGTATAACAACAGATCAGTTGAGAAACCAGTCTCACTCCTCTGCTCCGCAAGGAATCACCGCCTTTTCCCAGTAGTGTTTGCCACTGCCATAGGATTCAAAGGGATTATCCGGAGAGCCCTGCTACTCGTTCCCACAGTTCCTTACCCAGAAGGAATCATCAAATGACAGCCATGGTTGCTTCCCGCCAGGACAGCATGTCTGGCTTCAATTCATCTCTAGATATGGACGATGTCCACACTCCTGCGAGGTATATTGCATTGTTTTTTTCATTTCTATTTCCGGAGTCTTGGGGTCTGATTTTCAAACGACAATCTACATCATGTATTTGCGAAAGTCATGTATGCATCGTGTGTTTCTTAATACATTGCAAGTGCTTTGCTTTGCTACGTACTCAGCCCAGGACGTACTGGAGGTTATTCCGTTTTTCCCGGACAGGACAGGAAACATCACAGGACAATCCGAAACAGGATCTTTGCAAGGAAATGGATACCAGAAGGACACCAGGTCAATCTTCCCGGACTCTCTATCCCAGGACTATTTCTGAGGCTTCGCATCGCGCAAGCAGCACAGGCTTCTAGCCTGTGTCTGGCCCCCCGCCACGGCGCTCAGATGGATCATCAAAGAAATAATCAAATATTCAACGACGAAACAGTAAGTATCGCCCGCGCAGAGAAAAGAGTGACAACAGCAACTCCAGGATAGACTCTACCGGATACCAGTGACAAGTATTGCATTTTTTCAGACTAGGAAGAGCCAACCCGCGGATCCGTTGTGACTTGATCTTCGAACTTCGGACTTTGCTTAGGATTTTCATATCGCGGACCTATGGATTTTCTCTTGTCATATGCTTCACCTCCGGACCATGGACTCGCAGCAATTTCTCACCGGACCTCCCGCAAGCCGTGCTTCCCTCGTTTCTGCTGTGTTGCTTCGCACATCCAGTAGTAGTGTAGGGCAAGACCTTGACTTGTCATTCCCAGGAATTCAGACTTGATTGCGTGCACCCGAATAGGAAATACGGCAATTCGTCTGTGATCAAACTCGCCTATAATAATCTGGAACTTCAACCCCGTCCCAAGGAGCAGTATAGTTATGCCGCTTTTACCTGGATCCCCGGAGTACACCCAGCCAAATTTCCCAGAGGACTGTCTTGCCAATACCGGGTTTGCGCGTTTCGTTGCCTGCCCGACAGCAGTACGTATGCCATGTGTGCCGACTCGATCGGCCTCAACCTGATTGATCGCGTGTTCGTGGACTAACATATGAACTCTTCGTGCTCTAACAGCCGCCTCGACTTGGAATTTTCTGGATTCTCTATCTAGCCGGATTTCGTTCCCGTACCGTTTTGCTTTTCTTTCCTTTTATTCGTTGCTTTACTTTTTCTTCGTTCCGCTCAAGGCCGCCCACAAATTTACAATCTGGATCTTCCAATTTACATGGAACTATATATGCTATATGGTGTCACTCTGGGTCCTGATCCCTCGGATACTTAGTTTGCTTGACACTTCACTCTGGTCTGTATATGATGCCTTCCCCCAAAATGCCAAAACCGTCTGTAAGACTAACCGACATTGCGGAACAGGAACAAAGTTGTACCATGCTGAAGCCATTTTCATTTGTATATGATTTTGGGTGCATCTTCGTGATTTTACCGCCAGGTAGTGGTTATACAGAACACTAACCTAATCCTCAGTGACTACAGCTCTTATTCTCAAGGAAACATGCTTGCCAATTCCAGCGGATCTTTTCTTTACTCTCAAACGGGACATGCGGACCTTCATGGTTCAGTATGGGATGCAGCAGAAGGAACACAGAACTTCAATGGCGAAGAGGATTTCCATTTTTCATATGGCCAAGTTACTCCCAGAGGACAGGACCAGCATGAAGCCGTGGATGACATGACCAACAAATGGATTGCTTCGGAGCAAACTCAAGCTCCCGCCGCAGAGCCCATGCGACGGATCAGCTCGAGGGGCTCTTCCGGAAGCCACAAGAACAGAACTATCAAAGCCTCAGCACAGAAGAGCCGCCCAAGGCTACTTTCTATGTCTCATGGCTCTCACATGTCGAATTATGACTTGTCAGGTAATCCACAGATGGACGCATATCTTCTTCAGGAATCGGATACCCACTCGGTATCTTCTCAGATGTTCTACCCAACACTACCCATGAGCGTAGGTTTGCCTACAGATGGACTCCCATACTCTCCCGCTGTGCTCACCCCGGGCATGGGACAGCAGCACATCGATCCCACTCAGATGCAACTGAACTTCGAGGCCAACCTCGCAGGAAACTCGCCTGCTGCTACTACCTGGAGCTCTATCAGCCCTGTTGAATCCCGACTCTCTACCCCTGGTCTCCCTGAGGATGCATGGTCCGTCCCTATGGAATCTTCTCCCTCGCGGACTAACGATTCTTCGCCAATTATGGATGGCATTTCGCCAAGGTATGTTGAACTAATCGCAATGACATTCGGACACGCTCTGACGTAGAGAACGCTATCAGCCTCGATCGCCAGATGGGCTTGATGACTACAGAGGATCCCAATGGTGTGGTTTTGGCGGATGATATGTTTGCCTTACCTCCTTCTTTCACTCGCCGCTCCAGCGGTGACGGTGAGTCTTCTGCCCGGGACCACCCACTGTATAAGACCGCCTGCCCACAGAGCGACGGACTTTTCCACTGCCCGTGGGAGGGCCAGTCGAGCTGCAACCACAAGCCCGAGAAGCTCAAGTGCAACTACGAGTAAGTTTTTGATACTTTAACTATCCCCCGCAGACCTAACCAGGATGTAGCAAATTTGTCGACTCGCACCTGAAGCCATACCGATGCAAGATCGACTCTTGCGAGAACGCCCGGTTTTCTTCCACTGCTTGCCTCCTCCGACATGAGCGAGAGGCCCACGCTATGCATGGCCATGGCGACAAGCCCTACCTCTGCACATATGAAGGTTGTGACCGTGCCGTTCCCGGAAACGGATTCCCCCGTCAGTGGAACCTGAAGGACCACATGAGACGCGTCCACAATGACAACGGGAACTCCCTCAATACCGTCAGCGGGTCTCCTCCCTCTGGACACGGATCTTCCGCACACTCGGCCAAGGGCCGAAAGCGCAAGAACAAGGACTCCGTAGACAGCACCAGCAGCCGCAAGCATGCTTCCAGATATGCCCAGGCCGAGGCCGCCATGAGAGCCGCTGAGCAGCCCATGGTTGACGAATGGTACCAGCACCACAAGGCTCTGCAAAACTACCTGCAAGAATTCAACGTCCCCGACGCTTTTGACTACTTGCACCAAATCACCGAGGCCAGGGATCACTTGTCAGCCATGGGAAAGATCTCCCAGAAGCTGCTTCACACCAACAAGACCAACACTCAGGACTCCTACAGACGATCCCACGGACACCACTCTCGCTAAATGAAGAACGTGCGTATACGACATAACCCTCAACGTCTCCTGCTTGACCTAGCTAACCCGATATATCATAGCCAATAGAACAACAGAAATTTGAGGACCAAGGATGATTTTCAAGCCAAGGAATATGCAAGCGCATACTCCAACCTTTTTTACTTCTTCTTCCACCGGACTGGAGGCCGTGACAGAGTCTGGCTAGACTCTATGAGGATTCATTCGAAGAAACCGCCACGCTCCGAGCCGAGCCCGGCATTGGAATCCAAGGAATATAGGTACCGGTTGCTACGTCTCATTTGATTGTAGAGTTTTTCCGGATTGAAACCTAAGAAAGAAAACCATGGACATGCCGAGGTGTGTGGGGAGAGTCGATTCCAGGCCATTGAGCCTGAGAGGATAGAGATACGCTAGGAGGAAAGGAGAAACAGGACATGACGGCCTGCGTGGCCATCCCATGTGAGATGTCACAACAGCCGTCGCCCAGGTAGTCGGCGGTTGTGGACTTGTGACTGAGAGGGAGGATAGAGATATTGTTGGATTGGTTGATTGATTGTTGCTGGTGATCTGATTGCATCTAGACACTTGAGCTTATATTCGGTTGTTGATCATTTTGAAAATCTAGCTTATTTACAGCTACATTTAGACATCATATAGTTTTCTTTGTTTTAATTAGAGCTTGGAAAAGTACATCTGCGTTTTTGATGATTGTGGTTACTGTTGTCCCCAAATTCCTTTCCCAGGGATTTCCATATTCATCAACTGTTCTAATAGTTTGTCTGCAATTGCCATCGTCAAATCCCACAACCCCATCCCGACTTGTCATTAGATATGGATTTCAGCTATGGATAGATTAGTGTTGTTGGGATTAGTGATAAGGTAAGGGATAGTAGCTTCGAACCCGGAGAGAAACGACACATGGATAGTCAGGTACCTGGGCACGTAAGCTTCGTCGGCTCGTTATTATTACACCTTGGCTTCTGCACCCCGGCGAAATACTGTATTCGTTTGAGGCTGGTTCCGATGGATTACCTACACAACTGCTAGATGAATAATTCGTATTGTTACAAACCCGTCACAATTATCTAAGTAGGGCGGGCATCGTGCAGTTGAAGCTTGAGAATGCACCTCGAAGAGCCTCCAACCACTGTTTAAACCTTTGGTCACCAAAGCTATCTAAACATCGAGATCCTAGTATCAGAGATACGAGGATGGGTAGAGAGGCGGACAGTTCTGCCTTAGGCAACCCGGAGTATTTCCTGGGGTTCGCCTCGGCACCCGCCAGAAGGTGATGTTCAAGATGTAGATGATGCATCAGGACGGGAGTTTGGAAGAGGGGGGTATGATATGGATGCTCACGGATGCTCCATTCCTTACCCCGCGCCCGTACTGAAGTCGGACGGCAAACAGTGGGGAACGCTCGTCTCTATGCGTCAGCAGGGCTCCGGTATGGTCTTTTTAGGACGTCCGCTACAGGACGGAGGGAGACTATCCACCGTGGAGAAAGAAAACGATCTAGGCCTCGAACTTGGAATTGGAAGCATTTTCTCCATGTCACCTACGACTCTACGTATGTTCAGCGACGTTAGTGCCGCCATTGCCGGGACGCCGAACGGAGATACTAGGTTAGTCGGTTGAAGAGGATAGCTTAGCTACCCACTTTAAATGTCACGGAAAAGGTAGTGTTGGGCTCGGTAATCAAGGAGCTCCTGTTAGATAGATCGGATCCTGTTTCAACTATCGAATCCTTCCAGGGTGGATTTGTTTGGTAGAGCTTAAGTAAACTACAACTACACACTCCTTTTTTTCAAATCCCGATTACTACACCGACTAATTGGCACGCGTACCTAATTATAGCTGTTAATAGCTGTTTGATTGGCGGTGCATGCAAACATGTGGTTTATTTGACAGGTGCCAATCCTTTCTGGTTGCACATCGTGCATCTCATGCGGGGAGCCAGATCAAGGCACATTGACGTTTAGTGTATGTTTATATGCATTTCCTTAAGGTAACCCTCACTGTCACCTTAGGTGTGCTATAGTAAAACTTCTCCCCTCATCCATGCATAATAGTAATAGACTCTGGAAAAGTGGGCGAGTGCTTTTCGTTTGGAGGCAAATGATTCACGGGATGAAATGCAGAGAGAAAGAAAGGGGTAGTAGAAAAGTAACAGTTACCGTGTCCAGCCAAGCGTTCTTAAGCCTCCGGTGAACGAAAGTGGGTATCTCTGTATGAGCCGTTCATCTATGCCGAATAGTAGCACCTATATCACGGCCTCCCCTTGATGAGTTCACTTCTGGTCCAGCTCTCCATGAAAATGCAATTCCGGTGCCGTTGAATAAACCAACTGTGACCCATGCCCTAAAGTAGACTCTACGTGAAGCTGCAGAACTACTCGTTTTGAATTGATGCTCACCGAAACGCCATTACCAATGATATCAAAGAAATGTATCCGCCCGTGATTAGGAATCTTGATATTTGAACTTAGGCTAATGAGGCGCGGCTGGATATTGATGCATAGGCACCGACTCGTTATCGGCTCGATACATGATTAAGATGGTGGTTCGATCTTGTGATTCTGAATTGCTCGGTGGCAGATTCCTACAAGGACTGAACCTTACACCAGCCCGCTGGGGTAATGACGTTTTCAGGGGGCGGGGATATGAACTAAATTCATTCTCGGGGACCGTTTGCGCCTCCAGATCGACGTGTCGGTCAGATACGATAGGTGGTAATGGTTTATTGAGGTTGGCACGTTGAGGATAGGAGAGTGGCGGCGGTGGGTGCTGCGGAAGGAAGGTCGATGATGAAGACGACCGGTCGATGAAGGTAGGCAAAGATGGTGACTGCGTCACTAGCTTTATGTTCCAGTCTATAGCCATGGAGCTACGCTGTCTAAACGTAGTCTCAAATACACTTGGGAAATATCTCGAAAAGAAAAGCTTTGTTGCTGGAATCGAGGCGCATATCTTGAAAATGTGTTAATCAAAATCCGTGCATACAAATGAAGCCATATACGTACTATACCAATATTTAACTCAAGGGCGCTGCAAAACCACGACGACCAATTATCCCAGACGGAGTCGAAGCTGGTGGTTAACATCCATGCGAAATAACATCTTGCAATCCCTGCTGAACTCGCAAGGACGCCGAGACCGAAGAGGAAGATGATTATGCCAATTTTCCTAGCAGGCAAATTTAATCCAAGCGCCGTCTTAAGGGGAAGGAGCACGACGAGCCAGTCGGTGAGAGTATTGATAAGGTTGATCGCCCTGAGATGGGCATCCTGATCGATACAATTTTGTGGCTTCGACGAGAGCTCCCAAAATTCCGATAAAGGTCTAATTCGGAGGATTCGTCAGTCAACGATTTTTGTTTAGAGTTTGAGTCGATATGCAGATGAACTTACGTGCATTGGTATATGCTGACCAGGATAAAAACGAAGCAATTAAGGCTAACCACTGCTATTGATACTAACACAGCAATGGTCATCTTTCGATCTCCCGAGGCAGATGTGAGCCGATACAGAAGCGAGAGTATCGACAATTTCGTTAAACTAGTGGCTAAATTGAATAGTATCTGGTTGGCGAGTCTAAAATATTGTTAATCTTACAAGTCATTTGGAGTGGGAAGAGCGCCTTACATCAACTGCAAGCCCGGGACGAATAATTCTGGTTCGAGGTCCCAAGTATGTCGGTTCCATTGGAATTTCTCCTCTGTAATAACACCGATAATTGTGTATGTCGTGGCCGGAAGCTGTCGAGAATTAGTATGACGATGCGCTGAGAGCAAAGCTACGGTGCTAACTTACGTATGCAAGCATTATGAAGACATCGTCAAGCCCAAACCTTTGGGTCAGCCATTTCCGTGCGTACAAGCGAATCGCCAAAGTGATCGTAACCATCACAGCGAGTAAGAGGCCGACGATCATCCCCAATCGGCCTCTCGTTTCCGGGTTAACATAGTTCGGCGTTGGCCAGCTCTCAATGACGGAAGTGGGTGGGAGCTGCATTTTGGAATTTAAAGATATGTTTAAGTGAAAGACCTAGCACGTAGGTATATCGCTATTGAGCACTTTCATGGCAACATGAGTTACCTGCCTTGGTTGGACGATGCTTGGATCACCTCAAAGGGCAACCGGCTTGGAAAATGAAAGTAGTAGTTGCTTATAGCATCGAAGCTATCGATGTGATGGGTTTAAGCACAAGGTACTGCATTGTGCGAGCAACGACGATCTATCTAAATCTTCGGAAACGAAAAGAGTTTAGCACACTACACACAAGATCTCACCCCTCCGGTATAGTGCCGGGTTTTGCATTCTCAAGATGTGAGACAAGACTTCGGTGCCGACTTATCGAAGGTAGATACGGGGCTGTCACCATCGAGTTTTAGGGTTGCCATATGCGTATGAATTTCTTGATCGCAACGACCAGGGTTGTCGGAACAGTCCAGACAGATCTTTCTACTTGGAAACAGCTCAGGGTAGCCATGAGCACCGGTACGTTTCTCGTAGGGCAGCCTTATTACCCCTGCCCCCACCACCCGGGGCCAAAAGGAGGGTAGATCCTAACATGGTAGGTTCACGTATGGATAGGCAGATTTTCTGCACGTAACCTGCGGCCTGCGTGAGAAGACCCATGTCACCCCAGGGGCGTTTCTCAAATAGGCGATAGCTTATTACACCGTTTCCTTCGAGTAGTCAGAAACATAGTTGATTAGTGGCATAAACTGCAGATCCCGTCGGCTCGTCAGTTGTTTGTAAAATAATGTTTGATAATGCTTGAATCAAAATTCATCCACGTTGATCTCAGAAAAGCGATAAAAAGATTATAGGAGACTTGGTCGCAAAGCACATATGAAGGCCTTCTGTAGGGAGCCGCATAGGTGCGTTGGACTCCGTTCGACCGTCCCGTCGGGTTGGATTTCGAGATGTGATATCACACCCTGATTTACATAACCTTGGGGCAGAACCGACATCATATCACCCGAATGGAGGACCAGGAGTGAGCGGCAATGTACAAGGCAGCCAAGGAGGGCAGCCATCTCAACGATCCCCGAAGGCATCCGAGGCGCAGGAACTCGCTCATTTATGATTGGTCATATCATAGAAGGAAGCGACGCAAAGAATTTCACCTCAACGTTATCCGGTTCCTCCTGGATCGATAAGCGTTGGCCTGCTGGGTATCTTCAGTTGACAGAGATCCTTTGTCAGTAACAGAATTCGAACTTCACCAACTCAGGGTCCTGTGTGACGAATTCGTCAGCTAGTAGTATTTCGAGAACCGTGGATGATGCAAATTCCCGACGTTTAGGAATAATTGGTTGGCGGATGTGTTCGAGTGCTCTTGCAGAACTGCGCCGCTTTAGAAGTCACGGGTGGCGGCTCGTGTCGAATCTCTCCGTCGATTAAGCGAGCCAGCAGAATTAGGCGTAGACCATATCCAAGCCATTGGTCAAATCTATGAAGCCTTAGTCAATAATAAATGACGACTCTAGGTAAAGGGTTCTTCTCTAGCCTCAAGTGTATAAGGGTCGCGACAGTCGGACCCTTACCAGATTTAGGTCAATGCCGATCTGAGAATCATAGGTTGAAACAAAATTGTGCAAGCTCTGTACCAACAGTAGGCCGGCTCTGCGGTAACCGGTTAACTTTGAAGATCCATTGGCATGGAGTAATGTTTCACAGTACTAGGTACGTAGTAATGAGATACCCCCAATTGTCCTTCTAGATAGATAGACTGGTGGTAGGCTTGTCTACAGGCCTAGAGCCATGATTATGCAGGGATTTGAATCCCCAAACCCGATTGGCCTTTGAGACGCCGTCTCGCGGCTGCAGATTCTGAGGACTGTGCCAGGCGAAAGGTGTCTGGCTCATCGGATGATGAGCACTTAATCGATATCATCATCGTTATCTTCGGCCGTATGCCTCGGAAGTGAGGTTGAAGAGAAGCACTCTCAGCGACGATACACGTGCAGGTAGTACATAATTCATGTACCTCAGCCTTATTCCGTACAACGACAGAATCTTAAATTTAGGCATAGATGGGTTTCTGGCCGAAATTAAGTGAGTGTGCGGTCAAAAGTAATAGATCTGCGGAGCCGACAATATTTGATCAATTTCAAATGTTCCTAAGGTGGAAAGCTATCACATTTGATGTAAGACATGTAAGTTTATAGTGGATGAGCAGGATGTGTGGCTGAGCGTTGCGGCTGGTGAATGGGAACTGTGGAGTCTTACCGAAAGTTCTCCACATTTGATAGCCCACGAAATCGTAAAATGCAGGCAATTTTCGAAATCGCAAAATTATTTAAATTCCTTCTAATCCATTACACGTCGCAATCGTCGTTTATCCCCTCAATTTCCCACCACCCACGAACGCAATATTCCTCACCATTAGAGTCCCTCTATTGGAAGACTGTCATCATGTCGAAAATCACAGTCGGTAAGTTGCCTTCATAATTCGACGAGCCGACCATGAAGCTGTACTGACATTCCTACCCCGCCATAGCCGGAGTGCGTTCCAACGTCGGTGAATTGCTTGACTACTCCCTCAACACCAAGAAGCGAAACTTCCTCGAGACCGTCGAGCTCCAGATCGGCCTCAAGAACTATGACCCTCAGCGTGACAAGCGTTTCTCTGGCACCATCAAACTACCTGCGATCCCCCGCCCCAACATGAGCATCTGGTACTACATCCCACACTTTATACAGTCTAGCACTGGCGATAGGCAATTAGTAGTGGCTGACATCTGTGATACAGCATCTTGGGTGACCAGCACGATCTCGACCGTGCCAAGCACGGTGGTGTCGATGCCATGTCTGCCGATGACTTAAAGAAGCTCAACAAGAACAAGAAGCTCATCAAGAAGCTCGCTCGCAAGTACGATGCGTTCGTCGCCTCTGAGGCTCTCATCAAGCAGATCCCTCGTCTCTTGGGTCCTGGTCTGTCTAAGGGTAAGCGCAACACCATCCTTCTCGTCATGAAGCAGAATCACAAATCTAATCGTAAAAATTTCAGCCGGTAAATTCCCTACCCCTGTCTCCCACTCCGACGACCTCACTGGCAGGATCAACGAAGTCAAGTCCACCATCAAGTTCCAGCTGAAGAAGGTTCTCTGCATGGGTGTCGCCGTCGGAAACGTCGGCATGACCGAGGATGAGCTCGTCGGTAACATCATGTTGGCTATCAACTACCTTGTCTCGCTGTTGAAGAAGGGTTGGCAGAACGTTGGTAGCTTGACCATCAAGGCTACCATGTCTCCTCCCAAGCGCCTCTACTAGATGGGTATCGCATAGGGTCACTGGAGGACGTAGTACTGGAAGTGCTGGTATTTAGTATCTAGTCGCAGCACCGAAATAACAAACCAACCGAACCTCCAAACTAGAAATTTCGTACTTGTGCATGTTTTGCTACGGTGAAAATTTTTTATGTACTCAGCCCATGCAGCGGGGTCACGAAGCCATCGACGGCCTTAAAATATCGCGGCATGAACGGGTGCGTAGAATACTGGGGACATGATCCCAAGAAGATCGCTGTTTCATATTCATCACAAGCATTTTGGAATATTCAAATCAAATATTATAGCGTCCTCTAACAAAGCCGGACAACTCCCTACGTGTCTTCAAGAAATCGCCGAAAAATTTGTGCTTGAACAGTAACTACAAAAGTACAAAATCGTATAGCTAAAGTAGGCATGTCGGAAACACCCCACAGTCGCGAACCAGGAAGAGCTGGCGTCGGCGGCTGATTGGGAAGGGCGCTTTCGAGGTTCGATATTGGAGGCCGGGAACGGAAGGAAATCCACGGAGAATGAAGTGATAACCCTCAGCAAGCCGCCGTAGCGGAGCCTTCGTAGAATTAAATAAACATTTGACGATGTAGATTTAACCCTTACTGATGATGAGGAAAGGAAAAGAAGAAAAAAAGTTTTGCGAAGGCCGCGCGACAAGATTATTTAAAGGCCCGGGGTTGGCGAAAGGTGGGGCGGAGAAAACGTCGGCGCTCGCACTGGCCAACCAGGGCTAAGTTGACCACGTGATCTGATCTCTGTGTACCTAAGTATCTATTTGTGTTTGCTTCAGTGTGAGAGATGAGCTACCTATGAGGCAGAATGCTTTCGTCAAACAAGACTCGTATTGGAAATGTATAGTCGATACAATTCTGCTCTCAGTTTCAAGACTACAGCTGCTTGACTTTCAAGATTGATGCTAGGTAGTGTGAATTTCTATGTGTCTATATGCTAGCTAACCATATCTCCTACTTCTATACGCCACATCGCCCAATGCGTCATGAATCTTTCCCTCTATTGCTAAACCAACCTCATCTCTGTTCATCAAATCCTACGCAGTTCGTGTTGATCAAATGCCACCCCCTGTGTTCATGCTATACATATATACCTAAGCGAGATTTCTCAAATCTTTGGTACCATGTCTAGGTAGCCCCTCAGAACGGCTTGTATCAGCTGGTTAGCGATGGCGGTCTGTGGCGGTAGTCTTAAGGCACCCTCCTTGTACCCTGAAGGCGCCGGGTCTCCTAGAGCGCTGACCCCGTTGTTCATGCCTTCCCGTACTTCGTCGAAGGTGAACCACTTAGCGTCAGTCAACTCCTCATCATGGCCGAGGTGTATCGTCTCTCCCCCAGGAGCCGCCTGGCCAATCGCGCCAATCATCAGGTTTGCCGGGTAGGGCCAGGGCTGCGAGCTGTGGATTACGACGCGACCGACGGTTACGCCGCTCTCCTCCCAAGTCTCGCGCCGTACCGCTTCCTCGATAGACTCACCAGGTTCGAGGAAACCTGCCAGCGTACTGTACCAGTTTGGAGGGAAGCGCTTGTTTCGACCAAGAAGGAGCTTGGTACCGTCGGCTGAGACGACTGCCATAATGACGGTGGGGTCCGTTCGTGGAAAGCAGAGGTTGCTCACGCCGTGTCGCGTGGGACAGTCTGATCTCTCCTTTGCAGCGCCACCTTCAGGGACGCCCGCTAAATCTGATGATGGACAGACTCGCTTCCATCCGGCATTGGTTGACAACGTCGGCTGGCCACAGCCGCCGCAAAATGGATTCCGAGCATTCCAATCTAACAAAGCACGAGCTTCTGCGTATATCGCCGCTGCTTATTAGTGAGCACATCAATTCCCCACAAAATTGAAGTTGGCTAGCGCGCACCTTCAGGAGCATTCAGAGACAAAAGCCTCCTCCCATCGATGAAAGAGATGCCATTCGTTTTGACAATATCAATGATACTTGTGGCTTTCTCTATGACGGTACCTTTCGGGGTGACGTCAATAGCGAAGTATGGCTTGCCCTTATACTCGCGATACTCGAACTCGGTCTTCTTCTCATCGATGCCAAGAAACAAGATGACAGCCTGTGTAACATCCGAGTTGAACCCCTTAGCCTGTTCCTCCTCGGAAGTTTTAAAGGGCTCTTCGCCGGTTAGTGGTACAACTACGTCTCTAGTTACGTAGGAAAGGTTTGCGGCGTCTTTCGCGAGGGGCGATAAGTTATTTAACAACAAGAATGATGCGCTAGGGTGAGCGAAAGCAGCGCGTAAGAAGCCATAATCCGTCCTTAAAAAGGAAACTCGATTTAGAGGGCTACCGCTAAAGTAGTTGGCGATCTCGCGGCCAAATTTTCTCGACAGCATCGAGTCGTCTTCAGCGAGGATCGGGAGGTCCGGAATCGCTGCCCCCATTACGCTTTGATTTTTACTTTTAGGTTGCTAATTTCGGGCGATATGACGTTTACTCGAAAGCTTGCGACAGTTTTGGCAACGTATAATGTGAGAAAGACTTTTGCTCATTTATGCAATCAAAACACATAAAATAGGTAATAGGAATACAAGGGAAGTGTATCTTGATATAAGCATAGAAAATGAGAGCGTAGTGATTGTATCAGACTTTTCGGGGGTTAGTAGCTATTACATTGGTCTGATTGGTAAGGTTAGGGAGATAAGTCGGTTCTATGTGTCCTCGGTCTCGGCTGAATAATACGGAGGTAATTCGACATCAAAGGAGCGGGGTCTCGTCGCGATATCTTGATGAATAATTGTCAATACGGAGAGTATCCGTTGTCTTTCGCCGATGAACGGCGTTTGCGGCGACAAGCAATTACCTCTTTCGCCATTCGCTCCGAACCCCAACTACCTGCAGGAACCCACGTAAGGTACCGCCGAGGTTATGTGTAGGATAGATAGCTAATTTGAATGTTGGAGTAAACAAAACGTTATATGGTTCTGAAGTAGTAGTAGCTTGGGAAGCCGATCTCAAAGGCTATGACCATTAAAAGTTGCAGAGTTTTATAGAAGGAATTGAGTTTTCTTACAAGTGTTGCACAAAAAGTCTATTCGCATAATATGGGTATCTCGAGTTGGACAACATTAGGCATGCAGCCGCAGCCCTGTCGCCCTATCGGTGCTGAATTCTGAGTTTTGCCCAGGTGAAATCTGAATTGGAAAGTGGAAAGGGTCCCCGCAGAATGCATGAACGCGGAATGTAGAATGTGGGGTGATTGGAGCGTCATTGGAACCAGCACCTAATCTTAAGTGGGCAAGTTTCATTTATTCCAAAGCGCCTGGCGTCGGCGCAACTTTCTCAGCTCCATCATTCCATGAAAATTTCCTTTCCATGAGCCAATTTGTTTCTTTTGTATATGTATACATAATTCAAGGCTAACTTTTCTCGTTTCTTTCGAATCACTGTTCTTAATAAATTGCTAGGTATCATCACCAATTCTATATTCTTGAAGATTTAAGTACCTTCTAGAACGCCGATCTACGAGCTCCCTTGGTGCCGATCTCGATCTCGTTACACAAATCATTGCTTCCTTTCGAGCTCTCCAAGCAGAATGGCGCCTCCAACGGCGCCTTTAAACCTTGACGTTGAAGCGATATCGGGTATCTGCGGGTGAGAAGCTATAATAATTAAGGTCAGAATCATACTCAAAAGCTAAAATTATCTTCTCGTCTGTAGCTCCATCTCAATTGCGGCTTGGGTCGTAGTCTTTTCTCCTCAGATCATCGAAAACTTCCGACGAAGCTCCGCCGATGGCCTCTCCGTTCCCTTTATTATCCTCTGGCTACTTGGAGATGTCTTCAACATTCTCGGCGCTGTCCTTCAGGGGGTCCTACCAACCATGCTCATTCTAGCAATTTACTACACGATCGCCGATTTCGTCTTATTAGCACAATGCTTTTATTACAAAGGTTTTACGTGGAAGGATGAGCTCCCGTCACCTCAGCCGAAACCGCCGAACGGCCGAGCCGTTGGAGAACCTACTGAGAGAACTGGATTGTTGAGTGACCACCTTGATGAGCATGGAAGAAGGGGTAGTGGGTGGTCTCACTTAAGTCCAGCAGTGCCACTGGTGTCGGAACCGCCAGTCATGCCTCCACCTACACCGACGAGATTACAATCAGTTATCTGGAACTCGGTGGCTGTGTTGATGGTCTGCGTAGCTGGGGTGCTTGGGTGGCTCCTCAGCAGGCAATACGCAAACAGCCAACCCAAATCGTCTGCCGATGAGGATGTCCCTTCGTTCGACATCTTAGGCCAAATCTTTGGTTGGCTATGCGCTATTCTCTACCTCGGCTCCCGCCTCCCTCAACTGCTACTCAATTGGCGTCGCAAATCAACTGAGGGGGTGAGCATCTTGTTCTTCCTTTTTGCCTGCCTAGGAAACTTGACTTATGTTCTTTCGATCTTCGCCTATGAGCCTCACTGTGCTGGTTCTCACTGCCAGCCTGGCGAGTCGGAGAGGATATACGGAAGATACATTCTCGTCAACCTCTCGTGGTTAGCGGGTAGTCTAGGGACATTGATCCTAGACCTAGGTATTTTTGCGCAATTTTTTATCTATAGCCAAGACGGGTCTATAGACGAAGAGGATGATGTATTCGACGATGAAGAGGCTAGCATTGACGAGCGACTAGTAGATGATCGACCACTTCTACAGCGCGCTACCTCAGGTCTTCCATAAAGAGAGAGTAGATGGTTTGGGGGGCTTTCTTTTCCGATAATTGCGTTTACTGGTTTACAAAAAGGGATCGGGTATCAAAAAAAGAGGAGAGGTTAATGGTGTTTGGGCTTGTATATAGTTGCCCTGCATGAAAGCATTTGTGGTTTGGTATGGTCGGGTTACTCAGGAAAAAAACAGCACTGAGTAGAAATTGGCGTTTTCGAAAACTAAAAGGGGGTCATGTATGACAATTAGTCGTTGTATACGGCCACAAGTCACGTAGTAATGTTTTCATATGTGATAAAACCTACCCAATTATCGGTCTCTCATAGTCGGTTGTTGTATATGGCCCCTTATCTCTACTCATTTTCAGGGTGAAATTGAATCCACAATACACGACATATATAGAATTATTACTTCATAATGCCGGGCATTGTTACCCTCTTCCATTTTGAAACTTGCTTGCTCTAGATAGCCATATCGTGGGAAGTAAACCCCTTGCTATTTTTGCCAAACAACGTGTAAGAAATTAAGACTTTATTGGCTTCAATGCCTGTATGTTGCCGCATCGTCATTCCCGATCAAGTCACGATTCAGCCCGGGCTACGTCCCTAAATGCCAGAGAGCCTCACGTAAACTTCTTATAGGACCAACGTGAACCAGAATCTCAGTTTGATTCCGATTGGCGAACCCCCTTTCTGGCATTTTTGCGATCCTTGTCTACTAGTACCACCTGACACTTATAGACATAGAATATCTGGGGATTTTCCAAACGGTCTAATATTACCTAGGACTATTTTTAAGGCTCAATTTTTCAATATTACCCGACTATATGGCGTTTCATAAAGTGTAAAATTTAAGTATCCAACTCTTGGTCTCAATTTACACAAGCGCTGTAGCAGATCGATGTCGCCTTTCTTAACTTGATATAGAAAAAGACGATCTACCTAGGTAGTATTTTGGAGATAATCAGGCCGATATGAATATCGGTTTGCTAGTTCTATTGATAGACGGACTCGAGGGTATATATTATAGTAAGTAACTTACGTAGAAACTGACTTGACAGATGACAGACGATAAATGACAAGGAAACATCGTTCAGTCACAAGCACATGCCATGGATGTTGATAGTTCAAACCTTAAAGCACGTGTCGTGATAACTTAGTTCGATGCCTAGACACTATAACGTGGAAACTACGTCTCTTATATCGCCGCTATGTCGTGAGGTTTTTACTTCTCGGATCGCGGAAACTAAAACCGGACAAAAAAAAAAAAAAAAGCAAATGGAAGAAATTACCGGGATTATTTCCCTTGTAGATTTCTAACTCCAAGCCAAGTGGGTTTCGCTGATCTGATCGGCAATCCACAATGCAACCCAGTCTGACTCGGTCCTGGAGTTGCGTTGCGTCGCCGCTTTCGGCATCCCCTTCCATGGCCGTTCAACAACTCGAGTTATCTGTTTTTGCCTCTTCATCTTCCGAAGAGAGACAGAGAGGCACTGAAGTGTCGGTATATCACGCCACATACCCTGATGGATAAATCTAGCCAGATAACGGCGTGAGACGATCACCGTCAATCACTCAATTCACGAAACTACGGCATATCCGTATCAGACAAGTATACGGCCAGAACGTTGGGAGAGGGTCGCAAATCGGATTTGATACAACACGAGCAATTACCGGTTGGTGGTCTACTACCATTACTCCGATATTGCAGCCCGTCCGAACCAGCAAACCAGGTATCGGACATCAAGATAATACGACATACCACGTACATGCGTTGACGAACCGCTATCCATTGGAAGCGAGCACACGCAGCTTGCCTTGCTGCACCCTTACAGATTTTTATTTATTATCTTCAGATTTTCCGTTCTGAGGTACATCGCTACAGAATCAATTAAATTGCATAGGGTAGCGCCGTATTATGTAGCACAGCAGGTGGTGCCGAATTGAATTTGCAGTTTGAGGTTACGATCTGACTGATAAAGAAAACAATAAAATAAAATAAAAAAGGGAAAAAGTTCCCGTAACCCCCTAAGATTGGTAACATGTAGGTATCCTTGTCCCGACAGGGCGGAAGTCCCGCCGCTGTTCAAGATTAGACAAAGTCTGGGGACGGCCCACGATTATGCGTTACTGGGCGCTCAGCGCTTGAGTCGTGGCACTGGAACCCGCGGATGTTTGGATGTTGTGCTGGAGCCACCACTTGGGCCGTGGGACTTGGGACATCATTCTGGATTCGACGACGAATCGAAGACGGACTCGATCAAGTGGCTCAACGCTCACTCTCGGCTGTGGTGCCATGCCATCGTCTCGCTCATATGCGCTCGTCTAGATGCAGACGGATTTTACTGACCTGGCCTTCCTTAATTGGTTTGATGTGCCGAATTATAGAGATGCGTCAACGATACAAGAAAGTGTGTATTTCGCAACTTATTATTCCACAGCTAGATTCGCAAGCCTCGTGCCCCGTGCCTCGTGATGGAATGGCTCGATATTGTGGAGACGAAGCAGGCAGAAAAGCACACACGGGCAGGGCGGGCAAGCATCTTTAAGCTAAGATGCCGGACGCCCGTATTCCTCACACGAACGGAATAGCGCTTTTGCTTGCTTCGAGGGATGCGGCTTAGGTAGGCTGCCTGCCGGATTCGCAAGGGAAACACGGCGAGATATGCGAGGACCGGATCACCCGACCATCTAGCTGACGAATGATGGGGGCTAAATCATATTGGCACGGACTTCCTGTGAGTAATATGTAATAAGCAAGCATGGCTCCCTCGTCGAGCAAGTTCTTTTCGCTTCTTGCTCTTGTTTCCTTTTCTCCCCCAGGTTATACAATTCTAAGCAGGCTCGACGTTCTAGGACTATTCGATGCTGCACGCATACACAAACATGCTACTAGGTAACTCGTACGAAATACATACCTATGTACTAGGTAATACTACCTGTATGCTTACACATCTACCTACTTTGGTCTTTGGATCTGTGTTACCAGGTCTTTGGGTTATTGTATAGTACAAGTACGGTATTCATAGTCTAGAAGTCTAGAAGCCTTTAAAGCCCCTTTTCCTGACTAGCCGACTAACTAGGAGATAAGGCTAGTTTGTTCTGAATATGCGGTCTAGGACCCTGGGTTTTGCTTGTTCGGGGTCCTGAATACTCCCCCTTTAAGAAAGATGGGGGTGACTTTGGGGGAACCCTGACCCTGGCGATCCTGGATCTGCTTGTCTGCGTTTAGTTGGCATCCTGTCCCCGCCGGTGATCGCTCCGCTGTCCCACATCAAGGGTCCAAATCCATCCAGCTCGACCCCCAACGAGCGCCCTGGAAGTCACCGTTTTTCTGCAGGCGGACAGGCGGCGCCAGTTTTTATTGCCGCTAAAATATGATACTGCCCTGTACATGTAATCTACTATGACTCTACGGCGGACATTGGAATAAACATCCATGTCTGTGCGGCTATGCGCACGGTGAACCGTCTCTCGGCTCGCCGGGATCTGGAACCCCTGTTCGGCTCTCATAGGCCACTTGTTGAGCCTTGCCTTGAAAATCGGCCAGCCTTCCATCGTTTGCTTCGTTATCGTGCAGTCGTGCATCGCCTCATTGGACGCTTTACTGTACTTCCGGTACGGTACCTAGTAGTCATCGGAACCGCAGCGCTTTCCCCACGTATTCAGGATGTATTGTGCGAGATGCACGACGATAGTCCAATCAAGGTAACCCTAGGCGACTCCGGTAGCTGGCGGGTGGTTTCCTCGAGGCTCTTATAGTAGCCCTAGCGACCCTCCTACCTCATTGTCGGTGAAAGGATTCTGCCTCTTTTCCTCTTAACCTGCATGCACTCCGCATATTCAGCTTATACCTTACCGTTATTTCGTTTCCGAGGTAACCCTCACTTAACTTAAACCACGATTACTCGATTCCATTACAGCCGCGTCTGTAAAGTAAAAGACGCCTACTTTCCTTAACACTCTGTTTAACATTGCCTGGAGTTAGGCGTTCTGAGATTGACTCTGCATAGCCTACTACTGCCTGCCTACAGTCAAGTTTGTATTTATCGTAATTGTTGTAAGTCGCCAATCATCCATGAATGCACATTGTGTACTCGACCTCGTACCCGTCTCTTCTATCCTGCTGCTCAGCCCCTCGGCTTCTCGACTCGAGCTAATCATCGAATCAAATTATTTAGCTGTGCCTACTACTAGATCAGCTTGATCACGCCATACACGATATTGAGTTGCTATACTTAATTGTAGCACAAACTACGTACTCCTAGTTATACCATGTCTCAACTACCCTCTAGCCGACGAGACCTTACGAGGTTCGGATACAGTTCCTCGAGTGAATCAGACGAACCCCCGCGCAAGGCGACCACTACGACGTCTAATACACAAGATAAGAAGAAGAAAAAGAGGAGAAAGACTCCGCCGCAGCAAAGCATCAATAAGATTTGGAGGCGCTTCACCACTAAGGAATTCACCAAGGCACTGGCAGTCCTCCCGTTCGACCCAGTACCTCTTCCGAGCACCCCAGAGCGCCCTAACGAGCTCCTATCCGCGGGGTACGAACGTGCCCGCGACGAATGTTCGCGAAAGGTGAAGAAAATAATTGCGGAATGTAAGCGTGTTAACACGCGCTATAGAGATCCCGGCTTTGACCTGGTACGTCTTATAACAAGCCTTATTCCCTTGGTATATCTACGTAAGCCAAGTGCTAACGATTTTCCTTCTTTTAGGATTGGGACCTGAAGTGGCTCAAGGGCAATTGCCTTAATTATCTTGGCTCACGCAAGTTTGACATTCTGAGCTCCAAACTCAGCATTACCACGTCCGTCCCTAAGGCCGTTAAGCGAGTGCATGAGATCTTCGAGAAGCCCACTTTTATGAAGAATATTGCCGCCGACAATGTGAAGCAAGGCTCGCTCGGCGATTGCTGGCTAATTGCTAGCTTGAGTGCGCTAGCCAATGTCGAGGACGGGATCAAGCGCATGTGCGTTGAGTACGACGCTCGTAAGTTATATCCCACAGTGTTTTACCTTGACCCCCACTTACACACCATTGTAGGTATTGGAATATACGGGTTTGTCTTTTACCGAGACGGCGAGTGGATTTATTCCATTATCGATGATAAGTTATATCTTACTTCACCATGCTGGGATTCACCGAGCATGCAACGTGAGATGCTAAACCAAATCGACCGTGAGGAGCCCGAAAAGGTGTACCGTAAAACGTACCAGACAGGATCTAAGGCCCTGTTCTTCGGCCAATGTAAAGACCAGCATGAAACCTGGGTCGCGTTGCTAGAGAAGGCCTACGCCAAGGCCCACGGTGATTACGGCTCCCTATCGGGCGGTTGGATCGGCGAGGGATTGGAGGATCTTTCTGGCGGTGTCACCACTGAACTCCTAGCTTCTGATATACTTGATATCGACGAGTTCTGGGAGAACGAGCTCAGCAAGGTCAACAAGGAGTTCCTCTTCGGCTGCTCTACTGGCCTACTTGATGGTGGGTATGGCGACCGCAACGGGATCCGCGAGGGGCATGCTTACGTGGTGATGGATGCGAGAACGTTGAAGAGTGGTCAACGACTCGTGAAACTTCGGTGAGTCCCCCAAGATAGTGTTTGCACACCTTTCAACTCTGACGAAAAGGATTAGCAACCCCTGGGGTAAGAACCGTAAGGGCATATGGGAAGGGCCGTGGTCAGATGGTTCTAAGGAGTGGAATAACGACGTCAAGGAAGAGCTTGACCACCAGTTTGGGAACGATTCCGTCTTCTGGATTACTTACGAAGACATGCTTGAGAAGTACCAGCACTTCGACCGAACGCGCCTTTTCATGGACCCCGACTGGCGATGTTGCCAGCGATGGATCGGTGTAGAAGTTCCGTGGAAGCAGCAGTGGAACGAGAAATTCCACATCAAGTTAACTAAGGAATCTCCGTTGGTCCTGGTACTACAGCAGCTTGATAATAGGTATTACAAGGGCTTGCACGGCCAGTATACCTTCAGGATGCACTTCCGAGTTCACGAACAAGGTCGACCAGATAGCGAGGATTACATTGTCAGATCCCACGGCAACTACCTCATGGACCGATCTGTATCGATCGAGGTCCCGTGTATGGAGCCAGGAAACTACTCGGTATTTATCAGCATCGTAGCTGAGCGCGATACCGATATGCCCTCGATCGAAGACGTCGTTAAGCGCGAGTGTCGCAAGAGGGTAGAGAACGAGAAGCTGGCACAGGTAGGATATGCATACGATCTAGCGCATAGTAAGGGCGTCGCGCACCTCGAACAGGTCGCCAAGTTGCGCAAGAAGTCTGACCAGAAGAAGGCGAGCGCATCGCGCATGCAGGAGCGACGCAAGATGTGGGAGAAGCGTCATCTCAACCGCGACATCACGAAGAAACAGTCCAAGAAGAACCAGGAGAAGCGCGACAAGCGGCGGGAGGCCGAAGAGGAGAAGCGGAAGATCGCGGAAGAGAAGAAGAAGGCTGAAGAGGAGGCTGCCAAAGTCAAGGCCGACGCCGAAGCTGCGGCGAAGAAGAAGAAAGAGGACGAAGAGAGGGCTAAGGCTGAAGCCGAGAAGAAAAAGAAGGAAGAGGCTGAAGCGACTGAGAGAAAGAAGAAGGAGGAGGCCGAAGAGGAGAAGCCTAAGGATGCGGCGGTTCAGACTGACGATCTTCAATCGGGCGAGGATAAGAGCATCCAGATGGAGGAGGCTAAGCAAACAGCGGAAACTAAAGATGAAGCTATTAGTTCCGAGTCTGCTGACAAGCCGAAGGAGCCTGAGGACGCCTCCAAAGATGCGGTAAAAGACGATGCTGCCGTGGACGCCAAAACGGAGAAGCCAAAGGAGGACGTCGCCGAGACCCCGAAGGAGGATGTCGCTGATGCTCCGAAGGAGGAGACTAAGCCAGAAGAGAAGAAGTCCGAAGAGAAGCCCGACGAGAAGACTTCCGAGGAGAAACCGGCCGAAGACAAATCTTCATCCGGCGGTGATGATGCCTCCACCGCTTCAACGGCTGCTCCTGCCCCTGCTGCCAAGACCAGCAGTCGACAAAAGCAACCTCCGCCTCCGCCTGCTTACTCGACAGACGGCGACTCTTCCGACAGCCCGGTTGAGGACTGGGAGCTGCTGTACTCATCCGACGATATGTCTAAGAAACCGCGGATGGCTACTACGCAGCCGCCCGCGACAACCAACGACGCTGCGGTGGAGAGTGACGGCGAATCGGGCCTGCCGGACCCGTGGAACGCGATCTGCATTGTCGGGTTCCGGGTATACTCGAAGGACGAGGACCTCGACTTGCGCGTAGTCCTCGAGGGTGGCGACATGGCCGAGAACGGCATGGGCGAGAAAGGTCCTGCCGATATCGACAACGCCCAGATGAACGCCGGCGGCGAGCGCGAGAAGAAGAGTCAGGACGTCACAGATGAAGTTGAGATCGTCGACGGCGAGCTTGTTCGTAAGGAGAAGATCGTTGCGCCCGACGACGACGCCGAAAAGAAGGAAAACGAAGAGGATAAGAAAGATGAGAAGCGTGATGATAAGGCTGATGAAGAGAAGGGCGAAGAGACGCCCGCCAAAGATGAGCCTAAGGAAGATGATGATAATGAAAAGAAAGATCCAGACGACGAGAAGGAAGCCGATGTAGACGTTAAATCAGATGATAAGGACAACGGCAAAGACGATTGCACCAAGTCGGATGCTTCTGATTCATCAGACGAATCACCGATCCCTACTCCCGACTCAACGGACTCGCGGGACTCGTGCGCCCCCCAGCACCGCCTTGAACAGAAGAGGGCTCAAGAGCAATCGTCAGAGAAATCATCATCGGCCTAAGCCTTATATCCCTCTCTTTCCTTGCGCCTAGAAGTAACTGGTTTACAAGAGCATTGTTCGGCATTGCATTGCGTCGCGTTTACGTTTCATTTTTTTCTTTTCTTCCGACATTCGCATTCTCCATTCAACCTTAGAGTACGGATACCACTGTCAGCTGGTAGATTTCTGCTTCGCACTTTAGTGTTTTCATTTTTATCCCTCTGAAATGGCACAAAGAATTCATGATTGAACGAACCGCTCCGAATTCCCTATTGAATATGTGATGAGTGGACAGACAGGTGTGGTTCTTGTACTCGTTGGTTCATGGACCGGATAGTCGTGTTGGGTATGGGTTTTTACGCATCGGGTGGACGTTAGGGTAAAAAGGGGGTGAGGTGAGGGGAGTTGGTTCAGTTCCAGCGTTTGCGAGAATGTAGCGTAGTCTCTCCGAATCCCTCTTCATCCTTGTATGAAAAACATTGCAGATCCTCGTATCCGAGTCAATTCAGCCTTATTTGCGTATGTGATGCCATGTCTTCAAGGTAACCCAAAGCGCTACTAGTAATACGCATGCGTGCTCTAAGTCTCCAGATATATGTATAGACGTCCACACAGCAAATATGATATGCCTAGGTATGTAGATAACCGCACCTTTCTACCCACTTATTCACTAGATGAGGCCCAGTAGATCAGTTCTCTACATCCCGAAACTCACCACCGGCGTCATCACTCGGCAACCTTTCCACCGCCCGCGCTCTCCTTCTCTCGGCCCTCCGTCTCCAAGGCCCGTAAACAAGCACAGACCCAAGCCCAGCTACGAGGAAGAGGCCGCAAATGCAGCCACCTACGATCTCGAAATGATCGCTGATCTCGCTTAGACCGTCCCAGAAAGTGCCCTCGGGTTCGGCGACGTTTTGAACGAGAGATAGCAGCTGGATAATGCCGATGAAGGCCGAAACCACTACCGTTATGCCGGTCAGAACGATGGAGTAGTAGAGGATGGCGACGGTGTCTCGGGCGAACGCTTTGGACGTGTATAATGCCATCATCAGGGCGCCGTCTGTTGTGTCGAGCATACACATACCCGCTAGAAGCAAGGGATATTAACATAAGATAATGAACCGCCTTGATTCTTGCTTTTTTTGAGAGATGGGAAGATGAAAGGGGGGAGCATACCGGTGAATAACAGCGGGAAAATGAGGATAATCCAAAGACTCGTCCCTTGTGCCCCCTGGATACTTGCAATACCCAGAATGGCAATCTCGGAACTCGTATCGAATCCTAATCCAAAAAGGACGCCTAGGGGATACATCTAACGCTCCAAGTCAACACTCGCCACACTGAAGATATTCTAAAGATTCAATCGAATAATGGGCGCGCCATTCCTACCCACCTTCCACGGACGATCCACGATGCGGAACAGCTTCCGGAAAACATTAGCCAGGAACCCAGCGCCCTCAAGCTGCAAGTTCGCCGCAGCCTGATCCTCATCCTCACCCTCCCGCTCCGCGCGACGCGGGTCCTCCCCCTCCTCCCTCAGCACAACGCTTAGCCGGCGCACAAGACGCCACAAAACCCACCCGTTACCCAAACACAGCAAGATCAGAAACGCAGCGCTGACGCTCGTTCCCACGATACCGCCGACGTACTGGAAGCCGGCGAAGCGGTCGCGCAGGGCTCCCGAGGTAGCCGCGACGACGACGCAGGTAACGAGCACGATGGTCGAGTGCCCGAGGCTGAAGAAGGTGCCGACGGTGACGGGGCGCTGGCCCGACGCGATCAGCCGCCGCGTCATCAGGTCGATGGCGCTGATGTGGTCGGCGTCGAGCGCGTGCCGCAGCCCCAGCGTGTACGAGAGCACCGCTGGGCTGATCATCGTTGGGTGGAAGCGCAGGACCACGCCGACGGCCGCCCAGACTATCAGGTTGGACAGGATCAGGAGCCCGATTATCCGGACCACCGGCATCGGGAGGGCTTTGAGCGGCCCCGGGAGCGGGAGCGCGCATTGGGGGAGTCGCGGCATCTCGACTGTTCGAGGCGGGCTGCTATATGAAGATGGGAAGGGTTCAGGGGTTCATGAGAATCCCCGTGCGAAAAAAATATCAGGGTAGTATATCCCAACTGTTTCCGTGAGGACATTCACATAGGTATCGAGAAATACGCGGAGATATTGGATTTCATACGGCCAAAGACCATCTCGAGGAGTATAGGGCTGTGTCACAGGCCCGTCCCCGCACTTTGCCAATATTTTTTTTCAGGTACCTATCCATACTGAACCATGAATAATAGACTCTTTTCGACTGGACATCTACCCCACGTAATAAGCGCTTGATCCAACATACCGGCGCCGTTAGCTTAACCTTCTTGGTCCCGATCGAGTAAGTCTCTATGCAAGTCTATCTGGCGGCGCCCACCGAAGCTGATAAGATAGTAGTTTAAATCAATTGCTATAGTCTTCAGTTGCCATTATTCATACATACCATTTATGCAAGCCGGCGGCCGCTTGTGCATATGTAGGTACGTACGTACCTGAGACATACTATTGGCTCCGTGTTTCCCCCTTTTTTGACATCATATTGGGGTTTCCTCTCTTGAGGCGTACGACATTTGGGTTCCTGATTACCTACCCTAACCCATAGTAGGGGGTATGCCACCCATGTCTATTTTTGTCGTGAACTAGATCTTAGGTTCGTCGGAGACCAATACCTTGCCATGCCTTGAAAAAATATATTATACCTAGTTACCTAGGTACATATCTATGTGTCTATGCGCCTTCCATTCCCTCCGGCTAAGACAATATCATACATCGAAAAAATCCATCCTCTTGGGACGATGTTGGTTGTTAGAATTGTCGCTTTTTAACGTTTTATATGAGAGGACCCTAAACTGTTAAGAGTGGCGGGTTGCTGCTCTTCCTACTGGTATCGAGCTCGAGCCTACCTGAGCTCGCCAGTCGTAAACTCCTGAAAGATCGCCAGCTCATGGAAATCATTCGCCAAGGTCTGCACCATCGCCTCCTTGGGGTTCGTCATCGCGAGTTCGAGATCGACCATGAAGCTTGCCCGGACTGTAAAATGGGAGTCGTATCGCTGCCCTATTCGCCTCATGTTTTTTAGGATGGTATTTGCCTCGGGAGCAGACAAGAATCCATTACGCAAAGCCATGCTTAAGAGTCCGAGCACGGTCACTTCAACAACCTGAAAAGAGCCGTCTACCATAAAATCAGTATTCTTTCTCAGGAGGTGAAACATCACGTATATGGAACACGGTGTTGCGAGTATCGAGTAGTTTCGTACACGTCATTAGATGTGCAGTAAAGTGGTGTAAATAAGTCGGCAAGAAGAGGCGGAATCACTTACTAGAGAGAAGTCAGCACCTGCAAGTTTATCGCCCGAGAGTTATAAGCTCTGTGAAGGGATAGCGAATCCCTTGGCTAGTATATCCTGAGTTACATACCATAAATTCTCGTAGAAAGTCATGCAGAGCATAAAATAGAACCACCGCTCAGGATCCCGTAAGTTTCCGGAACGCATGGTCTCACAGAGCATTGCGTTGGCTAAGTATATGAGACCAATATGCCACAATGTCGATGAACATGCGATGTTGAAATCAATGCAGTGGATGAGCCCTAGCCTTTTGAGCTGGTTCACTGAGGCCTTGTGGATTTCTTGCGTGGTGGCTGTAGTAGTAGTAAGCTGGTTCACTTTTATCTTCTCGTCGCCATGGTGTTGGAGAAATGGCCAGAATAGCACCATTACGATGCAGTGATAGTAAAGACTATGGAAATTTCGTCAGGATTATATGAAGTACTTGAAGCCAGTACTCGTGAAACCAGAATGCGAGTATGTCGGGATGGTTGTTGATCAAGGGGTTCTTACTGTAGCATTAGAGTCGAATGACGGTTGCGTCTCCCTCGCGCCAATTCCAGGGGAAGTGACGCTGCCCAATCAAACAACTTCTGATATATTTGTTCCGCAAACTCGATAGTGGCTCGGGCGGCAGGGGCGGTATCGCTTCTTCCGAAATAAACCAAAATGATCTCATGGACAATCAGACTAAGTTTACACAACGCCTTGAATGTCTCGCCGACCCGGGTCGGCGCGAAAGATTTGCTGTTGGGAGGAGTAAAACCGGGGTGATTGTGCTCTTCATAGTAATCTCCAGGGACAGGCAGCAGGGGCGGTATATTAAGTTCTGCTCGGTGAAGGTGCAAGGAGCGTATACTGTTGATCATGAGCATGAGTACCTAGATGCTACATGGAACAGGGAGACTGGAAGTATACCAGGCACATGTGAAGATACCCCACTACAACAAACAGAGTCAGCCATTTCTTATCAAGATTTTTATTTTATTTTTATTTTTATTTTTAGGAGTTTATGCATGTCTCGCGAGAAATAACTCATGGGTTGGGTCGATTGGGAGTTTTCGACCCCTGAGATCTGCTGAAAGGGAAAACAGATATCACGTACGGAGGTATGACACGCGGCTCTGAACCAATATTGGTGATGATGCAACCAGCCTGGATCCGGCGCATTGTTGGCGGTTACCTCGAAAACTGCGATTCTCGGTGTTAGCCAATTTCTTGGTCCACTAAATACGTGATACCGTACAGTTATAAAAGTCCAGCTGGCACCGGCAATATACCGACCATCTGGGTACCTAGATATGCTCGAGGATTCAACTTACGACCCATGCGTATTCCCATCTGAATGCCTTCTTCTAGACATCGATTCGCGAAATCATCTCGACCTTTACACGCTGATATATCACTTAGAAGTTGAGAAGCTGCGACGGCAGTAAGCGTATTGCTTAGTTTGTCTATCTGCCATAAGCGTTCGGCTTCTGTCTCGAAGGCAATGACAAAGCCACTAGCCTCTGGTTTCAAATTCGAATAAAATAGCTAGGCCCTGTCAGTAATCATTGTTCTCCATGTTGCTGAAAACTCAGCGTGATTGCATGGCGGCTTCCAATATCTAGATTATGACTTACACAGGCCCACCCCAACAGAGCATTGACGAGCAGAGCAGAGCAGAAATGAGTTTTGCCCTCCACACAGTCGTTCAAAAATAGGTCAGCATCAAATAATGGGCGCCATGGATAATCAATCTCCAGATACAGCGAAATCAACGTTGCGGCTAACTCGTTGGGAATTGGCACGCTGGTCCACTTTAGGAAATTCACAACCTCGAGTCGAGCGTCAACGAGCGCGTGTATCGATTGCAGAGGCTCAGAATTACCGATGCCCTGATTCCCTGCTTCTGGTGGGTTGAATGCCGTCCTATCCCAGAGAGTGATCCCGTTCGAAGCACTAGGAACGCTCAATGATGACGGAATGTCTCCCAGTCCCGCGCTATGAATGTAAGTCAGCCGGGTGGTGATATCCAGCTTCAATTTCAAATATAGGAGAGACGTACACGCTGGACGGCCTTGGATCTTCGAGAACAGCTGGGCGCAATAGATTAGCCAGGTTAATAAATGCAACCTCAACGGGTATCAGCATGGTGTAGGTTGTTGGACATCGCATCATGAGCTCGTATTCGGGGGTCTGTTGGGTCTCGGGTATGAGGCCAGCCATAAGCTGCCGGTTGGATAGTTTTACGGGCAATGCGGGCTCTTCCTCGAGGTCTTTCTTGACGGATGCTAAAACATCGGAAGCGTTGCTCACACCCTCGGGATGGTGCCTGGTAGACTTCAGTCGCCGTAGGATGTCGAGAGAAACTGCGTCAGGGGCGGTCTCCAGCAGATCAAATATCTCCGTCATATCCCCCGTAGACCTCCTGAGGGATTCAACCTCCCGCTTTAGCGCCATAAAAGGAGTCTCATCGCTACTGGCAGTGACGAAGTTGCATTCTACCCCGGCCTTACTACAGGCCGTGCAGGGCCTTTTGCTATCACACTAATAGACGCGGGTCAACGACATACGAGACTCGTCTCGAAGGCCTATGTTAGAGGGATGACCACTCACTCGGATCTTTTTAAGGCGGCAATTGTTGCACGCAGCCTTAGAGACGGTACGTTTCTTGACGGGGGGACCGACCTCCTTTTGAGAGGATGCTTCCGATACATTTGGCTGGGCGGACCCAGGAGGCAGAGGCGCCGGAAGTAGACGTTTATAGTTGTCAGACATCGGGTTTCCGTAAAACTCTTCGACTTTTCGACTCCATACTAGAGATCACGTCTAGCTGACGTCGATATCGGACATGTTGGTCCGAACGATCTGTGATGTTAAAAGGTTGGGAGGTGTGTTGAAGGTTGCCAAGTTTCCCTCGACATCGGAAACGATAGATCGTGTGTGGCCAATCATACCTGTTGGAGGGTTCGGTCCTAGCTCCGTGGAGTCTAGGGATCTAAATTCTCTCCGCCGAAATGTGTTCAGGTGCCTGGTGGTCCGGTCTCCAAATAAAAGCGTGATCGATAACTCGGGGGCAAGTTTGAGATATAGGTGGTAAAAGAACTATCGTGCCAACATTTACTTCGTCATCCGGCCGAGGCTGGGGACTGAGATGCAGCTTGGATCCGATTAGTTATACCACGTAACATACCTAAACCACCTACCAAGGCTGTCTGCACCAACACCATATATGTAGATAGGTACATGTATTCGTGGATGTTTGTCAGATTGCTTTTCGAAGACCTAGGGTTCATGCTACTGAGATCGGGTCCCTAAGTACAACTATGGATGTACTTACGTACCTAGCTAATGCGCTATTGGCTGGAATTAGCCTACCGAGTGTCGCACAAGCTCTCCTAGTGGTCGGTAGACCTTACCCATGTAAATGAAATTAGCCAATCAGAGGTACCTGGAGCGCATCCCGAACCAATGAAAGTTTAGCATTGGGAGTTGTCATCCCATCTTGGGCTATAGCGTAAATCTTATGGCATATCCCGCTGGTGTCCGGCGTTAGCTACATATGTACCTACCTATCGACGCCGCCTACCTACATGTAAACTTGCCTCTGGAATTGTATTCTACATTGTTTCTTCATCTTCTAAAGGTGTATAAAGGAAACGTTCTGAAGAGCACATCCTACTCAAGGTGACGGATAGCCCTTGCCTTCGTCAATGTTTTCTTAGAGAAGTTTGCTCATAGTGCAAGCTGACCTACTCCTATATCTTATGCCTATTCCAAAATACATAGTTAAAGAGGTATATGCCTATGACGTATCAATAGATGTCAGGGTGCCTTTTCCTATGCCCTGGAATTTGTTACTTGAATACTTTACCTTAGATATGCAGGTACCTAGCTTAGGCCCACTATATTGCAATTATGTAAGTATACGACATTTCACATAAGCGCATATAGTTGGTGGTAAATCCTCCCCGAGCCGTTGTCGTATTTTACCTAACAGCAACTTTACACCAAAAATCGAATCGACCACAAGCAACTCAGATATATCATGAACGATCGCGTTACCGTGAACTTTCTTCGTCACGAAATATCTAGTTAACCAGCCGAGCCTATTTAGCTAGGAAGTAGTTTGATAGACTTCCCTATCCTATTATGAGCTGGAGCGGCCCTACATCTTCCCAAACGTGTTCTTCTGCACTTCTCTCAGAAGGATTGTGAGATCACCGGCAATCAATACCTAGTAACAGAAAAAGTAGATACCGGCAGATGATGGCCTCATTTACACCAAGCAGGTTTCTTTGCCACCCACCAATTTTAATAGGGCCCTCCCCGAGCCCCTATTGAGACTCGACACGACAACCGAACGTTTGCGGATCATCTCTCAAACAAAGCTCCTCGAATACAAATAGACTTACAGCGCGAATCTGATACCTTATACTGTCGCACGCGACGCGTACCGTCTTAGGAAAGAGTAGGGCATAGTGACTCTCCGCGTGGATCGGGCAACCCTTAGTAGAGGATATATAGCTTGTGAGTTGGGTATAATTACTTGTTGTGGTGTGCTACGGCGTTTCTAGATCGAGATGCTTATGCTTGCCCAACAATATGGACCCGACAGGCTCCCAAGGTTACTGCCGAGAGAATTTGAAGAAAGACTGACATACTTCGTGATGCGAAAGAGGGGCATCAGTATTGACGGATCTAATTCGGTCCTATATCTACCGTCAGTAGATGAGCAAAATCATGCATAAGAACTCGTTCTGGTTATGGTCTTCCACGGTTGATCCCTCGACGAGAACAGTTTGATTGGAATCTCGACTATACCCCAGATCATCGCTCCCGTCTATCATTGGCGAGTCCGAGTTCATGTTTGGCTTATGATCAACATGCAGCCCTGTCTTTACTCACCGGTTTACTATTATGCCCCAACGAATCCCACCTGGGGATCCGTCTGGTGTATCTCAACACCTTTACCGATTAATACCATAAAAAGACAATGGTACATATCCCTCATGTGATATGATTAAACACCTTTTAGTACATAAACGGAATTATGATATCTCGCCTATAGCCCTTTGGCGAAACATCATCACGGGCGGGAAGTTTGTCACTCTATTCGTCGATATAGAGAGATTACAGCTGTCACGGCAACCGAATACGTCGCCTGTTTTCGAATAAAGGTTCATCCGAGACGAAATGTGGGCTTAAGGGCCGTTCCGCCGGAGCATGACTGCTATTGTATAGAACATTCCTCGCTAGCTTCGAGCAACCAGGAAGAAATCCGCATCGATTACCTGTAGGTATTGATCTTGAACAATATCAGTACTATCCATCTAATTCTAGATACGAATATCCAATAAGCCTATGAATTCAATCCATATCTGAAATATCGTCGGCTTGAGGGATGTTGCCATTAAGGTGGCCGTGTATCATGATTGACAGGTTAGAGTGTAGTTCTTTCACTGGCCTGCCCCAGATTATTAACCCACGAACCCAGCATGTTCTATTCCCCGGTCAGACCACACGTATCAAAGATATCGTAGATGGTTGGAGCAATCTGGAAACCCCGTTATCATTTAAAGATATTAACGCATTAGATCATGTGCATCTATGATGTCCATTCTCCCCTCCAGATTCTCCTAGTAGAAAGCCTCATGCATAATTAGTGACACTCTTACGGTCACTAGTGCCATAGGATTGTTCGAGCTCTGCTTTTCGCTTCTTCTCGTGTCTGGAAGTTGTATACGATAGCGCCGCCGTCCAGATAACCAACAGGATAGACACAGCAATCATAGCCCACATACCCCTCTACAAAAAGCATTAGTAGGTGTGATCCCTCTCATAACATGGAGACACTAATAGGATGAAGACTTACAGTGAACCAAGGTGCCATCGATGCTCCGTAGAAAATTATACTCCACCACGCGTTCACGGCGTTGCTTCCCAGATTCATGCCGGCAAGCACAACAGCTCGGAACATGTGTTCCTCGTACCGGAGAGTGTCGTTGGCCCACGCGAAAAATGTAGCCTGACAAGCATAGACGGTGCCTGCCCAATAATAAGCAGCGAACACGACCGAGGTCGACGTCGGATTCGTCGGGTCCTTAGAAGCGGCCAGGACCATAGCTGAAGTAGCTATGCCTGTGATAGCGATGAAGTAACCAACAAGATACCGCTTGCCGTTGAGGAAATCCGTAAGCGTCGCCCAAAAAATCGTCGATACGATTCCAACTGCAGGTATACCGGTAGGGTAGTTGTTCAGCTGAGAGACCGAATATTTTATCGTTGGATGGCTCTTCATATATAAAGCCAAGAGCGAGTTTGTGCTGAAGGACTCCGTTTCACCAGCAATAATCCACAGTATAACGAAGCCCCAGAAGAACCAAGAGGTTAGGCATTTCTTGAGGAATGTCCAAGATATAGGCGACTTGTCTTCAACAGGGGGTACGCGAGATACAGCCAACGCCCTCTCCGATTCGCTGAGGTAGAAAGCACCCGTCGTCGATGGAGTATCCGGGAAGAAGAGGAATCCATATAAGGCAATTGGTAGCGTTATCTAGACGGCAGGTCAGGATCTCATACTTATACTTTCCCCTTTCTCGTACTTAAAACACCTTGGGAAGGGGACAAAGAGCCAAAAATAAGAAAAGAAGAAACCTAATGTAGCCGAACTTACAATACCATCTATGATGAACAGCCAACGCCAACCGCTGAGACCGCTCCGACCGTCCAGGCTATCGTGAATGCCTGTCTGGATGAAGCCTCCGATCATCGTCCCCGCCAATCCAGACGCCGTGAAAATACCGGAACGCTTGCCCAGCTCACGCTCGGTGTACCAGGAGCCCAGGATGTAGTGTGTACCGACGAAGGTAGTAGCTTCAACTATACCCTGAAAGAAGCGGATAGCCATGATACTCTGGGGCTTGTGCACCGAAGCCGTCACCATAGTCAAGCCCGCCCATATGAGCATACAGGCCGGGAAGAAGTATCGCGGCTTGATGTAGTGCAGCGACAGGTTGGCGGGGATCTGGCCGATGACGTAGCCGACGGTGAAGCATGTGTTGATCTCATTCAACTGGTTGCCCACAAACCCCAGGTCTTCTTTCATCCCCGAGACGTAAGCATTGCTGAGATTAGATCGGTCCAACTGTATTTACGGTTCATGGTTAATCAATTAATCCAGTCAATTGGAGATAAATGAACATAGGCAATCGAGCATTGGAGCGATCTGAGCGATATAAATAGCAAGATGTAATATGGTAAGAAATACATACATAATTGGTGAAATAACTCAAGCAGCAGAAAGTCAAGATGAAGAAATCAATCTTCTGGACCAACTTGCGCTCGCCGGGTTGGTACTCGGTGTGGAAGTATTCCCGCAGCCTTGATCTTGTCGGTGTCGCCGTCGCCATTTTGACGTCTTGGCTTTTTCCTAATCCTCACTAGAAAGGAGGGAAAAAATTGAACCCGCTGCGTTCGCGGTTACACAGCATCGACGATGATCTAGTAATATTATTCTTTCGGACTCCGCTGCGATAAAACGAGGCGGCCGCCATATCATATATACGTCAAACGGATGCTACCAACCGATCAAGCGCTATGATGATACGCGTATCTATCTACGGATTCGGGTCCTTCACCTAAGCAACTACATAAAACCGCCCTTGTAAAACCTGGTGTTCCTGGTTGAATGTTAGCTATCTGCATACTAAAGGCCCGAGATCCACGACGCTGGAATTTGCGGGGGAGTTGTGCTTAGAGATAAGAAGGCGCCTTACCGCAAGCAGGTTGCAAAAACAGGTCACAGGAAGAAATTCGCTTCAGGGGTCCTAGAGGCTGGAATTCTTTGATGGCGTTACTGCGATAACGCCCTAGAAAGGCTTGGCCCAGGCCCCTTTTTTTCCTATCGCTTCGGCTTCTTATTCGTGGAGGACTCATTTTTCTATCTACAAAACCCACTCTTGGTTTTGGAGATTGGGGAGATTGGAGAGGAGATAGCCATCAAAGAGGAAGTCCCCTCGGCTATCGTGGATACAAATTCAGCTGTTATCTACCAACTGGCAGTCTGTATGGTCGAAAAGATAGGCCGTTTTGGCATGTCACGGATGAAAGTGTCGGCCGATACCTAGTCTTTCGGCTTCCTTCCGAAAATTCGACATTTTATTCATATGTTCGTGTCATCGTCGCGGAGTCGAGATGGGAGGTTCAAAGGTGTTGAAGGCAAGGGATTCGAGAGCGGAGAACAAAGAGAAGCCCAGCTCGGACCCAATTAGTGCGATAATACGGCGGCGAGGAGGAGAAAACGCAGGGCTCGCCAACATCCAACGATATCGGATGCATCCGACGGCTTTCGAGCTGGATATCCTCATGTCCCTCCTAAAAATTTACTAATGATATATGCCAATCACGTATATTGCATCAAGTCGCACATGAAAAAAACCTGACTATATAGACATAGTTTCGCATCTAGAGAGAATTGTTGAGGTTGTAGCTATATCCATCCAACATCACATCCATAAGATCACCTTTTAGTTCCGTATTTTTGTATCTCAATCTCACACTTAGATCTCGAGGAAACACCAAAAATTTTTATAGGACTTCGCGGGGCTCCAACAAAGATGTCGAAGGGAAACTGGGAGGAGCTCGCCGCCAAGAAGCGCGAGCAGTTGGAGAAGTCCATTCCGGACGAGTGGCGCGTGCCGAGCGAGCTCCTGCCGCCCGCCGACCAGGACGACGTCACCGGCTTCCCGGCGGAGTCGAAGTGGTTCACGCCCGAGGAGCTCGCGATCACGAACCAGACGGCGGTGGAGCTGGTCGCCAAGCTCGCGTCCGGCGAGCTCAAGTCCGAGGCCGTGACCCGCGCCTTTTGCAAGCGCGCCGTCGCCGCCCACCAGCTGACGAACTGCCTATCGGAGACGTGTTTCGAGAGCGCCATCGCGACGGCCAGGGCGCTGGACGAGCACCTCGCCGAGACGGGCAAGCCCGTCGGTCCCTTACACGGGCTCCCCATCTCGCTCAAGGACAACTTCAACCTGAAGGGGCTCGACGCCACGGTGGGCTTCGCCTCGCACGTCGGCGACCCGGCGACGTACGACGCCGTGCTAGCGGACCTGCTCCGCAGCGCCGGCGCCGTGTTCTACGTGAAGACGAACGTGCCGACGGCGATGATGATCGCCGAGACGGTGAACAACGTGTTCGGGCGCACCGTCAACCCGCGCAACCGGCGCCTCACGAGCGGCGGCAGCTCGGGCGGCGAGAGCGCGCTCATCGCCTTCGGCGGCAGCCCGCTCGGCGTCGGCACCGACATCGGCGGCTCCCTGCGCATCCCCGCCGCCTGCACCGGCATCTACACGCTGCGGCCCAGCTTCGGCCGCTTCCCCACCCTGCGCTGCCGCTCCGGCATGCCCGGCCAGGAGGCCGTGCAGTCCGTCAACGGTCCCCTGACCCGCACCCTCGCCGACCTCGAGTACTACTCCAAAGCCGTCGTCGACGCGCGGCCCTGGCGCTACGACCCTAGGTGTCTGCCGATCCCGTGGCGCGCCGTCGCGCTGCCTCCCAAGCTGAAGATAGCGGTCATGTGGGACGACGGCATGGCACTCCCGACGCCGCCGGTGACGCGAGCGCTAAAACACGCCGTGGCGAAGTTACAAGCCGCGGGCCACGAGGTCCGCGAGTGGTCGTCCGAGGACCAGACCGACGGCCAGAGGCTGCTGAACCGCATGTTCCTGGCGGACGGCGGCAAGGCGATCAAGCGGGAGCTGGAGCGCACGGGCGAGCCGGTGCGCCCGGAGATGGCCATGTACGCGGCCGCGAAGGAGCTCTGCGCCTTCGAGTACTGGCAGCTGCACGTCGACCGCCAGGCCTACCAGAAGCGGTACCTGGACCGGTGGCTGGCCGCGGGCATCGACGCGATTCTGTGTCCCACGACGCCGTACAGCAGTGTCGAGAATGGAAAATTCGAGCATGGTAAATAAAGTCTAGTCTAAGCACAACTGGATAAAGTGTGCGTGGGTTGCTGATTAAATTTCGTCTAGTTGGCTACACGGGCGTTTTCAACGTGCTGGACTACTCCTGTATCTCCTTCCCCACCGGCATCAAAGCTGATAAGTCCATCGACGTCGCGCTGGGCGAATCGTACAAACCACTTTCAGAACTGGACAAGGGCATCCAGGCGAAGTGTGAGTGCTAAAATGTGTACCTCACCTCTCAAACGACTTGTATGGCTGACTATCTAATAGATAATCCCGACGCTGTTCATGGGATGCCCGTGAGCTTGCAGTTAGTAGCACAGAGACTAGAGGAAGAGAAGTGCGTAGCGATGTGCAAAGAAGTGTTAGGCGCATTAGGGATATAGACGTTAGATCTGTTTGGAGATGAAATGAATTGAGGTAGATGAGAAATCCATATAGATCGATATTAATGTTGTTACGACTAGTAAATAGCAACCCAAATTCGTGGTTATGAACCAGAATAAATCGAATATAACTTTTATAACGAACAAGAGATACTGATCAACATGGATATCTGAGCTAACAATACGTTTTACAAACAAATGAGGTGTCCATAACTGTATCAAGTGGCCTTAGTCGCGATCTCCTGACAAACTCCGATATTACACCCTTAGATACCTCACCGACTAGGTTAAGTTTGAATAGAACTTTTCATGAACCGGCGTCTTAGGCTCTGAAGCCAAAGTCATCGAAATAGAGATTGGGAGGAGCTAAAGTAACACCTATATCGTCAGGTCATTCACACTTGAGTTGATGGATTCATCACTCAACCCTAAAAATAGAACTGCTGCTGGGACTGTCCTGGGGGTGCTTGTGGGAGGAAGTCAAAATTCATATCTGCACCTGCGTAGAAAGGGTCTGGCGATTCTTTCGAAATCGATTAGCTCGTCGAAAAGCGCTGTACGGATTTGGTCACTTACCCCAAAAGATCGAATCGTAGAGATCCATAGGAGCCAGGGTAGTGGGATCTAACTGATTCAGATCTGGAATTCCTATGGTTTGTTGAATCGTTGGTTGGTACGGCATAGTTCTGTGTTCACTTGTTAGTATGCTATCGGTTGAGTTCATCAAATGACTCACGTTGAGAAATCGGCGAGGTTATTTCCATTCTGCAGCTCTGCCATGGCAAGAGCGGCGTCCTGATGCCTGTCGAATCCCGGCTGTAAACGAAATTGATTGTTGATAGTTTGAAGACTCTGTGGGATAGCAGCACCAATCGGCGTGCGAGTGCCAGAAGCACTCTCGCTCTTGACTCCAGAAGCTCCGTGCAAAGAACCATAATCGTATATGTTTTTGAGAGCCGTCAATGCTCTAGAAAGAGGCCCCGATAGTTCAATATCCCGATCAATTTTAGGGATGTGATCGGGAGCAGGACTGGTTTGCTCCTTGGCTGCTGCGGCTGATAGAGCTGAGATGAGATCTCCTTGGAGCTGACGAACCTCGGGGTCTAGCTTTGTCTCGCATAATATTCCGAGGAGAACGGCAGAAGAAAGGCCGTGATAAGTGAAGGCCCAACTTCGGGTTGGAATAAATGATAATTGGTGCATTGATAAAAACATGCGAACAGTCTCGGTCAAGTTGGTTTTGCATTTGTCGGCCAAGGCTTTCTTTTCAGCAGGTCCTAGTCTCGTACAATCTCGACGAAGAGCTGGACGACAGCACACTGAAATTACGAAGGACGTATGAAGACGTATGGCATAGTGTTGGAGCTTGTCAACCACGCTCTTGCAAGCCTCCTTACTGCGTAGCTGGGGATACACTTTTTCGCGAATGGATTCGACGGCCTGGCAATTATCGAGGATAGTTTCGTACGAGTATCCAGCAGTGGCGTCTGGATTAAGCTTCTGCGAAATTACCTCGCAGAGAGTATACATCGCTTCGAGATATGACAATCCTTCGACAGAAGAACTTGGGGATAGCGGGATTGGACAACATTGGATATTGGTCATGTTAGGGCTGCAGTGATGATAAGTGACACGTTTTTTCAACGCAGTTAATTGAAGCTCTTACCGATCAAAAGATAGCGACGTCAACGTATCGTGCCAAAGGCACGTCCACCTGAATTATGTCAGTAGAGTACATATAAATAGGTCGCGTGTCATCCGTACCATAGCTTTCTTCGCACGTATGTTTTCAGCGACATCTCAGTTGAGTTGCTTTCGTCTGACGTTACAGCTCGGTGTAGCCCAAGCGATTGCGCTAACCGACAAGTCATGCCAATTAAGGCCCAAGAAGCTTCGGCTTTCATATCGTTTAGGAGACAGAATCCTATTAGCAATAAGGCTTGGATCGAATCCAAGTTTGGCCTAAAGTGATGATGATGAGAATCCGCGCAATGAGTTGTACATCGTACTCTTAACATACCGTAGTAAGAAGTTCCCCAGCCTAAGGAAATGAAATGATATCTGAACGTATCTCTGAGCGTCCCGCGTTCGAATATGATAAGGCGAATCACGATACTGCGAACCGACCGCCATTACGGAGAAGAGAATGGCTAACCACGACGCGGAGACACGCCGACTTGATTTGCTGTGTTCCCTAGCATTTTTAGCTCGCTCTTCAAGATAGATCATAATACGAGACTCTAGATCATCAATGTCAATAACAAACCCCCAAAATGGATGGGTTATTTCTTTATACGCTCTGAAGAGGCTATTAGGAGACGAATTAGCATGCGGGTCTTATCATGTCAAAGATTGGACAGTTACTCCTGTTTGATACTCACATCATCACCTCTCTGTCTGAAGGCAGTTCAGAGAAGATGTCCTGGGTTAGGCGATCGAGGTGTTTTGACGACATTAGGGGAAAGGGCGCAGAGTTGTCAAGGCCAAGAATAGGGCGCATATCACGGCGGATGTCCACGCCATCTTTAGTCTCTATCGGCGACGGTTGATCTCGTAATAATGCGGGGATGCTATTTTGACCAACGTAGCGTGATATTTCCAGAGACTCCGGTTCATCTTTAGGACACATACTAATCAGCGTGAGTTGATATATAGAGTATTTAGCGGAGCACACCTATGGCTTGAGGCCAACCCTCTGGTTGATGATCGCTCCCTTGGTCATTGCTAACGCTGTCATCAGGAGAATGCGGTCTTTTCTTTCCTTGATGACCTTCGGTCGACACAGAAGCATGTTTGGAAGCACTGGACCGATTGGGCTTGTAAGAGCATAGCTGCGGATGCTCTCTCTTGACGCAATTTTCACATGGTTGCTTATTGTCGCATTTCACCTTCCGTTGCCTAGATAGACCTTTAGTTTCAGACCTCATCTTACAAGACTATGCCACACACCTGCATGGCCAACATGCCGTACCTAGAAAGAGTGTGTAAGCGGATGGACGTTATTACATTGGAGTTGAGATGACGACATGGCTAAGCGCGAGCGAATAAGCGCGCATTTGGAGAACGTACCATATCGAACTTTGCGGTGAGAATGGATGATGTGACTAGCTTGTTCGGGAGTCAGGTCCTGAATAGGGACCTGATTGATATCTTGCTCGGATGACATGAGCGCCGGTTCGAATGATCTTATGAGACAAACCCCGCCACGCAACGCACGCAAGGCGCGAGCTAGATTTGGAGTTGGTACTTTGGAGATTCGACCTCGCCTCAAAGGCCAAGGCTTCCAATGAACGAATAGATCCTGTAGCCCGGCAGCTGTAGCCGATCAGGGGTCCCGACCTTAGCGCGCTGAATTGCTGAAAGGGAATTGTTAAGCAGGGCAGGATCAGCAAGGCTTTGCTGTATGATGGTGATTGAAAGCGAAGGAGGAATTGAGAGAGAATGCCGAAAACCGAAGATCCTCTCGACCGTAGTTTGATGGAAGCGGGGCAAAAATCGATTAGAGCGATAGACTGCGATAGATTTGTTAACGACGAAATACCTTGCCAAGACTTTCCTAACACTTTTCCATCTGACACCCCGAACTTTCCGAGACTTGGTCGCTTGTACTTGCATAGGCCCAATTGGAGTCTCTTCTTGAGGATCCACTCAAGCTTCACTTATGTACTTAACGGGAAAACATCACCGGCTTTGAGCGATGTACCTAGGTTACCTGCCTAAGATGCCCGACCTGCCAAGCCTTTGCCCAAGATGTGAGAAGACAGGGGAACCCCGCGTCGAGGACAGGTCCACTTGTCCCGCCTCGAGGTTACTCAAGCTCGGGCCATCCCGCATTAGAGCTTCGATAGCCTCCGCTCGATTAAGTGGAGTAGCTAAGGCCCAAACGGCTCAAGACGACTCCCAAGTTTCAAACAAGTCTCCCTTTTTATACAAGCTCAATAATTAACGCGTCTTTTCCTCTGCCCGACACCATTATCGCGTCCTTTTTTAGGCCTCTGGGGTTGTCCCGTGTCAAATTCGCGTCATCAAGGACGTCTTCAGCACGGTCATTCTCACGATCGATTCTCTACCAATCATTTGGTGTGTCTCACGTTTCCTTTTCTCTTAGCTGGCCCCGCACTTTAGGATCGGGTCGAAATCATCCAATCGATCACCAACAAGTTTGTTTACATGACAAGATCCTCCGCAGTGGAGTTCGGGATTTGGTGAGACCTGTTCTACTGTTTATTCTCCCTTGTTGCAGTTTTTAGTGTTATATAGTGTTGTACACGAAGCTGTGTGATGCTGGCGATGACATTGATTGGTCTCAAAGCTAATGTAACTGACTGCGCACAGTAGCGAGTTTTCAGGGTTCTCAATTTAGCCTCTAAGCTGCATCAAGTGGTACCAACCTACCGTTCGGCGAGCCGAGCGATTGGGTTAGATATCGAACTCTACCACGTGTAATATGGCACCGCGGTCAGAGCCTGCCTACCCGCTCACGCCATCTAAAGCACGGCTTAGTGTGAAGGACTTCGATATCTGGTTTCTCGAGTTTTCCAATACATATAACCTAAACCTCGAACGGTCTCCCCCAGACCTATCTCCACAGAAGAAAAGGTCTTTGCCACATTACTCAGAGCTTAGATATTATGAAATCCTCAAAGTCCAATATTTCAAGGGAACCCATACGGTAATTCGAGACTTGTTTGACTGCGGGGCAAAGGAGATTCACAGCAAGTGGGTGAAGAAGCCTCGTTCTGAGCCTGGCGTTACTCCTTTTCCCACACAGTTGCCCCGGGCCACAACAGGGCCTGAACGGGATCAGTTGCTCGAGCTTCTTAGCACTATCTTGGAGGATGTCTGCTCAACAGACATATCCTCGAGCTCTTCGGTCTCAATTTCTCTTTCTCATCAAGCCTACGATGAACCCCCAACCCCCACGAGGAGTCGACGTTCTAAACGTCACTCTGATGAATGGCAGGGTAGTCCAACTGCCAAGAGAACTCGGAGTGTTGCCTCGGAAGTTGACACCGAGTGCGACCCTGATGATGAAAGACCCCCGAGTGTGCTTTCGGTTCTTGATAGGGGTCGCGTACACACAGCTAGCCCCATGCCTAGTGAAGTGCTAATTCAAGCATCAAGGTCAAGTCGAAATAGAGCCACAAATGACTTAACCAAGTCAGCAAATACGAGCAGGTCCACAATCGTTTCTCAAGTTTTCTCAGACCGCGACGAGTATGAGTATGGGCTTCCACCGGCTTCTCAGGATACACAACCTACAGTCGTCGCAAGCAATCCAGGAAGTATGAAGCTTCCAGTTTTGCAACCGATACAAACTATAGGGTCAGATTCGGACTCCTTAGCTCCATCTTCAAGCACCGAGCGCGCCCTTCACATTTCTTTTAATAATCATGAACAGCTTCAACAAAATGGAAGGGGCTTTTTCAAGAATGAACCGTCAACTTATTCAGACGTCGCCCAATCATCAGAGCAGGACATTACGCAGCCTAATACTCCTTCCCTACCTCCGACCCCTTTGCCTCCAGCATCACCGCCACCGGCATCTCTATTTGCAATTCCTCCCACGCTATCTCCTATAAAGGAGGTTGTGAGGGTAAAACCAGGCAGCACACCGCCGCCCGCGTCATATGAAAGCAGTCGAAACTTTGAATTGGAGCAGCGACTCTACAATGTTTGGCGTAAGCATGAAATTTTTTGCATTGTTAGAGCCCATAGCTAACCATCACTAGCCCATCTTCCCGCCCAGTACGATCAGGCCCCATTTGCAATTCGCTGGGAAATTTTGCGAATCTCTCTCCACTGTGGAATACAAATGGATGATCTGCGCATTGCTTATGATCCATCATGGACCGACCAAAAAACGATGTGGAGAAGGCTTCAAGCCTTACCTCTATTCCAAGGCAAGAGTTTTCCCGAAAGATCCCAACCCAACGCCTGGACCGCCGCTCTCAATGATAAGTTTGGTACTACGGATCAAGTAGTCATCCTCACAGCTTCTCTCTCCACCAATACGTCGAAGAATGGGCCCTTATTTACGCTTAGGCTCAATCCTTTGAAACTGGATCTTTCGCATCGCCTCAGTCGTAGATTTGGATCAGATCGATTTCTTGAACTTGTAATTCCATCAATGAATTCTCAGGATTTAAAACCTATTGGAGATGCTGGCATAGAAAGTATCCAACGATGGCTGGTAAATGAATCCCATGTTCTTCTTGGTCGCGTATGGACATCATTCTTTCTCAAGCCTTCCCTGCCCAAAAAGATCAGTAGTGAGAATACGCTCGTGCCACAGACAAAGACGATTTATCAAGAAAGAATATATCTGTTTGCCGAAGATGGTAACGATTTCCACCGTCTTGGAGCTGGAGACCATTGGTCGCCAAAGGGTGAACCAGTTGGAATGCACACCCAGATGGGACGAGGGAGCCTCATTGATTGGCTCTTGCAAGTCCCCAATAATCAAAGCCAATCAGTACTGAAGCTCTTTTCTAGGATTACATTAGGTATCGTCAAATATGATTTCTATGTTCCGTTGAGAAATACTTAACTGTTCCTAGGTCTCAGCCGTACACACCCCACCGTCATTGTTCAACCTGAGCAAATTCGACATCGACCCGTCGATGTACTTTCACCTACTGGTAAGGTTATGAACGACGGCATTGCTTTAATGTCACATGGCCTCGCGCGAGCCGTGAGAGATTCTATGGGCCTACCAGACACGCCAGCAGGCTTCCAGGGCCGATTTGGTAGTGCCAAAGGGTTCTGGATTCGGGATGCAACTGACACGAGCGACGAAATCTGGATAGAAACCACACCTTCCCAGCGGAAGTGGAACTGCGATTATGTTGAAGATGATCATCGCACATTTGAAGTTCGTAACCCATCTAGAGAATTAAAGTCCGCGAACCTAAACCTTCAACTCCTTCCTATACTCGAGGACAGGGCCATCAACGGAGCTCTGATGAAGTCGCAGATCGGGAAATTCTTGAGAGACACCCTCAAAAGAGACCTGGATACTCAGAAGGCCGCCATGCTGGACCCGATCCAATTCAGACTCTGGGTGCAGGAAAATTCGGGTTCAATTCGTCGGCAAGAACGTATAAAGCATAATCAAGTCCCATTTACCGCCGGCCTCCCGACTAGTCGGGAAGACATAATGGCTTTTCTCATGGACAGCGGCTTCGAGCCTACCAAGCTGAAGTTTTTGAGTGACATGGCTTGGAAAATGAGGATGGATAAGTGCAACGAGCTCAAAGAGCGATTGAATGTGAGAGTTGGACGCTCAACATATGCCTATATGGTTGTCGATTTCCTCGGGGTTCTGGAAGAAGATGAGATTCACCTTGGATTTTCTTCCAAATTTGCTGATGAACACTCCGGCTTTTCTGAAACCTTCCTCCACGGCATGGACGTCCTCGTTGCCCGCACACCCGCACATTACCCAAGTGATATCCAAAGGGTAAAGGCAGTCTTCAAGCCAGAACTAGGCTCGTTAAAAGATGTAGTCATATTTCCCACCAAGGGCAATATACCTCTTGCTGATAAGCTCTCTGGTGGTGACTATGACGGAGACATCGCTTGGGTGTGCTGGGAGCCTACGATCGTGAACAATTTTCACAATGCAGAAATGCCGGATGTCCCTGACCTATTTCAACAGGGCATAGTACGCAAGGAAAACGTGAGCTATCTCGAACTAGTGGGAACCAGTGATATTACTACAGAGTTCCTAGCAAGGGCATTCCGGTTCAACATGCAACATAACCTCCTCGGCATGTGCACCAACTATAAGGAAAGGTTTTGCTATTCCCAGAACTCGGTTCGGAATGATTCCGCGATCCTCTTGAGCACTCTCATCAGTCATTTAGTAGATAGGGCTAAGCAAGGAGTTGTCTTTACAGACCAAGATTGGGCGCAACTGCGCAAGACCCTGCGCCGGGTCGACCCGCCAGATCCTCCATATAAAAAGGAAGTGTGGAGTGGTAAGGGCGAGCCTACACATATCGTCGATTATGTCAAGTTTAAGATAGGGAACCCTACAGTCGAGACGGAGCTGAGAGCGTTCAACGAGTCCCTCAGCCATGCTCAGCATTTCGATAAAGACCTCATAGGGTTTTGTCAACATTACGAGAAATTCCTGAGACCTCACAATGAGCGAAAAGAGGCTGTCAAAAAATCCACCTGGGAGACGGTTTTAGACGAGTTAAGAAAGGAGATCGACGCCGTAGCTCAGGAATGGCGCAGTTCCCGCGGCGAGTGGGAAGCCAAACTAGTCCATATCTACGACAGATGGCAGGCGATAGTTCCCACGAACAAGGTTAATTCTAAGACCATGAGAGCATTCCTTCAAGAAGACCAGGTTAACGCCGGGCTCTCGAACTGGGACTTGTTGAAAGCATCGTTCTGTTTCAAAATGTACTACAAAGCATCCCCGGCATTTGTGTGGTACATCATGGGCAGGCAACTCGCATACTTGAAAGCTATACGCAAGGGAGGTATGCCGGTGCTTATGATTCCCAGCATGTACGCGGGCTCGCGACCCGATAGCAAATATGCCCGCGCTCGAGCTGCAATGACAGAAGGACGCGAATTTGCCGAGGGTGAGGCGATAGACGAGGAGGAAGCGTCGACTATGCCGGACGACGAAATCTAGAAGGTTTCCTCGACGATGGACGACGGGTCTCGTCTATGGGATGGTATTACTCCGATGGTTCTCTGCGGTTAGTTTCGCAGCATCTTTGCGAGGAAATGATACCCTTGGTTCTCTATTGGATCGATTCAATGTTGGTAATTGGCCAATCTAGGAGGTGGAACTATTATGGTGGATTGGGATCGACGGGATAGGGTTTGGGAAGAATGGTTGGCTAGTACGCATGTTCTTTGATAATGGTTGCGTACATCGTGGTGGATACGGGATGCCATTGAAGGTCCCCGAATCTAGACAACTAGACTACTAGACCACTAGATTGCATAGGGCTGTATATGTTACATAAAGGACATACAATATATATTCATCAAGACCAACTTCTTTAACTTACCGTGCGTGGCGGCCGAACTGTAGAGATGACTTGATGAGGTGTTGAACAATACCTCTTGCTCAGCACACAAGGGAAACTTTGAAGCACTTGGCCGTTGCTCCTTTACACAAGGCATTATAATACACCGATGTGGAGCAATAAGAACCGAATATGACGCCGGTCGAGTTTATTAACAGCTATTGTTTGGTATAAATTCGATGAATCTTTTCACTACAGCTTCTACCTGCTTATTCTGTTAACTCTTCGACCAATACTGAATACGGTCTTGCAATCTGAGAACAATACAGTAAAGATGTATACTAGATCTATCACAGCATTATTCGTTGCAGCTCTCTTCTCTCATCCAACCACACAGTTTAGTTGTCGCACGCGGGAGATGTGGGGGTTTTCTCCAGCGTGCTGCATGCATATAGAGGGCCAGGTTGGAATTAACTGTGAGTTTTCGCGCAGAACACCTCAAGAGAATACGTGAATAAACATATATTTATTCTAACAATCATTATAGGTGTTACGGCACATCAGTTAGGTGTCACGAATCCCTCGTGGGAATGCAATCTCCTTGTCTACAACATCTCCGGATGTTGCCAGCCCAGTGTGAGTTCACGGATTGCCATTATTGAGGCTCTTCTGGTATTGATTAGATTTAAATCGTAGGGCTACAAGAATCCGACTACCAACTACACGATCAATCTCTGCGGGACACAAGTTGATCCGCGATGAAGGATATGATTTGCTTTTCTCCAATCGGTCTCGGATTCGGTCTCGGATTGAACGGATAGAACATATACATAGTGAATGAAAAAGCATATGTAGATACTCTCCGGCTCATGACTAACGACGCACGATGATGTGATCGAAGCCATGTCCAATCGAATGACACTGATCTCTACGTCGACAAGACGATATCGTGCATATAAGTCATCATTGGTGACGATATACGCTAGTATACGAATGCTACCCTAGCAGCCCGCACGGTGCAACCCGAGTGACCGGCCATAGTGGTGATAACCTCAATTGAGTCACCGTTACCCCGCTGGAGTTTGGAGATTAGGGAAGTCGCTTCCGGCTCCCGCGGGGGGTTCAGGAATTTAGACTTCAGCCAGAACGGGTGTAACCTAAGATACATTAATGGCCCCGGAGGTACGTATCCCATACCTACCGGTACCTACATAAACTCAGGTTCCGCACCCATTCCAACTTCCATTCGTCAAAACACCGCTAGCGAAACCGTCAATTTCAAGGTTCAATCGTACCAATTGAGATCGCCATGGCTCATGAAATTCCCCAATCCCTGAAGGCGTCGCTGGACGCTACTAAAGTCGAGTATCGCAGACTTGGGAACAGCGGCCTACAGATCTCGGTCCCGATATTCGGATGCATGAGCTTCGGCGACAGCAAATCGCAGAATTGGGCCGTTGACGAAGATGAGGTACGTAAACATAGCTCGCAGGACATTTATCCCAGACCTACGTATTCCGAACTCACTAACGCCGCCTCCTACCTAGGCTCTGCCGCTACTCAAGTACGCCTACGACAAGGGCCTCAACACGTGGGACACGGCGAACGTCTACTCGCAGGGCGCTAGCGAAGTCATTGTCGGGAAGGCGATCAAAAAGTACAAGATCCCGCGCGAGAAGGTGGTCGTGATGACGAAGTGCTTCTGGGCCGTCGGCGAGACGCCCGAGGTCCGGCACTTCCTGCACGGCGAGGCGGTCGACAAGTCCAAGGACTACGTCAACCAGTACGGGCTCTCACGCCTCGCCATCTTCAACGCGGTGGAGGCGTCGCTGCGGCGCCTCGACCTCGACTACGTCGACGTGCTGCAGATCCACCGCTACGACCCGCACACGCCGATCGAGGAGACGATGAAGGCGCTGCACGACCTCGTGCAGGCCGGCAAGGTGCGGTACATCGGCGCGAGCAGCATGTGGGCCGTCCACTTCGCGCGGTACCAGTTCGCGGCCGAGCTGCACGGCTGGACCAAGTTCATCTCCATGCAGAACCACTACAACCTGCTGTACCGCGAGGAGGAGCGCGAGATGATCCGCTTCTGCAACGACACCGGCGTCGGGCTGATCCCGTGGGCGCCGCTCTGCCGCGGCCACCTCGCGCGCCCGCCCGCCGACTTCGGGTCCACGTCGCGTAGTAAGCTCGAGAAAGACACTTCGCCCGGCTCCCACGGCACCGTCGAGCCCGACCTGTCCATCATCGCGCGCGTGCAGGAGATCGCGGCGAAGCGCGGCTGGCCCATGAGCCACGTCGCGCTCGCCTGGATCAACAAGCGCGTTACGAGCCCCATCATCGGCTTCTCGAGCGCGAAGAGGGTCGACGAGGCTATCGAGGCCGGCGGCAAGGTGCTCACGGACAAAGAGGAGAAGTACCTCGAGCAGCTGTATCAGCCGAAGCAGGTCTCGGGCCACGTCTAGTGAACGAGCAGAAGGGGCTGAAGGGGCTGGTATGGAGGGCTTGGATGGGTTTTGTTATACCTAAGATGAGGTTGGGAATGTGCTTGGTACCACGGGACCTGCGGAAATTGCGTTCATAGCATCGGGTTTTTACGAGACTTGGCAATTAGGCTAATGGTCTCTCGATTGGGAATTGTATGAGAAGTCTCGCAGTATTTTGGTGTTCTTTTGCCTCTGCCATTGTGAGTTGATGTGAGTTGTTTCTGTAGAAATAGTAAAGTGTAAGATCCCAAGGCTAAAGGTTGGAACGGAAAGGTTAGGTATATATATCAAGTTAAACGTCAAATCTATTACATACGACCATAGGAGCTAGAATACTCGGGATCCCGTCCGCTCTCCCATAGATAAACTGGCTACCGCTGCACTAGTAGTTGGGTCGGTGACGACCAGCGAATCCGCGGTGTTGTATGTTTTTAATTTTTTAATTTTTCTTGATTTTTTCTTCTTATGTTTTTTGTCCCTTTGATTGAAAAGTTTGGCCAATTTTGAAGTGGTTTTGATATTCAAAAGGGTGGGTTAATAGGTCGAAGTTTTGATTGGAAGCGATTGGTGAATAATAGCGAATAATCAACCACCTATCCTCTTTTCCTCACCCTAAAGCAAGAATTAGTACATCAACTATGTTCATTGGCTAATAATACCTAACTAGCCATGGCTCTGGGTCTGTCGGATCTGATCCTATTGCCAGGGATCGGGACCCTTAAGTTATGGCTGTGTCACAGAGCCCGTAGCGAGAGACCCGCCGTAGGCTTGTGGTTGAGCGTGGCTATATTAACGCCCGAAACCTCTTAAGACACCTGGGGCCTTCGGATCCTGTGGTATCTTCCGCTGGCGGCTCTCCGGTGGGGAGCTCCTGGGTAGTTCCCAGTAACAGCCCCTGACACACATGATCTTCCAGCTCTTGCTGAGTTGTACGCCCGAGGGCGATCTCTCTCGCATTGGTCGATAATCCGATGATAAGCAGTCCTAGTTCCGACGTTCCAAGGCTGACGTGGATCCCGTCCGCCCCGACGGTTCGAAAAAGGAAGCCGTTCCCCCTGATCTTCGGGAATGTTTGACTGCGGTCGGTGGCGTTTCTTGTCTTAGCCGGTTGAAGAGACATACCTATCACAAGAAAAACCAGGAAAAAAAACATCGCTTTTGAGTACTAAGAAATCATTCGTCATCATCTAACTGAAGTCTACGGATATCGCAAATGTTCGTGCCCCCCTTCCCAAAATTTCTACCGCTGCCCAGCAGGGCTATATAGACTGACTGAGAACCATCCACATCCCCCCATTCCTGAGTAAAGCATCCCATTCCTCCTCTTCCAATCCCCGTTCCCCCCGTTTCACCCCCAATATTTTCCGAGGGTATCACCTTGTTGAGCTATCTACATTAATTAGTAAGGAAAGAGAAGAAGAAAAAGTTCGTATGTTTGCATATGGACATCGAAAGAGGAAAGCCAGACAAAAGTTATAGGATCAACGGCTGGTGTGTGGGAACACCATATGTGAGAAAATAGCGCACAACGAAGTGAAGCAATCTTTTTTGTTTTGTCGTAACCGCCGCGATAATACCTCCGGTCTATCCCATCCGTCGTAAATCAACCAGGTGTGCTCGATTCGTCATAGCATCTTAGCTGAGGAAAATTTGTTCATATTGGGGTATAGTGTAGATGATAATGAAATTGGACCAATGACTGGCCATAGAGAGGGGATAAGTGAGAAGAATGGCGCCAGGTGTACGCCGGCTGTCCGTCTATAATCCGTCTTCGAATCGACGGTGGGAATCCAAGGAAATATTTCATTGCTCGTCCAAGATTTCTACCTAGACATGATAAGGAACGAAATATGACTCGAGTGAGTTTAAAATGATTTTAAATCATGTTAGTTAACCCATCGAGTGGAGGGAATGTCTTTTTTGGTGTAGGTTGCTGTGGCTGAACTATGTGTTGTTGGTATGGTAGAGAACCAGGGACAGGAACAGGAATAGGGACTGGTGTCGTAGCCAGGGACACAGGCGTAGACTTTGGTTGGGGTGTCGTAGGTTGCTGAGGCTCGATCTTAGGCTTCGTGATCTGAGAGGCGGCAACAGCTCTTGTATTGCCGCTTTCACGTCGCCTTTTAGGCGCATCCTTGATCTTAGGGTGAGTGTGGCACTGCGATGAATTAGTCTATGGCTATGGTGATGAGAACGACGCTTCAATTCTTACCTTGTACGCGTGCCTAAACCAAGTTGTGCCCTTCTTCTTGCTGCTCACCAAGGCAATCCAATCGTTACAGCTTCCACAAAGGCCCTCCCAGACGTCTGGGTTACCGTCCATTCGTCTGGTCTCTTGTGGTTCTTGGAAGGGATTACCGGTAGCCGCGCTGATACCGTGCGTGAAACTCTTGTCGTACCAGAAAGCAGAGTTCTTCAATACCAGCCATCGACCGGGTTTGCAAATACCGCACCATCCTTCCCGCTTGTTTCCATGGCCGCGAACCCACTTCGGAGTGTACAAGTCACCTTCAAATCGTAATTCTTGCTCGTGAGGGACGAGATCCGGATCCGAAGGATTCATGTCCTCAGGCGGTGGCGGAACCTGTTCTTCCTGCAGGGAGGCATATAGATCTGGTGGGTCAGATAAGTCCGTGTAATGTCCATGCAGGGAATGTGGGTCAGCGTTGCTTTGCAGCATCCTAAAGAGTCCGTGAGACAGCAGAGGTGGGGGATTTTCGAAGTGGTGAGCCTCGGGATGAAAATGCTGCGATGGTAATTGAGACGGTAACTGCGTTGGAAGAAGCATGCTGTTTCGGAAAGCTGGTGGGTGCGACATAAGGAATGGGTGCTGTTGGACGGCCTGAAGGTTCCCGAAGTTCAACGGAAGTGGGTGATTTGGCATGGTAGGAGATGAGTGTCTTGATGACATTCGAGGACCAAAAGCATCGTGTGTGTGATGGTAAACGAAGGGAGACGGTCGACGGTTGGCATTAGTGCCGTAAGATCCAGTAGACCACCTCTTGTTTCTTGCGCTACTATCAACGTTGTACGGGGCAGATCTCATTCCAGGTCGAGGAGATGGCGAGGCACCACGACCACGACTTGCGGTCCGGACAAGATCAGAACGGCTTTGCGGAGTCATGCGAGGGGAGGCTACGGGTGACAATTGCGTTGAAGACATAAGCGAGTTGCGGTTCGAAGGTGGCGGATAGTCTGAAGTGAATGACGGAGCCTCGGATAGAGCGGCTGAGAAATCCTCGTATGACGGCATTTCGGATAGATTGCCTGTCGTCGACACGGTGAAAGACGAGCCCGACATGCGCCTAGGGTTCAGACCTGACTCAAAGCCCATCGATTCATGGTCCATTGGCGGACCAGAGTACCTCAGGTCTATGATCGGAATTGCCTCGTCTGTTGTATATGCCTGACCAATGCTCATATCCACGTCTAGGTTAGGAATCTCAAGGTGATCGTCACATGGCTTAGGTCCCCATGGGCCTATACCTACGGTTAGCAGCTGTCTCGTGCTAGCTGGCCTAAGTAAAACTCACTACTATCCATGGTCGTAACGGGGTAAAAATCCTGATGCATCGAAACGGGTCGTGATGACATGGTGTCGCTTGGTGTATGAATCGTCAAACCAGACGGCGTTCCCCACGAGGGCATTGTTCCAAACTCATCACCGGTGCAGAATGAGAATCCTTCATGAATAGTAGCCGGCCTTGGTCGTGCTTCTTGTGGTGCCGGCGTCGCCCAAACCCCAGTCGGTGGCACTTGAACCTCCGTCTTAACGGGCATCTCGTTCCTGTTCATCGAGGCCAGCGGAGGCGGATGTGGTGGCGGAACGTCTCTGATGAACTTGTCGTTTGAAGTAAGGGTAAAAGTAGGCGCCTGGATTTGCTGCCTCCTGTGGTTTTGTGAGTTTCCGCCACATACTGTCGGATGAAATGATTCATACAGTTGCGCCTGACTTGAGTCCATGTTATCTGACTGCTGAAATGAATGTGATTTGATCTATTATAGACTGTATACTACAAAATGATACACGAAGGTTAGTTAATGAACGAGCAAATATAGGTACGTTGGTCGATAGGATGGTAGTAGCAAGGAGTGGTTGCATGGCCCATGCATGAGGGCGTCACGGCAGCTAGGTGACCTTTCATAACATACATGGTCAATAGTAGTATAGACTATAATCTCCGATGACGTTGATGAGATTTTAGTCTGGGAAGGAATGTAGAGTGATGTGGGTGTCCCACGTCGAGGGCGGGAGGAAGTGAATGTATATGTTGGCGAGCAGCGTTGAGCTCAAGGTCGAGTACGTAAGGTCTTAATTAATGAATGTAATGAGTTGACTGGGGGGGTCAGAACAACTCGTTAGGTAAGCTAGTTGATGCTTGCTTCACATAGACGGGAGCGTCCAGGTTAGAAGAGAGCCAGCTCCCAGTGTTATAGACCAGAGTGGCAATATAATAGAGCTTTGTTAAGGGCTGGAAAAAAAAAAAAGGAGTGACTAGTAGTAGAATGCCTTAGTATAATGGTGTGAGGGAGAGCGGCGAGGCGAGAAGAGGAGTAAAAAGGCAGGTGAATGGAGGGGCGGTGCAGAAGATGGAGAGATATAAAGAAGGCCTCTCGAGTGACAAGCACTACCTAGGGACCCATGAACAGTCCGATTATAATCCAACACGGTCAGGCTGGACCAGGCTCGGAACATCGGTAGGAGGTAAGCCGGACTTCTTGACACAAACCTGGCCACGTCTGTGAACTCAACAGGAGAGACTAGGAGAGACTAGGTGGTGTGCGAGGTTCTGCTTGGCTTGCTAGAAAGAGACAGGCAAGACAGGGCAGACAGGGACCGGCGGGCAGGGCTCTGCAAGGATTTGCAATACAGGGTACGGAGGGTTACATCTGCTCGTCGATGATGTGTTGCGAGGAATAGTCAAGCCTTCAGGGCAGGGGAGAGTGGTGAGTGTATGGGGGAGCGGCGGAGAGCGCAGATGGGTCTCGGGTACATAGCATGTAAGAGGTAGCCAGAAAGTGACTAGACTGGTGACTAGGGACTGCCCCAGTCAGAAAAATATCCATGAAATCTCCAACTCTTTTGGAATAGTCGAGCAGGGGTTCTGATATAACAGGACAGAAGTAATTTGATATCGAGAGTGGGAAAAGGTGAGAAAAGATGAGAATTTCATTAGACCAAATAAAACATATCTGCTCGGCAATTGGAAGTTAAATGAAGCTCTACGTAAACAACATCCACTATTTTTAGCCCTTCCCGTCCCCGTTGAGCCTCATGGGAAGCGACAGGTCTCATATTCTGTGTCCAGGCCATGTGGCAAGGTGCTAAATATTCATCAGACTCATACATAGTACGGCGCATGCTGGTCCAGCAGAAGGCTGGGACGACGGGACGATTCGCGAACTAGCAAGAGCCGCGAAAATAGGACTCGGAGGATTGTTGGTTCTGCGCGTAGGGCCATCAGGGCCGCACAGAACAACGTATATAGTTAGGATTCTGCTGCCGTAGGGTCGTATGACACGACCATGACACTTTCGTGGGCCGGATACGTCGATCTGGAGAAAGACAGGTTTCCGAAAAGTACAATCTCTTATTACTAACCAGGGGTCTAGTTCGTTGGAAACACACTCTAGGGTCTCGTGGAGAAGAGGCCAGGGCTGGTGGAACCAGCCGGCCGAATACATCTTGCTGCGAAACGCATCCTTTGCGGTGTAGTAGGTAATACTAATCGCAGGTGGAATTGTTTAATGAGGAAATCTCTACTGACAGGCCGCCCGGTGAGAATATTTTGATTAGTCTGTCCGAAGACCACACCTCGCAAGCTGACATCTATTTTGTGATGTCTTGCGTTGGGTAGCATGCGCGACATCGCCAATCACGTTAGTGAATGAAGCCCAAAGCAGGCGACATTGTTTAAGAGGCCAGGAGAGGTGCATATGGGAAGTTAAAGCCTGGCATCCATTGAATCCAACAGCCATAATCACTAAAAGCTCAGCAGTTTAGCCGACTGGTGCGTTACTTTGATGGTTGGAAGCTGAGATGTGAGATGAGGGGCATGATAGGCAAACGTAAGTGAACTCATCTGAAAGACCGGATGGCCAAGAACTACCAAGGTACAAAGAGCAGACTGACGAAGCCACGAGATGGATGGCTCCGGAACGGCGATAGCAGCCAATGACGGCGGAGAGGACTGATGGATGGGGAGGCGGAGCGACGTGGTCGAGTGGTAAAGTGGAGGAGATGATGGTGGGTTGGTCGATACTTGGACCTCTGACATCGTGGAATGGTGTAGCCGGGGCTTCAGATAAAACCCTGGCGCGATTGGGGGAGGGTATAATCGAAAAGGCGGTACAATAGAGAATTGAATCGGCAGGCTCTGGTTCGCGAGAATAAACATCTGCCATCTGCAGAGTTCAACGTCGCAGCAATAGAGCACGCAGAGTGCGAAATGCAGAGTGCGGAGCGCAGAGCGCAGAGTTACGGCTGTGTTCGGTATTGTTTTGTTGGCTCAACTACATCTGTAACTCATCTTTACCGATCTTTGACTGGTGGGATAGAGGCTCTGGAACTTAGACGATTCCGACCAAGATTAGGAGTTGTCGTCTCGTTCGTCAGCGGGAGCGCGTTTGATGTTGAATTTCAGTTGCTTCGGGCAGTCTCGTGATTGGCTCTACGGAAAATAGTATGCAGGCAGGGGGTGTAAGGGCCAGGGGGTATATCCCTGACGCGTCTCAGGATCTGTAACAGAAGGGCTGATCCTTGCAAGACCCACTTGCCTCAGTCCCGAAAGTCAAAAAGGTAAAGGTAAAAAGGTCCAGATCCACTTCGTTGTACTTCGCTGTGCCTTCACACCGCATTCCCCATTCCGCATTCCTCTTCTGCCCTTCTACCCATTCTTCCATCCTACCTTTGATGAGGTGAGGTTGCGCACATGGCTTACGGCAGAAAACTTTAGGAACATCGGTTTATAGTAGTAGTGTGCCATCTGAGATGTAGCCGTGCCGTTTCGAGAAAAGAAAAACCTTTCCCCCGCGATATTCGGTCCGCCTATATCAACCCTCGAGTCGTTATTATATATACCAGGTGTATACCACATACCTAGTTCATTTTTAGAAACAACTTACCGGGGTTGTCTGATATAGGTGGGTAGAGCACATATGAGAAAAGGTACTGAGAATTTTAATGTTCTTGTGTACAATTCTTATGTACATCTTTCCATATTTCCTTTTATTTCTCCAAGATTACCTAAGGACTGGTAGATTGTGTGCGTGCGCGCTCCAGAAGGACCCCCCCTTCCCTTCAGGGCCCTTGCCCCTCCCCCAAAAGACCCAAAGGCGGCAATGATTCGGGCTAACCTCTAGACCCTGTCCAACGCCATGTCAACGCCATGCCAACGCCTGGCCAACGGGATCATCTCGTCTTCTCCATTCCTCCTTCGCAATTATCCCAACGTTCCCTTCAACCCCCTCACTTGTTTCGACATAACTTCGAGAAACACGGTTCTATCAAAGCTGAGTATACAAAATATCAGACATTCTGGTACCGCGTCTTTCTTGCGAACCCTTCATCCAAATGGCATTGTCCTGTCTTGTTAGAGACAAATAAATGGCCGAAGTCGAGAGCCCCACTAGTTCCAAGTTTTAATAGAACATCCGATGCCCAGGTGGTCATTGGGTCTAACATTGTTCCCGATAGAGATAAGCCCTACGGCTGTCACCTATGTAGGTACCCGGATAGCTCTAGGCTGGACACTTGACCCAGGTAGGCATTCGAGGTTAAGGTCGTATTCCGTTAAGATAAGTAGCCACATTATTGCCTATGTTAGTTAGGTGGATGGGTTATGGTAACTTTTTAGATTGATTAAGCTTATTAAACTCGTCGTAGACCACATTCGCGGCTTTCGTAGCCCTGCACGAAAAAGCTCGTACGAAACACTGACACTTGAGCTAGTCGAAATAATACCGAGTCGCGTCATCTTGGCTTATCCATCTTCGCGGAATGCATAGGTAACTATGTTTGGCCCTACGGGTTTACCGAATCGTACTATGTAGGTACTATGTAGGCAAGTAATAGCAATCGTCATATTATGGCGCGGGGGTTCGTAGAGGATCTCCAGATCCTGGATCGGGTAAACAGGGCTTTCTTTTCTTTCCAAGATTCTTATCGATATACTCGGCGCCCTGCCCTTGTATTCTCCTCGAAAGGAACCCTCCGTATCAGCCGTACCAGCCGTACTAACCCGCGTTACCACTCGTCGTACATTTTTTTATAGTGCTTACATGTGTGGGCGCTGTGGGTGCTGTGGACACTGCGGGTGCCTGAGCACTCGAGAGCATAAACGCCGCGCGCTGCAGTAGTCCTCTAAGCTGGATCACCTGCGTCTAGCCATCACCTGCGCCTCGCGGTATGTCGTTAGCTATCTCGGCTGTGGCCGCGGCCTGAGCGCTAGATTATAGTACGTAGGTAGTTGGAGATGTACCTGCATTACGGACCGCTGTCGTAAGCGTTGGCCAAGCGCTGATCGATATGAGATTCTCAGATGTATGGAGCAGATGGAGATAGGTCGATAAAGGTATCAACTGACTAGATTTCAAGGTTGTCTCACTCCCGATGTCCTTGGAAGGATTAGCTCATGGAACGCGGCTTGCACAGTACGGCACGACTTACTTCCGTTTCTTTCTATCTTCAACCAGAGCCACGTATCTAGGTGAGTATAAGCTGCCTTTTACAGGTAGGTATACGTACATACACACGTATAAGCCTCGTCGATTTGACAAGAAAACTTGCACAAAACACTTATGCATATCAGACGGAATCAGAAAAGGTTAGGTGTGAGGCAGCTGGATATCTGATGTATTATCGAAATGGGAATCAATACCGAGACATACTGATCTCTCGACTACCCTCGGACGGTACATACTGCTATGTCACATCTTAAGAGCAACATTTTAATTACTTTCTGTCAGATCGTGTCGTGTAAAGTGGGCAGGAATGGGCTTCTAGTCTTTCCACATGTTCTATCAATCGTTCCATTCTATGGGGGCCGCTTGTGCACCCCACCCCGAGGCTGGCCTACTGCTACTTTCTTGCTAGACTACCGGGATGGGCCCGGTCCTTTGCATAACATTGGTCGCTCTTTTGGGAAATTATTCAATGCCTCGCTTTTACCCGCAGGCCGTCGCTACTGCGCAGTATTAAATTTAGCAACTCCTACCTCTCGTCATGAAGATCGCGGGCTATCGATGACGAGATCACTTCCCCAGATACCTAGCGTAGACCCATTGGAAGATCATATCATGCGTAAAAAGGCTGCCAATACAGAAAAAGGGAATTTCATGGCGAAAGGGCAAAAATGCCTGTCCGAGCCCGGCATACGAGCAGGTACCGCGTCCTCCGAACAGAGCCTGGGCTGCCTGGGTTAGCATGAATCACGCCTCGTAACTTCTATAAGGAGAATTTTCGTTTCTCTTTGCTATCAGGTTGTTCGAACAACTATCGCCGTGTTTGTATTAGATCTGCCTGCTAAGAGGGAAAAAAGACCCGAATAGAGCTGTTTCCATCCGATCCAACCGCGACGCTTCGTAATCCTAAAATATCCAGTACAGCATGAGAAACTACTCGTATCCTAAACTCCGATGCAGGACTCTTTATCTTTCTTGGATCTCGGTGGGCAATCCTTACGCTAGGACCTGGATCGCAACGTATTGATCCAGGGTGTAGGCGGCTGAGAGGGTTCTCGACCAACGTAGTCGTACCGTTAGTCCTTGTTGAGTTTCTTCCATACTTCGTTCTCAGCTGCGGCAAGTCTTTCTCCCGTCTGCTGGGCCCATTTCTTCGCCGAATCCCAAACCCCACCCGAATCTTCTGTGTGGCCCTCTAACTCGCTCTGCTGAATAGCTGATCTCTGATGCATGTCTACCTCAGATGCGTTGACATTCTGGTGATATCCCGGAGGGTGCTGTAAGCTTTGGGTGGGTGGACCGCCTAAAGCCGTGGGTCCCTGGCCACTATATACCGAAGTAGGTACGGAGGCCGCGGACGTACCACGCTGCTGAGCTGCGTAAGGCGCACTAGGAGGGGACATAGACATCTGCGGAGGATACGGCATGTTCATAGGCTGGGTTGCCGACGTTTGCTGGGGTGGTTGATACTTCTCACCTGCCTTCGGCGGTGGTGGAATATTTGTTCTAGTGGCTCCCGGCGGGGTAGGGAGACCACCAGGTTGTGGTGCTGGAGGACTATTTTGAGGGACATATGCCTGAGATACGGCCGCCGTCGGAGCTGGAAGTGAAGGTGCAGCACCAGGTTTTGCAGGTGGGTACGAAGTCTTGCTAGTTGGAGTAGGTGATGTACTAGTCGTCGCCGGTTTTGAAGCAGACGATGCTTGAGCAGTCTGGGGAGTTACTCCGGATGGCTTCGAGGCAACAATAGGACTGTCGGTATAGACGGGGATAGGAGCCATCGTGAATACCCTGTTGAACTCTGTTGACCTACACAACTAGGCTAGATATACAAAGAGGTAGAGCGAGGTAAAGGCAGTTGAGAATTATGGTATGTAATTGTTTGGAACCGAAAGGAACAGAAATGGGTAACTCGTGAATTCCTACTACGTGGCGTCTCTGCTAGGCACCTTTGCTAATAAATAGACTTGAAAGTTGGACAAATTCGTACGACTCAAAGACTTAACGCGGGAAGGAAAAGGTAAATTGAAAAGCGACGTCATAGGCGTCAAGTAGTCAGGTGACTCTGTTAAAAGTTCAAGATTTTTGCAACTGATGAAGATAAAATACGAAAACTGTTGCTCGTAATTATATACGCAGGTATGTAAATAGTATTTTGGGGTTGATACCTGTAAAGCAGAATTTGTAAGGTTTGTTATACAGACCTTTGTGCTTTGTCCTTTCTGGTGTGCTATAAGCTGAGCAAGATTTAGACGGGGATAAAGGGTTACCTAAGTCATGGGAGCAACTTTTAGAGGTACTTAAACTGTTATAGTATCTCTTGCCTTCTAATTACAATTGTAAAAGAGCTTGCTGGATTAACAATAGGGGAATATATGATTCATATAAGGTACCTACTAGGTAAAATATCAAGCCTTGGATCCTGATTCAAAGTTGTCTTGATGCTAGTTAGGTAAGTAACTTATGAACTTACCTAGTATGTAGAAGCTGTGAATCGAATCCATGATGACCCCAACCTCAAAGAAAGATAGGATAATCAAGCTACCGAGCTCCGCCACGCTAGCTTAAATAAGGCTTAGTGGGTTCAAGAACGAAGGGTATGGAGGTACTTCGTACTCAGGTAGCTAATTGAATTATTCTGGCGCAGCCGCGACTGATTGATTTGATATGGCCCGCAGGGAAAGAAGGAGGAAAGCTTGAAGACAAAATTCGCCGTAGACAAAAAAAATTAAAATCTCACAAACTCAATAACAATCTCTAAAATGAATCCGTAATCTTCACTACTCCCAACCACCTGGCAATCCCAACACCTCAACCACTAAACCACGAAAGCTCGCATAAGAATCCATCTAAATGCAGCCATCATAACATCTGCCATCGCCATAACTTTAACCATATCCATCGCCAACACCGTCGCCAATTATCTTAAGCTGCAATCATGGTTGGCAAGGTTAGCGAGAAGGTCCTCCTTCGGGAAGGTTAGTTCGATTCCGCTATGCTTCGGTTAATTCTTAGCTGATATGGATTCTTCACCAAAGGACTCGAACGGACAGACAATAGCATGAAGCAAACTAGCTGGCCCGACGTCACCCCGATCAACCAGAAAAACTACTATACGTACGCGATCCCTTGATATCTCGATACCTCGGTATAGCTTAAGTTAGAATCGGAGTCTTAACTAACGTTTACTACTTTGTAGTGATTATATGAAACGCGATGACCAAGTACTGGCCCTTCGATTACAAGCAGAAGCGAATAGAGACCGACTCGTTCAAAGTGCTAAAGATCGCGATCGAGCACTCGCGCGCAATGGACACGCCGAGGTGCCCCTCCCCGTTACCGATATACAGCAGGAAGATGGTGCTCCGGCCGCCACCGAGGGCCTGGACCCGTCCAAGGTTATCGTGATACATCCCGGAAGCCAGAATCTCAGAATCGGTTTTGCCAGCGATGCCTTGCCTAAGACTATACCCATGGCCATCGCGAGTAAATTCCCCCAGACCGAGTCCGAGATGTATGAGGCTCTTCCCCGGCGTCAGTTTGAAGCCAAGACCATAGACCAACAATACGGAGAGGAGTGGTCTAAGAAGTATCAGAAGCTGTGCAATGACTTGAAGGTGGACATGCGAGCGAGAAAACTAAAAGTGTTGCCCAACTCTAAAGAGTTAGTGGTAAACTACAACAGACGAACCGAGTCGGAAGAGATAGCGTTGCACAACGACCCTCTCCAGATCGAATGGACCGACGTCAAGTCTCTGGAGGACCCCGACTCGGCAGCATCATGCTTCATCGGCCATGCTGCCCAGCGTATACCTGACGACTCAAACCCCAAATTCAAGCTTTGGTGGCCCATACAACACGGCTGGTTGAATGAAGATGATTACACAACAGCTGAGCACCTATATGACGATTTTGAGACTCTCCTAGACAAAGCCATCAGACAAGAGCTTGGTCTAACCCGGAATAGCGCGTGGAAGAATTATAGTTGCGTATTCGTCATCCCTGATCTATACGACAAGAAGTATGTGGAGCAGGTGCTAAAGTCTTGCATGACTTGGTTCGAATTCAATAAGATATGCTTTATACAGGAGAGTATGGCGGCGACATTCGGTGCTGGTTATACGCAGGCCTGCGTGGTGGATGTTGGAGCTCAGAATACATCGATCGCCTGTGTCGAGGACGGGCTTTGCGTCGAAGACTCTCGCGTCAACCTGAAGTATGGTGGTTATGACGTTACGGAGACATTTATCAGGATGATGCTTTACGACAATTTCCCTTATCAAGATATCAACCTTAGAAGACGATACGACTTTCTTCTAGCAGAAGAGCTCAAGATTAAATTTTGCACAATGATCCAGAAGGATGTATCGGTACAGCCTTGCGATTTCCACCTCCGCGCACCGAACCAACCGACGCGCAAGTATCTATTTAAGACGTATGACGAAGTCATTCTCGCCCCGATGGGCTTCTACGAACCCTCCATCTTCGACAACTCGACGAAAATACGCAGCCGACGGAAGCTTGTCGACCGTTCTTACAACGCTTACGACGTCGAGGTACCTGACGACCCGGCGTCTGCGGCGCAGACGGCGATCCTGGCGCTTATCAAACCCTCTATAGTCTCCAATGCGAACGGTTTCCCAACCTTGCCTACCGACCCCAACGTTGCCACCCCCATGAAGGAGAAGTCGCAGCCCTTCTCCAACTTCCTAAGAGGCGACCTCAATAACGGCACGCCCGGCGGCTCAGCCGCAGCTTCGCCGGCCCCAGACGGGGCCGCGACTCCCGTCCCACCAACCTTCCACTTCGGCGCCAACGGCACGGTGACAGGAACCGGCAGCCCAGCCCCCAACGGCACGTCCACCGCTCGCAACGGGCTCTCTCCCGCGCCTCCGCCAGGCATGTTCGTGGACTCGGCGGCGCGCACGGCCAAGGCGCTGGCCGCGGAGCGCGACGCGGTCCTGCCCGTGGTACCCCTCGACATCGCGATCCTGACGAGCATCCAGAACGCGGCCAAGGGCGACGACAAGAAGCTGCGCGACTACCTGGGCAGCATCATGGTGGTCGGCGGCGGGTCCAAGACGGCGGGCTTCGCCGGCACGCTCGAGGAGAAGCTCAAGGCGCGCCGCCCGGACCTCTCCGAGCGCATCCTCATCACCCGCTCGGCCCGCGACATGGACGAGCAGGTCGTCGTCTGGAAGGGCGCCAGCGTCTTCGCCAAGCTGCCCGCCAACGACTCCTGGATCACCCCCTTCGAGTTCGAGAGGCTCGGCGGTAGGGTCCTGCATCATAAGGTGCTTTGGGCTTGGTAGATTTCGGCATCTTAACTTACGGATACCTACACCTACCTAGATATTACATATGGTGTCGAGAGGCTAGGCTAGGCTGGATAAGGGGATATAATGGATGCGTTACCTTTTTTCAGGGATAGAGAACGCCTTTTTCTTCCGAAAATTTTCACGTGTTCTACGTGCTATGCATATGGTACTAGGTAGGGAGGTACTATGCGTATTCTAGATGTCGCAGCTAGGGAAGTTTTACGACCTACTTATCTAATGACCCCGTCGGGGCTGGACCGAGGAAGTGCGCGTGTATGTTTTATTACCGGGACATCGTCGTCGTACGATAACTCCCGAGGGACGGCTGGGCTTGTAAGGCGTTGGTGGTGAATTAGTTCTTGCGGGTTTTATTTTTTCTCGTTGCAGATAGGAAGAAACGAAAAGCGAAATATAAAAGGATTTTCACAATACCCGCTCGAGCTTTAACACAATAAAATGAAAAGGTTAGTCAGCCTAGTCTTCTGGTTCGATGTAGGCTTGTAGAATGAGAGTAAGAGGCGTCTACGTTATGTAAATTAGGGGAACCTGGGTTATAACCGATTTCCTAAGTAAATAAATAAACCTAGCATTGACGGTCCTGTCTCGGAGTAGCATTTCATTTATAAGAGCAATTCAAGATCGGTTGATGTTCAAACTCAACGTTGATTCCATTAGCATTAGCAATTCAATGTCTTGCTGCAAAAGTTTACGCCGAGGGTCTTGCCAAGAGCAAGCAACCCGTGCCCGTCGTTTCCAAGTCTCGCGTTGAGAAGACCGCCGTCCTTGAATTACGGGACGTCTTTCTTTTTGCCCAAAGCAACGCAAATCTCATAACCATATTAGCATTTCGGGGGTATCTCGTTTGAAGCATAACAAAGGAGAAGCCTGCCCTGAACGCCGTCGCCGCTCTCATGAGCATTGTCCGGAGGAAATTTCTTTGAAAGGTTAGGTGCTAGATTCGGACTCGATATAAGTTCACACGCCTTTAGTGGCAAAGATCATTTGAAAGGAGATTTCGATGGCAGATGGGAAGAAGCTGATGCAGAGGTCGAGGGATCGGTAGAGGATGGGGTCGACGACGGTCCTGCGCGTTGTTGCTTAGTTACCGCATTGATAGCCCAGTTCGGTAGACGAGGATCTTTGCCTTTGGTAGGCTTCTTAGCGATCCTACGTTCAATAACAGCCTCCAATGCTTTTCGATCGTCGAGTCTCTGCGGTTTCGGCGGCGTTAATCCAGAATCCTGCGTCTGGGGAGCAGACAACATTTTCTGGATAGCATATTGCAAGTGCTAAGCTCAGTAGATAGAGGTTAGTCGAATTGATTCTTGTACTCTGTGTTAATGTTGGCGAGGGTTTCCTACTTCAGGGTCCGCTCCAGACTGATGACCTGTACCGTGTCTCTCATCCTCTTCCTTGAGTGTTCTAGACATCTCCAAACACTCTTCCCATTCAAGTTTCGACCATTTCTCACCAATGCTGCGGATTTCGGCCAGGTTCATATTGCCAAGTCGTATTGGAGAAATACAACTTGAACCGAGGGCGAACCTGAATTGATAACCTCCTATCGCCTTTTGAATTTGTGTGAATATCTGCTCTTGGTCTTTAGTTGGTAGTTTTCGGGAAACAACTGTTTCCGTAATGGACTGCGCAATACGTTCATATTTGCTTCGCATCTCTTCATCCCAGCCACTTACGGGCACTAGCAACGATGTTATGCACCGCGTGAAAACCTCCGGGTTGTCTGTACCCGGTTTGTAGTAAATCGGGTCATACATAGTATCATCATATCTTCTATTATTTGAAGAGTTTGAAGAGTTTTTATGGTTGGTCAGAACGACGCCAGTAGCATGGGCGGTCATTTTTAAGCCCGACCTGCGAGACTCGTTTCGCGCGATCAACTGGTTAACCTCTGCATCTTCTTCCGCTGTCAGAACTGCGTCTTCCTTCGCTTCCTCTTCGAAGGTGTCCATCACCTCAACAGCTCTAATGCCCGACTTGTACTGTTCGACGATTTTATCGAGGACAGTATCTATGCCGGCATATTTGTAAATATCTTTCTGCACTGCTTCTTGGGGCATCTCGAGTGAGCTATCGGATGCTCCGGCTTTAGGAATCGGGTTCTTCTCATCGACGACTCGAGACGTTAACTGCAGCTTTCTAATCGCCATATTGAACGACTTTTCTTCAACCGTACCACCACAGACCAAGCGATAAACAAATACTGGCTTTTTCTGGCCGATACGATACGCGCGCCCAATCGCTTGCAGCTCGTTTTGAGGGTTAAATCTAGTGTCGAAGAGAACGATGCGATTTGCAGTAGTCATGTTGAGCCCAACACCGCCAGCCTTGGTAGATATGAGGAATATATCTATTTTACCCTTGTTGAAGTCCTTGACCGTGTTCTGCCTTATGCTCGTGGGGACAGATCCATCTAACCGCACTGAAGAAAACTTTCTGCTTCGGATAACGTGCTCCAGATAATTAAGAGTAGTGATTGACTGACTGAAGATGAGAACCGCGTCACCTAAACGCTTGCATTCTTCGAGTATCGAGAGAAGTATCGGGATCTTCCAAGACAAAGAAAGGTCGTTCACATCAGGCGTCTTATTGATAAGTGCCATCTCCATACTAATAAGCTCGTCGGGAAGTGAATTGTTCTTTAGAGTAGCTTTTCTCGTAGAACCTGTCTTCTCTCCCTGCAATTTCTTCAGCAGAATTAGTGGGTGAGCACAGAGGACACCTAGTGTCCCCCCTGCGGCAATCGCAGCAAATCTGTAGTTAGGATCGTCGTGCTGCTGGTGGAAACGGACATAGGTTTCGTATGCTGACCGTTGCAGGGGTGTGAGTGGAACTATCACGACAAATTCTTGCTTCATCGGTAGGTCGTGCTTTAGCACCACGGTCGTTATCCGCTGTACTTTTGGCCCGACTTCTCGTTTGAGGGCGTTCAGCATCTTAACAGCATGACGACGTTCGGAGTTGGTGGCGTCCAAACTAAGGCCCCGCCCGATAGGATTGGCATACTCTGATCTAAATTCACGGATATCAGATAGGTAGTTTGGTGCAACCCAGTTGATCATGGAGTGGTATTCTTCGACACGGTTGGCTAAAGGCGAGCCCGTTAATGCGATCCGACTATGTGTCTTGAAGTTGCTAGTGGCATGATGTATTTGTGAGGTTGGATTCTTCAACTCATGGGCCTCGTCAGCCACCACAAGATTCGGGCCGTCGCGCAAAGCTTCCAAAGCATCTTCGTTCTGAGAAGTAATATTCTTAAATAGTTGGTAGCCAATAAGGAGTATGCCACCTCGGTCATCCCAGGCTGCGATGTTCGCCAAACGCTGCCTATCTGTGGCTGACTGATCAACTTTGAAGAAATCCCCCAATTGATGTCCTTCAGGTGCCCATAAAAGGAATTCATCCATCCAGTTGTTTATGAGTGAGGGAGGGCAAAGAACAAGGGTCTTGGATTCCCTTAGTCCCTCGGGTATCTGCGAGGAGATCGTGGGGTCGTTAGATTTTGCCGCTTCAGTGATAGCCACCAAGAGTGTGATGATTTGCATGGTCTTTCCGAGACCCATGGTGTGAGCCAGCAGACAGCCTTGTTTCGTCGCGGAATCCACGATTTGGTTCCACATAAATCTAACCCCTGATATCTGGTGATTTTTGATGCGTTGCGCAATCTCTGGGTGAACATAGATAAATCCTTCATTGTCACCCTTACTTTCGTTGATGATTATTTTCTGCGTATCAAGATCCCCCATGCCAGAATACTCACGCGACTTGAGTTTGTCACGCAACAGCTGTCGGCGATAGTCTTGTTCTGCCGTCCGCTCTTTGTCTGCTTCTCTGAGATTTTCTGCGTCTAAATTGCGAGACAACTTCTTACGTCGTCTACGCTTCACCGGGGGAGATGTTTCACCTTCGACTCGCGTGGAACATCTCTTCCACTCAAAGCGATCAGACAAGCGACAGAGAAAGTCGACGTAGCTGTTGACTTTGTCAGGTATGTTACCTCCATTTGACCATGTCTGCATCTTCTCCAATATGTCATCGTAGGTTAGTTTCTTATAACGACCTACTGACAGGAGGACGCCATCTCTGTAGATTTCAAACAGGCGGAGTAGCGTGTAAACAGCAACAGTTTTCCTCTTCTGGGCATCGTGAGGAGGTCTGGGGAAGTCCTGATGATTTAGTGCATCATTCATAACGTATAGCCAATCGCTCTCCAACCGCGTGTTAGTGATCAATGTGAATACTTCATTCAAATAACTTTGATCAAGTTTTGCCAGCTCTTGGGCGACAAGTTGCTCTGCTGGGTCTAGATCATCGATTTTCATTATGAGCCCTTCTGATTGGGTCTCTTGGAAAGCAACCGACTTTGATCCTTTGCGTTTTTTTCTTGATAGCTTTTTGGGCGTAGTAAGGTCTACAACATGACGTTCTCGAGACTTAACAGGCGTGCTTGGCTGACCCATGCTAACATCCTCCTCCAGTTGCGTGAGATCAATCATTTCTCTTTGATCTGGGTTGATAGACTCCGTATTCTGATGATAGTCTTCGGCATCTTGTTGTCCATGAGAAATACCATCACCCCCGTCGATATCCATAGGCGAGAAATCATGAGCCGGGCTTGGGTTTGCGGGCTCATCATCGACAACAAAATCATTGATGTCTTCCTCGGACTCACTTGTCAATATCTCCTCGTCAAGTGTGGTTGACTTTAATGCACGACTCTTCCCAGTAGAATTTCGGGACAAGGGCTGGAGCTTCTCAGGTTCAACTGAAGCATTAATGACGCCCAGAACCCATAAATGATTTTCTCTATCTTCGACACTCTGTTGTAGGATCAAAGCCTGTTCCTTCACTTCGGCCGCATCACGCCATTGCTGCGCAAGGATTTCATTGCAATACCTGGCAATACGAGCCTCGCATGCATCATGCTCACTACGGACATTGAGAATTGATCTCCTCAAACCGGTCTTCCTCGCATCTATCCAGATCTTGTTGGCTTTGCGTGATAGCTTGGAGAGTTTGCGTTCTTTCCAGTCGGATGCATACTGTTCAATTGAGTCGTCGAGGACTGCCTTGACTTCGTCATGACTAAGTCCGGGTTGGTTATCCATTTCCGCTTGCTCAGTGATGTCGGCTTCGATTTCGTCCCATGTCTCTGAATCATACTCTTCATCGGAATCACCATATAAAGGTAAAAGTTCGTCGTGGTCCGGATCGTTGGTGCCAGGTACTAAATCTGCTCTAATCCCGCGGAACTTTGAAGACATTTGCATCCGTAGTGTATGATGTTTCATGAGTTGGTGGACTTGTATACGACGTCCCTGGGGTATTTCCCTACGATAAGAGAACTCGACTTGGTCTTCCTTCTGCTGATCATCATTCTCTGATGGGCGATAATTGCCCAGGACATCAACCCTTGTAAGAGCATCCTCACCAAGGTAGGCCCAAGGGGATGCGATCACACCGCCGTTCGGTTGAGTATCAGCAGTACGTGTCTTTGATGGTCTGATTGTCGAAATCACATCTGCTTCGGTGGCAATATTGCGTGCTGAAGTGCCATTGGTGTCACTTGAAACTAGCATTGGAACGACCCGTCGTCTCTTGCTAACATGGCCTTCTAAGACAGAGTCATCGGCGACCGAGGGTTGTGGGCTGTCGGGAATACGGTGCAATGAAGAGAGTGTAAGCATGGGTTGTGACTGCTTCATGGAAGGATTGGCATCTTCATTGGATTTTATCGGTGCTGGATCTCCATATTTACTATGGTCGCTCTCATAACCAGCGTTGAAGCGTTTCACATGATGATGAAATCCATGACTACGACTGCGAAATATCTCAATGGCATATTTTAGTGTGGCCTTTTGTTTCAATGTCGTGAAGTTGAGCGCCTGACAAAGCTCTAGGTGGTCGAGGGTGAGGATCGTATGTCCATCAACCTCTTCCCTTCTGAGCCGAGCTTCGAGTTCGTCAAGAGGAGGAAACTTCAAGGGGCCGGAGGGTGGTTCCCAAGATCGGTTCACTGAACAGAGCTCAGTGACAACCCTCTCTGTGCTCCAGTGCCATGGGTCATCCATGGTCACTTCGGCCATCTCATTGGCCGAAGAATGGGTTAAGATGGTCGAATTTCTGGTAATTAAAGAGTAACAGGCATGTCAAGTTCCTATTGGCTATTGATTAGTACGTGAACTCTGCTCAAAATAGCACTTCGTAGAAATTTAGGGTAGAGCGGCGTTAAAAGTGACAAAGCTGAAGTCGGCGACTTTGGCCAGCAGGGGTCGATGTAAGATATATTGAGGGAATGACTGGTCGTCAAATTTAGATAACCACCACACGCGATGACGGATAGTCCTAGAACTCAAATAGAAAGCACCTACTTACCGGGCAATCATCCGTAGATATTGAATTTGAGTCAAATGATTCAAAGCCTATGAAATCTTGTGATTAGGATACGGCGGGACTAGAGATCTTGGTTAAGAGTGGAATGAAAAATATGTTTGGGAGTGAATTTTGAGGTACCTAAGTAGGTACCTAAGCAGGAAAATGAACGAAAGTGAAAGATTATAGGCGCATGTAATGAGGAAATAGATAGTAACAAGATCGCGAAGTGGGAACAATTAGAGAACGTCGCGTCAAATAGAGGCTGCGACGCGTGGGTAAATGTATGCTGTGCAAATTGGGAAGTGGCTGCAGATATTTGATTGTGCCCAATATTGCCCCCAAGACGTCCTGAAAGCGTATATCAGCAGTTCACATACCTGAAAGTTGACGTTGTGAGTTTTGCTGAAAATAGTCGTTTGGATGGGTTAAATGACGGTGAAAATGAATAATATTCACTCAAATGAAGGAAGTAGAAATATTTAGGCCAACCTTTGACACCGTGAAGGTTGGAGTGAAGACCGAATATTAAGTATTGGTTTTCAAGAATAGAAAGAATGAGAATGGATGTTGATATCGTCCCAGGGTAGATTTCAGGGCATGTGTACCTAAGGTAGATAAGTATGGAGGTGAAGAGGAAAAGATATTCCAGTTAACTATCGAAGTGCACGGAATTAAATAGATAGCATCCAACGACCCCAAACAACTGCTAAGGAAGCCGTCTACCCTCTCTTGGTCAAATTTGGAAAGCACGTTCATGTGAACTTAATTCTGATAGTACTGAAGATACAGACAACGGCGGCAAAAGGCAGTGTGTGTACGAAGGAGCTGATGCGATGGTACTTTCTCTTTTCGTAGATACCTGGTAGGTAACGGGCGGCTACGCACTAGAAAGGCTGAAAATACAGGCCTGGCTGGCCCGGGCAGGCGCTTCTGTGCTCTTCAATAATCAGCGACGCCTGCCAAAGTTGATGTAGAAGCCGTAGGTAGTTACCTAAGTTTATATAAGTGTTTTAGAACCCATCATTCGTCCCCTAAGTACTCAGGTATGCGCAAAAACGTACCTATCAAGGCTGGTAAGATATCGAAGTATTGTGATCAAGATCATTGATTACCATGTACCTAGGTATCTAATGAAGATTTGACGCGTATCAGTGTGTCCCGCATTTCAAGTTCCAGGTTGCAGTGTGGAGTCATCTGCAGGTGGAAGTTCCAACATCGAATGTCCCAACATCCATTTGGACTTACGTACTCAGGTACCTATATATGGAGCACGTGACTCAGGGAAGTCCTAGACCAAAGTTGGCCGAATTTTAACCATTTCGAATCCACTCTCACCCCGTGGCTTGGCAATCACGTCACCTATGGTTTTGATCTAATAACTTAGTGGGGTACATGCATATATCGGCGAAGACCGGCTAGAATAAGATATATGCTAGTAGTACATGAGCAGTCTTATTTCTAAAGATTTCTAAGCCGTAATAACACTTAACATGTACGTAGGCGTTTATTAATCCGTACCTTCCAAGCGCGACTAATTCGTAGTGAGTTTACCTCGATGGCCTCGTTGGATGGAAAGGAAGGAGAAGGGTACCATACTATACTATTCCGAGACTAATCGAATATAGGTCCCAGGTAGCAAGACGCAAACACTATTTTGTCACATTTATATTAAAGGTCATTCTATTGCTTCAGACGTCGGTTGAGTCCCAATCGATGATTCGGTCTAGACATGTCTGACTATCCGCCCGAAATCACGCCTATTGAGGGCAAAAAGTTGACTGAAGTCGTTAAGGATTGGTCACTGGCCCATGGCTTGACTGTTCGGCCACCTCCTACTGTCATCCCTGCGGAGGCTGATCCTGCAGGAATTCTTGCAACCGCTGTTCCCGTTACCTTATTTCCGAGCCCCTTTCCTCGCGTATGCTTCGACCAAGCCATCACGGTTCAGAAGGCATATAATGAGTTATATGCTTCTATCAGTCAAGACGATGCATTCCTTGCTCATATTGTGAAAGAGTCAGTCCATTGAATTCATGGGAGTGGTCTCACGGTTCTCGAATCATGAATTAACGAAGTATAGAATTGGAGACGGCGATGACTTCACAACAGAACTATGGAAGGTTCACCTAAGAGTCAAGGAGGAGGGCTATGTTCAGGTAAGTAGACTACCATCTCGCCTCATCTTGTCAACGTAGCTCATAGTCCCCTAGCACAAAAGCCTCGGCATCTTCAGGTCTGATTATATGGTCCACCAAGATGATATCGGATCTCCCCCGCAGATCAAACAGGTCGAGTTCAATACAATCTCTGCTTCTTTTGGGGGCCTCTCGTCTCAAACCTCACTGTTGCACAAGTTGGTATACACTGTCCACTGAAAGACCATAAGGCTAAGAACTATCTAGATATCTGTCTGTAACAGAGTACCCATTACTTGAGAATCATATACAGAGAGGAAGTTTGCAATTACCCAAGAACGAGAGCATTGCGGGGTTGGCGGCAGGTATTCGACATGCCTTTATGGAATACGGCCTCCCGTCTACTCCCTACCAAAAATGTGTCATATTTCTCACGCAAGGAGGCGAGAGGAACATATTCGATCAACGTCATGTAGAGTATGAGCTCCAAGCTTCCCAAGAGCCGCAAATACCTGTGTTTAGACTTCCATTTTCCGAAACTTTGGAGCGTACAACCATAGCCGAAAACCCAGGACGTCAGCTATTATATCGCCCGCCTCAGTCACCTTCCCACTTATTTGAAGTTGCTGTCGTGTATATGCGGTGTGGCTATGGACCGTCAGATTACCCCGACCAGTCTGCTTGGGAGGCTCGCTATCATTTAGAAAGGTCAGCAGCTATCAAGTGTCCGACGGTGCTAACCCAGGTTTCCGGCACGAAGAAGGTCCAGCAGGTCCTCGCCACGCCCGAGACCCCTTCAAACCCATCTGTATTAGCCCGCTATATACCCAAGGATTCGATATCTTTATCCGATCTGACGAACACTTTTACCAACATCTATCCCTTGGATGAAACGGAAGCTGGACTTAAGGCTCGGAAAATTGCCAGTGATCCTGAGCTTTGCAAGGGTTACGTCCTCAAACCGCAGAGAGAGGGTGGTGGCAATAATATTTATCGTTCATCAATTCCACCTTTTCTAAAGTCCATTCCTGAATCGCACTGGCCATCATATATCCTCATGGAACTGATTACTCCACCGCCTGTCAAGAACACGATCCTGCGCAATGGAAATCTAGAACACGGCGGCGTCATTTGCGAACTCGGCATATTTGGGACATGCATATGGGATCAACAATCTCGAACCATTTTTCATAATGAGCAGGCAGGCTATCTTCTACGCACAAAGGGAGATCAAAGTGAGGAAGGTGGTGTGGCTGCTGGATATGGTTGTATGGACAGTTGTACTTTGGTATGATATGGAGGTAAAGCTTAAAGGAAATTGCTGGAAACGCTCAAAACGCCAGCTCTAGACAAATGGACATTTCGTCCTTCAGGTTAAATAGTTCTATATGTAACTAATCAACACATTATTGGCCAATGAGATATATATGATATAACCTAACATGATACTCGCATAAGTCATCAATTCCTCTATATCATTTGAGGTGTCACTTTGGAATATAATCAGTGCTTTTATCTAGTTTCTTCTGCAGTGTCACATTACTGATCTGCATCCTTCTGGAAGGGTGTTAGGCAATAGTGTTGGCTAGAAACAGTACGTAGTTCTCATCACATCTCCTAGGTACTGCGGCGTTATGATATTTGAACCTTGAACGTCAAATGACAAGAGTCAAATATCAATGACATTAAGCCGGTTGGTTATTGTCATTCATCTTGGATTAACACACAAATAGAACCATAATTCTGGCAAGTCGTTTCAAAAGTCGGTAGTAAAAGGGTTGGCATCAGCACGTTTGGTATCGAGTCATAACACAGCAATATAGTACACTAGCATCTCCAAGTCGTCCCATTATCAGACATAAGAAAGTCGTAGTAGTGGAGAATTTTGACCCAACTGTACGTGGGTATTGGTCAGGTCGACACAGATATAGCTGCTCTAACTTCCGCATACATCACATTTACCCGTTTATTCGGCTGCAGGCGTTGGTCGACGCAGGACCTCGATATTTTCTAATTCGAATCTGTTAGAGGAACGATCAAGCAGCACGGTGGTTAGCTCGTCTTACTTTGGTAGATGCTGAGCGCAGAACGAGACTTGCCATCGGCGTCGTTGTACGAGTTCATGATGGCGTCGCCCTCCACATAGACAGTAGCTCTGTGAAATACCATTAGCTCTCATAGATTTTCCCCAGTCATGCTAATCGTAAACTCTAGGTCCGTCTGCAGCTGAATTGGAGATAACAGAAACAGAAGGCCAGGCCGTTGAAAGGTGATTTTCGGGATTAAGATCGGACATACCCTTTTGGTAGACTAGTCAAGAAGTCTCGGCGGGGTCCTTCTTCGATGAAGGCAGCGACCCTGAACCAACTGGTCTGACGATTGTCCCGAGGTCCACTGTTGCTGGCGACAGCGTACTCGATGATCTCGTGGCCCGTGCTGGTGGCCTTGAGCTCTGGGGGGCCCGCAAGGTTGCCGACCAAGGTAATCTTGGCTATATCGCGGCGAGCGGAGGCGCTGAAGGAGCGGGCCAGGCTCGGGGCAGCAGCGGTGAAGCGGCGTGCGAGGAATGACATTTTCGCTGTATTGTGCTAGGTTGGTGGTAACTTGCGCAATCGTTGTGAAGGATTATTGTCTCAATTTAATGGGGAAATTTGTGCGTTTGAGGTCAAATTCTTAATGTGGTTCGCGATTGCAAGTTTATTCAACGCGACGGGAAATTACCTAACTTTTTCGCGCATCCTTATTGGTTGTGTAACGTGGGGTGATGGATCGCCTAGGGTAATCGATTGTTGCATATATTTGATATGATGCTATAATTAAGTAATACATATTGCATCTAGGAACTACTGTTCATTGAAACTCTTCTTTTCTATAAACTTAAACTTCAGCCATGGTTTTCATCTTTTCATAATAAAGTCCACAGTTCAAATGACAGCTTTAAACTGTTATATCTTACTCTTCTCTGGGGCGAGTTGAAGAAGTTGGTGTGGTGATAAATGTAGAAGTGAATGGATATGATTATGATTGCCCTTCGGAAAAGGGGCCGTTGAAAGGGAAAGGGAATTCTAATATATGTGAAAAGGGAAACGTAGTTTATATAACATAGCCCTCCTTGGACATACGCGAACCTCAGCACTCGTTTATATGTCCTATAGTTTTATATATTAGAGCAGTTGTGGAAGGTTTCTGAAGGTACAATATTATTTGGCTGACCTCTGTGTCATACACTGTACACTGGTATATTGTTGTACAAGGAGAAAGAAGAAAGATATAGGGAAATATATTCACACCATTTTCTCCGCTTCAAACATGCTAAGATTAAGAAAGCTATGCAGGCTTCAGGCTGAATTTTTACAGCCCTGGGTGATGTATTTATGGATTGAATCTCCGAGCCGATAATAAAGGGGGACTGGTTATAACTAACAAGTGCTCCTCGGGACACTAACATTCAATTCCCTTGAAAGAAGCCCTTTTCCAAAGCCTCACTGGCATTTATTTTTAAGTCTTCATTTGCATAGAAGACCTATAGCTCTCTTCTAAGGATCAGCTATCTACAGTCAATCTCCAACAATGCTTGACTTGGCTCATCTTACCCGTCACTCCGAGAGACCGCCAACCACGTCGAAACTTTGGCTACGCGGAACCGATATGAACGTCGGATGCCCTCGCCCGTCGACCTTTAGCATATGTAAGACCCTTTGAGTCCTTGAGACCAAACGTAAATGTTTACTTGGACACGTCACCTCTCAATCATCTCCCAGTCATTCGAATTTCATCTCATTCAACACCAAAAGCTTGACCCCAGCGTCAATCTGGTTTGTAGGTATCACTACTCCAACCTATTTCCATTCCCCATTTTTTACTTTTCCAAAGTATATGAATCTAACGAACAGCACTAGATTCAAGGTAACTCATGGGTTTGGTGTAGTAAAATTCAATTATTTCCATTCCCAAACCTCTCATCATCACGGTGATATTTGCGCAGCAGCTGGCGGCATGCTAGCCTAGCAGCGCAATGTCTCCCATCATCACCAAGGTAATAGCCATCATCACCGCTCTCCTCGCGAGAGCGGCGACGGCAGCCCCGGCCCAAGCGAATGCATCGTCCAACGACCTCCGCTTCGCGCCTAACCCCAGCCTGACCGCCAACCTCGCCTTCCGCGTGATCCTCGCCATCGTCGGCACCGCGCTCTGCTGGGTGCCCTTCCGCCTCCTCTTGCGCAACGGCGACTTCGCGGCCGTCGTGCTGATCATCGATGTGGCCATCATGAACCTGATCACCGTCCTCAACTCGCTGATCTGGAACAGCGACAACTGGGACCGCTGGTGGATCGGCACCGGCCTCTGCGACGTCGAGGTGTACGTGTGGGTACCGCTGCAGACCGTCTACGCCGGCGCCATCCTTGCTATTATTAGGCAGTTGGCCGAGCAGGTCAAGCTAACGCGAGCATCGCAGCTCACACGCAAGGAGCACAAGATGAGAGCTTTGCTTCAGGCCGCCATCATCTTCCCACCGGCGCTCATCCAGCTGATCTTCACATGGTTCGATATCGTACAGCGCTACAATATCGGTACGCTCATCGGTTGTATGGTCTCGTTCGACGATAGCTGGCCTCGATTTGTTGTGTACGATGCTCCACCCACGATCTACGTACTGGCTTCTGTTCCTTATGCTGGTAAGTCTACGACTCTTGATTTTAAACAATTACGTATATATACACTAGGTATATATGGATGTTTAGTGGAAAGGACGCTAACGACCCTCGCAGTTCTGACCTGGAAGCGCTTCCGCGCCATATCGAAGAACACGCTGGAAGTGCTTAAGTCCAACGAGACCGCCATCGCGCGCGCGACAGGGATACGTAATCGACTGTACGCCATGTCAGTGGCCATTCTTATCGTGTATCTACCTGTGTCTCTCTACCTCACAGTAGAAAACTTCCGAAATATTGGAGACCTTGAGTCGTACAGCTACACCCGAATCCATTGGGGAGATAATTCGTATCCGTGGGACGCAATCCTGTTTATACCATCGTGGCTGCTCTCGACGATAGAGATGAACCAACCGTGGATCGCAATCTCGACGACGATCGTTATCGTAGGTTTCTTCGGCACCACCAAGGACGGTCTCGGCATGTATCGTCGATACGCAATGGCGCTAGGCCTGGGACGTCTATCCTTAAGACGCAAGAGACCGCACAACAACCCGGACATATTCTTCCAAAGCGATAACCACCCCGATTGTGCGAGAGGTAGCTGGATCGAGTTAACCAACCAGCCGAACCGAAGAAGGGAGAGCAGAAGAAAGCCTGAGCCTATCGACACTGATCGGTAAGTATCCCACGACTCCCTACACGGGGAAACCACTCTTGTCAGAGCAGCCAACTAACGATCAAAAATTCGCAGAATCCGCCGTATCGACGCATTCTACAGCGCCCAGAACACCGGAACCACGACCGGGCCATCGACAGGCAAAACGCCTCTCTTATCCGTACCCCCGCCACCGCGCTGCGAGACCTCCCCTGAGACCGACTTGCCGCTATTATTTAGCAACACTTCCAGCCCGCTCGATGGCAAAGTAGTCGAGACCTTGATCCCACCACGCACCTCCTCTCTCGCCAACCTGCGCCATAACTCTCCCGCGCTTCAAACCCCCGCGCCCGCCCTCCCACACACCACCCAAGACCCGACACAACAGTTACAACGCCACGACACCCGCCGCCGCCGCGGCAGCAGCAGCAACGACCAGCGTCCCACGCCCACCTCCACATCCCTAACCAAGCCCGCGCCATGCGCCCAACCTCACCGCACCAACCGCATGCGCTCAACCTCCTCAGCCACAGACCGAATCCCGATCCTCAGCCAACCATCCCTAAGCCCCCTCCACCGCGTCGCGGACGCCGGGTCGCCAGGAACCGCGACGCTCGACTCGCAGCGCTCCATCTACTCCCTGCGCCACGCGCGCTCGCGCGACGCCGTGCAGCTGAGCTCCGTGCTAGAAGCCGAGTCCTTCCACCGCCCCTCATCATACGGCTCCATCTCCTTCGCTCTCGGCGGCGACGGCGGGTCCGGCGCCCTGACCTCGTCGACGGCGTCGGCCGTCCGCGCCAGGGACCTGGTGGCCAGCGCCAGCGCGGCCACGAGCGCCGCGCACTCTTCGGAGGACGGGTACGTGCGCGTCGTGATCGCGGGGAGCAATCCGCTTACCCAGACCCAGACGCAGCCCCCTCATCCGCACCGGTCCCAGAGCCAGAGCCAGGGTCAGGGTCAGACTCTAGAAGGTCGAGCCCAGGTGAACCGCAGCCAGAGCCTTGGACAGGGTCAAGTTGGTCGAAGTCCGCGACGACCGTATAACATGGGCGCCTTACGCGGCCGAGGCATAAGCACGCCGCGAACTGTGGACGAGGTGAAGGCTGAGGGCGTCAAATCGGCGGAGTATTACGATTCCGATTATTCTGATGCGTAAGAGTTAATTGATGACGAGGAGAATATTGAGAGAGGAATGAGAGATATGGTGGACGAGTTGTGCCTTGGCAGGTTTGTAATCCGATATCGTGTTGAGGGGAGGAATGTGGCGTTGCGGAGTTAAAGGGGTGATCAACTTCGAAGTGAACGGGTGCTTTCATGTCAGAAGGAAGATTGTGCAGACAATTGAAGATACGAAGCCCTGGGTGTTGGTTTTGTTGAATACTTGCTTGCTATACCTCGAATGACTGTCGAGGAACAACTGTAACCTGCTGGCTTCGCTTGACTGGTCGACATTTTGCTTAATTGACACCAAAGAAACATAACACATATCCGAGTTCGTACGAGGGTAATTATACTGTTTAAATTATTATTGACAGCAGACAATGGTTTTATCTCAATACCTATGTCGATCGTAATAGTGCCCTCGCGGGCGAGATGTCTCGATGCTTAATCCTCGCGAGTGATAACATACAAGCGGTGCCCGGCCTGTCAATCTCGAGTCCTTCAAGAACAATCATGTCCTGTTTACCTAAATCTTCGAGCCAATTGAACATTCGTGAAATCAATCACATTGATACGCCTGAAACGCCACGCCGTTGCCATAAGATTAAGCTGGCGACTCCGATAAGCGTTAAAGGCCGGAAAATATAGAGACACAGCTCCGTTAAATAGATACAAAATTATGAGAAATAATGGTGGTGCTATGTGTGATAATGCTGGGGTATCTTCGTAATTCGTACAGCCCGGGACGACAGTCGAGTGCGATTAAAGTGGTTTATGAAGTGAAAAAAGGAAGAATTTGTACAAAAGATGAACACAAATATAAGAACGGTGGTCGTTATGCTTCAGTAGGAGATTCTGGCGACATTTCTGGCTTGAATTCGGTCATATTTGGACCTGATCTTGAGCCCGATGGCTCCGTCGACGCAGGTGCGATTTCGGGATCCGAGATTTGAAAGTCGAGCTAAGGAGAGGTTAGGACGTCTTGAAGCTCTACAGACCGAAGGATGATCACCTACATTCATGTAACCCGTACGCCTCAATGGAATGATCCTAGGAGGAATAGCGTTCTCGTCTGAACCTGTTTTCTCCATCTCCACATTCCATTTATCGATCCACGCATCCAAGCGACGCAGCCTTGTTTTGACATATGTAAAGCCAAGGTCGTCCCATATCCATCCGGTAAGCAGACCTAATATGCCATCTAGAATGTTTCTCCAGTTATAAGGGTTAAATATAGGTATTAGCTCTCCATTGAGCTTTTCGATGACTCGGCGGAACTCTTGTTCCGACACACCTGCAGGATCCAGTATCTCGGGGTAGAGGTTGGAAAACGCAGGTGCCAAATCTCCCTCAAGTAACCAATCTCTTCGAATCCGTATAATCCGCGTATTCGCATACTCTGGGGAATTTATGGGCACGTGAGGATTAAGGTGTGGATAACACGGATGCTGAGGACCCCATTCTTCGCCTAGGTCCGGTTGGTCAGGATCGCCCATAATAGAGGAGTTCGTTGAGGATATGGCCGAGCCAATGCCACCTGGCAATGACAAATTCGATCCATTATGCCGGCGACTTAGGACAGAGGGTCCTCTCTCAAGATCTTTAGAAAATGATCTCACGGGATCGTCATTCTCCACCTGCGGCATGACGGCCTTTCCCTTTCCCTTGTCAATCTTCTTAGGTGAAGTTTCAGAAGTTTCGGCTCGAACGAGCCCGAAGCTTATCGCTCGCGCCCGTTTTGTGACGCTTTGGCCGCGCTTCCTCAGTCCGGTGGTTATGGACTTTTCGGCCTTGGGTGCAGGTTCCGACGGGCCAGCTTCAGTTTCCTGCAGGGCTGGAGGATTGGAAGTGCGCTTGCCGTCGTAGGAGTGCCGAAACGACGCAGGAAGACTTATCCTCTTATCTCCACTTGTCCTACCCTCGATGGATAGGCTGGCTCGCTTTGATTGCTCGGGCAGAGGAAGAAGCGGATAATCGCCTGCTCCAAAACCTATAGCCTCGTTCGCATCCGACGAGACTTGAATGGTAGGGTTGTTGACAGGCACAGAAGGAGGCGGAGGCGTGGATGGGCGACGTTTGCGGGATGGCTGGGACGGCCGTGCTGTTCGTTGCGGTCGAGAAGTTAAGACTCTTGGGGTTGAATTAGTAGGATTCCAAAGACGGCCGGGGCCAAATCGACGATGTATACGATAAAGAGAGTTAAGGTTGTTGTTGTTTGTATTAGTAGTTGTGGTGGCCGCACGGTTGCGAAAGGGGGTTTGAGGAATATAGTCGTAGGGTCTAGGTGTTGTTGCCGCTAACAAATTTCTTCGATTGCCAGATTGTTGTCGCTGGTGAGTAGTGGCTCCAGTTGCTCCGCCAGGTCTTGGGGCTAAGACGGTAGGATACTCAGGCTGCTGAGAAGGTGAGTTAACGGTGTTATCCGCTTGCTGTGCATCTAGGGCGGCTGGTGACAGGTTCGCAGGGCGACGTTCTGCGTGAGAAGCCGTTTGAAATAAAAGTAATCTGAAATGGCCGGTTCAACGGCCGGATTGACAATTGGAGAAACTCCAGATCTTTCAAAGTCAAATCTTAATAGTAAGAAAAACGACAATAACAGCCAAGTTAGTGAAGTTTCCTCCCCTTCTCCCTCCGCTGTAACTTTAACTCTAACTCTGTTGTATGGAACCTCGGATGGCGGATATCGCGATGGAGGCTGACAATATGGTCGATGCGGTTGTGGTCGTGTATGACAAAGACGAACGCGACAAAAAGGAATAGGAGCGACTGAGGATTCTGATGGAGACGGGGGTCGTGACACCAGTGTTGTAAGTGGCTGGTGCTGGTACTGGCAATAATTCGGGGCTTCCAGCGCTAATGGGGGCAACCACAGGGGGGTTTTGGTTCTGATCATGCTGGCCTAGGCTAGCCCAGGCCTAAAGGGGAAAGGGCCACCAGCTGGTTGACGGTTCCTCGGCGGCTTTTAACGGCTGTCGTAAGTTATAGGAATGTGGTATTCAAAATTGCATGTGCATGTAATCGCATGGATACCAATAGTGTAGCACGTACTTCACCCACTCTTCCAAGGCATTCAAAGTCCAAGCTTTCCAAGTTCCAAGTTCTCTCTAGCAACCGGAAAATATTAGTAATTGTTGAGACTTCGAAATGTCAACAACAATTCTCATCCTCTGTTTCGTTCTGATCCAACGCGAGGTTCCCTAGGTGTTATATATCGACAAATGCTGCTTTTTCTTGGGGGCCGCCAGCTTGGTTGCGTGGTCTTTTTCTTTTAATATCTTCGAAGGGGTGTCATCATTCTTCTGATTGCTGTCAAATTTGGCTGTCGAAACACTGATTCGCTGCAAACGCCGCACTTGTCGTTTTGCCTTGAGGAGGGATTTCGGTAGAGAATCTGCCTCGAGCTTACAGTTGTAAGTCTGGCATTGATTGAGGATGGGAAAAAAATAAAGAAAAATCGAGAGCACAAATCAGCTAGATTAGTACGACAGAGAAAAGCCCGGGCTGCCCAGACAAACTCCAGAAGACATATATGCGACAGAAATGGTACTTCTTTTTCGTCATATGGTGTCCTTGCGTACCTAGATAGCCCCAAAATATTGACGAGTCAGCTACTAAGAAAAGAACAAGGCTTTAAATTGCTTTATTTTGCGGATCATTTTTTTCTTCTTAAACCTGCCATTGCCTATCAAAGCCCAGCTCAGCTTGGAGTGCCACGGTTGGAAGTTATTCAGGGGCATCCTCGTCACCTAACGTCCCACTCACGGGCTCTGGCGGTGTCACACAAGTAGCGAGTCTATTGCTCTGAACCTGGTCTGTCTGGTCTATCTGGGGGCTTTTTTCAAGACCGCCTTTACGCACATAGTGTAGGAGGACCCGACTGTATGGGTCGAAAACTTTTGCCCAGCCTTGTCTTTTCAAGAAAAGATCCATTTCAGCTCTCATTTCAGAGGCTGTGATGACTTACAGGCATGTTGCCGTACGGAGACAGCAATTTAGCGATAGGAGCGTAGCAACGAAGCGTACTAACATAATATGACGTGACAGCAAAATCAACGAGAATTCGCCTTATTGTTCAATAATTTTGGCCTTCTATTGCCTGATACGTCGGGAATGCCGCACTGTCGTTACATCTATTGTATTGGGTAGATGTGATGGTCATAGCTCAAGGATCTGAAAACAGCGGAAACATACCAAGGGCATAATGCTCAATCTCCACAGCCCCGGCAAGATACCATTTGACTTAGTGGACATTTTGGCGAACATACCCTTGGCTACTACCTCGAAATAGCACTAACACGAGGACATTAATGAGCCTTCTAATGAGCGGCTCGGCATTATTAATGTTCGTGATATCCGGGGATGGTTTTCTAGAAAATTCAATCGCCGTCCAGCCCTTGACAAACACGGCCTGGCCCGTCTTTTAATACCTTCTTGCACTCAGCCAGCTTTAGAAATCAGCCCTCGCTAGATGTTTTTTTTTTTTTTTTTTAACTAAAATCAGGTGGTTTTTTTTTACCTGAGACGCTTTGACATTATGGTTCGAGCGTAGAATATCCGCGGTCCAGGAACGGACGAAACACGATTCTTTGGAACTAGATCTTGCTTTTCCCCTCGGAATTTCGGTCCCAGTCTGTGCTCGCCCATCTACAGGGAGATCGGGAACGAAGTCAAAAGAGTAAGGCCCGATTTTAGAGGTACAACTAGAAACGAGGCTTGTCTTAAAATATACACATCATGAGGTTTAGACCTAAACATGACATTCTAGGTCTAAAAAGGGATGACTTTCGGTATATTCGGCTTCAGCGTGGATTTGATTTACTCTTGATAGAGTCGAAGAAACGTCGGTGTCGGAACATTGAAGGCGCCACGCCGTCACACGAATATGCCATGATGTCAAGATCCGTGCATATAACTTATTTAGGCCACAGGCATAGGTAGATCTTACATTGTAAGTACCTAGGTGAGTATGTTAGGTAAGATATTCAACCTGCATACCAAACTCCCTTTTCTGTTCGAAATTATGCTGCGTTGGTGCCCTTAACGGAGTTCATGTACGCTGCAAGTAAGTGAAGAAAACCAATATGGAAACAAAGACCCGGTATTCTGTATGCACCGATGATTGTAATTGGTGACACAATGAGGGCAATACAGTTAAGGCAGGCGTGGAGAGCTGAATTGGCTGGACTTGGGAAAGCTCGGACTCCCTTACTGCTCTAAAAAGCACCAGACAATGACCTCATCCGGCCACCTGGATCTGGGCATTTCTGATCTGGTTATCCCTGTCCGTCGCATGCCTTACGGCATAGCATACCACTTTCCATCTTCAACGAAACCTTTTCCAGCATCGAACTAATCATCGCATAGCCCTATGGGCTTGGGAAATCATTTCATCCCATCCTACCCATTTTATTTCCTTACCTATTTTGTCTGGAACAGCATTGTCAACGCGCGCTGGGGTTGTGGCCCGTGACCCCATGTAGTGGGAAGCTTCGTGGACCCTCGTCATGGCTGACGAAAGCTTCGCATCGGCCTCGACGTCAGCAAACAATGTCCCCGCCCGGCAATCCTCTATAAACGGTAATGCGCCGCCGGGACATAGTTTACGTCGAGCTACGACCGTCGGCCAACCCTCCGCTTTACGCCGCCGCTCCACCTTGAATCCCGGTTCCCCATCCGGCGAGGATGGCTTCCCGGACGTTCGAAGGCGTAGCTCTACATACTCGGATTTTAGTCTAGGTGATGCGAGGAGGGATCTCGAAACAAGTGCGGATGAACTACTGAACCCGAGCAAGTCATCAAAAACGACGGATCAATCACCCTTCATCTATGTCCCACTCACGCTAGCCCTGTTGCCTGCCTTGGCCGGCATATTTTTTGAAAATGGAAGCGCTTTCTTCACCGACTTAATACTGCTAAGCTTAGCGGCTGTATTTCTCCACTGGTCCGTCACGCAACCATGGGACTGGTATCACTCCGCGCAAGAAGTGCGTATCATTAAGGACGAGATTATGACGGAATCGGTATTTGAGTCTGACAGCGACATTGAGCCTTTATCACCAACCACCGAGAGAACAACTCTGGATAATGTCCCCGAGGAAACAGAGAAACAGACTGAGCCCGAGGTAGTGACTCAGAAACCATCTGACCGACGGACTCAACAATGGAAAGAGAGGCAAGCGGCGGCTCTGAGCGAATTATACCTGCACGAAATAGCTGCTTTGGCTTGGTGTTTCATCTTTCCTATGCTAGGAGCCTACCTTTTACACACTATTCGTGGACAGCTATCAAGGCCTTCTGAAGGACTGGTATCCGATTATAACCTCACCATTTTTCTTTGTGCTGCCGAGATCCGGCCTGTCTCGCACTTAATCAGAATGCTTCAAAATCGTACTTTACGGGTTCAACAAATTGTAGCGAAGAATCCCTACGAAAAGCAGACCGTCACAATGGAGCAGTTACAAGAACTTTCATCGAGACTGAATGAGTTAGAAACACGTGGAGTTGCTGGTGATGCTACATCGAGCGTCGACATGCGACTTGAGCCGCCGCAACAAAAATTGATCGAGGCAACCGTGGCTCAGGAATTTCGTAGTAGCGTACAGCCCGAGCTAGATGCTTTATCTCGAGCTATGCGACGATATGAAAAGAAGCTCACTTTACTCGCATGCCAAACCGACAACAGGGTCGAATATGTGGATCATAGACTCAATGACGCCATTGCACTTGCTGCCGTCGCGGCCAAGAATAGCAACTCTCAATGGAGCTTTTGGACTTGGTTCATTAAGAAAACAATGACGGTAGTCATGTTACCAGTCCAAGCGTTAGTAGCTGTATCTACCTTTCCTTTCCGGACAGTGTCGACTCTACTCGGTCGTAAGAGCAGGTCTACGCCTGAAAGGACACACAGGTCTACCCGAACTGGGAAAACGCTTGCTCAGGGCAGAAATGGCCTTGATCGTGTTCCTACACGTATGTCTAGGAGATGAGAGTATAGGCGCGTCTGCTTATCTGTATGAGATGAAGGATATGAGACGAGGAGTTTAGGTACTTTGGTGATGGCGGGCTGGCGGGCTTTTCGGTAGGAACGAGCAAGTACGGCACGATGGCGATCACAGGAGGCGGGTTATCAAAATGGAGTTTTGGTCACCGCTCAACACAACTCGATGGCGAGAGTTTGTTTAGCTCACAACTCATTTAGGAACCTTTTTTTACGTAAGGCAATTATAGTTACCTAACATACTGATTTGAAATTCCCTCTTTTAAAATTGTGAAGTTGTAGGCATTGATCACAGTGCATAGACCGGCGGACCGGTCAAGGATAACTTAAGAATATGGGGGATATGGGGATAGGCCATCGAATTACAAAATGTTCCCCTGCAGCCCTGCACATCTCATACATGAAATATTGAGAAACACGTCAGATACCTACTACGATATCTGAATGTCTACGCCTACTTACTCCAACAACGTCATGATGCGGGGAAGGTTGTAGCTTTCGTGACGAAAAGTTTGGAATAGCCTTGCGCATCACAATTTTCTTCCCATCTTCGATGACGGCGGGTATAGCCAAGTTGCCAGGTTGCCAAGATTTCGAACTTTCGCCAATTTATTAAGGCTGCTGCTGCCGTAAGTTCCAGGCACGCATGCGGTAGTTGGGAGCTCTTGGGTCCACCGGTTCCTGAATCCGGGTACGACATAGACTAAACTACCTACTAGGTAGGTGGATTAGATGGACGAACCTATGGGTTCGGCCCTTGGCCAACCGGAAAGAACCTTGTACGAAGTCGGATTTTATCGACTTCGCGCTCTCTTACTTTGCTGTATATGCGAGTGTGGGATATGATAATATTGGATATCTGACATACATCAATAATCAACCTCTTTAATAACCCATCTGCCTATACGCAGGGGGATTATTGTTGAGACAGCATAGCGTAGGCTGGTAAAAATCGTGCAATCTAGATCTTGTCCAACTTCCACATTTACAGGGATAGTTTGATTAGTGTGAATACGGATGCGTTATCGTCCTATTCTCGCACGTGCGACCTGCGTGGAAGGTTTTATTTCCAATTACACTACCGGACGTTGAGGTTTTTTTCCTCATAGATGCGCCTTTCCGGCGTCGCACTACGCCGTACCACTTTTGAGAGCAAACTTCGTAAGGCGAAGAGGGCGAGAAAGGCAAGTCATTAATCTCGTGATGGGGGGTGAATAAACGTTCCATCAGATATCGACGAGATGAGCGAGATCCCGCCGCTGCTACCCTCCTTTGCGACGCGGGAAGCGCGGACGAGGCGTTCTCGCTACTGCACGGTTCGTCCTTCTACTAATTAGAAGCTTGCGAGCAAGAGTGGTGGGGTACACTCGAGTGTAATTTAACTCCTTTGGGTTTCTGAATACGCGTCACTTCGATATTTCGTTCGTCCATAGCGCGTGAAAATTTGTGGTCTCAACTGAGGATGATTCCCAACCATCGTCCCTTTTACCTATTCTCATGGTTGAAAGTTGAAGAATAGATCGTTATCAGACCGCCAACTCTTCGGTTTGGTCAATCGAGATGTCTAAGTCGGTGAGCTGGCGATCATCAATTGGGCTACCATCCGACAGAGCCCGAAACACACGTACAGTCATGCTGAATGTGTGACCTGTCCTGCTTCTGCTGCTGTGCTGGTTCCTGTTGAGAATCCGTTATACCTACTGTACTTACCCTTGTTGCAGCGTCGTACGCAGCGTTGGCTGGATGCGGGATCAGCAACCAATGCCAGATGAGCGATCGTGAGCGAGACGGCCAGACGGCCTAGGTAGGTGGACCGCTAGGTAAGCAGGTAAGATTTTCTCGAGACCAGGACATTGGAACTCTTAGAAGCAAATTGCTTTTCACCGGTCCGTTCTTCTAGGGGAAACCGATCTGATACCTTGCTCAGATTGTGAAAGTGGCTTGGAATTTGACAAATGTGAGCCAAACTATTGATTTGATTGCACGTGTTGCGCCTCGTCGCCGAGATTTTCATACATATGGCGTCCGGGGATAAGTGATTGGTCTGTCACATACATATGTGCTACCATGGAGAATCGCGCGAACTAGACGATATATTGATATGCTAGTTTCCTACGCAATTCATCTATCGTGAGGTTTAGCTATAGTTTAGCCTCATGCTAAAAGTTAAGCCTTATCCTCAAATCGACGATTCGTAGGATCCATAGGGCTTGTAAAAGACTAAAAGAGGAACTAAGTCGTGGTACCTGGGTACGGCTGAAGTGGATAGCCCTTGTGGTAAAGGAGGGTCAAAGACTCAAAATGCAGTAAGGTTTACCGGTAGTCAGGGGTAAAAAGAACCGGGTTACCAATCACACATCACATTGGCCAATCGATGACATCCACCCTAACCGTTAATTGCCTCGTTTGGAATAAGCTCCCGTCCTGCCCCTAGTCCTTGTCTGGCAATGCTAGCTTCCTAGCTAGACGTAAGGTACGTAAGGAAGTTACAGGTTAACATGCTACAGGCTACAGGCTTGCAACTCTTTTCTTCCGGAGTCCGACTAAGCTGCTAAGAACTGCTTCAACTGGCTGTACCTTATGTCCACTCATCCTCTCTGCTAATCTCCCGCGGCCAGTCCCATAACGCACCATTGAAGGCCACAGAAAGCGATTGGGTGGTCATGTAATCGTCATACTCGCATCAATCACACAGCATGCGCCCCAAGTAGCCTAGTCTCTGAACATGGTACTTCCGAGAAACGGTGCTGCTGCTGGTGCTGCCAAGCGGCGGCCTACTGGGCGCGAAAAGCAATCTTAGAGACATGCCCTCAGCTCGGTTGGCAGGTTGAGATGCGACCAAGCATCCCAAGCAGCCCGAAGCGCGGTACGATAGCCTGGTAAGTGGGCAGATCTCGAAAGTACTATGTAGGTGATGGGTAAATTTGACAGAAACTGCTCATGATTTTTCTTCTTGTTCCTTACCACCGGTCCGTTAGACTCCAATAGTCAGGTCTCTTCTTTCGGTATTCATGCCGAATACTTTTTTGCATGAACGAGGAAGAGGCTGAGAGGCTACTATTGACGAATCTGGTCTGATCGCGGCTCCTTGATAAGTTTGATCTTCTGGTATTATATGCCCCTCGATCGGGACGCATGCGGCTTTACCCTGGTTCTTTTTCTGTTCGCCTCTGGGCGTAAAACCTCATTCCAGAACTCAGTCTACCTGTAGGCCAACGTCGTTCGCGGCTTCATATCCTCATTTTTTTCAGATAAGGGAAATCTCTAGAAAATCGACGTCCTTTTACCGATCACCGCCCCTGGTGCTCTACCATTCGAGTTCCCCATACCCAACAGCAGCCCTTGGGCACTTGTTCTTCAAGGGTATTGTCTTAGTTGTAGTCGATTCCTAGCTATGTCTCTTGGCAGATAGCGAAGTCCAACAGAACAAGTGCTTCTTAGAGTGCTGCATGATCGATATATAACTTCGACCTCTAACCGTCTCATCAAGTTCTCACAATGCTTCCAAGGTGGTCCAGCGTTTGCGCTGTGCTCTATCTAATAATATGCTTGAATTTGGTCGCCGCGGGCCAACTGAGACCATATCCAAGACAAGATGCCTCTTCAACGACTACAGAGGCTTCGAGCACGACGCAAAATGGAGACGGGAAAACGACAGCTACACCAGATACCTCTAGTTCTTCCTCCAGTTCGTTCGAATCAGCCACTTCCGTTCAGGTTTCGACAAGCACAACCAGCGATCCATCAGAAACTGCGATCCCTTCGGCCATCAACGGAAACAATCCGAGCAATGCTAGCTTCGTTGAAGACCGTAAGTAGCTCACCATTACTCTCTTCCAATCCTCTTCCAATCCTCTTAACGTTAGCTCTAACTTGCTCTCCGAAGCAACTGTTGTACAGGGCGAGTTGCCTTTGCCACCTCAACTTACACCTGGTTGGGGTGTTTCCGGCGCGATTTTGCTCTTGACTGGCATCGTATACACTCTAGTTGGCATTAAAAACGCATGGCTGCATACGTTCTTCTCATCGGCATATCTGGCTAGCCTTTGTGTAACGGTCTTGATCGTTTACGTTATGAACCCACCTATATCAGATGCGATCCAAGGGGCGTATGTTGTGGCAGCTGTATGTACCGGCCTTATCCTTGGTGGCGCTGCAACGGCCTTTAGGGAACTCACCGAAGGCCTTGGATGTTTACTGGGTGGCTTTTGCCTTGCTATGTGGCTGCTAACCCTGCACGATGGCGGGTTGCTGCCTTCAACTACCGGGAAAGTGATATTTATCACTGTTTTCACGCTTGTAGGCTTCGCATCTTACTTCAGTCATTATTCCAGGCCATACGCTTTGATCGGATTAATGTCTTTCGCCGGCGCGACAGTTACAGTTTTAGGCATTGATTGTTTCAGCAGAGCAGGTTTGAAGGAATTCTGGGTCTATATTTGGAACCTGAACGACAAACTCTTCCCGCTCGATGCATATACCTATCCCTTAACGAAGGGTATAAAAGTGGAGATCGCATTAATTGTCGTATTAACTATTCTGGGGTTGATATCTCAGTTCAAACTATGGCGTGTGATTCAGCAACACCGTGAGAAACGAGCGGAGGAACGAGCAGAGTTTCAAAGAACGCGCGATGAAGAGGAGGCAGTTGTCGGACGGCGAGTCGAGGAAGACAATGAGCGCGAAAGAAGGCAATGGGAAACAACTTACGGCGATATGCCTCCACCAATGAGCCCTACAGCTTCCCGTGATTCAGGCGTTGGGGAAATGGAGAATGAGAAGAAGGGCCGTCTCAGCCAGACTACAGTTCAACCTGTTTCGCCCACGGATACCGAAACTGAGAACGCAATCGAGATGGCGAACCTTTCTGCTTCTGATGATGCTGCGTCTACTGAAGAGGTAAAAAAGGTGGAAAATGGACTTGTCATTCCAAATCACAGTGAAGAGAACCGGGTTACAATTCGAGTTTCACGAGATGACCTCCTTGATCCCGACACTGCTTCGTTACCGACGCCTGATGAAAAAGCATGGATGGCTGGGGTTGACGATGAAAGTCAACGTGTATCTACAGTATCGCCCCACAACTCACAACGGATCTCGAATTTGACTGGGCCCGACATCATACCATTGCCTTTCAGAGTCCCGGAATCGCATGGCGAAGAAGAAAACGACGATGGCGATCGCTCATCTTTCGCGACGTTTGCAGACGAGGATGGGCGATCTATCACGCTAAGCAAAAGAGCCTCCAGGATGTCTTTATCTCATAGACTATCGGTGGGTTCGGGTAATTTACTGCGAAGTTTGTCTCAGCGCTCTCAGAGGTCTCAAAAATCCAGGCCTCAGACTGGGGAATTTGATGTTCCACAGCAAACGCCAAAAAGGAGCGAAAGTCGACAGGATCTTGTAACCGAAAGTCGAATGCCCCCTGAAGATACAGGTTCCATTGCTGCTACCATTGACGGTATGAGCGATGACGGTGACGAGAAGTTAGAGTGGAGTGAAGAGAGGGAATCAAGATGGACCATGGAAATCAAACCAGAATTGGCGGAAAAACTGGCACAAAGTGAACCAAAACTAGGTGATTCCTCTATGGCACACCCTAGTGCTCGACCTTACTCAACGGCGGAGACAGTCGCGACGAATATATTGGATCCTCCCTTTTTAGGGGAGCCTGCCGGGGACAAGTCAAAAAGGAGCAGCACAACAAACGACACTGGAAAGACCCCAGAGACTAATGAGATTAGCAAACTCACAAGTGTCCCGGAGACGAAAACTCCTTCTGATACGTCGAAAGTTGCTAAATCCGCATCGCCATCAGCTTCATCGTCAGCGAGCCTCACGAAAGAACGTCTCCCATCTAGCTTGTCTCGTGTTGCACTGTCTTATCGCACAAATGAGTGGGCAAAACACTTGAGCCATGCAGAGAAGCCTGAGATCGAAACGTTACAGGTAAATGAATACCCCGAACCAGAGGCATTGAAGCAGCAGGAAGAGACCCCTGCCCCAGTTATGGTCGAAGAACTTCAACAAACAGCCGAGAGCGGCATCCCGATATCCTCTATCGTGAGATCGCATTCCTCGGTTTCGAACACTCCACCAAATATACCCGTTTATCGCTCCACGTCGAAGTCATCTTCAACGGGTATGACACCCCCTACGCAAGCCACAGCCCCGTTTCAAGAGGCCAGTGACATTACAAGTCATACAATGGGTACGCAACCGCATACTGCCCATAACGGGCGAGGGAAGACTCGTCGACAGTCCGGTGACGTGATTCAGCCAATTTTGGAAGAGAATACCGACGAGAATATGGATGTTCAAGTTAACACTCCCCCAGAGGATAGCACTGGTCCGGCTTCCAGGCCGAGTCCACCAGTACCTATTGAACCTGACTCGCATCGTATAAGTCAGTCTGCTGTTCCAGGGGTTGTATCATATTCTAGCCCCCAGACCTTAATAGGCAAACGAGAAATGTTCCTGCGCAGCAAATCTCAGTCAACGTTACTACTATCACAACAGATCCCCGAGAATACACAGCATCCTCTCCGATCAGTTAGTCAAATGGAACTCCAGTATAACCATCCAGCACCTACGCCCTTCATTACTCAGGATCCCGATGACCTTCCACTCAGCCAACGAAAAGAACTCATCCGTCAGACTAGTATGCTTTCGGCTACGGCCGATCCCAGACCAAATAGCACCATGAGAATAAACTATACTTCCGGACCAAATCCACCAGCAGTTCCGCCAGTGGCAGCACAAAACTCACATTTTAATTCTCATCAACCTCAACGACGATCTACAGCCCCATCCCCGGCGCATCGCGACGCCCAACTTGCAAGCTTCCGACAGTCCGTAGCCGCAGAGTTACGGGCAGGAACACCAATTTCACCCGCGGTTAATACTGGTCGGGAAACACCACTTTTCTCTACTTCGAACCCGTTACTTGGAATAGCTGGGCAGCGAAATGGAAGCTACGATGTGCAATATAATATTGATCAGCAACGGAACGCTCTTCTATCGCAGAGAGAACAGGAAGCCCAAAGAAGAGAGTTTGAACGCCTGGAGAAAGAGCGTAATGAACGAACTTTCGAAGAAATGATGCGGCGTGGAGATCTCATGGACGCCCACCGCGAGGCCTTAAGAAGGATGCAGAGCAATGTCAAGGGTCAGTGATGGGAACACGTTTCAAAAGCTATAAGCGTACGTGTATGAACAAAAAAATTACGGTAGCGGATATATGGGTCCCTTTTCATATTGCGTTAGGTTGGCGGCAGTGGAACTTGATACCCTTTCTTTCTCTCGTTTTTATGTCATTCTTACAATCTCGACCGCCGAGCAACGAGGCAACGACATTTATTGCTGCTGCATAATTCCATACAAATTACCTGGGTATATCATGTACATTATGGCACATGCGGGTACATCTTTCGGTCCTTAGAGTACCTACCTATCCTTCTACCTATCTTCTAATATGTAATTGCAGGAATCAAAACTGGCGTTGGCAAACGGGAATTGGTCTGGCCGGGCAATTAGGGAACGTGCATATGAGGGAGCACAAAATAAATGCAAGACTCTAGTACGAGCCTTTACGGAATTTACGGAACCGTGTTGTTGGTAAAGGGGTGAATAACTGAGATACAAGGACGCTGTGTAACTTGGTATGCATATAATAGTCTACATACGTACTTATACACGTCTCGATATCAAATACATCCGTAACTTGTCGTAGACCAAGATCCATCAAACGGACATATCTAACGCCCCCTAGAGAGAGTAACGCCATCTACAATGTGATATTCAATCCGGTGCAGTCTCGCGGCACGGGCATTACAACAATGCGCTTGACGAAGAACTTATTCTTGACGAGGTCTAATATAGCAATAGTCCTAACTTAGTTGCTGTTGCTTGTTGTTATAAACTCCACTGAATAGGTGGATTTCTATGCATGGATACATTCCCTTTTCAGCCTACTCGGAGAGTAATTAACCAATGCCTCTTATACAAAGGTAGACTGCAGGATTGGCTTTGTGCCACCTCGATTCACTAGGTCAAAAATCCCAGAAATCCCAGGATTCATAGATTTCAGTAGTATAAACATGGTTTGCTATTCGTTTGCGGCTGTTCCTTAGATTGGTGGCTACATGGTTGAGGCTACCTAACAACTATCTCCGACTGTACATAAAAACCTTAATTAGTCGTAGGCAGCTGCGTGCTGGGTATTCCGTGTGAGTAAGAGCTGCCTAGGACCCACCAGCTGCTGCGGTTAGTTGCCACCTGTAAAGATTTAAATGTTTAGTCGTTCTGCCTCTTGCTCACACCATTTTTAAAAGAATAAGAAGCTGCATCGAGTCTACCTCATTCTTTCATCTCACAAACTTCATAAACCATCCCAACTCTTCTCAGACCTTCTTCTTCTTTTTATTCTTCGTCACAGACAATTACGATATCTTAGGTAAGTGATTCACACCCACAAATATCCGTTGGAAGGTACCCCATCGTGACGTGCCCGCTCCTACTGTTGCCTCTAAGCCTATTTAAGAATTGGGCGTGCCCCTCCAATCCTGCAGCTACCTTTTTGGCAAACCACGACCGCCTTCCGCCATAGCCAACCAACCATTCAATTACCACTCAACTTCAAACTTCTACCTCTACCTTTTGCATTCTCACTCTTCACCCGCAACATCACATCACGCAATACCACACTCCCCATTTACATCGTCTATTCCCATAAACCTTGCGACTAGAATAGACACTTGCGGCTGCGTTTTTGCGACCGTACGCTCATCTTAATTACAGACCATCACTTCGTCCCGATCACTCATTCACAATGGTTGAGACCGAAGCACCTCCCGCAGCGGACTATATCCGCCTTCAGTCAAACGACAACATTAAGATTGATGTCGGTAAGTAATACACTCATATCTCTGCATCTGCATCTAAGACGTTGCTGACACTGAAGATAGAGAAGGCTGTTGCCGAGCGATCGCTCTTGATCAAGAACATGCTCGAGGATCTTGGTCCTAATGCCGATGGACAGACTATCCCTATTCCGAACGTATGATATTCCTATAAGTTTACGATGGACTCTCCAACGATGAAAGCACACGATGCTAATCTAATAAATACTTTTAGGTAACCGAGCCTGTCTTGCGCAAGGTTATCGAGTGGTGTGAACACCACCGTAACGACCCTCCTGCCAGCAACGAGGATGAGTCGGACAACCGCAAGAAGACCACCGATATTGACGAGTGGGACCAGAAGTTCATGCAGGTTGATCAAGAGATGCTGTTCGAGATTATTCTTGTATGTATAATGGAAATACGTTGGTTCGCCTGTCACGCAATTGCTAACCCGGTCCTCTTTTAAAGGCATCCAACTATCTCGACATCAAGGCCCTTCTGGACGTGGGCTGCAAGACCGTTGCGAACATGATCAAGGGCAAGTCCCCCGAGGAGATCCGCAAGACTTTCAATATCACGAACGACTTCACCCACGACGAGGAGGAGCAGATCCGCCGCGAGAACGAGTGGGCCGAGGACCGATAAATGTTCAATCTTACGGCCGTATCTATCAACTCTGCTTTATCAACGGCGTTCACGAACACGACTTGCATGACTCCACGATACATTCCGGGGTAGGAATAGAGTCTTATTTTGCTGATTATGGTGGATCCGAGGAAATTTCCTCCCTTGGGCTGGGTATATGGTACATAGCATCGGGATGGAGAGGTGGTTTCGTATTCGAAGGATGAACCACTCCCTTCCTCTGCTATCCCAGCCTACATAGGTAGACACCAAATACTGGGATTCGCTTTGCATAAGGAAATCACATGAAAGAAATGTGGAACGCGTGCGAGTTTGTCTTTTAGGGTTCCGGATTAGCACTTGCTGACATGGCTAGTTAACTTGGTTCTTGCATTTTTAATTGCATCGTTGAGTGATGTGATAGGAACTTTGTGAATTTGCTAGAATAATTTTCAAGCCAGACCTTGTGTGCCATGAAGCTGGCCAACTCTTTAAGTCGTTCCCATTATACAACATGCGATAACTACAGATAACCTGACTGAATCCTAGCAAATATCCTGGATGTGAGTTCCAGGCTGAATTCACTAATGTTGCTACCATATCATGGCATCTATTGTCACAGGTTTTGCTACTGTGATGATAGTTCAGGGGTAGTTTATGGCTTGAGTCCTATATAAACATGGCATGAGTATTGTCTATGAGCCGCACTCCATACACTTGCTACCTCTGCGAAAACGAGGACGAGAACGGCCAATATCGATTCCGAGAACCTTGACAAATACAATATAGTCAGAGTTATATACTAAGTAGTTACTGTTATCGCCATTCCATTAGTTTGCGGAGGAGTCCCGTATAGCCTTATATAGAATGCTGTTTATAACCATCGTCAATACACACCCCCTTTTCTCGACGGCCACACTAACGCCAGGTCGTGAGAACATACCGGTATCCTATTTAGAATATTCCTTAGTAGAAATTTAAACATGTTTACCTTTCTCTCCAAAGGCATTATTATCATCTTCAGTCTCATCATCACTTCCTCACTTCGAAACCCATCCAACTCTTCCACCTGATACCACCAACAGCCACCACCCATACGCGTGCCAACCAGATAATCCCTTTCCCTCTTCTCTGTAGTCCGCATCCGTCAAATCATCAATCATGGATATCACGGCCCGCCTCGTCGAAGTCGACGTGATGTTCGGGCGCCTCCTCATGGTGCTGGGCGCCTACATCGCGTTGTTCGACTTCGTCTCGACCTGCCACATGGGCGCGGTGCAGGTCAACCTGAGAGTATTTCGAGTTAACGTCCAGTGGTACGTCCACCCGATCCCGCTTACGATCATCCTCGCCGCGGGGGTCGCCTTCTTGCTCGAGTGGGTCGTCGCCTACCTGGGCTATTAAGGGCCGGCGACTTGCCGGATACCAATGACAAACACGGCATAATGTACCTTTCGTCTATAAAAGGAGACCTCGATGGCGCTTTGCGCGACTCGTTTATATAGCTGAGAAGGGATGATCACCATTTGCAAACCTACATCTTCTTAAGATACTCAAGGTCTCCCTAGTCTTCGCCATGAATCGTCGCAGGTACGTCTTTTTCTTCGTTGTACTCTATAACTTCGCGATAAACTAATGACCCTGGGCTAAGAGGCTTCCGATGTCCTTTCACGACTTCACCCCCCGAAGATGGAACATAACGGTCGGAAATATGAGGGCATGGATACGGAGATAGTATGGGCAGGAAATTGACCCTTTCCTTTCCTTACCTGATTACCTGCACTATTCGGACTTGATTATTGGTGGTCGTTAAATTTGAACTGTTACGGTAGGCCTTGATGCGTCAATCACGTATACGTCAGTTCAACTCGTAGAATAAGTGTTTTCGTAATCACGTTTATTTTCCGCAAACGTGTTTGTTCATTCCCTATTGACCGGTGCCATGCAAATCTGAACTGATGAGCCCTGAAGAAAACCGATTCGCCTGCAGAGCCACCATGTTTTCCCCTCTGACATCGAGGGTTACCATTGTCTGCCTAGAAAGTCCACCGAAACAATGTCAACCGATGTTTGAATCATCCACTGCTAGTTCCGTACCCCACACATCGCCTAGTCGCCGAGTTTTGTGATAGTGACGGTGACATGTCGAAAATCGGTAGAGCGCCCAGGAACAGATGTAACCGATGCAGATGGGGTCGTAGAAAGGCATCTAGATGCCGAGACGGGTCTTGCGCCAGTGCCTTCGCTTGGCATTGTATCTGTAGTTCTAGTTAGTATCCTGCTTCTTTTCCTGCTTCTGTCTATCATTTTTGACCGTTGGCCTTGACATTGGGGTATCTTCGCGGGGATCGGCTAGGTTTATTCGTACCTTATACTGTTACCAGTACGGAGTCGGATCCATTGAGGGATGGGTCTGTTCTGCTTCTGCGCCTTGGCGAGCTTCTGCTTCGTTCGGAAGGACTTGTGGCTCTGCGATTGAATTCGTTAGCTATGTGCGATCTGACATTATGCGTATTTCGCAGACGAGATAATTATGCGAATCGACTATTAAGAAATTGCATGAAGAAGAATTCAATCATTTGAGAAAACAAATAATACATACCGGCATTTTGACTGCTTGTGCTGATCAGAATGTCGAGATTGTTCGTGATGTTGACAGAGTCAAGAGTTGAAGGAGGGTGGAGCAGTAGATCAAATCAAGTACGCGGGCTTGAAATTTTTGGTTTGATGCGAGGGTTTTCCAACCCCAAAACGAATTTGTGCGTGCGGTAGTAAGTAGCTTGTTGTACCTATGTGTCTACGCACGTGATCTATTAAGGAGCACAGACCATGAGCGACCCGAATAGGTAAGGCTCCATTCCATCGAATTGTAATCCCGATAAGAGATAAGTTAAGGCCAAGTCTGCATCTGCTTGGGCAATGGCAGAGTAGCAGAGTGGGTGGTAGATCTGCCGGCTGGGCTGGCACCTGCCATTAGACACCGATGCCAAGGATTGGCGTGTATGCTTTGTGGCGGCCTCCCTAAACCTTGGAAAACGGGACCCTTGCTTATTAGAAAGCCAATCTTGGGTGAACCCTTGTGCTCTTAGCCTCTGCGCAAGATTTCAAAGCGAATCTTGAAAGCTTGACGTGACCAATAATTGTACAAACAAAAAAAATAACACAAGCTTCCTATTAACAGATAGTTAACCCATCTTTTTTCTACGCGTTTTTACGAAATAATTCCTTTTTCCTTTGACGAACCGAGCAAGATTTAGAAACTCTATTTCATTTAATCCCCATTAGTTTCCATTCCGGTTTCAGGCAGCTGTAGAGCAGCAAGTAGTATACGATCGCGTGGCCATATTCACTCCTTTTCCCCCTTTCCCCCAAAAAGAGCGCCGAGCTCCTGCGTGGACAAAACCATACATACGCAAAGATGGGTCAAAGTGTATCGTGGTTATCCGGCCTGCTCTGGGCGAAGAAGGAGATAAGAATCTTAATCCTAGGTCTTGTACGAGCTTACCTACCGTTACCCCCTGTTCAAGCTTCCTAGTGGCGAAGCAGTACGAGCTGATTCGTGATCTTGCGCAGGATAACGCCGGGAAAACGACATTATTATACCGATTGAAGGTCAGCCATTTATTTCACATATCATCTATTTACTACCTGCATCATCTACGTCGCCTTACATTGCGTTATCTTCATCATGCCCTTTCTCGCCTCCCTTAGATGGGCTGGCGGACGCGGATTCAGGGGTTCAAGAACTAACGGCTAAGGCTGTGTACAGATAGGCGAAGTAGTAACGACAATCCCCACGATCGGGTTCAACGTCGAGTCGGTAACATACAAGAACCTAAATTTCAACGTGTGGGACCTCGGTGGACAGACCTCGATCCGGCCCTACTGGCGGTGTTACTACGCGAACACGGCCGCTGTCATCTTCGTTGTCGATAGCACGGACATCGAGCGTCTTCAGACCGCAGCCGAGGAGTTGGCTGCTATGCTCAACGAGGACGAATTGAGGGACGCCGCGCTCCTGGTATTTGCCAACAAGCAAGATCAACCTGGTGCCAAGGGTGCGGGAGAGATATCCGAGGCTTTGCGACTGGGCGAATTGAGGGATCGCAACTGGAGCATTGTCGCGTGCTCGGCCGTTGACGGAAGCGGTGTCAACGAAGGCATGGATTGGTTGGTGGTAAGTTATATTCAAGCCCGTGCCAGCGTCTCGGTCTTCAAAAGATAACGGCGCATCACGTTTCACCGATCTGTTTCTTGACCTGAATCTCAGGGGTAAAAAGTAATATATGGCTGACGTGTCACATAGCAAACCGTGTCGCAGGACTAAACGTCCGAGACTCGTACGACGCCTTCTGTACAACATTCATCGGCCACATAAACGTGAACGTCACAACCAAGCCTATTCTTGGCATCTCGACTATTTCTCATTGGTATCGCATCCGTACAGTTTTGGGTAGACGGTTCCGGCAAGTAGGTCGATACGACCATCAGGTGCTATGGTATCCGTACTTCTGTTGATTGGGGTGGGCAAACATGGCGTTCTACGGGACTTTTCGATGGGAGCCTCATGAAGGGGAGCAGGGGAGAACGATGAATATCAAGATCGATGAAGAATATCAAGACACGTGTGCATCAATTCAGGCGTCTATTAATGATGTGGGCTCGCGACTCGGCCTGTCATATCGGGCTTTTTTTATATATACAGCAACAATGAACCCCAATAGGCTTCTTTAATTACTCCCACAGAAGATAGAAAGTCAGACGGATACTCCGGTCCCGGTAGCCCGGGTGGAATAATATCAGGTCAGGGGTCGGCCCCTTTACAGTCGTTACGTTACGTTAGATATGTTTTGATTATCATAGATACGCGTTGTTCATGCCCAATGCCCAAAAAGCTCTCGCCGATCGAAGTGGATATCGTGATTCCCCGAATGATGGTGTTCGTGATTTTAATTCAAAGCTAGAACAGGGAGCCACTCGCCGATTCTCACCTCGACGGTGAGGTCATATACGAGTCATCGACTTATCGAGAGCACGGTGCTCCTCGAGCTAACTAGCAGACAAGAAACTAGTTCCAACGGTGCCATGCTTGGAGCTAGGAATTAAACCTGTTAGACTAATAAAATATTGATTATCTTCGGTCCTTGTCCTGAAAAACTTGCGTATGCCTTGTGGATCAAGATAACTAGGAGTTGAGTCACAAGCGCTGAACTTCCTGATATATCTAGGCGTCCTCAAGGTAATGACGTACTATATTTGGATTCCGCGGAGCCCGTCGGACCGTTTAGAGCTAAATATGTAGCATCGATTGCATTAGATCCCATCGTCAAAAGTCTGGGGAAGAAGCAGAAAAGGCCGATATAGGAACTCTAGAAGCTCAGGTTTCTCTGGTCACCTAGGCCATTTCAAGTATCCTATGGAAGATCCCTAGCTCTTCACGTGGGCGCCACGGAGCTAAGGGGAACGTCGGATCTATATTTCGGCGACGCATAGCTGGTTCGGGATAGGAGCCGGTACATATACATATCGAGCTAAGTATATTTATGGTACGTAGATGGACATTTGCATATATCGAAAGGGGTGGGCAGCCCAAAGAAGGTAGTTGCTACCCCGATTAGCTAGCCGCGATTGAAATTATCGGCCGACTTTATCTCGCCGTATATTTCGGCCCCACTTAGGTAGTTGCCCGATCACGTTGCCACGAGACCCCGCGTCAAGCCGGTGCCTGTGGGGTAGGAGCGTAAGGGCGAAATGCACCTTATTAATAGTGCAAAGCGGCAAAAATGGCGACGCGTGCGATGAGCCAAGAATTAGGTTTCCAGGCTTTCGCATAGCTTGTGTATCTAGTTCAAGCATAGCATTTTCTTGGGATCAGATTCGTAATTTGTAATTCTTTTGAGAGATCAGCTGTCTCAGAGTGTTACAAGCATTAATAAGCCGGGAAGAGCGGGTACAACGAAGGGAACTATCCGGTTCTAGGTGAATCGGTGGATAAGTAAAGCCGTAAGAGAACTACCCTCCTCTTATAGAATGTAAACTTCACATACTGTATATACGTGTATCGTAGGTAATTATCGTATGTAGCAGACTGGGCGGTTTGCATCACGCAAAGCCAATTGGCGAAAGGGTACGCTATATGATGTCATGGACCGTTTCGGGTTCGAGCCATATGAGAATGGAACTTGGGTATCATATTATCATGCCCTCGTCCGGAGCCGTGCGCGTTTCTGGAAGGATTGAGGGAGCTATAGTAAGCGATATCCAAAAGAGCTCGTGGTTCTCCGAGGCGATCGGATTGCCGAAGACTGCCATGTACAGTATGTAACACCTGCTAGTGTATGCCCTGCCTACTACAAAGGTAATGGAGGGGTCGCAGTAGATGTTGGTGGGCGAGAATGGTTCGATGAAAGACGGGTTGACAACTCACTATTATCTGCCGGTAAAATACACTAAAGTAACTGAAGACCAAGGGTGGTTAGAATCCCGCGTCGATGGGGGTTTTAGCGGTAAATGTTCTGATATTGACTATACTGACATCCAAGCACAGTATGAAGTATGTCCCAAGGAGCATAAGAGTTGCCACCAGGGTCGTTTTCTTTAACATGGAAGATTGTCGAGGTGGAATTGGACCCATGTGTGATCAGGAGGCTCTCGCTATTAATGCCTATGAGGGGATAGTCTTTGTGCATTTTGGATTGGTGGCGTTGCGAGTTTCTCCGCATACTCGGATGTGGACTGTATTAATGATTTTTTATACGTATAACGCGTCGCGTATTTCGTACACGGCGTGCTAGGGCTAAGTCGTCCTTGGTATAACAGAGGTAGGAATTGACTCACTTGAACATGGAAGAAAAAAAAGGAAAACACCGAGAGACGCCGAACTACTCCCGGGATGCCATTGCTAAATTATTAGATCGCCTTTTTCGATTCAAGCGGTATCACTTAAATAGAAATGCTCCAAGTCACCTCCATAGGTTATGACGAAGTATACGATGGGAAAGAGAGTACATATACATATATGTGGATTGATAGTCAGGAAGAGGTTCGAAAAGCGTCGGAGGGATGCCGGCAAATGGCGGGGCAATCGAAAGCTCACAATTAGCAATTACCTGATTGGCGAGTTCTATTCTAGATACTTACCCCACTTTCTGCACTTACGTAGTGCCTTACCAGAGTTACCAGACAGCCAGACCCGTCACTTCTTTCGCTTCCCTAATACTTCTCTGCTCCTTCCTCGCCTCCACTTCAAGGTTAGGCCTAGCCTTTTCTTCCCCCCTGAACACTCTACCTTGACTCTCCTTGCACTCTACTTTGACCACCTCGACCAACCCCTGCTCATCGTCAATCCCCCATTTGTAACCATGCAGCTATGGCGCATACCGAGCACGACAGTCGCGTTGCCGGTATGTAAGTGGTCAGATGAAGAGTTGGAGTCGTGCAAGCAGTGAGGGAGGGGTTCAGCGGACGTTGAAACCTTTGATATCCATGTCCTTGTACATGTCAATGTAATGTACAGTGACATGTCTGTTCTCCTAACAAAGCCCCGGTAAGACGAGGGAGGTCAGGTAGGTCAGGTAGTTCAGGTAGGCCAGGATGCGGGTAGCTCAGGTATTTATATATCTGCTCACCCTCCCCCCTTTCTTGTCTCGATTCTACACTTCTGTTTCCTCTGGTTGCACTGCTTGAGCTACCTATCTGTTCCATATCTTCAGAGAAGTCTGTGTCTGGGGTAATATACCAATTACCCCTGAGCTTTGACAGCCTTGCTTCGATAGCCTGCTTTCTAAAATACCCTCACGTTTCCCCTCTCATTAATAATCATCTTACATATCCTTCCATATTCCTAAACCGCAATCATGGTCGCCAATGAGAAGCCTGCGTCTACCTTCCGGTACAATGAGAAGCCGGTGTATACCACCTCCAATGGCTACCCCATTGAGCATCCCTCTATGTGGCAGCGAGTTGGTACACATGGCCCCTTACTGCTTCAGGACTTCCATTTGATTGATCTCCTCGCCCACTTTGACCGCGAGCGTATTCCTGAGCGTGTCGTCCACGCCAAGGGAGCTGGAGCCTATGGAGAGTTCGAAGTCACCGACGATATCAGCGACATTACCACTGTTGATATGTTGAATGGCGTTGGCAAGAAGACTCCTCTTGTAATTCGCTTCTCTACCGTCGGTGGCGAGAAAGGTTCGGCCGACAGTGCCAGAGATCCTCGAGGTATGAGATATACTGCTTAAAATAACCATGTAAACCGATGCTAATTGGACGCTACAGGATTCGCTATTAAGTTCTATACACAACAGGGCAACTGGGATTGGGTCTACAACAACACCCCTATCTTCTTCCTTCGAGATCCCTCCAACTTCCCATTGTTCATTCACACTCAGAAGCGCAACCCTCAGACCAACCTGAAGGATGCTACCATGTTCTGGGACTACTTGTCTACCCACCAAGAGTCTATCCACCAGGTCATGCATCTCTTCTCCGACAGAGGAACCCCGTACTCATACCGTCACATGAACGGGTACTCTGGCCACACCCACAAGTGGATCAAGCCCGATGGTTCTTTCGTCTACGTTCAGGTCCACCTGAAGACTGACCAAGGAAGCAAGACTCTCAATAATGCGGAGGCTGGTAAGCTAGCTTCCGAAAACCCCGACCATGCTACTCAAGATTTGTTTGAGGCCATCCAAAGGGGCGAGTTCCCGAGCTGGACAGTCTACGTACAGACCTTAACGCCAGAGCAGGCTGAGAAATTTAAGTGGAATATCTTCGACCTGACTAAGGTCTGGCCGCAGGCCGAGGTGCCTCTGCGACGATTTGGCAAGATGACACTCAACAAGAATGTAGAGAACTACTTTGCCGAGATTGAGCAAGTTGCCTTCTCTCCGTCGCACCTTGTCCCCGGCGTCGAGCCGTCAGCAGACCCCGTGCTCCAGTCTCGTCTGTTCTCCTACCCCGACACCCACCGACACAGATTGGGTGTCAACTACCAACAAATCCCCGTAAACGCGCCCCTCCACGCTTTCAACCCCTTCCAGCGTGACGGTGCCATGTCCGTAAACGGGAACTACGGCGCGAACCCCAACTACCCCAGCAGCTACCGGCCGTTGACGTTCCAGACGATCAAGCCCGTCAACCCCCACGAGAAGTGGGCCGGCGCCGCCGTGAGCGACCTCTTCGACCAGGTCCAGCCTCACGACTACGAGCAGGCTAACGGTCTGTGGAATGTCCTCGGCCGGACCCCCGGTCAGCAGGAGAACTTCATCGGCAACGTCGCGGGCCACCTGTGCGGCGCCCACGTCGACACCCGTAACCGGACTTACGACATGTTCACCAAGGTCAACCCCGAGCTCGGCGCCGCCATCAAGGCCGCGACCGAGAAGAACGTCAAGCTATGATGAGTATGGAAAAAGCTTATGGGGAAAAGGGTCTAATGATGTATTCAAAGAATGAAAAAGATTCCAAGACTTAAGACAGTAAAAAGGAACTTGCCGCTCTGCCTATTGTCGCATTAGATACCTAGTCAATATAATGTGAGAATTGAATAATACCATGTATAATATGCCTATGATTTCGTGTCGTTGTCTGGCTTCATCTCGGACCAGAGCGAATGATGTTCCTACTAAAGAGGATATGCTATGAGGTATTGAGAGTGACTGACGACTCGTCATCTATATCCACCCTTCGACTGTCGTAATTAGCAGATGTGGTATAGTATCCACAATCTAATAAGCCTAGATAAATTTATTATATGACTGTCAATCAAGGCATGGAGCAAGATGCTCGATAACCCCCCATTTCATAATTCGGTTGGGAGAGACAGTATCATCAGCGTCTATTAGTATATGGAGAATACCTACTACTTAAACGTCCTGACTATTATAGTCATAGGATCCAACCCACGAAGGCTATAGCTAGAGCCTTTTCGACTATGTAGAACATGAAGGGATCATCTTTGGTATGTTTAATCTAAACGCCTAGGTCATACCATGTAACATCGTTAGGTTTTTCATAGCGATACGCTATAATTTGTATCGACTCAACATGATAGGATTTTACGTATAAAGTAGGCCAGTCTGCTTAATAGTCGACATATCCCAGGTGACATTGTGCCCTATATCCATTTCCCTTAACGCGATGGGTGCAGACTTAGCTTAGTAGAAGTAGGAACCTAAGCAGAACACAATTCATAGAATTAGAGCCCCTGGTCACTCTTCGGATACCATATCAACAAAATGCAACGATGCACACAGAACGAATCCTATCCGCACTCTCTATTCTAGGTATGATATATTGCATAGCGGTACAGAAAACTCATGGTCATGCTATTGGAGAAGAAGAAAAAGCACCGCGACATCATACATGCCGCTGCTCGAAAACGCAATTATCCTAAGCCACCGCGCCCCGGGCTCTCATGTTAACAAACCGGCAATAAAGCAAGTATGTAGTAAACCCAACTTAAAAACCCCAGGTCCGAGTCGTATGATTACCTAACCATCAAAGAAACGAACCATCGTCACGTGGGTGGTCGTTGGTAGACGCGGTAGTACCATGGTTTGTCCCTTACTCCCTTGAATTCCCTGTAGAAAGCCCTCCGCTCTGAAGCTTGCGACCACTAGTCCTGCCTCGGATAAGCATCGTGCGGCATTTGATTGGCCAAGTTCATGTGCATCAGAGCATCGCGTTGCCACTCATCCTCTTCTTGGCCTCGGCTTGGAACTCGTCCAGGATCCCACATATTCTCGCCCTGCGATCCGCGGCCTTCCATACTCGGCAGGCGGATCTGCGGAGGCAGGGGCCGTCTTGGTATTTGCGGCCCTGCCCTGTCCCCGAATTGGCCAGCTTCCGGCATTCTGAAGCTACCGCTCGTAGCGGGCCGGGTGTCCATGTTCGGCACTCCACTGCTACCGGCGAGCTCGGCTGGCTGAGGTAAGGCCGACATCTTGTTCATTTGATGGTCCAGTTCTTCCTGTTCCAGTATTTGCGGCGCATGCTCCATATTCCTTAGGGAACTGGCTCCAGGTGCATTGCTGCTTCGAACACTGCCCACACTAGCACGGTGGTTCTCTCCTGTGCCGTCACCCCCTTCTACACTTCCGGAGTCCGGGTCGCGGATGGCAAATTGAGCAACTGTGCGCATCTTCCGAGTGACCCAGCTGGCTAAGATCTTGCCTCGCTGCTTCTCACTAAGACGGCTGCGAGGGAAGTCACCTTTGTTCACAAACGCGACTATATCGACAACTATTTGGTGCTCGTTCAAGATAGCGTTTACGATGACTGGGACGATGGATGCGAGATATGCTTTTCGTGATACTTCGACTAAGACGACCACAAGGCCACCAGCCTGAAAGACAGCGCTATGATTTATGTCAGCTACATCAACTCGTTTTATTTGCTTTTATCAAAGTCGAACTTACCAGCCGCCGGGTACAATGTTGCGATGAGATCTCTCGACCGAGGCCTCTATGTCCATCGGGAAATGGCTCAACCCGTTGATTTCGAAGGTCTCGCCAATGTTTCCTAGTACGAAGAGCACCTGCATGTCTACTTGGGCACCGCCCGGTCCAATAGGCCGACTGACGTTATGCAAGAAGCCAAGATCACCGGTTCGGACGTAACTAATGCTGGGGTCGCCGTCGATAGTACGCCCATCAAAGCGTTCAGCGTCAAAGGGATCTCTGGACCCGTAGAACGCTTTCACGCATGCTTCTGAATCGACCCAGATCTCACCATACTCTCCGTCAGTGCAGAGGAGTCGACTCTCGGGATTGACAATGGCTATTTGAGTAGAGACTGGTACCATGCCAGAGTCTTGGACCAGTAAGGCCTTCGGCTCCGAGTCAGGATCCACAGGAACGATCAACCCTCTACGAAGGGCTCGTTGGTCGAGCCAAAGCTCAATAGGCTCAATACACATGTATGACCGTGACGCGACCATCGGATTCAGAACGTGTGAATATACGGTATTGATAGCTGTTCTATCGAGGCCGGTAGCTGCAAAGTGAAGTCTGACTTTTTGAAATACGTCGACACGAGGTCTACCGTCGGCTGAGATCATCATGTTTTTCAACTCGTGGAGCGTGAATCCTTTGCCGGGCATCGTGTTCATAGCGTGGTCCAGCATCTGAGGTGTCGCGTATGTGTCCTTGATCTTATATCGACTAAGCGTCAAGAATAGTGAAATGGGGTTCTGTGCAAATTCTACTGGCGAGAGCAGGTAAGTAGGCGTGCCTATATAGATGCCCATTAGACACGAGTGAATGAAACCCAAACCCGTGGTGCTTCTGACGCAACCAAGGACAGGTCTAGAGCTGGTCATCTGGCAGGTTTCCTTTTGGACCTTGCACATTCCTAAAATAGTATCATGACCAAGTTGTACTGAAATTCTGCGCTGATCTGGCGTCCAGTATGCCCAAATTACAACCGGATATCCCGGTTGTATCCAGGCAGGATCTATTGTGATACCGAGGTCTCGAAGCCCGCTGCTCTGTTTCGGGGGCTTGGAGGTGTTGTATACACTAGGAACACTGATCTTAAGAAACTGGGCGGATTGCTTGACATGCTGGGAGACAGCCTTCGACTTGAGCAAGTGATCCACTTCATTGTTGACTAGGACAGCCTTAATGCCATAGTCGTTAATAAGATGGAGGAAAGCAGGCACATCCTCGTTTAGTCGTCGCTCATCCATAGGCGCAGTTGGTATGATCACGGCACCAAGGTTGATGCAAGCGTGGACAGCGAAGATATAGTCTTCGGAGTGTGTATACATGAGCATCACGTGGTCGCGAGCCCGTATATGGGCCTTGTTGCGGAGATATAGAGCCACAGCGGCAACCTTGGTGTCAAACTTCTTCCATGTAATACCTTTCCCTTCTTTGCCTCTACCATCGATTGTACAGTAAGAGAGCTCTTCCGGTTGGCGCGCTACTCGCCATTGGATAAGGTCCGTGATGCTGGAAAAGTTATTTAATGGAGTGGATGTGCGGTCGTCAATGACAACCTCACGCCTATCGATTCCAGAATATTGCTTGTCTGCAGGTCCAAGAAAATCTGCCCGGAAATCTGATGCTAGATTCGACCATATACCACCCATAGGATCTACGCCGATAGGTAGGTTTAATACCGCATGCTCAACGCCAAACTTGACATGAACACAGGGAAGATTGCCAAGATCGAACTCCCTACGGCACAACATGTTTCCTATTTCTCGTCGGCCATTCTTCGTTACTCGGGGTAAGGAGTTCGGTGCGGTAATCATGACACAGTAAACCCTGAGGTGATGCTCTTGCATTAGGACGTCCATACACCTTTCCGAGAGCGTGTCCAACAACGCGGTGTCCAGCTGCCTAGGCGGAGCACCTGACGTCGCTGGGGCAGTCGAGGCTGCCGATGACTCCAGTACCACTATCGGCAAATGCTCATCGTTGACAAATACATCAAACGCGGAACAGTCAAATACCTGCTTGTTCAGGTTCCGGAGGATGCTGACAACGATATGTTGCACGAAGAAGTATCGATGCTCGGCGATCTCGTGGCCGTGCTCAACCCATTCAACTTTTTGTCGGATTCGGTCTTCGTACAGCCCAAGTACAAATATCTTGCCCTCGATGACGGTCCCAAGGAGACCAGTCCTGAGAAACTCGGGCTCTACAGGAGTAGGTGTCGGGTCTCCCGGTTCAAACTTGTATGGTCTAGCATGGAAGATCTGCTCCGTATGTTTAGGCAAGGCCCAGAAACCTCCAGACAAAGATGGAGAGTCAACCCAGATTTCTCCTATGGAATGAGGCGAAGAGAGCAACCCCGTCTCAGGATCAACGACGGCAAGGGTGGCATCGGGAATGGGATATCCAAATGCGCCAACTCGAACAGTGCCTGGTTCGGTGGCAGCTTTCTTTCGTGCTTCGTCGCCTATGGCTAAAACAACCACTTCGTTCGTCTTTAGCGCCTCTCGGTCTAACAACACCTCACCAAGATCTTTCTTTGCGTCTTGTTCTTTCAAGGTAGTTGTGCCACCGCTGAGGAGACTGCCGAATCCATTCGATGGCTTCTCTTTCTCTTTTTCCTTGTCCTTCTCCTTCTCTTCATCCTTGTCAGTTTCTGATTCTGACTCGGTATCAATATCCAATTTCAACGGACATCCCATGCGCTCCTCTCCGCCTAGCCAATCCCGGATGCTAATCACCATACCTCCGTGCTCGGGCAAGCAAAGCATTGGTGCAACAACTTCTCTAGCCCTGGGGTTTCGCAGTGGTCGGAGCCATCGATCAGCTAATACTTCATGAAACTCGCTATCCACAGTCAAAGTATCGATCAGACACAACTTGACATGCTGGAAATTTGGTTCCGTGCCTTTCTTGAAGTTTCGCGTTGTCATAGGATCTTGTTGGTAATTAAAGGCAGCAGTCCTTAAACCGGGGTAATCGGCAACCATAAGCGTAGCCTTATATTTGGTAATAAGATGGGCGTAGAGACCGGGTGAATTCACCGCTTTGTTTTCTACCCACACAGTCGTATGTCCGCTATAGACGTTGAGAAGCACACCCAAGATCATTCCGATACCTTGGCGAGGATCAAGATATGAGAGGAGAATCTCGCTACTGGCACCTCCACCTATTAGACGTCCATTCTTGTCGCGAAGGGCACGGTTGAAGGTATCCCCCTGCCCACTAGGAACGACCTGAATTATGGCACTAAGACAGGCCATCTGATGCATAATTGTGCGATGGCTTAACACCACACCTCGAACGTCTCCTGTCGGTGCTCTAGAAAACTCGATATATGCTAGATCAGGGACGGATAAAGGGGGCACATCGTCCTTCTTCTTTGGATGGTAGCTTCCGAATTCATTGGTTTTCCACCACTCGACTCCCTTAGGCCAATTGAGCTTCTGCATGGTGATATCTCGCTGGAAGGACTTCAAATTGTTGTCTGTAGTTAAAGCTAAATGAGCCTGGGTAGAGGTTAAGATGAGATTCAGCTTTGGGTAGTCTTGCAAATCATTAATAGGGACTGCCACAACGCCTGCAATGAAGCAACCTAAAAGTGCTATAGTGAAGTCTATGATCTCCGAATCCCTATAAATGAGAGCGACTCGATCGCCACGATATAGCGAACTCTTGTCGCGAATGACCTGGGCTACCTTCTCCGCCCGAGATGCTAACTTATCCCAAGTGATAGAGGCTATTTCCTTTCCTCGACTATCAAGAACCCAGTAGGCTGGAAGTTTCCCATTAGTGCGCCCCCTATGTCTTAATACGGCAGCGATGTTGTCGAACGAAGACATGGCTGTATTCTCATCGTGCGGGTCGTGGATAGCGAATGGTACTTCCCGTGGCTCTAGGGGCATCTGGTACTCCAACGCTTCTGGAGGAGGCAAATCGTTCGCAGTGAGCATAGGTGGGGCCATAGCGGCGGTGGGCGAGAAGGCATCACTGGATGAGTACCTGTGAACCCCTCCACCATATTCGCCGCTGGGGCCCTGGTCATAAGACTGTTGACCAGCAAAGTCGGAGAAATATACTTGAGAATCCAACATAGTTCCAGCTCGACTACCATAAGCATTAGGTGGCTGCTGCCCATATCCTGCTTGGTGCTCCGGTTTAAAAGCATAGTCTCCCGAGACCATCGTTCCCGAGCGCGTGGGAGGATCGGAACCCATTGGTGGTGCATAGCTAGCAGACGGGCCCAGGAACAGGGAATCGCGCTGTGTCAAGGTCGGACGTTGCTCAGCCATGGGACCGCCGGGTCTTAGCAACCCGGCTGGATGTTCGGTAGCATGGGAGGAACCGGGGCTCAGCGGCCCGGAAGATTGGGGCCGCCAATCGACAGGAGATGTAATGGTCGAGGGAGAATAGGGTTCATTGGGATCGGGGTTGGTGGTGTTTAAGGCGGCATATGCGGCGTCACGGTGCCCCTCGCTCGTTTTCGGGCCGTCATCGTCGGGCGAGTGTATTCGTAAGCCCCCTGTCGCATCAGTTAAAGCACTCGGGCTGATATATTGCGAGAGTAGCTGGGTCCGTCGTTTTTGAAAGCTGCGAGTAAAGGGATGCGTTAACGAAGCCGAGGATAGGAGCGAAGTCGGATGATGTGTCCAGGAGAAGATCTTATGTTATAAACCACAGTAGTGGGCGAGGCCTTACCCTTTTTCTGTAATATCGCCTTCCTAGATCACGAATCGCCGTTAGTTCGGGTTTCACGAGCTGGTTCGCTACCATGTTCTATTATGTTGGGTCTTGTACCCCGCGTGCCGGCGGGTATCACAGGCATCGCCAACCGAATAAGGGGAGGAGAGAAGCAAAATGACAGCAGCTTACCTCCAACTCCCTCTCCAATTCGTCCAGCTTTTCTTGCAAATCCGCACTCAATTGCGCCATGTCGACTTCTAGTAGACTCTGGCGCAGAAGAGAAAAGAGGCGCGCAAGACTGATAACCGAGCCTTCTATCGGATCACCCGCTCCAAAAGCAAAATGAAATCCCTACCTAACTAGACAAACCAGACGAACCAGACAAGGCTCGTGACGTCAAATGGTTTCGGAGGGGATAATGTCTCCCTCTTACACCAGTCGCAACGGCAAAAGAAACCAACCAATTACGGCTCGGTTAGATAATTAGAATAAGGGTATCATAGTAATGCCACAGTAATTACTGCAAGTGAGTTAGACATGTATTTGGGGAGGAAAATAAAAGACTCATTAATGAAAGGTTAAAATGGGAGTATGGGATAATTCGATTCTAGAGATCTTCAAAGTGAACCCTGATTGCTCCAGGGCTAACACAGTCGCACAGTCGGTGGGCGGGCAAAGGGTACCTGGTATCTGGGTACCTTCCTCTATCTTACGCGAGTTTAGCTGTGATGATTGGCTATTACAAGCTTATTAAGGTGCAAAGAAGGCACGGAGGCGGCAATACGAGACTCTCAAGCCCTGTAGTTTCCCCCAACTGCCCAACTACTTCGTACATCTGTGTGGTATAACTGGCAGGAACCGAGGAAGACCCGCCTTTATTGGAACGGAATACGGCGAAACCTATTAAGCCGCAATATGTAAAAGCCTATCGATCTAATCTAATTTCCAAACTTTTCACTCTTCACATCTTTTCTCTTTTCAACCCTCTACTCTGAAATTTACATTTTCAATACCAGGCTACCATCCTCGAAAGATTTTTGCAGGAAGTCCGATTGCCTTCTTATGCCCCAACATTATGCATCGTCTTAACGCTCATCTAAGCATGGCTGCTCAGACGGCTCTCGATGTATTTATTGAGTTTCTAGCCTTTGCTCGGACAACGAAAATTTGCCTCGTTCAGAACATAGGTAGGGTAAGCTGCAAGAACAGAAGTCTTCAACTCAGTATCAGAGAGTTTGATGACATCAGACACCTTGGTTTGAAGAGGATGCTGTTCGCTGTGTAGCCTATCACCATTCAGTCTAACATTTGTAAGTCTCATACTGTTGAACATGGAATATAGAAAGTTGTCGACAACACCTTTGAGCTCTTTGTCGAACTCGAGGGATTGTCATTGACCTATCCCCTGGCTGTCCTTGTTATCGAGGATAAATATACGATAACGTCGGTCCCGTCCGGTAAGCTCTATTCTATTCAATCCAATACCAATTCCCCTACCTGATGAAACCAACGCATTCACAGACCTGTTCTGAATCTTTTTGTTGAGAAAATGCATTGAGCTCTACTGATTATATTCACCTCATCATAAATCCTCGATCTCACTGTACGCCATCTTATACTAACTATGTAATAGGTGTTTTCAAGCCAGCAAATAATCGCGTAGTTGACCGTGGAATACTTGCAATTATGTTACCAAGCAGTGACTTCCCTATAACATAGGGCCGCTTTGTATCTCTTCTCGCTTTCTGATCTCTTTGTGATGAGACAATAGTCTTGTTATAGTGTTGTTAGGGCATTGTTATGGTCAACTAAACTCAACAAGGTAAAATGTGGATTGTGTGGGAACAATGCCTCATTGATGGAACAAGACAATGTTCTGGGCGTCTTATATAGTGTAGCAATTTTCTCGATGTGATTGTGACTTGGGTTTATTCACCAATTGACTCAGTGGTTTCGGTTACCACTGAACAACTCATCCGGTAGCGTAGCAGTGCTGGTTACTTCGCTCAAGGTTGTCTTGAAGCTAGATCTTTCGTTGTTCAGTGGCAGGACCGTATATCGCCAACCATGGCAGAGTACACCGGCCTGGAGCCAACAGAAACTCATGCCGATGAGTCGAATATCTTTGACCAAATCGACTTCGACAGTAATGAAATCCAAGCCCCTGAGGGGTTCTTTTCCTTCTTTGAGCCTTCTGAGCCGCAGGACTCCGAACCAGGTCCCGTAGATCAAGGTGGGGTTGACGAGGTGTCTTCCCAGTCTCTCTCACAATGCATAGATCCGAAGTTGCTAGATAACGACTATGATGCCACTGCAGACGTAGTCGTTGAGCAACAGCCACCGGAGAATCACGGTACGAATTATCCAGTCGCCAATCCTATGACTAATTTCACGAATGGTAATGTTGTCTATAACGCCCCCTATCCTCCCATGTCAAACTACGCTCCTGCAATGAACTTCCCTCAAAATAATTTTCAGTATCCATATCTGCCTGCGACTAACCCCCCGTACCTAGGCCACGGAGCTGGATACCCGGTATACGTTATGCAATATCCACCACCCGAACAAGCATACCCAACGGCCGACGCTACGTACGTACTACCGGAGGCTCTACCCCCAACTGCACAACCGACGCATCACATAGTCACTAGAAATGGTTCACAACCTCGGGATCTACCCCCGGCACGCATCGCTCCTTCGTTCAACTCGTCTCTTGTGGATCCAAAGATCTTTGAAGCTCGGCGAAGTAGAGTCCCTTCCCCTATCATCATATATCACAAGCCTCCTCTAAAACGACCCACTAAAGGACCCAACGGGGAATCGCTCAAGAACGATAGGATACCCCGAGTCACCCGGAAGAACCAACCTCGGCCCAACCCCCGAGAGTGGTACGGACCTCCGCTAAGCCCGCCTGAAAGCTGGGGTCCGAAGGACAAGACTGGCCGTCCCGTGTTTAAGTACACGGAATATGGTGAGCTCGAGCGGGGCAGGTCCTATAGTCAGAAGGAGATGCGCTGGTACCTCTACGGCCCGAAGGTACATGAAGACTTTGAGCTTCCCAAACCTCTACCAAATGTACCGGAGGTTGAGAATAAGACTCGCCAAGGTCTAACCATCTGGATCGGTTGGGTGGCGTCGCAGTCTAACGAACGATACCCCCACGGGTCCCAGTCTCAGAGATGTCGATTTGCAGACTGTCCCGATCCTAATCACACGATCAGGGCGGGGTTTCCGCGCGTCATCTTTGATGAGAGGACGAACGTGGACGCAGACGCGATCGACCCGTTCCACAACGCCGGATACGCGCATCTTTTCTGCTTCGAAAAGCACTTCGATCTCGTCCAGGCTTTCCATCACCTCGACGTCCGCGCAGACGAGCGAGACTTCAAGCGCGAGGAAAACTTGGGCAGGCTATCACGGCAATTTCCCGAGATTCGAAATGAGCTAGACCTCTGGTGGCGAGATCAGTACCCTAAATTTCTGGAACATGGCAAGAACAGGGATCGCTCTTACGAGCAGTCCCTAAGTTACCGTCTCATATGCCACACACTAGAGCACAGCAGCGAGGGTCGCGTCAAGATGCGGGAAAGTAGAGGCGGCGCCGACATGTCGAAGCATAAAGGTGACCTCGTCGAGCTAAGGTTTCTCAAGGACTGTATGGCCGAGGGTTTAATGGATAGGAACGGAGATCCGCGGCCCGGGGCCCGTGAATATTTAGCAGATCTCAACGCAAAAGGTAAGAGAAAGAAGAAGGGAATTGTCAAGAGAATTGGGCACACAGATTCTCCGATTTCAGCAGGGCTACACATGGACAGACCTCCGCAAAGTGCACAGTCCGGTTCTTATATTCATGGTTTCACCCCTAGCGCTGAGTTCGTACCGATGCCTCAACCTTCTTCCATGAACTTCCCAGTACCTCGCGGCGGTTTGTCCATGGCAGCGACGAATTTCAACCAAACGATGGCGGCAGCCTTGTACCAACCAGGACCAGTTCCTGCAGACCGCTCACAACAAAAGCGGGACAGGAACGAAGTGTTGTTCGAAGACCAGCAGGGCAGTTATTCTAACAACCAAGAAGCTCAAGAGCCCCAGACCAAGAGGCGGAGACTATCTCACCCGGGAAGCCCAAGACCAAACACACCGACTGATCAAATCCCACTGCCTCATGACGCCAGCCAGCACCTGCAAGCAAACAGGGATAATGGCCCGTCCGTGGAAAGCGAAGAGCATGATGGCTTACCAGCTGACTTTCCGCCCTTAGACCTAGACTTGGGCCATCGTGATGAGGTCGAACTCGACGATAGCGCCGTTTTCAACATAATTGACGAGGAAATGCCAAGCGGTGAGTTGCCTACTGGTGATAACGTTAACACAGCCGCAGAAATCGAGGTTGACGGCTCGCATGATTCAGAATCCGAAGAAGACGATGATCTTTTCGGTGATCCTGATGACGCAGATTACAACCCTGAAGAGGACGAGTAAAACCTCTCTCACGAGGAAACTCCGGGAATTGGCTGCCCTGGAGGCAAATGTCGAAGAGGAACTTCGGGCGATTGAGTGTCGAATCACTCGTTAGACTTAGACTCTCGCCATTACCAGGTAAGCAGCAGCAGAATGAGGTAAGGCCTAAGAGGTGAGTAACGAGTTATGAGAAAGCGAATGACAATATATACCCAACGTGTTTAAGGCGAGGGAGTATGGCGAATATGTTTACCTATTTACTATTACTTAATTCATAAATCAATCATCTACCTACACAATTACATTTTCACTTACAACAACGGATTGTAAATATACCCGTAAAATATAACAAAGCCAACTAGTAAGCATTAAACGTTGTACCCGGAGAAATCCTAGAGAGCATGTATAGTTGTAACAGGCCTCGGAATTAAGAGGTATATGTGTTGGCAGCAATCCCACGAGTCCCGAGCCGAGACAAAGACGAGTAACAATTAGAGGTCAGATATATGTCAATATCAGGCAAAGGAATGCAAGACAATACCACGAGAACAGCAGAATGGGGTAGGATCGTATCAGGAAGACCAACTTTTCTCCAAACTTTTCCAAGTGTCATATGTAAAGTGGATAAAAGAGAATGCGGCTCGCGGATGGAACAGGAAAATAAAAAGGACATGAGTGAGTTGTTGTTAATACTGGCTGTCGGCGTGGCCGAGAGGAGCGAGTTGGCCAGGTTGCCATCGGTTGACATCCCTATCGGAACTAAAAGTTGGAATTCCTTAGCTGAAGGTTAAGAATGGTCCTAAGAATTGAACTTGCCTATAGTAGAATTCGATATGCCTCGATGTGGAGTCTCCGATTAGCTGCGCCCCGTTATGTTCACTGGACGCTAGAACCAACTCGGAAAAGCTGCGACCCAGGGGCAAGGACGCCGTCGAGTTTGCGTTACACACATACATCCCGTGCCTTTAGCTGTCTGCGATCAACCTTAAAGAAGCCGGAAGTTCCTCTAATTTTTAACCCAGCTGGAAGACCCATTGTCGTCTCCCACCCTTCTCTACTCTGTCTTTCTCATCAGGGAATTAGTAGAATATTGCGAAGAAACCGGAAAAGACCGAATAAGGGACTTGCGCCAGGGGCTGGACATTGCTGGAGCTGGGATGTCACGTGTGCGATACGGAAGGATTATGGACGAGAGATAACTTGGGAGCCTGACTGAAGAACGATGATGTAGCGCGCTTCCTTTAAAAAGACGGAAAATATAGTGGTCTCAACATTGTCGCACTGTCGCATCGTCCCGAGCTAAACCTCCTTAAAATCCTCATTCATATATCTCGCATCTTAAAGAGAGTGAGGAATAGTTGAAATATCCGTTTTCACCCACACGAACCGCGCCAACACTTCCAATCCCGTACGTCACCGAATGAAACGAAAGCGCAACCGTCGCATTTACGACCTGTCGCAAAAGATGGCCAAACAGGACGGTGCGAATAATGCATGTCAGCCTGCCTTGCAGGTCATTGTACTGGTAAGCAAAACTTGTTTCATTTCAATATCTGGTTTCATGGAATCCAATACATCAATCTGCTTCGGTGACGGCTTTTGATTCGCCCTTCAAAGCTAAAGCAGCTCCGCTGCTCGCGCTGTTACCTCGACCACTTGGGACGTCTGCACGTGAGATCCGATCTGAAGCTCGAGATTTCGATATCGAATAGGATGGGTCAAAAGTGCTAAATCCGCTGTGGCCGAGATCATTGGCTCGATCTGGTGCGACTGGTCAGATAAATGAGAGCTTCCCGTACAACAAGGCGACATCATTCTTCAGCCGCGGAAATATTCTTTTGTGTCAATTTCGAATATTAGAACCCGTGTCTTCTCAACTATCTTATTCCCGGAGATAATTAGAGCAAGACAAAGCTGGCTGTCCATCCGTTGGACTCGAGGTCGATTCGATGGCCAGACCGAAACAAATGTTAAAGAAGCACGCCAAAACTGGAGCAGATACCCGACCCGATATTGGATGTAACATGGGGATAGGTCACGTGTGTCGCTTGTCGATAACCTCTTTAAGGCAATCTCGGGGGTGACGTCACAAAAGCCGACTTTATCCGCCCTGCAGGTGCCCCTACACTGCCTGCTTTATGCACCTAGGTTGGGATTGGAATATGGCTATACAACTCCAGCTGCTATATCAAAGCCTTGGTCAATAGATCGATTTTCAGCTATCTCAAGATTTCGTCCAAAGCTAAATACTAATATCCATTTACGTTAGGGCTCGGGTGGTGGACCACAAGAGCACAATGTCACCGCCTTCCTCGTAAGATCGGTTAGATCTGGTTGGAATCGAGGCTCAACAGTTGCTCTCGATGCCGGTGTCCATCTCTCCGCTATTACTCGGATTCTCGAAGAAACACAACCCTCAGGACTCGGAACCCATGTTGCATTACCTCATGTATTAGAGTCGGGCCCCTTTGCTGGCTTGGAGGTCCAATCAACATGCGCGTCTGCCAATGCCGCTTACATAACAAGACATCTCATTGACACGTACCTAATCACTCACCCACATCTCGACCACATCAGCGGCTTCGTAATAAACACTGCAGGTCTCCCAGGGACGCGACCAAAGCGAATTGCGGGATTACCTTCCACCATTTCCGCTTTCAAAACGCATATCTTCAACAATGTCATTTGGCCAAACTTATCAGATGAGAACAATGGCGCCGGTCTTGTAACTTACACGCGCCTTGTTGAGGGAGGCAGTCCAGCTCTTGGCGAAGGGGCTGGTAAGGGGTACCTAGAGATTAGCGATGATCTGACAGTAAAAGTCTTTAGTGTCAGTCACGGGCACTGTATAGAGAGGCATACACACCGTGGTTCTACGTCTTCCTCTCGCTTTGGTAGCGTAGACATCTCATCAATGGCATCGCCAAGAGTGGGCCAGGGTAATAATGTTGCGTCGGGGCCGTCTCCTCTTCTCAGATCATCAGGCATTGGACGCCCATCGATAGGACAGGAGCCGGAATCAATGTGTGTTTATGACTCGAGTGCATACTTCATCCGAGATTCGGTCAGCGGTCGGGAAGTTCTAATGTTTGGCGACGTAGAGCCCGACAGTATTTCACTTTCACCGAGGAACCTTGGAGTCTGGCAAGAAGCGGCTCCGAGAATAGCAGACGGCAATCTTGCAGCCATTTTCATCGAATGTTCTTACGATGACAGCCAGACCGATGACCTTCTATTCGGTCATCTAACTCCCCGCTACATCATCGAAGAGATGAAGGTGCTCGCTGCAGAAGTTGAGTCAGTTCGTCAGACTCCAGCCAAATTTGAGCCGAATAAGAAACGCAAGAGGGAGCTGGAGGAAGCGAGTAGAAGAGCGAATCGAGTTATTGCAAGGTCCGGCGGGGACGATGGGCCCGTGTCACCAAAATCAATTCGTCCGCGACTGTCGGGTTCGGGGTCATTACCACCAAGTGAAAATGGCCTCGACTCCCCACCTCTCACGACCCCTACGGCCGAAATGAGCTTGAAGGACTTTGAAGCTAACATGACACCACCTCCTCCTCTACGTAAGACGCCAAACCCCCTTAAAGGTTTGAAGGTGGTCATTATACACGTCAAGGAGAAACTCCATGGTGGGGAAAAACCAAGAGACACGATATTGCGCGAGTTGCTTGACCACGAAAAGGAGGCCGAATTGGGTTGCGAGTTTATCATTTCAAAAATGGGACAAAGCCTCCTGTTTTGACCCCTTCCATTGCATATACGGCTATGGGTGTTTACATATAGCACAACGGGATGTGGCTTGCGGCATTTGTGGGTCGGAGTTGTGCGTTGCTTATCTAGAATAGGGGCCTTTTTCCTTTCTACCCATCTGGCTAAACGTCACGGTCAAGGCGTCGAAGGTTTAGCTATCTACATGAACAGGGCGGTCGATATATTTTCGGTAGGCGTTAGGAGTTTCTAGATACCTGGCAAAAGGAGCTCAGAGCTTCAGCATCATGCAGAAGAGGTATACATCAATGCGAGAAGATGAAACCGGGCTATTGATCACCCGCCTCCCGGTGGCTTGAAATTTCTTTCCCATCCGGTGAGATTGTACAATTGGGAATATTTTTAATTCTTATGCGCGATCTGACAAAGCCTGATAAATTCCAATAAGTCTACGCATTTCGAAGACGGTAGCTTGTAACTATTTAGGTGGGTGGGCAATTACATAACTTGTGAAGATGATAAATAATACACCTAGGGACTCTACGACGTCAGCACACGCTAATTATTACAAATTGGGTATTTGGTCCCTTACCTGCTGCAGTAGCTCCCAAGGCAAGGTATTAGTAAGTCTCTGGGCCGAAGTGATAGGTTGTACCTACCTACATAGGTGAATAATAAAATGGCAATTCCCCTCCGCTATCCCGCCCCGTCTCTTAATTCCGCCACCGCAATCGGCATTAGAAGTCGCTCTGCATATCGGCCGCTCTCCGCTCGTCTTAAGCTGAACGGAATATAGCGATTTTAACCCATCCGCGTGTAGCCGTCCTCACATTTTATAAGACATTTATGCCCCCTATTCAGTCTATCTCAAGTTTATCAATCCGTCCTTTAGGAAGGATACCCCGCACCTACATAGCTGCTACTAAACTAGCATTTCTCAAACTCCAACAGCTCGTCAACATGTCCGTCTCAACCAAGCAGGAGGAGGCTATCAAGCGGAACCCGCACCCGGACTTCAACGGAGTCCAGGCCTCGCGGCCGGACTGGGACAAGGAGTCGCGCTTCCGGTACACGAAGACGGCGGACCCGTCGTGGACTCTCGGGTCCGGGGCCAACGCTACCCGCGCGCCGGACGCCGGCGACAGGAAGCACGTGTGCATCGACCCGTACGAGGCGGGCCGCCCGGCGCCCTTCAACTACAAGCTGCTGATCTCGGGGATCGTGCCGCGGCCCATCGGCTTCGTGTCGTCGCTATCAGCCGACGGGAAGACGCGGAATTTGGCCCCTTTTAGCTACTTCAACATGGTCAACCACGACCCGCCGCTGTTCGTCGTGGGCATCGCGTCCGGCCTCGCGACCCCGAAGGACACGCTCCGCAACCTGGTCGAGAGTCAGGAGTGCGTGGTTAATATTATTGGCGAGGACTTCGTTGAGGCGGCTAACGCGACGAGCGTTGATGCCCCGTACGATGTGTCCGAGTGGGATATCAGCGGGCTGACGCCCGTGTTTGATACTGTCGATGTGAAGGCCCCGCGGGTGCGGGAGGCGGTGTTCAGCGTGGAGTGCAAGCTCGAGAGCGTCCGCGAGTTCGAGAGCAGGGCGACGCCGGGGAAGAAGAGCGGCTGCCTTGTCGTGCTTGAGGGCACGCGCTTCTGGGTGCGCGAGGACGCGCTGAATGAGGAGCGCAATTTGATCGATCCCGAGGTGCTGCGGCCGATTAGTAGACTGGGAGGGATCACGTACGGCCGCGTGACGGAGGCTATGGAGATTCTGAGGCCGAGCTTCGAGAAGGATGTTGGTGGGAGGGAGGGCTATGAGAAGTTGAAGAAGACGAATGGGGACGGGTCTAAGTGATTTACTAAAAAGGTGTCGCCTTGGGGTTACTTTTATATGGTATGTTTGGTCGACTTTCAGGGGTATATAGAACGCTAAGGCGTAGTGGTAATTGGGGCGTGATTATAAAATTCATGAATAGATTCGTATCACCAACGCACACCACTGTGCCTATCCATAAGGAAAAGGGGGTTTGAGATAACATTGTCACACATTCCATGTCTAATTTAGTATTTAATTATGTAGAATTGGACATTCGGGATATTCTAAAAGTCTAGTAGCTGTCGTAGTAGATACTGTATCGGTAGGTCCATCATTAGCCTAAGTTAAGGTTACGATATCACCAGAACCCCAGCTATTACCTACTCCTTGTGTTATGCGGGGAATTTCCTGGGTTCTGGTAGTAAATCGTGAGGATGGACTACTTCTCGAAAACCGTCTACCTACCTAGATAGGTTATGGTAAATATTAGAGATACATCCTGTCAGACATTCATGTTAAGAGCTAGGTAAGACTTCAGCTGTGGCAATTCCTGATCCTCAACTTGATATAAAATACTTGGCAGGCAATAATAATTCCACCAACACCATTGTGACGTCGACCGACCTAACCGAGATCTCTAAAAGTCGATACCACATAGTAAACCCCACAGATCCTCCACCTATCATAGTTGCTATAACTTCCCAGTATTCGGGTTACATTTTTAGCTTCGAGTTATTTTCAACCTCAGTTCACAAGACCTCTGGATTTTATGCCACCTTCCTATTAGAAACATGTAAGTGCCAACCTTTGATCTATAGTTCACTGCCAATCGACATATCCGACCCAAGTTTTGCCTCCTGAGTCAACTCTACAGTTTGGCCCATAGTCCAGAAATAACTTACTTTATAACATCATCAGGATGTGGCTCAACTTTATAGGGCCGCTTATGGCGGCCCTTGCCCTTATCACGTCGGCAATGGTCAAAGGATACGATAATATCCCGCCCCGTCCCAATATCCTACCTAGTCCTTATGACACCGGCAGGGCAATGCCCCTTTCGCTGCCGCGGGACAAGGGTCGCTACTGTTACGTAGACCAGGGGCTCGAGGAGAATCGAGATGATGCGCCACGCATTTGGCAATCCCTACAGGAGTGTAACGACGGCGGGACGATAGTGTTTGACAAATCGTACCTAATCGGCTCGCCTTTAGACCTTACGTTTCTCAAGCACGTCGATCTTGTGATCACCGGTGACATCGCCTTCGATGACTCTGATGTGTATTACTGGCAAAATAACAGCTTCAAATACACGTTCCAAAACCAAAGCGTGTTCTGGAAACTCGGTGGCGAAGATGTGAACATTTATGGCGACCTTACTTTGGAAGAGAGCAAGAGCGTTATCGACGGGAAGGGGGAGGCGTATTGGGAAGCTGTCCGGAACGACACTGCTGTAAGTGAATTCTAGTCAGATCAATGGTTTTGTCCATGCGAGTTAAGTGATCAAGATTGACATTGGGGAAACCGTAGTTGCTAAGGCCTATACTCTTCGCTCTTGATGGAATGAAAGGGGCTACTATGTCAAATTTGCGGATGCGTAACCCGCCGAACGTAAGTATTACCCCCTGTTCTTGTGTCCGGAAAAGATTTCTGGTTGACATAAGTTTAGTGGTTTAATATCATCGCGAATAGTTCTGACATAATAATTAGCAATATGGACCTTCGTGCAGAGGTAAGTGTGACTTTCTCGATTCTAAGTAACGCAGTTGTTGATAGTTATCTACCTCTATAGTCACTCAAAGGCACCAAGATCGCCAACTCAGACGGCTGGGACACGTATAAATCAAACCGAGTAGCAATACAGGATTCATTTATTAATAATACCGATGGTATGCCAAGTCAATCTTTACTCAGTCCCGAAGGGTGTTAATTTAGAAAGATTGCGTCTCTTTCAAGCCAAACAGCACGAACGTCGTTGTCCAAAACCTACAGTGTGTCGGCTCGCATGGCATTAGCATTGGTTCAATTGGGCAATATCCGAACGAAACCGACATTGTTGAGAATCTATATATCTACAACATCTCTATGGCAAATGCTAGCGATTTCGCCCGAATAAAAGTATGGCCTGGTATAGAGACTGACTTCGAGACTCACCTCGCAGGCGGTGGTGGAACTGGCTATGTCCGAAATGTCACCTACGACCTTCTACATAATATCAACAACGACAGGGCCATAACCATCACTCAGTGTTACGGACAGAGCAACGAGACATTATGTAATGAATACCCAGTATGTATCGGAAATTCTCATAGATAGGCCCAAAGTGCGAATTTTCTCTTTCTAACCTTGACCCTTTTCTAAATATAGGCCAACTTGACTATCGAGGACGTCACCATGAAGAATATCTACGGAACAACTTCCGCGAAATTAGACCCAGAAGCTGGCACTCTTGTGTGCAGTGCCCCTGATGTATGTTCCAGCAACTAGAGGACTCTCAGAAGAACCAAGCTAACCCGATTTCGAAACTAGAGATGTAGCGATATCAGGGTAGAAAACATCACGGTTACAGTTCCTAGCGGAAAATCCCCTGTCTATGAATGTAGAAATATGGACGATAGCTTGTTACAGCTTACTTGCATCGAAGAATCCGGTGAGGACCGAGATACTTCTCAAGGTTAGCACCCCTTATTGTCATCATAAGAACATTGCATGCATGAATATTTGTCCTTTGTAACTAGATCATACATGGACATTCACTCTAAATATTAAGTTAAAAGGGAGTTCGATATAATCCAGCTACACGATGCCCCTTTGACTACCAGCTCTAAACAGTATATAGTATATTAGTGAGGCTCATAGTTACCCCTATTGGTGTATGTAAGGGGGAGCTACAATTTTGTCAGACTTTAGTAACCGCACGCATTTGGGAATTAACACAATCCTCCGGTGGTTTGTATTTTCGAAGCAAAGAATAACTAACGTAATTATTCCCTGACAAGTTGATAACATTACGAACACTACGTAACTTCGTTAAATTAAGGCTCTTGATCATATGTTTAGAAACGCGTCAACTCCAGGTGCGACTTAGGGGAATATCGTCCAATTGGTGTAATTTTTAAGGTATGTAACTAAATGTCTCGTATCATGGAAGGGTATCTGGACCTGGCCCTAGCCGTACCAATACGACCCTGGATGCTTAGCTTGAGGCAACACACCACTGCCGATCAGAGCCCTTGATATGGCAACTAGATTTAAATCAACAATGCATCCGGAGCCCTACCAGTGGGGTGTCAGGGGTCATAAGTCCCGTCTTGGTCCTCACGATCCTACATTGCAGTGTGATCCATCAGGCATTTATCCGGCAAAAACATGAACATCGGCTTTAATAACCCCGTAGATGTATGTGCGGACCTTGCAGCTTGGAAAGTCCAGATTGGCGCTCTTCAACTTGTCCTCGTATCGACCAAGATCCATCCAATTTATTATGGGGTGTGTTTCAGATATCAAAAGGGTATTTATTCTATTAATTTCGCCATGATCAACGCTGGGTTTTTGACGCCAACGAGTTTACTTCGCTCGCCTTGACTCATACGCACGTTTGTTCATCGTCACCATGCAGTTGACTAAATCGAGTTTGTTGCTCTTTGCCGCCGCGACTTGCACCGAAGCAGTCCGGACAATCATCCCCACGACGAGCTTCAATTCTCAGGCGGACTTTGACGCTGATTGGGATTATAACTACCCGTGGGGAACTGACCACAATGGTGGTGCCCGCATGAACGAGAGCCAGGTCCAGTTTTCCGATGGACTGTTGACCTTGACAGCCAAGAAGGTCTCTGGTCAGCCACCCGCTACCTCGGGTGGACAGACGATTGCAATCAACTATCTATCGGGTACGATCTATGCCAAGGAACACTTCACTGTCGCGCAGGGTGGAGGATACGACTTCAGCGGCGAATTTAAGGCGACGACGACCAAGGGGACCTGGCCGGCCTTCTGGTTGACCGCGGTCGATAGCTGGCCGCCAGAGATCGACATGGCTGAGTGGAAGGGATCCGGCAAGATCTCTTTCAACACATTCAACACATCGTCGGTTCTCTCTTGGGATGACGTGACGTATCCGGACCCAGACGAATTCCACACCATCAAGTGTGAAGTCCGCGATATCAACCAAAAGGACGTCTCGGCGAAGTTCTACATGGATGGCTCACTCGTCACAACGCAAGTAGGGGGTGGTTTCTTCGGGAAGGCAATGTACCTGTGAGTTATCTCCTTCCTTAGGTAGCCCGACCGCTATCTTCCTACCTTAAAGTTTGCGAAGGATACTGTTGCTAATAGTATCAATATAGAATCATTGACCTCCAGATGGAGGGTTCATCCGGCTCGCCAGGTCCTACTACCGGTAAGTTAAAGTACTAAAATTAGAAGATCCCAGGCTGATGATAGATAAACCAGACACTTTATACCAGGTGCGGAACCTCGAGGTTCTAAGCTACAACCCTTAATTCAACGCCAAGGAGTTGAGCAAGGGCAAAAGGTCCTCATCTACCTAACGGCAGTTAGCCTGTTCTGAAAGTGGTTTGGGCTTAACTTATATTCTTGTAAATACAATTTAGTGCCAGATTTTGGATCGGATGATTTAAATTCCAGTACGTTATATGAAAAACAGGAATCCAACCAAGGAGAACCATATACGTCATCATTATGATGACAATCATGTGATTTGTCACTACAATGGTCTATTCGTAAACCATGAACGTAGCAGATGTCTTTTCCGTTGCTAACCTTATGAAGAAAAGGGCGAACTTACTAATAAGCCATAATGAGGTGAGACACTCGTCCTCAACCTCAACCTGAGGTCCCGTGTGGGCGCCCCTTGCGGCTGACCAGTAACTCGGCTGCGGAGGGACTCTGAACCACAAATTCCTCTCGACTTTCCAGTCAGACAATGGCCTGGTCACTCCGTAGCAGCTCCCCTACCGAATGCGTGATTCAGTCTGCGGAGGGCACCGCGCCACCGAGCCGGGGTTCCCGGATGCTCGGGACAACGCCAGCTTAGACGGCTTCTTCGCCAGCGCGCGTGGGCCAGGACAGGGGCGAGCGCGAGTCCTCGGTCTAGGTGGGCGTGCGCCAGACGAACGGCGAACAGGCCGCCCAGGCCGAGCTCACCGACGGCGATCAGATGCACCTCGAGTACGCGTGCCATCGCCCCGGTAACGGGAAAGTCGTACTTGTGGTACGCGTACAAGGTGATGCTGAATAACTGGCACGATAGGTATTATAAAAGAACCATCAGGGATAGTGTGGCCTGTTGAATAAGTAGAAGTACGAGGCCGAGAACGACTGTTTTTTTTGCGCATGGTAGTGAGGTTCAGACGCGTACCACTTAGAAATTACCATTTCTTATAGGTGACCGCTGCAGAGAGAAGGCGATTGAATCGGCGCAGGAACTTGCAGTAAGGGGGAATATGCCGATGTGTCGATGTTTTGAAGTGTCTCCTTTACTATATTGTAACAATACTCGTTTACTTACTTAGGTACCTAGTGAATATGTCAAGAAATTAGGACCTTTTAGATCAGGTTGCTATCTTAGTTGAACTGGTAACTTTCTTACACTTTCTTCCTCTCCAATTCGGAAAGGAGGAATACTAGGTGGGGGAAGTCCCGCTGAGTGGGGTTCTGGATTGGGGTGGGTTTCAACTTTATTTTTAGTATTCTCTAGCGCTCCCTCCCCGCCCTCCTTCCCGTTCTCTCTGCATCCTTCTATTGGAAGAATCTCACCCTCCCCACCACCGTTTGTCCAGTACCATTGAGGCATCTAATCTAGGTGCTTCAATCTTAGTCATGAGCTCGAAAGACAATGATGGTATATGGAGGCCAGTCGCTTCTTTTGACAAGAACGAAATCCAATGGCCTCTATCATTCTCTCTACAATCTCCTTTGGAGGGTGCGCCGCGGCGCAAATGGTGGGAACACACTTACTACCGCGGTCCCGAAAACCAATCCGTCCAAATATTGTACAGCACCGACGCATCTAATTCCGAACTCATCGCACAGCAGTTTCTTAACGAGCCTGTGTTAGGTTTTGATATGGAATGGCCTTGGGATAACATCAGAAAGGTTGAAGGAAAGGTCGCACTGATCCAGATTGCTTGTAAAGACAAGATCGCCCTGTTTCACATCGCGCTTCACAATGGCAAGACAACCGAAGAACTTATCGTACCCTCCCTACGCCGCATCATCGAGTCGGCGCATATCATGAAGACGGGCGTTGCCATAATGAGCGGAGATTTTCGAAAACTAACGGGAGAATTTCCGCTGCAACCCCGAGGCGTCTTTGAACTCAGCCATTTGTACAATCTGGTCACCTTCGGATCGCGCAATCTTAGGGAGGTCAATACTAGACTACGTAAGCTGTCGTTAATAGCTGAGGACCATCTCGGACTTCCGCTTGATAAAGGACCTATTCGCACTAGCAACTGGAACCTACCTTTAGATGACAAACAGAAGACATATGCCGCCAACGACGCCTACGCTAGTTACATGCTGTTCCACTGCATGAACGCGAAGCGTCTAACAATGAGCCCCAAGCTACCGCTGCCAAAACTCGCCGAATCCTATCTGCCTTTCAGAATAGCGGACATAGTCCTTACGCAGCTTGAGGTGGAAGCAGATGGAGGTAAGGTGAAGGTTTTAACTGCCATGGATTTCTTCGTTCCTCCTCAACCTCGAGATGACCAGTCCTCGAGAAGAGCCAATGAGGGAAACAATTCTACAGAATCCCTCACTCGACAGAGAATACAGCAAAAACTCGATCAACTCCGTAGAGGGCACTCCTACAGACGGGAAAAGGCGAAGATAATATCACCTGACGAATTATACCAGCGGCTCGCAAAGCATCGTGATACCGTGGCAGCTACTCAAGGCTGTCATCCACATACGATAGCACCCGACACGGTCTTGGAAGTTCTAGCTCGAGAACGTCCTAACAGCTTTCTTCAGATTGTACGTATCAAGGGCTTGGACAAGTCGAACGGAATTAAATACGGGAATGATTGGCTTAGAATCATTCAGGGTTCTGCAAAAGAACATCATTCGAAGCATTTGAAACCATCGGTCTCAGGAATACCCGCAAATTCACACCCTAAGGATATGTTCCAGCAACTGCAGCCACACCCGAGTGACCAACCATCCAAGCGCATGAGAACCACAGAGGCAAACAATTCGGAGGAGCTGGTCCCATCCGTGCCTACGGCTAGTACCGGATTGTCTTTCCAATTCAACGAGACTCGGCTTGATGAAGTACCTGTAGAGAAGGATGATGGTGTCCATCACAATGAGTCTCACGAACCAGCACTGGGATCACCGTCACCATTGAAACGCAAGCGAACTGAATGCACCGTCCCCTCTGCACTAGAACTTACATCAGTTCCGAACCCCTCCGAGGTTCCCGCTCCCGCATCCGTGGATGAAGCGGCACAACCAGAGTCGCTAAGCTTTAAACAAAAATTGTTACGGAGAAAATTAGACGCTTATGTCAAGAGTGTTGTCTGCTCGATGAGCCCCAAGCCTACTCAGCCAATAGTGTCTGAAGCTACCCTTCACTGTCTTGTGACGACGCTACCTCGAACACTTGACGAATTCCACGAAGTCCCCGGTATCGAGGGGTTCTTCCAGGCTTGCCAAGGGGTCAAGAAGGATCTGTGGTTAACGTTCTCAACATGGACACGGACCTCGGGCCTCGTGCCAAGTTCATGACCAGGGTGGAAGTTGCCAACTACCACCCAGTAATCATGTCGCTATAATTCAAACAGGTGTTGAAGAGCGGCATAAGCTAGATGTCTTAGGAAAGGCTCGCGTTTATGGAATTCTGGACCGGCGTTGGAAATACATCGAAGGAATACTTTGTGGTTCTGGATTGGGTGGGGATTTGAGTTGCGACACCGGACTGACTTTCTGTGAAAGCAGTTGAGCAATCAAAATGAAAATACAGGTCCTTGAAATGAGTGTGTTTGTTTTAATGGGATGGTTGGGTATGCGTTATGTGCTTAGTATTGAAGAACTTGTCTCAATGACACATATCCAGTCGTTTCGGATAGCATGTAACACACTCATTAGAAACAATACTCTCCTTAGGGAATTAAAGAGAGTTCCCCTCGGCATCACTCATAACCTAGGCCGTTGCTAATGTGCCAGTATTTCGAAAACGTCAGTTACCTTAAGCTCGCTCATGGAGTGTACTTTGGGGTCACGAATTATCGTATAAGGACTTATGAACGTACAAGTTTTGATTGGTATCTCGAATAAGATGACTTGCTAATGGACTTCTCTAACCCGTGTCTTATATGTGTTGAGGACATTTTCTTATATGGCTTCTTGACGATTGAAGCCAAACCCGGAGAGGATGGTTCGCTGATGTATGATAGATCGCAAGGGCGGAATTTCCACGCGTCAGTAAGGCAGAGCCCTTTTGAGGTGAGCAGGGGGGCTCATACTCATTATTAATGACAACTATATGAAGCGTTCGTCGAATTCGCGGGTTCTATTTATATCGTGGAATATATATACTAGTTTAGCAATACTACCGGGATAGTAAGCGAGGAATGAAAGGTGCCAATCTAAGGTACCATTGCCTTAGTTGAAACTCCAGGTGAGATGCGGAGCTAGTGCCATTTCTACAACAAAAATGTCACCTTATATCACCAGCCGCTTTCCTACTGGACAAACGACACCGGTATTACTGGGTGATTTGGGTAGTTTTTGCCGACTTTTTACCATTTTTATTGTCCTCCGACCTGAGTTGTCAACCATGACGAAGAACTGGGTTGAGGCGTAGCTGATATTCCAAGCAGGTTCTCGATAAGTTTCGTGTATAATATTTGTAACTGCCTAGGTGAGGCTTCGCCGGAAAACGCTGGGGGCGGTATGCAGTGAGGGTAACATCATAGGCACAGGCTATATACCAAGGGGGTGGCACGTTATATATAGTGCATCCACGAATGTCTATTTAGGTAGCACTCGCAAAATACAAATACTCGATTGTGGCGTCTCCTCTTCGCCTCTTAGGCTTGTGCCTTAGCCCAGATGCACTCGACCAAAGAAGTAGCCCTCGAATCCGGGATGGAGCTCGCTCCGGATCGGAGCATCCCCGAGGTGATTCACTCGCAGCATGTTCCCTACAAGGGATATGACCTATCACAGTTTCAAAACGGCAACTGTCCGGAAAAACGAATAGCTGGGTTAAGGAGAGAGACGTTCTGGTTGCTGGTAGTTCTATTTGCCGTGGTTGCGTTGTCGCTCGGCCTGGGAACGGGGTTGGGCTTGGGCTTGAGGAGTAATAATGTTAATAATGCAGGTTAGGTGATGAGGACCAACCTGGTAGAAAACGTGGCTCTAATGCTTCGCCTAGGAAAAGATGCGGAAAGCGCATCTATAAGCAACGGGAATGCCCTATCATCCTCCATTGCTATCTCGACGTCCGCGCCGGGATCCTTAGCCGCCGAATCGGTCGCCACCGCCACATCTACCAGCAGTACTAGTAGCACAAGGACGACGTCTATCGCCTCGTCAACGATAACATCGCTAGTAGATTCCGGGTGTCCTGGTATAAATGGCACGACGACATCGATGTCAACCAACGGAGTAAATATGACATACAGGTTTTACTGCAACAGCGACTTGACGGGAACGGACCAAGCGTCGTTGGTGACGAACTCACTCGACGAATGCGTCACGTTATGCGACTCATTAAACTGGACGGAGAACCGCAGAGACGTCGGCTCCGTCTGGAATGAGAAAGGTGTGGTTGGGCAGACGGCAGGGACTTGCTGGTGTAAAGGAGGCAACGGAATTCAAGTTGTGTCGCACTCCGGGATTGTGGTAGCGAGTGCGATATAATAGCGTTACTCAAGCTCTGGAGTGCGGAATAATGAATTAGAAGTCATTTCTCCTCATGTGAATATTTGTACGGAGGTATCTTCATATCGGGCCTATATATATTCACTTAATGAAGCAATCTTATATACCTAATTATGAGATGTTCCTTAGATCGAATAATGTTAGTAATCGAGTGGCTGAGTCTATGGCGGGGCTAGATAAGATAGAAAATTATTTAGGTTGGGGTCCCGGTTCGCGATACTAATTGGTGAAGATAAATTTATTCTATAGGTACCTACATACATGTTGAAAGAGTCATACGGCCAGACTCGTGGAGTGAAGACTCCATGTAAAAATTCATGAGAATCCGCAATGCAACCGCTAAAGCGCTGGGGCATGCTCATCTTCCTCGTCTGGCTGTCAATGTAAAATCACATCTTCCTAAACCTCGACAGAACCCTAAAGCATACGCCATTCGCATCCCCTATAGAGCCTTTCAGCGGACACCACTTGCCGCATTCTCAAGTGCACTCTTCAACGACGAAAATCTTACCGTAGTGCGAGCGCCTTTTCACGACCAATTTCGTCGTCTGCGTTTTTTTCTGGTCTCTGACCCACCAGAGCAGCAGTGTCCATTGTCGGCCGAGCTTGCAGCCCAAGCATACGGAAACAGGATGTTGAACTTCATCCAGATCGTTACGATTCCCACCGCCGATACCCGTGGTAACTGCTTTTTGCTTCACTTCGATAACAAGCGCTATGTCTTTGGCAATATCTCCGAAGGCACCCAGCGCGCATTCGTTCAGCGAAGTATCGGTATACAAAAGGTCGAAGACGTTTTCTTGACCGGCGTGGTTAATTGGCAGAATGCCGGTGGTCTCCTTGGTGTCATCCTAACCATTGCCGACACTCTTGCTGGAAAGGTCGAAAATCTACGAGCAAATCTAGAGGAGAAGAAGAAGAGAGGCGTAAAGGTTCACAGTAACGACGCCGAATCGAATGACGCCGAATCGAATCTCAATGCGACACCGAGACTTAGAATCCATGGAGGGAAGAACATGGCCCAGCTGTTAGCCACTGCTCGACGGTTCGTCTTTCGGAAGGGTCTTCCTTTAACCGCTCATGAGATTCGCGATGATCCTCGCCCTGCCAAACAACAGTCTTCCGAACCTGATTGGCAAGATGTCAACATCAGAGTATGGTATATGCCCATCCAATCGGCAGCAGCGCCATCAAACAACCCTAGGAAAAGATCTCTCGAAGAGTTCATAGGGGATTCTGATGTCGATGGGCAACATGAACCATTGTCGGACAAGGAAGGTGATCTGAAGTTGGTCAAAACCATCCTCAACATGATGTTTGACTCTGGCTGGAAGATGGACGCGCTGCATGAGACAACCTTACATCAAGTAAAGCTGCCAGCAAAAATATTCGTCCGAGACAAAAACGGCCATATCCAAGTGTATAAAGGTCCCATGCCGGAAGATGGCGAGGAAGTGGCAGATATTCCCGTGCTAACACGCGAACCATGGCCCGGAGCTACGGTTCAGTCACTGCCCCGTACAGAACCTTCGAATCAGTCTATGTGCTATATAGTCAAGAACCATGATCGACGAGGGAAGTTCAATGTCAAAGCAGCTGAAGAGTACGGCGTACCCAAGATAAACTTCAAGAATCTTACGAGAGGCGAGAAGGTTGAGGGCAAGGACGGAATGGTAGTCACCCCTGAAATGGTTTTAGGAGAGACTGTCCCCGGTAGCGGGTTTGCTATCATTAATCTTCCAGATTCATCTTACATCGATCCACTTGTGTATCGTACCGAGTGGTCGGATGATAATATAATGAAAGGGGTCTATGTCATCTTCTGGCAGTTGGGTCGTGGAGTTGGGAATGAGCCTCGATTGCAAGAATTCATGCAAAAGATGTCCAAGGTAAAGCATATTGTCTCCTCGGTAGATGCCTGTCCGAATAGGATCTCGTTAGAGTCGGTGGCAGCCCAAGCTTTCAAACTGCGGTGTATTGACCCTGACCGGTTCCACTTACCAACATACAACAACCGACTCTCGATCTCGAACACTCCAATAGCAGACATCTCTTACACCCCTTCTGTCTACGAGGGTGGCAAGGTTGGGAAAATGGTCCAATTTTCGCCCTATTATCTACATCAGGATGACAAAGTTGTCCCGTTCCCGGACATCGAAAAAATGGTTCGGGAAAGCCAAGGGCTAAATAATCAGGTATTAGAAATGGCCGTCCAAGCAAGAGCGAAAGTTTCGGATCCCGAGTTCCTTGCCAAGATCGAGAAAGTAGAATCGGACATTCCCAATCGAGATGCGGAGGTAATCACTCTGGGGACCGGCTCTGCTTTACCGTCCAAGTACCGTAATGTCTCAGCCACCCTGGTCTGCGTTCCGGGTTACGGGAATTACCTGTTCGACTGTGGCGAAAACACGCTTGGTCAACTGAGCCGAGTGTTTGGTGACGGATTGCCTGAAATATTACGCGACCTGAAGTGCATATGGATCAGCCATCTGCACGCGGATCACCACCTAGGCACCGCGTCTGTTATTCGAGCGTGGCACGAAGAGACGAGCAAATCGAATCCCTCGGCAAAGCTCTTCATCGCGTCTCACCATAACATGATAGAGTGGCTACGGGAATACGCTGATATCGAGAACTATGGCTTTGACCGTCTTGTGGCCACTCCGGTCATACATATAAAAAATAATAGTATGGGACAAATCTGTCAGCCACGCGTATTTTCCGAAGATGAAACAGCCATGTTCGGCTTGGAACGAATCGATTCCTGTTTCGTGCAACACTGTTTCGGGGCACTCGCAACGGTCTTCACTTTCCCGTCTGGCTTCAAGATCGCGTATTCCGGCGATTGTAGGCCAAGCGAAGACTTCGTCGAGATCGGAAAGGGCGCCACGTTGCTGATCCACGAGAGCACGTTCGAGGACGAGCTACTGGGCGATGCCATTGCAAAGAAGCACTCGACCATGTCCGAGGCTATCGACGTCGGCCGGCGCATGGGGGCGAGGAGGATTTTGCTGACGCATTTCTCTCAGAGATACCAGAAGATACCGACGATGGAGGAAAACTTCGAGATCAGGCCCGACGCTAAAGACGACGAGAAGGCGCAGCTAGACGAGGTGATATTAGTTGCGTTCGACTACATGCGCGTTAAGCTTGGGGATTTCAGAAAGGCGCAGGCTTTCCTGCCAGCATTGCAGAAACTCTTCGAGGAAGTGGAGACTGATGAATTGGAGATTGATGAATGATGGGGATTTCGTATATGGCATATTAAATCACCTTTCTAGTCCTACATAGGAATTGTACCATCAACTTCCTCGCCTCTAGTTAATGATGCTCACTTTAGTCCCAACCCAGGTTCGAATAGTCTCCGGCTCTAATATTGACGATTTTCCCGCATGGATTCCGAGAGCTCATAGAGGTTAGTAGTAGTCTTATCTGATGTGACAGCACCACCTATAGTAGCAAAGCTCGACCCATTGACAGGTAGAGGCAATATAAAAACGAAGTTCTTAAAAGTATCAATTCGATTTTTCATGAACATGGTGTAACCGAACGGCAATGATTAATAAGCCCGTTTTGATAACCATCCTGCCAACGGGTTATTACCATATCTCTCCACTGCAAATCTGGCGGCACATATAGTTTATTGATATGAGATCTCTTATAGTAGATTTCCGAACCCCTATCTTAGATCGACATCCAGGGGCAACTGATATATGGAACTAACGTTTAATACAAACCTCAAGTATAACAACCATACTTAATATTCATACCCATATATCATCCCAACTTACCACAAATCAACCTTAGAGTAATATTTTTTAAGCGACTAATCATCTCGTGAGGGGGGCTTCATACGTTTACCTAACCCCTGAGAGGACTGAGATAGGGGTTGATATAGTCACATGATACACACCACTGCCACCACCACCATTACTACTATATTGGACATTCATGTGATTCTCGTAATAAAGACAGACAGTAGCACTTCAAGACCAGTAGTATTTAGAAAAGATCTTGAGAAAGGACCGTTCACATATTCACTTGAGTCCGTCAATAGGACTGCCATAGCTAACAATGGGTCCTCTTCATGACCACGACGCCGCCGCTGTTAGTGATCTGTCCCTTTCATCACATACCAGCAAACCCCACGGCGATCTCAGTCAGGGGTAACTGCTAGATCCGTCAACTTCACGACGACGCCTCTATTCATCGACGTCCTCGCAAGCCCGCCGCCGGAATCTACGAGACGACAATCAATATATCCGCTTTTCTCGCCTTCAAGCCCTAGCCCAAATACTGTAGAATGGCATCCCGTAATTCCCACGTAAACATTTGATTTCTTTTTCCCACAATCCTCCAAGAAACCAAATATTTAAACCACCCCTTCCTCCACACTCCCGTGACTTACACTTCCCATCTTGCGTAAATATGGGCGACTACGCCTCCATCGCGACATTCTCCGACCCTCTCTGGGCTCCTCCGCGCCTCCCCCACCCGCTCCCCTACGCCCGCCGCCGACGCGCTCGTCGCCGCTCCTTCGTCCTCCTCGGTGCTGTCCTGGTCATCGTCGCCAGTTTCCTCGCGTTCAACTATTACTTCCATTACTACTACCACCGCGCCGTCGTTGCCGATGTTGCTGTGGTGCATGTGCCGCTGCTGCAGGCCCATCCGACGCAAGCCGCCTGGCCGCAGGTTGAGCCTCTGGACCTCCCTGCTGCACTATCCGTTGACGCAGCCCAAGCCGCGCAGAGACAGGAAGAAGAGCAGGAGCAACGCGATCTGGGTTACTGCACGACGTGGCCGGTGGACTCCAAGGGCAAGTACGCGCCTGAGCCGGAGTCGGAGCCGAAGCCGAAGCTGGAGTCGCGAAGAGACCACGGCTTGTACCTCGACACGTTCGCGCCGGTAGACGGGTGGCAGAAGCCGCGCGGCCTAAAGGTCGTGGCGGTCGTGTTCTACGGGCGCAAGCGCAACGTCGACGTCCTCGACTGCTACCTGCAGCAAAACCTGGCCTCGAACGGCGGGTACCTCGACGACGTTTGGTTCATGGTGCACACGCAGCGGGCGGAGGACGTCGCCTGGCTCAACGAGTTTGTGAAGAAGGACCCGCTGTACAAGTTCAAGGACCTCGGATCCTGCGGCGAGGAGGCGACGTACGGGTGTATTTGGGAGAACGCGGTCGAGAATGATACTTTGTATATCAAGATCGACGATGATATCGTGAGTTTTATTCCTTTCACCTTTTCCCTTTTCCCATCTACCCGCCCTTCTTTCCAGTCCTCGTCAGGGACCATCCTAAATCGACCAATAACCCCAAGCTAACCACTTACACTAGTTGTACATCCACCACGACGCAATCCCGCAACTCGTACACACGCGCCTCGCCCAACCGCACCCATACGCCATCTCGGCCCAGCTCGTGAACAGCCCCGTGACCGGGCTACAGCAGTACCACTACGGCGCGATCCACCCGTTCCTGCCGGACCCCTCGACACAACCGACCCGCAACGCATCCAGCTCCTGGCGCCCCTCACACTTCGGCCCGTACCCATCCGACGCGCCGATCCCAGCCCAGCCCCTCGAAATGCAGCCCCCGTACCGCGGGCACCCATGGCTTCTCGTAACGAACAGCACGCACGGCACCGCCGCGCTGACGCGCACGCCCGTGGGATACTGGAGCGCGCACCCGGGCAGCGAACCCGTGGCCTTCGGGCCCGGCTGGCATTCCTGGGCCGCCGCGGCGCAGCAGCAGTACTCTTTGCTGCACAATTTAGAACTGAACCAGATGCACGTGTACCATTTCGGCCGCGCGCTCGACTACCGCCAGCGCGACGTCAACGACGACGGGTCGCACAGCTACTACTCTTCGGACGGGCACTACCACAGACACCAGCACCACCACTACGCGCCCTCTCCCCCTCCGCCTCCTTCCTCGGGTAGCGGTAGCAGTAGCGGTAACGGTAACGACGTGGATGGAGACTACGAGGGCCCCGGCGGCGAGCAGCTGTACGACACGCAGTACGAGCGGTACAACCTGAACTTCGTGGCGATCTGGGGCCGGGACGTGGCGCAGGCCCTGCCGATCACGGGCGACGACGAGGAGGCGATGACGGTCTCGGTGCCGCTGCGCCTGGGCCGCCCCTTCGTGATCGACACGCGCGCCGTCGTCGGCCACCTGTCTTTCTACACGCAGAAGGCCGGGATCGAGCAGACGGACCTGATGGACCGGTGGCGCGCGTTCGCGAACGAGAACGTGTGCGCGGCTCGTAACCAGAAGAAGCCTTGGGATAAACGATGCGAGGGTTTCTGAGGGAGCTGAGGGACTAATGCTGGTACTAATGAGTGATGATTGGTGATTAGTGGTTAATGGGTAATGATACCAATGGTTCGTCGTTTCGGTCCTCAGGGGGTAGTGATTTGGAGCTGGGAAAGGACGTTTGCTCGCTCGGTAATCGCCCACATGACACTCACAGAACCAAGACAATAATGCTTTGCAAATACGTTAGGATACGGGTACCTATGCCTAGGTAGTTAGTCTGAATGACACCATGAATGAATCTACTTCGGTCCCGTGAAGTTGAAGCCGTGAGCCCGAAGCAAAGACAATCGCTTTGTACGCTAAGTTCAAGTGCAAGGACGAAGCATTTGTTAGCAAATAACCCGTTCTTTGTCCGGAACAATCGCCAATTGCAGTCTTCAGATGTGGACCCGTATAGTAAGATAATAAATATACACCCGAGGAGACATCACTGCGGCGTTTCCGATAGGCCATACCAGCAATCATGATGGGGTGTAAGTATACTAGCCTACCTACCAATGTAGGTAGGAAACCAAGAGTCGAGTCTCCGTAGGCTAAGGGTCATACAATACCTAAATGGAAATAGATTCATCTCCGTCACTCATATTCGTTGCAACATGAAAGTACCGACGTCAGCGTAATGGTAACCCTAAGTCTTCTGTCGTAGATCAAACAATGGCGTTACCAGCAGTACTACCAGGCAGAATCACTTCTTCCCGAAAAGGGAGCACCGAAGCCTAGAACGGGACTATCCCGGATTCCGCCATATATCAAGTAGACATCCATACTTCTATCTAGCAACGCACATCACATCAGCACTTAGAACCGCGAGTTGAACATCGAACATACGTATATTGCCTAGTATATAAAGAAATAGCTAAAAAAGAAAATTATAAATAGGAAATTCTCACTCACCTTGTATATACTCCGCAGAGCCCTTTAGCTCAGCGGATCAATATAGTACGCGCCTCCTTACCTCTGCCCCTTCCTAGCGAATTGTCCCCAAGGCGACATCTCCTCTATCCCGTTGCGTGCGCGCTGCTCCGCCACCACCGTCAGCGAGTCGTCCGGCATTACCGTGTCATCATCTCCGTACTCCCCGCCCTCCGGAAAGCCCCAGTCCTGGCGCCACGCCTCGTCAAGGGGCCGCGGGGTCGGCGGACCGAACTCATCAGTACCGGGATCGGTGTCGGTAACTGTGTTCCTGCGAGACGAAGACGAAGACAACGAAGGCACCCTGCTTGTGCTTGTACTCGCGCTCGGGCGTGGCGTGTTCTCGCGTGTGAACGGGTTGTCCTCGCGGGCGAAGTCCTTGATGCCCTTGCGTGTCTTGAGGTACTCTCTCTGGCCCGCAGAGACGCACGACCCTCCTTCTGATGCATCGTTAAAGATGTACTTCCTAGTTGGTTGCCTTGCCGGTACCGGTGTCGAGTTTCGGTTCGAGTTTCGAAGTCTACTGTCGTAAGAAGGGCTGGGTGAGGGTGGGGGTTGGTCAGAGTACACTGAGGAGCTCGCATATCGTCGAAAGTCTTGGCTTACGGGGCGATTCGAGACCGTGGATCGGGGCCTGGGCGTACGGACGCTTGATGATCTCCTGATGTCGTTATGCCCGCTGTACCCACCGTTGTACATTGAAGGAACTCTCGGAACGGGTGGCACGTCTTGTTCGAAGCCGACGGCGCTGGGAATCGTATGTACTGTGACATCGGTCCAGGCGCTCTGATTGTCGTTATGTTTCACGCTGGACTGATGATCCTTCTTGGGCCTAAGCGGTGTTGGAGCAGCCGACAAGTGGCTGTACGTTTTTGGTGGCTGGAATGCTGGATGGACCGCAGACAAGACCGATCTAGTGTCGTCCGCCGATAAATCTGCCCGGGACTCTGCCAGCCGCGTAGCGTACCAATTCGTCACTTTGCTATGGCTACTTTCCTCAACCTCGAGATTTCGAGCGAAGTCTGCTTCGTCTTCGTCCTCTTCGTCCTCTTCGTAATCTTCGTATGTGTCGTAATTACCACTAACAGGCGTGTCGTTTTGTCTTCCGTTGATCGAGTTTGTCGGATCGTACGCAGGCATCCGCGGTGGTCCAAACTGTGAATAGTCGCACATGCTGTCCGGCCTGAAGATGCTCTTTGCCCCTTCTGCTTCTTTAGTCATGCTGAACATCGCCATTCTCCTTTGCTCTTCCGCGCCCTCTGGGTCAACCATGGCCACCGGGATACCATTCCTCGTTCTTCTCTTATGCCGTGAAGTACCCGGAATGCTGCTCAGCTCATGTCCCGAACCTGTAATCCTCAACTCGATATAATTCGGTTTTCTGGCGCCTTTAGATCTACTGCCTTCCTTTTTTCGCTTACTTCGCCACTGGGTGACCTGGGACCGCGTAGCCCTCAGTTCTGTCAATACGTTGTCACTCATTTCCCTACATTTGGCCGCTCTCTCTTCCTTAAGGTGGTTAATCCATTCATCAACATAACGAGCAAGCCTAGGTTCCTTAGCTGGGCGACCGTCTGGACGAGGCAAGCGTCTCTCTATTCGGTCGACAAGAATAGACCTCAAGTCCGCGAGTACGCGGGCATTGGCACCTAAAGCACTTATGATACACGCTTCACAACCAGATTTGACAAATACCATGTGATTCTCAAAGGGTGGTGTTCCGTAACATTCGCGGTATAAATCGGGTTGCGTCCAAAGGGCAGCAATAGCATCTACACGCCCGATCAGAGCAGATATGATTGGGAAATCCTTTCTACCTTTCCACGAACGGAGCGTGTCGGTATGGACGGTGACCTCGTAAGCGACGGCTAGGAACAAGCGGCGGATAAGGAAGGGGTTTAGATTCGCGTGGGTTTTACACAGGACAGCTCTCGGGTCTATCGCATTTGGGTCGATGCTGTCGGCAATTTTTATGACGAGGCGTTTTAGGGGATTCGACGTACGGAGTAGCTCGCTCGGAAGAGACTTGAGCTTTTCTTCTTGCCTAGTAAGCCATCTCCTCGACGGGATTGCGATGCCATACTCCGGGCGTCGGGAAAGAAGTCTCGTCAGGCTATTAACATTGGCATCCGACAAGTCTCGAATATCGATACTCATTTTGTCAAATTTCTCTCCTAATACTTCGAATTCGTCTGTTTTAGTTAACAAAACTTGGCTGTATGGAATAGGTGAATATAAACAAGATGCCAAATTTTACATAGATCCGCTCCGCAAAATTGCTGGCCGACGGTGCTATGTATGCCTTAGGATCCTCCTGTTATTGTTCGTGGACGTTGCGCTAGTAACGCAACAAGGGAACGCAACAAGGGACGTTGATTCGAACTCTCGAGTAGTTTGTATGGTAGTGGTGAACAATGAGCTCCTTTGTTTCGTCGTCCCAACATGGCCGATAGGCGTTCGTTCCTAACACAGAGCGATTGTTCTCGATACTGCCGGATGCTCACCCATACAATGCCGAAAGGAATATGACGTTTCCCTTGGTCTCTAGAGTCAACGGTAGCATTCTAAAAAGTTTAAGTAAGAAGACTTACAAAAGAAGATGTTATTTTTCCAGACGTAGATCGGTCACGATGGTCTCTTGTTCTTTCAGATGCCCAAACCAAAGTTCACATTAGGTGACCAGATGATAATATCATATCTCCACCAGCATGGGAACTGCCACCCACGACAATGGGCTTTATATTGAGAAAACGTCCGCGATTCGCTCCGTTTACATGGCGTAAGGGGCTGTAGACCATTTTACGTAACGTATGCTCAATGCCATGATAACTATTCGCACAAAAATGCTGGCCTGAACGCCCGACCCCTTCATCCTTTGCCTAAGCCCAATGGGATTGCAAACCACAATTGCAACGTGAGGGATGCTAGGCCTTAATCCATTCCAAATATACAGGTTCGTTTTGGTATCAATGCCGCGTCATTACTAAATTGGTGAATTTAATTCCACCATCGTCATTCCATTAAGCCACCGCCACACCCCGAGTAGCGGGGAACTCGTGTTCCCTCATTCTTTCTAACCGGATCTTCGCAGCCTCAGTACCATCGTCGGGAATGGCCGGCTCTCGGAACCACTCGTGCTCCAGAGCTTGGCGAGCAGTGATTCGTTTTGCGGGGTCGTAAACGAAAATCCTTTGTAGAAGATCCAAGAAAGATCTAAGGAAGGGGCTGGAGGCTGGTATGATGTCCTGCATTGTGTCAATAAGTTACGTAGATTAGACGTAAAGTAGCACGACTTACACTTAGACGTTTCATGTTCTTAACAAATCGTCTAGATGCTCGCGTAGTTTCTGCGGTAGGGTAGTCCAACTTTAATCGTTTGAAGTATCTGCGAGTTGGGTTAGTGGCGGCGTGCGCATAAGGAGCACGGGAGCCATACTTGGATGCAGCATTTCCGGTACTTCGCGTGGCCATCTTATTCACAGTCTGGACGAGATGGTTGTCTATACGACAATCGCAAACATTCTCCATCATAGCTAGATGTTCGAGATTGTCGTGTGTCTGGAAGAGAGCATCGCCGGTGAAAAATTCGACCAATATACAGCCAATACTCCATATGTCGCAAGGGAAGGACCAGCCCAGACCAAGAATGATTTCCGGTGCTCGGTAATGTCGTGTGGAAACGACAGAAGAATGATATTCGTCCTGGAAAGTCGCAGATCCAAAATCAATTAACCGGATCTCGGTGTCTAAAAGGACTTTACGTTGTGTGGCTTGTCGATTCACACCAGCTGACGACGATGGTATTCGTCGGTTATAGGTAAATGTTTGGTATGCGCTGTCGCAGAGTAGAATGTTCTCTGGTTTTAGATCGGTGTGGATGAGATTGAGATCATGCAGAACTGGAAAAGAGTTAATAGGTAACAGGTTAGTATAATTATAGAAAATTACTTACAGGCCACACTCGTGAATAATTGACGAGCAAAGCTCTGAATCTGGCTGTTCGGGAAAGGAACAAAGTTGTTACTTTTGAGGAAGTCGAAAACGCTGGAGCCAAGGAGGTCCATGACGATGCAGATATGGCCACGAAAGTCGAAGCAGTCCCGAAGATGTATACATCGATTTCGGTTCTCCTCGTCGTTCGCTTTCAAGGTCTGAAGAACGCGTAGTTCGATTCTAGATGCGTCTCGGTACTTTTGAACGGCTCGAATGATCTTGATTGCAACCAGCTTATTCCTTTTTCGATCGCGAGCCTGGACGACTTTACCGAACGTGCCCTGTCCCAGGAGCTTGATCATTTGATCTGTCTACTTGTTAGATGTGTAACTAATGTGAAGAAAGAGGGCTAAAGATGGACGCACATTGGGGCGTTAGGTCAGCATCAGGAACGACGATGTAGTGTCCGTCGTCGTCGTCAACTCTTTGATGCCTCTGGTCAGAACGCTAGAGTACAATTGTCAGCGATCGATCCACAATAACCCGAGCATGCCTACTTACATCATTAACTGATCGAACGGTTACATCACCAGCTTTCTTAACAGGTTTTTGAGGCGGGCGGTAAGTGACGAAAGCATCCCCAAGAACTTCGATTTCCCGCCTCTTTGCTTCTTGAGCAATTTGCTGTCTGGTTCGCTTCCTCTTCTGGCCAACTTGACGACTCTCGTAGTCGTACTGACCATTTGAAGACAAAGAACCTAGCGAGGTGGCGGCTGTCGTGTTGTGGGCAGACGTCGTGCGATCGGTCGACGTAGATCCGCTGTTGGAAGTTTGCTGATAGGAGCCATTGACTCTGCTACTGTATGCATCATCGTTGCGAGCTGCGTCCTCCTTCCTTCGTCTCTTCGGACCTTGACGGGAAGCGTCATCGTTTGCATGTGTTCGAGATGAAGTCACGGCTGAATCTTGGTCTGGTTCTGGTGTGTCATCGATGACGATAATTTCTTTAGGCAATCCGTTCTTGTAAAAAGTCTTCCAATCCGGCTCCTTGGATCTCCGACGTTTTCTCGGTTGACCATCACTATAGGTCTGCGTAGTTGAGGCTGTCGAGGGAGGCATGCTGGCTTTGTATGCGTCTAGACGAGGTGTAGAATTGGTTCTCGTAGAGTCTTGGGTCGGTCTCGTGGTGGCAACCGATGCAGCTACTCCATTTGGGGAAGGGCGAAGCGTTTGGCTAGAAGCGGAGTAAAGCTGGCTGGTAGTATATGAAGAAGACGAATGGCCTTGGTGTTGATTGGACACCGTTGCCGTCGAGGCCGTCGAAGTTGTAGTGGGGATGATAGGGTTTGAAGCGACACCAGCAAGACCAACAGCACGATAAGACGAGCCTGCTGCAGACAAATTTGGATACGGCGGATAGTGGTGAGAAGGGTGATGATGGTGACGATAATGGGGAGGAAGTGTTGCGGTGGCGGTTGTCGGCGTTGACATCTTACAACAATGTCAACGTAGAAGGGAGAGGGAGAGGTGAAAGAGTTCGTGGAGTTTGGGTTTGGGGCCTGGGGCTTGGGATGGCGGTTGGGAACCTGGGAACTGGTTTCGTGCACCTTCCCAGTATACAGTAGATACAGTAGATACGGTAGGGTACAACAGGTACTGAAAGTATTGAGCTAGGTAAGTAAGGTACCTAGGGAAAGCCTGTGCAGGTACCTAGCGTCCCTTTTTCCCGCCTACTGCGGTCGCAAGCTTTTGGCCAATTGTAAGGGAATCTGAAGGGAACTTTAGATTGGTTTTCTGTGCTAGAAAGCCACCTGGGAGCCAGAAAGCCAAAAAGGCTGCTACCGTCGTAAGTTTTAGGTAGGGCAACAGGGCAACAGAACCGGGAATAAATTGGGAAAGCGCTAGCGAAAGAGATATAGCGCTGTTGGTGGTACTAGAGCACCTGAGCAGCCACTAAGGGGGGTTCGCAAGCCACTATGACCAGTAAGTCTAGGCTGACTCGAGGTACCTAGGTAGGATGGGCTGGAAGCGTATACCGATTATTCCGGTGTAGTTATTGTCGTGAACCAGAGGTAAAAGCTAAAGTTGAAGTAATAGCAATAGCAATAGCGATCTGGTGCAGGAGATTTGCAATTCGGATTCGAGAATTGGTTGTCCCTTTTCGACTTCCTTTATTTCTTATTTCCTCCTCAGCTCTGTTATGTCGGTAGTGGCATAGATGTAAGTCGTAGTAGGGGGTAAATCGCTAGGTATGTAGGCGAGCCAGGGTGTATCTTGCCGTGTACTAATGTGCAAGATGTTTCTTGGTAGGAAAGTGTCTTGGGTCGAGATGTATCCGGCCGATGAAAAGGAATATTTGCAAAGAGGCGTCTTGTCGGTACCTATTAGAATCTTGTATATTTTTTCGGTCGAGTGTCGTCGACGGTTTCGTTTTCGCTCCCTGTAACCAAAAGCACAGGCTACATGGGGCAAAAATAGGGCATTGTCTCCGTATCAACAACACTAGAATAATAGGCTATGTATATGTAGCAAAGTAATTGTGAAGTAGCGTCTTTGCTCCTCTTCCAGCAGAGGAGAGAAAGAAACAATATTGCAGTTTCGACACTCGGACGATGTTCAAAGCAGAGGAAGAGTAGCGAAGAGAGAGGGTTTCCGGGTCAAGAGCGTGAATGAACTCTTACGTTGCCGCAAATGCAGGATGAGGTGGTGGTTTACTTGTCGGTTCTCACAACGCACCTGGCACTGGGCTGTGTGATGACAAGCTGCGTGAACAGGCATACGTTAGCAAGCCTGGTACAGTACATCACGGATTCACGGGTCTACCGCTTGTTTCGGACTTCGCCCACGCTGTTTGGCTGTATGGTTGGTGTGGTGAGGATGAAGTAATAGGTGGGCCAATTCGTCTGATAATTCGCCTCAGAAATTACCTATTTGCGCAAGCGTCGAACGTACCAAGAATATTAAACCATTAGAGGTGATAATATCCTTTTGATTATAAGCTCTCCTCACACGGTATGGGATATGAGAAGAGTAGTGCCAGATTAGCCTGTTTTGGCTGTCTGAGCACAGTATAACTTAATGACCATTTACGGTTTTCATCATTCATCATTTTGTGGGTCGCTGCGACTTGCGATTTCCAACTTACCTAAGAAGGAACTATAATCAACCAGGATTGGATCTGCTATCAGTTTATCGCTGGTAGCAATTCTTGTCTTGTCGATACGGCAACCGGTACTTCTAAGTTGTATTCCGGTACTCCTCAAATGTTCTTCACTGACATTGTTCACAACCTTAGCCTTCGACAATCCGACCTTGAAGTCACCCAGACGGAGCAATATAAATAACCCAGTCATCCATCCAATAATATAGAGATGATTCTTAGGTCACTACTCTCTTCTTGCCTTACGACGAAAATATTCAGGATATCGTTAGAAAGGGCTGAGGTATTCTTAATTAGAAAAACAGATACTCTCAACTCTCTCGTCAGGCATCTTCACCTTAACCATTTTAACTAGGGTTCCGATTTCTTCTCTTTACATCAAAAAGACCCAAAGACCCCTCTCGCAGGTTGTAAGGGATAGTACTTAAGACGATTGATTGGTTGGTCACTGGGACCCTTTAGGAATACTACATTACATAGGCAGAAAATCCCATCAGATCCAGTCAGGGTCCCCTAAAAGTTTCTGCCAGCGACGACCTTTTGGAACCCCGTCGTCAACACAATCCCGAGGCGCAGACGGCAAATATCGCCACACTTCTATTGGTACTAGATGCTCGGCTGGTCCAAGTCTGCCCTGTATCTTGGTGTCGCCTATGCATCTCTTGCAGCACTAGCTTTCCCCTCATCTTCAGTACAACACGGTCACACCGTTATCACGATTTTTCCATTTATTTGACTTGCAGATTTATCGGTTTAGATGGGACAGGTTCCATGGTTGCCATATATCTCCTAGTCTCCCAGCTAACTGACAGGAAGGACGAGACCTCGTCGTAATAACAGAATAAGTAAGCGACACAGTTGTGTGCCGCGTGGCAGTTCATGATCTTCGAAGACGACCGTACACCTGGCTATTGCAACTTCGGATCAACCCACAGGAACCTTGAAGATTTTCGGCTTGTAGTTCGATACAATCCGAATCACTTTAACCCCATACGTACTAGCAACCACTCGCTTATAGCCTTGAAGCATGTGCTTTCAGATTCCAGTCCATCCATGACGACCCTATTTATGTCTTTGGAAAATGAATATGTAAAACACATATTTGCGCCCAAACATGGAATTGTGGTATGTATTTCTCGATTCTCACCGCATGCATATATCTAACCAACTTCACTCGTCGGTCGCATCTCCCGATCAGTTAGGACTAAAAACACTCAGCTGACAGGGGAAATGGAGAAACGAAACTGCTAGTTAAGTGACTTGAACCGTATTGTATTATACAACGACGATCCGTGTGCCTCCTATATAATAACTAAGCCCTATCAAAGTTTTCTCCTCTTTTTTCCCCCAAAGTAACGGAGTGGTCAACTCGTTACTTTCGCTTGTTGCTTGTGACCAGTTGGCTTTTTGGATTGTTGAACACCTCAGATAATAATTCGAATGTTCAAATGACGGACACGGTTCAGGCATAGGCAGGCTCGCGAGAGTGGCAAATATCAGGGCTAAACCGTATCATGACTCGCAAGGTCAGAAATCTCGCGCCTTGGGCCCAAGCATTATTACGTCGTCCTTGGATAGAATGCGGGTCGCTGAAGTATAAGAAAGCCCCTCGGCTTACGAATTTTCCCATCTGCTCTGTCCGTGCTTTTCCCCTAAAGAACCTGAGTGTCTATTCGTGTATCTACTATGTAAGGAGGGTCTTATGTACAGAGGTATGCTGTATGTATATGCACATATTCCCACAAAACCCAGACCTAACCTGACCGAATCAGTTACGTCCCAGCAACTCCGCCTGGATAAATCGGATTTGTGTGTACCCAGTTTTACTTGTTGAGATGAGGTGGGTTTGCAACTTCGTCATACAACGGTAGGGCAAGCTAGATACACCAAATGTTAGGATGATATATTAGAAATAAAGGCCTCAATGTCCTAGAGCCTAGATGTCCTAGAGCCTAGAGAAAGTTCTCTAACATGGAATGGTAGTTTGTCGTCACCCACAATGGGTAGCTAGGCACTTATATGCTAGCTAATTACCTAGTAGCAGCGCCTCCTGTCAGCCTGTGTCGATCAATCCTTCACGAGCCTCCGGCAAAAACTGCGTCCTTTTTTTTTCCCCTTCTCGAACACAAATCTGACAAGAGATTAATTGCCTGGAAAGCCAGCAAATCCTTACCCCCCAAGGTATCCGGGCCTTTATCTTCCTCATTTGTGAAGATCGGAGGAACTATAATTATGTCCCGCCCAGATCCCAGCCGTCGTAAAACCGAATGCGAGCTTGTGGAAAGGATCGTGAGTAGGCATGTAAGAATATTGGCTCTGTAAAAAGCGCTTTTCGGATAGACATTAATAGGCAGCATTACGACATAAGGGGTCCTGGACTTAAGCCCTGAAAACCCCTCCTCGATGATTTTCCCAGGGGTTGGTTAAGGGACGTCCTGGCACGTTTCCCCTTCTGAACCCAATCCTAACAGCCCCTAAGCCGGATCGTCACGGCAGACATGTACCCCAGACGCCCGTGAAGCAGGCATATCACATCTCATAAAACAGTGACCAAACATCTCAAAAGAGGCAAGTAGGTACCAACTATATATAACTAAGTTTTGATATTCCTGTCAATTATAGATGTATCCATGCGTCTTCTGTCTCCCTAGTTGATCAGATGATGAAACGGAAGATAGCTAAGACTTCTTTCGCCCTGTCACAGCATGATACTCGTTTTGACTCCTCATAAGAACCGTGTCCCCTTAACTCGGACCATTGAAACCATGTGCGAACTCACTCGTGAATTTCCTCATAATAATCTTTTCACTTCAATAAACGCCTAGCATTGCCAACTACGAAAACTCTAATCCACCAACGCCGCCAATGATGCATCCGCGGAGAATCAGCTCAGTAAAGATGACCTGAGTGTCATCTTTTCCGACGCGATCCCACCACGTCCCTAACTAAATCCCACGATTAAAAACCACCAACCCACCCTCGCCCCCGCGGCCATGGAACTCCTCCTCCAACCGCTCCGCGCCGATCCTCTGCCTCTGCGGAAACGCCGCCAGCGCGAACGGCAGCGCGAGGTAGCTCATGCCGAGGATAAGACCAACATTAATCGGCATAGTGTAGCGGGGATTCCTCCTCAACCACTGCGTGCGCTGCAGGCGCACGAGCAGCAGCGGCGGCACGACCATGATGGGCGTGCAGTTGAAGACGCGGCTCAGTGCCGTCTCGGCGACCGCGAGCGTCGCCGCCTTCCGGCTCTTGCCCAGGCTAGGCACCTCGCTCTCGGCCCTGCCCTCGCGCGCGAGCCGCGCCTTGTCCGCCTCCGACAGCACGGGGAACACGTCGATGCCCGTGCGCATCTCCTCGCCGCGCATGAGGAACACGTTCAGCACGCCCGCGGACGCCACGGCCGCGAACGGGACGAGCCGGCCGAGCACGAGCCGCGCGGACGGCGACACGCGCTTCAGCCGCGGCACTATGGCGTTCAGGCCGAGCGCCACCGAGCACGACGCGCCCACGGCCAGGAAGTAGGACTGGGCGATCTTCGAGTACGACAGCGGCGTGGATTTGTTCGCGTTCGCGTAGTTGATGGCGACGTTGAGGGATTGGTTCGTGATTTGCCAGAGGACTGTTCCGGTGGTCTGTCGTCAAGTGAATGGTAAGCTTCTCTTCCAGCCAACGTTACACTAAATACCGATATAGAAAGGTGGTCATATACCTGAAGTCCGGGTGTAAGCATTCCCACAGTGACAACCAAGTTGGATAGACAGAAACATGACATGCGAAAAGGCAGAAGGACTGGCTCTCCGGTATCTAGCAAAGTGATTAGCTCGATAGCTCGAAGTCATACCGTAGCTCAGGTCAAGCTCTTCATATTACCATACCGGGATGCAATGTAGAGTCGACAATCTTCTTAGCCTTCCATAGCTCTGGTGTCATGTCCTTGATTTCACCTTGTTTGTATGCCACCAGTAACTTTTTGGCATGTTCGAGTCCATGTTTTCCAGCGAATAGTGTTCTATTGTTAACAATTCCATATTAGAACTTGTCCAAGTATCTTCGTGAGATTACCCGTTTCACTAGCATCTTTTCATACCTTGGATCCGTGATAGTGGCAGTCTGCTTGACGCGACCCCAATACGTGCTCAAGTCATATTGTGACTCGGGCGGCTCCCGGTTTCCCGGTAAAGAGGCAGACATGGGGATTTACTACTCAAGTTGTCGCGCAACTATACGACCAAGCGCGAACCGCGAAGACTGAAAGGAGTGGACGGAGGGGTGCTACAAAATCCAACCCATGGGAGTACGACGGACTACTTAGCGGGAATATTGGCAGGACCCAGGCGACACACCGTCAAGCTTACTGTAGAGATTCGCGGGTACAATGCCTTCTTTTCCGTCCCCGTCGTGAATCGTTGCTCCACGGTGAGTGTCAAGGTCTGATTCTTTGTAATCGGGCGTGGTTGATAGCAAGGTGACTCTCCATATCACAAAAAGCGAAATTTTAGTGTGCCGATCTCGGTCTTTAGATAATAAAGCGGGGGCATCTTTGCGTGTGTAACAAAAGGAAAGTCCTCGCGATATCACATTGTTCAAACATTGGAATTGGCAATCTGACACGGATTGAATTAAGCCAGTGCCTATTTTGCCTTGTTGCAAATATGATAATTCCACGGCACCTAAAGAGATTAGGGTTAGCTTGATTGGAAAGAACGGGCAAAAATTAAACGCGAGCACAGCAGGGATCGAACCTGCAATCTTCAGAGTTGGTCATAGATAAGAACCGAAATCTGACGCCTTACCATTAGGCCATGCACCCGTTGAAAAGCACTGACCATATCTTGTCCTATATCCCACACAAACCCAGAGAATAAAATCTTCCAATGGTGCCCACTTAGCTTCGCATCATAACGTGATAGGAGCAAAGCCCTTGCCAAATCACACTTATTGTAGCATGACACCACCACCTCATATAAATTCATACTTTTCGAATACAGACATAGCTACTCCTGCTATGCCCTCATTTTTGATACTACGTATGGATTATATGCACAATTTACATCACACGGGGCTATACATTTAGTCAGTACTGAAGAAACCACGTCGATTTCCCTGAATAAACTATTCTATCAGGTACCCATTAATAATATATATTAAATATGACATTAACGTTCCGTAGCTTTTAAGAATCTCTCGTCTAGTACTTGGACTTCTTCCAGTCGCCAAAGCTTTTAAGCCACTTCTTCACCGTCTTGATCTCCCACAAATGGGCTTCTCGGATGAACTGAGGCTCGGCCTCCACATCCAAAATCCCGTACGAATCCCAGTGGTGTCCTGATCCGGTGATGAGAAGTTCGGGATGCAGGTCGGAAGAAGTCGTTCGAAGAGGCGCGAAATTGGAGTGGTAGCATAGGTCAAGCCACACGTCCTTGAAATAATTGTCAGTACACACCCCCGATGCAACTATTACATGAATGAGTATACTCACTTGATCTCCGTCGATGAATGCAAGTCTATCGGCGCTGAGGTTGAACGCGCCGAAGTTGTTGTATGCGTCTATATCAGGCGTCGACGGAATCGAGTTATATTTCCCAGGAGGGAATGCCCAGGTGCACCACTGCTGCTCGTAACTGGTATCTATAACACGAGACAACAAAGCCGGCCCTTCTTTGGGCGCATCGATGTACGCGCCCTTATGAAAACCAACGTAAGCCCATGAGCAGTTAGCTATCAGTTTCAAGGTGTTCTTACCTGTTCCACGCAGCTTGTGTAGAGGTATGAACGTGTAGAAGTGTTTTCTACGTCAGCCCATGCCGAGGCATTTTGAGTTCCCTATAGTAAACAAGTCAGTCGAGTTCTAACAATATTGCCCACCAACTCGTAGGTATCCCATTGATTCTTACCCAACAGCCATTGGCATTATAATCTCCCGAAGCGCACAGTGGGCGCGTGTAGGTCTTCACATAATTAGCATAGCCGCCGAGGCCGCTATAAGGAACAATGATGTTAGCAAGCGGCTTGACTTTAACAAGAGGAATAAGAAATGATATGTGAATTTCCAAATATCGCTGCGAGTTACGATTTTGTGATTTCTTGGGCTATACGGGAGAATGTAGCTTAGGGGAGGGAGGCCATACATCCAGGGTTCGCCGTCGGTGTAATTCGCTAATGCATAGTCCACTTGAGTAATTTCTTCAGGGGCATCAACGTCAGAAACATTTCCACAGAAGTAGAAGAAATCTCTTGAACCATATGTAGAGTTCCAATTCAGTTCTTGCCACGTGCTTGAGAGGTAAAATCCTGGATTCCCAATGGGGTCCTATGTGTCGAGTTAGCAGCCAATTCAACGTATCTCACCATGTACGTATCTGTAATGAAGAGATTATGTATTGAAACTTACTGCAATAGCGGCTGCAAAGTCTCTGTTGTCCGTTAAACTTTCAAACCCGAATAAAGCCTTGAATTCGTTGATTGCCTTGGTGTTATTTTTCGCAATAAGCGAGTCAAATTTGTCAACGATGTTGTTGATTCTCGTTACGCAATCTTGGGGCGCATATTTTTGGATTGGGTTATACCATTCAGGATAACCCACGGATACCTTGATAGGGGCAGAGGCAGCGATGCCGCCGTAGAGAACGTCCCCGTGGACCTTGATCGATAGAGCAGTCTGAGCACCTGCCAAACTACCTCCGTAGAGAATCCATGGAGTGCCAGGCGCAGTAAGGGTACCGTTAATTCCGGGGAACACGGCGTGTTGAGCAAAGTAGGCGTTGTCAGCTATGGTTTGGTTGGTTGTGAGAAACAACAGTTCATCTACGGTGCTGGTGTTGAAGGGGTAAGATTCTCCGTAGTAGCGATTCTCGAGAATGACACCTTAACTCAGTTAGCTTTCGTCCCCATATTCATAATCCATTCCTCTTGTATCGGCAATCCGTTTCACCCCTCCGTATCAGAAATCATACCTAGACCATTTGTAGCTTGCATCAAGATTTGAATAATCCCATTCTGCAGATTGGAGAATCTGCTGGGTCCACTTGTCTCTCCTGAGATATAAAGATATACTGGTCCGCCTGCAAGGGGATTAGGTTCATATTCAGTATGAAGCATGCAACGTATACTGGTGAACTCACCTGGTTTATAGTAGGTGCTGTCGAAATAATATCGCTGCTTGAAGGTGCCATTGCTCAGGGGCGACTTAGTGAACTGCGGATCATCGGGGAAGTGGTTGACTTTTTGGTCGAAATAGTGAACATCGTATTGAAGCTGGTCTCTGGGAGTGTCCCGTCTTCCAACCCGCATAGCATCGGCATCCCAAGAGAGGGCGGCCAAAAGGCCGATCGTCAACCAACGCAGCTTCATGACTTTGGCCGAAACAGACAAATATCAATGCCAATGCCAATGGACGGGAAACAGAGAGCCAAGGAGCTAAAGGCTAGCAATTATCTATTTTGAAGCGACGAGAGAACCCGGGTTTTCGGGTGCTGACGCAGTAGCTAGGCAAAGAGCTAGATAGCATTGGAATAAGCATGGCGTGCCCAAAGTCATCAAATCACGAAAACAAAGCGGCCGAAAAGGGTAAAAGGGCAACGCAAACGCCATCCAAGTAGGGAAGGTTGATCAGGGTAGCATCACATACGGCCACTACATGGCATTACATGCTGACCGGGCAATATTCCCGGATTGTTGTTGACTTGTCATTGGAGTATCCTATCGTCAGCTCGTGTAGCCCCGTCGGACATGGTAGTAGAAATGCAGGAAAAAGCAATCAGATTTCTGCCTATCTGGGCATATCTGGAGGCATATCTATGTAGATATCGATGTTAGTCCACATATCGTAATATTCTGGACTGTTTATGGATCTTTCACCGCGACTTCCCGGCCATTCTTTTATAAGCAGCGGGGTAATGCCGTCATCAAGCATTCCCTGGGCGTCCTTCTAAAAAGGGGGAAAAGTCGAGACTTTATTTATCTCAAGACCCCGAGTGGTTACTTCCTCAAGTAGAGAGACTATAGTCACTGACCCTTCCTTTGGGGAGTTAAGACGTCTTCATTTCATTTTATTGGAAGATATATGAATCTGGAGTCACTTTGGTGCGTGTTGCTCGATTGACGGTCAACTTCGAAACTTATATACCGTATTAATCTGTGAACCCCCAACCAAAATGAAGGTAGAATGCTGGTCTATCACATAAACATGAAGGCTACAAATATCCGTACCGATTCGAAGCGAGTTCCCCGCTCCCCTTTTTAAGCCTTCGATTGCTTTTTAAACCAAATGATGTTTGAAAACCGAACTGTCGCGCAACCAGTCTCCCCCGAGCTGCCGGGTTGAAAGTCCGTAATGGTATTTTGGTCTCCGACACTTCGAAGAAGCCGAGTAATATGCAGCTTTTATGTGATTGTGCGCGATGTTACATAATCTTGTTCGAAGGATTCTCTCTCCACCCGCAATGTCACGCGATTTAGAATCGGTACGTGCGCCGAGAAGGAATCACTATGGCACGGAGACTCAGCCTGCTAGCCTGTTAGCCCGCTCAGCCTTTGGATGGTCTTTGCCCCCATCATACTACGTAGTAATACCCTAGTAGCGCGACAATTGTTCATTGGTATTGGCCATATGCCACGAGGAACATGTCTATTATTGAATATATGTAGGTCGTATTTGTGAAGGGACCCCATTTCTTAGGGTCAGGCGGTAGGATTTACGTCACGCCAACAATGTTCAAGATAAACCTGAGTTTACCAAGGGTCGTTTTCCTTGGTAGAAATCCTTGCTTTATAAGACGATATCATTGTCAATGATAGTCATCATAGGCTTCTTCGCGAGATAGGTGCTAGGTAATTTCAACACACTGAGCGACGTTGCCGTCAATAGCGCCTTTGTCTTTCTACGCCGATAAAATGACTGCCCCCTCGATACCTCGTATACGAGCCCGGAAGCCTAAAGTTCGTTCCGGTAAGTTTCCTTAGATGGAGTACTATTACGTTTTCTTTTATTACACATTTATCACTACTCAAGATCACATTCGTTAATCAAGTTAAAGGGTGCGTCACATGTAAAGCGCGAAGAGTCAAATGTGGTGAAGAACGACCGGTATGTCGCCGTTGTCAGAAAAGCTGGCTGCCTTGTAAATACAATCCTCCCGAGACAAACCAAGAAAAACACCAAAACTGCTCTCACGAGCATCCCGTGACCTCATTTCAAGCCGATGCCAGCGATAAATGCGACTCACGACTGCTTTCGAGAGTGCGAAGAGTAGACTTTGAAGAGTTTGATACTCTCTACCTTGACCTTTTTCGAAGCGCCATAGTGCAGAACCTCTGTTTGAATGGATACACCAACTTCTGGTCGCGAACTATACTTCGAGAGATCTTCCGAGATGAGTGTGTGCGTGACTGCGTGCTTGGAATTGGTGCATTGCGCCGTGCTATGGTGGACGAGACCCAACATGCAAGTTCCTTGGAGCCGTCAGCACTTTGGATTGTCCCGAAGGTTGCCACTGCCTCCCTAAGTACGAGGTATCAAAGAGATGCCATCCGATATTACACTGAGTCAATTTCCAAGTTTCGATCAAGATTGTCGCGAGAAGGATCATCCACCCCGCCGCGAACAATTCTCATCCTCAGCATTCTCTTTGTCATGTTCGAGGCAATACAAGGGAATAGTGAATCGGTTGATCGGATCATTCACACCACGATGCTTACGCTAGAAGATTGCGCGCCTGGTCTGGGCGCTGAAGATCAAGGGTCGAACTCCTTAGACGACGAGGGCGTTCGCGAAGCAGATTATTTCCTCACTCGCTTCTCCGGATATAACTCTTTGCTCAGCCCATTTTACCCATCGCTATTGAGAGGTCCGGTCTTCCAGCGAAACTGGTCGCTGGCGGCCAAGATTCCAAGCTGGTCAGACGATTTACAACAAGTCGAACTCGCTTTCGAACGGTATACGACTTCTTCCTTGATTTGGTTTCTCCGAATTTGCCAGGCCAACATATTCGGCCATCCGACAGACCCTGTGAAGAACCAAGACGAGCAGCTCATTATCCACCTCCAAGCAAACGACTGGTGCGAGTTCATATCAACGAAACTAGGCCAAGAAACGGATCCCCTTCGGCACCGGACTTGGAAGATGATGCTAGTGGAGGCCAAGATGTTCAGAATCTACTCGACGTATTCCCGCGATGCGGAAGAACGGGAACTCCTGTGGGATCTGCAAGTAGACGACTGCCGGGAAGTCCTTTCCATTATAGAGTCGATCTTAGACGAATTGACTTCGCTCACCGCGTTGCCGCCCCTTTTTGAAGATAAATTGCTCCCGACGTTGCGTTGTGTAGCGTGGAAATGTCGCGACTATGAAATCCGAATGAAAGCACTTGGGCTTTGTAAACGACTGGCCGGGCCCTGGTTCGAAAATCGAGCTGTCCTAGTCGGTTTGCGGATAATGATAGAGCTGGAAGAACGAGATAGAGATGAGTCCGGATTTATCCCCCTGCGGTCGAGGTATAGGTGGAACATATCGTCATTCAATGACGATCGTACCGAATTGCGGATAGGTTTGATGAGATTAACTACCGGCGCTCGCAAGGAATTTACCATTCGCCAGGATGGGAATATCGATGATCTGGTCCAAAAACTGGCAGCGTCGTCTGCCAAATCATAGCCCTAATTGATTAGCTAGGCATCGCATATAATGAGAAGAGAACTTACCTCAAGCTGATAGAAGGCCATTCGTTAGCTCCAGAATACCAGCTACGCTTAATCATGTCTGGCTTCTCGATCTATCGCTGTTTTCATCTTGCCAATGTAATGTTGCAAATAGAGTTAGGCTAGAGATATCATGATAGAAAATAGGAGATGGTGGCAACATACCTAATATCAAGGGTGAACACCGAGCTACAACACCGTAGCCGGTTGGCACAACGGATACCGAAATCCACTATAAAATCTGAATGTCAACATATAATCATTCTAATAACGCAGCTGTGACTAAAATCAAGAAGATAAGCAAAGGGAGGGTTATCATCGGGGTACTTTACTCACCTTCCGACTTCCGACTGAAGGAAAGTTCGGGCGTACTCCATACTGTCTTTCTCTCCTTTCATATGATCCTCTTTCGTCTCGTCGTCTTTCTTCGCTTCGCCTTTCGCCTCTTCTTTCTTCTCTTTCTCGTCCTCATCCCCATCCTCTTCCTCGTCATCATCACCACCATCGTCGTCATCATCTTCGCTATCACTCCCAAAAATCACCTCAATCTTCTCCGCACCACCACCCTCATCCCCATCCCCATCCTCGCTCTCGCTCTCGCTCTCAACCTCCGTATCCTCGTCACTCTCATCATCATCATCGCTTTCAGAACTCGTAGCCTCGTACAGGACAACCTCCTTCCCGAACCCGTCATCGCCGACGTTCTCGACCAACGTGACCTGGCAATAAGCATCGCCGTCGTCATCGCCCTTGCCCTCGCTCTCCAAGCCGCGAAACTTCTCGATCAGATTCGCGCCCCGGCGCTTGTTCACCTCCCTGATCCACTCGTCCCGCGACCTCATGCTCGGCGGCACGATCCGGCCGTCCTCGCCGTCGCGCGCCAGCACGTCCTCGAACGAGACGTTGATCTTGCGGGCCATAGTAGCAGCAGTAGTAGTAGTAGCCATAGCCGGCACCTCGGCGCCGCAGCCGTCCATCCACGGTTTTCGCAGGATACCCTTGAGGGCAGCCATGGTGATGGCCTGCGCGCCTTGTAAGTCGAGTGCCGACATGCCGGCGACCAGGTCGGAGAAGTCGGCCATGGTGAAATAATTGATAAACGTACCTGGGGGTGTGTATGTACGTATGTTTGTTTGTTTGTATAAGCGGGTGGGTTTGCAGTGTGGAATATAGAGATCTTGGTTGATGTGACGAAATTTGTCCGAAGGTGTGTGGAAACGATTATCTGATTATCTTGAAAAAGTAGAGAAAGTTCCGATGCTGGAGTGAACGTTGGATCTGGGAGAAATTATTTATTCGGGAAGGTTGTTAGAGTTCTGTGTTGTTCCATTTGCTAAAAGTTGGGCTTCTGGGCCAGCTACTTATCTAATTGGGCACCCAGACGACGAGAATTCCAAAGTTGTCGTACAATCAATCTATTGTTGCATTATTCCCTTGTCGACAGCAACATCTCATTGACCCCTCGAACAATGACTTGTCCACCATATTAGTTATTACATAATTATACATCTATTATAATAAAGAACACTGACTTGGCCCAAATACGGCCTACCCAGTGTCACACAGGTAGATATTTCTAGGTAATCTAAGTACCCTTTTCAAAACCCCAATGGAGATGTGCTACGTATCACATCTGATGAATAGACGACCTGGTAAATCGTATGGCCTCCATGCTTGATTTGACGCATACATTACATGCCTTGTGGGCATGTCGATGCTATTGCTATGTACAGAGCACTAGGTACCACTCATTTTACATTCTCCTATCCATCGTTTCCCGCGAAGTTCCCCTTTAGTCTTAAGACTGTAGAATAGCAAGTATCAACGCCCTTCTACCCCTGGCGAGATGCAGGAAAATACAGCATACCTCCTTGGAATATCAGACCGAAAACTGGTATCATTTACCCCGGAGGCGAGCAGAAAAGAAATCTTGAAAGTACAAAATTCCAGACGACGTTACTAAACAAATGTAACAGCCACCTTCTAGGTTACAGGACTTCATGAAAATGCGAAAATAGTCGCGGCAACTGCTGCCGGAATGAAAGGGGCGTCGTCAGACTGTAAAAACCCGGGGGGACAAAAGGAAATGCAGATGATGCGTTTTTATCGACACAATGGGTGAAAAGAGGATGGGGTATCTGTCGTAATCAAGGAAATTTTGGGAATCGGAAGCGGATCAATCGCAGTAATAGAAACGACCTCGGGCCTATTGTCTGAAAGAGCTGTGGTTTTGGTGCGCATCTTGAAGAGCTGAAGATCAATGTTAGTAAGCAATCCGTACGATAATGTGATTAATGATCGGGTGAATTGCATATTACTTACCATGTAACACATTCAGCTGACCAGCTCTGTCTTCGCAGGCAATTTGAAGAGAAGAACCTTCCACAAGTTCCAACACGACGCTGTTGGGCAACTCCTGGATCTCGACGTCGGGAATGCAAGGCGTGCGGAAATCGCTCATGTGATAACGCTTGACGCCAGCCTTGTCCTTTCCAGCGGTAGCAACACCTTGGACTGCGCTCAGGAAAAGGAAGCCCTGGGTGTCTAGACACATGCTACGGCGCTTCCACAACAGGTTCTCGGGAAATTGCACGTTTACATCTCCCATGTATGCTACAACAGCTGGCTGGGAAGATTGAGAAGACGAAGACACATCGGTCACAGACGCCGCGGCGACCTGATCGGCATCTTCTTCGGTAACGGTCGGGGATATGTGTGGACTTGCGTTCTTGCGGCTGCCATTGAGCGAGTGAGATAAACGCCTCATAAATCGAGACGCCCGGTTCTTAGACTTATTATCGCTCATGTTCTTGTCGGTCTCCGAACCACTATCGCTTAGAACGGCGGGAGACGTAGGTGCCGCATTATCTCGCTCACGAGAGATCGAGGATCGGCGGCTCGAAATTGACAGGCGTCGAGCAAAACCGCCGGAATTCTGGTGCGCCGAGGGAGGCCTGTTTGGAGACTTCGCGTCGTTCGGTGATAATATTGACAGGTTATCAGTTGACTTGCTAACAATAGACGCCCGACGATCCTTGATAAATCCCTTAACTATACTCAATGATGAACGTCGTCGTTTCTTCTTCTCGCCATCGTCTGAACTCTTGTCTCGCCTCTCTTGAATAGTCTCTTTGGGGGGCGTCGCTAACGGAGTGGGCTCCGGGGTGGGGACGGGTTGTGTTTCCGCTCTCTGTACATCGACGACTAGTGGCGATTGCTTCAACTCAACCTGGGGATAATCTCCAAGGCTAGTATTAGTTTTGGCCCTCTTCAACAAATTTTGGCTAGGGTCGCGGATGATTTTTGCGGTAACCTGAATAGATTCGGGACGGCCACGGGGTGTATATGCCGGTTCAAACATACTAAGTCTGCTAGCTACTGACAGAGATCTCTCGCGACGCTCTTGACCCGGCGTCTCGGGAGTCACCTCCCTAGATCGTTCGGGCGTGGGTGCATGGCGTGTTAAGGAATCCGCGCGCTCTGCTACGGACTGGGACCTCGCCGGCTCTTTAATGCTCTGCTTACGGACGTGAAAGAATGTAGAAGAAGGCGTTGCTGTTCTGGGGCGGGCTTCTTCGGCAGGCGCGCCACTCGAGAGCTTCTCTAGAGCCTTGATTCTTTGCGAGATACTTGATCCGATATTGTTCTTCTTTGATTGTAAACCAGCGTTAGAAGTCTGTCGAGTGACAGTGTGTAGGAAAGCGGCACCACCGGCCGAGACACTTCTTGCGCTTACTTGTGTTACATCGCTAGGCGCGAGAAGAGGTCCACGCATCGGGTTCGAGACGGTACGAGCTAGCTTCGGGGCTTGTCCAAGGAGATTGTTGTTAGGGAAGACGGGAGTAATGGGTGATTTGGAAACAGAGATAGGTTTGGCCTCTTGCAACGTCGCCGATTGAAGTTCGTCCATTAGATCATCGTCAAGAAGAGGGTCGGATACTTCAGAACGCGGTGTAGTCTTCGACAGATCGGTTCGAATAGGTCCGACAGAGGCCTTGCGTCTGGCGTCCTTCTCGACGGGAAGATCGATTTCTTTGCTCGCGTTGGACGACGAGTCGGTTCCGATTCGTTCTTGGGAATTCGTCGAGCGTACTTCAGACTCGTTTGGTATATCAGGGACAGGGTCTGTTGGAAGAGAAATCTCTGGTATAGAGAACTTTGACTTAAGGCTGTTGCTTGTTGGCGAGGTCGGAGTTCGAGACTCGTTAGAAGAGAACTTCGAAACGGGCAATCCCCAAGGTGATTTAGGCGCGTCTTCTTCGTTCGGAAATTGCCGCGGGTCACTTCCGTGGGTCGACAAGGGAGCTTTGGTTGGCTCGTCCACTACAGATTCTCGGATCGTGGGTCTTGTTTGTAAAGGATTGTTGGATACTGGAATTTGACAAGATTCCTCAGCCTTGACAGTTCCCATATCCGAGACATCAACCTTCTGCGTCACAACTCGTAATTCTTTATTCCCCGTGATCCCCGCAGCATGCCCCGGATCTGAAATGTTTTTATGAACCTCTTGGAACGTTGCTGGTTCAATGTCTTCACCCGTCTCTTTCGTCGCTTGTACAGTCCCATCGGTTGACTCAGACAAGGATGATGCTTTTGTAGATGCCCCTATTTCTGATAATGTTGCGGCTGTCGGTGAGTTTGGGTGGGAATCTGACGTGTCTTCAGTGTTGATCGTCATTGGAGTGGGCGGGTCGATGGCAATTCCAGAATCGGCATGGGACACTGTGCGGTGACCAGCATCCTTAATTCTTAGGGAATCCTTGGCATCCGTATCGTCCTCTTCCTTATCTACATTCTTATCCGAGGCCACGGTCTGTTCGACCGTCGTAGAATTCATCATCTTTTTCTTCTCCCTTAGTTTCATAGCCTTCATAAGCCGTGCCTTCTCGGGCGTCATCTTTCCCTCTTTCGCCGGAGCAAACGAATGGCTAGTTGACTTCATGGAAGCTCCCGAACTCGTCGCAGGCCGCGGCGGAAGTTGATGGCCATGGTCCTGAGGGGTTTCAGGAATAGGAACAGAAGGCTTAGGAGTGACTGGTGCCATATTTTCAATCTTGTCGGCGTGTTCAGAATCTTTAGAATGTCCTTTCTTGCTCCCCTTGGAGAAAAACTTGAAGCCTGCTGGAAGCGCTGCAATTGGGCGGAAATTTCCCGCTGTTGAAGGTCTGTTATTGACATCCAGAGATGGGCGTGGTCCAAGTTTCACTTTTGGCTTGCCATACGAGTGTGTTGAGTAGCTGTACAAATCAGGACGCGTAGATTGCGAGGATAGACGAGGAGCGGACTCGGATTTAGTAGGTGATGTTGGTCTGTCTGCTCCCGTAAATTCTGGGATGTTCGCTGTCGAGGCAAAATGAGTCCCTTGAGCATCGGAAATTTGCTTGTGGTCAAGTATTGCAGGTCTTTCAGGTGATACCGGGCGAGCAGGTGCCGAGTAAATAGACGATGCACGTCTATCTTCTTCTTTGACGGTGGATTGTCTCTTTCTTTCCCTCTCCTCTTCTTCCTCTTCTTCCGCAATCTCGTTCAATCTCCGTCGGCGCAATGAACTTGAAGATGACGATGCTGACCCCGATGCAGCATGTAACGAGCAAGCCGCGGAAAGCTTGCTATCCTTCAAATCTTTGGCTATCGAAATCTCGAAGGTGGTATCGTATGGCACAAATCGTTCACAGATGGCATTGAAATGTACGGCGGCGCGAGCTGTTTATGTCAAATTAGCGATCCCGCATCTCATTTTAAGTCCAGAATTTGATGGCACAGGAAATATTTAGAGGGCAAAAATAAAATATAAATCAGAATCGCTTACCTTTTACAAGCCTCGAGCAATCGTCAGGCTCATATTTCAAGATGACATTACTCCGCCTATATTTCAAGAAACCATATAGTGGCGACGTCTCTTCGTATTTTGCAATTTCGCCCCGTATATCGACGATGCCGCCAGTCCCACGGCTCAAAAGTTCTACTTCATCGCGGTTGGAATATTTGAGAAGAAACCTATTAAAGACCGTTGTGTTAGTGGCGCAAACACAGGCGAACGAGCGCAATAAAGCGGGAGTCGAAAATACAACAATTGGAAGTAAAGTACTCAATGGCGCAAAAGTTATAATGCCATTGAGAAGGAAAATTGTGCAAAAAATTAGTTAAAATGAAAAGGAATATTCTTACCATCCTCCGGGCTCGGTAGCCGCTGCTACGTGAGCTTCTATGACCTTCGCATCATCTAGCCCATTTAACGACATTATTCTAAGCAAACGTCGTCCTCGGCGACGGCTAGCCTAGTAGAAACCGGAAGGTCGCGAGACCGCGCAAGGAAAGCTTCAATTTTGTATTTGTGGGCGTCGAGAAGCTTTGCTAGTTTACAGCGCCCTTATTGGCAGTTAGAATATAAGAAGGATCCAAATGGTTGTCGTCCAGAACCAGAACCAGGAAACCAATTCGAGGGTCCGGCTGTCTGGCTCGACATTGAGACCACACCATCCACCAATTTCGAAGGAAAAATTACGAAGATTACCAGAACGTGATGTCCAGGGCGACGCGCATAGCACGAAACGATCTCTGGACGCTGGTGAAGAAGAATTGAGGCGGCCAGGGCGGCCGAAACGAGGAAAGGCGGGATAGTAGTATGGGGTTCGACCAGGGGCCGGGAAATTTCGATTAGGGGGTTGATTCTTGAAGGGAATGCCCAATACCGCAGCTAAGTGAACTAACCTAACCACATACCAAGTGGTAGTAGAGAAAGATCAGGGATTAGGTAGGGGATGGTGTGCCCGGGTGCAGAAATGCAGAAGTCCGAGCGCTAGTAGAATAGGTAGGTAGGTATTTACACTCGAGAATACACTCGAGAATATTCTCAATTATTCTCTATCGACAACGAGAGACAAGAACAAGAAGTGAACGGGGGGAGAAAAGGGAGTGGCCTAATTGAAAAGAGTGAGCCAAGAAAAACTAGGGAGCAGGATTGCTCATCAAAAATTCATTCACGAATACGACCAAGTAACGAAGACGAGGTGAGAATGGCAATTGATCAAATTAAAAGAATGACAATAATAGAAGACAGGTATTTATTTTACTTTTAGTAATTTTGTCTGTCTGTATGTACACTAAACTAATATGAAGGAGGTGGATGAGAAGAACATTGACTCGAAAGAAAGAGACGAAATATGGGATATGACCGGTTTGGCCTAGTAAAGAATTGCTTCGATGGGGTGGAATTTTCGAAGTGAGTTTAAGCATGAGCCAATAGGCGCCGGCCGTTCGGGGAAAGAGAGAAAAAAGGGATATCGGGATTATGTACCTATTATGTACCTGCGTATCTAGTTTATGAAAGATGTCAGGCAGGAGATTAGCTTGTCCACATCGAGCCTTCTGCGGTCCACGGGTAGAGAGCTCATATTAAGGTACATCGGTAGGTACTGTTTTACAGTTTTTACTACGCCATTTTGTGCTCGGTTCATTCCAATTGAAGGTCAAAATAGTCTTGGGGTCTTTCCTCAATTGGATTTAGAGTCAAACTTAGAACATGTTTGCCTTGCCAAAAATGTCTTCGATTTGTAGATGAAGAAACGTGAGCCCGATCCTTGGGAAGAAAGCATCTAGGTATACAAAGTATGAATTTAACGGTTCAAGATTTCGGCCAACGATACCCACGATATGCAAGTCTGTAACGACGGAAAGCCGCTAATCTTCACCACCTTGCATTAGCGGCATTGGCAAGTAGTAGCCCCGCACTGCCGGCGCAGAGGCCATACGCAATCTTGAAGACCCAAATACCTAAAACCCCAGCCAATCCGATTTAAAGATGTCCAAATGAACGTACATTCTATTCAGGGGCAACATACACTATGGAGGACTAGGTATGTTTAGACTTTGCACATATGTAGTTCCCCTATCTAATGTTACGTTAATATTTGACGTCCTTCCTCGTGTCTTTAGAAGAAGTTTAACCCTTGCCTTCTTCGCTCTTCTGGAAAGGGGGTAGAAGCATCTTTGATCGCCAAGTGGATTATATTCCAAAACAAACTAGAAACCTATCACATCATACACATTCCAAAGTTGGCGTCAGATACTATTTGGATATCAGTAAGCATTTATCTCTCAATATCTTCATACGCTCATACCGTACTGCCATACCAAAGCATTCGCTGTTAGCTGCCAGCAGATCTATGGACATATTACAAGGTATTATCGTAGGAACTCGGAACAACCCGTGTAATCACGTAGACATTCATACTAGGTAATGGATAGGTAAGATGTCTTGCATACCTAGTACCTAGCATTTATCGTGGATATGGATTGCCGAAAAACTTTCATGTGTCTTGTCTGCAAGTCATTGATACACATCCGTTGATCAAACATCTCCACTCTAAAATGATGAATCGAACGGATTGGTACACATAGATATCAAGATATCGTATCAGGTTCTTGTGTAGGTATTTAGAGGTCTATATCTAACGCTCAAATATACAACTCGTCTTCAGTTCCTAGTTCGTATTATCATGCATGATCGCAGAGCGAATCGTTCCACCGCATCCAGTATATGCAAGCCCGGCACGTAGGTTGCAACCCTCCCATGTGCTGAAGAACTCCAGCGGGTAGGATCTCCGAGGGTGTCTACCTATTGTAAATGATCATACCTTTACAGCCAGCCAAAACGAGTAAGACAACAGGTTTGTTTTTACCACGACTATTATCCTATGTACCTTGTTAGCAAACAGTTACAACGTCATACCCTCTAACTGATTTAACCATAAGGTCTATGGAACTCGTAAAGCAGGGGTCTCTTTATAAACCATTCCTCAATTACCTCAGAGTTTCCAACGCCTTGACCCTTCACCTACATCGTTATTCATGATCTGAAGAGGCAGGCCGACGCACAGTTCTTCAGGTTACTTGACATGAGTGGGATTCAACTGTGCCTCATGTACGAATTGCATCTAATGTCAAAGCGTTGAGTCGGAATGGATTCAACTATGTTGGCGGAATTTGCCTGCATACAACGCTTGCAAGTTTGTAGAAATGAGGGGGGGAAAAAGAACCGATGGATTCCTACGTTGTGTAGGTAGTGATGCTTAAGCCCAACCCGACATCTATTGTTGAAGCCGAGGCAAGTAGGCAAGTCGCTGTTGCAAAGGGTATGGCTGCTCAAGAAATGGCTACATGGTTATATACAGCACATTATCAGGTATGACATAATCATCTAGCTTAGGTAGCCACCTATATCCCAATACAATATATAGTATGTCATGTTAAAATTCGAAGCCTCATTGCGCAGTAATGATGGTTTGAAAACTTCAGATCTTAACATGATCTTACCTAATGACGAGCTTCTCCTTAGGTAAATACTTTAAAAGCGAACAGAGTTTTTACGGCCTTATTCCATCATGATACTCCTTAATTATTACGACATTAGATCTTATAACCTTGGAAGTGGCGACTTATACGAACAATAACTTTCGGCGTATCCGATCTATTCGAGACACGGCCAAGTCGCACACAATTTCATATTAGCCCAAGACAGCAAACTCTCGTGGTCGAAGACACAAAATTCGAGAACAGGTCAAATACCGGGATACCCCCCTTTATGATCACAAGGCGAATAGTCAGCTGGGAGTAGCAAGGCATCCGGCTAGGAGTACTCGGACAGGTAAGGCTACTACTCTCACGATATTTTCACCCTTGTTTTTCAGGCTTCATATTCCCCAAAGTCCATTCATTGCTGTGCTGTACTTGCTAGCCCCAAAGCATGTCCCCTGTCATAAGTCCGTACAAAGGACACCGAATATCACCGTGGCTCTACGGCCGATTTGTTATCTTCATTTCCCGACTTGCTTGGACTTGCGTCTACTCCTTAAAATGTCTCTCCCTGACAAAAACTAGAATGACCAGCCGAAACAACCAAAGTTCGTGGGTTAGAGTAGCTTCGCTACAAGGTAACCCGGGTTTAACCCCTGAATCTGTACATCATAATGATATGCAGCTTATTACCGGCCTGGATAACAAAAGTGCAATTCTTCTGTGTGTGCTAAATTTCAGCGACAACTTGGTAGTGATAAGTTGTAAAGAGACTTAGTGGCCGACGAGGGAAAATGGATGGATCTCGTATTCCACTTTCCATCTTGCGGTAGTCGTGATCAGGATGCCGACGGAGGACGGGCAGCACTCGGAGAAGTTGCTTCTGGAGTAGCTAGACCACTTGGATTCGGTATGGCGTCTGCGGTGACTTCCGGCGCGTCGCTATCCTCTAACGATGGGGGTTCTTCCTCAACTGGCCCTTCGATAATCGTCGGCTTGAAGCTGTCTCCGCCATCGATAGGTACGAGATCATGGCCTCGGCCGCTGTTGCTAGCTGATATGCCAATAGCTGGACTATCGCCTTCAGCGATCTTCTGTTTAGTTGAGCTCACAATCCTATCGGCTTCGCTAACATTACCGCCTGCACTAGTGGTATCTCCTTCTACACCAATTGGGTTCTCCTTGTTGGTTTGATGCTCTATTAGAGCAGTCTTGTCGAATCGGACGATCATACAAGACAAGTTGTCTGTGCTAAATCGAGCTAGGGCATGGTCGACAAGCTTCTTGGAGGCATTCACGGGATTCTGTTCGTCACGGACGAGATCGACTGCGTCTTGGTCATTACAGACGTCCCAAAGCTAGGCATTTGTTAGTATCGATATGTCTAGTAAGAACCCTAGGTAGTTCGAAAACTTACTCCATCGCAAGCAATGATGATGAACTCATCAACTTCAGGTTGAATGACAGTCTCCGTGGTGTACGGATGTCCTGTCACGAGATCTTTCATATAAGTATCGCCGAGAGCGCGAGTAACAGCCAATACCCCATTGACCCGGTTATTAAGGATCAAGCCTCCAGCATTCGCGATGCGTTTTCCTTCATTTTCGTCGCTGCCCTTGTGATCGTACGAAAGACGCAAAGCTTTACCAGCTCTGCATAATATGATACGGGCATCGCCCACATTTGCGGTATAAAGGACTCGTTGGCGCACCGCAGCACTTTTCAACCTTGCGTGGGCTGATTCGGGGATTGCGTTACTAGGGCCATCACTTTCGGGTTTGCCGTCTTTAGCCTTCGATGCCTCCGCCGCCTTCGAAGCCGCAGCGGCTGCCGGGGCAATGGCCTGAGAGCCGGTTGCGGAGCTCGAACTTGGGACTCGATCCTCCCAGCGCAAAACGGCAATTGCTGCGGTACAGCCGCTGTTCTTAAGTGGCAGCTTCTCCAGTTGCGCATCGACATTGGTAAAAGTTTGGTCTAATAGTTCCGGGATGGGAACATTGGGATTGCGTCGTATAGTGTCTTCAAGAATAAGATGTAGCTTCTTTCCACACCAGTCCGCGGCAAAGGTGCCGGCATGCCCATCAAATATTGCGAAGTAGCCATTGTCAGTTTCAACCATATCCTGCGAACCCGAGTCAGATTGAGGATCGCCTTCTTCTGATGTAGACTTCTGTGACTTTTGACTCTTGTTGCCGGAATCTGGGATAAGCTGAGGCGCCGGGGTATGTAAGAAATTGTAAAGAAACGCGTGAGTGTCTTCCATAGTTCGACGGCATTTCTTGTTCCTATCCTCCCAGACACCGACACGGAAGGTCGATCGCGGTCCGGGAACGGATTCCCCAGCCGAATTGTTGTGCTGACCTTGAGGCACTGCAAGGGACTGATCTTGCTTCCCTAGCTTCTGTAAAGGAGTGTGAGAGCTGACATCACTATTCGTCCTCCCAACTTGACCAAAATTCAAGGTGTTCTTAGCGCTAGCTATGAAGCTACTCGCTTTACTTCCTACACCAGAGCTCCTACGCTTTTTCTCTGCACTACCAGTATCGGGGTTTTGCCTTCCAGGAGGGCTACCATTTCCACTGCGCTTCTCGCCACTAGCAGCTTGGTCGGGGGATTTGGTCGGGGTACCAGTTGATGTAGAGTCCCGCTTTCGGTCTGGCGACGGGGACTTCTTGTCTAATTTCGCAGAGTCGGCGACGGCGGGATCACATTTCGCCGAAGTAGAGCTAGACCCGCCACCAAACATTCTATTAAGCAGACCTCCCTGGGAAGAGAGACTGCGACGCTTGTTCCCTGCCAGGTTTTCGAAGGTTGAAGTTATCCGGGTGGTGAAAGGAGGATACGGAAGGAATAAGTAAGTATGCGCCGAAGTCGTTGGGAGGTGCGGAGAAAAACGCAGATCACGTAGATGTAGACTTTGGTACGAAGACAGAGGGTGCGGCAAGCCAAATCCCGTACGAAAACTCGCGGAGTACCGTTTAAAGAACTGCGTAGAGAACTGGGTCGATAAGAATGTCAACTAAGCACAGAACTGTCGTCATACACGAAGTGTTTGGCCGGAGGTCTTGTGGAAGGTGGGACGCTAGGATAGACTAGAACGGTTAGACTTGGGTACGTTTGTTTCTATGTATGTAGGGTGCGCGCGGTGCAATACCTATATAGGATGGACCACTTTAGCTTGGGATCCGAAGGATTTAGCAGCGGGATATTTAGTAAAACAGAAAGGAAATGCCCAGCACTGCTGGAATTGGCAATGATGCGAATTATAAACAACTAGGTACCTTGGAGAGAGGTAGAATAAATAGAAAGGGGGGACAATAAGACAATGGGGTAGTGATTGGGCTGTGTAGGCGGGCGCAAAAAGATAGGTAGGATGCCAATGAATACCTGAAGTAGTACGTCAGGTAGGGCGGCTAGATCAGGTATGCGGGTTCTGCAGGTAAGGTTGGTGAGAAAGGTGACGGTCACAAAAAGCCATGGGATGCTCCTTTTTGTTTGGCACGGACGAAGAGAATGGGAGATTCACTGCTTACTGATCTAAGTGTATGTAGGTACGGCACTCGATGTATGCCAAGGGGGGTATCCGAATCCGAGGTGTGTATTGCTCGAGTAGGATTATTATGAGACTTGCCGGGCGAAGTTGGGATAGTTGAGTTATGGTGGGTGGTGGATAGTGGAGGATAGTGGTGGATGGTGATGTTGTAAGTGGACTTTTAGCTGATAAAATCGTGGGGTGGTGCTGGGTGGTGCTGGGTGGTGCTGGTGCTGGGTGTGATGTAACAGATGAATTGAGAAGGAGCCCTGCACAGGGAGGGGAGAATCTACCTGCCCGACCCCTACCTCAGGCATACCTAAAAAGGTCATCGAGCTGGACGCTAGGGTACTTGGTCCGTGCATCCGATCCGCGCGTAGAAAGCCGCCCCGGCGTTTCGGAGCTACAACAGGATCCGGCTCTCTCTTCTCTACTCACTTTTGTCACCTAACTCCTTACTTAAGTCCCTGATCAAATCCATCCGTCTCACTGGCTTACATGCCTCGGTAATGTACCTCTTATTCCTTCATCTTTTCCCCAATAGGATAAAATCTGATATGGCTACCTAGGGATATCCTATTAAAGCGCCGCAAAATAAATATCTCATTATATCGTTGATCCTTTCGTTTACTTATTACGGCCATGAGAGTAAAAAGTACACGCACCTAATACCGTTTGGTTTTAAGGCTGAGACGTGGATCTGCGTGGTCCCTTGACGCCACGTCCGAGTTCTTAAGTAGTTTCGTTTTGCTCGTTCCACGATGACGATTCATGGGCTAGCACAAATTCCCGGCCCTCTGACTTATGACGAAATATGCCTTAGTATCCTTACAAATCTCAAAAAGAGACTTGAGTTAGACTAGTAGGTTCACATTTCTTACATATTTCATATTAATAATACAGAAACAAGCACGGAGTGCCACGTGCCGTGCTATAACCGGAAGCTTGATACAGGTAGGTAGGCAGTAGGTAGTAAATATTTTGCTGTTTAGTAATCCGAGACAAGCAGTTGACGTATTTGTAATCTCACATATCCATATTGCGTGTGGCCTCGTGTAATAACACCTTTAGTACAACTATAAATTCGTTATCACTGATCTACCTTTTTCAACTTTACTTGCATCAATTTTCATACTGAAAGTTATTCTAGAGTATTATACACTTGATCGAAGTTTTAATATCTAGGATCCCTATGTTCCAATATGCGTGAGACCTTTGAGCCAGCTTTCGAGGGCCAGTCTCGGCCACTTCTAAGCTTCGGGCTGTCTTTCACCGAATCACTTGTCAAACATGCAGACGATACTTTCCATGCATCTCGAATCTATGTCATCTTCTCTAGATCCCTTGCGGGAAACACGACATATCTTGACGACCTCAAGAAAGTCCTAGGTGATAAAGTTGCTGGTGTTAGAGTTGGCTTGAAACCTCACTCTCTCTGGTCTGAAATTCTAGAAGTTGTGGCAGATGCGAGGAAGTGTGATGCAGACTTGATAGTCACATTGGGCGCAGGCAGTCTAACAGATTCGGCCAAGATAGTATCATTCGTATGTGTATATCCCAGAGCTGATGATTAGGGGCTACCTCATGGTCCATGAAGCTAAGTGTGCAATAGGCGCTGGCAAATGATGTCTCGACACACGCTGAACTAGATACCCTTTTGCCAACAAGCTCACAAAAACGCGACGATATTAAGCCGTCGAAGGTACCCGTCGTCTGTATACCAACGTCCTTGTCTGGCGGCGAATATTCTGCTTTTGCCGGGGCGACGAATGACGAAACAGGCCAAAAACACTCCTTTTCAGGTACTTTAAAGTGCCCTGCGTTGGTCATCCTCGACCCGCAACTTGCTACGACAACTCCAGATAGAGTCTGGTTGAGCACTGGCATCAAGGCTGTTGACCACTGTGTAGAGACTCTTTGTTCTCTGAAAAGCAACGACGTAGCAGATCGAGATGCTAGAAGCGGTTTGGCCAAGCTCATCCCAGGCCTAATAAAGACCAAGCAAGATCCCAAAGACCTCGACGCACGACTAGAAACCCAATTGGGAGCTAGAGATGCTATGAGCGCGGTTACTCGAGGAGTACCGCTAGGGGCAAGCCGTATGTATACTCCAGATCCCCTTTATATAGCCTCTGATAGACTATCTCTTTAGACCCTTCCTTTCAGAAGTCATGGATTCATAGGACCAATGCCCACCTCCCAAGATAATTCTTAACACCAGAGGAAAGAATGATAGCTAACTCGAGATCTGATAGACGGCATTGGTCACCAATTAGGTCCTGCAGGCGTTAGTCACGGCGAGACTAGTTGCATTCTCAACCCTGCTGTGTGCAAATACAACTACAAAAAAGGTGCAAATGTTGAACGGCAAGATGCCATCATCCAACTCCTCTGGGAGGACCCTAAAGCTCGTGAGATCTTTGGTCAAGGTAAATTAAATAAGGACACAGCCGATCTCGGTGACCTGATGGACACCATTGTCCGCGCTCTTGGGCTACCAAGAACGCTCAAGGAGTTTGGTATTGGTGAAGATAAACTTGACAGGATCGCCGAACTTAGTTTGAAAGATCGATGGGTCCAAACTAACCCAGCCCCTTTGGATAAGGAAGGCGTCATCGAGATCTTGAGAATGGTACTCGAATGATTTGTGTTTGCAATTAGTCTTGTCTCGTACGGAATAGGATAATAAAATGAATCAATGCCCCGAGTTCCCATGCTCCATGCTCAGAACTACACATATTGACCTTCGCAGCTAGTTTAATGTCAGTGAACCATTTGTAGTCGCCAAATCTCAACTGAACCTCTATCACGGCAAGCAACATCCCACTCAGCCTACGACTACTTCCTTAGACTGTCAAGGCGGGCTTGAAGGTCATCATCACCAGGATCTCCGCCACCACCGCTGCTGCCACTGGGGCCACCAATGGCTTGGGCGATCCGGCCATCGGCAACTTTTTCGCCCTGAAGGCCTGTTGGAGTCTCTCCAAACTATTTGGTGTTAGACGAGACGAATAATACACGGTTGGAAGTGTACTCACGGCTTGGTTAAGATCAACACCAATTTCCTCCAAGACTTGTTCTACGACCTCGTCGCCCTCCTCTTCTATGCCTACGTCCATGGCGTCGTCAATCGCATCGTCCATCATTTCCTGCCTCTCATCCATGATGGCAGTCTCTCGCTCGAATTCCATAGCGATACGTTGTAACGCGGGTAGGTTCATAGATCGGTTCATGCTACCAAGAGCCACCGTAGCTCCTTTCATGGACTGCATCATTTGCTCGTTTGTTCGATGGGTCTATGATACATTCTCGTCAGCATAGTGCCACGAATGAGTAATCGAAGACGACTAACCTGTAGTCGTAAAGATATTTTCTGCAACTGACTCCTCATTCCGTAGAACTTCTCGATATACCTGTGGCGAAATAACCATTGGTCAGTCAAATCTTCTACCTAAAGTTCGTGATAACTGGACAATCCTACCTTCTCGTGCGTACGAGATCCTTTGCTTGGATTTTGGCTGCTCCCATCTGCCCCTTTTGCGCACTCTGTTTGATCTGGCCCACAAGGGTCTTCTCTTGTTTTTCCAGCTTAACTCGTACTTGGTCTAACTCTCGGATTGCCTTGTCGATCATGCGCTGGTTCTTGCGCAAACGCTCGGCGGGCGTTATACGCTTACCGAAGGCCCATTCCAGAATCTGGTTATATAATCAGTTATCCGTTGGAATATAGTCGGGTTGAAAAGCCTGAGTGGTCCGGTAGCTTACATTCATGGCTAGGATATCGAGGAGTTTCGTCTAGGGTTGGATTCTGTTGAGCTCGTAGATTGTGGGGATATGATGCTTGATCTCGCGAAAATATGTCGTAGATCCCTGACGATTGCGGATGGAGGAAGATATATCGAGACCTTATATTGATACAATGATGGAAGCCTCGGAGATACGGGTCTCTTTGGCTTGGTAGGTATTATTCGAAATGGTGGGAATTATGTTGCCTGGCAAGTGATGATTGATGGAAACCTTGAGTAGATCAACAAGTGACGATAGGTACCTAGGCAGAGAGGATATGTAACTTTCGCGATTATGTTAATCGATGTGCAATTGCAACTAATAAGTATCATTACATAGTAATTTATGCAGATACAGAGTATGACATAGCTAGTGCGCACCAAGCTTCCGTTACCCTGGTCCCAATGAATTTGGTAAGCGCACCTAGGTACAGCAGCCAATCAGAAGATCTTATCAATCAGTGGGCATACCGCCCAAATTCGCCTCATGGTTCAATTAGAAAAAGTATCACCACCCACCCAACCTAATACATCCACTACATCATTCAACCACCTTACGAAGACTCCGCCCACGACTTTCGAAAGCCGGTGACGCCCATAAGCTCGACATTTTGACCAACCCGATTAGTCAGGATCATTTTATTTCTATGGGTAAAGGCAAGGGAAAGGCCCGCCGCGGTGGGCAAAACCGCGACCAGGACGACACACCGACTCCGCCCGATTCCGGACGGCCAGCTTATATGACTGTCGGCAACGGATCAACATCTGAACACGCTACAAGACTGCAGTCGCTTATAGACGACGATTCAGGCTACGGTGGTAGTCTCGTAGACGGCGAATCCAGCTCCTCGAACCGACCTCTTGGCTCCCAGCGAACCGATCCCACTTTATCGCGAGACATGCCTTTTCATCGTCAATCTTCCGGCAGTCCGGAGACTGATCACCGAAACCAAGCTGCAGCCGTTCACCAGCTATGGTACAACAAGCACCAGGCAGCTTTAACCCGCTCAATCAGCCGAGTTGTTGACCTCCTTAAAAGCCTTCAGGAAATCAATATTGCTTGGCCCGCCCATTATCCTTCGGTCCAACGAACCGAGTCCTCTTCCGACCGACCCGCATCGCGTCCTGGAATGCAACATGCCTTCTCCGCAGCCGGAGAACTCGCTGGTGATTCATCATCTCCGTATCACCCTAAACCACTGAAGCGATCCATGACGACTGTTGATGATGCTGCAGCCGCCGAATCCAGCCGAGATGCTGAGAACAAGAGCGTGGTCGATAGCCCCAGACTATTCACCCCGCAGATCGCTCAACAATTCTCGGTCTTGAAGCTGGATCTCAAGCTAGGCTCTTTACATCAGACCGAGCTAGTTCATTCACTCGAAAAAGGTTCGATCGCCGCGTTGCTCGACGGGAAAATTAGCTCCAGCATCAAACATCTATTTCTGCTTCGCGAAAGAATCGAGGATACATCTAGCAAGGTTTTGGTGACCGGAGATCTTAATGCCGGAAAGTCTACGTTCTGTAACGCGCTGCTACGTCGCAAGGTTCTTCCGGAAGATCAGCAACCCTGTACCAGTATCTTTTGCGAGGTCCTGGATGCGAAAGAAAATGCAGGTATCGAGGAGGTCCACGCGGTTCACATGGATGCGATCTACAACCGACACGACGAATCAACCTATGACGTCTTCCCCCTCCAGGAGCTAGAGAAGATTGTCCTCGACAACGAAACATATATGCAGTGCAAGGTTTACGTTAAGGACGTACGAACTATCGACGAGTCGTTGCTTAATAACGGCGTAGTTGATATCGCATTGATCGATGCCCCAGGACTCAACTCTGACACGACAAAGACAACAGCCGTTTTTGCGAGACAGGAAGAAATTGATGTTGTTGTCTTCGTAGTTTCCGCCGCAAACCATTTCACACAGTCTGCGAAGGAGTTCATTTGGGCTGCTGCAGCGGAGAAGGCATACATCTTCATGGTTGTCAACGGCTATGACCTCATTAGAGACAAGCAACGGTGCCAGAAGTTAATTTTAGACCAGGTATACGGTCTGAGCCCTCGCACTTTCAAGGAATCTAGCGAACTTGTGCACTTCGTATCTAGCAATGCCATCCCAACAGCTCCATCGCCCCCCGGTGGTCCGGATGGAGGGGGTAGCGGTAGCTCAAGTGGGAATGGAGACGACCCCAGCGACGACCCTAAAGGAAAAGGCAAGGAAAAGGAGAAGGTTGAGGACTTCAAGAAGCTAGAGCAATCCTTACGGCGATTTGTCTTGGAAAAGCGAGCACGTTCTAAGCTTGCCCCCGCCAGAACCTACCTCCTCAACATTCTGAACGACCTCCACGTGCTTGCCACCGTCAATAATGAGGTAGCCCAGTCCGAGTTCGACCGAGTCGTCGGAGAGCTAGAGGAGATCGAGCCTCAACTTGAATCTTCTCGCAAAGCGATCGCCGCTGTCGGCGATGATGTAGATCAAACTATCGAAGCAACGTGCAAGGACATCTACGATCACACCCGAACGGTTCTCAACTCCGCAATTACCAGTGCCGGTGAAACCAATCTCGGCGTGCCTTACCATGGTCTGTTCTACGCTTTCGATTATGCCGAAGAGATAAAAGAAGCAATGCTATCCAGAATTGCAGAGTCTGTCACGTCCTGTGAGGATTATGCCCGAACGAGGGCTGTCGACGGCGTAAATGTCATCAAGCAGCTTGGTATTTTGCATCTTGGCAACGAATATCACGACCTCAACTTCCGCTCCGATGTCATGTTTCGAAGGAGGCGTGATGTGCTAGCGAAGCAGGTCGACGTACCTACCGAGCTGTTGGATTTCGTTGATTGGTCTTCGCTTATGCAACGCCAAGAAAAAATGGCTGGCACGGGTATGGCCCTAACAGTTGCTACTGCCATTGGTGGACGACTAGTTGGCGGCATGGGGTGGATGGATCACACATTGAACGCCATGAAGATCATCGGCAGCGACAACCTCCGAAAATTGGTCATTCCGGGTCTCGTTCTAGCAGGTATGTTACATCGTGGTATATTGTTTTCGAGTTTAAGCTAATTATTGCTCGCAGCCGTCTCAGCCGCAGCTTATGTCATCCAGCAAATACCACATTCGCTGCCTCACCGTCTTAACAACAAGATCTCAGCACAGTTGGCGGAACTCGATTATGTCCATGCAAACAGCACTCGTATCTCAGGTTCTGTGCGCAAGGTTCTCCGCTTCCCCGCGGATAACCTTCGAGTAGACTTGACTCGTTCCGTTGAACAGCTCGGCAAACGTCGAGAAGAGACTCTGAAGGTCCGTGGTGAAAGCGAAGTGGCACTCAAGTATTTCGGCAACCTCGTACGAGAGAGTGCCCATCAACGAACCTTCGTCGAGGATATAGACCTCGAGGCACATCCTCACCCTCAAGGAGCTCCCGGTATGAACATTGCATGAGACAAGACTTATTTATCTATGTGGCATAGGAATGGCGTTCAGGGGAACACAGTCGAATTACGAGCATGCCATTTCGTTTGTTCCGGAGATTGTCACGTTTCACTCCTTGACGGCTGCGACGGGTGATGGACGATTATGAAAAGGGGCAACAAAAAATGGGAAGAGCGAGGTAGAATGGCTAACGGTTCTCAGGCGTCCAGAACTAATTGGAGGCAGAACGAGAATAAACGCTCTACTCTTCCATGCGTGGTTTGTGGTCTGTGGTTTGTTTTACTCCCTCCTCGATTCACTTGTACGTACACTCTAGCTTTACTAAAATTATGGCCCAAAAATAGGACTTTTCAAATTCAGACGTGCGTAGAGAAGACGTATCTCGAGACATGACGTACCACACTGTAAGATCACCGTTTACCCAGGTAGGTAATAGTATCTTGCACACAGATTCCGACAGTAGAAATCTTATCGGGAGTTTTGTTACTCCGGAGAGCGAGTAAATTGAGGTACTAGTCGAAGTTTTTCAAAAGCTAGGGTATAGATCCAAAGCAAGTTTATCGTGTCCATGTTTAGAAGCCAACCATCCTCCTTAGGAATGCATTCTCTATAATTAGGATCATAGGATCATAGTATTGATGTAGCGCCTCCCCGTCGATGCTTGTGGTCATCGCTCTTTAGGAAAATGAACAGCGAGTATATGTGCTTACCTAACTAAAGGATATCCATCTAAATGTTGACCAACATATTACTTCTACACTTCCCGGACATTTTCGATGCTCAACATACAAACATTAAATAAACTTTTGTACGACATAAAATACAATCTTGATCACTATTCTAAATCCGGTTTGAAGCGCCGTACTGAAAGCACAAGGAGGCGTCACAGCAAGTCAATATTAATAATATTCAGTCGGGCTATTTTTGCACGGGCACTGAATAGATATGTTGCCATTCATATGCTTGCTGTTGTTAGTGGCTCAAAATATATCTCACTAGGAAAGCAACAACTGATACTTCAACCCTCATCCCTTGTCTTAAATTTTATGATGCCATGAATCATTAACATCTCGACTCGTCTGGACACTGGGAGACACTAGACAGCAAAAAGAGCACCATAGCTTTAGTATCATAGTCTCCACTATGAAGCAACTTTATAAAACCATTTTGGAATTATCGACCAAGGGATTCCATTAGTTAGGCAGAATATCAATATTCTTTTTAATGATTTTGATCCCATACCTATTTCCAAACATTATCTTAGATTCAAGCATACAAACACGTACTATTTAGAGTCAAAAGAACTCAGTAAATCGAAAATACAAGATAAATGTCGTCAGGGATTTGCTAGTAACATAGCATCTCGGACTCATGGAAGCCTCCGCCCACCCCTTTCTCTTTAATATATACGGGTACTCCTACTACATTTGCTTGTATTTATTACAGGTAGACAACTAATACAGAGATCATAGCTATTTTTGCTACCAAAGATTCGAGAAATATCTGGAATTGGTCTGCTACCTATTGATAGAATAGAGAGCTTAGGTGTAGAAATTTGTAAGCTACTACTGGACAGAAATTTTGCCAATGTGGAGGTTAACAAGTCTACCCAAGTATATTTCTTACATCCATTTATTCCCTGGAGGCTATAAGGAAGCAATAAGAGGACAGGTTTCGAGAGTGGACTTCATACATACCAGGTAAGAACGGTGCAGCAAAAATCAGTATAGCATGAATTCGGTTTCAATTTTGATTGGCTCTGCCCTAGCGTAGACCGCACTACATAACCAGCTCGAAGTTTGGGTCGAGCTGATGAGAAGGACCCAGCATCACATGTAGATCAACAGAGGCAATATTTGGCAACGAGACTTAGCGAGATTACGAATCCAGGACTAATGGGCTTTTCGTGGCCCCATAGATGCACCTCGAGGGATTATACGGAGCCTGCGAGTAGAATTCGGAGGCACGTGGAGGTTTCGTTGACACCCTTCTGCAAATCCAACAAGCGACTATACAGAACCGGACTTCTGCTAGCACCTGGGCCATTGGCTCTTACATACCTACATACATGATAGAAACAACTAAGCTTGCACATGCATGTAACTTAGTTACCATACTGTTGGTGACAACTCTGCAGGGCTTAGGTAAGAGCGGCTATAATAAATGCAAGAGCGGGAGGAAGGCATCCCAGTGCCGCGGCTAGCGTTATCTGCAGCTCAACGTTCAGCTCAAGGTGACTACAAGTCGCTTTCGAAATAGCGTCGATATCAAAAGGACTTTAGTAGGACTTCCGTGACCACGTGGTGCGTTCAGGTATCACGGATCTGGAATAGTTCGTAGGGCCAGTAAGACCTAGGGGCCAGGAAAAATGTATAGCACGTGCATATGGTGGAAGCGAGAGTGGGAGTCGAGCAAAACTAGCGACTTGACCTGCTTGATAAGATCCTTGGCTTTAAAAAGGGTATAACGTCGATAGGACCGATGCGAATGCTCCTCTTTTTCACCAATTACTAAACGGAAAGTGGTGAATCCCACGATGTTGGACATGCTATTATCTCGTGTTCATGTAGTATACGCGAGCCTCGATGCGGAATAGTCGGGGGGTCCGGGTGCCATTCCGTCTGGGGACTAAACCCTCACGTAAGAAGTTAAAATATCATGTAATAACGTCAACTACTGGGTGCTGCATAGAATTTGCATGTAAGTTGGTTGCATTCGACAGGAGCACTGTGTGCTGTAGCACGCGGAGTCAGGGGATCTTTCGCATATCTCGCACTGACATGTAACCTCATTTTTCTTCGAACAACGGGTAACGATGGATTTACGCTGCTTCCATTTCCCAATATTCCTTGGCGTTCCGGCGGGTCTGGGCGTTTTGTTGCTTCCACAGACCCCGGCTCGGCCCGCTCCTAGCTGACTTCGAAATCGGAACAGAGCCTTCGCTCGCTAGGAAGGCTGGAAGGGCAGGAAGGGTTAGCAGGAAAGACGAGGTGGCGGTTTTTTGACGAAACCAACACTAGCGGTGACGACCATCGCATTACCTCAGCTAGCCGCCCGCCCGAGTTCCCTATGAGTTCCCTATTTGTTTGTCACAAATCACATTTTGCCGTTTTCCGCCCGCCACGGTTGACCTTGTTTGCCCACCATGGTCTGTCCGGAACAAGTACCGAAAGTGAAAGGCCGACCCGATGCTCAGGGAGAGAACCCTGCAACTGCAGCTGATATGCAGCAAGGTATGAAAACGTGACAACATCGGATGGCGTCAACTTTCGCTTACAGCCTGGCCGGCAACTTCGTAGATGGTTTCATCTTGCGTACTATGTACAGAAGGTTAGGTACCTAGCTATCTGGCTATCTGTCCCACTCAAAAGTTCCTATGGGTAGTTCCTACGGGGCGTTTGTGGTCTTCGCAATCTCAGCAATGGCGAAGCAATCCTAAGAAAATATCCACATGCGCGAATCATAAACCTTCAGTGAAATCAGGACCATGTAGTTTAAAGAGTCTAAGTTGTTTACTATGTAAATAAGAAAATGATGATGCATGGTGGTATACCTAGTAGTTATCCTAACGCCGACCTGATATGTTCAAAGCACAATGTTAAGAGATCCATCTTCCTGTAAACACTCCGCCATGCCGTAACGCTTAGATTCCAAACTCCATTGTAGAACTCCAGTAATGAAATAACGACACCATTTAATGAACGACTGTGTATCTTTGCTTACTTGCGAATCATGAGAGGTTATCTCAGTTAGAGACGCCGCCGCGTCTTCGAACCCCTTCATAGAATCTCGTAGGGTTATCTCAATATCGTGAGTTACCGTATCGAGAGTTTGCTTCTCAGGATCGCAGTTCTTGAACATGACGGGGACAAGGTTCAAGAGCGATGCTTGCGCCTGGAACCAGTCGTCAGCATGCCTGTGCAAATCTTATATCGCAGTGGGGACTTACAATTTCTTTCTGGACCGAGTATATGTCGTTTAGAACAAAACATATGACGACAGTCTCCTTCCAAAGAGCCTTCATAGCCGGAGACTCCATTATAGACTCAGGCAGCCTGACTTTGAGCATGGTACTGAAGATGATGTGAGTAGAAGATCTTACGAAATCGGGCATGTCTCACACTACTCACTCTGTGATGGCAATTTGAGGGGCACAGCCAACAGATCCTGATCGAATTTCGATGTACTTGTCCACCGTCGGGATGGAACCTCTCATACGATGGACGTGTTCCACACCTACCTGAACCATGAAGTTCTCCAGTTCGCGGTAGAAACGTTCTCTCTGAATCCTGTCCGTAGCAGTGCGCATACCACGACCGACATCGGCAAATAATGTCATGTTGGGATGTAGAGCTTGATCATCCTCGAATACCTGCTCCTTACCCTTCTCGCTGGGATCAAGACCTAGCAGGTTGTGGATGGTGCTCAGAGATTTCTTGTAATAGGCTCTGGACAGCTCCTCGTCGTTCGACACGTCAGTGTCTCCTGCGTCGACCTCGTCGTCCCACACGAAGATCCACACAGAGTAGGCCGCGGCTATCTCAAGCTCGGGCCATTCTGCGTCAGGATACCAACTAAGCAGGGTACCGTCACGTTAGAACAAGAAAAAAATTATCCCAAGAAAAAAAAGTTCGGGGAGACTGGGGTAGACCGCCTTACAGGGAGATGAGACGACCGAAGTTAGCCTGCTTCAAGGCCTTGAGCTTCCTCTCATTGGTGATGATGCGCTCCAGCAACGTGTCAACCAACACCTCGAGCCTCTCCGCGTGCGGGTTCGCGGCTAACGGCCAGTCTGAGAAGACCTTCCACAGGTCTGGTAGACGGAAGGTCTTGCCATCCAGCTGAGAAGCTAGGACTAAAGCTTCACCGCAAAGTCCCTGCTGTTTAGCATTGGACTTCTGGGAAGCGATTTGGTCCTTGTTGGGGGCTAGCCGAGGAGGAGGAAATAATATAGAAAGCAGCTTAGAATGTGTCCGCCGCGCGAGACGTAGAAAAGTAGTTGCCATCATCTTTCTCGGATTTTTTTTTGTCTGATTTCAGCTTATGGGAGGCCTTAGGAGGAAACTGTCCATGAGTACTGGATAGGAGACGAACATGTTGACGACGTATCTCGGGAGAGCCTCTTCTTCTATACGAGTAAAGAAATGGGGCGCTTCTGTCCGTTGGATCTCAATACAGTAGTCTCAAACTAAAACCTGGCTAAATCTCTCGTACGAAAAAGTGATAACTGGCCGACAAAGGCAACCTTGGAAGCTCGGGAGACCACCAAGCCGCCAATCTTGGGAATCTAAGCAACGAAGGTTACCCATCGTTATCACCTAATGCGGCGTGACATCTACAAATGGCAACACTACATTCCACTCCTGGAAGTCGATAGTCGAAGAGGATTAGCTGACTAGATTCAAAAGGACGCATAAGAGGCGTAAGCAAGAGGATCCTTCACGACCAGGCCGCTGGTATGGTCTAATCTGTTGTCCCATGGAAACGCTGCGAAGCTACATAGCATTGTCGCCCACTTTGCCGGTCCGGTTGCGGGAAATGCGAGACGGGATCGTTCGGATGTCGCATCCCAGACATTCTTGATATCTAGAAGGTTGCCAGAAGTGTCCAATGAAAGACATACCGTGACATCCATAATGTAAGCTAGGTTACATAATTTTCCTCCCACATGTCATAAGTCGATAGTAGATGACTATTTCGTACACCTAGGTCAGGTTTGGGTGCTAGTTGGAACCAACCGCGAGTAGACAACGGTCCGGCGGCGGCTCTACTAACGCTATGCGAGATAGCTAACCAGCATTCGACAATTGGCCAAGTATAGAAGGCCAGGAGAATGATCCACCCCCCATTGCTCTTCTTACAATCACTAATCGACGACTAAGAATCCGGATCGGCTAAGTCTTCTTCTAGTAAACGGAGATGAAGGCATGCTAAGAAGTGTCAAGCAGGATGCGACATTAGGACTGTTGGCTAGCGTACGGCTAACGTACAGCTAACATAACATAGTGTACATAATATTGTATGGTGGTATGACATCTATGGCAATATAAAAGAGCCTTGCCATACGAAAGAGGCTCTGATGGACTTTGTAGTAAGTTAGTCCGAGCTCGTTGTCTTTGATTGGTTCAGTGTAACGTCAATAATAATACTTACCGGCAGAGTTATTGAAGACTTCATATTGGAAAGTAGTCAGAAGTGTGATGATAAATCTGATAGCGCATAAGACATGAGCTTATACACTTCTCCTGACATTTCCCCGTTTTGCCCCAGGTCTGGCAGTCTGGGCTCTGAGCACTTGTAGTTACCATAGTCGAACCCTTGGTAAGAGTTTTATGATAATCGGGGCGCTGACAGGGGCGCTTCAATCCCGAGGCCCACTCCGGAATTTTAGGTGCGAGTGGTGTGCGTGGGGATATGCTGGATAGGTAATGGATGTATGCTAGAACAGCGGATAAGGCGGAGTATGTAATACAGTATTCGAGCCACGTGTATACTGTGCTGGTAGACCCTGGATTTTTATTTCCAGTATCAAGTTTTTCTTCCTTTCTCGGGTTGACGACTTGTCCCGAGATTCGAATTCTCTCGGCATTGAACCAAAGGTGAAATTTGAAAGAAGATGGAGAAACGTTGGAGATTTCCTCTCATCTCTCCTGCAGGATAGATACCGGTACCTAGATAAGCGATGTGGCACAAAAGCTTCAGTCGGTCAGGTGATCATGATTACGGAATCTGGGCGAGGCGTTCCGATGTTACGAAGCAATTTCACGTGTAGTCTTAGGGCCAGAGGTACATGGGTCAATATGACCCGTTCGGTGTAGAATATGTATACCCCTGTTTCACGATACTTAGAGAGCACCAAAGTACATGGGGCACAACGGGTGATTTCGTAAGCCCCGTACATAATAATGTGGGTATAATTATCCCACACTATGTGGCATGGACATAACATTTAGTAGGCTTTACATACTTTTTGCAGGCTTCGCATATTTTGGCAGGCTTTGGTAATATCCACCTTTTCGCCGTTCTGGCCAGACGCAAAGCCGTCCGCCAATGTCTGTGTGATAGGTTCAGGGCAGGCTCAGGCATGCGCTATGTATGCATCCAGGCATTGTACATCAGATGAAAAGGCTCGGTTACATACCCCCAGGTCGTCCAGGTCAATGATCTTCACATATCCATTTCTTTGGGTGCGGGAGCAAATAACATACGACGGGTAGATGATGACATGCAGTTTCGTTGTCATGCGTGTTCCAACAGATTCGCAGACGGATACACGTTCGCCAAGTGCACCTGGCACGTACTAGGTAGGCCAAGACGATGTCTGGGTGTCCCGTAATGCGGTCGAGAAGCAGGGCTTGACGGGCTTGACAGGGCTTGACAGGCGGGCAGGAGGCACGGACATGGGTATGGGTTATGGAAGTGTGAATTTATGTCGGGATGGGCTATTACGGGCTCGACACGGGCTCTTTGGTAGCTCCGCTGGGCCACGAATCCCAGCAGCCGACTCCCTTGCCTTTTGCATGGCTACTTTCAACCACCCAGGTTATTAGTCGGACGGCTCCAACGGCTACCTTCCGTTAGCAGAATTAACTCGGCTCTCCCATACGACTCGGCACGGGTCGCTGTCGCTCATGGGTAAAGACTCGCGTTTCAAAACACCACATTTTCGAAACTCTAAGGTTTTCTCTTCTTCGCCATTAACCTCAACTACGACATCATCGTCCCTTGACAATGTTGAGAGAAGGGGAGAACGCTCACGAACAATGAACAGGATCAAAGAGACGCTAGCCAGGATAACCCGTGCCGCTCGAGGATCGAAGGAGACATCGTCGTCTTCTAGCCTGCGCCTGGATCGTGTAGGTCGGTCGAGCAGTTCAACTTTAGACTCCCGCGAAAGGGAAAAGGTCCTGGTGCGTGCCGATGGAAGAGGTCCCCTTATCCTCTTCGACGGAACTCCAAATGCCGAAGAGGGCCTCGACGTCGTCTTCGTCCATGGACTGTTCGGCTCGCGCTCCGGTACCTGGACGAAGGGGGGTATTTGTTACCCTCGCGACTTGCTCGGCCATGACATTCCAGGTGTCCGTATCATCGCATGGGGATGGATGGGCGCTTTGAGCGGTAACGGCACCTTTATCGACCAAGCAGAAAGCCTTTTAGCAGATATCGCACGGCTCCGTAGTGGGATATCGCGGCCCCTCATTTTTATAGGTCATGGCCTGGGAGGACTCGTAATCAAAGAAGCCTTGGTCACGGCTGCGATGTCGCGAATATACGGTGCACATGTCGAACTTGGCAACGTATACCCGCGAACTATCGGCTGTGTTTTTTTGGGTACACCTCACGTCAGAAGTGGAAAGCGATCATTGGGTGAATGCATCGCCGCAACAGCGCTCTTGTCGCCATCTGCGCCAACCCCGCAACTCCTGCGAGCATTCAAAGAAAATGATAAAGCCTTCGAGAATTTGCATGCAACATTTCTTATGGTTTCTAGAGATATAAGAGTCGTGTGTATCAGAGAAAGGTTACCATCGACGATAGCAACCTCGAGCGATCCTACCGATGGGATGGAATTGGGCAAATCAACGGTGCAGACGATGGTCCCGAGAGATTCGGCGGCTTACGAAGGCTTCAATGTGACGAGGCATGATATGGGAGTGTCTCATCTGGACCTTGCGAGATTCAAGAGTAGAGATGAGGTGGGATATTCACAGATGCTTTCCTGGATCATGAAGGCATCATCGGGCCCGACTCCGGCAGAAGCCGAGGCAAGAGAGCCCCGAAACCAAGGTATATGGCATTGGCGTCTACTCCGACCGTGGCTGAATCGTTGCTAACGTTCGACAGAAATTCTCAACTCTATTTATTATGATACCATGAATGAACGTGAATCTCGGATAGATCCAGCTTATGGCCAAACGTGCGAGTGGATCCTGAACCCGAACCTCTCCGCAGTGCCTAGGCACTTCAGGTCCAAAGATCCTGTTTTAGTAAGTGTTTCAAAACATTTCTTTCTTTCGGGCCTTGACAGAACAGGTGCTCTGAATATCGAATAGAGGTTCATGTTGGAGCAATCATTAACTTCGGAAATAGTGGATTAGTGGCAACGCCGGCTCTGGCAAGTCGACACTCATGAAGTGCATTGCGCGTTCTGAGACCGTGAGACAGCAGCTTCTCGAAGGCTGGGCAAGCGAAGGAGACTTACTCATGGCTTGCTTCTTCATGTTCGAAGGCGGTAACCGCATTCAAAAATCCTATGAGGGCTTTCTACGTAGCGTCTTATACCAGATCTTGTCTGCGAGGCGAGACCTCATTAGAATTGCCTTCCCTAGCTTCTTCGAGGGCGATTGGCCACCCCCGGTTTTATTCACAAGTATCAATAATCTTAATCAGGCCTGGTACTCCATCTTCGCTCACATGTCTGACAACCTACGCCTCTTCATTCTCATCGATGGGATAGATGAATACCGCATTATGGAACGAAAGGATCACTATGAACCAGATCAGCTCGATATCACTTACGACAGGGACACGGGCGACGAGGCTTGGGGACAAAGCAAATGGGCTAAAGATTCGCACGTGGAAATATCAAAACTCATTAATAGCATGGGCAACAAGGACAACGTCAAATTCATCGTCTCGTCTCGTGAGCTCCCTATTTTTGAGGAAGCTTTCGCCGAATATCCTAGGATCAGACTGCAAGAGCACACCGAGAAGTCTATATCGCAGTACGTGGCAGGCCGACTCGAAGACGAGGCTCCAGGACTCCCGGATACCAAGAATCTCTGCAGGGAGCTAGCGCAAAAGAGCAACGGAGATATACTATGGGCCAGGTTAGCAATTGATATGGTAATCGGTTGCAGCTTAAGAACGCTAAGGCCAATGCTGAATTCCCTTCCAACACATCTTGGAGGACCTGACGGCTTGTATATGCGTATGCTGGAGAATCTGACTCTTGAGCAACAGCAGACTGCATCCAGGATCTTTCACCTTGTTCTAAGCGCGCAGCAGCCGCCCAGCTTAATTACACTCTCGCTCGCTGCAGAGGGCTATATAAACCCTGCAACAGGACAACTTAGAGCTATCGAAGACAATCAGCATCCTTACGATAACGCCTCTCTTCAACTCTTGACCGACCACATGACAAACCTCTTAGAAACCTCCTGCGCCGGCCTCCTTGTCGCAGAGACGGGGCCCTCCAATAATCCCAACTCTCTCGAGACCGGTCAGCGAGTGGTCTTCGTTCACCAGACCGCTAAGGAATGGGTGCGTCGCAAAGACATATGGCTAAAGCTTCCGGGCTGCCAACCGGTTGCCAGCGTAGAGTATTATTTCAAGTGCCTCAGTGGGTGTGTAAGGCATATCAAAGCCTTTGAACTCAACCGGCCGGCCGTACTGGCCTGGCCAACCTGGCGATTTCGACCTGGTGCCTGGCTACTGATCGCAAACGCGCTGCGGTTCGCCGAGAAGGTCGATAAAGAGGTTTCTGACGTGGACAAATATGTGGATTTATTGGATGAGTTAGACAGCACATGCCAGCGGATATGGGTTGCGGCGCTACAGCACCACAAGCCGCTTCACGAGGATCCCGATTGGTACGATCACAGGCTACCCAGCATGTGCCGGAAACACTGGGCAGGCTACGAACCGATGGACGCCGGCAAGCCGCCTAAGCGAAAGGACCTCTTGTCGCTCGCCGTCCAAGCCAATCTGATACGGTACACCGCCACGAAGCTGAGCAGATTAGATCCGGAAGTCAGGAGAAAGAAGGCTCAAGACCTTCTGCCTTATGTTGTCAGTCCCAAGGCCGAAGGCTTCAGCGCCTGCGCCGGCCTCAGCGGAGAGTACTTGGATTTCCATCACGATATGCCGGATTCCCGTATTCTAGACGTCCTGTTCGACGCCGGAGCATCAGCACGAGACGACGACAAAGTGTGGACCAGGGCGCTAAAGACAGGACGGCACTACTTCTCGAGAGGAAGCGTGACGATGACGCATCTGCTGGAAACGTCGTCGAGCACGAGATTGATGGATAACCGAGAAAGATGGGTCACTGCCGTCAAGTCGCTACTTCAGCATGGCGCTGATCCGCACTCCGAGATCCAGGTCACGACCGGCAGCGGCGAAAGCCAGTCCACGACGACGGTAGCCGCCGTTGATCTGATACGGGAAACATTGGAAGGAGAGCCCGAGTACGCCATAGAGCTAGTCGAAATGGAGATATTGATGGGTAGGAGAGGGAGCGTGGGAATTGCCAGATGAGCTTTGACGATGACGTGTCACGAAGTGTTCCGAGTATATGAACCGGATGGGAAGAGTGGATGGCCGGTACCAGAAAAGCAACAGGAGGAGAGGTCAGAAGGTGACCAGGGAAAAAATTTACCCAAGTTAGGTAGCATGGACGGAGGGATATCATGGGTCTTTTTATTTGTTATATACCACAACTACGACATCCAACATTTGTTGCGGAGCATTTTTGAACTACGGAGATACCTATTCATTTTGATATAGTCATCTCTTACAGCTATATTACAATACCCATCTTCGTTGGATTTACCAAAAAGAGAGGGAGGATACGCATAGATATAATCCGGTAGCGGGTACTATAGTATAAAATTCATATTAAATGATCGATTGAAAGCCACAACATAGGTACCTATCTAAGAAGGCAATATGTGACTTCAAATGCTGAGCATTTTCACGTACTACCTTGGTTAGCCTTCTACTCGCCCACCTACGTATTCAGGTGTCTGGGGGGAAGAAAAAAAAGGAAATATGAAGACAATCATCAGGGCTCTCTTTGATCTGCATGACCCCTTAGAGGGTCGCTCAGGACGCATTTTACCAAGAACTAAGCCACGGTTATTGTCAGGAACTGGCAAAAACGCTGTGGCCTAGCTTGGGATTTGCGCTTTGGGGATTCGTCATTTGATTGCTAGAAGTGCGTACGACGGAATCTAAAGAAACACTTACAGGAAGGCTGTCGGGGGTGGGTTTCTCCCTACTCCGGCGGCACATGTGCTATTGAGTAGTAGTCAAGATAGGCAGCTTGAAACGCTGGATGTATTCATGTTGCCGTTGGTAGATATTTACGCTGGGCTATGAGTACCTTTTTTTTTTCTTTTTCATTCAACCTCAAGTTTACTTAGTCCTCTTCTTGGAAGATGTAGCTACCAGGCGTTTCTTGACATGTTTCGGCATTTTCTCTTTTCGCTTCTCGGCCTTCGCTTCCTTGACAGCATGCTTGTGTTGCTATATCGTGTCAGTATGTAAGTTATGCCATAGGAATGAGGTATGTGAACGTCTGGGTTTACGTCACCCAGTGTTGGAATATAACTCACCTTTTTCTCCTCCTTATCTTGGAATCGTTTCCCTCGAGGAGGTCCTTTTGAAAAGCTGCTCTCGTCGTCACTTCCACTATCGTGAGTGAGAGTTGCGCCAGCATCCGATTCGTCTCCTGAGCTTGCGTCTTCCGCATCCGGCTTTGTTACTACCTGGTCTGCAAGGAGATTTCGATAGACGAGTTTGTCTCCCTCTCCCTCACCAATTGCTTGAGCGTCTTTTTCAATATCATACACTTGCTCTAGGGTCTGGGGAATGTATTGATTTCGAAAGACCTCGTTGTCAACTTCTTGCTCGGCTGCTGTTTCGTTGTTGGAAGATGATAAACTATATGTATATAGCTGTTCGATTGCGGCCGATAGGCCCGGCTCTTCCACCGCACCTTGCGAGTTTGTGATAAAGTCGAATACAGTCCGATCAGATAAAGTGTCGACACCTTCCCTACGGAAGAAATCGCCCGTATTCTTAATATCCATGCGAAGGAATTCGAGCGATCGAGGATGATCATGCTCGACACTTTGCGAGACATCAATGATGTAAAGTTGTTTATCGTTGTACAGAATATTGTACTCGCTCAAATCTGCGTGTACTAGTTTGCATACTTGATATAACCGTCGCATGATACTTAAGAGTTGGATATACAACTGTCTCCAAACTTGATCGGCATCTTCATCCGTAATGTTCGCGTCGCGTAACCGCGGGTAAGCGTAGCCTTTCCTGTCTCCAAGGAAACCCATAACGAGCACGTGAAGTTTGAGCTGAATAGGTTCAGGACAAGGAATAGCAGCAGAATGGATCCTTCGCAAGTTGCGGAACTCCTTCTCTGCCCACAATTTCACCATCTTGCGGTTGTTGCCTTTTTCCGCGCCGGATTTAAATCGGTATTCGCCGGTGATGTACCTCTCTCTGTCTTTGAAGCTCAATATGGCTGTTTTGTAGACCTTAATAGCACGCTGGACCGGTGGGCCATCAGGATCGGGATAGGCGACGGCGCCGTATACATTGGCCTCCTTTCCAGTACTGATTGCGCCATGTATCTCGCTGACTACTTCGCGATTGATCATCTGATAGAGGATCATGCGGGTTCTCCGATCGAGGACTTGGTCACTTGTAGCCCTATCGGCCTTATCCTTCTCGCGATCCTGGCCCTCCTTGACATCGTCCAATCTTATCTTTCCTGCGTGTTTTGAGAGAGCAGCGATCTGATCATCTATGTTGGCTGCCGTGTTGGCGGCGGGCTTTTGCAGGCTGGTATTTAAAGGCCGTTGCCTATTGTAATTTCTTGCTATACCGGGTTCCCCATCTAAGTCAAGGTCGTCGTCAACATCGTCGTCTTGATTGAAGACGGAGTCTAAATCGCTATCTTCGGCTTCGTCTACATCTAAAGATTCGGGGGCAACAATGGATGGATCTCTGGGGGCTTCTTGGTTTGTTGATTCATTGTGACCGTTGCTGCTGGTCGGTAATTGAGGCGGTGCCGCAGACTCGTCGGTCGCCATGGCGTATCTTCACTAGGATGAGTTTTTAACTAGGCTGTAAATAGGCTCAAAGAGTGATTGGTTAAATGAGTAACAAGTGGGAAAAAATCGTAGACAATTCCAAGGTCGTGAATGTATTGGGGAGATGCTTTCGTGAAATGATATCACCCCACTAGAATATCTTTGTTAAGCTTATCTTATCGTAAAAATTTAGAGGTACGGTACGTACTACATACCTAATGAAGTTTAGGTAGGGCACGACCGCCCCATCTTTACGCCACATATGCCAGAGCCCGAGTCTCGACGTCACATGTGGCTGGTATACAGAACCCCTTTTCATTGGTGGGAATTAATTGCAAGAATCTCAACTCAAGGCGAACCAAGTTTAGGCAATAGATAAACGTTCCATTGCTACCTTACCTATCTACCTTGGTATCTATCTCCATACCTGCTAGGTACGCATCAAGCCGATACTTAAACAAGTTCAAGAATTCAACGTCACCGATTTTTGGGAGGTCTTATCAGCCCCGCTCACCAAGGTTACATGACCCTCCAAGCATCGTTCTGCCGGGGTAGCTTGAGAGCAAGATGATTCGCTCAATCTCTAAGATGGCGAGGACCAGGGAGTCAGATCTCTCTGCATGGCTATGTCGTAGATGGGAATCGTGGAAATATATTATATAATAGGTAACATGTCCGCCACTCTGAGGACATGGAAATATAATTCGACCTGCTCTATATCATGTCTCTGTTGGCTCTCAATCCGCGTTCCTAAAGATATAGTCGATGATACAATTTAACCGGTATAATGATGATTGGTCTATATTTTGCAAATTTAGCTATAATACTTCATGGTTTGTTCATACCACCTATATAACATTTGAAGTCGCCTTAGGGACTAATACTTGTCAAGCCGTTCTCGTGGCCTCAAGGATAGTGGGAATACCTGTCGTTCCCTTTACCACGTCTGATAGTGGAACTTACTCAATCAAATCCCTCAAATCAGTGGTGGTGGACTCAAAATATGCCGAAAGTCGTGATGAGGCTGGCGAGACTCTGATTCCGCCAACTTTACAAGATTTCGCCAAAACCTTCGTGGGCGACTTACAGAGCACATTGAACCTCAAGATTGATACCTCCCTTGCAGAGGAGCCTAGACCAGATTCCATCTTCCTCACATTGGGAGATCCTAGCAAGTACACAGATGTCAGCGGTGCTCAGACCTCTGAAGGCTATTCGCTCTCCGTCAACGCTTCAGGAATTGTCATATCTGGAGCTAGTCCTTTGGGCGTATGGTGGGGTACGCGGACTGTCTTACAACAAGCGATTCTCTCAAATGGATCTTTAGAATATGGAGAAGCAGATGATGCTCCGGGGTGGGGAATTCGAGGTATGATGCTCGACGCCGGTCGGCATTACTACCCTCCAGAGGTGTGTATATCTCAGCATATATCAGTTATTACAACATGAGATCCGATCGTGAGATCCGCCGACACTATCGTCCGGTCGACTGGCTCCTGCGATAAACACGGGCTGATCTAAATGAGCAACAGTTTATTATTGAATTGTGTTCTTATATGAGCTTTTTCAAACAGAACACCTTTCACTTACATCTCAGTGATAATCTGTACAACAATGTCGCCATTTACTCAAGGGAACGGTCTTTGGACTTATACGCTCGATTCCGCCTATGGTCTGATTCCAAGGATCTTGCTGGCTTGAACAAATATAAGAACGAGTCCTACACAAGGGAACAGTTTGAGGAGATCCAATCAACTTGCGCTTCCCGAGGAGTAACCATCATCCCGGAAATCGAAGCTCCAGGACACGCATTAGTCATAGTTCAATGGAAACCGGAGCTGGCACTTAGCAACGACTTGTCCTTGTTGAACATTTCACATCCCGAGACAATCCCTACGATGAAAACGATATGGAGTACTTTCCTTGACTGGTTTCATTCGAAAACCGTTCACATTGGCGCGGATGAATACACCGGCGACCCTAACGAGTACAATCGATTCGTCAATGAAATGGCTAGTTATATATGTGGAGAATCTGGAAAATCTACTCGCATCTGGGGCACTTTCCCACCTAAACCGGAGTATACTAATGTTTATGAAAACGTCTCGATACAGCACTGGGAGTTCTTCGAGGACGACCCTTATCACGACTACATCTTGAATAACTACTCCGTTTTAAATTCCGACGATACTTTTTACGTCGTTAATAAGTGGTCCGGAAGCTATCCGCAAGTTATCAACGTTGCCAGAACATTCAACGGAAATCCAGCTACGGGTGGAATCTGGCAACCTTACATCTTCGATGTAAACGTGGCTGCTAACAATCCGGAGAAATCCAACCCTCTGGTCCTCGGAGAAGTCGCAGCGTTGTGGAACGACTACGGCGCGAACGCAACCGTATACTCCGAAGCCTATTACGCTTGGAAAGACGGCATCCCAGCATTGGCCGACAAGCAATGGGGAGGGGACCTCTCAGAGCCGGAGTTCACCTCGGCGTTTTCGACTCTGCTCCCATTCGTACCAGCGCAGAACCTAGAACGCACGATCCCATCCGCCAGCTCGACAATCTTCAACTACAACTCTAGCTCTAGGGCCGACAAGCAATCCTTCACAGCCATAGGCCCGTGGAAGGAAACAGCCCTCCTCGACCAGTCCGGCAACGGCTACCACGCCTCGACCGACTGCGCCGTCACCTCGGCGTCCACCCTGAACATCAGCGCCCCTTGCTCGCTCAAAACCCCGCTCTCCTCCAAGGGCCGCGACTACACACTTTCGCTGCGCCTGCTCATCGCCGAGCTCGACGCGGGCAAAGACGCGACCCTCGTGTCCGGCACGGACTCCGCGCTCATGCTGACCCCGAACCTGACGCTGTTTGCGTCTGGCAACTACTACCGGCTGAACTCGACCGTGCCCGCCGGGTCCTGGGTCGACCTGAGCATCATCGGGCGCGGGAACCGCACCTTCGCCAGCGTGCAGGAGGTAGGCGGCACAACGGCGGCGGAGGAAGAGGAGTTCTTGGCTATCCTGGGCATCAACGGAGCTTCGTTCGTGTGGGCGCCCATCGCTGTCGAGGCCCCGATCGCGCAGGTCGGCGGCGAGAACTCGGGATGGGCGGGGCAGCTCGCGGCGATGAGTTTGAGTTCTGAGGCTTGATGGACGGAGTACTGTGGGATGTACCTAGTTCATGTACGTCGTATATAGTTTTAGCTATACAAAGCCTCCGTAGATGGATGTCTGGAGGTAATTAAGAGTATTCATCACATGTAGTACGAGTGTCAATTCCATGAGAAAAGAGAGCTTTACGGCGACCCTCAAGTAACGCTCGCGCGACTAGGTTCCATGTGGTTTTGGCTTTAGCTTACAGTAAATTTTTTTCCCGGCATCCCATCGAAATATGGCCCCCGAGAATAAGCTTATGGCTTCCTCGAGGCATGCTATGATTGATTTAATGTTGTTAGACCTAATGACTCATACCGAAAATTAACTCAGCTAGATCATCCACTCCCGTTACTGGGTTAACATCATCAATAGCACATAGTCTTCAAAGGTAGAATACCAAAAAGTAGGTGAATCTTCATTAGCACCCCTTAAATCATAAGCTCAACCGTACAGTAGTAGTAATAAATAATAGCACCAATTCCTCCCAAATGTCCCGTGGTATAACAACGCGACTCAACTGTAAACTCCTCTTCCGAAGACCATCATATACACACAAGCCCCGACCCCACCGTTGTCATGACTATCTAGGTGCTTGACCTTCGACGAATTCCAGGGCTTGCTCCCTGCTCACACAGTTGATGGTACTGAACTTATTTCTGAACAAGACACCGTAACATCTGTCGGCAACGTGAACAATTTCCGGTCGGAAGGTGGTGCAGATGAACTGCGTGCCAGCTTCGGATGAGATGGACTGGAGAAGTCCAGCGACGGCGGTTCTGTACTGGGCGTCCAAGTTGGCGTCGACCTCGTCAAAGATGACCATGGGACTAGACTCTGTCTGTTGCAAGGCAAAAATAAGACAGAGAGCGCACAGACCTAACCACATATTAGCATGAGGGTCGAAATTAAATTAAGGAGGCTGTTGAACTTACTCTTCTGACCACCAGAGAGTTGCTGAATACGTTGCTGCTCATCCGCGGTTTTGGAGTTGAAAGAAACACTGATACCGACACCTGTGTAGTTTTCTACGCTGGTGCGTTGCTCCTCGTCGGAATCATCCGGATCGATTCGTCGATCGGCCCTGCGTTGAATTACGAGGCGGCCATGGCCAGCAGGCACTAAGCGTTGGAAGATGGTGGCAAACTCCTTCGACACTTGCTTGAACGTTCGCTCAATCGCCTCGTCCTTACGTTGATCAAGGTGAGCAACTAGCTCCTCGATCGACGCCTGCGACTGATCGAGTTCCTTGCGGCGTTTGAGGAGCTGATCTTGCTGATTCGTGAAGCTGTTATATTGCTCAAAAGCCTTCTTGTTTACGTGCTTGTATTTCTTCAAGGCATCGTTGACTTTCTTAAGGCGTGAGATGACCTATGATATAAAATTAGTTGGTAATGAACATGCCCAGTCACTTCAGCTTGGACTTACCGTTTTATGCTCGAGCCTCTCATATTTCTCGAAAGCTTCTTCTGGCAAGACACCGAGATCACGGATATTCTTCGCCAATTCCGTTGCTTTTGCTGTTAACAGGGCCTTCTTTTGCCTGTTTTTATCTATTCTCTTCTCCTGCTTCTTGATCTCCCTTGCAATTTCTTGTTGCTGCGCCTCTCTCTCCGCTTTCTGTTTCTCTAGACTTGCGATCGTAGATTCAGCAGAGTCGATCTGTTTGTCATTTGACTGAATCTTGTTGTGAACAGAAGTTGCCGTTTCTTTGGCCTTCTTGAGCTCTCGTTTAGCTTCCTTTAAATTGCTGCTACCACTAGTAGCAGTCTCGAATGCTTGACTGGTGAGCTGATCAAGCTTGAGCTGGAGATTGGTTCGTAGATCTAACTCCAGCTTTCGCTTGCGATTTTCGAGCTCTCTCCGTTTGCTGCTAATTTCATTCCACTCCTTCTGCAGCTCTTGCACACTAGCACCCAGACTCTCCAGTTGCTTTTCCTCGTTCGCCGTCAAAACCTTCTTAAAGTCTGAAGCCAACTCGGCCTGATGTGCACTTAGGTTGTCCTGGAATTGCTTCATATTCCTTTCAACAATGTCTCGTCGCTTGATCGCGGCTTCGAGTCGATCCCTTTCACGACCGGCTTGGTTATTCTTAGCATTTAATTCTGCGCGGAGGGGTCCATAACCATCTTCCATCTGCCGAAGTCTTTGAGCTAATCTGCGCTCTTCGCCTAGCGCATTAGTGATCTCTTGGTCTTTTCGTTCTATTTGCCTTCGTATGTCGCCGGCCTGAGACTGCAATTTCTCATATTCTTCTCTCCACTTATTGACAGCTCGAACTGCTTCCAAGCGTGACTTTCGAGTGTCGATATACCCACCAGTCATCGCGCCACGTTTGTTAGAGGTATCTCCATCTGGAGTAACACCGTGTACGCCGTGGCTTCGCGCATATTGGCTAGCAATGGTAAGATTGGGGCAAATGATTGTGCTGCCGAAGACTTGTTGGAAAGCCTTCTCGTATTGCGGATTATACTGGAGTTTGCTAAGCAACGGTACTGCATCATTGGCTCTAGGGAGATTTGCATTTCGCGGTTTCAGCCTAGAGAGTGGCATGAATGTGATTCTTCCCCCGTAGTTTTTCTGAAGTGCGTTGGCTAGTTCGGTGGCAGTTCTATCGTCGTCGACCACGTAATGGAATAAGCTAGCGCCAGCAACCTGCTCTACGGGTAATCGGTATGCTTCGTTAACTTCTAAGAGCTCGGCTAATGTGCCGTATGCGCCGGGATAATTGCCTTCACGCTTTAATCGCTGTATGGTTGCTAGACCTCGCGAGGTGACTCGATCCATGGTGTGGGATAATTCTCGCTCGGAGTTGTCCAGCTCGCCTCGGGCATTTGCAATGATCGTCTCCAACTTGTCATCTTGTCGACGAAGAAGCTTTCTCTCCTCATTGAGCTTGTCAAGGACGTCTTTCGCGCTAGTGACTTCTTCGGCGATAGCTAGCCGGTTGTCGCCAAATCCTTCGTTTTTCTGTCGCAGGACCGCGATCTCGTCCTCGAGTTGTTGGATTCCTGCCTGGATAGACTTGACTTCTTCGTCAGCATCGAGGCGATTCGCTCTTTGCTGACTCAGCGTCACATTAAGATCATCTATCTCTTTTCTCAACCATGCATCACGCTCTCCTTTGCTCTTGAATTGACTTCCTCGGGTCTGCTTTGTGAAGAGACGTTGCCGACCAGCTTCTGCGGAGTCGAGAGCCTGCTTGATCTCTGCCTCCTTCCGCTTCGCTTTCTCGAAATCGGGGATCAACTTCTTAAGTTCGGCCTCTCTCTGTGCTATTGCAGTTTTTACCTCTTCTAACTCCGCATCATGCTGCTGTTTAGCTTGTTCTTGGGCCGACATGCCATCCGTAAGGTTCTTGACTGCTAATTCGGCATGTGCGATTGCCTTGGCGCTCTCTCGACGATCTTCATCGAGCTGTCGACGATCTATACGAAGGAGCTCCATTTGCTGCTGGAGTTTGTGAATCTCGGCGTCCAACGTAGCGATAACTTTCACACCTGCATTATAAGTCTCGCGATTCTCATCGGCATCTTCCATGCCGCCTTGCCGATTGTCTTCCAATTCTTCTAGAGCTTCTTGCGTGGCAACTTGGTCTTTGTGATAGTAGGCGTACTCCAAGCATCTACGCTCGCGATCCTTGTCTTGATAATCGCGTAGCTCTTCCTTCTCTTCTTCGAGTTCACTCAGACGCTCTTTGATGTAATCGAGTAGTTCGTCGATTTTCTCTCGTTTATTATTGGTTTCCGTCATGATCTTAAGCGACTCCGCGCGGCGAGATTCGTAGACTTGCGTACCGGCAACCTCCTTGAGCAAGTTCAATCGGTCTGACTCTTTCATATTGGTAAGGGCCGTAACGCGACCTTGCGGAACGATATAGTAAGGGTTCGATCTCGAGAATCCGGCTGCCTCCAAAAGGTTCGCGACGTCTGCCTTGGTGGAAACCTTCTTGTCGACCGAGTACTCGTCCTTCTTCAGACCAATTGTGCGCCTTAGAATAACCTCTTTATTTCCTGTCGGGAATCGGTCGTCGCTATTGTCAAAAATGACCTCAACGTACGCAGACATGACTGCCGAGCCCGAACCTTCGTGCAAAAGTGCCTGGCGTTCCTCTCGAGTCATTTGCGTATACGCATCACTCAGCACGAATCGTATCGCAGCGAAAAAGTTACTCTTTCCGGAACCGTTACGACCAACAATGACATTCGTACCCGGCGAAAAGGGCTCCATGACCGTTTGGTCTTTGTAGCTATTTGGATGTTAGTTTCGCAAAGCTGCAATTCTCAATGGGGTATTGCAGAGCCGTCGAGGGTATCGGCGCGTACCTCTTAAAGCCTTGGATAATAATCTGCTTGATATACATGGTCGCGGTAGGCGCTGCCGGTCGGGCAGCTCGTATTCAGGGTCAGAATCTTTGTCGCGCAAGAGTCATGTACTCGAAAATGAAACTTTGGGAATATCGCGATTGTGCGAAATAGGAAAGGTTCGTCAGACTTCGAAATTGTCACGTCACGTAACCTTGGAAATGTATTCCGACGCGTTTCGAGGCGCGATAAATTTGGGAGTGGGGGAAATCTTGCAAAACGGGCGAATCTACTGCTTAGCGTGCTTGCCTAGGTGGGTTAGTAATACCTAACCAGGCTAACCCAGCCGCAATCCGGGTCGTTCATCAACTGTAGATTGTGGCTTTGTGGCTTTGCAAGTCACATGGAGTTTGGTATCCAGAAGATATCCATGAAGGGGGTTGCGATCCTCAGCCTTACATACATCCCGTTTGAAGCCCTTCCTTCTTAATATATTACACTATGCATTATGCATTTACCTCCTTCCATATTGAAATGGCCTTCAATACGGCTTCTTCAACATACTACCTAATGTGCCAATGCTGCAGATTACACTAAAGTCTGAACGTGCTTGCTCTAGATTTCTAACCTTCAAATTTTGAAGACTATGCACGTGCCTACCTCGATAATGGTATATGTCTTCTGCGGACTAAGTAGGATGGAAGCCGCAGTGATATCCGAGTCACTAGTAGGTATGTAGGTATTCAAAGTCGATGAGTTAGATATGCATCTGATAAGTGGCTGCTCTTGAAGATTTACGATTGGGAGGCTTCGTGTACTTGAGACATATATAGAATCGTCTTTGATACTAGGTAGAATTTTACTTAGTTGAAGTGTATCATCAACTAGAGTTACCGATTTTGATCTTAATTTCCTAGAATTTACCGTATGCCTCGCAGTTTGATTGCATTCAAAATAAACCATAGCATACCTGGGTATATTAAAAGGCATCGTCCTTGCTCGAGTTATCCCTTGGATCCGGAGCCTTGTGCACGGGAGCATGCACAAATACCTAGGTACCCAGGCAGAGACTGAGAAAAGCTCCGATTAAAGGAACGTCCGTTTTATGGATAGAATTGACCACGTAGACGCTAATTTTGATTTCTTGATTGGATAGAAGCATGTCGCCTTTGATACATTCAGATTGAAGGTTTCATTACACCGCAAAGGTCTTGAGGCTGGTTAGATGGATATCGTGATGTGCGGATTACTAGCACCAAAATATCTAGGTTGATTTCCTTATTGGTGTTTTGATCGGCCCCCGTTGCTACCCCCCGGCTATTGAGTCGATCTTGCCAAGCTTGCGGCACAGAGACCGTAGGCTGCATAGGCTACCCAGGATCTGTGATGAACGAGAAGGATGTTGTTTTCTGATGATGGCTGCAAACAGAAAAGGAGAGAAATATCTTCGATGAATATGACCGCATGAAATATATGGTAGGCAACGGTAACAACAAGCATCCAGTCCTCAGGCTCGGATGTTTGAATGTTCGAATAGGAGTTTGGTGTTTGCAAGGGGCCAAAGAAACTCGTCATTCCAACAAGCCACCATATTTTCTTAGTGGTGGATCCTGGCGGCTTTAGCCTTTAGCGCTGTAGGCTGGTGACGCTAAGAAATGAAGCGAGAAAGCACGCACTCGGACACGACCTGCACGACGTACAAGGTACATGAGAAAAATGGTTGTAAAATAAGTAGATTGACCTACCTGCCTACCAGCTACTGCATAATAAACCTTGCTTCTCTGCCTAGCTTTTGCGGTAAGAAAGCCTTACCTGGTAGCTCATGCAATGTTAAATGCCGAGCCAAATGTTCATAAACGAATTCTCCGGGAAATAGGATGCTTCTAGATATCATGATGCTGTAATCCAAAACAATATCTGGTAGAGTTTCAAGTTCCTCCCAGGACAAAATGTTCAACGCGTAGACCTGAGCTTATTTAAGACCCTACAGGACCGACAGGCCTGACTCAAGCCATCGCAGCTGTCGTCAGTTGCAAAGTGATGGGTGGGCTACCCAATTAGGAATGGCGTGTATCTGACGGTGGGAGCTTAGGCCAACAAGAACCACCCAAGGCGGATCCCAACGTGTATAAAAGTATCCATAGGTACAGGAATATTAAGGAAGCCGGTGCCCTCATCTGCGACGACTTGCTGCTGCACATCCCGTCATATTATTTTTCTGACAGGCACGACAGACCCCGGCCCCCAAAAAGCTGCCAACCCGTTCAGCCCGCCAATCCCCAATCCTCCAACCTACGCCAACCTAAAAGCAATCAAAGGTCAATCAGGTTAATCAACCGCGACGCGCACGAACCACCATTAGAGAAAGTGTCAAAAAGAGCAGATAATCTGCAACCTGCAATCCACTCTTTTTTAACCACACGAAGACCTCTGATTTGAGAGTTTTCAACCATTTCCCCAGAGCCTCTTTTAGGTAACTATTCACTGCCGACTCTCCGGTTTCTCTACCTCCGGTACACCGTAAACGCCATCAAGTCCTACGACGCGGGATATTTTCTTGTTCGACTCTATTCTCAAGTCGACCATTCAACCGTTCAATGCTTAGTTTTTAATTCTACTGAGCTTTATTCAACCCGTTCGTCTATTTTCATTACCACGGAACTCATGAAAAAGAACTGTCGCATCGCAGATCGTTGGCATCGCGATATTACCTGCAGGGTATGTGCCTTTTCTTTTTTTTTGGTTCAATTATTCTATCTATTCATCTACAACATCAAGTTTGCTTTCGCGCCATCATTATACGCAACCTTGTACACGTCTCTGCTCGTGCATCCCTCTCACAGTTGAGTTGTGGTCTCTCACCGTGTCCCCAATATATATATTTGAACCGTTCCCACACCCTGCAACCTTTCATGATCACTGTCGCGGATGAGATGATCATGATATAACCTAGCTGTCTCCATCAAAATCAAAGTCGCCTTTAACCATCAAGTGCAAGTGCTTACTTGAATACGATGTTCTTGGGGAAGCGCATAAATGTCATTAGGAGACTTAGTCATCTAGGGAAGACTGGTGTCGTATTGGCTACAGGCTACACAGTAACATGGCTGGCCAATCACAATAGCCCTTTTGACTCATATGCGGCTTACAAGAGATGTGCGAGTTCAAGATCCGAAGTTCCACATTGAAGATCCCCCGTCTCAGCCAGCATTCGTTTACACCTAATGCGCTAGATATATATACAAAAGGTTATGCAATGCTAATACGGACTTATAGACCGCTATTATGAGCTGAACCCCTGCATGGTACTGGCCCCCGTAGCCTCGGTGTGACTTGCGAAGATGACGTCCAGGTAAGATTTTCGTACCCTCTCATGATATAAATCAAGAAATCCAAGCTGACACATGGATTGTATCATAGGCTCGATCGTCTCGTTACGTAAGTAACTATGAATTATTTCCTGCTCACTCATAGCCTCAGCCAAAGATAACTATGGTGGTTTTGATTCAATCTGCATCGGGTTGCTTCATGCGGTGCGATGTCTAACAACTAACTTTTCGATAGGATCCTTGAGACAGGAAGTACGAAGTTGATAAAGGATACTGCCGTCAACCAACTAGCAGACTGGCAAAAACAGCATCCCGAGGAATTATTTAACCTATTATCGAGAGTAGTTCCTTATCTCCGCCACAAAGATTGGGATACTCGAGCCACTGCAGCTAAGGCTCTTGGCAAGATCATTGAGAATGCTCCTTTCTATGATCCTAATGAGGACGAAGATCACACCACAGCAAAGAAAGAAGAGCCTAGTGGGGAAAATGGTTTCATAAAAAAGGAAGAAGACGACATTTCACCCGTATCCTCAGATGAGTACTTCAAGCCTGAGACATTAGATGTCTCGACAGTACTCAAATATGGTAGAGAACTGTTGAGAACAGGAAACGTAGATTATGGTCTTGCGAGTCTTGAGCCCCAAGCTCGACTTTCTCACCAAAAGAAAACCCTCACGGGTCGACTTGGATTACTAGGCAGACCCTTCGAAGATGAGGAAATACCGATCACGGCTGAGAAATCAGCCAGTCCTTTTACGCCACAAGATCCTAACCCCACAAATGGGCTAACTCGTCAAGACAGTATCGCTAGTATTCCGTCCGGTCAACCAGCTGAAGAGTCTGGTTTGAGTGCTCGGCAGCTGAACGTTCTGAAACGAAAACGAAAAAGAGATGCGCAAAAGGCAGCGCAAGGGAAGAGTGGGTTCGGTGACTTGTCTATACGCCGCACCTACACCGCAGGGTCGGATCTGCTCGATGACACCCCCATGCTGGACGCTGATTCAAAAAAGGGCGGGAAAGCGGATTATTTCAGTCTCGACCGGCCAGCTGACGTTGACGAGGACACCAAAGTTGTTTCCGAATTCAAAGGCCCTGCTGTTCCCATCAAGCCGGAAATCGAGACAGAGGATGAACTTGAGGGATCAGAATGGCCGTATGAACGTCTCTGCGAGTTCCTCAAAATCGACATATTTGATGCACAATGGGAGACACGTCATGGTGCTGCATTGGGTCTACGAGAGATCCTCCGCGTGCATGGCGCCGGAGCAGGTCGGTTACGAGGAAAGTCGAGGGCTGAAAACGATGCGCTTAACAGAAAATGGCTCGATGACATGGCCTGCCGGCTCTGTTGCGTTCTTATGCTAGACAGATTCACCGACTATGCTTCTGATACATCTGTTGCACCGATCCGAGAGACTGTCGGACAAACTTTAGGTTCCTTCCTAAAGCACGTACCGCCCCAGTCTGTTTACAACATCTACCGCATTTTATTGAGAATGGTGATGCAGCAGGACCTGGATCTAGACAGGCCTGTCTGGCCTGTTTGCCATGGTGGCATGGTGGGCTTACGGTACGTTGTTGCTGTACGGAAGGATTTACTACTACAACACAACGACATGATCGATGGCATAGTTGAAGCCGTTATGAAAGGCCTCAGTGACAACGATGACGACGTCCGATCCGTCAGCGCGGCAACATTAATTCCTATAGCCCAAGAATTCGTCACGCTCAAACCGATAGCACTCGACGAGATGATTAACATCGTATGGGAAAGTCTATCCAGTTTAGGCGACGATTTGAGTGCTAGCACTGGTAAGATTATGGATCTCCTAGCTACTCTTTGCAGCTTCCCGGCGGTCCTAGAGGCAATGAAGAATTCAGCAGAGCAAGATGAGGAGAGATCTTTCACTCTCTTAGTACCACGACTCTATCCATTTCTACGTCACACCATCACTTCAGTCCGTCTTGCTGTCTTGAAGGCCTTGATGACTTTTGTCAATCTTGGCGTAGAGTCTCAAGGCTGGCTCGATGGTAGGATTCTTCGACTGGCATTCCAAAACATACTTGTGGAACGTGACCAAGAGACCCTCAACATGTCTATAGAGCTATGGGCCGCTCTAGTCAGATGCTTGGCTAGGGACCCCGAGCACCTCGCGCGCGAATTTGCGCCTCATATCGATGCTCTTATGCAGCTTACTCTGCATCCTGTGGGTGTATCTCGACATCCTATACCTATGAATGGTACGCTCTTCCTCAAGCCCTCAGGGGGCACTTATTCCGTGCCTGGTTTCGCTCCTCCAGTTTCACGCAAGGGCTCCGAACCAGACGGAGAGCGCGCTACGAAGAGGCGAAAGAAATCGACCAAAATTGACGACCCGCTTCCCACAACTCACTCCCACGACCTCGATGGTCATATGATGCAGGGAGACGTGGATCTCGTTGGCATGGATACCCTTATTCGCTCTCGAGTATCAGCTGCCGCGGCGATGGGGTTGATTATGTCCTTTGTGCCTATCCAACATCTGGATTCTTTCGACGCCACGCTCGTGCCGGGACTTACATCGTCATATTCATCAACACAGCTCGCCGCGTGCATCGTGATCGATGAGTATGCTCGAAGCTCTGTTGCTTCTCAACCCAAGGCGCCAAGATATGCAACTGCGCTACAGAAGATCATAGATTTCGACCGACCTTTCCAATATCGCGATCTGGTTAGCTATGTGCAACGGGTACGATCGCAATGCCAACAACTCATGAATCTCTTTAGGGATCATGGAAAGGTGCCTCAACACAAGCTTCCAGCTCTTGCTGTCGTTGTGCAAGGCGAAGCAGAAGCAGGGCCAGGTGCTTTCTCTCTTTCCACAGCTGACAAGTGTGTTAACGACGATTTCGAACGACTAAAGAAGGCCATGGCACCAGCGCAACGCTTGATTGCCAGCCAGCAGCTCTCTGAAGTCCGAGCTACCACATTAACAGCGATCGAGGAAGCTAAAGCTGTCAAGGAGACGCGTGATGTTCGTATCAAGGCGGCAGCGGCATGTGCTTTAATAGCAATGAAAGTGCTACCGAAGAAGCCAAGTCCGCTAATCAAGGCTATCATGGATAGCATCAAACTCGAAGAAAATCAGCAGCTCCAGACCCGCTCCGCTGACACGATTGGTCGGTTGGTCCAACTATTCACAGAGAAAGGTCGTCGAGGTCCTGCAGACAAGGTTGTCTCCAATTTAGTCAAATTCTCTTGTGTCGAGGTAGCCGAAACTCCCGAGTTCCCAGTTCACGCAACGAAGACCAATGTCATACTATCGATGCAGAAAGAAGAAGACCGAGTTGACCATGGCTCTGATGCCGCTAAATTCGCTCGGGAAGCTAAGGGTGCTCGTATAACCCGAAGGGGAGCAAAAGAGGCTCTTGAAATTCTCTCCCGCACCTTCGGCGCAGACATATTTAACATAGTCCCAAGCCTGAGAACATTTATGGAAGATCCTCTAATCAAAGCTTTCTCGGGAGAATTGCCTGCCGAGGCGAAGGATCCTGAAAGCACATTCGGCCAGGAAATTGTAGACGCCATGTCAGTCATCCGGACCATGACGCCAACCTTGGATAAGTCACTCTATCCGTTTGTCATGCAACAGGTTCCGCTCATTATCAAATCGCTTCATTCCGAACTTTCTGTGTTCCGATACATGGCCGCGAAATGCCTGGCAACTATTTGCAGCGTCATTACTGTTGAGGGCATGACTGCGCTTGTAGAAAAGGTTCTACCTTCAATCAATAATCCCGTTGATTTACACTTCCGCCAGGGTGCAATAGAAGTCATCTACCACCTGATTGCTGTCATGGGCGACGGCATCTTACCTTACGTCATCTTCCTGATTGTACCCGTCCTAGGTCGCATGAGCGATTCGGACAACGACATTCGCCTAATCGCAACTACGTCTTTCGCTACGTTAGTTAAATTAGTGCCGCTTGAGGCCGGCATACCCGATCCTCCCGGTCTCTCGGAAGAGTTATTGAAAGGTAGGGACCGCGAAAGGACATTCATTGCCCAACTCCTTGATCCCAAGAAAGTCGAACCGTTCAAGATCCCAGTCGCAATCAATGCCGAGTTACGTTCATACCAACAAGAGGGTGTCAATTGGCTTCATTTTCTCAATAAGTATCACCTGCATGGTATTCTTTGCGACGATATGGGCCTCGGGAAAACTCTACAAACTCTCTGTATCGTCGCGAGCGATCACTACAACAGAGAAGAGGAGTTCAAGAGGACCGGCGCTCCAGATGTGCGGAAACTCCCGTCTCTTATTGTCTGTCCACCGACGCTTTCAGGCCACTGGCAGCAAGAGCTGAAGACCTTCGCGCCATTCTTGAGTGTCACTGCTTTCGTGGGACCTCCTGCAGAGCGAAGAGCGAAGGCCGTTCAGTTCGCATCAACTGACATCGTCATTACCTCCTACGAAGTCTGCCGTAACGATTCCGAGTATCTCGAGAAGCAGAGTTGGAATTACATCGTACTCGACGAAGGTCACTTGATCAAGAACCCCAAAGCAAAGATTACCCTTGCTGTCAAGAAGTTCGCGAGCAACCATCGTTTGATCCTAACTGGCACGCCAATTCAGAACAATGTCCTAGAGCTTTGGTCTCTCTTCGACTTCTTGATGCCTGGCTTCCTTGGGGCCGAAAAGGTGTTCTTAGATCGATTTGCAAAACCCATCGCTGCTAGTCGTTTCAGTAAGGCTTCGTCAAAGGAGCAAGAAGCCGGCGCATTAGCAATCGAGGCTTTACACAAGCAGGTCCTGCCATTCTTGCTTCGCCGCCTAAAAGAAGAAGTTCTTGACGACCTTCCCCCTAAGATCCTTCAGAACTACTACTGTGATCTTAGCGATCTACAGAGGAAGCTTTTCGAAGATTTTACCAAGAAGCAGGGTAAGAAGCTCACAGAAGAAGCGAGCAAGGAAGATAAAGAATCCAAGTCACACATCTTCCAAGCATTGCAATATATGCGGAAGCTTTGCAACTCTCCGGCGCTCGTCATGACGCCAAGCAACAGACTCTATGACGACACCCAGCGTTTCCTTGCCAAGCAGGGAACCAGTATAGAGGATCCGGTGCATGCCCCCAAGTTGACCGCTCTCAAAGACCTGTTAGTTGATTGTGGCATTGGAATTGAGGGTACTGATTCCAACGATCCCCTCTACCAACCTATCAAACCACACCGTGCCTTGATATTCTGTCAAATGAAAGAGATGCTTGACATGGTCCAAAATACAGTATTAAAGCGCATGTTACCCTCCGTTTCGTACCTGCGCCTCGACGGCTCGGTCGAGGCGAACAAAAGACAGGATATCGTGAACAAGTTCAACAAGGATCCTTCCTACGACTGTCTACTTCTCACTACTAGTGTTGGTGGGCTGGGTCTCAACCTTACGGGAGCAGATACTGTCATTTTTGTCGAGCATGACTGGAACCCTCAACGAGATTTACAAGCTATGGATCGTGCCCACCGAATCGGACAAAAGAAGGTCGTCAACGTGTACCGGCTGATCACGAGAGGTACTTTGGAGGAGAAGATCTTGAGGTATGGATAAACATCTACGTCGGCTCAACTATTGCTAACTTTTGAAACAGCCTTCAAGCATTTAAGATAGATGTTGCATCTACCGTAGTGAATCAACAGAATGCTGGCTTAGTAAGTTGCCGCCCCCCTACCGTGCTTAAAATGGCTATTAACTCACCTCTGAAGGGAACTATGGACACGGACCAAATACTCGATCTCTTTAGTCTAGGCGATTCGGGACCTAACTTGTTATCTGATAAACCTAAGAATACGGTTGAGGGACGTGAGGAGGATATGGTTGATGTCGAGACGGGAGATGTGAGAGCTCCAGGTAAAAAGGCATGGGCGGATGACTTAGGAGAGCTCTGGGATAACCGCCAATATGAGGAAAGCTTCGATTTAGACGGCTTCCTCAAGACGATGACATAACGAACGGGAGTCGAAGACAAATGGGCCATGATGAGGGTTAGCATCAAGGGTGGCCTTGGTATTTATGATATGCCTTTAGGCGAAGCCCCTAAGCCTTGTGCTGTGTATAATTGTATTATAAGGGGGTGAAGCCAACGAAACGATGCATCCATTTTCCTCCAGAGAGGAATTGGCTGAATATATTGACTTTTCTAAATGACCTTTTTTAACAATGTGACTCGAGCTAAAAATGGACATACAGCTCCTGATTATCTAAATACCCAAGTACCAACCTTCTATCACATAACAACATTGTGATAAGCTCAATCTTCGAGTGCAGTAGTATAGTAGCAAAAGAACATAGGTACGATCTACATTCGAAGGCAATGGACGTCCTTCAAAAGCTGGCTTAACGACGATATTAAAACTTAAAAGTCCTGTATTCAAGACACATGGCTTTATTATTCATTTCTGAGCACGTGGCATCTAAGCAATATCGGCCGCTTGTCGTGAAATACGTAACGTGACTGGCTACCAGGGACTAGTCGCAGCTACCTCGACACACTCACTTCTCCGTACGGAGTCCCGCTTATTTCGGCGCCGCATAACATCGGCCGGCACCGGTACTTCCTAAATAGGTAAAATATTCGGAGATGTGCATTCGGCTCAGCCGACCTTGCCGATGTCTTACGAAATTACTTCGCATTCCCTCGTATCGTAGATTGAGCTACCCCTATCTCATGCTTCATTCTAGATAATTGACTGCCAATTGATACCTTACACTTGGGATTCTACGGGACGATGGAGAATCTACGTAATACTCTGATTAGATCGAATAGCAACGTGTCTAACTCTAAACTTAACTCTAGATGTTTAGAGGCCCAGTTACATCGTCTACGGCGTAAACGGCGACCCTTATCCAGTCGAATCCCAGCCGCGTGTTCATATCCATCGAATAAATTTCCGCGACGTACAACCCGTCCTTTTCTCCGGCCTTCTTCTCCGCCTCTCTGTGCGCCGCGACCGCGTTGTTCACCCACCAAAAGTCGTCTAGCGGCGTGCGGATCTCTTCGCAAACTGCTGAGTGTTTTAGGAACAGCGCCCCAGCATGGTCGTTAGCGAGCCGTCTATCCGTAAACGTGGCAAGCGGCAGCCGTTGGAGCTCGAGATCGCCAGTCTGGTCGCCGACTACTTCGCTACACATTTGTATGTCACCTTCTACACTGTCTCCTTCATCTTCGTCTAGAGGCTGTCGGGGGGTCTCGCTCGTGCTACGGGTCATGAACTCGCATTCCACGATGAAATGCGGGAGCGCGGGCCGCTTGGCAGACCATTTCTTCGACCTCCGCTCCTTTTTAGTGAGGTTCCGTAGTTCTACGAGGTGCCTGTCTACCCAGAAGACGCGCTCCTCGCCAGTACTTAACTTGACCTCGGCCTTGAGGAGTTTGAGGGGCGTGTATTCAAAAATATTCCTACGGACTACGCCGGCGACGTCGCCTTCGAAGTTTTCATACTGTGTGAGTTCTAGGAGCTTTGCGTTGGCCTGTTCACGGTCCGTGAAGGACTTTGGGAATTGTGTGGCATGGTCGCGAATATCACCGTTCCGTGCAATGTTCTGTGCATTGTTTGCTATGTAGATGGGGTACTCGAATTTGTGATGTCCCACTATCGTGTTCCGCCGTAAACCTTCCGGCGTGTGCTCACCATCTGAAAGAAGCAAATTGTCTCGTCCGTCTTCAGCCTCCGCCTCCGCGTCAGTTGTTTCCGAAGGTGAATTTACTCTATTAGTTTCGTCAGTACCTGGGTGATCATATTGAGTTTGTATTTGTATCTTACGTTTCTTCGCGAGGCTAAAGTCAGGGCGCTGTCTTTTGTTGTTCTTGTTGTGTGAAGACATCTCTGCGGGATTGGCATCCTTGCTAATGCCAGCTGCCATGATCTCGAGCCATAGTTTGTCTGCCTTCTCGGAGATTTTCTTCTTGAGCGCATCGTCCTCGACCGACTCTACCACAGCACTGTGAAATGCCACATACTTGGCATTCTTCGCCAGTGTGTTAAAGCGGTCAATCATGTTCTTACGCGCTGTCTCTGGCTGTAATGAAGTTAGAAGATGGCCACCCAATTCCATTTCCATGCGATTTCTATTAAGTTCTCTTAGAGGACATACCTTAGCAGTCTCCTTATCAGTTGGCTTGTACTGAGCTAGACGAACATGTAAGTATAAGTGCAAATACAAATTTACGTCAAGGATAAGCTTTGAATAGGGGGATAGAGGAGGAGAACCACTTACGTTTCTTCTCCTTCTCCTTCTTAGACTCCTTTGACTTCTTAGCCTGTGAAATATAAGTGTTAGAAGACTTCTAACGGAGTTCCTTAATTTATCTCTATAAATAGGTACTAACCTTGGTCTTGGCTGGGGCTTTAGCATTCGCTTTGCCACCAGTTGCGTCGCCGTTGTTGTCTGAAGGGGGAGTGTCTTCTTCGCGGAAACGATCGGGCTCGGACTCGTAATCAACGTCATCGGACTCTTCATCCTTGTCACCTTGAGTGTTGCTACCGATGGCCTTATCATCGACCTTAGCTATATGTCTCTCAGGTAAGCGCATGTGCGATGAAATCAATTGCATAATAGGATTATGATATAGGAGACGCTTACACTTCTTAGTGGGTGATGCGCTATCACCAGGAGCTGAGACCGAAAGGTCTCGCTTCTTAGCCGAACTTGCTGGTGAATCCATGTTGAGGGGCGCGCGCTTCTTAAAATCGATTGGGGGTCTCTGTTGAATGATAGATACACTATTTCTGCCTTGTTCCAGTGAAGAGATACTCAAGGAAGAACGTTTGATTCTGAGGCGACTGAGACTGATGCTGGAATCATCGATCTGGTTTTGGGAGAAGTCAGAAATTTTTCTTGGTGGGGGGCAGCGTAAAACAAGGGCTTCAAGCGTAGCTTACCTCGTCCTCCGCTGTTTTTTTAGTTTGCGGCTGAGCTTCTGCAGACGCGGCTTGTCCTGTTGTCTCTTGTAATGGGGGGCATGGGCCGCCCTTGTTCTGTCTCTGGACCGTCTCGGACCCGTCCTCGGTATGCCGGTCTCCACTTTTCCCGTTACCATGGCTAACCTCATTGCCGGGGCCACGGCTGATGCGCAGAGAGTGAGCGCTACTGGATCCAGGGCTCTCTTCAAGATTACTGTCTTCTTCATAGATGAGTCGAGCATGTCCTCGGCTAAGCGAATCTGGAGGATTGTTGCCTCGGCGGCGTCTGGCTTCTTTCTCCATTTCTTCCTCGTCTGAAGCGCGATGTTGCCCCGCTGCGTTCTCCATTGTGTTTTCCTGGTTAGGTCATAGTCGGGGCGATCATGACCATACAACTAAGGAAATAAACGTCTCAAAAAAAGATACCTGTACCTAGTCTATCTGAGTAGAGATAAGACTTTGTGTTCTATCGTATGTTGGTATGTAGGATATGAAGGTCTGATTGTCCCCGAGAAGCTAAGAGACGGCTCAGAAGGAGGAATGATATGAGGTGTGAAGGATTGTAAAGTATTTAGACCTCGGATTGAAGATCCAACCGACCAATGGGTGATGTGTGGTAGGTACAAGAGGGGCGGTAGATGTGATGGTAGAAAATAAGGTGAAAGGGGACTCGATTAAACTAAAGTTTGCGATGAAGCGCGAGGATCACTGGCGTTTGACCTAAGGGAAAACTTGTAGGTCAAAGTTATCTAAGGAATGGAAGAATTTGCGTAGGAACCTGAGAGAAGTGGTAGAATGGGTTGAATCTAGGTTGATCCGTGTAGAGATAGGTTGAACGGATGGTAGAAAGAATGGACCATGAGATAAATTCTTGATGGAGGTGAAATTGAAATGAACTCGCACACATCTAGTAAAGTCATAGGCTATCTACTTAGTAGGTAAGACAAGAGAAGTACCGAGTCTTCTATGCTAATACCAGGGCAACTTCCATCCGTGGATACTTTCTAACGACCTATTATAGCTGGGACACCCGGTATTGGATGTTGTTTCCTTGGTGAAACTATCGTCAATGGCATCTCTGAAGACGTAGCTGATCATAGTATCCAACGGTGGGAAGGAACTAAAAGGTTTATTAATTTGAAGAGTACCCTTGGGTATATTGAATTCCGTTGAAAACCCCTTTGAAACATTGGACGACGATGAACATATCAAGGAGGGCGCCGAAATAAGGTGTAAGTTGTGACTACCTACACAGGGGTACCTACCTAGGTATCGGTTAATTATATGGAAGGTATAAGAGGCGTCGACATGATCTTAAGTGAAAAGAGTTAGGGAGAGATACGGATAGGAATAAGACTGCTTTCCTACGTTTTTTAATGAGCATACAAATCACAGGAAACTTCATATGATACATAAGGATTAATCAATTCTAAAGGAAGGCGAGAATGTAGACAAGAAACCATAGAGATGGCTTGCTACGATGAAAGGAATGGTGAAAAGAATGATTACGGAATAATGTACCTCGAAAGCCTTATGGTGGGCATATCAAAGAGCGAAATAATCAGGTCTACAAGGGAGAAAACATTTAGTTCACGAAAGTTAAATAGGCACGTTCATGTGGTATTATTCATCTGTATTCATGGGTATCTATGATCATGAGACTAATTGAGAAAGGACACCATTAATGAGATGTCTTCAATAAGCCGAATTAGCATTCGATCATTTGGGTTTGGGCCTTGCCTTGAATGATTTCAAGGGGTCATTCCTACGGCCACCTATCCTCCTGCCCCTGCCTTTAGAAATCCTGCCTTTTCTGCCCTTTCCGTCAAGTACCTTCTTGAAAGGTACAAATCCAACCTCATTTGGAGTGATTGCTTTTTTCCCATCCTTGGGCAACAGATAATCAGGTACGTGTTTCAAATGAGGCTGACTTCGCGTTGTTCGAAGTTCAACGTCATGCCGAAGGTGGCGGACTTCCAGGGGGTTCTCCTCAAAGTGTCGCTTTAGGCTTTCGCTCTTGAGTAACTCTTGTTTGAGTTCTCGTAGTCTTGCTTCGCGAACAGCAACCTTCGTAACAGCTCTCAGAGCGTCATTCAATCGATAACGGAAAGCCTCAACTGCCTTCATATCAAAATTATACGGTTTGACTTCACGGCCTTTCTTTTCTTGCTGCTTAATAATCTTAGATAACACCTTCTCGTCATTCTCCGCTGTGTCGATACTGGTAGGCATGTGTTTCCGAAACTTTTCTTTCGGAACGACAAAAGACAGAGCCATGCCCGTCTGCCCAGCGCGTGCGGTCCGTCCAATCCTGTGCAGGTAAGAGCGAGACGACAGTGGGAGGTCAAAGTTTATGACTATTGCGACATTTTGGAAGTCGATCCCTCGAGATACACCGTAATTCTTGTCGCGTCGTGAAGACTTGCGCTTTTTCGCCGATGAAGCAACGACCGGGGGTTGATCATTATTGACTGGCGCTCCGCTGCTGGCATTGCCACGACTGCTATCCGCAATATCTTCATTGGCCGCGTCGGATTGACCTTTCTCATTGCCTATCACCTCGTTCTCATCAGAGGCGATGATAATGTTGTAAACACCTCTGTTAAACTCTTCCACTGCATGAATCCGACAATTGACGGGTAATTCGGAATTCAAAAGACAGCTTCGTATTCCGAATTGTTCGAAAAACAATTTCAATCGGTAGCATCGATCGACATCGCTAACAAATATAATTGCCTTTCCTTTGATCAACTCTAGCTTTATCATGCAATAAATGAGAAGAAATTTCTCGTCCTCGCCGCACCTGTACATTCATTAGTTGTATGACCATATATGTGAGTTATTCGATCATACTTGACAATGTATTGCGAAACTCCTCCTCCATCCTCGTCGGGCTCCTCCAAATCTAGGATAGTAGGGTTTCGACAGAAGAGCCCCTTCAGAGTGTCAACTTCGGGGGTCAACGTTGCGCTCATAAGAGTCGTTTGTAAGCCCTTTGGTAGTGACGAGGCGACATTTTGCAAATCTTCATCATAGCCGTATGACAAGACAAGGTCTGCTTCGTCCAAAACAAGGTGAGTTAGTCTTTCCAAGGATAAGGCGGAATTCTTGATATTGTGCCATGCTCTCGAGGGGGTTGCGACTACAACATCGGGCGAATCCGAGAGGACGGCGCGCTGGGCAGCATCAGAGAGCTTATCGGACAATTTGGAGACTTTGATTTCCCTCGAACAAAAAGATGTGAGGGACTCGAGCACTTTGGCGACCTGAGTCACTAGCTCATTAGTTGGGACTAGAATTAGGGCGGCGGTGTAAGAGTCTGAAGACGTCTAATTCAAGGTTAGCCTTCTGCTCGCTGCACAATGTGACTTCAAGTGTAAGGTAGGTTCACACCTGTTTTCGTTTAAGAATGGCCTGGAGAAGAGGTAGAATGTATGCGGCAGTCTTCCCCGAGCCAGTTTTTGCCTTTGCTAATACATCGCAGCCTTCAATGGCTAGCGGTATAGCCTTGCTCTGAACCAAAGTCGGCGTGTGCCAACCCTGGTGGGCTGTGGCTTGGAGAAGTCTACTGTCGAGACCGAGGTCTGCGAATGTGTTTATAGAAGGGGTTTCTTCGATGGTGGGTGCCTCTATTTTTGCGATTGAGACCGGCTCGTCGTTCTCGTTTAGCTTGCGCTTCATGATGTAGGAATTGCGAAGACGTTGGACTTGAAGATTTGGCGATGATCGCTCACTCGTTGCTAGATCTTCCTGATCTTCTAAGTGGGCTTCGCAAGTTCAATGTTCCATGGTTGGAAAAATAAGTTGTTATCTTATCGCTTATCGTTCGGATTCTGGAATAACTATTTTACCTGGAATACAACATACTAACCGTATATGTACCTATCGGATCTTGAGGCTATGCATATAATGGGCTATATGTACTTAGCACTATTATTGCTTACATACAAGCGACATATTCTATTACGACTCTGCGACTTGTAACCTGCAAGTAACAAGCATTTCATCTCTATCGACATTCGGCAGTTGAAATTGGCGCATCCAACCCCCACAGTCGATTCGAGGATTTCAAGTCAACCGAGATGGTCTTGGTAATCTTGGCTTTGGCAGGCTGTTAGCTCGATCAATTGGTCAGCATCGCGGGCGCCGCACCAACAAAGGCCAAGACGTTTTGGCCAAGAATACCCCTACAAACCTCTACTCTCATAACTGGTGCGACGATCTCTCTCGCCTCCTAAGCTCCTCTCCTCTTCTGTGGCACCTTATCTCTACCGTGTTTGTTAGTGAAGCCTAGCCTCAGCATCTATCTATCTCTTTAATGGTCTAGTTTCCCTACGAGGTTACAGAGCAAATTGCCATTCGATTATCAAGAGTTTCATCAACCTTGCTAGATGGATAAAACGATCCACGACGTGACGCCTTGCGCTTTGTAGTAAGGTTGATGTGATGGCTATCTACAATCCAGTCGTCGCTATCAGTCTTGTTGAGTCCCAACTCAGTGCGAATGTGCCCGAGCGTTATAAGAGCCACTGCAATTTCGGAGACCTTTTACCATATCTCGGAGCGGGCTAGACAGCATGAGCTAGGATCCAGTCCGCATGTGGAGGTTCAAGGTCTTTGGCCTACTCGTTAGAGAAAATACGCTTGAGTGTGCTCGTCACTACTAGGGATTGAACCTTGTCTTTCGTGGGGAGTAGTGTAGTCGCAGAGAGAGGCCTGAGAAAGATTCCGAGAGACTTGGCTCATTCACCGTTCGCTTGAAGCGTCCTCATCTTTTGACTATCCTACCTATGGTGATACTAGGTATGCGCTTGGTATTGTCAATCACTTTCGCAATTGAGGTCGAGAAAGACAGCCCAGAACTCATCGCACGAATCCGAAGTAATCGTTGTAAACGCCAAGTACTAACTATTAATAGCATATTGGGTTTGTTGTTTCTGTCTTGTCTTAGCTATTTCTAGATGCGATGATCGCTGATAATATTCCTCTTGGCATTCACATTTTCTCCGGAGACGAGACGAGCGGTTCGAGATTGAAGTTATCTTTGGGGAAATCCCCGGACGGCTTGGCTTAGATTGTTTCTGTTTCAATACTCTTGTTTGTTTCTTCGGCGCAGGGGTATTTGACGAGAATAATAGGTCACGTGCCACGGCTCCCGAGTCCAACAAGCGGCGGTTTCATGTGTGATCGGTGCTGAAACCTCGCCTGGGACTACGTACGCTTCCATGATAACCCCGGACCCCGTGTATTAGATCGATCGTAGTCAACAAGCTACGCCTTGAGGCATTTTCACAACCGCGGTCTTTGGGAGTTATCTTGGCTAAATACCACCGTTGAAGCACCTCGAAGTAGCCGCAACGGTCCACTCGAAACTGATCGACATATTATCACGGGCCTTTTTGTCAGACAGTCAGAGAGACCCTTACCACTAATACAACATTTCCCTGAGTTGTGATTGGTCAGGCCATCCAATTTCAAGGCTTCTGTGTGGATGAAGGTCTTAGTAGCTACTTTGACGACGAGCTTCAAATTGCCGCCCTGAACTAAAAGAGGCAGCCTCGTTATTTGCCTAGCTTGCTTGTGGAGTGTTTTCCCTTGTAACTTGGCTTCGTCCAGGGTCCTTCAGAGCAACTAGCCAAGAGTTTCGCGATGGGTGGCATCGTGTATTCGCTTGTCTCGCCGGTAGGTGTTTTGTATAAGTAGGGACGATGTCCTCTATCCTTCAGAGTTGAGGTTTGTGCTATCCTGCTACTTCCGCCATCACTTCACCCTCCTCCCTCGGCTTCCGCGCATCTCTTTCCTTACGTCTCTTCTCTTTTCTTTTCTTCATACAGCTGGGCTGTAATCCCGGGTCATAATGGCACCCAATTTTAGAAAAATTAAGGCTTTTGGCGGTCATAAGAGGGGCGCTGCGCCGCCTGGTTATATCGACACCACAATTGAAGAGACGTCTGATCATGACCTAGAAGCAGGAAGTTTCTTGACAGAGAACACAAGGAATAATACCGTCGACAGTAACAGCCAGGGTGACAACCCGTACTTGGACGAATATAGAGCGTAAGTTTACCGAGAGACAAACACTAAGTAACGACTAACTTGCGCTCCAGCTTGGTTCGTTATGTCGACACGTATAGAGATTCAAACGCGGAAGTGGGGGAGGAGGACTTCTCGCAAGAGGATCAACGAAGGCCCTGGTGGGCATTCTGGAAAGGTGGCAAAGCTGGCTACGCTCGTGCATCTCTAAGCGAATTCGAGACGCCGAGTGACTGGCTAAACACAGATATCAGAGAGGGTCTCTCATCAATGGAAGTTGAACGGAGACGGAAGTTCTCTGGATGGAACGAGCTTTCAACCGAGAAGGAGAACATGTTCCTCAAATTTGTTGGCTTTTTCCGTGGCCCTGTTCTCTACGGTTCGTCCCTCGTAATACACATATCACATCTACTCGCATTCTAACGTAACTATTAGTCATGGAAGTTGCCGTCATTATTGCTCTGGGCATGCAGGATTGGCTAGATGCTGGCATCATTATTGGTATCTTGATGCTTAATGCTGTCGTCGGCTGGTACCAAGAAAAGCAGGCCGCCGACGTCGTTGCTAGCTTGAAGGGAGACATTGCTATGAAGGCTCGTGTTGTTCGAGATGGGCATGAAACGGAAATCAAAGCCCGAGAGCTTGTACCAGGCGACATCGTGAGTTCTATTCTATAAACCCTTTATATGTCTCAACTAGATACTAATATTCACAGATTATCATCGAGGAAGGTCATGTTGTTGCGGGTGATGCTCGTCGCATCTGCGAGTATGATAATCCTCACGGACAAGCGCAGTATCAGGCGGAACTTACAGCCCAAGATGTCACGTCACCGCGCCAGGAGAAATTCGAGGAGGGAGACGACGAGGGAACTCCTCACATAGGCCATGCGATCGTTGCTATCGACCAGAGTGCCATCACTGGCGAATCTCTTGCGGTTGATAAGTATATGACCGACACTGTTTACTATACAACTGGCTGCAAACGTGGCAAGGCCTACGGCGTGGTTACTTCTGGTGCACAAGCTTCTTTTGTGGGCAAGACGGCTAGTCTCGTTCAAGGAGCTAAGGACTCGGGTCATTTCAAGGCGATCATGGACTCGATTGGTACTACTCTCTTGGTCCTCGTCGTTTTCTGGATTCTTACTGCCTGGATTGGCGGTTTCTATCGCAACCTTCACATCGTTCTCCCGGAGGAAAGTTCGAACAACCTGCTGACTTACGCACTGATTCTCCTGATCATTGGTGTACCTGTTGGGCTTCCTGTCGTCACAACCACTACTTTGGCTGTTGGTGCCGCATACCTTGCTAAAGAAAAGGCTATTGTGCAGAAGCTAACTGCCATCGAGTCGCTTGCCGGAGTTGATATCCTTTGCTCTGACAAGACCGGTACTCTTACAGCTAATCAACTTTCTGTACGCGAGCCTTTTGTTATGGAAGGTGTGGATATCAACTGGATGATGGCTGTTGCAGCTCTAGCCTCATCGCACAACATCAAGGCTCTCGATCCAATTGACAAAATCACTATCCTTACCCTTAAGCGATATCCTAAGGCCAAGGAGATGATTAGCGAGGGCTGGAAAACCGAGAAATTTACCCCCTTTGATCCCGTTTCTAAACGTATCACTGCTGTGTGCACTCACCAAGGTGTGCGTTACACTTGCGCAAAGGGTGCTCCCAAAGCTGTCTTAGCTCTGACGGATTGCAACGAACAACAAGCTGCCCTGTTCAGGGAGAAGGCTACAGAGTTTGCGCGCCGTGGCTTCCGTTCCCTTGCTGTCGCTGTTCAAGAGGAAGATGGCCCTTGGGAGATGCTTGGGATGATTTCTCTCTTCGACCCCCCGCGCTCCGACACAGCTCAAACTATCGCCGAAGCGCAGGCCCTAGGTCTCTCCGTTAAGATGTTGACCGGTGACGCTATTGCCATTGCGAAAGAAACTTGCCGGATGTTAGCCCTGGGAACCAAGGTATACAACTCTGATAAGCTGCTTCATAGCGGTATGGCTGGTACTGCTATCCACGACCTCTGCGAAAGGGCGGACGGGTTTGCTGAGGTGTTCCCTGAGCACAAGTACCAGGTAGTCGAGATGCTCCAACAACGTGGTCACCTGACAGCAATGACTGGTGATGGCGTTAATGATGCGCCGTCGCTGAAGAAATCCGACTGTGGTATCGCGGTTGAGGGTGCAACCGAGGCCGCCCAGGCAGCGGCCGACATCGTTTTCTTGGCACCAGGTCTCAGTACCATCGTTTCAGCTATCAAGATTTCTCGCCAAATTTTCCAACGCATGAAAGCTTATATCCAATACCGTATTGCGCTTTGCCTGCATCTTGAGATCTACCTAGTCACTTCTATGATCATCATCAACGAGACAATCCGCGCGGATCTGATCGTGTTCCTGGCTCTGTTCGCCGATTTGGCCACCATCGCCGTTGCTTACGATACTGCGCATTATGAGAAGCGACCTGTAGAATGGCAGCTCCCCAAAATCTGGATCATCAGCATTGTCCTTGGTGCATTGCTCGCCCTCGGAACTTGGATCCTTCGTGGTACACTTTGGCTTCCGGGTGGTGGTGTTGTTCAGGACTACGGCAGCATCCAGGAGATCATTTTCCTACAGGTCTCACTGACTGAGAATTGGCTCATCTTTGTTACGCGCGGTTTCGAGACGACACCTTCATGGCAGCTTGTCAGCGCTATTTTTGGTGTTGATATCCTCGCATCCCTCTTTGCCGGTTTCGGTTGGTTCTCTGGTGGAGTGGGCGAGCCGTCGAGTCCAGCGTCGATTTCGTCCAAGCTATCGCAGAATGGCGCCACCGACATCTTGACTATCGTTGTTGTCTGGGTGTACTCAATTGCCTGCGTCATCGTCATCGCCATCATCTACCAGATGCTAACTCGGATGAAGAGCCTCAACGACCTTGGTCGGAAGAAGAGATCGGCCCAGGACACGATGATGGAGAACATCCTCACGCACCTGAGCAAGGTCGCGCTAGAACACGAGCGCGACGAGAAGGGCGGCGACCGCTTTTACATCGCTCAGAAGCAGGTTGTGGAGGAAGAGGAATGAATGGCACATGCTAATACATAAGGGTGTCTTGGGGGTACAAAATGAGGGTTTACGTTACATGTTCAGCGATACTTGTGCTTTTGTAATATCTATGCATCTGATACCAATCTAGCCGGTCTTTACGGAAGATAAATACAAATCGGCTTCCTTTGTTCAACGTTACGTCTCTTTCCTGCTTCGTCTCAACTGCGACTAGTTGTGTTTACCCATTAGAACTTATCGTATACTTACCTGCCTATACGTCCCTGATCTACCTAGTACATACTATGGTATAGCATACTGGGCGTAGAGGAGCACATAAATAATCTTGATACTGTACAGTAAGCCCGTATGATCTTCATAAGCCATCATATTCAGCTGAGATCTATACCGTGTGGTGTGTCTAGGTAGTATACACCCGAATAGTAGTTGCTATTAGGTAGTATGTACTGTATAACTTTACGTGCACAAGTGACCTGTGCGACTATGTACGTAGCCTTAGAGATATTGAATTCGATATCACCTTTCCAATCAAAGATAAAAAAAACAAATTTACTTATTAGCAACTTGCAGTTGCCTAGGAAAACTCAAAGACTGTTGCTATGCAGCTGCCGTGATGTGATTCTTCCTCTAATCGGACTCTCGTGCTTCAATTGAAAGTTTATTGCATGACAGTAAGCAGGTACCCCGGTACCTAATTCAAACTTGAGACAAAAAAGAAATCTCGGGTCGCTAGTTGGATCGTGCACGATTGGGTTGACCGGGCAACAGCGAGGCGGAAAGGTGAAGAAGCAAGTGCGGGTGGGTACCTGAGCTGCACCTGGACTGTACTACATCGTACCCTAAACTGTACCTGAACTTAGTGGATTTAGTAGGGTTAATGCCGGGGACTTGCTCGTTTGGTGGGGGATTGGTGTTGACCTATTATCGTCCCCCACTCCTCTCCCTCTCCCCACTATCCATGTCTGTTTACATCTGCCATCATCCAAATAACCTCCTTGCAACCTGCAATCAACCACCGTTATCGTCACCACCTTTGTTCACTTCTCAACATTTCCTTCTTGCAGAGAAAATAACAACTGTTACTGCTGTTGACTGGCGACGATACTGAATCATTTGGTATCTATTCTGCTTAACATTCGAATTCTTACGCTTTTTATCACCGTGGCAGTTGTCTCACTTGGCTTTCCTAGGCCGAGAGTAAACATTGCTGTCTTGATCGACCAATCCCGTCCGTCACTCGATCAACCCTTTTTATTTGCCCAAAAACACGTCTTGAATTCCATCTTCCTCCCGTGCATTGCAGTAGGTCGCATATCGCATTCTGCACTCTGCACTCTGCACCGTTCTGCCTCGCGCCACCGCCACGAATAGCTAGACATATCGTCTGCGCATCCTTTTTTTGTGTTTATTTTCTCCTTCGGGAGACATGAACCTGCAATAATCAGAAGGCACTTTGCATGTTTACATCTGCCACTATGGCTTCTGATGAGCAGCCGGTAAGGTCTACGACAGATATAGTAATAGTTTCGAGGAATTAATGAGATTCCATCCGCAGATAACGCAACCTCTGCGTATTTCTAAGAACAGCACGCCCATTTCATCCCCAATTAAGAGTAACATTCCTCGTCCGTTGTCTGAGATTTCAGCTACTGAGCAACGACGAAACTCGCCAAGCTGGAACCCATCTCCCAAGATCATTCAGGTAATTCTAAACCCCAATTGACCCATTTGACTCACATCATCTTTTGCTAACTCCCGTGGCGCAGAAAATGGGTCTGAACACCGATTCATCGCCATTCCAGTCCTCTCCTCTGGACGGCACCACTTCCCCACGCCTATTTTGGCAGAACCGTAATGGTAATCGCACCGAGAACGAATTGTATGGTGGTCGTACTGGCTCTCCATCGCCGACTAGGCGCTCCTCCATTGAGCGCTTACAAAAAGCGTCACGCGTCAAGAACAGTACCATGTTCGCTAGAGAACAGAAGCAGGAGTATGATCCGACACGTGTACCAACAATCGAGCGACCTCTCTCTAAGGTACAAGGCAATGCTTATGGTGGTACTGGTGTTTCTCCTTTTCGAGCAAGCCATGGCCGCTCCGAAAGCCAAACCAGTATTCCTATCTATTCCCCTACCAAGGATCGACCAGTCCTAGCTCCTGCTGCCCAAACACCGAGCAGAGACCAAGTGTCTCCTATCAAGTCCTCTATGTCTGCGAATCGCTTTAAGAGTAGTCAAGATTCCCAAGACGACGTCTTTACGGACCTTTCATCCGAGGAACACGTACTCCCAAGTGGTAAATTCCTTCATCGTCATGCTAAGTCTGTTACATTCGACGCTGCGCCGCCTCAGGTCAACGAGTACGAGATGGCCACTCCCGACCTGTCTTCCATTGGTACAAACTCTCGCGAAGGCAGCTTTGAAGACGACGAGGATGATGAAGATTATGTCTATGGACATTACGCCGGGGAAGATGGGGAGGGTGCGGAAGACAGTTTTGATGCGACCCTTGAAGACACGGATAAGACTCCAGTTGTAGGGCCTGATGACTGGCGACAAGATCGTGACACGCGGTTCGATAGTAGTCCAATGCCTGAAGGGGGTCTACAGGCTGCTGCTGCTATCCACCCACAGCACTCTCGTACCGATTCTTCTACCTCCAGTAATGACCACCGACCATTACCCCCTCTCCCCGGAATGGGCCATGCTCGATCTCAGTCCGCGTCTTCTAATGGACTGTCCGCTACGGCAGAACGTATGCTAGGCTCTCCTCGAAGTCTTCCTTCGCCGCCTCCAGCTTCAGTAAGCAAGTCGGAGATTCACAACATCGGCAATGGTAGCATGTCTTTGGAGGAACGTCTGAAGCTAATGATGCTTTCGGATGAGACAAGCCCCAAAGCGGCTGACAGCTCTGCAAAGACCTTCGCAGAACAACAACGGGAGCGTCGGATGCGGCGAGCTGGTGCTCGCGATAGAGTCATGAGCCCTACTCCGGAGCGCGAGGACACTGAAGTCGCGGCCAATGAAGAAGATGAGACCGTTGGCGACATATCGGGACTTGACATTGATTTTCAACTTCCCAGCATCTCTCGTCAATCTATCCTGCGACGTGTTAATGGCAACCGGGCGCTTGAACGAGACTCTGACTTCGTCTTCAATAGCTCGGTAGGCCCAGACACGAGTCTGGCGCGCGGTACTCCTTATGACCCTGATGTCCCTATCGCTAGTATCGAGGACTCGGTTCTTGACGATATCGCGGAGCAAAATGAAGACAGTGTTATCATCCACGAGAGCGAGGATGACAAGGCTGACGTCTATGATCTTTATCAGAGATCCGAGGACGAAGATTCCGGGTCGCAGAAAGATGGCCACGATGATGACACAGATAGTCATTACTCGGATGAAGCCAAGAACCCTCAATCTGACGACACACAACCTGAAGAGTCGGTTACGACTCCTCGAGCAGCGAGTCCTACAGCTGAAGAAGCTATCACAAATTTTAGTGCCACTCTTCCCCAAGTGAACTGTCCGTCTAAGGACGCGGAATTTACTCGAAGTCTGCAGTCCCACATGCTTCCCAAGGCTAGGGATTCGGGCGCACTCACCTACTCAGAGAGTCATAAGATGTCCGACGCGCAAGCTTACTTGCAGCGCCCGTACACTCCAGAAAAGGCGATGAAGAAGAAGAAGAAGCCTTTGTCGAAGCCAGAGTATGATGGCTCCGGATGGGGCGATCCGGAAGAAGAAGAAGATGAGGAAGAAGAGTACGAGGAAGAGGAGGAAGAGGAGCCTGGTACTCCAGAATCTGTTATTCATCATCCTGTCTCTGATGATTCAGAGGAAGATGAAGAAGATGAAGACGATGAAGATGAGGATGAAGATGAAGAGGATGGTGTTGATGATGATGATAACGACGATGAGGAAGTTGATGACAACAATAAGGAGATTCCAGTGGTGAAAACAGAAGAGGTGGAAGAACCATTTCTTGAATCACCAGCAATCCCAGAACGAGAAGCAACTATCAAGGCTTCTTCTGGCTCTAGACTCAAGACGCGCCCTTCTGCAACTCCGTCTGACCTCGAGGCCATGCGTGAGGCTCGTAGACAAGTGAGCCGCGAGATTGCACCTGGTATCCCACCGATTCCGGACCGACACCGAAACCGTCTATCTCGTGATCTAGCGTCCAGTAGCCTGGAGGTTCCTACAGGTGACGATTTCCTAGAGCGTCACCCCAGCTTTAAGAAGAGCAGTCTTACTTTGGATCTCGACCTCGGTCTCAGTCTAGATCAGGATTTCCAGCGGGTCATTGAGGCACAAAAGGTTAAAAACCAAAACCCTCCCCATTCTCACAAATTTCCTACTTCACCATCAAAGAAAAGAGTTTCCTCTGTCTCCCGAAGATCTTCCCATAGAACCAGCTCCTCCAGGCCTTCACTCAATGCTAACCGTAGACCTTTGATACAGCGTGGTTATCTTATGCGCCAGAACACGAAACTCGTGACCGCCAGCGACAAAGACACCGAAGAAATTCGAGCAGGCACCCGCTCTGCTGGTAACTCTCCAGTTAAGCAACAGCGCCCTCAGTCCTGGACTGTTGAACCTTGGAACGGTAAGCACAGGAAAAGTGTTCGAAAGCGCCACGGACCAAGCATAGGAACAGCAGTGCCACCTGTACCAGGACACGAAAGCAACGCCACCACAGCAATGAGTTCGCTCCCTGAAGAAGACTCCTCGGACCTAGCCACCGAAGAATGTGGCGAGAGAGGTAGGTTGTTTATCAAGGTGATGGGTGTGAAAGATCTCGATCTTCCCCTACCTAAGAGTAAGTTCCTCATCCAAATATTGATGTTTGAGCTTCTATACGAATACTAATCTCCCGCCAGATGAACGAGTGTGGTTCAGCCTCACCCTTGACAATGGCGTACATTGTGTTACCACATCCTGGCTTGAGTTAGCTCGCAACGCACCAATCGGCCAGGAGTTTGAGTTGGTGGTTCCTCGTGAGTTGGAATTCCAACTCACTCTTAACGTGAAGCTCGATAAGCCGGCACCTCAACGTGCGGTTGTCTCAACACCTAAGGCTTCGAAGCCTAAGTCATCTCCCTTCTCTCGCGTTTTTGCTAGCCCAAAGAAGCGAAAGGAGATGGAGGCTCGTCAACGTGCGGAGGAAGAAGCCTATGCCCTGGCTCAGCGAGAGGCCGCCGCTAAGCAGATGAGTGCTGCCTCCTCAGCTTGGGATCTGCTTTCCCCCCTTGCCGCGGAGAACGGAACCTTCGCACGCTCCTACGTCTGTCTCAAGGAGCACGAGTCCCGTTGCTATGGACGGCCCTATATGGTAGAGGTCGCCGCATTCAACGAATGGGCTACTGAAGAGGCTGCTTTTGCTAGCAGTGTCAAGAGCAAGCGCGCTGGAGTTCCCAGCAACGCTGTAGTTCGCCGAGCGCCTTACAAGATCGGCAAGCTCGAGGTACAGCTGCTTTTCGTGCCGCGACCCAAGGGTTGTACAGATGATGATATGCCCAAGAGCATGGGAATGTGCATCCGCGAGCTCAAGGCTGCCGAAGAGCGACTGAGCAAGAACTGGGAGGGTCATCTAAGTCAGCAAGGAGGCGACTGCCCTGTAAGTTTCTATCCCGATGGGCTCGGAAAGCATTTGATAGCTAACCTACAAAATGTATAGTACTGGCGTCGTCGTTACTTCAAGCTAGTTGGCACAAGACTGACTGCTTACCATGAGACGACACGCCAACCGCGTGCTACCATTAACTTAGCAAACGCTAAACGACTTATCGATGACCGACGAACCCTCACTGATCCCGAGACCACGGGTCGCGGTGGCAAGAGACGCCGCTCTGCTTTTGCAGAAGAGGAAGAAGGCTACATGTTCGTCGAAGAGGGATTCCGTATTCGATTCAATAACGGCGAGATCATCGACTTCTACGCCGACACTGCTGAGGACAAGCAGGGTTGGATGAGAGCCTTAGGCGATGTCATCGGCCGATCCGGTGGTGTCGATGAGAGTGGCAATGCCACCGGCCGCCGCAAGTGGTGCGAGCTCGTCCTTAAGAGGGAAGACATGCTCCGAAAGCGCGCCGAGTCCAGACGAGTTCATTCAAGAACTAAGAGTATGATCGTCTAAATTGGCTCCGTCAATGTTCATGAATACTTTCTGCCAACGAAAAATGAGGACACGACAATTACGCCCGGTACGATCCTGGATCGATTGATCTACTTACGACTTCATGATCGGTATTTGCGGCACTATGACTACTATATGAGCTTGCTTTCACCTACCTTACCTCCACCTCGCCCGTCTTGTATCTCGATGATCTCCTTCAATTGGTATCTTGACAAACACACTCTATACCAGAGCTTCTGGTCTACTACCGCCTCTGGTTACAAAATTTTGAGCTCTACCGTTTTACCAGTCGTAAAGCTCGTTTCCAGTGTACAACTTTTTCTTCCCGTCCATTAATTTCGCATGCGCCTGGCTGCTCACGCGCAAAAAAACCAACATTTTCGCACAGAAAAGAGATTGAAGAAGAAAAAGAAAATCCACAAAAAGAAAAGAAAAGAGGAAAGTCGTCCTCGCACCCCCAACAGGAACAAGGAAGCCTGGAGCTCCGAAGTCTTTGGTCAATTTTTCTACTGAGGAGTGAACGGCACATTGCATCGGTCAAAGGGGTTTTGGGGGGGAGTTTCTCGGACGGGGTTCTTTTTTCTTCGAACAGGATGTGTGTATTTTGAGTCTTTGAGGCATTGCAATGTTTCGGCCAATGCTGCTGCTGTTCGTACGGAGTATAATAAATTCGCTTACTAAATTCCAAGGTTCCCCCTTCTTCTGAAACATGCTTTGAGGTGTTGGGCAATGACGTATGTACAAATACCTAATCTACTAGGTAGGCTGTGATTGAAATCGCCCCTTTTTTGACTTGATTTATATTTGACTAGATAGAAGCATTCCATCTGATCATCGGTCACACCTGCGCGATGGAACCATCCCATCTTCTAGGCTAGGGCAGTGTTTGACTGTTTCTACTCATTCAGACCACCCTTATAAGCTAAGTACCTAAGTTTTTTATACTCACGAAGTCGCTATATCCTTATCGTCAAGCCTTAAGTATTAAACGGGGAAGAGAAGTAATTAGATTAGGACCCTTTGAGCTTCGGCGATACCTCTATCCTACCCCCATGCACAAACGTTTCGTGAAACCTTCGCTTAACCGAGACTCCAAACAGGAGCCTTAACCAAGACCTGCCTTCCTCTGACTTCAACCGCGACGAAACCTGCGAACCGTACCTTGTTGGGGTCTTTAGGGGGTAAGAGTGATGTTGACGCTGCTGCTGCCGATGTCGTGGTGTCAGTAAGGACTGAAGCGGCGCTGCCTTTCCTGCTGGACGGGTAGGATCCGCCGAGCATTGTTAACATACCGCTCTTTGACGACTTCTCGCGCTTCGCTTTGTCGCTATCTTTGTCGTTGCCCTCGTCGGCGTCCTCTGTCGGCTCCGGTAGCGGAGGCAAGCCTGTCTTCTCCGGCTCCATAATGTTGGGCTGTATGGGGTCCTCAGGAAGGGGGTATGAGATAGCTACATCTCGACTCTCTAGGGGTAGGTTAGCCGCAATGCCCACCGCTAACTCGACGATCATCGATGCGCTGCCGTCTACGCCGGCAGGGGGTGGATCTGTCAGGTACTGGTACAGCGTCGCCGTCAGATTACTAGTGGCCATCTTAGTAAAGTCGGTGCGGTATTCGGCGCTCTCGGGCGCTTGCAGCATGTGTTGGAGGCCCTCTAGAGTGGCCATTCGCCAGTTTACAACCTTAGCTGTTAGCGCCTCGTACTCTTCCTGGCTATTCAGCGTGTACGAAAACCTGCGAATATTCTGCTCTATTTGCTTCAGATGTGAGCTGAGATGCATGTCCAAGCCGGGATGAAAGCATTTGTTGAAAATCTCTTCAACTATCCAACGAACAATTACGGCTCGTCCGACTGCCGTCATTTCCTGTTTGCCTATTTTAATGGCCTCCGGACTAACATATCTTTCTATCCAACCAGGGAGCGTTCGCCAATCCTTGCGAATGTTAAAGGATAGATTATTGATCGCACCATTGAGTCGGTTAAACCGAGTTGAATATTCACTGTCGTCGAGTGCTGTCCGAGACTGGGACATTCTCTGGTTTGCAACCGCATTCTGTAACTGCTCGACTTGAGCGGTTAACTGTTCGATCTGATTCTTGCCGTCGAAATAAAGCCTCTTGACGTTCTTATACTTAGTTACTACGACGTCGGGTTAGCATCATATTAGACGAATTTTGAAAAGCGTTCTTACCGATGTCTTTAGAAAGCTTCTCCGAGTCGGCTTCTCGATCTGTACTGTTTGAGGGCTGGGGACTATTTCGACCCTCGGGACCAGGTCCGTCGAACTGTGGTCGATCTTGCACGCCGCTACTGCGGTAGTTTTGCGGCGCATTGGTTACACCGGGCGTAGGTGGAAGGGGATTCATCGCATTCAGAGGCCCTTGGCTATGTCTATAGCCGGGAGGAGGCCCAGGAGGGGGCTCAACGGAGCGCATTTGTTTGTCGTGGTCTCCTGATCTACGGCTTTGTCCGGGCCCTCCGGGTGGTGGTGCCATGTTCGGGTTCTGTCCCACTGACACCGATGACTGCTGCTGGCTCTGTGAGCTTTGTGGGTCTTGCTGCGAGAAATTCACGGCGGGTGAATCCTGTGAAGGTCTTGGGTTGGCTTCTGACTGTTGTTGCTGTTGCTGTTGATGTTGATAGTCTGAATCAGAATCTGGCGATTCATGTGACACCTGCGAGACGGTTTCTGGGTTCGGTGGTTGTGGACTCGGCGCGCTAAGATGTCCAGTGAAAAGGGACGGACGCCGATCTCCTACCTGGTATTGCTCGTAAGAGGGTGCGTACTGGTACTGGTTCTGTGCTGGGTCGACCACGATCTGGCCGCCGTATAGCTGCTGCTGCTGCTGCTGTTCTACTTGGGCCTGTGCCTGCGCTTGAGCGTGTGCTTGAGCCTGGGCGGCTTGCGCCTGTAACTGAGCTTGGTGCTGGACGATAGCCTGCTGTTGGTGAAAAGCGAGGTCTTCGCGACTGTAGGGCGAGGTATCGGGATCGGGGTCGGGGTCGGCAGGGATTCGTCTAATAGTATTCCGCGATAGATCTTGGTGGTTCTGTGAAAGCATATCTTGGTTAGAATAGGCGGTATAATAAGGATCGTCAAGGTCGCGTACAGGTTGGATAGGTGAGTGGTGGTGGCTGCGCGAGCCAGCGTTTGGGGGCGGAACCCAGTCGGGATGGTCAATAGGCCGCGACAACAAAGAGCTTCCTCTAATAACAGGTGTGTTGCTAGCCCGCTTAGATGGTCGCCGGGTCAGGCCAGAGCCGCTGTCGTAGGACGCGTCCTGGTAGTGATCTGAAGTAGGCCTGCTGGAAGAAGAACCGGCAATGAAGTTCTTGATCAACTTCCTCGCTGATCGCTTTGTCTCGGTGGGGGCGGTTTGGCTATGTGGGACTGGTGGCTGGCTGGGAGGGACAACAGGAGAAGAGACGGTCTGTGGTAGGTTATCGACCGAGCTAGACGAGAGGCCGAATGGGTGTTGGGTCTGCAGTGGGTTTAATTGGGAATATCTAGCAGATTGGGAGCGCGAGACCAATTCGGCGAAATTGTCGTGGGGCTGCTGTCGCGCGGTGTAAGCAGCGGAGGCTTGATTGAGGGGTATTGAATTAGTGGGTAAATTATTAGATGGATTGTTTCCGAACGCTTCTAGAGGCTGGGCAGGCTGTATTTGCTGCTGTCCACTTAATTGATGGTGGTGCTGGTGTTGGAGTTGGTGTGGTGAGGTATGTGGAGTTTGTTGTTGCGTTTGTGGTTGGGCAGCCCTGGTATCGGCCTGTGCCTGCAACGACAGTGGTGGTGGAGGTGGTGGTAATTGTTGTTGTTGAAAGGACTCACTAGAGCTAAGGCCGATTGACAAGGCTGACGGAGCTGTTGTGTTAGACTCGGCGACGGCCACTGACACTGGCAGAGACTGGCCGGTCACGGGAACGGCAACGCCAGCAGCAGATACTCGACGACCTCCGTTCAAGGGGCCAGGTCCTGTCGTAGACGCTGAAGCAGGAGAAGAGAGGGAAGTGGTAGAAGCGGTAGCACCGCTTGTTTGTTGTTGTTGAAGAGGATGATGGGGCGGTGCAGCAGCTCCACTGCCCGCCACCTGCTGTTGCTGATGAGTAGAATGCTGCTGCTGCTGCTGTTGCTGTTGTTGCTGCTGCTGAAGGAGGAATTGATGATGTTGCTGTTGCTGTTGCTGTTGCTCAACCAGATTATGCTGGGAACGATTGCTATGCTTGCCAATGCGACCGAAAGAGGGCATAATGGTATTATTGTCAGTATTCGGTTTTCTCTCCCTAACCTAAACGGAATTGGCCCTTTCGTCTCGCGCGCGCTCTTTCTGCCTCCTTTTGTCTTTCACACAGCCGCAAAGCGCAAATCCAGACAACTGGGTACCCAGATAGGTAGGAAGCTGAGGAAGCCAGAAGCGAAGCGAGGCAAAGCACAGCAAAATGCCAAGTTTAGCCGCTTCGTACAGGATTATGAGATTTGATAGACTAGAAACGATCTGGCTTATTCCGTTCGATATTGTGTGCCGCCTGAGCGAACTACTGCGCACCTCCTATCTAGGATTGGATTCGCACTCGCACAGCACCCCTCTAACTAACCTACAGGGGTTCCCGTTCTGTGGGGGGGCTGTGCTGACGATGTTTCGTTTCCCGCTCTGCCTTTCCCACTTCGTGCTGATGCTTTTTGGCTGACGGACAAGGCAAGGCAAGGACAGGCTTGCGTGCTCACTCGGCTTGTTTAAAAAATGGTGACAGTGGGAAATAAAACGATTTATGTTTCAACGCATAATCGACCTTACCCGCGTTCTCCTCTCTATCCTAGGACGGCGCAGACGACGGACCTATTCCGGTTTTCCCAATAGGCTGTTCGAATCACGATCGGCGTCAGGAAAAGCGCGGTAAAGGGAAAATTGACCCAGCCAGACATACGAAAATGACAGGCGCTTCGATTGCTCAGGACATAGAGCTACCTAGTACTTAGGTAAATGCGAAAATAAAGATAAAGATAGGGACGCGGACATAAGGCCTTGAATTCATCGGCAACACAAAGAGAGATAAATAGCTAAATAACCCAAAATAGGTATACAGATAGATAGATGGACGGACACGTACAAAGCGCCAAGAGAATTGGACGCAGCAGGAAAAGCCTGATGGCGAAGGAAGTTTTGTTTGGCTTCGAACGTCGAGCGAAGAAGATTGGAAGGAGAAATTCAGAAAAAGCACTGGAGATCTATGGATCGTATTGTTCAACCAGTCAATCACTGTCAGATTGGAAAGCACATTGCGACAGGGCGTTCCGCAATAGGCAGTTTCCACCCCTTAACCAAACCTCTTTCTCCAATGATATACTCTATACGCACCTACCTAATGTATGGGAACACAACCGCCCTAGTGGAAAATACAGGTTTTCAACTTGACTTACCTAAATGGGTAACTATAAGGAGCAAAGCCTATCTACTACGTACTCTTATTGCCTACCTCTATATGTTTACCTTTTGGTACTGTAAATGAGAAGTAGTTGTATCCACAATGTACATAGTTCTACTGATGTGCTTTAATATAACTAGGTATTAACCACCGACCACTGAATATTTCCGCAATTGATGAGAGATGAAATCGCTTCGAGAGACCTTTATAGGACTAAATGCCTAACTAAGCTACGCTAGGGTTAGGCTAGTCGGAGCTGCTAGGTTACCCCTCTGTCGATCCATCCAGCGTGAGGAAAAGGCCGCATGTAGAGAAAACATTAGGTTCGACGTTATCAGCTCCAACGACGTTGTTTCCAAGCTCTTGATAAGAACGACAATACATAGAATGAGAAGCTTCGAGGTTAAAAGTTAATTGGTGCGTCTCGTTTCTCACATCAGACTACATCCGCAGATCGTATTTTCCTTCCCAAGTCGAGTATAACTTCATCAGAATACCGTCAAGACTCCAACCTGTCAATTTGAGATAGCGCAGCTTGGGACTAAGTGAGCTGCAGATCATACTGTAACATGTTTTCTCATGTGGCCCCTAAGTACCTAGGTAGCGTCGCTACCAGATACTTGGTTTTAGTTTAACGTTAATCCTCCTTGCCCTTCTATATTCCTCACAGCAAAATCTAGAAATTCAGCTGCCAGCGGGGGGAAAGGGGTCGTCCTCGGTAACCTTAGTCCCGTAGGGTAGGACAATCATTAATGTGAGTGGGGTTCAACAGGCGCTAGTTATTCTTTAATGTGCTATTTATAGATCTCACCCGCAGTACTAGTACATATCTCCTTAAGTCCACATGTAAGACCAACGGGTCATTAAACATCGTTCGAAGTCCGGAATACGTCATTTTGTTCGACCGCCACCTAGGTACTCGAAGATGATTTTGGACCAGTCTCTCGCATCGGGCCGTCTTAGGCCCGCCCTTGACTATAAGACTCAACGTTACTCATGTAATATAGGGGCGTCAAGCAACCTTCGAACAACAATCTAGGTAGCTATCTTAGAAAGTATCTTAGACAGCTCAAGCAGGCTTGGAAATAGCGTAGGATATATCCCGAAACGAATACCGATCACATACCCACAAATTGTCAACACGAAACTACCGAGGCTGCGAGGATCAGGTTAGCCAAGTTAGTTAAACCTCACGGATCAACATCCTCGACAATAAGAGATCTGGCCGACCCTTAAGCTGAATTAAGGCCTACTACCTTAACAGCGGAGCAAGTAAAAGTCATCTCAATTGTAGGTTAACATTGAGGAAATGTTAGAAACCGTTGTGGATTTTCTATAACCAAAGAACTACCCTCGTCTTAATTGGTCACTCCCTATCGATATTCGGGAATATAGTTAATTTAAAGATTCCAAAGTTTCGTGGTCCATATCATACACCATATTTGATATTTGTTTTTCACTCTCATTACAGTACCAGTTACCATTGCCGCCCATTCAGCTTACACAAAATTGATCCCTGGGTGTCGACTAGTTTTTGAGAATGATTTACACGAGTATTTCAGACACGGGAGCTACCCGATAGCCACCAACGGCAGTCTCAGGCACGCAATGATAATGCCTTGGTTAGATGCTATCGTCAAGTAGAACATACGTTGACACCCGCCATACTAAGTTAAAGATCAGCTTTCGCTACATCATACTATGAACCTTAGTCGCACGTCATACTCGTCTCGTTATTCTCTATAGGTGCCTACCTACTCAGGCATCAGTGTTTAGTTCTTCTGGGCCAAACAAGGACTTGACACCGGTCCCTCTATGTTTCCACACAAGGGAAAAGTGTCTACTCGAGTCGTTTCTATCAAATGGACTCTAGCTCTATCCCGGAGTTCGCGATGTCGAAAGGTTAACTGCATTAATCCCGCGTGATGTAAAGTGTAGCTGCAGGCATAGAGGAGGCACAAGATAGAACGGATTGCTCGTTCCCACCGTCAAATAGTATACAGCAGCGATTGAAAAGGATATGACTGGCCGCTTGAGGAAGAAAAAATGTCTCGGGTTACAGGAAGTAATGCTTAGCAGCGGCTTGCCGAATATTGGTGCCACTCAGCTTAACTTGCAAACAAGCGGTAAACTTTTATTCCTAGAATATGTTTCACAGAATATCGATCGGTCTAAAGACAAGAATTTATTCATTCTTTCGACGCTGACTAGATATATTTAGGAGTGGATTACCTATCCAAGGCCTAGATATTGGCTTCTAAAACAGGATCGGTTTTGACAGAATTGTTTCTTAAGTAACCAAATATAAGTGTAGTTAGAGACACGTTTCATTATTATTATTTACTAATGATTCGAAATCATTTATTTGCTCGAAAAATAAGCTATACAACTTATACCACCCAATATAAATGATGCGCAGGGGCTGTTAGACGGCCATGGATGGTTCTCGACGAAGTGCTTTGCTCCGCTGAAGCTTATATACCTATCTACGCGTTTTGAGCTATGTCTCTTTTAAACCATAGTTGTATCTTTAAGGTCGATGGGGATCACACGAGAGCAGCCTTTTAGTACTTAGTATCACGACCGTCACTCCATCATTTTGTATAAATCAACGTAGTATTACCCTTCTCGGGTGTGGCCTAGAACATTTTGAAGTAGTACATAAACGGCCATTTAAATAAAATTTGCGTTTTCGTTCCTCGTTCCTCGTTCCACACGAATCTACTTCATGCATGTATATGTCGACCACGCAAGATGGCGGTTCCTTGCATGTCAATCTCGTGGCTGTTTAGGAATCAAAACATCATACACAGTAACTAGGCGGTAAACACTTTATCATTTCTGTTCGAACTGCCGACGAGCTAACAGGAAAGTCGGTAAAGTGTATAAATAACTCTGTCTCCCATTCCTGATACTAGAAGGTTTCCCTAAACGAATTGCTTAAGAAAGCTTAAAACTTCCAGCAGGCAAATGAATCTTTCGAACCAAGCCTTCTCGTAGTTCTTAACCTTTATATCAACTGGAAGTTCCTACAATGCAATACCTATTTGTTATCACTCTATTCCTAGGGCTCGCCATTGCCCGACCACCGTTCCTCGGAAAAGCGCTGAACCCTCAAGCTGGAAATACAATCAAGTCCTGGGAGTTGGCTCAATTTCACCTCGAGCCATTCAATCTCACAGATATGGCTGTCGGATGTACAAAGACGAATATGAGCTCTTCATTGTTTGGGTGCTCAATCCAGTGTAAGTTTACCAAAATTATTTCTCAGTAAAATGCTCATTCCTTTCATCGGCTTTATGGTCTGACATCTAATTCTAGTCAAATGGGATGATCCCAATGCCAACCAATCCTGCACTTGCAAAGAGGATTGGCAGTGGAATGGCATCACTCATACTCAGGGGCCCATGAACAACTACAGCACGGATTATTCTATTTGCAAGAATGACGACACCGAAATCTTCCAATTCAAGTTTATAGATGTCTTCGATTTATCTAATTTTAGTCTTTCTCTGACGCACATCTATAAGGATAACAAGTATAATAGATATACCCCCAGGTATCGAGTCGAACTAACGTCTTCCAACTTCAGAAACTTCCCGACACCTACGACGGCGAACATGTTTTCACAGACGAATATCACCCTCGATTTGATAGAGAAGTCGAATACTACGATGGCATATTCTTCCGCTTGCGACTGTCCCATCAAAGCGAACATTACCGGCATGACAATTTAGGGGCATGCTTCGATCTTGAATGTTCAGCAAGGTACCTACCCTTGATTTCTCTTATCTGCAGGTAGATCAAGGTGTACTGCGATATTACAGGCTCCCCGTTTCATTAGAGAGCTTATATATTGTATACTATTTATTACACTGAAACCACGTTCTTGGTTAGACATAGGAGGGTCTACGGTCTGAAATTTCGGTAGAATGCTTTAATAATAGATACCCCAATTACCCATAGCTTCCTTTTTAAACTTAACCCCCTTGATATACCATATTCAACACTAAAATATCTATAGATAGGGTGTGGGACACGAATTATAGAATAACTATTGCTGAATAAAGCGAGTAAGTTCGTATATGCATTTCACCACACCGACTCCTAGTAGACGATTACTTTAGGGGTTTCCCGGTAGAGTTCTTTCCTCTAAACGTAGCAACGGTAACGGTAGATCTTTATCTCTATTATGATTCTTAGGTGTACCTTCCCAGGCCCGAATTTCGATACAAGTCGGGCACATAAGGGTCCTATGGGAGTTCAACTAGACATATAGGACTAGACGTAGCACCAAATAAATTTATTATGTAAGCTAGTAGCCAATATGACGTACGACGAAGCCGCTGATGCGGCGATATTAAAATCTAGGATGTATCCTTTCTCGGAAGAGGTAGTAATAATCCGGTAATGTTAGATTGAGCGGCTAGATGCGATCTGTTAGCTGGTGTGGCTTAACTTGTAATATGCTGTCGGAGGCGGGTGAATGTTATGGCGTAGATCACGAGAGAAATCCGGATCAATATGTTTCGGGAAGGAATAACAGTCCTGGTAAGCGTAGCAATTAGAGGCTGAATGATACCCTGATCGAGAAGGAGAGCTCCGGAACATAGCCGCGGAGAGGAATGATACCTGCGGAAAAGGGAGCGGAAGCGGAACGGGGAAGAACATCCTCCAGACCAGGAGTCGAAAGCCGGCGGAGTAGGAAAGCGTATTGACGGATTGTCAACATCCCTAATCATTGTCCCGAAAAGGGATCTCATAATCATCTTGGCACTCGGCAGAACGCTCGTTGTTTTCCTAGCATTTCCAAGTTTATCGTATGCACAAGTGCTTTAACGAACTAGATTCCGGATCAGGGACTCGGAAGTCTAGAAAAAGGTCGATCTTCGCATCCCAATGTTGCTCTCACCTTTACATCTAGTGCCGGATCTCGAAATACCACGGAGCCTATGCGTCGAACCAGTTCCTGAACAGGTCCCGCGACCGGCATGAAACATATATGTATAGCAAATTAGTTGAGAATGGTATAATATATGTGGAATTAATGTAGTAGAAGGGGAGACGATGGAACGATGAAGGCGACGGACCGGTCTAGCCACTACGAGTCGCTTTAAAAGTAAGGAGCAGAGTCGCGCGCTCTCGAAACGTTAGGTTTTCAAAGACAAAACAAGATTTTCCCATTAACCATCAATACACCGAGTTCAATTTGTCGGCCGAAGACTGCTCCGGACGTAACATAGATTTGTAGAGATATCTTAATACTGGACGACGATGGCACTGATGTGATAAAGATAACCGAGCGAGTGGAGCTTTAACCGAGGACGGAATCGGGGATAAGCGAACAACAAGACTAAATCCCAATAGGCGAATGGCATGCGCCTTGCGTGCTTGAGGGTTCAAGTGTTGTATCCACTGTAACCTTGTCAAAATCTCTTTAGAAATCCTATGGAATGTGGAAATTAGTTCTCTAGACATGGCGTTTTGGGGACTTATAATTGCCGTATGAGCTAGGTACTAGTTGATCTCTTGCCAAGAATATCGGTTATGATATTCGCGAGAGAGCGGATTAATGATGATGAGTAAGTCTCCCGAGAGCGCAGATGCAAAAGAGCGGCCGGTCATTATTCGGGCGGTCAAACGTGTTATAGATTTCATCTGGAACAATTGGTTGGTACTGGGGTTCGGCCTTGCTTGTGTCCTGGGATATTTCTTTCCTCGTATGTTGATGAGAGATACATTTTCCTTTCGCGTTGTACGGGTTGCTAATCCATCTTAAGACGTTGCGGCCCGCGGTGGCGTTATTCGCTCAGAATATTCGATCTTGTATGGAGGCATTGCTCTGATATTCTTCATCAACGGAATGCAACTTAGCCCAGAGAAGCTCAAGGAACATGCAACGAATTGGCGACTGCACATCGTGGTACAGGGGATAAACCTTGTTCTGATACCCGTCATTCAACTTGGTTCGCAATCCGACTACTTCCTTAGGCTGTAATGTTTCGCTGATCTTGCCCTAGTCATCGTACGCATAGTGATAGTGGCCGGTGGAGTGACCTCGGGTACAGTTGATGCTAGTATCCTCGTCGGAATGGTTGTAGTTAGCTGCATCCCAACCACCATAGCATCTAATGTGGTGATGACAAGGAATGCGGGTGGCGATGAGGCTGCTGCCATTATCGAAGTGGTGGTCGGCAACGTGGTTGGGTCCTTTCTCTCTCCGTGGCTGATCTACGGATTCCTTCCTAGCGGCGAGGAGTTTGATCGGCTCAAACCAGCAAAAGCGAATACCCTGGGACCTATGTATGCGAATGTTATGCAGCAGCTAGGTCTCAGCGTACTGCTCCCGCTTCTCGTAGGACAAGGCCTACGATGGACTTTTCCGAAACAGGTCTCTTGGACACTAAGAACATTCTATCTGGCACAGCTCTGCTCGGTATTGCTGATGCTAGTGGCATGGTGAGTTAACAAATATCTCCGGAGCCAATAGCCAGCGAGAACTTAAACTGACTTGAGCTACAAGGACTACTTTCTCGGGTGCATTCGAAACAGGGGCACTCGCCGCGCTACCTAAATCATCCGTAATATTCAATGTGTTTCTGAACATAGCAGAATACATATTATTCACTGCGATTTGCTTTTGGATATCATCCCCGCCAGGGATGTTGATAAAGCTGATTAATACATATGTTGCTGATTCAAGGCTTGGTTCGTATCTCCCCAAGACTATGCGGAGGGCGATAACGATTAGGAAGATGCCTAAGGAGCTCGTCGTCGCTGTATGTTTCTGCGGAGCTGCGAAGACTACGAGCGTGGGAATTCCTTTAGCTGCTGCTATGTGGTCCTAACTTGATAACTACACTATATCATCTATCCAAGTTCTGGTGCTCTTATACACAGTGGAACAGGTGTTCGTAGCGCAGTTTTTCACCATATTCTTTAAGTGGTGGCTACATCGAGACAATAAAGGGATCCTCGATACTGAATCGACGGGGACTAGAGAGCAGGGGCATGTGCCAAATGAGGAAGAAGAAAATACCCACATAGGGGATGGTGAGGTGAATGGAGACCACGGGGTTCCAGCTGCTCCGGCCAGTATGAGCGCAGCGCGTGAGAAACAAGGTCCGGTAAGAGAATCCGTAATATAGCGACACTTGTGAGTTAATTATATAATCGCTGAGGAAGTGGCTTGCTTCAGATAAGTTCATGTTAATAGATACCTGATTATTGCATAATAGCTTATTTTGCTCGGTTATCTATTTAAGTGAGAAGATGAGTCATCATATAAACAAATTTTTAGCGTCTTAATAAGAGGTAAGTACCTGATCAGGCGGGGCTCCCTGTTAGTCTGGAGCTAGTTTGGCGGGGCATAGCATAACAGCCCACTGTATCTACAGGTATGACGTGCCTGCCTTAACATTAACTGATTCTCAATAATCAACATGTAACGATCGTCAGCCAATTCACACGATTGCTTTCTTTCGAAAATTCTCGAACTGGGACAGAGCGTCAGGTAGCAGGATGTGAAATTCCTCAAAACCTCTACCTGATCTTGTCTGTCACACTACAATCTTGTCCTTACGAATTTTACCTTTCTGTCTGACAATCAACAATCTCTGAATTCGTCTTCGTCCACACTTGCGCCTTTACCTACGTCTGCAGGGCTTCAATACAAGATGAGCTCTGGTCGAGCCCTACGAGGGAGCTGCCATTGCGGCAGAAATCAATATGTGATCACAATCCCAAGTGGCACCTCAGACGTTGCCCAGATGGTCTTCGACGCAGCTGAAAGCCACCGTAGGTTGAATCTCTCTTTGCTATTTTTTTTTCTTCCATACCTACTATGCAGGCATTTAGGTGGTCATTTATATATGCAGATCACTACGTGACCACATGCACCTTTTTACCTTCTAGAATATACAAATCGCTAATGTCGTACTCACCTAGGAATGTCCTCTGCAACCCTTCTCTCAGAATTCCTACGAGTTCCGATTCATTGGTATCACAGCCGAATCTTTCCATTCTTTTCTGACGAATCTCGAGCTACCATTCGACGCGTCTACTCCCACCCTGATGAGCAATCTGCCATTCGACAGTTTTGCGGATTCTGCGGTACCACTCTGACATATTGGACCGAGGATCCCGTCACTGAAGCTGACTACATACAAGTCACTCTTGGTAGCCTTTTAACTGAGGATCTCTACAATCTAGATGCTCTGGGTCTGGTTCCCGATGAACCCGAACAGGACCCCATGGACATTGAACCTACTTTCGAGGAGCCCACTCTCGAGACTGGTCAGGCTACCCAACCTAGCGGTCATGATGCTACAGGCATTCCGTGGTTCCAAAACTTGACCCTAGGTAGTCGCTTAGGAAGTATCTATTCTGCAAGACATGTCGAGGAGAGTCGAGATGGTCGAATTCGCGTCGAATACGAGATTACGGAGTGGACGGGAGGAGATGACGCAAGTGTAATCACGGGTTTGATTATGGAAGAAGAGGAACGGGACACGGCTGAAGTCGAGAACGGAGACGACGGAGAAGACGTAATGCCCAAGCTCGAACCCGAATCGCCTGCAACGGGTAAGAGGAAGCGCAGAGAGACTGATGAAGAAGATGAAAAGGCCAGCAACACTGCCTAGGGCGACATCTGAAGTACTCGGTCACTCTTCATGCGGCCGATCGTCTCCTTGCTTCTGGACAATACGACTACGAGACATTAGTGATGGACGAGAAACTGTCTAGGAATGGGAATTAGTGTTATTGGAAGTACACTCGCTTCTTCTAACACCCCCTTGTTGAGCTCTTGTTGGACTCTGTTGGACTTTGTTAACCCCCTTGTTTTCCATGGCGTCGGCCTATTGCTTTTATCCTGCGATGCGGCGTCCGTGCGATTTGCTGTTATTCTGCATCGAAGGTGTCCATACTTACAAGGACTCAGACTAAATATCAGTCTGAGATCCGAGTCTCCTTCGAGCAGATAATCATGTACAGATAGGAAATTTTGGTTCCATGGTTTCGCCTGGAAGAAATGGGCATGCTCCACGCCAGGCGATTCTCAAATAATCGAGTAATTCTCGCCGAGACATTTATGCGACGACTTAAGATGGTAATCGGCGAATAGGAGATGGACGTAAGAAGCGAATTCCGAACAACACGACATAAAATAAGTCGTTATTGTACGTACGGCGACATTGGTCGTCGGAAACCGGCATAGGCCAACCGCTGTCCATGATATTCAGAATTGATTGATGGATGTAGTGTTTTGTGAGTATCCAATCTAGGGTCCAATCCTGGAGATGTTAAGGATGTTATTGATCTTATTATTGTCATTACCTAGGTATTAGTCTCGCGAGTCGGATGGCTTGCTGCCCGTCAACCCATGGTATACTTTTCTCCGCTCTCCGACGTCGTATCCGCGACCTAGATCCTAGATCCTAGGTCTTAGGTCCTAGGTCCTAGGTCCTAGGTGAAGGGACGTTGCGCCGCATTCCAGAAGAACAAGGTGCAAAAGGTGGCCAAGATCGATCTTTTGAATCGCTAGCGCGACTGCTCATCAATTCGTGACCATCCCGAATCCAAGGAACGGCCGTTGTTCGAAAGAGGTTACTCTGGTCTGCCCACTCGGCTGTATCGCCGAGGTTTTCACGAAACCCCTGGCTGCATGAAGAGTCAGGGCTATCTCGACTTGGGGGACTATCCTCTCTTGGTATCCGTAGCCGGAGAGACGGGCCGTCGCTGAGATCTAATATGATTCCGGCACATGACGAGTTCGTTTGTGGGGGGGCATCCCCATTGATCCCAAATCAAAAATTGGACCCTGTCTTCTCTGCCTACACGTATGTTTACAAGCTCCAATTACCCCGCGGCGGAGATGGTTGCCAAGTTGTTTTGGCCTATGTGGGTATGTATGAATGGAATAGGTATGAATGGTCTGGGGACACAGCCATCATCGTACAAGCCTGTTGTTCTCGGTCGTCACGGTCCGTCGCGGGAGAAAGGGGAAAGTACCGGCCCTTGCACTCCCCTACACTATATGTCGACACTGCATGGTTCAATAACTATACCGTGCTATACACTACTATAAACACACTCGTCTGTGAGGCGTCACAAGGGTATATAATAAGATGCTGGCTTCCACCATAACATCGAGGGGCCCCTTTGAGAGGGTTGACTCGACTGAAATCTCTATATTGTTGCCTTCTGCTTTTCTCGTCCCCTTACGCGATAAGACATCATCGTCTTATAATATTGGTTGTGCACATAAGAAATCTCCTTTTCTCCGGACGAGATCGAAACACTAGCGGGAAGCTTAGATATAACTTCATATCCTTCTTTGCGCACGCTCATTGTCTATTCAATATGTCGTTGCCTTCAGACTTCCTCTGGGGCTTCGCTACAGCTGCGTGAGTAATGTGGGCCCCTTCTCCTTTTCCAAGCACTTAGCGGAGAGCTTTGTAACTAACCTCCACCTTTTCCTGCCCATAGCTATCAGGTCGAGGGTGCTACCGAAAAGGATGGCCGCGGTCCGACTATCTGGGATACCTTTTGCAAGATTCCGGGAAAGATTGCTGATGGAACCGACGGGTCGGTTGCCTGCGATTCATATAATAGGACCGCCGAAGACATTGCTCTCTTGAAGAGGTTGGGTTCTAAATGCTATCGTTTCTCTCTATCCTGGTCGAGAATTATCCCTCTTGGGGGACGAAATGATCCCATCAACCAGGCCGGTATCGACCATTATGTTAAGTTTGTCGACGACCTGCTAGCGGCTGATATTGTGCCCTTTATCACGCTGCTGCACTGGGATGTCCCGGACGAACTTGACAAGCGATACGGTGGTCTCCTGAACAGGCAAGAGTTCCCACTAGATTTTGAGCATTATGCTCGTGTTGTTTTCAAGTCGATCCCTAAGTGTAAGAACTGGATCACATTCAACGAGCCTTGGTGCAGTTCTATCTTAGGATACAGTACCGGTTTCTTCGCCCCTGGTCATACTTCTAACCGAGAAAAGTCTGCCGTTGGCGACTCTAGCCGAGAGCCATGGATTGTTGGCCACAACCTACTTCTTGCTCACGGCAGGGCCGTTAAGGTGTACCGTGAGGAGTTCAAGCCCACAGATAAGGGCCAGATCGGTATCACTCTGAATGGAGACTACACATACCCATGGGATCCCGAGGATCCAAGAGACGTTGAGGCCGCCAACCGAAAGATCGAGTTCGCCATCTCATGGTTCGCGGACCCTATCTACTTGGGTAAGTATCCCGATTCGATGCGGAAGCAGCTCGGCGACCGGCTACCAGAGTTCACACCCGAAGAGCTGGCACTAGTTCATGGGTCTAACGACTTCTACGGCATGAACCACTACACAGCCGACTACGTCAAGCATGGCGACGGTAATCCTCCCCCGGAAGACTACCTAGGCGACCTATCGACTACCGCTTTTAGCAAGAGCGGCGAATGCATTGGCGCAGAGACTCAGTCGTTCTGGCTACGCCCGAACCCCCAGGGTTTCCGCGGTCTCCTGAACTGGCTTAGCAAGCGCTACGGCTACCCCCCTATTTACGTTACCGAGAATGGCACTAGTATTAAGGGCGAAAACGACTTAAAGGACCCGGAGATCCTCAACGACGTGTTCCGGTACGAGTATTTCCGAGACTACGTTAACGCCATGGCGAAGGCCGTTAGCGAGGATGGCTGTAATGTCAGGGGCTACATGGCCTGGTCGCTCATGGACAATTTCGAGTGGGCCGAGGGCTACGAGACCCGATTCGGCGTTACCTACGTTAACTATACGGATGGCCAGCAACGGAAAGAGAAGTATAGCGCCAAGAAGATGAAGGAGATTTTCGACGCCGTCATCAAGAAGGATTAGGATGAAAGGGAAGCGCGGGACTAGCAGTCCGAGAATTACCTCTCTCTCTCTTTGTTGTATGTGTTTCCTGCGTATGTTACGAGTGCGTCGATACCTCAGGTAATATTGGAGTATAATCAGTGTTATTAAGACGGTCCTTTTGGGTTTTTTTTTTGCTCAATGCTTTGCTCAATATCATGACACGTGTCTCGAGGATCTCCGAGGCAATTAAACTTCTATCACATTGAAATTGCTTTGCTACGTAGCTACATACTGAAACCCCTTGGGATCGCGTGTCGAAGATGTGTTGGCTGGTAAAAAGAGATGCGGTGTTTATTACCGTAAGTAACCGAAAGGCTTTTAGCATTTATGCGGGTGACTTTTCTAGGGGATTAGGTTATTCTACCCGACGTCGAAGCGATAGAGCGATCACACATCGCCTCGAGCTTACTGTTACAGGGGTATATGTATACTATAACATGTCCATCGTCTCCCAAACTCCATCGAGAGATACTTCAATAAGGATGCCCACTAGTTCTCCTTACGAAGAGTTCATCACCCTTTTAACCTTAGTCCGAACTTATCTTTATATTGGGATCGACTCTAGACGCATAGTCGAGGATAGATCGTAGGGCCCAAGGCTTTTCCGGGGAATTCGATAAGCGGCCTTACACTACCAAAATAACAAGGAGTCAATAAAAATCCTAGAGAGGCCAGATTTAAAATCGAAGACGGGCAAGTTGTCCCCTATTTTTCGTATACCCACAAGTTATCTGTAACGAACGTGACTATGTATATTACACTATATATGCAGGTGTACTATGTCTTCCAATTCGTCTAGCGAATTCCTCGAGACCTGAGTGTGCTATTCTCACTCGGAATCCCGTGGATTGGTCGCGGGCGTACCCTTCGTTCCTTATATCCCCTGCCCCTTTTCGTGGACGATTCTACTCCGCTCGCTCCTGCTTCTTACTCTTTCTAGATAGTATGACTGGCCTACCCGAAGATACAATTTTGAAGGAACAGTGATCGTGCTATGACAGCAGCTAAATTTGTCGTGGGAAGTAACGATGTGGCAATAGGGGTGTTCCAAGACTCGACTTGCTTACTATAACAGAAGCAAGCCCGGACCTATAAATGGTCTCTCCTACGCGTGATATTTCTCGGCGTAATGCGATATTAAATCCACTTGTAGATGGCTACCACATTCTAAACATTCCATGCGTAGTACGATGCTCAGCTGTGGGAGTTTTGAGCCAAAGGTTAGAAATAATAAGATCAGCCTTGTTTTCCCCTCCGATATTTCATTGCTACCAGTCCAATCTCCCAGCTTCATATTTCCAAGCTTTGAAGGACTAGAGTTGAAGTTCCACAGCATTTGATGGATACAACAGCTCTTTAGCTTATTCGAACCCCCATTGAAACAATATACCATGCTCATTCAATCGTGACTCATACCTCTCCTACTGAATTGGCCGTCCTGACCCATCTTAACACCTATAGTTGTACAGCATCACCTAAGCCCCATAACCGAACCAACATAGTTTTGATATAATGGTACCAATTTCACTCCCTCTTAACGCTGTTCCTTCGCGCAGCAAGATCGTGCAAGTCGCCCGTCTCACCTACTTGTACTCTACCACCCGTATGCTCGTCGGCCACCTTGGGACCGCTTTTTATCGCGCCGTCGACCTTGTCCTTGAGCTGCTCTTCTTGAGCTTCCGTGTTGCCACCGAGACCCGCCTGAGGTGTGTTCCCGATCTCGTCGAGGATATTACTAGTGGTGGAGCGTGTTAGCTAGTGTAGATATCTTGACCAGAATTGGATCTGGGAATGTAGTTGATGCTTCACGTAGAGGTATGAAGCTCGCCATAAAAAGAGGAAACTTACTGTGTAGGACCTTGTTGATGAGGGTCGAGTGGTGTTTGCTTGGTTCCAGACGAGTTGTCCCCTTGTGAATCTGCCATCTTGATTTGTGTTATAGTTAAGTTGGGGTAACACAGCTTTTTTAGAGTATCATAAGACAAACGAGTTGACGGGAGAAGATCGAGTATTAATATGGCGTTTGGATGTATGGCTATGTACCTAGGTAGGTGGCACCCATTGGCATCTTGAATCGGATATGTGGGGGATAGCGCCGATGACGTAGGTTGAGGTCATACCCTTGTACTGATGTACACAAACCTTTCGGCCTCTATCCAATATCTTAATCTTTCGTATGTATAGTAAACTACTAAGCATTACATATAGTAATGATATTTGGCAACCAAGTTAGTTTCTGCCGATTAAAATTGATAAATGGATTGACCCGACGGTCTTGAGCTGATATGGAGTTGATATGGATTGACAGCCAAGTGGACAGCCTTTTATGTCTGAGCTAGACAAGCCATGAAGGACGATGCGTGCGATAAGTCTCGGTAAGTTTGGGGAGATCTATGCCCAAGGAAGAGCCATATTCGGCGATAGCTCACGATGTGGTGCCGTATCGAAGAGGCTCACTATGGTAGTTGGAATCGAAGCATTGATGGACTATGGCTTCTCATCCATCTCGTTTTCCCTCGTTTGGCTCGACTGGTAGGCTCCTGGATCCCCGAAGAGAAGCAATGTTATCATCAATAATGGAGATTTCCGCATTAATCCGGAGAATCTTCTCTTCAAGCATTTTCTCGTACTCCTCATCAGTCAATCGCTTCACGGGGCTCCATTTCGAATCAATCCAGCTCGATTTAGGCTTGGATTCATTGTCCTTGGAACGATTCTTGAAGCGTTGCGATAAATATTCACCAGCACCGCCAAGGGTGCTAAAGACTAGAATCCCCGGTATGATATTCCTAGGCCCTCCTGTACAATTTTAGCGATGTATGTAAAAGTCGTGTATTTATCAAAGCAACTTACGGATCATACCGCCGACCATTCCAGCCACGCCGCCGGCTACTCCGCTCGCTTTAACTCGATCTGATGAGGTGGCGTTTTTTTCACCACCCCACGAGTGCAAAAGAACGCTCCTTGATGCTGCATATAATTAGTAACTAGAAGTAGAATCATTCGATACTGATGAATCTCACCCATGTAACTAGATCCAAGACCAAACCATTGGAGGCCAGCAGCGAATGCAAATAGTACCGGCGGAGCTGATCGAACAATACCGGCACCAGCTCCGAACATCATGCCAACAGCACCTGGATAAAGTAAGCAAGTCTATCTTAGTAGCCCGCAAGTTGGCGCATGACTTTACCCAACGCTGCTCCCGTCTGTATTGATTTGGCCGCAATATCCATAATCACATCATGAGATGCATCAGTGGGATACTTGTCGTTTGGTCCTGAACTAGGGGACAAGGCTTTGGGCTGCTGAGGCTTTGGCGGCTGAGATGACGAGGCCATTTTTTGTTAAGTGCCGCGAAGGTGTTGAGAAGTGTTGATGTTAAACGATAAGAAAAAAGGGGTTAACCAGGTGAATCTAATGGTCGATATCAGAGCAAGTGGGAAAAGAGCCTTGAGGTTAGAAAGGGGCTCCTTAGATTCACATGCATTAGTGTACAATGCAATATAAGTCACATAAAAAATTGAACAAATCTCATTCGGGTACGAGATGATCTGGGAACGTTATTTGACGTAGGGCATGGAACGGTTGTCTTGATTGGAGGCCGTTCCTGAGCTGAGGTTTATCGATTTATCGTATCTGTATGTTAATTCTGCCCATCGGCGGTAATCAATTCCCTGTGCCCCTCCGTTAGATACTTGACAAACATGTACCTGGCTAGCATGGTTCGATTAAATTTGTCCAATAAACGATTTTACATTGTGCGGCACGCCACAAACGGGAAATACCACTGTTAATATAATTATCTGCTAAATCATATTCGTTCAAATGGTGGACGGATCCTCCAAGCTACGAAATGTTAAAAAGGGGCGTAAAGAAGCTTAGAAAGAATTAAGGCCGTAAGTATAATTACTTCTGGGGATAGCCTTCATATTTGTGTAGGTATGTGAATAGCCTACCTACCTTAAAGTAAAAGCGTATAATATTGCCCAAGCGGTAATTACTATCTTCACCAAACACGCGAGTTGTCCCTTCCTTTTTCAACCCCTCTATCCTTATACCACTAGGTACCGATACAGGAGTAAAGTTTGATTACATAAACTTTGATAGTGTAGGTCAAGATTGAACCCCGCCATCGAAACCATAAAAATTAGATAGGGTACTTGAACACCTTGTACTCTAGGCTTAATTCTCCCCAATCGTGCCTCATACGTTCTATGCGAAAAAAAATTAAGCTAACCCTCCCGGCCTTTTTTTTCACAGCATCCATTTTTTTTTACCCTTTTGATCGTGGAAAGTTTTCAAGTTAAACTTCTTGCAAACTTCCGCCGACCATATCTTTCATCCCAATCGACTTTTTCGACGGCACCGGTGATTTCCACGAAATTCACTGCTGTCCCTCGAGCACTCATAACTTATCATCGCTCATCGCTGACCGAAGAACTGACCACAGTTTCTTCGGCCAATTTCATTTCCTGCCTGCGCGCGACGAACTTGACCGTTGCGCGTGGCTAAAACACCGCAATCATGGGTACGTCGTCGCTCAAACACCTCCCACTACCCCTCGGTATTACCCCTCGGAATGTCGTACTAACAATTGATATATTATAGCTCCTAAGAAGAAGGACCAGCAGAAGATGTCCCTCGGGGCCTTTCTGCAGGAAGAGAGTCAGTCTACCCTCCCTTTGATCCCATCTCTACACCGTGTGTCGTATCAACGTCGTCATCATTCTATGAACAGACAACCAAATAGCCATCATCAATCAGTGATGGAAAAATAAAATAAAACATATTTGCTAATATGAGATAGAATACGGTGGATCATGGGCTGACGAGGTTGAGGATTCATTCGGTAAGACAAATTGCCTCCTACAAATTGGTTCAGCATCATTAATGCGGTATTCCAGGATCCCAGCCTCTACCCTCTACCTCCGATCGACGTACTGGCTACTCAAGCTATGGATCCGGTGGTGGCGATCGTGGTAAGTGAATAAATATGATACTCCGTGAATACTTCCCATTTGGTTACAGACCGCTAATCTATATTAACAAGGCTACGCTCGCGAATCCTACGCATCTCAGGGTCCCGCCCAACTTCCTACTAAACCCCCTTTCACCGCTCACCTAGGCAACCTCTCTTACGAAGCCACAAACGAGTCCGTGACCGAATTTTTTGACGGCTGTGATATTACTAGCGTTCGAATCATCGAGGATCGCATCGAGCAGCGCCCAAAAGGGTTTGCTTATGCTGAGTTTGCGAATGTCGAGGGTCTAAAGAAGGCCTTGACTCTTGACGGAACTAGCTTCCAGGGTCGCACTATCAAGATCAAGATCGCTGATCCCCGTGAGTTGAGCCAACATTTTCTTTTTTTTTTTACTGAGAATATATTAACAAGTTTTTAGCCAAGGAACGACAGGATCGTGGCGAGTCAGCTCGCGACCTTAGTAGCTGGGAGCGAAAAGGTCCCTTGGCGGATCTTCCATCTCGTGGCGGTGGTGGTGGTGGTGGCGGTGGTGATCGACGTCCTGCAGAGTTTGGAGAGCGCCGCGGAGCTGGTAGTTTCCGAGATGCAGCGCCCCCTTCTGACGACGGCAAAGTGCGCGATTTTGGCAACTGGGAGCGCAAGGGGCCACTGTCGCCTCTTCCTCCGGCTGAACGTCCTGCGGGGTCGCGAGATAGTAGCCGTCCCCGAACCCACGATGCTAACCGTGGCGATTCCTTCCGCAAGGATCGCAAAGCCTCTCCAGCTACGTGGGGTGAGGGTCGTCAAGAAGGCTCTCGTCCTCCTAGGGAATTTAAGGAAAAGCCTGAGCGCCCGGAACGCGCACCAACTGCGGCGGAACTTGACAACCAGTGGCGCAGCAACATGAAGCCTGACCGTTCGGTCAAGTCTCCTGGACAGTCCCGTGACGGATCTGAGGCGCCGCCATCGCCAGCTGCTGCTCCGGCTGCCCCGGCTGCTCCCGTAGGTCGCCCTCGACTTAATCTTCAGAAGCGGACTGTATCTGAATCTCCCGACGTTGTATCTCCTGGGTTGCCGTCTGCCACTGGTGATTCTAAAGCGAGTCCCTTCGGAGCCGCTCGTCCTATTGATACGGCGGCAAAGGAGCGTGAGATCGCAGAGAAGCGAGAACAACAGTTGAGAGAGAAGAGAGAGGCAGACGAGAAAGCTAAGGAAGAGCGACGTCTTGCTAAGGAGGCTAAGGAGGCCGCAGCGAAGGAAGCCGCGGACAAAGCTGCTGCGGAGGCAGAAAAGCCAAAGGCAGCTGAACCGGTTGAAGAGAAAGCTGCACCGATTCCCGAGACCAAGGAGGAACCGAAGGAGGAACCGAAGGAGGGACCGAAGGAGGGACCGAAGGAAGGAGGTGTCCAGACACAGAATGGTGGTGCTGCAGAGCAGAAGCTGCCAATTCGATCGAAAGACAATGTACCCAACCCCAAAGTTACTAGAGCTGCTGAGAGCGGCAACTGGCGAACATCGCCGGGAGAGCAGCGACAAGGTCGTGGCGGTTACGTTAACGCCTCACGAGGCCGTGGCGAAGGCCGAGGACGCGGTGCGCCGCGGGGACCGCGCGGCAACTACGAAGGACGACCTCCTCGAGCCAACGGAAACACACCGGCCGCTTCCACCCAACAGCCCGCTCAGGCCCCGTCGCCTGCCCCAGAGGGCGAGGCTGCTCCGGCGCAGAGTGCCGATGGCTGGACAACGGTGGCCTCGTCTAAGGGTCGTCGCGGCGACCGTACGCGTGCTTGAACACGACGGCAAGCAATGTACAAAACCAGGTCTTCCATGCATAGGTACATGGGGGGAATTCATCGGGATCCATAATGCTGTGGACTTGCAATACGAAGAAAAATATTTGATCTTTTACTGCTGTTGGCCCCCTTTCGTTGTGACGACTGCTTTACGACGATAATGAGGTTAATCTGCTACATTTCTGTTCCACCGTATATACCAAATACCCACTTCGGAAGCTACTGGTAATACTGAACAGCATATCTCCATCCTCGCGGCGTATTTGCTCTTGAAAGGGTGGTGGGTTACGGACCCATACCTTGCTTTCAGATTCATCTTTGCGCCTTTATAAGCATTTTCCGGAATTCGTCAACACAGAGGAAGGGTCACCCCACGAAAAGCATGAAATGGGTTGAACACTTGGTTTTCTCGCCTGATACCTGCAATATACGATTTTCGTTTACGGCACCGAACTTGATTTGGAAGGCAGGCAGGAGGGGCGGTGGTGGGGAGGATTCGAGCATTGAGAGGCGGGTTTTAAGGGATTGATGGCCTTCAAGATCTCTTCTTTTTTTTTCGGATGCCACCAAAAAAGTCCTGTTAGGAGTTTGCGGATACGGGTTCAGGGTCGCCTTTGTTTTTTTTCTTCTTCTCTTCTCCGCTTTACCTTCGACAATTTTTTCTTTTCTTTTACTGCTTTAATCTGCTCGGTGAGTAGGGGGTACTGACGTTTTTAGGAGCTCGTTCCGCCGTGCTTGTCGCGTGCCAAATCGGGTCTCCCGGTCGTTTTGGTTGGTCACCATCGTCCCCCGTTCCCCGGGTTCGCTAGACTGAGGAACAGACCCGTCGACTTAGGCATCGGCATAGGAAGAAATGCAAAATGTTTCCCCGAATATGATGAGCTTGTGCAAATATGAATGCTTTAGAATAGCTTCGGCTGAAATGATATTCTCTCTTAGGCACTGTGATCTACGTAGATTAACCAACGAGCGCACGTAGTCACTCAACGTTAGCCAGCTTGACTGGTGAGACCCCCTTTTTACTTTTCTCTTCCTCTGGCAGGTCTAGATAATTTGAATGGTTTATACCCATGGTTTACGTACTGCAAATCTCAAGGTATCTCGCAAGGAGTTCACATAGGTAGCTAGAAATACAGGGGCATCCTCTATCTAATTCCTAGCTAGATTCCCTTTTTGCTGGCATGCCGCCACCCGGATTGTGAAACGACATATTTGGCTTGAATATGAAATGCTTGTCGATCTAGAAGTCACGTTGCTAAAGTAGAAAACAGACTCCGTTGTAATGAATATAGTTATCTGCCTTCCGTAGGACTAACCCCCCTTATCGTACTACTAATTTCCACAAGCGATGAACTTGATCTAGGTACCTAACAAACTTTACTTCTTGAACACCTGAGCCCCCACCCTCTCAATTTCTCTCCCCTCCGGCGTATTCTTGCCGGCAGCTTCGAGCAGGCGGGTCCAGGCGTCGGCGTCTTTCGCCTTGACGGCCTCCTTCGCGGCCTTGACGCGCATGCCGCACTTCTCGTACATCGTGATGGCGGCCCCGGGCTCCAGGTTCGTGCACTTGGGGATGAAGATGGCCGCTAGGCGAGCGTTGCCCGCCTGTAAGATCTGGTTGAAGAAGGGCTAGATGGAGAAAAAAAAAGGGGATTGTCAGTGATGGAGTGATTGTGTGGAATGTGGGGTTTGGGAATTTTGAGCTTTACCTCCCACCCAATCGGGCTTTTTCTGCTCTTAGCGATGTCCTCAATCTCGTTCCAGTCTCGCTTCGCGACAAGCGCGCGTAGTCTAGCGCAGCGTTCCTCGTTAGCTACCATCTATTTCGAATAGATACGTAGGGTTGCGCAAATAGCAACTCACCGGATCCACCAAGCCACCTTCTCTGGGACCTTGAATTCGCTCTGGACTTTTTTGGCTTTGTTATGATAGCCGAGACGAATCAACTTGAACAACGTCTCGTTGACACTCAGGCCGGTAAACGTGTCCGTCAAATCTCGATCTAAGGCTTCCTGCATGCGTAGAAGCGTGGCCGCTTCCTTCAAGGCTGTTAGCTCGAAGTGGTGCTCTCTCGAATCGGACAGCAATTTAGCAGCGAGCGTTAGCTTGTCACCCGCCGTGCGCGCGTCGGGTTGGCGCAATGCTTCGCGAATGAACACGCCGGCACCATCCACCCGACGGTCGTCTTGATAGTACAGATCCTTAAGCAATGCATTATCATTTTCCAACGCCGCCGACGATTCCACAAGTGCAGTAGCAGTGGGCCGTGCGTTGATCACGCGGAAGAAGGATGCTAATGGGAGCTTCTTCTTCAACTGAAGAAGGACGAAGAGGATTAAATCAGAGTCGCCGCTTTCGATCGCCTTGTCGAGGGCTATTTCGTCTTCTTCCATGCTCAGGAGGAGCGGCACCTGTCGTCCCGCGCGAGGCTCGTGGTTCAGAAGCTCTGTCGCTAGTCGACCACGGCCTTCGTCGTAGGCGGCGCGAGCGATGGACTCAAATGAGATTCCCGGCTTTCCCGAAAGCTTCTCTACAACTAATCGGCAGATCGAGTCATCGTCTTCCGTGCCAATTCGGACTTTAGCGGACGCCCAGTGAACGTATATGCGGTCTGTAGGCAGACGAAGGTATCCAGCAATGCGAAGTGCAAGCAAATATTCGTGGCGGTTGATGAGTCTTTGGATAAGTCCTTCTGGTGTAAGGCGTTGAAACTGTTCATAAGATAGGGGCAGGCCAATTTCGTAGTATCTCACAGCATTAATTACTCGCAGCGTTTCGCACATATCCACGAAATCGTCGCTGTTGTAGATATCAAGCACCGATTTTCCGAATGAGGCAGCCTTAAGTAGTTGCTTCTGCCAATGTATATTGAACTCATGTCCAGCAGCAGCAACACAAGTATCGACGGCTTCGACGAGATTAGGTCGGATAAGCTGGATATTATCATCAGCCTTTGGAGACTGATTCTCAAGCTGCTCTACAGCATCGAGTAAAACAGAGGCCGGCGATTCGCTGCCGTAACGAAATACTTCGTCTATCACGTCAGGTACTTTCTGGATAAAGTCACAGACGTCATTGGTGATGAGCCTTACTCCATCATGGTCTATCTTTATGTTAATTATTGGATAACCTTCAAGTTGGATGCAATTTTGTAGCTTACCTGCGATTACGTGGACACGACCTTCATAAACGTAACTTGCCACCGCAGCGTTAGGCCCTACCACGTTCACCTCATCCTCCCACGCTATAACAACTGCATCGTTTCCGCACCACTCCAGATATTTAGGAGTAAGTTGAGATCGGGAATCGTGTTCACTTAGCCGGCTCTGGAAGTCTGCGGTGATCACGTGGGCTTTCCCATCCGTGCCATAGAGAGCCGCAAACTTCCCATTTGGTGACACACTGATATGTGAAAACGGACCAATGTCTAGGAATCGATCTTCGCATTCAGTTTTATCCACGGTATAAACCGTCTTGTCGACACTCAAGAGCACTTCTACCGACCTCGACAACGTGAAACTAGGCGAGATGATAGCCCAAGCGTGGACTTCCCCTTCCGGTGGCGACGCGAGCGCTTTTGGCCGTGGTTCATCATACGAGGATACAGATATGAGGGCGTTATTGGTGAGTAACGCAACCATCCCATGGTCGTAGAAACGACACGAACGAATGCCAAAATCCTCAGCCTCGCGACCGAGAGAGAATTGGGTGAAGTCCCCTTGTAGGTTATAATAACACCTCACAGTTCCATCGTAGCTCACAACCAGAAGTTTCTCATCTTCAGACCAACCAAGTCCTTTGATAGATCCCTTGTCCCAAGCGATGCTCTTTAATAGCTTACCAGCACAGCTGTATATGTCAATGCTGGGCTTTGATGATTTGGAAGGCTGGTACGAGATGATTTTAGTGTCATCCCGGCATATTGCTATATGATGTCAGCGGCGTTTCACGCGTCGTTAAGTTTAGATGCATTAAGAAGTTGTCTGCAGCAAAATGAGTTATCACAGAATAGCTAAGCTTCTAAACGGGATGTTCGTTTTAAGCATCAAGTCTTATGGGGGATATTCTAATGCAGAACGCCCTTTAAATATCATAATGAAAAGGGGGAGTATAATATGATGTTGTGTTGTAACTTACCTATAGCGCCGCCATATGGAGCGCCAGCCACGATATAATTATCCAAGTCAAGATCCTGGTCGAAGATTGCGGTATAGAGCTGTGTCTTGCGGTAAAACCTATCTCCCACCTTCTCCCAACCGGCTGTTGGATGCGTCGCTTCCATGTTCGCTCTATTTCATCATCTTGGTATCATAGTCAAGCAGTCGACAACCACAACCAAATTTCAGAATTGTGGTATGATTATATGTCGGTATTGTTCTTCGATGGCAGGAAGATGAATGATTGAAGCTTGGGTAATAACATCGGGTAAAGGTCGGGCTACATAGGTACCTCCTACGTAATCCTGCCCAAAACTCAACTTCACGCGCACGGGCCTATACCTTAAGCTTCATAAAGTTCAACGATCAATAAGGCTGACAGGGGGGAATATATTATCACGACAAAATTCACTACACGAACATGGATCTAACAGAAGGAGGATCCGGGAAGTTATTTATATGTATTAGCCGGAAATTTTGCACATATGATTATTTCAAGGGAGCTAAGGATATGGGGCATTTGGTGGTTGTTGCAATATACGCGGCACTGTATGTGCATATATGTAGTTTTCAAAACTTTATTCATCAAGTGGCATCTAGAATAGATAGCCAGACTACTGTAATGCAAAGCTCTTTGCCATATTTTCAGGCTGGGTCAACATCGTGCTAGATACTCTAACTTTAAGTGACACTATTGAGCATGCTAGAACCTCAACACAACTTGGGATAGTTTTCGCCCATCCACTGAGCTGAGATGCGTCGTACGCAGTAGGCTCCCGAGAAGTCCATTGGTCCTCTCACACTTAGTAGTCTAAGATATCGATGAGCCACGTAGTTCTGACGACCTCGGAACCACAGTGGACAACTTACCCGTACGTATCCTAAAGATCATAATCATCTTCAGTCGAAGTGATTTATTTTAGCTGGGAATGATTATTACGCTTTCCGGCATCCACCCCTAAGCGTACAGGGGTTGCTTTAGGAACATCCCGGCCAAGTCGTGAGTTGTACTTCGCGACGCACAATCAAGATTCAGATCTAGTATAACTGATACTAGACTTCATCTCTTGTTGCCGTATCGCTTCTCCATCATCTTCTTGTAGTGGCCCTTCTTACCACTAGCTTTGGTTTCTTGGATCTGGCCATACTTGCTCTTGAATTTGCGTGTGACGTCCTCGGTCTCTAGAACCTCCTCAAGAAGAGTGCGCTTCCTCTCCTTCTTGGTTAATCTAGCGTTGAAGAAATCAGTCGGACCCTCGACTATAGTCCCGACCGCAGAGAACTCAGGAACCAGGGACCGTGAGCTGTCTTTTCGGTAGAATCGCTTCGTATCTAGCACATCACGCATGCGTAGTAGTTGCAGGTCCTTCTTGAGTTCGGGAGTAAGATCGGTTCGGGGAAGATTGAACCAGGATGGACCGGCATCTGTTTTGACGGCCTGGAGACTGATCAGCAAAGAGCTCCTGCATAAGCCGACAGAAAGTAAGGAAGTATGAAATTAAGAGTCAGAGTAACTATGATATTTATCTATCATTCTGGCGTAGCAACGTACCCATAACGGGAATAGTTACCACTTCAATTGTGTTGGGTTATATACTTCATCATGGAAGGACATCGCCAGGAATACATTTGAATATGTTGGATGGAATCTATGACATACCATTTCTTGTTTCGACCGTCTGGGCTCAGGTACTCTTACCGACAGCTCTTCTGACTTAGCACTGTCTTTTGAGGCTAGCGTGGCCGGCTTCAATAATGAGCCTTCTGGCTTAGAGATCTTTGCGACGGCTGACTTTGGGGGAGCGGAAATAGCCTTGCTATCTTGTCCTTGACATTTCGCTTGTAATCTAACTTCAGCCTCCATGAGAAGTTGCTCGATCTGATCATCTGTCAGATCAGTTGTCGTGGTTATGTCCGCCATGTTGGGCGACAACCAAATTTGTTGACAGAGTTGGTAGTGTCAAAAGCCTGGGAATGCAGGAAGAAAAATAAAATTTCGGAGCTTTGAAGATGATAAAATTTCATCTAGGTTCCGGGTTAGACGATGTGGCTGGGCTTTGGTGGAATAGAGGCTGAGTACTTCTGCATGTGGCTGTGGCTGTGGAAGATACTTGAATATATCTGTGTACCTAGGTAAGTATTTACTTTATTCTCTACACCTGGCAGGGATTTGGTTGGCAGTTTGAACACGAAAGGCTACTCGGACCTATCGATAAAGGCGGAGTTGCCTGTCAAGGTGTTCCGGACATACACCCACCATCCCTGCAACCACCCCCAACCTGCGGTACGCAGCTTCCCTTCCCCAGTGTCCGATGGATGTGAGTCTGTGATTTCTGTGAGAAGGCAGGAAGGAAGTGTGCGGATTGCGGGTCGCTGATGCCCAACCATATTGCCAGCGCATTGATTCCAGGTTCCCATCGAGGCTGCCCAGTTTTCGCAGCCAGCCCTACAACGTAAAAGCGTAAAAGCGCATCGAAGATCAGAGCAATTCTAGAAAATGCATTCACGTCATTGCCCAATCCCGACCAACACATCCAACACATACATCCCTCCATCCATAGGTACCTACACACACATCCCATACATCCCATACCTCCATACGTACGTCCATCCATCCCATCCACGCCCATACAACCAATACACATACCACATTACCTTACACATACATAGAAGCTAATAAATACCTTAGCCTTGAGTTGTTTGATCAGATCATTTGGATGCATACATAACGTACAATTCATAAGTCCACAAGCATAAGCACTTCTGTCCAAGTTCATCCTTTTTCTTTTTTTAACTCATTTTTTATTTTTATTTTTCTCTTCACTTTTCGATTCATCTCATTCAACCATCCTGATTGGAGAGATATTAAAAAAAAGAATCAAAATAAATAGGAAAAGGTGAAAAGAGAGGATCTGACTGGACAAGACTGAACGAATCGAAAGCCTTAAAGTTCCAGTTTCCAGGTTCAATCGACAAGAAGATAAAAAATAGTGGACGTCTCGGAGCGAGCCGCAAGCCGGGACGTGAGCAAACTTCTGACTAAAGAAGAACTCGGGAACGAATAATAATTATTCTGAGCGACAAAGGGCAAAAAAAGGAAAAAAAGACAAAACAAGGTGCAAAAATAAATCGCCGCAAATCACCTTCGCGTGATTAAGAAACAAATCCGAACAAATCCTCGAGCCGGCGAACCTTAAATCGCACAAACGATCAGCTAAGCACAGCACAGCACAGCACCTAAGCAAAAGCACCTGAGCAGCTGGGCAGTTCTTTCCAAACCCCGGACTAACTTTCAAGACACCGCCCAATCAATCATCCGAATCCGTTTCCCTTTCTAAGCTGGTCACTCCCGCCCCAACCCCCCGTCCAATCAATCTCGCCAATCCGAGGTCGACTTTGAATACCTACTGGTCCAAAAAGCTCATTTGTTACATCACCACGCGCACCAAAGCTTCGACCCAAGGGCCTGTGTAAACAATACAAACAGTCCTTATTTTTTTCTCCGCCGTCGGGAAGTCTGTCCACGCACAGTGATACCTGCGACGAATTTCTCGGCAAGCGAAAAAAAAAGGGCAGCACTCGACCAAAAAAGCTCGCTAGCAACTTATTAGTGTCGTGCGCGTGCGTCCAATACTACATAGCGCAAGACTTCCAGTTTGCCCGTCAGCCCCGTCGAGCTCTTGTGGTTGTGTTTTTCGCGCGGCTTCTGAAATACTCGGCGCTTCTTCTCTCACTTGCGCACTTAAGGTTGTAAGACTGGCGCGCAATTCTTTCAGATCAAATACAGATAAAAATACCATGGATCAATCCTCGTCGAGTCACCCGCAGTCGTCGCGAGGTGGAGGTGGAGGTGGTGGAGGGAGCGGTGCTTATGATATAGCACATGGAGGTCATTACGGTAAGTACCTCACAATCGCATTCATCCGTTGCGAGTTGCCTTCTCTCGTGCGACGTCGCTAATCATCTCTCCTTCTAGGTGCCAGTGCAGCGGTGAGTCCCACCGACCTCAACTCTTTCCCTGCCCCTCTCTTCTCCCCTCCCGTCACCCGTCCTTCTCTCCGTCACTTTGACACTTCTTGTTCCATCCTGCTTCTGAGCCTCCTTCCATCCTAGCTATCGACTAGACTAACATAATCTATCTATCTAGCTTGCCAATTCCGGCTTCGCACCCGCCGAGCTCTACACAGGTCCTTGGGCCAACGTTCACCAGGGTCTACACGGTCAATATAAAGACATCCTGACGACTTATTGGCAGAATACCATCAACCATCTCGAATCTGACCAACATGACTACAAGTTACATCAACTACCCCTTGCCAGGATTAAAAAGGTTATGAAGGCCGACCCCGAGGTCAAGATGATTTCCGCCGAAGCACCTATCCTATTTGCGAAGGGTTGCGATATATTCATCACCGAACTCACGATGCGAGCGTGGATCCACGCAGAGGAGAACAAGCGTCGCACCCTGCAGAGATCCGACATCGCCTCCGCCCTCGCCAAGAGCGACATGTTCGACTTCCTCATCGATATCGTACCCCGCGAAGAGGCAAGCCACGCAAAGCGCGCGAACCCCGCCCAGGCACAATCGGCTCAAGGTGGCGTGCCGTCGGCCGCGCCCGGGAACCAGATGCCCGGATCGCACGGGCTACCCGGAGCCGCGAATCATATGGCACCAGGCGACTACGGCATGGGTGGCCACGCCATGGCCTCTGAACAAGAGTACCGCGGCCCGCCCATGTACAACCAGGTGCAGGCCGGCCCCGGAGGTCCCTACAGCCAGCAGCCGCCGCAGCCGATGTACAGCGACATGGAGGGCATGTACGGTTACCCGGGGATGCCTCAACAGCAGTAGAGCCGCAGTGTGGTCAACCCGGGCGTTCCTTACGAGAACCTCAGAGAAGGAGGAGTTGATGGAGGAGGAGAAGGACAGGTTGAAGAGAAGAGGGCAGAAGAACAGTCGGTTGTGGGGGAGCAGATCGTGCGCGATGAGCTGGAAGGGACGGGGACGGGCTAGGGGACCTGGTGGAACAGTACATTCCAGAAATTCTTTCAGTGAATAATACTAGGGGACACAAACATTGTTCTTAACTCTTTTTTGATAGTTTGGCGTAGGGGTTTATCAGGTCGCACAAGGAGCCTACGCTGTCGCCCGTTTTCGCTGCGGGCTATATGGTACAACGAATGCAACGTCGATTGATTTTTTTATGATTTCCCGCGCTTGATCATATCCATCTGCGTAGCTACTTGCGATATGAATGGAAATGTGATGGCTTTGCTTGGTATATATACACTTCCTAACCAGCCTACGTACTTGCCTACTAGGCTTACGTTCATGTTCACCGTATCGCGATCGTTACACGGCAGCATCTGATTTTATTCACGCATCCTGCTATAGCTACAGCTTCCTTATCACCATCCCCATCCGTTGACTTAGGGATGTGTTTGAGGCGTGCTACGTTCCTGAAAGCTACAAGACTGCTTGGCATACCCGGTCCAGATTGTATAAGATATCCCAGCGCATACAGTTTATATACCCATCTACTCTACTTAGTACCGAACCGCGACGAGAGGTTCGACGAGAAGTTGGCAAATCTTTGGGCAGCCTGGCCCGAACTGATGATTTGTTGGGTGAGTCTACCGATATATGCGTTAGCACATCGCATGTTCTTGTTATATTTTATACTTTTCCGAAAATCGACAAGGGGTAGGTAAACTCACTTCTCTAGCAGGACCGGGCCGTTCATGGCGTCCACGCGTCCGTACTTCTTGTTCCTGGTCGAGATGTCGAAGAACTCGTCCGTGTTATCTGATTGAAGGAGTTGGATTGTTTGCTCCAACTCGTCCAGGTTGGACCGAAGCATGAAGCCATTCTCGAGGCCGTCCACGAAGGTGGTTAGATGTTGGACGTCCATCGAAAGCGCCGCCACGCCGTTCGGGTTGATTTTCTTTACGTCGGGCGATAGGGGAAGGGCCTGGATTGTTCTGTTAGTACTAAGGTTGAGAAGAAGGTGTAAAAATATGATTCACTGACAAGAATCTTATTCGCCGCATGACTGAGGGCGTCAAAGTAGATGAGCTCCTTAATCTCTCTTGGCAGTCCTAGCAACGTCGAATTCATTATGTTCGAAAGGTATCTAGTCAAGGTCTGCATGTAATTGCTCGGTTCTGTGGGACGATTAATCGCGGTCCAGTCATATTCTGCCGTTTCGACCAGGTCGTCGATCTTAGAATTCACCAGCTCGAAGATGCGCTTTTCAGCGGTCTTCTTGTTCTCTCTGAACTGCTCGGTAGCTGCAAGGGTCAGGGGCCCTCCGGCGGACGCCGAAGATCGTGCTCGAATCAAGAGTTGTTCTAACTCCTGGCATGCGATCTCGAAGTGTTCCAAATTGATCAAGATTTGTACTATCTGACCCAAGTATTGCGAACTCAATCTCTCTACCAAAGATTTGCACACCTTCTCGGTAAGGAGCTCATCAAGAGACTAGTAATATGAAGTTAGAAAACACCAAAGTATGAGAAGAGAAAAAAAGTAGCTTGTGCAATATTTACCTTGCGTAGTGTATCGTCGATCTTGTTTGGGTGTTGGAAATGGTCGTCCGAGAAGAAATAAAACTGGTTGAGGAAATTTCTAATGTCGATACAACACAGCGGATACATTTGAGAAAAGGGCAAAACGCATGGAAACCTGTGACAGTTAGATGGGCAATCAAGAACGCGCATATAAAGGCTTACACAAGCTCATCGTTGGGCTTCTCTGGAACAAACCAGCTAACGTTAGCCACCTTCTCATATTCTTCCCTGGTATTTATGGCCATTGGCATGTAGTCATCAGTCGACACAATCTTCTTCATTGGTCAGCTCGGTCAACTCTCTTCACGGCATGCGATCCCCCTTACCTCTTGAAAGTCCTCGCTGAACCTTCTCTTCAACAATTCGGCGTATCTGTCGAAGAGGTCGACCAGGAATTCGTCAAGTCTCGAGACAGAATACCCCCAACCCTAGAACTCATCAGTAATTGATATTACAGGGAAAGGATCACGAATGGTTTACCTCCATTGTCAGAATAAAAAGATCGACGCGTCCCTTGATATTCAGGAGGATTTGGGCATCGTTGATATCACTCAATGCCTTTGAAGTCAAAGATATTGCTGCAGCACACATCGAATCCCATAGCTCCTCAACCTGAACATGTCAGCGCTATTACCTGATAAGCGACCGAGAATCTTACATCGATAGCTGTTCGTAGCTGAGGTGCTTGGCGCATGGTGGCCTTTTCAATGATGGCGAACCCAGCAATGCCTTCCAGCAAGCTGCTCAAAGAGGATTCGTCATCAGTAGTGAGGCTCACAGAACTTGGGATAAGTAGTTCCTTTTGTCGTCTTCTAGTGGCAGCATACTCGGACCGGAATTTATCACTCTGGCCCAGTGCCTCATGTATGTGAAGGGCCTCGAACAGAGGGGTAAAATCGACCTATATCGGTTTGGTTTAGAACGGATAAATCTTGTAGTATATCGGAACGGGCACAATTCACCTTTAGTTCCTCATTATCAAGTACATCGAATTCCTCACTCTCATCGAAGACCAGCTCGATAGCAGAGTTCAGCTTGAAATGGTTCAGAAATTCGTCATTCTCGGCGCGCTCTCGTTGACGTGTACGACGCATCTCGGTGTGATAGAAGGCCACCTCTCCAAGGAACTGCGAGGTCTCTCTGATGCGGAACAACCAAGTATTAAGGTCTGTCATGACAGCTTCGGATATGGTTTTCTGAGATGCAGGAATGGACTTCTGTATCATGTTTGCGAGTTGATGCTGGGTAGCAAAGTTGTTCTGTATGATCGGGATGAGGAATTCGTTCTGGAGGTCTTCGAGTGACTTGAGCGCAGCGTAGTACTTCTTCTTGCGAACCAAGTCGTGGGCATTGTTGACTGCGTGCAGTATCTTCAGAGATTCCTTCAAGGCATCGGATACATCAGAAATATTCTCTCGGACGGCTCGCGTGTTGACTAGTGCTTGTTTCTGCTCTGCCAACTTCTCGGTACTGGCTTGAATAGACTGGTTCAGTTCGAGGATATCGGCAGTCAATGCAACCGTTCTCTCGCGGACATTCTGCAGCTGATTTACGGAACCCAGAAACTCCTCATGCTTTGTCAATCCTATCCTCTCGATCTCTGTCTCCCGATCTTCGGCATATTGTGATAGGTTCTGGGTGAGGGAGGCCGCTCTATTGGTTGTCGTCGCATCTTTCAGGACAGGTATTAATTGGTCGACGAACTCGGCATCTGAAGTTGATAGAATAATCTGTTGGACTGCGGAGCCATAGTCATCGTAATTTTGAACCCGTCGTGGCATGATGACGACGGATGTCAGTCTGGTGGCACCGCGATGCCACCAGATGCGTTGCGCAGGCTACAGAGCGTTGGAGGTCAGAGGTTACAGGTTACAGAAGAAGGATGGCTCAATAGAAGAGGCACATTGAGTATAATAAGTCGGCGGCAATGCAGACATTCATCGCCGAGCCTGGTATTTGTTTCCTAGGTACATGTAATTAGATTGTTCTCTGGTAGATGGTGTGAATTGGACTAGTAGTGATACATGTATGTCTATGTGAGAGCCTGGAACAGTGGCGTCGAGCTATGGTATCTATTTACGGTATTTCTACAGTGTATGTACAGTTCCGAATATAAACCGTTGGCCAATCAGCTACGAATGAACCACCGTAGCTAAAAACACCAATGGTTTAATCATCAAACAGTCTAATGAAGTTTAAACGTATACTATGACGTATGGTTTTTTTCTTGCGAATGGTTTTTATTTGGACGAACGGTTTATATTTGCAAAAGGTTTTTTCTAAATTTGAACCGTGGTTGTACGGTCCAGGGAGGTGCGGATGTGGTCAAAAATGAGATTCCCACCTTTGTAGGCGGGTGCTTAGTCAATTGACTGTATTATGTAATATCACTCAATCAATAGAATCACCTAAAGAACAAATACAATTTTACAATTGAACGGTTCGAATCAACTAATCACTGGATGAGGTTTAAGAGCTTTACAATTGAGCTACAAGGTCTAAAGTCTACGCGTGAGAGGGTTTTCTCTAATCTAGGTCTATAGACTTTAGGAGCTCGCACCTGCTGGATATCTTCAAGTAGTACACAGGTACATCCATACTTCCCTGGACCGCATAACAACGGTTTGAACACTTTGGACTAAATAAAAACCATTCGCAAGCAAAAACCGTTCGTTCTTCAAAAAACCAGTGGGTCAATCAACGGTGTAACTACCTTTTGTCAATATAAACCATTCAACCTAGGAACGTTCCTGCTTGCGGATGGTTTATATTGACTAATCAGTGACATCACGGTTTATAGACCGAGGACTGTAAAAATACGGTAAATAGATACCATAGCTCGACGCTAATGAAACGTCACAGTGCACAAGCCGCCGCAGTATGGTGGGCCACCATTGTACCTGCATGGTTAAGCTTCACGCATCTTAGCATCATTACTAATCTTATCTACCTAGGTACGTAAATCCCACACTTTCCCTAGTGCAATTGGTATGGATACCACTTGAGTTTAGGTAGGTACATCTGAGAAATAATAATTACATCGAAATAAAATTCAGTTATAGGTATAGGCTCATAACATTCATAGGTAATGCTGACGCATTTAGTACTTGTTTGCTTATATCATTTTGAATTTTTGATGCCTACCCCAGCACCGCCCAGTACCGTCTCCTGTGTTATTACTACAGTCACATGACCACCTTCATTTCAACCAGTTTTACGAATACTTTGATCGTCATAATTGTATGTAACAGTTGTTACAAGCTTATTCTTTAGCAGTTTCATAACCGTCAAACTTGAAAGGAACGAAGAGGCAAAAAAGGTGATAGCAAAGATCCCTGGAGATTTGCATAAACTCTTTCACTATAAGAATCGATGTAAGGTTAATACAAATCTCAAATGACAAGACATGCATAATAGAACAATTGGTACTTAAATTTGGCAACCGGGATCTTCCCAGACACTTATTTGTATGCCAGGCCATAGAAGTCGTTAATGTACAACCCTTTACTTAGAAACAACCACCTATCTCCACCCTCTTCTTAAGCAGCACTTAGATATCGCTATGGTTCCTATCAATGATAAAAACCACCGATCAACCCGTAGACCCCATTTCGACCCATCCCTTAAGACACCGATATATCTCCAATTGATATCCACCTAAATCAAAGTATAAATCCCTCTATCTAGGGCCGCTTTTTCCTACTAAGTAACGAAACCAAGCGTTTGTGATATAAAGCATACATGGGGTAGTATGATGCTGATTCGCTCGCTTTAGTTTACGTAATGAGAAAATCCGAAATGGTATCTTTAGGTCGTAAGGAACTAGGCTGTGGGATAAATCAGAAGCCCACAAGCGGTTCGAGTAGCGACAAAAGGGAATGCGAACAGTGAAGAAACGAAAAAAAGGTGTGTATAAATAAGCCTCAGATCAAGTAAAATATTCGTTCAAGACATGGTCCCGTAGAGGTCGTGGGTCTATTTGGACGTCAAGGTTTCCAGGATGTGGATATGTAAAAAGATGAGAAAACGAAAATTTGTCATCATGGTTCTTCGATGATCCCTTCGCCGCCTGCTTCTTCTCTCCACTCGCGGCTCTTGTCTGTCAACTTCTTAACACCACTAACACGCCCCGCCCACAGACTTTCGACTGGCGTCCGGAACGTAAACGCTCTCTGGCTACTTATTACGCCAATAGCCTGCAAGACCGCCTTACGACTGTCACGGCCAAAGACCGCCGGATGACTGATCCACTCGAGACTAGCTTCAAGTTCGGCATCAAGTGCGGCGACCGTGCCGACGTCGATGCCGTTCGCATTGGCTAGGGTCAAGCCGTCGTTCGATCGAGTCCTAGATATCGGTGGCGGGAAACCGTTGAGACCCGAATGAGCCGAAGCAGTCGGTGACGGAGTATGCTTCCGGTCGGGCGTAGCTGAAATCGGAGAAGCATCTGATCCTAACTGGGAGTTCGAGGAGTTTGATTTGCTATTAGGTAACGGCGGTAGGGGAACAGGTGGAAGACCGCCTTTGCCTAATCCTTTCAAGATCGAGCGAGTTTCGTTCAAGAGGGTGTGTGCGCGATCGTGCTGGCCTCGGGAGACTAACGTTAATGCTCGGGTAAGCATGTCGGAAGTAAGAAGTTCCATCCGCCGTTGGACGATATGCGGATGAGGAGGAATGGGCGGGTTATTCTGCCAGGACGAAACTTTCTTCGAATTGCCGGGGGCCGGCAACATTGTGATGGCAAGTAGGGACGGCCTAGGAAGATGCATCATAGTGCCATCCCTTAATATGTCCCCCCAGACTAAATCAGCTTGGATGAGTGGCAATTCTTCCACCGAGACTGCCCTTTGGTCATCATGTTCTACCGGACCACCCAAAGCTTCCAAACCGGATACAATCGTCTCCCATGGATCCTGGGGTAGCTGCTCTTGTGAAGAGTTGTCGGGGACGATAACTAGTTGAACTAAAATGTCCCGTTTATCGCCAAATCTGAGGTCGCCGAGAGAAGCTTCCGCATCACGGCCTGTAGCACGCTTGGTGATCTGCAATGCTCCGCTGATCTTATGGAATCTAGCAGGTGACCCTTCCGGGAGCTTGAGCTTGAGCTTTACATTCTGGTGAGACAGAGATTGCATCGACCCTAAGCATCCCGCCAGACATTCGCGTAGCATCATCCAGTCCTTAACGTAGGTATACGATGCCTTAGTCCGCGTAGATAGTTCTATCATGGTATCTGGCTTGTGTGTCATTCCGAGGCCGAACGAATGAATTGTAATCCTAGCGTTTGTTAGCACCATCTACCATTATTCAAAGACAATGGGCAGTAACTTACTTGGCAGCTTCCGCTCGTGAAACGACAAAGTCAACGCTATCAGCATCAGATGTCGAGGCGTCGCTAATAAGCATGATGGTCGCGATCGGGTTGTTATACTTGCGTTGCATCAGTAGATCCATGGCAACGTTTGCGCCTTCGACGACGTCTGCGCGGTGACTCTTCTGTCCGACAGGTTTGATCGATGCCAAGATATTGTTCCATCCGTGCCAGGCCTTAGTAGTCATACCGACAATAGGTACACCACCTCCTCCTGAGCCAAATGTGACTAGGCCCATGCGGTCGCGCTCACCGAGAGTATGGACCATGAATTTCAGGGCATCCCTAACTAGATTTATCTTAACGCCTTGCATCGAAGATGAGATGGGTACGACTACGACAACATCGATAGGCACGTGGAAGGAGGAAAGAAGCGGGCTCTTAGCGAGGCTAGTATACTCGGTAGGGGCAGTCGTGACGGACTTGGGTCCAAACGAAGACGCCACCGACGAAACTCGCTGAGGCCGAGGTCCTCTACCCCATTCGTCTTCTTCGTTTTCAGACGCCTCATGGCGCTCGTAATCTGGACTTCGGACTGGAGAGGTCTCGACAGCATTAAGGTCAAGAAGAGCTTGCTGCCACAGCTTCAACTGATTTCGGTTATCAAAACGCAGGTGGAACTGCGGGAGCTCAGCGACAGAGAGACTGAGTGTCAATATGTTCTCATCTACTATAGCGAAGATGAATAGTTAGCTTAGGCTTCTAGTCACAGAGATAAGGTCACTCACTCATACCAGTTTCTGAGACCTCATTAAGATGCTTCTTGATAAGGATGGAGCCCTTTAGGGTACATCGCGTCGCTTTCCGCGGCATTCCGTTTTCATCCCATTGTTGTTGTGGAGCAGGTGGTAGATTTTTCTTCTCTTTGACACAAATGAGCATCTCAGCAAAGAGATAGCATTCAAGCTCCTGCCATGAGACTTTATCCTTGCCCACTCGCAAGGTGCCGTAAAGTCGAAGCTTTCCGAATCTATATATCATAAGTTACTGTTCATTGAGAAACAGCTGATGAGAACCACGCACCTATTAAAATCAAGTCCATGCCAATTATCAACCCGATTTCGCAGGTTTTCAGTCATCTCCTCCAATACTTCAGGCGCTTCATATGGGAAGAAACGTGGTTGCGAGCTCCTCGCCGGCGATGGCGGCCTTTGCGCAAATGCTTCCTCCATGCGCATCTGTGGTACTGGATTCACTACTCCAAGGTCTTCGGGATCCGGCCTCCATTTGTTGTCGGCAACTTCTACCGTGACAAGGCACGTCAAGGTCTGCTGCTGTCGCGATCGATTTATGGTTGGGAATTCAGATCGAACGACGACCGATGGCGACGGGATCGGATTGCGCGCCATGGCCCTCGGGCTACTTGGCGTCGTCTCCATAGCTTGAACATCGTAATCGTGACGGCGGGGCGGGCCACTCTGCGTTGTTTCGGGGTAGCCGGTTGAAGAGGCAACACCCGTCGCCTCGCTGTCGCTACGGCCATGTCTGTGAGCAGCCGCGTAACGGTCCGAGCCTGCTGTTTCCCGGCTGTTTCGGAAGCTGCCCTGGGCTGCGCTCTCGCGGCCATTACTAGGGGGGATAGGCATGCTTCGGCTATTCGACTCACCACTGGGCGGCCGGACGCCTTGGGTTTCCCAAGGCTCCCTCGAAGTAGTTGGTGTGGTAAGTGACCTGTTATCGCCACCGGATACTGATCGCACCATGCTTGTTATCTTCTCTGTGGGAAGGAGCAAAATTAGTATGCGCTCGACTACATGCTATGCGATTGATACTTACCGATGTCCAACACGTTTCCTCCCCGACTCGTGTCTAAATGCAAGGGTGCATTGCATGACGGGCAATATTGCGACTCGAATTCCCGTATGAATTCATAGAAGCATGCTTCGTGGGAAACATGTGAACACGAAAATTGTAAAATCCTCTCGCCGCGAAGTGTGTGCTCCAACGGCTCCTCACAGACGGCACATTCACTCCCAACAAAGGTCCTCTCCCTCCGCGTGCGACTCCTTTCCGCGTTCATCATGCCGGTAATGCTACCCTGGCGAATGGTATCTCTGGAAGCAGAAGAGCTAATAGAAGCAGCAGAGCGATGCGACGGCGCTCGCTGTGGCGTGAATGTGGGGCGAAGAGTAGCCGCAGTAATGGAATGATCTAGTAAGAATCGACATACAGTCAGCCCGCGATTGCGCAATAGCGAAACACGGCGCTCCGCGCAACAAGTCGAGGCGGGGAGAATCCAATCACGGTTCTTCCTAGGGGAGAGTGGAATAGAGAAGACTTACTCTTCTCAGGATAGGACGGGGTGCTATGTAAACTACTCCAGTCGTCTTCTTTTCTCCGCAGCGAACGCAAAGAGCGCGACTCGGCTCCAGGCTTCAACCGGCCCAAATCGAACAAGTTAGAAACCTGACCGTCGCGATAGTTACGGTCCTTTGAACTGCTAGAGCCAGAAAATCCGTGTGTTTTCGACGATGATCGACTAAACATGAGCGACGTAAGGCTGCGTAAATCTCTAGGTGGGTAGGTAGTATACAGAATAGATTAGACTAAGAGTCTGGATGGATAATTGCGTCAAAAAGCTGGTATATAGTTCGACGGTACTGTCTTTTGGGTGGCTGTGACAACCGGCTGCCGAAGACTGTTTCAAGTTGGTGGTATCGGTTATGCTTATGATGGGAGAAAAGTAACGGCTGAACGTTGAACGTAGAATAGCAGCGACAGCTCACGTATGCAGAAAAGCAAAGCTTCTGAAACCAATAAACAGAATGTCGGGTCGGGTATAGCTTTGAGATAATTCCAAGTTCGTTCAATCGTCGCATGCGGTAGTTGAGAGATTAGTAGATCGTATAATGAGTGTTAGAACGTGTAGTGTATAGGGGGGAGACGAAGAGATTGTCGAAATTGTCGAGATTCGTTTTAGGATCTCGTTAGCGGGCGAGATGTTCTATTCTCCAAAGTCTTCCTCTCTCTCCAATAATCCTAGGACCCAAGGACCCCCCAATAAGATATCCAGTTAATGGGGTTCCAATTTTTGGTGTCCGGGAGCACCAATAGTATTAGTACGCAGCCAGCCCTCCCTGCAAAAACCGACGAAAAATTAGGCGTTGCTTTAATAGTAGCTGCAGTTATTTAACAGACGACTGTCGTCAGAAAGGGAAAAAGAGGATCCTTCTATCAATTCCCTTTCCCAAATTCAATTTGCTTTTTCTTCCTCCCCTCCCCGGGCCTGGTCGAAACAGGGTAGATCCTTGACTCAAAACGCTGAACACTGAACCGGTGGAAGATCTAGCGGGCGCCAGCTACCATGTATCAGATGTATCTCCGTAACTCGCAACCCGATAAGCTGAGGGTCGGGCTGAGATGGGAGCACAGCTCGCATTCAAAATCAGTGAGCGTTGACGACTCTGAGGGTGAGAGGGAAGGACAAGTCCATCATAGGAAAAGGGTTGTTAGTGAGAGATTTCACAATTTCACAGATACAAGAGATTCAGGAGAAACTCTTGCCTGGTGTGTGGCGACGGTAATGGTAATAGGAAAGGGAAAGGAAGATGGGGGCCATAAGGAAACCATAAGGGATCCAAATAAGTACATATGTATGCAGGTATGTATGATTACGATAGTGATTACCCTAGGTGTTCTTAATTATTATCTCGTTTATTATTGCAATGCTACGATACTGCGCTACCACGTTGGGTACTAACTTTGGAGATCCTCTCCCAAGGAAACCACCTGGCCAGGGTCGATGGGTACCTCCCACTAGCCCACCCCTTCCTTAGGTCCCGAGGTACCTGAAGTAAAGTTGTACCTGACAGTCCTGTCAAGACGGGGAAGGTGGACTGGGTCTTGTACTCCGCTCGTAGCTTACATGTACATCAATGATCAATCTACTATGTACCGCATGTACGTGATCTGAATCGGTGGTGGATGTATCCTATGTACCTGGTATTATGCCATCAATATCTGCATGTATGTATGTAGGTAGGCAGAATAGCGTCAGAATAAATGGAGCATGTGCGAGCTAGTACTAATACTACTGTAACACACTGTGAAGCTTTTGATCCCTCTGACTACTCCTTCAGGTAGCTTATACAGACTTTGCCTGCCAGAAAATGCTAATCAGGTTACAAGGGGATAGCTAAGCTCACAGTGCATCACAGTGATATTAATACTAATTCGCACATGCTCCATTTATTCTGACGCTATTCTGGTAGGTAATATCTTCAGCACTAACAGTTGCAGCTCCTCTACTGACCCAGGCAGCCCAGGTAATACATCAGCCACTTTTCGTGTAGTCATCGTCATCGTCATCTCCAGTCGTCCGTGCTTACACTATCATGTAGCAGAGGAGAATAAATCGCTTCGCTTCGCCTCTTCATGTACCGTCCCTGTCAACGTCGCCGAATGGGTGGTTCCATTCAGAGTACTGGAATCTGAACGTGAGGGCCCGAGAGAGCGAATCCAGGTGATTATCGAGGAACCATTTGGGCATTATCAAGGGGTCCTGTAGTCTGTGCGTGCCACTGTGACATGGAATAGGAATTTTCCAAATCCTTGTCCATACAGGGGCCGGATCCTTGCCTCCAACCATCTTGCAATCCACGTCCATGGACACCCTACTACAACTCCCCGCCCTGCTAGAGCCTTCCAGGAAATCTCCCAGGAACGATAGTGTACCAATCAATATCTGTACGGTACATATGTAATTGCGTACCCGTCCGTCTTCATTCTGACTCGCCGTTGAACGGGCTGAACCGCCTTTGTGTCATAACTTTAGAGCTCTCTGCCGGAGCACCAAGTTTTAGGGACTGCGGATGGTCTTGTCCATTTAAGGATTTAGAGCTCCTCGACATGAAACGCACCACTCGGTAAGCTGATGGGTGTTGGCGAAACATAGTACGGCATGATAGCGTCATTCCATGCCTTGATTTAGCAGTAACTGTCAGTGAGCTGTCTTTCAACTGCGGCTTAGAACAAGATAGAAACCCTTCTCAAAATGATCGGTACGTTACCGGCTTCTGCCACCATGAAATAGACTCAGTCACTTGTCAAAGTCCTAAAGCAAATCTAAAAGCGATAGAATCGATATATCCCGAAGTGATCACGGAGACTATCTGTCACATCTCCTGGGTAGCGTCAATTTAGCCTGCGCTAACGCTAGGAATTTTCCGCGTTGCCCGCCAAAGTGTCATTATCGCGGTAGTCTCAACTAAGATGAGTTTCGTGACAGGACAGAATCGAGAAAGCCAACGTTGTGATATGAGGGGGAGTTGCTTTGCCAGACTTGTTTCCACGTTGACGGCAAGACTGTATAGGTAGCTTGCTAGCAACGATAAAGATGACAGATAGGGTAAAATCTCTATCTCATTCTTGACTATCGGGTTTTATACAGCGAAGTCAAGGCTTATTATGAACATTGAGATGATGGTCTTTATTGAAACCGCGCTCACGGGATATAGCTTTAGATTCGGGCCAAGTATAATACCCAGCACATACGCGTATCCATGGATGCTAAAGTTTAGTGTCTATGATTTAGACCCAAGTAAGCGGCACTTCTAAACTTTAGCTGCTTAACGTTAATATAAGTACCTATGTCACCATCGCTATGTAAATAAGGAAACCGCCACACCAAAGCAAGGCTTAATGTGACTTGGATCTATGTATGTAAGCACCCCCGCCTATGAACTTTACTATGCGTACTTATTCTATAGTACTTCAATGTCTCTTATTCACACCACACTCGCGAAATGGCTTCGTAACGGGAAGTCTTCTAGAAATCTGCATGTATGCATACGCGCATACTACCTAACCTACCTACCTGGATATCCAAGTATACCTATACCTAGGTATGTACGTGGCGCATACGTACATGTCAAATTCAACCTCCTGCAACCTCCACTATTCCAGACGAGCTGGAATCGCTCTTTGACGGCAATGTACACGATGGTCCAATCATCGAGTGCCGACAATAGAGCCGTATGCATAGAAAGGTACCATACCTAGAATGACGCCATGCAATCTGCGCCTGGATTGTGACCAACCAATTGTTATCAAATCTACAACTTATACATGTGTGAGGTACCTACTCACCATCATTATCATATAACACCTTCTCATGACTCAGCAAGGCATAACGAGGCTCGGAAACTTCCCGATTCATCCGTTTACATCGCGACTGAAACATTATACCACAGGATTTTCTAGAAAACCGGCAGCCAAGACGTGTTGAGATCTGTAGCGACCTCGCACGAAAAATGTCTCTCACAGCCGCCTGACCTTGGGTTACCTACCTACTTAGACGCCACTGTGGCGGCAGTTTGGAGCTCATGTATCCGACGCTGAGCAGCCCTAATGTCGTACTCGCAGCAATCATGAACTGCATGAAGCTTATCTATGTACGCCGCTCATTCGCCGGTGTAATACTACCGACGAGTAGATCGAGATCTACACTAGCAACTCAGCCCGACCGACCTAGAAAAGCCACGTCAAATCCCGCTAATAACACTATAGGTACTAATATCACAATCTAATAGTTATATTTTTGGATAACGGGGGCTTGTTGAAATATATAATGAACCTGAAAGTCTTTTGATTGCATTTACGTGCCAGCGATTTCTATATAGCGGACTCCCGTTCTGAATTGCTGGGCTCGGGCACGGTATGAGCGCCGCTATAACAAGTTTCCGCCTTACGAAGGGAGGTGTTGCCAGTTAATTATGTCTCAGATATCTCACGTCAGCGACTCGTTCAGACACGATGTCCACCAATCCCAAGGACATTAATACGAAATTTCACTAGTAACGAACGTATCAGCTTCACGGCTATGGCGAGATCACGGAACATACAGTTTGCATTTTACTTAGGAATATGTCTGGAGCATCCTCGACAGCCACAGACCTCATGTCTTCATTCGGACTTTATCTCACTTAAAATATTATTTTGACGGTAGGAGTAATAATTTAGGCGAATTACCAGAAAACCTGCCGTGTCCGTCTTTACATCGAGGCTTTACTCTACAAAATCCTCGTCACAGCGACGTCACATAACAATTTAGGCATACTACTTATACCTACATTTAGTAGAGTACGCCTCTATACTAGAAACAATTGTAATTCCTTATGACTGCCAGTCTATCGACTAGTCCTGAGATAGGGAGCTG